CTCGCCTCTAGGGGGAAGGCTCTCGGTTTTTCTCGAGTTGGGGCGGGGACCTGGGGTATGTTCTCGACTTATGGCGGGGATGGCCCTTCAAAACACGAGTTTCTTCAGTGACGTCAGGACTCCTGTCTAGTAACGAGGGACACCTCAGCAATCTCTTCGAGGCTTGGCAGGGCAAAAGGGACGCTTCTCGAGGTGAGGCAGGGCACCCAAGGACCCTTTCCAGTAGCCACAGCGATTTTGGGATTCCTATCAGTATTCAAGAGGAGTCAGGCATCATCACCTTTTGAAGCAATGAACTCCGCGTGCCTCTCGAGGTGTCAGCGGGATGTGAGGCATTCCGTCAAAATGAGGTAGGGTCCTAGGGCTTTCTCTAAAGTCTCCACAGGGGATTCAGACATCCCTTCATGTTGTGAGATGAAAGACGAGCCTGTATTCAAGCCACTGAAAGGAAATCCGGCCTCCTTTCAAGTTAGGGCTTCTCGCTGTATATTCCCCTTGAGGCCGCAAACACGGGGTCCCTCCCACATACCTATTGCTGAGAGAATCCTCCTCCTGAGGTAATTCTGGGAAGTTGGCATACGTCTTGACCCTAAGCCAAGGAATCAGCTCTCATCTCGAGACGATTTGGGGTACACGGAGCATTCCTCGAGTTGCTGTGCTGAAGTTCGTGATCCTCTAGACTTGGGACAGTGTTCTCGGGGCATCTCTGGAGTTGCCTGAAGGAAGTCGAGCCACCGGTCGTGTTGAATGGGGAACGGGGAATGGCTCTGGAGTCAATGCAGGGGAATCGGGCCTCGTCTCGAGTTGATTTGGGGCACATGGACCTGCTTTGCGTTGCTGGGGTGACCTCAGGGTCCGTCTAGACTGGTGACAGTGTTCTTGGGGACTGTCTGGAGATCCATTAAGCAAGTCGAAGCTCCTGACTTGTTTGAATGGGATCACGGAATAGCTCTGCATGCACTGCAGGGGAATGGGGCCTCATCTCGCCTCTAGGGGGAAGTCTCATGGTTTTTCTGGAGTTGCGGCGTGACCTGTGGTATGTTCTCGACTTACGGCGGGGATGGCCCTTCAAAACACGAGTTTCTTCAGTGACGTCAGGACTCCTCTCTAGTAACGAGGGACACCTCAGGAATCTCTTCGAGGCTTGGCAGAGCAAAAGGGACGCTTCTCGAGGTGAGGCAGGGCACCCAAGGACCCTTTCCAGTAGCCACAGCGATTTTGGGATTCCTATCAGTATTCAAGAGGAGTCAGGCATCATCACCTTTTGAAGCAATGAACTCCGCGTGCCTCTCGAGGTGTCAGCGGGATGTGAGGCATTCCGTAAAAATGAGGCAGGGACCTAGGGCTTTCTCTAAGGTCTCCACAGGGGATTCAGACATCCCTTCATGTTGTGAGATGAAAGACGAGCCTGTATTCAAGCCACTGCAAGGAAATCCGGCCTCCTTTCAAGTTAGGGCTTCTCGCTGTATATTCCCCTTGAGGCAGCAAACTCGGGGTCCCTCCCACATACCTATTGCTGAGAGAAGCCTCCTCCTGAGGTGCTTCTGGGAAGTTGGCATACGTCTTGAGCCTAAGCCAGGGAATCAGCTCTCATCTCGAGACGATTTGGGGTACACGAAGCATTCCTCGAGTTGCTGTGCTGAAGTTGGTGTTCCTCTAGACTTGGGACAGTGTTCTCTGGGCATCTCTGGAGTTGCCTGAAGGAAGTCGAGCCACCGGTCGTGTTGAATGGGGAACGGGGAATGGCTCTGGAGTCAATGCAGGGGAATCGGGCCTCATCTCGAGTTGATTTGTGGCACCTGGAGCTGCTTTGCGTTGCTGGGGTGACCTCAGGGTCCGTCTAGACTGGTGACAGTGTTCTTGGGGACTGCCTCGAGATCCATTAAGCAAGTCGAAGCTCCTGACTTGTTTGAATGGGATCACGGACAAGCTCTGCATGCACTGCAGGGGAATGGGGCCTCATCTCGCCTCTAGGGGGAAGGCTCTCGGTTTTTCTCGAGTTGGGGCGGGGACCTTGGGTATGTTCTCGACTTACGGCGGGGATGGCCCTTCAAAACACGAGTTTCTTCAGTGACGTCAGGACTCCTGTCTAGTAACGAGGGACACCTCAGCAATCTCTTCGAGGCTTGGCAGTGCAAAAGGGACGCTTCTCGAGGTGAGGCAGGGCACCCAAGGACCCTTTCCAGTAGCCACAGCGATTTTGGGATTCCTATCAGTATTCAAGAGGAGTCAGGCATCGTCACCTTTTGAAGCAATGAACTCCGCGTGCCTCTCGAGGTGTCAGCGGGATGTGAGGCATTCCGTCAAAATGAGGTAGGGTCCTAGGGCTTTCTCTAAGGTCTCCACAGGGGATTCAGACATCCCTTCATGTTGTGAGATGAAAGACGAGCCTGTATTCAAACCACTGCAAGGAAATCCGGCCTCCTTTCAAGTTAGGGCTTCTCGCTGTATATTCCCCTTGAGGCAGCAAACTCGGAGTCCCTCCCACATACCTATTGCTGAGAGAAGCCTCCTCCTTAGGTGCTTCTGGAAAGTTGGCATACGTCTTGAGCCTAAGCCAGGGATTCAGCTCTCATCTCGAGACGATTTGGGGTACACAGAGCATTCCTCGAGTTACTGTGCTGAAGTTCGTGTTCCTCTAGACTTGGGACAGTGTTCTCGGGGCATCTCTGGAGTTGCCTGAAGGAAGTCGAGCCACCGGTCGTGTTGAATGTGGAACGGGATGGCTCTGGAGTCAATGCAGGGGAATCGGGCCTCGTCTCGAGTGGATTTGGGGCACATGGAGCTGCTTTGCGTTCCTGGGGTGACCTCAGGGTCCGTCTAGACTGGTGACAGTGTTCTTGGGGACTGTCTGGAGATCCATTAAGCAAGTCGAAGCTCCTGACTTGTTTGAATGGGATCACGGAATAGCTCTGCATGCACTGCAGGGGAATGGGGCCTCATCTCGCCTCTAGGGGGAAGTCTCATGGTTTTTCTGGAGTTGCGGCGGGGACCTGGGGTATGTTCTCGACTTACGGCGGGGATGGCCCTTCAAAACACGAGTTTCTTCAGTGACGTCAGGACTCCTCTCTAGTAACGAGGGACACCTCAGGAATCTCTTCGAGGCTTGGCAGGGCAAAAGGGACGCTTCTCGAGGTGAGGCAGGGCACCCAAGGACCCTTTCCAGTAGCCACAGCGATTTTGTGATTCCTATCAGTATTCAAGAGGAGTCAGGCATCATCACCTTTTGAAGCAATGAACTCCGCGTGCCTCTCGATGTGTCAGCGGGATGTGAGGCATTCCGTAAAAATGAGGCAGGGACCTAGGGCTTTCTCTAAGGTCTCCACAGGGGATTCAGACATCCCTTCATGTTGTGAGATGAAAGACAAGCCTGTATTCAAGCCACTGCAAGGAAATCCGGCCTCCTTTCAAGTTAGGGCTTCTCGCTGTATATTCCCCTTGAGGCAGCAAACTCGGGGTCCCTCCCACATACCCATTGCTGAGAGAAGCCTCCTCCTGAGGTGCTTCTGGGAAGTTGGCATACGTCTTGAGCCTAAGCCAGGGATTCAGCTCTCATCTCGAGACGATTTGGGGTACACAGAGCATTCCTCGAGTTGCTGTGCTGAAGTTGGTGTTCCTCTAGACTTGGGACAGTGTTCTCTGGGCATCTCTGGAGTTGCCTGAAGGAAGTCGAGCCACCGGTTGTGTTGAATGGGGAACGGGGAATGGCTCTGGAGTCAATGCAGGGGAATCGGGCCTCATCTCGAGTTGATTTGTGGCACCTGGAGCTGCTTTGCGTTGCTGGGGTGACATCAGGGTCCGTCTAGACTGGTGACAGTGTTCTTGGGGACTGCCTCGAGATCCATTAAGCAAGTCGAAGCTCCTGACTTGTTTGAATGGGATCACGGAAAAGCTCTGCATGCACTGCAGGGGAATGGGGCCTCATCTCGCCTCTATGGGGAAGGCTCTCGGTTTTTCTCGAGTTGGGGCGGGGACCTGGGGTATGTTCTCGACTTACGGCGGGGTTGGCCCTTCAAAACACGAGTTTCTTCAGTGACGTCAGGACTCCTGTCTAGTAACGAGGGACACCTCAGCAATCTCTTCGAGGCTTGGCAGGGCAAAAGGGACGCTTCTCGAGGTGAGGCAGGGCACCCAAGGACCCTTTCCAGTAGCCACAGCGATTTTGGGATTCCTATCAGTATTCAAGAGGAGTCAGGCATCGTCACCTTTTGAAGCAATGAACTCCGCGTGCCTCTCGAGGTGTCAGCGGGATGTGAGGCATTCCGTCAAAATGAGGTAGGGTCCTAGGGCTTTCTCTAAGGTCTCCACAGGGGATTCAGACATCCCTTCATGTTGTGAGATGAAAGACGAGCCTGTATTCAAGCCACTGAAAGGAAATCCGGCCTCCTTTCAAGTTAGGGCTTCTCGCTGTATATTCCCCTTGAGGCAGCAAACACGGGGTCCCTCCCACATACCTATTGCTGAGAGAAGCCTCCTCCTGAGGTAATTCTGGGAAGTTGGCATACGTCTTGACCCTAAGCCAAGGAATCAGCTCTCATCTCGAGACGATTTGGGGTACACGGAGCATTCCTCGAGTTGCTGTGCTGAAGTTCGTGATCCTCTAGACTTGGGACAGTGTTCTCGGGGCATCTCTGGAGTTGCCTGAAGGAAGTCGAGCCACCGGTCGTGTTGAATGGGGAAAGGGGAATGGCTCTGGAGTCAATGCAGGGGAATCGGGCCTCGTCTCGAGTTGATTTGGGGCACATGGACCTGCTTTGCGTTGCTGGGGTGACCTCAGGGTCCGTCTAGACTGGTGACAGTGTTCTTGGGGACTGTCTGGAGATCCATTAAGCAAGTCGAAGCTCCTGACTTGTTTGAATGGGATCACGGAATAGCTCTGCATGCACTGCAGGGGAATGGGGCCTCATCTCGCCTCTAGGGGGAAGTCTCATGGTTTTTCTGGAGTTGCGGCGGGGACCTGTGGTATGTTCTCGACTTACGGCGGGGATGGCCCTTCAAAACACGAGTTTCTTCAGTGACGTCAGGACTCCTCTCTAGTAACGAGGGACACCTCAGGAATCTCTTCGAGGCTTGGCAGAGCAAAAGGGACGCTTCTCGAGGTGAGGCAGGGCACCCAAGGACCCTTTCCAGTAGCCACAGCGATTTTGGGATTCCTATCAGTATTCAAGAGGAGTCAGGCATCATCACCTTTTGAAGCAATGAAATCCGCGTGCCTCTCGAGGTGTCAGCGGGATGTGAGGCATTCCGTCAAAATGAGGCAGGGACCTAGGGCTTTCTCTAAGGTCTCCACAGGGGATTCAGACATCCCTTCATGTTGTGAGATGAAAGACGAGCCTGTATTCAAGCCACTGCAAGGAAATCCAGCCTCCTTTCAAGTTAGGGCTTCTCGCTGTATATTCCCCTTGAGGCAGCAAACTCGGGGTCCCTCCCACATACCTATTGCTGAGAGAAGCCTCCTCCTGAGGTGCTTCTGGGAAGTTGGCATACGTCTTGAGCCTAAGCCAGGGAATCAGCTCTCATCTCGAGACGATTTGGGGTACACGAAGCATTCCTCGAGTTGCTGTGCTGAAGTTGGTGTTCCTCTAGACTTGGGACAGTGTTCTCTGGGCATCTTTGGAGTTGCCTGAAGGAAGTCGAGCCACCGGTCGTGTTGAATGGGGAACGGGGAATGGCTCTGGAGTCAATGCAGGGGAATCGGGCCTCATCTCGAGTTGATTTGTGGCACCTGGAGCTGCTTTGCGTTGCTGGGGTGACCTCAGGGTCCGTCTAGACTGGTGACAGTGTTCTTGGGGACTGCCTCGAGATCCATTAAGCAAGTCGAAGCTCCTGACTTGTTTGAATGGGATCACGGAAAAGCTCTGCATGCACTGCAGGGGAATGGGGCCTCATCTCGCCTCTAGGGGGAAGGCTATCGGTTTTTCTCGAGTTGGGGCGGGGACCTTGGGTATGTTCTCGACTTACGGCGGGGATGGCCCTTCAAAACACGAGTTTCTTCAGTGACGTCAGGACTCCTGTCTAGTAACGAGGGACACCTCAGCAATCTCTTCGAGGCTTGGCAGGGCAAAAGGGACGCTTCTCGAGGTGAGGCAGGGCACCCAAGGACCCTTTCCAGTAGCCACAGCGATTTTGGGATTCCTATCAGTATTCAAGAGGAGTCAGGCATCGTCACCTTTTGAAGCAATGAACTCCGTGTGCCTCTCGAGGTGTCAGCGGGATGTGAGGCATTCCGTCAAAATGAGGCAGGGTCCTAGGGCTTTCTCTAAGGTCTCCACAGGGGATTCAGACATCCCTTCATGTTGTGAGATGAAAGACGAGCCTGTATTCAAGCCACTGCAAGGAAATCCGGCCTCCTTTCAAGTTAGGGCTTCTCGCTGTATATTCCCCTTGAGGCAGCAAACTCGGAGTCCCTCCCACATACCTATTGCTGAGAGAAGCCTCCTCCTTAGGTGCTTCTGGAAAGTTGGCATACGTCTTGAGCCTAAGCCAGGGATTCAGCTCTCATCTCGAGACGATTTGGGGTACACAGAGCATTCCTCGAGTTACTGTGCTGAAGTTCGTGTTCCTCTAGACTTGGGACAGTGTTCTCGGGGCATCTCTGGAGTTGCCTGAAGGAAGTCGAGCCACCGGTCGTGTTGAATGTGGAACGGGGAATGGCTCTGGGGTCAATGCAGGGGAATCGGGCCTCGTCTCGAGTGGATTTGGGGCACATGGAGCTGCTTTGCGTTCCTGGGGTGACCTCAGGGTCCGTCTAGACTGGTGACAGTGTTCTTGGGGACTGTCTGGAGATCCATTAAGCAAGTCGAAGCTCCTGACTTGTTTGAATGGGATCACGGAATAGCTCTGCATGCACTGCAGGGGAATGGGGCCTCATCTCGCCTCTAGGGGGAAGTCTCATGGTTTTTCTGGAGTTGCGGCGGGGACCTGGGGTATGTTCTCGACTTACGGCGGGGATGGCCCTTCAAAACACGAGTTTCTTCAGTGACGTCAGGACTCCTCTCTAGTAACGAGGGACACCTCAGGAATCTCTTCGAGGCTTGGCAGGGCAAAAGGGACGCTTCTCGAGGTGAGGCAGGGCACCCAAGGACCCTTTCCAGTAGCCACAGCGATTTTGTGATTCCTATCAGTATTCAAGAGGAGTCAGGCATCATCACCTTTTGAAGCAATGAACTCCGCGTGCCTCTCGATGTGTCAGCGGGATGTGAGGCATTCCGTAAAAATGAGGCAGGGACCTAGGGCTTTCTCTAAGGTCTCCACAGGGGATTCAGACATCCCTTCATGTTGTGAGATGAAAGACAAGCCTGTATTCAAGCCACTGCAAGGAAATCCGGCCTCCTTTCAAGTTAGGGCTTCTCGCTGTATATTCCCCTTGAGGCAGCAAACTCGGGGTCCCTCCCACATACCTATTGCTGAGAGAAGCCTCCTCCTGAGGTGCTTCTGGGAAGTTGGCATACGTCTTGAGCCTAAGCCAGGGATTCAGCTCTCATCTCGAGACGATTTGGGGTACACAGAGCATTCCTCGAGTTGCTGTGCTGAAGTTGGTGTTCCTCTAGACTTGGGACAGTGTTCTCTGGGCATCTCTGGAGTTGCCTGAAGGAAGTCGAGCCACCGGTTGTGTTGAATGGGGAACGGGGAATGGCTCTGGAGTCAATGCAGGGGAATCGGGCCTCATCTCGAGTTGATTTGTGGCACCTGGAGCTGCTTTGCGTTGCTGGGGTGACCTCAGGGTCCGTCTAGACTGGTGACAGTGTTCTTGGGGACTGCCTCGAGATCCATTAAGCAAGTCGAAGCTCCTGACTTGTTTGAATGGGATCACGGAAAAGCTCTGCATGCACTGCAGGGGAATGGGGCCTCATCTCGCCTCTAGGGGGAAGGCTCTCGGTTTTTCTCGAGTTGGGGCGGGGACCTGGGGTATGTTCTCGACTTACGGCGGGGTTGGCCCTTCAAAACACGAGTTTCTTCAGTGACGTCAGGACTCCTGTCTAGTAACGAGGGACACCTCAGCAATCTCTTCGAGGCTTGGCAGGGCAAAAGGGACGCTTCTCGAGGTGAGGCAGGGCACCCAAGGACCCTTTCCAGTAGCCACAGCGATTTTGGGATTCCTATCAGTATTCAAGAGGAGTCAGGCATCGTCACCTTTTGAAGCAATGAACTCCGCGTGCCTCTCGAGGTGTCAGCGGGATGTGAGGCATTCCGTCAAAATGAGGTAGGGTCCTAGGGCTTTCTCTAAGGTCTCCACAGGGGATTCAGACATCCCTTCATGTTGTGAGATGAAAGACGAGCCTGTATTCAAGCCACTGAAAGGAAATCCGGCCTCCTTTCAAGTTAGGGCTTCTCGCTGTATATTCCCCTTGAGGCAGCAAACACGGGGTCCCTCCCACTTACCTATTGCTGAGAGAAGCCTCCTCCTGAGGTAATTCTGGGAAGTTGGCATACGTCTTGACCCTAAGCCAAGGAATCAGCTCTCATCTCGAGACGATTTGGGGTACACGGAGCATTCCTCGAGTTGCTGTGCTGAAGTTCCTGTTCCTCTAGACTTGGGACAGTGTTCTCGGGGCATCTCTGGAGTTGCCTGAAGGAAGTCGAGCCACCGGTCGTGTTGAATGTGGAACGGGGAATGGCTCTGGAGTCAATGCAGGGGAATCGGGCCTCGTCTCGAGTTGATTTGGGGCACATGGAGCTGCTTTGCGTTGCTGGGGTGACCTCAGGGTCCGTCTAGACTGGTGACAGTGTTCTTGGGGACTGTCTGGAGATCCATTAAGCTTGTCGAAGCTCCTGACTTGTTTGAATGGGATCACGGAATAGCTCTGCATGCACTGCAGGGGAATGGGGCCTCATCTCGCCTCTAGGGGGAAGTCTCATGGTTTTTCTCGAGTTGCGGCGGGGACCTGGGGTATGTTCTCGACTTACGGCGGGGATGGCCCTTCAAAACACGAGTTTCTTCAGTGACGTTAGGACTCCTGTCTAGTAACGAGGGACAGCTCAGGAATCTCTTTGAGGATTGGCAGGGCAAAAGGGACGCTTCTCGAGGTGAGGCAGGGCACCCAAGGACCCTTTCCAGTAGCCACAGCGATTTTGGGATTCCTATCAGTATTCAAGAGGAGTCAGGCATCGTCACCTTTTGAAGCAATGAACTCCGCCTGCCTCTCGAGGTGTCAGCGGGATGTGAGGCATTCCGTCAAAATGAGGTAGGGACCTAGGGCTTTCTCTAAGGTCTCCACAGGGGATTCAGACATCCCTTCATGTTGTGAGATGAAAGACGAGCCTGTATTCAAGCCACTGAAAGGAAATCCGGCCTCCTTTCAAGTTAGTGCTTCTCGCTGTATATTCCCCTTGAGGCAGCAAACACGGGGTCCCTCCCACATACCTATTGCTGAGAGAATCCTCCTCCTGAGGTAATTCTGGGAAGTTGGCATACGTCTTGACCCTAAGCCAAGGAATCAGCTCTCATCTCGAGACGATTTGGGGTACACGGAGCATTCCTCGAGTTGCTGTGCTGAAGTTCGTGTTCCTCTAGACTTGGGACAGTGTTCTCGGGGCATCTCTGGAGTTGCCTGAAGGAAGTCGAGCCACCGGTCGTGTTGAATGGGGAACGGGGAATGGCTCTGGAGTCAATGCAGGGGAATCGGGCCTCGTCTCGAGTTGATTTGGGGCACATGGAGCTGCTTTGCGTTGCTGGGGTGACCTCAGGGTCCGTCTAGACTGGTGACAGTGTTCTTGGGGACTGTCTGGAGATCCATTAAGCAAGTCGAAGCTCCTGACTTGTTTGAATGGGATCACGGAATAGCTCTGCATGCACTGCAGGGGAATGGGGCCTCATCTCGCCTCTAGGGGGAAGTCTCATGGTTTTTCTCGAGTTGCGGCGGGGACCTGGGGTATGTTCTCGACTTACGGCGGGGATGGCCCTTCAAAACACGAGTTTCTTCAGTGACGTCAGGACTCCTGTCTAGTAACGAGGGACAGCTCAGGAATCTCTTCGCGGATTGGCAGGGCAAAAGGGACGCTTCTCGAGGTGAGGCAGGGCACCCAAGGACCCTTTCCAGTAGCCACAGCGATTTTGGGATTCCTATCAGTATTCAAGAGGAGTCAGGCATCGTCACCTTTTGAAGCAATGAACTCCGCGTGCCTCTCGAGGTGTCAGCGGGATGTGAGGCATTCCGTCAAAATGAGGTAGGGACCTAGGGCTTTCTCTAAGGCCTCCACAGGGGATTCAGACATCCCTTCATGTTGTGAGATGAAAGACGAGCCTGTATTCAAGCCACTGAAAGGAAATCCGGCCTCCTTTCAAGTTAGGGCTTCTCGCTGTATATTCCCCTTGAGGCAGCAAACACGGGGTCCCTCCCACATACCTATTGCTGAGAGAATCCTCCTCCTGAGGTAATTCTGGGAAGTTGGCATACGTCTTGACCCAAAGCCAAGGAATCAGCTCTCATCTCGAGACGATTTGGGGTACACGGAGCATTCCTCGAGTTGCTGTGCTGAAGTTCGTGTTCCTCTAGACTTGGGACAGTGTTCTCGGGGCATCTCTGGAGTTGCCTGAAGGAAGTCGAGCCACCGGTCGTGTTGAATGGGGAACGGGGAATGGCTCTGGAGTCAATGCAGGGGAATCGGGCCTGGTCTCGAGTTGATTTGGGGCACATGGAGCTGCTTTGCGTTGCTGGGGTGACCTCAGGGTCCGTCTAGACTGGTGACAGTGTTCTTGGGGACTGTCTGGAGATCCATTAAGCAAGTCGAAGCTCCTGACTTGTTTGAATGGGATCACGGAATAGCTCTGCATGCACTGCAGGGGAATGGGGCCTCATCTCGCCTCTAGGGGGAAGTCTCATGGTTTTTCTCGAGTTGCGGCGGGGACCTGGGGTATGTTCTCGACTTACGGCGGGGATGGCCCTTCAAAACACGAGTTTCTTCAGTGACGTCAGGACTCCTCTCTAGTAACGAGGGACACCTCAGGAATCTCTTCGAGGCTTGGCAGGGCAAAAGGGACGCTTCTCGAGGTGAGGCAGGGCACCCAAGGACCCTTTCCAGTAGCCACAGCGATTTTGGGATTCCTATCAGTATTCAAGAGGAGTCAGGCATCGTCACCTTTTGAAGCAATGAACTCCGCGTGCCTCTCGAGGTGTCAGCGGGATGTGAGGCATTCCGTCAAAATGAGGTAGGGACCTAGGGCTTTCTCTAAGGCCTCCACAGGGGATTCAGACATCCCTTCATGTTGTGAGATGAAAGACGAGCCTGTATTCAAGCCACTGAAAGGAAATCCGGCCTCCTTTCAAGTTAGGGCTTCTCGCTGTATATTCCCCTTGAGGCAGCAAACACGGGGTCCCTCCCACATACCTATTGCTGAGAGAATCCTCCTCCTGAGGTAATTCTGGGAAGTTGGCATACGTCTTGACCCTAAGCCAAGGAATCAGCTCTCATCTCGAGACGATTTGGGGTACACGGAGCATTCCTCGAGTTGCTGTGCTGAAGTTCGTGTTCCTCTAGACTTGGGACAGTGTTCTCGGGGCATCTCTGGAGTTGCCTGAAGGAAGTCGAGCCACCGGTCGTGTTGAATGGGGAACGGGGAATGGCTCTGGAGTCAATGCAGGGGAATCGGGCCTCGTCTCGAGTTGATTTGGGGCACATGGAGCTGCTTTGCGTTGCTGGGGTGACCTCAGGGTCCGTCTAGACTGGTGACAGTGTTCTTGGGGACTGTCTGGAGATCCATTAAGCAAGTCGAAGCTCCTGACTTGTTTGAATGGGATCACGGAATAGCTCTGCATGCACTGCAGGGGAATGGGGCCTCATCTCGCCTCTAGGGGGAAGTCTCATGGTTTTTCTCGAGTTGCGGCGGGGACCTGGGGTATGTTCTCGACTTACGGCGGGGATGGCCCTTCAAAACACGAGTTTCTTCAGTGACGTCAGGACTCCTCTCTTGTAACGAGGGACACCTCAGGAATCTCTTCGAGGCTTGGCAGGGCAAAAGGGACGCTTCTCGAGGTGAGGCAGGGCACCCAAGGACCCTTTCCAGTAGCCACAGCGATTTTGGGATTCCTATCAGTATTCAAGAGGAGTCAGGCATCGTCACCTTTTGAAGCAATGAACTCCGCGTGCCTCTCGAGGTGTCAGCGGGATGTGAGGCATTCCGTCAAAATGAGGCAGGGACCTAGGGCTTTCTCTAAGGTCTCCACATGGGATTCAGACATCCCTTCATGTTGGGAGATGAAAGACGAGCCTGTATTTAAGCCACTGCAAGGAAATCCGGCCTCCTTTCAATTTAGGGCTTCTCGCTGTATATTCCCCTTGAGGCAGCAAACTCGGGGTCCCTCCCACATACCTATTGCTGAGAGAAGCCTCCTCCTGAGGTGCTTCTGGGAAGTTGGCATACGTCTTGAGCCTAAGCCAGGGAATCAGCTCTCATCTCGAGACGATTTGGGGTACACGAAGCATTCCTCGAGTTGCTGTGCTGAAGTTGGTGTTCCTCTAGACTTGGGACAGTGTTCTCGGGGCATCTCTGGAGTTGCCTGAAGGAAGTCGAGCCACCGGTCGTGTTGAATGGGGAACGGGGAATGGCTCTGGAGTCAATGCAGGGGAATCGGGCCTCATCTCGAGTTGATTTGTGGCACCTGGAGCTGCTTTGCGTTGCTGGGGTGACCTCAGGGTCCGTCTAGACTGGTGACAGTGTTCTTGGGGACTGCCTCGAGATCCATTAAGCAAGTCGAAGCTCCTGACTTGTTTGAATGGGATCACGGAATAGCTCTGCATGCACTGCAGGGGAATGGGGCCTCATCTCGCCTCTAGGGGGAAGTCTCATGGTTTTTCTCGAGTTGCGGCGGGGACCTGGGGTATGTTCTCGACTTACGGCGGGGATGGCCCTTCAAAACACGAGTTTCTTCAGTGACGTCAGGACTCCTTTCTAGTAACGAGGGACAGCTCAGGAATCTCTTCGAGGATTGGCAGGGCAAAAGGGACGCTTCTCGAGGTGAGGCAGGGCACCCAAGGACCCTTTCCAGTAGCCACAGCGATTTTGGGATTCCTATCAGTATTCAAGAGGAGTCAGGCATCGTCACCTTTTGAAGCAATGAACTCCGCGTGCCTCTCGAGGTGTCAGCGGGATGTGAGGCATTCCGTCAAAATGAGGCAGGGACCTAGGGCTTTCTCTAAGGTCTCCACAGGGGATTCAGACATCCCTTCATGTTGTGAGATGAAAGACGAGCCTGTATTCAAGCCACTGAAAGGAAATCCGGCCTCCTTTCAAGTTAGGGCTTCTCGCTGTATATTCCCCTTGAGGCAGCAAACACGGGGTCCCTCCCACATACCTATTGCTGAGAGAATCCTCCTCCTGAGGTAATTCTGGGAAGTTGGCATACGTCTTCACCCTAAGCCAAGGAATCAGCTCTCATCTCGAGACGATTTGGGGTACACGGAGCATTCCTCGAGTTGCTGTGCTGAAGTTCGTGTTCCTCTAGACTTGGGACAGTGTTCTCGGGGCATCTCTGGAGTTGCCTGAAGGAAGTCGAGCCACCGGTCGTGTTGAATGGGGAACGGGGAATGGCTCTGGAGTCAATGCAGGGGAATCGGGCCTCGTCTCGAGTTGATTTGGGGCACATTGAGCTGCTTTGCGTTGCTGGGGTGACCTCAGGGTCCGTCTAGACTGGTGACAGTGTTCTTGGGGACTGTCTGGAGATCCATTAAGCAAGTCGAAGCTCCTGACTTGTTTGAATGGGATCACGGAAGAGCTCTGCATGCACTGCAGGGGAATGGGGCCTCATCTCGCCTCTAGGGGGAAGTCTCATGGTTTTTCTGGAGTTGCGGCGGGGACCTGGGTTATGTTCTCGACTTACGGCGGGGATGGCCCTTCAAAACACGAGTTTCTTCAGTGACGTCAGGACTCCTCTCTAGTAACGTGGGACACCTCAGGAATCTCTTCAAGGCTTGGCAGGGCAAAAGGGACGCTTCTCGAGGTGAGGCAGGGCACCCAAGGACCCTTTCCAGTAGCCACAGCGATTTTGGGATTCCTATCAGTATTCAAGAGGAGTCAGGCATCGTCACCTTTTGAAGCAATGAACTCCGCGTGCCTCTCGAGGTGTCAGCGGGATGTGAGGCATTCCGTCAAAATGAGGCAGGGACCTAGGGCTTTCTCTAAGGTCTCCACAGTTGATTCAGACATCCCTTCATGTTGTGAGATGAAAGACGAGCCTGTATTCAAGCCACTGAAAGGAAATCCGGCCTCCTTTCAAGTTAGGGCTTCTCGCTGTATATTCCCCTTGAGGCAGCAAACTCGGGGTCCCTCCCACATACCTATTGCTGAGAGAAGCCTCCTCCTGAGGTGCCTCTGGGAAGTTGGCATACGTCTTGAGCCTAAGCCAGGGAATCAGCTCTCATCTCGAGACGATTTGGGGTACACGAAACATTCCTCGAGTTGCTGTGCTGAAGTTGGTGTTCCTCTAGACTTGGGACAGTGTTCTCGGGGCATCTCTTGAGTTACCTGAAGGAAGTCGAGCCACCGGTCGTGTTGAATGGGGAACGGGGAATGGCTCTGGAGTCAATGCAGGGGAATCGGGCCTCATCTCGAGTTGATTTGGGGCACATGGAGCTGCTTTGCGTTGCTGGGGTGACCTCAGGGTCCGTCTAGACTGGTGACAGTGTTCTTGGGGACTGTCTGGAGATCCATTAAGCAAGTCGAAGCTCCTGACTTGTTTGAATGGGATCACGGAATAGCTCTACATGCACTGCAGGGGAATGGGGCCTCATCTCGCCTCTAGGGGGAAGTCTCATGGTTTTTCTGGAGTTGCGGCGGGGACCTGGGGTATGTTCTCGACTTACGGCTGGGATGGCCCTTCAAAACACGAGTTTCTTCAGTGACGTCAGGACTCCTGTCTAGTAACGAGGGACAGCTCAGGAATCTCTTCGAGGATTGGCAGGGCAAAAGGGACGCTTCTCGAGGTGAGGCAGGGCACCCAAGGACCCTTTCCAGTTGCCACAGGGATTTTGGGATTCCTATCAGTATTCAAGAGGAGTCAGGCATCGTCACCTTTTGAAGCAATGAACTCCGCGTGCCTCTCGAGGTGTCAGCGGGATGTGAGGCATTCCGTCAAAATGAGGTAGGGACCTAGGGCTTTCTCTAAGGTCTCCACAGGGGATTCAGACATCCCTTCATGTTGTGAGATGAAAGACGAGCCTGTATTCAAGCCACTGAAAGGAAATCCGGCCTCCTTTCAAGTTAGGGCTTCTCGCTGTATATTCCCCTTGAGGCAGCAAACACGGGGTCCCTCCCACATACCTATTGCTGAGAGAATCCTCCTCCTGAGGTAATTCTGGGAAGTTGGCATACGTCTTGACCCTAAGCCAAGGAATCAGCTCTCATCTCGAGACGATTTGGGGTACACGGAGCATTCCTCGAGTTGCTGTGCTGAAGTTCGTGTTCCTCTAGACTTGGGACAGTGTTCTCGGGGCATCTCTGGAGTTGCCTGAAGGAAGTCGAGCCACCGGTCGTGTTGAATGGGGAACGGGGAATGGCTCTGGAGTCAATGCAGGGGAATCGGGCCTCGTCTCGAGTTGATTTGGGGCACATGGAGCTGCTTTGCGTTGCTGGGGTGACCTCAGGGTCCGTCTAGACTGGTGACAGTGTTCTTGGGGACTGTCTGGAGATCCATTAAGCAAGTCGAAGCTCCTGACTTGTTTGAATGGGATCACGGAATAGCTCTGCATGCACTGCAGGGGAATGGGGCCTCATCTCGCCTCTAGGGGGAAGTCTCATGGTTTTTCTCGAGTTGCGGCGGGGACCTGGGGTATGTTCTCGACTTACGGCGGGGATGGCCCTTCAAAACACGAGTTTCTTCAGTGACGTCAGGACTCCTCTCTAGTAACGAGGGACACCTCAGGAATCTCTTCGAGGCTTGGCAGGGCAAAAGGGACGCTTCTCGAGGTGAGGCAGGGCACCCAAGGACCCTTTCCAGTAGCCACAGCGATTTTGGGATTCCTATCAGTATTCAAGAGGAGTCAGGCATCGTCACCTTTTGAAGCAATGAACTCCGCGTGCCTCTCGAGGTGTCAGCGGGATGTGAGGCATTCCGTCAAAATGAGGCAGGGACCTAGGGCTTTCTCTAAGGTCTCCACAGGGGATTCAGACATCCCTTCATGTTGTGAGATGAAAGACGAGCCTGTATTCAAGCCACTGCAAGGAAATCCGGCCTCCTTTCAAGTTAGGGCTTCTCGCTGTATATTCCCTTTGAGGCAGCAAACTCGGGGTCCCTCCCACATACCTATTGCTGAGAGAAGCCTCCTCCTGAGGTGCTTCTGGGAAGTTGGCATACGTCTTGAGCCTAAGCCAGGGAATCAGCTCTCATCTCGAGACGATTTGGGGTACACGAAGCATTCCTCGAGTTGCTGTGCTGAAGTTGGTGTTCCTCTAGACTTGGGACAGTGTTCTCGGGGCATCTCTGGAGTTGCCTGAAGGAAGTCGAGCCACCGGTCGTGTTGAATGGGGAACGGGGAATGGCTCTGGAGTCAATGCAGGGGAATCGGGCCTCATCTCGAGTTGATTTGTGGCACCTGGAGCTGCTTTGCGTTGCTGGGGTGACCTCAGGGTCCGTCTAGACTGGTGACAGTGTTCTTGGGGACTGCCTCGAGATCCATTAAGCAAGTCGAAGCTCCTGACTTGTTTGAATGGGATCACGGAATAGCTCTGCATGCACTGCAGGGGAATGGGGCCTCATCTCGCCTCTAGGGGGAAGGCTCACGGTTTTTCTCGAGTTGCGGCGGGGACCTGGGGTATGTTCTCGACTTACGGCGGGGATGGCCCTTCAAAACACGAGTTTCTTCAGTGACGTCAGGACTCCTCTCTAGTAACGTGGGACACCTCAGGAATCTCTTCAAGGCTTGGCAGGGCAAAAGGGACGCTTCTCGAGGTGAGGCAGGGCACCCAAGGACCCTTTCCAGTAGCCACAGCGATTTTGGGATTCCTATCAGTATTCAAGAGGAGTCAGGCATCATCACCTTTTGAAGCAATGAACTCCGCGTGCCTCTCGAGGTGTCAGCGGGATGTGAGGCTTTCCGTCAAAATGAGGCAGGGACCTAGGGCTTTCTCTAAGGTCTCCACATGGGATTCAGACATCCCTTCATGTTGGGAGATGAAAGACGAGCCTGTATTCAAGCCACTGCAAGGAAATCCGGCCTCCTTTCAATTTAGGGCTTCTCGCTGTATATTCCCCTTGAGGCAGCAAACTCGGGGTCCCTCCCACATACCTATTGCTGAGAGAATCCTCCTCCTGAGGTGCTTCTGGGAAGTTGGCATACGTCTTGAGCCTAAGCCAGGGAATCAGCTCTCATCTCGAGACGATTTGGGGTACACGGAGCATTCCTCGAGTTGCTGTGCTGAAGTTGGTGTTCCTCTAGACTTGGGACAGTGTTCTCGGGGCATCTCTGGAGTTGCCTGAAGGAAGTCGAGCCACCGGTCGTGTTGAATGGGGAACGGGGAATGGCTCTGGAGTCAATGCAGGGGAATCGGGCCTCATCTCGAGTTGATTTGTGGCACCTGGAGCTGCTTTGCGTTGCTGGGGTGACCTCAGGGTCCGTCTAGACTGGTGACAGTGTTCTTGGGGACTGCCTCGAGATCCATTAAGCAAGTCGAAGCTCCTGACTTGTTTGAATGGGATCACGGAATAGCTCTGCATGCACTGCAGGGGAATGGGGCCTCATCTCGCCTCTAGGGGGAAGTCTCATGGTTTTTCTCGAGTTGCGGCGGGGACCTGGGGTATGTTCTCGACTTACGGCGGGGATGGCCCTTCAAAACACGAGTTTCTTCAGTGACGTCAGGACTCCTTTCTAGTAACGAGGGACAGCTCAGGAATCTCTTCGAGGATTGGCAGGGCAAAAGGGACGCTTCTCCAGGTGAGGCAGGGCACCCAAGGACCCTTTCCAGTAGCCACAGCGATTTTGGGATTCCTATCAGTATTCAAGAGGAGTCAGGCATCGTCACCTTTTGAAGCAATGAACTCCGCGTGCCTCTTGAGGTGTCAGCGGGATGTGAGGCATTCCGTCAAAATGAGGTAGGGACCTAGGGCTTTCTCTAAGGTCTCCACAGGGGATTCAGACATCCCTTCATGTTGTGAGATGAAAGACGAGCCTGTATTCAAGCCACTGAAAGGAAATCCGGCCTCCTTTCAAGTTAGGGCTTCTCGCTGTATATTCCCCTTGAGGCAGCAAACACGGGGTCCCTCCCACATACCTATTGCTGAGAGAATCCTCCTCCTGAGGTAATTCTGGGAAGTTGGCATACGTCTTCACCCTAAGCCAAGGAATCAGCTCTCATCTCGAGACGATTTGGGGTACACGGAGCATTCCTCGAGTTGCTGTGCTGAAGTTCGTGTTCCTCTAGACTTGGGACAGTGTTCTCGGGGCATCTCTGGAGTTGCCTGAAGGAAGTCGAGCCACCGGTCGTGTTGAATGGGGAACGGGGAATGGCTCTGGAGTCAATGCAGGGGAATCGGGCCTCGTCTCGAGTTGATTTGGGGCACATGGAGCTGCTTTGCGTTGCTGGGGTGACCTCAGGGTCCGTCTAGACTGGTGACAGTGTTCTTGGGGACTGTCTGGAGATCCATTAAGCAAGTCGAAGCTCCTGACTTGTTTGAATGGGATCACGGAAGAGCTCTGCATGCACTGCAGGGGAATGGGGCCTCATCTCGCCTCTAGGGGGAAGTCTCATGGTTTTTCTGGAGTTGCGGCGGGGACCTGGGGTATGTTCTCGACTTACGGCGGGGATGGCCCTTCAAAACACGAGTTTCTTCATTGACGTCAGGACTCCTCTCTAGTAACGTGGGACACCTCAGGAATCTCTTCAAGGCTTGGCAGGGCAAAAGGGACGCTTCTCGAGCTGAGGCAGGGCACCCAAGGACCCTTTCCAGTAGCCACAGCGATTTTGGGATTCCTATCAGTATTCAAGAGGAGTCAGGCATCGTCACCTTTTGAAGCAATGAACTCCGCGTGCCTCTCGAGGTGTCAGCGGGATGTGAGGCATTCCGTCAAAATGAGGCAGGGACCTAGGGCTTTCTCTAAGGTCTCCACAGGGGATTCAGACATCCCTTCATGTTGTGAGATGAAAGACGAGACTGTATTCAAGCCACTGAAAGGAAATCCGGCCTCCTTTCAAGTTAGGGCTTCTCGCTGTATATTCCCCTTGAGGCAGCAAACTCGGGGTCCCTCCCACATACCTATTGCTGAGAGAAGCCTCCTCCTGAGGTGCTTCTGGGAAGTTGGCATACGTCTTGAGCCTAAGCCAGGGAATCAGCTCTCATCTCGAGACGATTTGGGGTACACGAAGCATTCCTCGAGTTGCTGTGCTGAAATTGGTGTTCCTCTAGACTTGGGACAGTGTTCTCGGGGCATCTCTTGAGTTACCTGAAGGAAGTCGAGCCACCGGTCGTGTTGAATGGGGAACGGGGAATGGCTCTGGAGTCAATGCAGGGGAATCGGGCCTCATCTCGAGTTGATTTGGGGCACATGGAGCTGCTTTGCGTTGCTGGGGTGACCTCAGGGTCCGTCTAGACTGGTGACAGTGTTCTTGGGGACTGTCTGGAGATCCATTAAGCAAGTCGAAGCTCCTGACTTGTTTGAATGGGATCACGGAATAGCTCTGCATGCACTGCAGGGGAATGGGGCCTCATCTCGCCTCTAGGGGGAAGTCTCATGGTTTTTCTGGAGTTGCGGCGGGGACCTGGGGTATGTTCTCGACTTACGGCTGGGATGGCCCTTCAAAACACGAGTTTCTTCAGTGACGTCAGGACTCCTGTCTAGTAATGAGGGACACCTCAGCAATCTCTTCGAGGATTGGCAGGGCAAAAGGGACGCTTCTCGAGGTGTGGCAGGGCACCCAAGGACCCTTTCCAGTAGCCACAGCGATTTTGGGATTCCTATCAGTATTCAAGAGGAGTCAGGCATCGTCACCTTTTGAAGCAATGAACTCCGCGTGCCTCTCGAGGTGTCAGCGGGATGTGAGGCATTCCGTCAAAATGAGGCAGGGACCTAGGGCTTTCTCTAAGGTCTCCACAGGGGATTCAGACATCCCTTCATGTTGTGAGATGAAAGACGAGCCTGTATTCAAGCCACTGCAAGGAAATCCGGCCTCCTTTCAAGTTAGGGCTTCTCGCTGTATATTCCCCTTGAGGCAGCAAACTCGGGGTCCCTCCCACATACCTATTGCTGAGAGAAGCCTCCTCCTGAGGTGCTTCTGGGAAGTTGGCATACGTCTTGAGCCTAAGCCAGGGAATCAGCTCTCATCTCGAGACGATTTGGGGTACACGAAGCATTCCTCGAGTTGCTGTGCTGAAGTTGGTGTTCCTCTAGACTTGGGACAGTGTTCTCTGGGCATCTTTGGAGTTGCCTGAAGGAAGTCGAGCCACCGGTCGTGTTGAATGGGGAACGGGGAATGGCTCTGGAGTCAATGCAGGGGAATCGGGCCTCATCTCGAGTTGATTTGTGGCACCTGGAGCTGCTTTGCGTTGCTGGGGTGACCTCAGGGTCCGTCTAGACTGGTGACAGTGTTCTTGGGGACTGCCTCGAGATCCATTAAGCAAGTCGAAGCTCCTGACTTGTTTGAATGGGATCACGGAAAAGCTCTGCATGCACTGCAGGGGAATGGGGCCTCATCTCGCCTCTAGGGGGAAGGCTCTCGGTTTTTCTCGAGTTGGGGCGGGGACCTTGGGTATGTTCTCGACTTACGGCGGGGATGGCCCTTCAAAACACGAGTTTCTTCAGTGACGTCAGGACTCCTGTCTAGTAACGAGGGACACCTCAGCAATCTCTTCGAGGCTTGGCAGGGCAAAAGGGACGCTTCTCGAGGTGAGGCAGGGCACCCAAGGACCCTTTCCAGTAGCCACAGCGATTTTGGGATTCCTATCAGTATTCAAGAGGAGTCAGGCATCGTCACCTTTTGAAGCAATGAACTCCGCGTGCCTCTCGAGGTGTCAGCGGGATGTGAGGCATTCCGTCAAAATGAGGCAGGGTCCTAGGGCTTTCTCTAAGGTCTCCACAGGGGATTCAGACATCCCTTCATGTTGTGAGATGAAAGACGAGCCTGTATTCAAGCCACTGCAAGGAAATCCGGCCTCCTTTCAAATTAGGGCTTCTCGCTGTATATTCCCCTTGAGGCAGCAAACTCGGAGTCCCTCCCACATACCTATTGCTGAGAGAAGCCTCCTCCTTAGGTGCTTCTGGAAAGTTGGCATACGTCTTGAGCCTAAGCCAGGGATTCAGCTCTCATCTCGAGACGATTTGGGGTACACAGAGCATTCCTCGAGTTACTGTGCTGAAGTTCGTGTTCCTCTAGACTTGGGACAGTGTTCTCGGGGCATCTCTGGAGTTGCCTGAAGGAAGTCGAGCCACCGGTCGTGTTGAATGTGGAACGGGGAATGGCTCTGGAGTCAATGCAGGGGAATCGGGCCTCGTCTCGAGTGGATTTGGGGCACATGGAGCTGCTTTGCGTTCCTGGGGTGACCTCAGGGTCCGTCTAGACTGGTGACAGTGTTCTTGGGGACTGTCTGGAGATCCATTAAGCAAGTCGAAGCTCCTGACTTGTTTGAATGGGATCACGGAATAGCTCTGCATGCACTGCAGGGGAATGGGGCCTCATCTCGCCTCTAGGGGGAAGTCTCATGGTTTTTCTGGAGTTGCGGCGGGGACCTGGGGTATGTTCTCGACTTACGGCGGGGATGGCCCTTCAAAACACGAGTTTCTTCAGTGACGTCAGGACTCCTCTCTAGTAACGAGGGACACCTCAGGAATCTCTTCGAGGCTTGGCAGGGCAAAAGGGACGCTTCTCGAGGTGAGGCAGGGCACCCAAGGACCCTTTCCAGTAGCCACAGCGATTTTGTGATTCCTATCAGTATTCAAGAGGAGTCAGGCATCATCACCTTTTGAAGCAATGAACTCCGCGTGCCTCTCGATGTGTCAGCGGGATGTGAGGCATTCCGTAAAAATGAGGCAGGGACCTAGGGCTTTCTCTAAGGTCTCCACAGGGGATTCAGACATCCCTTCATGTTGTGAGATGAAAGACAAGCCTGTATTCAAGCCACTGCAAGGAAATCCGGCCTCCTTTCAAGTTAGGGCTTCTCGCTGTATATTCCCCTTGAGGCAGCAAACTCGGGGTCCCTCCCACATACCTATTGCTGAGAGAAGCCTCCTCCTGAGGTGCTTCTGGGAAGTTGGCATACGTCTTGAGCCTAAGCCAGGGATTCAGCTCTCATCTCGAGACGATTTGGGGTACACAGAGCATTCCTCGAGTTGCTGTGCTGAAGTTGGTGTTCCTCTAGACTTGGGACAGTGTTCTCTGGGCATCTCTGGAGTTGCCTGAAGGAAGTCGAGCCACCGGTTGTGTTGAATGGGGAACGGGGAATGGCTCTGGAGTCAATGCAGGGGAATCGGGCCTCATCTCGAGTTGATTTGTGGCACCTGGAGCTGCTTTGCGTTGCTGGGGTGACCTCAGGGTCCGTCTAGACTGGTGACAGTGTTCTTGGGGACTGCCTCGAGATCCATTAAGCAAGTCGAAGCTCCTGACTTGTTTGAATGGGATCACGGAAAAGCTCTGCATGCACTGCAGGGGAATGGGGCCTCATCTCGCCTCTAGGGGGAAGGCTCTCGGTTTTTCTCGAGTTGGGGCGGGGACCTGGGGTATGTTCTCGACTTACGGCGGGGTTGGCCCTTCAAAACACGAGTTTCTTCAGTGACGTCAGGACTCCTGTCTAGTAACGAGGGACACCTCAGCAATCTCTTCGAGGCTTGGCAGGGCAAAAGGGACGCTTCTCGAGGTGAGGCAGGGCACCCAAGGACCCTTTCCAGTAGCCACAGCGATTTTGGGATTCCTATCAGTATTCAAGAGGAGTCAGGCATCGTCACCTTTTGAAGCAATGAACTCCGCGTGCCTCTCGAGGTGTCAGCGGGATGTGAGGCATTCCGTCAAAATGAGGTAGGGTCCTAGGGCTTTCTCTAAGGTCTCCACAGGGGATTCAGACATCCCTTCATGTTGTGAGATGAAAGACGAGCCTGTATTCAAGCCACTGAAAGGAAATCCGGCCTCCTTTCAAGTTAGGGCTTCTCGCTGTATATTCCCCTTGAGGCAGCAAACACGGGGTCCCTCCCACTTACCTATTGCTGAGAGAAGCCTCCTCCTGAGGTAATTCTGGGAAGTTGGCATACGTCTTGACCCTAAGCCAAGGAATCAGCTCTCATCTCGAGACGATTTGGGGTACACGGAGCATTCCTCGAGTTGCTGTGCTGAAGTTCCTGTTCCTCTAGACTTGGGACAGTGTTCTCGGGGCATCTCTGGAGTTGCCTGAAGGAAGTCGAGCCACCGGTCGTGTTGAATGTGGAACGGGGAATGGCTCTGGAGTCAATGCAGGGGAATCGGGCCTCGTCTCGAGTTGATTTGGGGCACATGGAGCTGCTTTGCGTTGCTGGGGTGACCTCAGGGTCCGTCTAGACTGGTGACAGTGTTCTTGGGGACTGTCTGGAGATCCATTAAGCTTGTCGAAGCTCCTGACTTGTTTGAATGGGATCACGGAATAGCTCTGCATGCACTGCAGGGGAATGGGGCCTCATCTCGCCTCTAGGGGGAAGTCTCATGGTTTTTCTCGAGTTGCGGCGGGGACCTGGGGTATGTTCTCGACTTACGGCGGGGATGGCCCTTCAAAACACGAGTTTCTTCAGTGACGTTAGGACTCCTGTCTAGTAACGAGGGACAGCTCAGGAATCTCTTTGAGGATTGGCAGGGCAAAAGGGACGCTTCTCGAGGTGAGGCAGGGCACCCAAGGACCCTTTCCAGTAGCCACAGCGATTTTGGGATTCCTATCAGTATTCAAGAGGAGTCAGGCATCGTCACCTTTTGAAGCAATGAACTCCGCGTGCCTCTCGAGGTGTCAGCGGGATGTGAGGCATTCCGTCAAAATGAGGTAGGGACCTAGGGCTTTCTCTAAGGTCTCCACAGGGGATTCAGACATCCCTTCATGTTGTGAGATGAAAGACGAGCCTGTATTCAAGCCACTGAAAGGAAATCCGGCCTCCTTTCAAGTTAGTGCTTCTCGCTGTATATTCCCCTTGAGGCAGCAAACACGGGGTCCCTCCCACATACCTATTGCTGAGAGAATCCTCCTCCTGAGGTAATTCTGGGAAGTTGGCATACGTCTTGACCCTAAGCCAAGGAATCAGCTCTCATCTCGAGACGATTTGGGGTACACGGAGCATTCCTCGAGTTGCTGTGCTGAAGTTCGTGTTCCTCTAGACTTGGGACAGTGTTCTCGGGGCATCTCTGGAGTTGCCTGAAGGAAGTCGAGCCACCGGTCGTGTTGAATGGGGAACGGGGAATGGCTCTGGAGTCAATGCAGGGGAATCGGGCCTCGTCTCGAGTTGATTTGGGGCACATGGAGCTGCTTTGCGTTGCTGGGGTGACCTCAGGGTCCGTCTAGACTGGTGACAGTGTTCTTGGGGACTGTCTGGAGATCCATTAAGCAAGTCGAAGCTCCTGACTTGTTTGAATGGGATCACGGAATAGCTCTGCATGCACTGCAGGGGAATGGGGCCTCATCTCGCCTCTAGGGGGAAGTCTCATGGTTTTTCTCGAGTTGCGGCGGGGACCTGGGGTATGTTCTCGACTTACGGCGGGGATGGCCCTTCAAAACACGAGTTTCTTCAGTGACGTCAGGACTCCTGTCTAGTAACGAGGGACAGCTCAGGAATCTCTTCGCGGATTGGCAGGGCAAAAGGGACGCTTCTCGAGGTGAGGCAGGGCACCCAAGGACCCTTTCCAGTAGCCACAGCGATTTTGGGATTCCTATCAGTATTCAAGAGGAGTCAGGCATCGTCACCTTTTGAAGCAATGAACTCCGCGTGCCTCTCGAGGTGTCAGCGGGATGTGAGGCATTCCGTCAAAATGAGGTAGGGACCTAGGGCTTTCTCTAAGGCCTCCACAGGGGATTCAGACATCCCTTCATGTTGTGAGATGAAAGACGAGCCTGTATTCAAGCCACTGAAAGGAAATCCGGCCTCCTTTCAAGTTAGGGCTTCTCGCTGTATATTCCCCTTGAGGCAGCAAACACGGGGTCCCTCCCACATACCTATTGCTGAGAGAATCCTCCTCCTGAGGTAATTCTGGGAAGTTGGCATACGTCTTGACCCAAAGCCAAGGAATCAGCTCTCATCTCGAGACGATTTGGGGTACACGGAGCATTCCTCGAGTTGCTGTGCTGAAGTTCGTGTTCCTCTAGACTTGGGACAGTGTTCTCGGGGCATCTCTGGAGTTGCCTGAAGGAAGTCGAGCCACCGGTCGTGTTGAATGGGGAACGGGGAATGGCTCTGGAGTCAATGCAGGGGAATCGGGCCTGGTCTCGAGTTGATTTGGGGCACATGGAGCTGCTTTGCGTTGCTGGGGTGACCTCAGGGTCCGTCTAGACTGGTGACAGTGTTCTTGGGGACTGTCTGGAGATCCATTAAGCAAGTCGAAGCTCCTGACTTGTTTGAATGGGATCACGGAATAGCTCTGCATGCACTGCAGGGGAATGGGGCCTCATCTCGCCTCTAGGGGGAAGTCTCATGGTTTTTCTCGAGTTGCGGCGGGGACCTGGGGTATGTTCTCGACTTACGGCGGGGATGGCCCTTCAAAACACGAGTTTCTTCAGTGACGTCAGGACTCCTCTCTAGTAACGAGGGACACCTCAGGAATCTCTTCGAGGCTTGGCAGGGCAAAAGGGACGCTTCTCGAGGTGAGGCAGGGCACCCAAGGACCCTTTCCAGTAGCCACAGCGATTTTGGGATTCCTATCAGTATTCAAGAGGAGTCAGGCATCGTCACCTTTTGAAGCAATGAACTCCGCGTGCCTCTCGAGGTGTCAGCGGGATGTGAGGCATTCCGTCAAAATGAGGTAGGGACCTAGGGCTTTCTCTAAGGCCTCCACAGGGGATTCAGACATCCCTTCATGTTGTGAGATGAAAGACGAGCCTGTATTCAAGCCACTGAAAGGAAATCCGGCCTCCTTTCAAGTTAGGGCTTCTCGCTGTATATTCCCCTTGAGGCAGCAAACACGGGGTCCCTCCCACATACCTATTGCTGAGAGAATCCTCCTCCTGAGGTAATTCTGGGAAGTTGGCATACGTCTTGACCCTAAGCCAAGGAATCAGCTCTCATCTCGAGACGATTTGGGGTACACGGAGCATTCCTCGAGTTGCTGTGCTGAAGTTCGTGTTCCTCTAGACTTGGGACAGTGTTCTCGGGGCATCTCTGGAGTTGCCTGAAGGAAGTCGAGCCACCGGTCGTGTTGAATGGGGAACGGGGAATGGCTCTGGAGTCAATGCAGGGGAATCGGGCCTCGTCTCGAGTTGATTTGGGGCACATGGAGCTGCTTTGCATTGCTGGGGTGACCTCAGGGTCCGTCTAGACTGGTGACAGTGTTCTTGGGGACTGTCTGGAGATCCATTAAGCAAGTCGAAGCTCCTGACTTGTTTGAATGGGATCACGGAATAGCTCTGCATGCACTGCAGGGGAATGGGGCCTCATCTCGCCTCTAGGGGGAAGTCTCATGGTTTTTCTCGAGTTGCGGCGGGGACCTGGGGTATGTTCTCGACTTACGGCGGGGATGGCCCTTCAAAACACGAGTTTCTTCAGTGACGTCAGGACTCCTCTCTTGTAACGAGGGACACCTCAGGAATCTCTTCGAGGCTTGGCAGGGCAAAAGGGACGCTTCTCGAGGTGAGGCAGGGCACCCAAGGACCCTTTCCAGTAGCCACAGCGATTTTGGGATTCCTATCAGTATTCAAGAGGAGTCAGGCATCGTCACCTTTTGAAGCAATGAACTCCGCGTGCCTCTCGAGGTGTCAGCGGGATGTGAGGCATTCCGTCAAAATGAGGCAGGGACCTAGGGCTTTCTCTAAGGTCTCCACATGGGATTCAGACATCCCTTCATGTTGGGAGATGAAAGACGAGCCTGTATTTAAGCCACTGCAAGGAAATCCGGCCTCCTTTCAATTTAGGGCTTCTCGCTGTATATTCCCCTTGAGGCAGCAAACTCGGGGTCCCTCCCACATACCTATTGCTGAGAGAAGCCTCCTCCTGAGGTGCTTCTGGGAAGTTGGCATACGTCTTGAGCCTAAGCCAGGGAATCAGCTCTCATCTCGAGACGATTTGGGGTACACGAAGCATTCCTCGAGTTGCTGTGCTGAAGTTGGTGTTCCTCTAGACTTGGGACAGTGTTCTCGGGGCATCTCTGGAGTTGCCTGAAGGAAGTCGAGCCACCGGTCGTGTTGAATGGGGAACGGGGAATGGCTCTGGAGTCAATGCAGGGGAATCGGGCCTCATCTCGAGTTGATTTGTGGCACCTGGAGCTGCTTTGCGTTGCTGGGGTGACCTCAGGGTCCGTCTAGACTGGTGACAGTGTTCTTGGGGACTGCCTCGAGATCCATTAAGCAAGTCGAAGCTCCTGACTTGTTTGAATGGGATCACGGAATAGCTCTGCATGCACTGCAGGGGAATGGGGCCTCATCTCGCCTCTAGGGGGAAGTCTCATGGTTTTTCTCGAGTTGCGGCGGGGACCTGGGGTATGTTCTCGACTTACGGCGGGGATGGCCCTTCAAAACACGAGTTTCTTCAGTGACGTCAGGACTCCTTTCTAGTAACGAGGGACAGCTCAGGAATCTCTTCGAGGATTGGCAGGGCAAAAGGGACGCTTCTCGAGGTGAGGCAGGGCACCCAAGGACCCTTTCCAGTAGCCACAGCGATTTTGGGATTCCTATCAGTATTCAAGAGGAGTCAGGCATCGTCACCTTTTGAAGCAATGAACTCCGCGTGCCTCTCGAGGTGTCAGCGGGATGTGAGGCATTCCGTCAAAATGAGGTAGGGACCTAGGGCTTTCTCTAAGGTCTCCACAGGGGATTCAGACATCCCTTCATGTTGTGAGATGAAAGACGAGCCTGTATTCAAGCCACTGAAAGGAAATCCGGCCTCCTTTCAAGTTAGGGCTTCTCGCTGTATATTCCCCTTGAGGCAGCAAACACGGGGTCCCTCCCACATACCTATTGCTGAGAGAATCCTCCTCCTGAGGTAATTCTGGGAAGTTGGCATACGTCTTCACCCTAAGCCAAGGAATCAGCTCTCATCTCGAGACGATTTGGGGTACACGGAGCATTCCTCGAGTTGCTGTGCTGAAGTTCGTGTTCCTCTAGACTTGGGACAGTGTTCTCGGGGCATCTCTGGAGTTGCCTGAAGGAAGTCGAGCCACCGGTCGTGTTGAATGGGGAACGGGGAATGGCTCTGGAGTCAATGCAGGGGAATCGGGCCTCGTCTCGAGTTGATTTGGGGCACATGGAGCTGCTTTGCGTTGCTGGGGTGACCTCAGGGTCCGTCTAGACTGGTGACAGTGTTCTTGGGGACTGTCTGGAGATCCATTAAGCAAGTCGAAGCTCCTGACTTGTTTGAATGGGATCACGGAAGAGCTCTGCATGCACTGCAGGGGAATGGGGCCTCATCTCGCCTCTAGGGGGAAGTCTCATGGTTTTTCTGGAGTTGCGGCGGGGACCTGGGGTATGTTCTCGACTTACGGCGGGGATGGCCCTTCAAAACACGAGTTTCTTCAGTGACGTCAGGACTCCTCTCTAGTAACGTGGGACACCTCAGGAATCTCTTCAAGGCTTGGCAGGGCAAAAGGGACGCTTCTCGAGGTGAGGCAGGGCACCCAAGGACCCTTTCCAGTAGCCACAGCGATTTTGGGATTCCTATCAGTATTCAAGAGGAGTCAGGCATCGTCACCTTTTGAAGCAATGAACTCCGCGTGCCTCTCGAGGTGTCAGCGGGATGTGAGGCATTCCGTCAAAATGAGGCAGGGACCTAGGGCTTTCTCTAAGGTCTCCACAGTTGATTCAGACATCCCTTCATGTTGTGAGATGAAAGACGAGCCTGTATTCAAGCCACTGAAAGGAAATCCGGCCTCCTTTCAAGTTAGGGCTTCTCGCTGTATATTCCCCTTGAGGCAGCAAACTCGGGGTCCCTCCCACATACCTATTGCTGAGAGAAGCCTCCTCCTGAGGTGCCTCTGGGAAGTTGGCATACGTCTTGAGCCTAAGCCAGGGAATCAGCTCTCATCTCGAGACGATTTGGGGTGCACGAAACATTCCTCGAGTTGCTGTGCTGAAGTTGGTGTTCCTCTAGACTTGGGACAGTGTTCTCGGGGCATCTCTGGAGTTGCCTGAAGGAAGTCGAGCCACCGGTCGTGTTGAATGGGGAACGGGGAATGGCTCTGGAGTCAATGCAGGGGAATCGGGCCTCATCTCGAGTTGATTTGGGGCACATGGAGCTGCTTTGCGTTGCTGGGGTGACCTCAGGGTCCGTCTAGACTGGTGACAGTGTTCTTGGGGACTGTCTGGAGATCCATTAAGCAAGTCGAAGCTCCTGACTTGTTTGAATGGGATCACGGAATAGCTCTACATGCACTGCAGGGGAATGGGGCCTCATCTCGCCTCTAGGGGGAAGTCTCATGGTTTTTCTGGAGTTGCGGCGGGGACCTGGGGTATGTTCTCGACTTACGGCTGGGATGGCCCTTCAAAACACGAGTTTCTTCAGTGACGTCAGGACTCCTGTCTAGTAACGAGGGACAGCTCAGGAATCTCTTCGAGGATTGGCAGGGCAAAAGGGACGCTTCTCGAGGTGAGGCAGGGCACCCAAGGACCCTTTCCAGTAGCCACAGCGATTTTGGGATTCCTATCAGTATTCAAGATGAGTCAGGCATCGTCACCTTTTGAAGCAATGAACTCCGCGTGCCTCTCGAGGTGTCAGCGGGATGTGAGGCATTCCGTCAAAATGAGGTAGGGACCTAGGGCTTTCTCTAAGGTCTCCACAGGGGATTCAGACATCCCTTCATGTTGTGAGATGAAAGACGAGCCTGTATTCAAGCCACTGAAAGGAAATCCGGCCTCCTTTCAAGTTAGGGCTTCTCGCTGTATATTCCCCTTGAGGCAGCAAACACAGGGTCCCTCCCACATACCTATTGCTGAGAGAATCCTCCTCCTGAGTTAATTCTGGGAAGTTGGCATACGTCTTGACCCTAAGAAAAGGAATCAGCTCTCATCTCGAGACGATTTGGGGTACACGGAGCATTCCTCGAGTTGCTGTTCTGAAGTTCGTGTTCCTCTAGACTTGGGACAGTGTTCTCGGGGCATCTCTGGAGTTGCCTGAAGGAAGTCGAGCCACCGGTCGTGTTGAATGGGGAACGGGGAATGGCTCTGGAGTCAATGCAGGGGAATCGGGCCTCATCTCGAGTTGATTTAGGGCAAATGGGGCTGCTTTGCGTTGCTGGGGTGACCTCAGGGTCCATCTAGACTGGTGACAGTGTTCTTGGGGACTGTCTGGAGATCCATTAAGCAAGTCGAAACTCCTGACTTGTTTGAATGGGATCACGGAATAGCTCTGCATGCACTGCAGGGGAATGGGGCCTCATCTCGCCTCTAGGGGGAAGTCTCATGGTTTTTCTCGAGTTGCGGCGGGGACCTGGGGTATGTTCTCGACTTACGACGGGGATGGCCCTTCAAAACACGAGTTTCTTCAGTGACGTCAGGACTCCTGTCTAGTAACGAGGGACAGCTCAGGAATCTCTTCGAGGATTGGCAGGGCAAAAGGGACGCTTCTCGAGGTGAGGCAGGGCACCCAAGGACCCTTTCCAGTTGCCACAGGGATTTTGGGATTCCTATCAGTATTCAAGAGGAGTCAGGCATCGTCACCTTTTGAAGCAATGAACTCCGCGTGCCTCTCGAGGTGTCAGCGGGATGTGAGGCATTCCGTCAAAATGAGGTAGGGACCTAGGGCTTTCTCTAAGGTCTCCACAGGGGATTCAGACATCCCTTCATGTTGTGAGATGAAAGACGAGCCTGTATTCAAGCCACTGAAAGGAAATCCGGCCTCCTTTCAAGTTAGGGCTTCTCGCTGTATATTCCCCTTGAGGCAGCAAACACGGGGTCCCTCCCACATACCTATTGCTGAGAGAATCCTCCTCCTGAGGTAATTCTGGGAAGTTGGCATACGTCTTGACCCTAAGCCAAGGAATCAGCTCTCATCTCGAGACGATTTGGGGTACACGGAGCATTCCTCGAGTTGCTGTGCTGAAGTTCGTGTTCCTCTAGACTTGGGACAGTGTTCTCGGGGCATCTCTGGAGTTGCCTGAAGGAAGTCGAGCCACCGGTCGTGTTGAATGGGGAACGGGGAATGGCTCTGGAGTCAATGCAGGGGAATCGGGCCTCGTCTCGAGTTGATTTGGGGCACATGGAGCTGCTTTGCGTTGCTGGGGTGACCTCAGGGTCCGTCTAGACTGGTGACAGTGTTCTTGGGGACTGTCTGGAGATCCATTAAGCAAGTCGAAGCACCTGACTTGTTTGAATGGGATCACGGAATAGCTCTGCATGCACTGCAGGGGAATGGGGCCTCATCTCGCCTCTAGGGGGAAGTCTCATGGTTTTTCTCGAGTTGCGGCGGGGACCTGGGGTATGTTCTCGACTTACGGCGGGGATGGCCCTTCAAAACACGAGTTTCTTCAGTGACGTCAGGACTCCTCTCTAGTAACGAGGGACACCTCAGGAATCTCTTCGAGGCTTGGCAGGGCAAAAGGGACGCTTCTCGAGGTGAGGCAGGGCACCCAAGGACCCTTTCCAGTAGCCACAGCGATTTTGGGATTCCTATCAGTATTCAAGAGGAGTCAGGCATCGTCACCTTTTGAAGCAATGAACTCCGCGTGCCTCTCGAGGTGTCAGCGGGATGTGAGGCATTCCGTCAAAATGAGGCAGGGACCTAGGGCTTTCTCTAAGGTCTCCACAGGGGATTCAGACATCCCTTCATGTTGTGAGATGAAAGACGAGCCTGTATTCAAGCCACTGCAAGGAAATCCGGCCTCCTTTCAAGTTAGGGCTTCTCGCTGTATATTCCCTTTGAGGCAGCAAACTCGGGGTCCCTCCCACATACCTATTGCTGAGAGAAGCCTCCTCCTGAGGTGCTTCTGGGAAGTTGGCATACGTCTTGAGCCTAAGCCAGGGAATCAGCTCTCATCTCGAGACGATTTGGGGTACACGAAGCATTCCTCGAGTTGCTGTGCTGAAGTTGGTGTTCCTCTAGACTTGGGACAGTGTTCTCGGGGCATCTCTGGAGTTGCCTGAAGGAAGTCGAGCCACCGGTCGTGTTGAATGGGGAACGGGGAATGGCTCTGGAGTCAATGCAGGGGAATCGGGCCTCATCTCGAGTTGATTTGTGGCACCTGGAGCTGCTTTGCGTTGCTGGGGTGACCTCAGGGTCCGTCTAGACTGGTGACAGTGTTCTTGGGGACTGCCTCGAGATCCATTAAGCAAGTCGAAGCTCCTGACTTGTTTGAATGGGATCACGGAATAGCTCTGCATGCACTGCAGGGGAATGGGGCCTCATCTCGCCTCTAGGGGGAAGGCTCACGGTTTCTCTCGAGTTGCGGCGGGGACCTGGGGTATGTTCTCGACTTACGGCGGGGATGGCCCTTCAAAACACGAGTTTCTTCAGTGACGTCAGGACTCCTCTCTAGTAACGTGGGACACCTCAGGAATCTCTTCAAGGCTTGGCAGGGCAAAAGGGACGCTTCTCGAGGTGAGGCAGGGCACCCAAGGACCCTTTCCAGTAGCCACAGCGATTTTGGGATTCCTATCAGTATTCAAGAGGAGTCAGGCATCATCACCTTTTGAAGCAATGAACTCCGCGTGCCTCTCGAGGTGTCAGCGGGATGTGAGGCATTCCGTCAAAATGAGGCAGGGACCTAGGGCTTTCTCTAAGGTCTCCACATGGGATTCAGACATCCCTTCATGTTGGGAGATGAAAGACGAGCCTGTATTCAAGCCACTGCAAGGAAATCCGGCCTCCTTTCAATTTAGGGCTTCTCGCTGTATATTCCCCTTGAGGCAGCAAACTCGGGGTCCCTCCCACATACCTATTGCTGAGAGAAGCCTCCTCCTGAGGTGCTTCTGGGAAGTTGGCATACGTCTTGAGCCTAAGCCAGGGAATCAGCTCTAATCTCGAGACGATTTGGGGTACACGGAGCATTCCTCGAGTTGCTGTGCTGAAGTTGGTGTTCCTCTAGACTTGGGACAGTGTTCTCGGGGCATCTCTGGAGTTGCCTGAAGGAAGTCGAGCCACCGGTCGTGTTGAATGGGGAACGGGGAATGGCTCTGGAGTCAATGCAGGGGAATCGGGCCTCATCTCGAGTTGATTTGTGGCACCTGGAGCTGCTTTGCGTTGCTGGGGTGACCTCAGGGTCCGTCTAGACTGGTGACAGTGTTCTTGGGGACTGCCTCGAGATCCATTAAGCAAGTCGAAGCTCCTGACTTGTTTGAATGGGATCACGGAATAGCTCTGCATGCACTGCAGGGGAATGGGGCCTCATCTCGCCTCTAGGGGGAAGTCTCATGGTTTTTCTCGAGTTGCGGCGGGGACCTGGGGTATGTTCTCGACTTACGGCGGGGATGGCCCTTCAAAACACGAGTTTCTTCAGTGACGTCAGGACTCCTTTCTAGTAACGAGGGACAGCTCAGGAATCTCTTCGAGGATTGGCAGGGCAAAAGGGACGCTTCTCCAGGTGAGGCAGGGCACCCAAGGACCCTTTCCAGTAGCCACAGCGATTTTGGGATTCCTATCAGTATTCAAGAGGAGTCAGGCATCGTCACCTTTTGAAGCAATGAACTCCGCGTGCCTCTTGAGGTGTCAGCGGGATGTGAGGCATTCCGTCAAAATGAGGTAGGGACCTAGGGCTTTCTCTAAGGTCTCCACAGGGGATTCAGACATCCCTTCATGTTGTGAGATGAAAGACGAGCCTGTATTCAAGCCACTGAAAGGAAATCCGGCCTCCTTTCAAGTTAGGGCTTCTCGCTGTATATTCCCCTTGAGGCAGCAAACACGGGGTCCCTCCCACATACCTATTGCTGAGAGAATCCTCCTCCTGAGGTAATTCTGGGAAGTTGGCATACGTCTTCACCCTAAGCCAAGGAATCAGCTCTCATCTCGAGACGATTTGGGGTACACGGAGCATTCCTCGAGTTGCTGTGCTGAAGTTCGTGTTCCTCTAGACTTGGGACAGTGTTCTCGGGGCATCTCTGGAGTTGCCTGAAGGAAGTCGAGCCACCGGTCGTGTTGAATGGGGAACGGGGAATGGCTCTGGAGTCAATGCAGGGGAATCGGGCCTCGTCTCGAGTTGATTTGGGGCACATGGAGCTGCTTTGCGTTGCTGGGGTGACCTCAGGGTCCGTCTAGACTGGTGACAGTGTTCTTGGGGACTGTCTGGAGATCCATTAAGCAAGTCGAAGCTCCTGACTTGTTTGAATGGTTTCACGGAAGAGCTCTGCATGCACTGCAGGGGAATGGGGCCTCATCTCGCCTCTAGGGGGAAGTCTCATGGTTTTTCTGGAGTTGCGGCGGGGACCTGGGGTATGTTCTCGACTTACGGCGGGGATGGCCCTTCAAAACACGAGTTTCTTCAGTGACGTCAGGACTCCTCTCTAGTAACGTGGGACACCTCAGGAATCTCTTCAAGGCTTGGCAGGGCAAAAGGGACGCTTCTCGAGGTGAGGCAGGGCACCCAAGGACCCTTTCCAGTAGCCACAGCGATTTTGGGATTCCTATCAGTATTCAAGAGGAGTCAGGCATCGTCACCTTTTGAAGCAATGAACTCCGCGTGCCTCTCGAGGTGTCAGCGGGATGTGAGGCATTCCGTCAAAATGAGGTAGGGACCTAGGGCTTTCTCTAAGGTCTCCACAGGGGATTCAGACATCCCTTCATGTTGTGAGATGAAAGACGAGCCTGTATTCAAGCCACTGAAAGGAAATCTGGCCTCCTTTCAAGTTAGGGCTTCTCGCTGTATATTCCCCTTGAGGCAGCAAACACGGGGTCCCTCCCACATACCTATTGCTGAGAGAATCCTCCTCCTGAGTTAATTCTGGGAAGTTGGCATACGTCTTGACCCTAAGCCAAGGAATCAGCTCTCATCTCGAGACGATTTGGGGTACACGGAGCATTCCTCGAATTGCTGTTCTGAAGTTCGTGTTCCTCTAGACTTGGGACAGTGTTCTCGGGGCATCTCTGGAGTTGCCTGAAGGAAGTCGAGCCACCGGTCGTGTTGAATGGGGAACGGGGAATGGCTCTGGAGTCAATGCAGGGGAATCGGGCCTCATCTCGAGTTGATTTAGGGCAAATGGGGCTGCTTTGCGTTGCTGGGGTGACCTCAGGGTCCATCTAGACTGGTGACAGTGTTCTTGGGGACTGTCTGGAGATCCATTAAGCAAGTCGAAACTCCTGACTTGTTTGAATGGGATCACGGAATAGCTCTGCATGCACTGCAGGGGAATGGGGCCTCATCTCGCCTCTAGGGGGAAGTCTCATGGTTTTTCTCGAGTTGCGGCGGGGACCTGGGGTATGTTCTCGACTTACGGCGGGGATGGCCCTTCAAAACACGAGTTTCTTCAGTGACGTCAGGACTCCTGTCTAGTAATGAGGGACACCTCAGCAATCTCTTCGAGGATTGGCAGGGCAAAAGGGACGCTTCTCGAGGTGTGGCAGGGCACCCAAGGACCCTTTCCAGTAGCCACAGCGATTTTGGGATTCCTATCAGTATTCAAGAGGAGTCAGGCATCGTCACCTTTTGAAGCAATGAACTCCGCGTGCCTCTCGAGGTGTCAGCGGGATGTGAGGCATTCCGTCAAAATGAGGTAGGGACCTAGGGCTTTCTCTAAGGTCTCCACAGGGGATTCAGACATCCCTTCATGTTGTGAGATGAAAGACGATCCTGTATTCAAGCCACTGAAAGCAAATCCGGCCTCCTTTCAAGTTAGGGCTTCTCGCTGTATATTCCCCTTGAGGCAGCAAACACGGGGTCCCTCCCACATACCTATTGCTGAGAGAATCCTCCTCCTGAGGTAATTCTGGGAAGTTGGCATACGTCTTGACCCTAAGCCAAGGAATCAGCTCTCATCTCGAGACGATTTGGGGTACACGGAGCATTCCTCGAGTTGCTGTGCTGAAGTTCGTGTTCCTCTAGACTTGGGACAGTGTTCTCGGGGCATCTCTGGAGTTGCCTGAAGGAAGTCGAGCCACCGGTCGTGTTGAATGGGGAACGGGGAATGGCTCTGGAGTCAATGCAGGGGAATCGGGCCTCGTCTCGAGTTGATTTGGGGCACATGGAGCTGCTTTGCGTTGCTGGGGTGACCTCAGGGTCCGTCTAGACTGGTGACAGTGTTCTTGGGGACTGTCTGGAGATCCATTAAGCAAGTCGAAGCTCCTGACTTGTTTGAATGGGATCACGGAAGAGCTCTGCATGCACTGCAGGGGAATGGGGCCTCATCTCGCCTCTAGGGGGAAGTCTCATGGTTTTTCTCGAGTTGCGGCGGGGACCTGGGGTATGTTCTCGACTTACGGCGGGGATGGCCCTTCAAAACACGAGTTTCTTCAGTGACGTCAGGACTCCTCTCTAGTAACGTGGGACACCTCAGGAATCTCTTCAAGGCTTGGCAGGGCAAAAGGGACGCTTCTCGAGGTGAGGCAGGGCACCCAAGGACCCTTTCCAGTAGCCACAGCGATTTTGGGATTCCTATCAGTATTCAAGAGGAGTCAGGCATCGTCACCTTTTGAAGCAATGAACTCCGCGTGCCTCTCGAGGTGTCAGCGGGATGTGAGGCATTCCGTCAAAATGAGGCAGGGACCTAGGGCTTTCTCTAAGGTCTCCACATGGGATTCAGACATCCCTTCATGTTGGGAGATGAAAGACGAGCCTGTATTCAAGCCACTGCAAGGAAATCCGGCCTCCTTTCAATTTAGGGCTTCTCGCTGTATATTCCCCTTGAGGCAGCAAACTCGGGGTCCCTCCCACATACCTATTGCTGAGAGAAGCCTCCTCCTGAGGTGCTTCTGGGAAGTTGGCATACGTCTTGAGCCTAAGGCAGGGAATCAGCTCTCATCTCGAGACGATTTGGGGTACACGAAGAATTCCTCGAGTTGCTGTGCTGAAGTTGGTGTTCCTCTAGACTTGGGACAGTGTTCTCGGGGCATCTCTGGAGTTGCCTGAAGGAAGTCGAGCCACCGGTCGTGTTGAATGGGGAACGGGGAATGGCTCTGGAGTCAATGCAGGGGAATCGGGCCTCATCTCGAGTTGATTTGTGGCACCTGGAGCTGCTTTGCGTTGCTGGGGTGACCTCAGGGTCCGTCTAGACTGGTGACAGTGTTCTTGGGGACTGCCTCGAGATCCATTAAGCAAGTCGAAGCTCCTGACTTGTTTGAATGGGATCACGGAATAGCTCTGCATGCACTGCAGGGGAATGGGGCCTCATCTCGCCTCTAGGGGGAAGTCTCATGGTTTTTCTCGAGTTGCGGCGGGGACCTGGGGTATGTTCTCGACTTACGGCGGGGATGGCCCTTCAAAACACGAGTTTCTTCAGTGACGTCAGGACTCCTTTCTAGTAACGAGGGACAGCTCAGGAATCTCTTCGAGGATTGGCAGGGCAAAAGGGACGCTTCTCCAGGTGAGGCAGGGCACCCAAGGACCCTTTCCAGTAGCCACAGCGATTTTGGGATTCCTATCAGTATTCAAGAGGAGTCAGGCATCGTCACCTTTTGAAGCAATGAACTCCGCGTGCCTCTCGAGGTGTCAGCGGGATGTGAGGCATTCCGTCAAAATGAGGTAGGGACCTAGGGCTTTCTCTAAGGTCTCCACAGGGGATTCAGACATCCCTTCATGTTGTGAGATGAAAGACGAGCCTGTATTCAAGCCACTGAAAGGAAATCCGGCCTCCTTTCAAGTTAGGGCTTCTCGCTGTATATTCCCCTTGAGGCAGCAAACACGGGGTCCCTCCCACATACCTATTGCTGAGAGAATCCTCCTCCTGAGGTAATTCTGGGAAGTTGGCATACGTCTTCACCCTAAGCCAAAGAATCAGCTCTCATCTCGAGACGATTTGGGGTACACGGAGCATTCCTCGAGTTGCTGTTCTGAAGTTCGTGTTCCTCTAGACTTGGGACAGTGTTCTCGGGGCATCTCTGGAGTTGCCTGAAGGAAGTCGAGCCACCGGTCGTGTTGAATGGGGAACGGGGAATGGCTCTGGAGTCAATGCAGGGGAATCGGGCCTCATCTCGAGTTGATTTAGGGCAAATGGGGCTGCTTTGCCTTGCTGGGGTGACCTCAGGGTCCATCTAGACTGGTGACAGTGTTCTTGGGGACTGTCTGGAGATCCATTAAGCAAGTCGAAACTCCTGACTTGTTTGAATGGGATCACGGAATAGCTCTGCATGCACTGCAGGGGAATGGGGCCTCATCTCGCCTCTAGGGGGAAGTCTCATGGTTTTTCTCGAGTTGCGGCGGGGACCTGGGGTATGTTCTCGACTTACGGCGGGGATGGCCCTTCAAAACACGAGTTTCTTCAGTGACGTCAGGACTCCTGTCTAGTAACGAGGGACAGCTCAGGAATCTCTTCGAGGATTGGCAGGGCAAAAGGGACGCTTCTCGAGGTGAGGCAGGGCACCCAAGGACCCTTTCCAGTAGCCACAGCGATTTTGGGATTCCTATCAGTATTCAAGAGGAGTCAGGCATCGTCACCTTTTGAAGCAATGAACTCCGCGTGCCTCTCGAGGTGTCAGCGGGATGTGAGGCATTCCGTCAAAATGAGGTAGGGACCTAGGGCTTTCTCTAAGGTCTCCACAGGGGATTCAGACATCCCTTCATGTTGTGAGATGAAAGACGAGCCTGTATTCAAGCCACTGAAAGGAAATCCGGCCTCCTTTCAAGTTAGGGCTTCTCGCTGTATATTCCCCTTGAGGCAGCAAACACGGGGTCCCTCCCACATACCTATTGCTGAGAGAAGCCTCCTCCTGAGGTGCTTCTGGGAAGTTGGCATACGTCTTGAGCCTAAGCCAGGGAATCAGCTCTCATCTCGAGACGATTTGGGGTACACGAAGCATTCCTCGAGTTGCTGTGCTGAAGTTGGTGTTCCTCTAGACTTGGGACAGTGTTCTCGGGGCATCTCTGGAGTTGCCTGAAGGAAGTCGAGCCACCGGTCGTGTTGAATGGGGAACGGGGAATGGCTCTGGAGTCAATGCAGGGGAATCGGGCCTCATCTCGAGTTGATTTGTGGCACCTGGAGCTGCTTTGCGTTGCTGGGGTGACCTCAGGGTCCGTCTAGACTGGTGACAGTGTTCTTGGGGACTGCCTCGAGATCCATTAAGCAAGTCGAAGCTCCTGACTTGTTTGAATGGGATCACGGAATAGCTCTGCATGCACTGCAGGGGAATGGGGCCTCATCTCGCCTCTAGGGGGAAGGCTCACGGTTTTTCTCGAGTTGCGGCGGGGACCTGTGGTATGTTCTCGACTTACGGCGGGGATGGCCCTTCAAAACACGAGTTTCTTCAGTGACGTCAGGACTCCTGTCTAGTAATGAGGGACACCTCAGCAATCTCTTCAAGGATTGGCAGGGCAAAAGGGACGCTTCTCGAGGTGTGGCAGGGCACCCAAGGACCCTTTCCAGTAGCCACAGCGATTTTGGGATTCCTATCAGTATTCAAGAGGAGTCAGGCATCGTCACCTTTTGAAGCAATGAACTCCGCGTGCCTCTCGAGGTGTCAGCGGGATGTGAGGCATTCCGTCAAAATGAGGTAGGGACCTAGGGCTTTCTCTAAGGTCTCCACAGGGGATTCAGACATCCCTTCATGTTGTGAGATGAAAGACGATCCTGTATTCAAGCCACTGAAAGCAAATCCGGCCTCCTTTCAAGTTAGGGCTTCTCGCTGTATATTCCCCTTGAGGCAGCAAACACGGGGTCCCTCCCACATACCTATTGCTGAGAGAATCCTCCTCCTGAGGTAATTCTGGGAAGTTGGCATACGTCTTGACCCTAAGCCAAGGAATCAGCTCTCATCTCGAGACGATTTGGGGTACACGGAGCATTCCTCGAGTTGCTGTGCTGAAGTTGGTGTTCCTCTAGACTTGGGACAGTGTTCTCGGGGCATCTCTGGAGTTGCCTGAAGGAAGTCGAGCCACCGGTCGTGTTGAATGGGGAACGGGGAATGGCTCTGGAGTCAATGCAGGGGAATCGGGCCTCGTCTCGAGTTGATTTGGGGCACATGGAGCTGCTTTGCGTTGCTGGGGTGACCTCAGGGTCCGTCTAGACTGGTGACAGTGTTCTTGGGGACTGTCTGGAGATCCATTAAGCAAGTCGAAGCTCCTGACTTGTTTGAATGGGATCACGGAAGAGCTCTGCATGCACTGCAGGGGAATGGGGCCTCATCTCGCCTCTAGGGGGAAGTCTCATGGTTTTTCTCGAGTTGCGGCGGGGACCTGGGGTATGTTCTCGACTTACGGCGGGGATGGCCCTTCAAAACACGAGTTTCTTCAGTGACGTCAGGACTCCTCTCTAGTAACGTGGGACACCTCAGGAATCTCTTCAAGGCTTGGCAGGGCAAAAGGGACGCTTCTCGAGGTGAGGCAGGGCACCCAAGGACCCTTTCCAGTAGCCACAGCGATTTTGGGATTCCTATCAGTATTCAAGAGGAGTCAGGCATCGTCACCTTTTGAAGCAATGAACTCCGCGTGCCTCTCGAGGTGTCAGCGGGATGTGAGGCATTCCGTAAAAATGAGGCAGGGACCTAGGGCTTTCTCTAAGGTCTCCACATGGGATTCAGACATCCCTTCATGTTGGGAGATGAAAGACGAGCCTGTATTCAAGCCACTGCAAGGAAATCCGGCCTCCTTTCAATTTAGGGCTTCTCGCTGTATATTCCCCTTGAGGCAGCAAACTCGGGGTCCCTCCCACATACCTATTGCTGAGAGAAGCCTCCTCCTGAGGTGCTTCTGGGAAGTTGGCATACGTCTTGAGCCTAAGCCAGGGAATCAGCTCTCATCTCGAGACGATTTGGGGTACACGGAGCATTCCTCGAGTTGCTGTTCTGAAGTTCGTGTTCCTCTAGACTTGGGACAGTGTTCTCGGGGCATCTCTGGAGTTGCCTGAAGGAAGTCGAGCCACCGGTCGTGTTGAATGGGGAACGGGGAATGGCTCTGGAGTCAATGCAGGGGAATCGGGCCTCATCTCGAGTTGATTTAGGGCAAATGGGGCTGCTTTGCGTTGATGGGGTGACCTCAGGGTCCATCTAGACTGGTGACAGTGTTCTTGGGGACTGTCTGGAGATCCATTAAGCAAGTCGAAACTCCTGACTTGTTTGAATGGGATCACGGAATAGCTCTGCATGCACTGCAGGGGAATGGGGCCTCATCTCGCCTCTAGGGGGAAGTCTCATGGTTTTTCTCGAGTTGCGGCGGGGACCTGGGGTATGTTCTCGACTTACGGCGGGGATGGCCCTTCAAAACACGAGTTTCTTCAGTGACGTCAGGACTCCTGTCTAGTAACGAGGGACAGCTCAGGAATCTCTTCGAGGATTGGCAGGGCAAAAGGGACGCTTCTCGAGGTGAGGCAGGGCACCCAAGGACCCTTTCCAGTAGCCACAGCGATTTTGGGATTCCTATCAGTATTCAAGAGGAGTCAGGCATCGTCACCTTTTGAAGCAATGAACTCCGCGTGCCTCTCGAGGTGTCAGCGGGATGTGAGGCATTCCGTCAAAATGAGGTAGGGACCTAGGGCTTTCTCTAAGGTCTCCACAGGGGATTCAGACATCCCTTCATGTTGTGAGATGAAAGACGAGCCTGTATTCAAGCCACTGAAAGGAAATCCGGCCTCCTTTCAAGTTAGGGCTTCTCGCTGTATATTCCCCTTGAGGCAGCAAACACGGGGTCCCTCCCACATACCTATTGCTGAGAGAATCCTCCTCCTGAGGTAATTCTGGGAAGTTGGCATACGTCTTGACCCTAAGCCAAGGAATCAGCTCTCATCTCGAGACGATTTGGGGTACACGGAGCATTCCTCGAGTTGCTGTGCTGAAGTTCGTGTTCCTCTAGACTTGGGACAGTGTTCTCGGGGCATCTCTGGAGTTGCCTGAAGGAAGTCGAGCCACCGGTCGTGTTGAATGGGGAACGGGGAATGGCTCTGGAGTCAATGCAGGGGAATCGGGCCTGGTCTCGAGCTGATTTGGGGCACATGGAGCTGCTTTGCGTTGCTGGGGTGACCTCAGGGTCCGTCTAGACTGGTGACAGTGTTCTTGGGGACTGTCTGGAGATCCATTAAGCAAGTCGAAGCTCCTGACTTGTTTGAATGGGATCACGGAATAGCTCTGCATGCACTGCAGGGGAATGGGGCCTCATCTCGCCTCTAGGGGGAAGTCTCATGGTTTTTCTCGAGTTGCGGCGGGGACCTGGGGTATGTTCTCGACTTACGGCGGGGATGGCCCTTCAAAACACGAGTTTCTTCAGTGACGTCAGGACTCCTCTCTAGTAACGAGGGACACCTCAGGAATCTCTTCGAGGCTTGGCAGGGCAAAAGGGACGCTTCTCGAGGTGAGGCAGGGCACCCAAGGACCCTTTCCAGTAGCCACAGCGATTTTGGGATTCCTATCAGTATTCAAGAGGAGTCAGGCATCGTCACCTTTTGAAGCAATGAACTCCGCGTGCCTCTCGAGGTGTCAGCGGGATGTGAGGCATTCCGGCAAAATGAGGCAGGGACCTAGGGCTTTCTCTAAGGTCTCCACAGGGGATTCAGACATACCTTCATGTTGTGAGATGAAAGACGAGCCTGTATTCAAGCCACTGAAAGGAAATCCGGCCTCCTTTCAAGTTAGGGCTTCTCGCTGTATATTCCCCTTGAGGCAGCAAACTCGGGGTCCCTCCCACATACCTATTGCTGAGAGAAGCCTCCTCCTGAGGTGCTTCTGGGAAGTTGGCATACGTCTTGAGCCTAAGCCAGGGAATCAGCTCTCATCTCGAGACGATTTGGGGTACACGAAGCATTCCTCGAGTTGCTGTGCTGAAGTTGGTGTTCCTCTAGACTTGGGACAGTGTTCTCGGGGCATCTCTGGAGTTGCCTGAAGGAAGTCGAGCCACCGGTCGTGTTGAATGGGGAACGGGGAATGGCTCTGGAGTCAATGCAGGGGAATCGGGCCTCATCTCGAGTTGATTTGTGGCACCTGGAGCTGCTTTGCGTTGCTGGGGTGACCTCAGGGTCCGTCTAGACTGGTGACAGTGTTCTTGGGGACTGCCTCGAGATCCATTAAGCAAGTCGAAGCTCCTGACTTGTTTGAATGGGATCACGGAATAGCTCTGCATGCACTGCAGGGGAATGGGGCCTCATCTCGCCTCTAGGGGGAAGGCTCACGGTTTTTCTCGAGTTGCGGCGGGGACCTGGGGTATGTTCTCGACTTACGGCGGGGATGGCCCTTCAAAACACGAGTTTCTTCAGTGACGTCAGGACTCCTGTCTAGTAATGAGGGACACCTCAGCAATCTCTTCGAGGATTGGCAGGGCAAAAGGGACGCTTCTCGAGGTGTGGCAGGGCACCCAAGGACCCTTTCCAGTAGCCACAGCGATTTTGGGATTCCTATCAGTATTCAAGAGGAGTCAGGCATCGTCACCTTTTGAAGCAATGAACTCCGCGTGCCTCTCGAGGTGTCAGCGGGATGTGAGGCATTCCGTCAAAATGAGGTAGGGACCTAGGGCTTTCTCTAAGGTCTCCACAGGGGATTCAGACATCCCTTCATGTTGTGAGATGAAAGACGATCCTGTATTCAAGCCACTGAAAGCAAATCCGGCCTCCTTTCAAGTTAGGGCTTCTCGCTGTATATTCCCCTTGAGGCAGCAAACACGGGGTCCCTCCCACATACCTATTGCTGAGAGAATCCTCCTCCTGAGGTAATTCTGGGAAGTTGGCATACGTCTTGACCCTAAGCCAAGGAATCAGCTCTCATCTCGAGACGATTTGGGGTACACGGAGCATTCCTCGAGTTGCTGTGCTGAAGTTGGTGTTCCTCTAGACTTGGGACAGTGTTCTCGGGGCATCTCTGGAGTTGCCTGAAGGAAGTCGAGCCACCGGTCGTGTTGAATGGGGAACGGGGAATGGCTCTGGAGTCAATGCAGGGGAATCGGGCCTCGTCTCGAGTTGATTTGGGGCACATGGAGCTGCTTTGCGTTGCTGGGGTGACCTCAGGGTCCGTCTAGACTGGTGACAGTGTTCTTGGGGACTGTCTGGAGATCCATTAAGCAAGTCGAAGCTCCTGACTTGTTTGAATGGGATCACGGAAGAGCTCTGCATGCACTGCAGGGGAATGGGGCCTCATCTCGCCTCTAGGGGGAAGTCTCATGGTTTTTCTCGAGTTGCGGCGGGGACCTGGGGTATGTTCTCGACTTACGGCGGGGATGGCCCTTCAAAACACGAGTTTCTTCAGTGACGTCAGGACTCCTCTCTAGTAACGTGGGACACCTCAGGAATCTCTTCAAGGCTTGGCAGGGCAAAAGGGACGCTTCTCGAGGTGAGGCAGGGCACCCAAGGACCCTTTCCAGTAGCCACAGCGATTTTGGGATTCCTATCAGTATTCAAGAGGAGTCAGGCATCGTCACCTTTTGAAGCAATGAACTCCGCGTGCCTCTCGAGGTGTCAGCGGGATGTGAGGCATTCCGTCAAAATGAGGCAGGGACCTAGGGCTTTCTCTAAGGTCTCCACATGGGATTCAGACATCCCTTCATGTTGGGAGATGAAAGACGAGCCTGTATTCAAGCCACTGCAAGGAAATCCGGCCTCCTTTCAATTTAGGGCTTCTCGCTGTATATTCCCCTTGAGGCAGCAAACTCGGGGTCCCTCCCACATACCTATTGCTGAGAGAAGCCTCCTCCTGAGGTGCTTCTGGGAAGTTGGCATACGTCTTGAGCCTAAGGCAGGGAATCAGCTCTCATCTCGAGACGATTTGGGGTACACGGAGCATTCCTCGAGTTGCTGTTCTGAAGTTCGTGTTCCTCTAGACTTGGGACAGTGTTCTCGGGGCATCTCTGGAGTTGCCTGAAGGAAGTCGAGCCACCGGTCGTGTTGAATGGGGAACGGGGAATGGCTCTGGAGTCAATGCAGGGGAATCGGGCCTCATCTCGAGTTGATTTAGGGCAAATGGGGCTGCTTTGCGTTGCTGGGGTGACCTCAGGGTCCATCTAGACTGGTGACAGTGTTCTTGGGGACTGTCTGGAGATCCATTAAGCAAGTCGAAACTCCTGACTTGTTTGAATGGGATCACGGAATAGCTCTGCATGCACTGCAGGGGAATGGGGCCTCATCTCGCCTCTAGGGGGAAGTCTCATGGTTTTTCTCGAGTTGCGGCGGGGACCTGGGGTATGTTCTCAACTTACGGCGGGGATGGCCCTTCAAAACACGAGTTTCTTCAGTGACGTCAGGACTCCTGTCTAGTAACGAGGGACAGCTCAGGAATCTCTTCGAGGATTGGCAGGGCAAAAGGGACGCTTCTCGAGGTGAGGCAGGGCACCCAAGGACCCTTTCCAGTAGCCACAGCGATTTTGGGATTCCTATCAGTATTCAAGAGGAGTCAGGCATCGTCACCTTTTGAAGCAATGAACTCCGCGTGCCTCTCGAGGTGTCAGCGGGATGTGAGGCATTCCGTCAAAATGAGGTAGGGACCTAGGGCTTTCTCTAAGGTCTCCACAGGGGATTCAGACATCCCTTCATGTTGTGAGATGAAAGACGAGCCTGTATTCAAGCCACTGAAAGGAAATCCGGCCTCCTTTCAAGTTAGGGCTTCTCGCTGTATATTCCCCTTGAGGCAGCAAACACGGGGTCCCTCCCACATACCTATTGCTGAGAGAATCCTCCTCCTGAGGTAATTCTGGGAAGTTGGCATACGTCTTGACCCTAAGCCAAGGAATCAGCTCTCATCTCGAGACGATTTGGGGTACACGGAGCATTCCTCGAGTTGCTGTGCTGAAGTTCGTGTTCCTCTAGACTTGGGACAGTGTTCTCGGGGCATCTCTGGAGTTGCCTGAAGGAAGTCGAGCCACCGGTCGTGTTGAATGGGGAACGGGGAATGGCTCTGGAGTCAATGCAGGGGAATCGGGCCTGGTCTCGAGTTGATTTGGGGCACATGGAGCTGCTTTGCGTTGCTGGGGTGACCTCAGGGTCCGTCTAGACTGGTGACAGTGTTCTTGGGGACTGTCTGGAGATCCATTAAGCAAGTCGAAGCTCCTGACTTGTTTGAATGGGATCACGGAATAGCTCTGCATGCACTGCAGGGGAATGGGGCCTCATCTCGCCTCTAGGGGGAAGTCTCATGGTTTTTCTCGAGTTGCGGCGGGGACCTGGGGTATGTTCTCGACTTACGGCGGGGATGGCCCTTCAAAACACGAGTTTCTTCAGTGACGTCAGGACTCCTCTCTAGTAACGAGGGACACCTCAGGAATCTCTTCGAGGCTTGGCAGGGCAAAAGGGACGCTTCTCGAGGTGAGGCAGGGCACCCAAGGACCCTTTCCAGTAGCCACAGCGATTTTGGGATTCCTATCAGTATTCAAGAGGAGTCAGGCATCGTCACCTTTTGAAGCAATGAACTCCGCGTGCCTCTCGAGGTGTCAGCGGGATGTGAGGCATTCCGGCAAAATGAGGCAGGGACCTAGGGCTTTCTCTAAGGTCTCCACAGGGGATTCAGACATACCTTCATGTTGTGAGATGAAAGACGAGCCTGTATTCAAGCCACTGAAAGGAAATCCGGCCTCCTTTCAAGTTAGGGCTTCTCGCTGTATATTCCCCTTGAGGCAGCAAACTCGGGGTCCCTCCCACATACCTATTGCTGAGAGAAGCCTCCTCCTGAGGTGCTTCTGGGAAGTTGGCATACGTCTTGAGCCTAAGGCAGGGAATCAGCTCTCATCTCGAGACGATTTGGGGTACACGGAGCATTCCTCGAGTTGCTGTTCTGAAGTTCGTGTTCCTCTAGACTTGGGACAGTGTTCTCGGGGCATCTCTGGAGTTGCCTGAAGGAAGTCGAGCCACCGGTCGTGTTGAATGGGGAACGGGGAATGGCTCTGGAGTCAATGCAGGGGAATCGGGCCTCATCTCGAGTTGATTTAGGGCAAATGGGGCTGCTTTGCGTTGCTGGGGTGACCTCAGGGTCCATCTAGACTGGTGACAGTGTTCTTGGGGACTGTCTGGAGATCCATTAAGCAAGTCGAAACTCCTGACTTGTTTGAATGGGATCACGGAATAGCTCTGCATGCACTGCAGGGGAATGGGGCCTCATCTCGCCTCTAGGGGGAAGTCTCATGGTTTTTCTCGAGTTGCGGCGGGGACCTGGGGTATGTTCTCAACTTACGGCGGGGATGGCCCTTCAAAACACGAGTTTCTTCAGTGACGTCAGGACTCCTGTCTAGTAACGAGGGACAGCTCAGGAATCTCTTCGAGGATTGGCAGGGCAAAAGGGACGCTTCTCGAGGTGAGGCAGGGCACCCAAGGACCCTTTCCAGTAGCCACAGCGATTTTGGGATTCCTATCAGTATTCAAGAGGAGTCAGGCATCGTCACCTTTTGAAGCAATGAACTCCGCGTGCCTCTCGAGGTGTCAGCGGGATGTGAGGCATTCCGTCAAAATGAGGTAGGGACCTAGGGCTTTCTCTAAGGTCTCCACAGGGGATTCAGACATCCCTTCATGTTGTGAGATGAAAGACGAGCCTGTATTCAAGCCACTGAAAGGAAATCCGGCCTCCTTTCAAGTTAGGGCTTCTCGCTGTATATTCCCCTTGAGGCAGCAAACACGGGGTCCCTCCCACATACCTATTGCTGAGAGAATCCTCCTCCTGAGGTAATTCTGGGAAGTTGGCATACGTCTTGACCCTAAGCCAAGGAATCAGCTCTCATCTCGAGACGATTTGGGGTACACGGAGCATTCCTCGAGTTGCTGTGCTGAAGTTCGTGTTCCTCTAGACTTGGGACAGTGTTCTCGGGGCATCTCTGGAGTTGCCTGAAGGAAGTCGAGCCACCGGTCGTGTTGAATGGGGAACGGGGAATGGCTCTGGAGTCAATGCAGGGGAATCGGGCCTGGTCTCGAGTTGATTTGGGGCACATGGAGCTGCTTTGCGTTGCTGGGGTGACCTCAGGGTCCGTCTAGACTGGTGACAGTGTTCTTGGGGACTGTCTGGAGATCCATTAAGCAAGTCGAAGCTCCTGACTTGTTTGAATGGGATCACGGAATAGCTCTGCATGCACTGCAGGGGAATGGGGCCTCATCTCGCCTCTAGGGGGAAGTCTCATGGTTTTTCTCGAGTTGCGGCGGGGACCTGGGGTATGTTCTCGACTTACGGCGGGGATGGCCCTTCAAAACACGAGTTTCTTCAGTGACGTCAGGACTCCTCTCTAGTAACGAGGGACACCTCAGGAATATCTTCGAGGCTTGGCAGGGCAAAAGGGACGCTTCTCGAGGTGAGGCAGGGCACCCAAGGACCCTTTCCAGTAGCCACAGCGATTTTGGGATTCCTATCAGTATTCAAGAGGAGTCAGGCATCGTCACCTTTTGAAGCAATGAACTCCGCGTGCCTCTCGAGGTGTCAGCGGGATGTGAGGCATTCCGGCAAAATGAGGCAGGGACCTAGGGCTTTCTCTAAGGTCTCCACAGGGGATTCAGACATACCTTCATGTTGTGAGATGAAAGACGAGCCTGTATTCAAGCCACTGAAAGGAAATCCGGCCTCCTTTCAAGTTAGGGCTTCTCGCTGTATATTCCCCTTGAGGCAGCAAACTCGGGGTCCCTCCCACATACCTATTGCTGAGAGAAGCCTCCTCCTGAGGTGCTTCTGGGAAGTTGGCATACGTCTTGAGCCTAAGCCAGGGAATCAGCTCTCATCTCGAGACGATTTGGGGTACACGAAGCATTCCTCGAGTTGCTGTGCTGAAGTTGGTGTTCCTCTAGACTTGGGACAGTGTTCTCGGGGCATCTCTGGAGTTGCCTGAAGGAAGTCGAGCCACCGGTCGTGTTGAATGGGGAACGGGGAATGGCTCTGGAGTCAATGCAGGGGAATCGGGCCTCATCTCGAGTTGATTTGTGGCACCTGGAGCTGCTTTGCGTTGCTGGGGTGACCTCAGGGTCCGTGTAGACTGGTGACAGTGTTCTTGGGGACTGCCTCGAGATCCATTAAGCAAGTCGAAGCTCCTGACTTGTTTGAATGGGATCACGGAATAGCTCTGCATGCACTGCAGGGGAATGGGGCCTCATCTCGCCTCTAGGGGGAAGGCTCACGGTTTTTCTCGAGTTGCGGCGGGGACCTGGGGTATGTTCTCGACTTACGGCGGGGATGGCCCTTCAAAACACGAGTTTCTTCAGTGACGTCAGGACTCCTGTCTAGTAATGAGGGACACCTCAGCAATCTCTTCGAGGATTGGCAGGGCAAAAGGGACGCTTCTCGAGGTGTGGCAGGGCACCCAAGGACCCTTTCCAGTAGCCACAGCGATTTTGGGATTCCTATCAGTATTCAAGAGGAGTCAGGCATCGTCACCTTTTGAAGCAATGAACTCCGCGTGCCTCTCGAGGTGTCAGCGGGATGTGAGGCATTCCGTCAAAATAAGGTAGGGACCTAGGGCTTTCTCTAAGGTCTCCACAGGGGATTCAGACATCCCTTCATGTTGTGAGATGAAAGACGATCCTGTATTCAAGCCACTGAAAGCAAATCCGGCCTCCTTTCAAGTTAGGGCTTCTCGCTGTATATTCCCCTTGAGGCAGCAAACACGGGGTCCCTCCCACATACCTATTGCTGAGAGAATCCTCCTCCTGAGGTAATTCTGGGAAGTTGGCATACGTCTTGACCCTAAGCCAAGGAATCAGCTCTCATCTCGAGACGATTTGGGGTACACGGAGCATTCCTCGAGTTGCTGTGCTGAAGTTGGTGTTCCTCTAGACTTGGGACAGTGTTCTCGGGGCATCTCTGGAGTTGCCTGAAGGAAGTCGAGCCACCGGTCGTGTTGAATGGGGAACGGGGAATGGCTCTGGAGTCAATGCAGGGGAATCGGGCCTCATCTCGAGTTGATTTGTGGCACCTGGAGCTGCTTTGCGTTGCTGGGGTGACCTCAGGGTCCGTCTAGACTGGTGACAGTGTTCTTGGGGACTGCCTCGAGATCCATTAAGCAAGTCGAAGCTCCTGACTTGTTTGAATGGGATCACGGAATAGCTCTGCATGCACTGCAGGGGAATGGGGCCTCATCTCGCCTCTAGGGGGAAGGCTCACGGTTTTTCTCGAGTTGCGGCGGGGACCTGGGGTATGTTCTCGACTTACGGCGGGGATGGCCCTTCAAAACACGAGTTTCTTCAGTGACGTCAGGACTCCTGTCTAGTAACGAGGGACAGCTCAGGAATCTCTTCGAGGATTGGCAGGGCAAAAGGGACGCTTCTCGAGGTGAGGCAGGGCACCCAAGGACCCTTTCCAGTAGCCACAGCGATTTTGGGATTCCTATCAGTATTCAAGAGGAGTCAGGCATCGTCACCTTTTGAAGCAATGAACTCCGCGTGCCTCTCGAGGTGTCAGCGGGATGTGAGGCATTCCGTCAAAATGAGGTAGGGACCTAGGGCTTTCTCTAAGGTCTCCACAGGGGATTCAGACATCCCTTCATGTTGTGAGATGAAAGACGAGCCTGTATTCAAGCCACTGAAAGGAAATCCGGCCTCCTTTCAAGTTAGGGCTTCTCGCTGTATATTCCCCTTGAGGCAGCAAACACGGGGTCCCTCCCACATACCTATTGCTGAGAGAAGCCTCCTCCTGAGGTGCTTCTGGGAAGTTGGCATACGTCTTGAGCCTAAGCCAGGGAATCAGCTCTCATCTCGAGACGATTTGGGGTACACGAAGCATTCCTCGAGTTGCTGTGCTGAAGTTGGTGTTCCTCTAGACTTGGGACAGTGTTCTCGGGGCATCTCTGGAGTTGCCTGAAGGAAGTCGAGCCACCGGTCGTGTTGAATGGGGAACGGGGAATGGCTCTGGAGTCAATGCAGGGGAATCGGGCCTCATCTCGAGTTGATTTGTGGCACCTGGAGCTGCTTTGCGTTGCTGGGGTGACCTCAGGGTCCGTCTAGACTGGTGACAGTGTTCTTGGGGACTGCCTCGAGATCCATTAAGCAAGTCGAAGCTCCTGACTTGTTTGAATGGGATCACGGAATAGCTCTGCATGCACTGCAGGGGAATGGGGCCTCATCTCGCCTCTAGGGGGAAGGCTCACGGTTTTTCTCGAGTTGCGGCGGGGACCTGGGGTATGTTCTCGACTTACGGCGGGGATGGCCCTTCAAAACACGAGTTTCTTCAGTGACGTCAGGACTCCTGTCTAGTAATGAGGGACACCTCAGCAATCTCTTCAAGGATTGGCAGGGCAAAAGGGACGCTTCTCGAGGTGTGGCAGGGCACCCAAGGACCCTTTCCAGTAGCCACAGCGATTTTGGGATTCCTATCAGTATTCAAGAGGAGTCAGGCATCGTCACCTTTTGAAGCAATGAACTCCGCGTGCCTCTCGAGGTGTCAGCGGGATGTGAGGCATTCCGTCAAAATGAGGTAGGGACCTAGGGCTTTCTCTAAGGTCTCCACAGGGGATTCAGACATCCCTTCATGTTGTGAGATGAAAGACGATCCTGTATTCAAGCCACTGAAAGCAAATCCGGCCTCCTTTCAAGTTAGGGCTTCTCGCTGTATATTCCCCTTGAGGCAGCAAACACGGGGTCCCTCCCACATACCTATTGCTGAGAGAATCCTCCTCCTGAGGTAATTCTGGGAAGTTGGCATACGTCTTGACCCTAAGCCAAGGAATCAGCTCTCATCTCGAGACGATTTGGGGTACACGGAGCATTCCTCGAGTTGCTGTGCTGAAGTTGGTGTTCCTCTAGACTTGGGACAGTGTTCTCGGGGCATCTCTGGAGTTGCCTGAAGGAAGTCGAGCCACCGGTCGTGTTGAATGGGGAACGGGGAATGGCTCTGGAGTCAATGCAGGGGAATCGGGCCTCGTCTCGAGTTGATTTGGGGCACATGGAGCTGCTTTGCGTTGCTGGGGTGACCTCAGGGTCCGTCTAGACTGGTGACAGTGTTCTTGGGGACTGTCTGGAGATCCATTAAGCAAGTCGAAGCTCCTGACTTGTTTGAATGGGATCACGGAAGAGCTCTGCATGCACTGCAGGGGAATGGGGCCTCATCTCGCCTCTAGGGGGAAGTCTCATGGTTTTTCTCGAGTTGCGGCGGGGACCTGGGGTATGTTCTCGACTTACGGCGGGGATGGCCCTTCAAAACACGAGTTTCTTCAGTGACGTCAGGACTCCTCTCTAGTAACGTGGGACACCTCAGGAATCTCTTCAAGGCTTGGCAGGGCAAAAGGGACGCTTCTCGAGGTGAGGCAGGGCACCCAAGGACCCTTTCCAGTAGCCACAGCGATTTTGGGATTCCTATCAGTATTCAAGAGGAGTCAGGCATCGTCACCTTTTGAAGCAATGAACTCCGCGTGCCTCTCGAGGTGTCAGCGGGATGTGAGGCATTCCGTAAAAATGAGGCAGGGACCTAGGGCTTTCTCTAAGGTCTCCACATGGGATTCAGACATCCCTTCATGTTGGGAGATGAAAGACGAGCCTGTATTCAAGCCACTGCAAGGAAATCCGGCCTCCTTTCAATTTAGGGCTTCTCGCTGTATATTCCCCTTGAGGCAGCAAACTCGGGGTCCCTCCCACATACCTATTGCTGAGAGAAGCCTCCTCCTGAGGTGCTTCTGGGAAGTTGGCATACGTCTTGAGCCTAAGCCAGGGAATCAGCTCTCATCTCGAGACGATTTGGGGTACACGGAGCATTCCTCGAGTTGCTGTTCTGAAGTTCGTGTTCCTCTAGACTTGGGACAGTGTTCTCGGGGCATCTCTGGAGTTGCCTGAAGGAAGTCGAGCCACCGGTCGTGTTGAATGGGGAACGGGGAATGGCTCTGGAGTCAATGCAGGGGAATCGGGCCTCATCTCGAGTTGATTTAGGGCAAATGGGGCTGCTTTGCGTTGATGGGGTGACCTCAGGGTCCATCTAGACTGGTGACAGTGTTCTTGGGGACTGTCTGGAGATCCATTAAGCAAGTCGAAACTCCTGACTTGTTTGAATGGGATCACGGAATAGCTCTGCATGCACTGCAGGGGAATGGGGCCTCATCTCGCCTCTAGGGGGAAGTCTCATGGTTTTTCTCGAGTTGCGGCGGGGACCTGGGGTATGTTCTCGACTTACGGCGGGGATGGCCCTTCAAAACACGAGTTTCTTCAGTGACGTCAGGACTCCTGTCTAGTAACGAGGGACAGCTCAGGAATCTCTTCGAGGATTGGCAGGGCAAAAGGGACGCTTCTCGAGGTGAACCAGGGCACCCAAGGACCCTTTCCAGTAGCCACAGCGATTTTGGGATTCCTATCAGTATTCAAGAGGAGTCAGGCATCGTCACCTTTTGAAGCAATGAACTCCGCGTGCCTCTCGAGGTGTCAGCGGGATGTGAGGCATTCCGTCAAAATGAGGTAGGGACCTAGGGCTTTCTCTAAGGTCTCCACAGGGGATTCAGACATCCCTTCATGTTGTGAGATGAAAGACGAGCCTGTATTCAAGCCACTGAAAGGAAATCCGGCCTCCTTTCAAGTTAGGGCTTCTCGCTGTATATTCCCCTTGAGGCAGCAAACACGGGGTCCCTCCCACATACCTATTGCTGAGAGAATCCTCCTCCTGAGGTAATTCTGGGAAGTTGGCATACGTCTTGACCCTAAGCCAAGGAATCAGCTCTCATCTCGAGACGATTTGGGGTACACGGAGCATTCCTCGAGTTGCTGTGCTGAAGTTCGTGTTCCTCTAGACTTGGGACAGTGTTCTCGGGGCATCTCTGGAGTTGCCTGAAGGAAGTCGAGCCACCGGTCGTGTTGAATGGGGAACGGGGAATGGCTCTGGAGTCAATGCAGGGGAATCGGGCCTGGTCTCGAGCTGATTTGGGGCACATGGAGCTGCTTTGCGTTGCTGGGGTGACCTCAGGGTCCGTCTAGACTGGTGACAGTGTTCTTGGGGACTGTCTGGAGATCCATTAAGCAAGTCGAAGCTCCTGACTTGTTTGAATGGGATCACGGAATAGCTCTGCATGCACTGCAGGGGAATGGGGCCTCATCTCGCCTCTAGGGGGAAGTCTCATGGTTTTTCTCGAGTTGCGGCGGGGACCTGGGGTATGTTCTCGACTTACGGCGGGGATGGCCCTTCAAAACACGAGTTTCTTCAGTGACGTCAGGACTCCTCTCTAGTAACGAGGGACACCTCAGGAATCTCTTCGAGGCTTGGCAGGGCAAAAGGGACGCTTCTCGAGGTGAGGCAGGGCACCCAAGGACCCTTTCCAGTAGCCACAGCGATTTTGGGATTCCTATCAGTATTCAAGAGGAGTCAGGCATCGTCACCTTTTGAAGCAATGAACTCCGCGTGCCTCTCGAGGTGTCAGCGGGATGTGAGGCATTCCGGCAAAATGAGGCAGGGACCTAGGGCTTTCTCTAAGGTCTCCACAGGGGATTCAGACATACCTTCATGTTGTGAGATGAAAGACGAGCCTGTATTCAAGCCACTGAAAGGAAATCCGGCCTCCTTTCAAGTTAGGGCTTCTCGCTGTATATTCCCCTTGAGGCAGCAAACTCGGGGTCCCTCCCACATACCTATTGCTGAGAGAAGCCTCCTCCTGAGGTGCTTCTGGGAAGTTGGCATACGTCTTGAGCCTAAGCCAGGGAATCAGCTCTCATCTCGAGACGATTTGGGGTACACGAAGCATTCCTCGAGTTGCTGTGCTGAAGTTGGTGTTCCTCTAGACTTGGGACAGTGTTCTCGGGGCATCTCTGGAGTTGCCTGAAGGAAGTCGAGCCACCGGTCGTGTTGAATGGGGAACGGGGAATGGCTCTGGAGTCAATGCAGGGGAATCGGGCCTCATCTCGAGTTGATTTGTGGCACCTGGAGCTGCTTTGCGTTGCTGGGGTGACCTCAGGGTCCGTCTAGACTGGTGACAGTGTTCTTGGGGACTGCCTCGAGATCCATTAAGCAAGTCGAAGCTCCTGACTTGTTTGAATGGGATCACGGAATAGCTCTGCATGCACTGCAGGGGAATGGGGCCTCATCTCGCCTCTAGGGGGAAGGCTCACGGTTTTTCTCGAGTTGCGGCGGGGACCTGGGGTATGTTCTCGACTTACGGCGGGGATGGCCCTTCAAAACACGAGTTTCTTCAGTGACGTCAGGACTCCTGTCTAGTAATGAGGGACACCTCAGCAATCTCTTCGAGGATTGGCAGGGCAAAAGGGACGCTTCTCGAGGTGTGGCAGGGCACCCAAGGACCCTTTCCAGTAGCCACAGCGATTTTGGGATTCCTATCAGTATTCAAGAGGAGTCAGGCATCGTCACCTTTTGAAGCAATGAACTCCGCGTGCCTCTCGAGGTGTCAGCGGGATGTGAGGCATTCCGTCAAAATGAGGTAGGGACCTAGGGCTTTCTCTAAGGTCTCCACAGGGGATTCAGACATCCCTTCATGTTGTGAGATGAAAGACGATCCTGTATTCAAGCCACTGAAAGCAAATCCGGCCTCCTTTCAAGTTAGGGCTTCTCGCTGTATATTCCCCTTGAGGCAGCAAACACGGGGTCCCTCCCACATACCTATTGCTGAGAGAATCCTCCTCCTGAGGTAATTCTGGGAAGTTGGCATACGTCTTGACCCTAAGCCAAGGAATCAGCTCTCATCTCGAGACGATTTGGGGTACACGGAGCATTCCTCGAGTTGCTGTGCTGAAGTTGGTGTTCCTCTAGACTTGGGACAGTGTTCTCGGGGCATCTCTGGAGTTGCCTGAAGGAAGTCGAGCCACCGGTCGTGTTGAATGGGGAACGGGGAATGGCTCTGGAGTCAATGCAGGGGAATCGGGCCTCGTCTCGAGTTGATTTGGGGCACATGGAGCTGCTTTGCGTTGCTGGGGTGACCTCAGGGTCCGTCTAGACTGGTGACAGTGTTCTTGGGGACTGTCTGGAGATCCATTAAGCAAGTCGAAGCTCCTGACTTGTTTGAATGGGATCACGGAAGAGCTCTGCATGCACTGCAGGGGAATGGGGCCTCATCTCGCCTCTAGGGGGAAGTCTCATGGTTTTTCTCGAGTTGCGGCGGGGACCTGGGGTATGTTCTCGACTTACGGCGGGGATGGCCCTTCAAAACACGAGTTTCTTCAGTGACGTCAGGACTCCTCTCTAGTAACGTGGGACACCTCAGGAATCTCTTCAAGGCTTGGCAGGGCAAAAGGGACGCTTCTCGAGGTGAGGCAGGGCACCCAAGGACCCTTTCCAGTAGCCACAGCGATTTTGGGATTCCTATCAGTATTCAAGAGGAGTCAGGCATCGTCACCTTTTGAAGCAATGAACTCCGCGTGCCTCTCGAGGTGTCAGCGGGATGTGAGGCATTCCGTCAAAATGAGGCAGGGACCTAGGGCTTTCTCTAAGGTCTCCACATGGGATTCAGACATCCCTTCATGTTGGGAGATGAAAGACGAGCCTGTATTCAAGCCACTGCAAGGAAATCCGGCCTCCTTTCAATTTAGGGCTTCTCGCTGTATATTCCCCTTGAGGCAGCAAACTCGGGGTCCCTCCCACATACCTATTGCTGAGAGAAGCCTCCTCCTGAGGTGCTTCTGGGAAGTTGGCATACGTCTTGAGCCTAAGGCAGGGAATCAGCTCTCATCTCGAGACGATTTGGGGTACACGGAGCATTCCTCGAGTTGCTGTTCTGAAGTTCGTGTTCCTCTAGACTTGGGACAGTGTTCTCGGGGCATCTCTGGAGTTGCCTGAAGGAAGTCGAGCCACCGGTCGTGTTGAATGGGGAACGGGGAATGGCTCTGGAGTCAATGCAGGGGAATCGGGCCTCATCTCGAGTTGATTTAGGGCAAATGGGGCTGCTTTGCGTTGCTGGGGTGACCTCAGGGTCCATCTAGACTGGTGACAGTGTTCTTGGGGACTGTCTGGAGATCCATTAAGCAAGTCGAAACTCCTGACTTGTTTGAATGGGATCACGGAATAGCTCTGCATGCACTGCAGGGGAATGGGGCCTCATCTCGCCTCTAGGGGGAAGTCTCATGGTTTTTCTCGAGTTGCGGCGGGGACCTGGGGTATGTTCTCAACTTACGGCGGGGATGGCCCTTCAAAACACGAGTTTCTTCAGTGACGTCAGGACTCCTGTCTAGTAACGAGGGACAGCTCAGGAATCTCTTCGAGGATTGGCAGGGCAAAAGGGACGCTTCTCGAGGTGAGGCAGGGCACCCAAGGACCCTTTCCAGTAGCCACAGCGATTTTGGGATTCCTATCAGTATTCAAGAGGAGTCAGGCATCGTCACCTTTTGAAGCAATGAACTCCGCGTGCCTCTCGAGGTGTCAGCGGGATGTGAGGCATTCCGTCAAAATGAGGTAGGGACCTAGGGCTTTCTCTAAGGTCTCCACAGGGGATTCAGACATCCCTTCATGTTGTGAGATGAAAGACGAGCCTGTATTCAAGCCACTGAAAGGAAATCCGGCCTCCTTTCAAGTTAGGGCTTCTCGCTGTATATTCCCCTTGAGGCAGCAAACACGGGGTCCCTCCCACATACCTATTGCTGAGAGAATCCTCCTCCTGAGGTAATTCTGGGAAGTTGGCATACGTCTTGACCCTAAGCCAAGGAATCAGCTCTCATCTCGAGACGATTTGGGGTACACGGAGCATTCCTCGAGTTGCTGTGCTGAAGTTCGTGTTCCTCTAGACTTGGGACAGTGTTCTCGGGGCATCTCTGGAGTTGCCTGAAGGAAGTCGAGCCACCGGTCGTGTTGAATGGGGAACGGGGAATGGCTCTGGAGTCAATGCAGGGGAATCGGGCCTGGTCTCGAGTTGATTTGGGGCACATGGAGCTGCTTTGCGTTGCTGGGGTGACCTCAGGGTCCGTCTAGACTGGTGACAGTGTTCTTGGGGACTGTCTGGAGATACATTAAGCAAGTCGAAGCTCCTGACTTGTTTGAATGGGATCACGGAATAGCTCTGCATGCACTGCAGGGGAATGGGGCCTCATCTCGCCTCTAGGGGGAAGTCTCATGGTTTTTCTCGAGTTGCGGCGGGGACCTGGGGTATGTTCTCGACTTACGGCGGGGATGGCCCTTCAAAACACGAGTTTCTTCAGTGACGTCAGGACTCCTCTCTAGTAACGAGGGACACCTCAGGAATCTCTTCGAGGCTTGGCAGGGCAAAAGGGACGCTTCTCGAGGTGAGGCAGGGCACCCAAGGACCCTTTCCAGTAGCCACAGCGATTTTGGGATTCCTATCAGTATTCAAGAGGAGTCAGGCATCGTCACCTTTTGAAGCAATGAACTCCGCGTGCCTCTCGAGGTGTCAGCGGGATGTGAGGCATTCCGGCAAAATGAGGCAGGGACCTAGGGCTTTCTCTAAGGTCTCCACAGGGGATTCAGACATACCTTCATGTTGTGAGATGAAAGACGAGCCTGTATTCAAGCCACTGAAAGGAAATCCGGCCTCCTTTCAAGTTAGGGCTTCTCGCTGTATATTCCCCTTGAGGCAGCAAACTCGGGGTCCCTCCCACATACCTATTGCTGAGAGAAGCCTCCTCCTGAGGTGCTTCTGGGAAGTTGGCATACGTCTTGAGCCTAAGGCAGGGAATCAGCTCTCATCTCGAGACGATTTGGGGTACACGGAGCATTCCTCGAGTTGCTGTTCTGAAGTTCGTGTTCCTCTAGACTTGGGACAGTGTTCTCGGGGCATCTCTGGAGTTGCCTGAAGGAAGTCGAGCCACCGGTCGTGTTGAATGGGGAACGGGGAATGGCTCTGGAGTCAATGCAGGGGAATCGGGCCTCATCTCGAGTTGATTTAGGGCAAATGGGGCTGCTTTGCGTTGCTGGGGTGACCTCAGGGTCCATCTAGACTGGTGACAGTGTTCTTGGGGACTGTCTGGAGATCCATTAAGCAAGTCGAAACTCCTGACTTGTTTGAATGGGATCACGGAATAGCTCTGCATGCACTGCAGGGGAATGGGGCCTCATCTCGCCTCTAGGGGGAAGTCTCATGGTTTTTCTCGAGTTGCGGCGGGGACCTGGGGTATGTTCTCAACTTACGGCGGGGATGGCCCTTCAAAACACGAGTTTCTTCAGTGACGTCAGGACTCCTGTCTAGTAACGAGGGACAGCTCAGGAATCTCTTCGAGGATTGGCAGGGCAAAAGGGACGCTTCTCGAGGTGAGGCAGGGCACCCAAGGACCCTTTCCAGTAGCCACAGCGATTTTGGGATTCCTATCAGTATTCAAGAGGAGTCAGGCATCGTCACCTTTTGAAGCAATGAACTCCGCGTGCCTCTCGAGGTGTCAGCGGGATGTGAGGCATTCCGTCAAAATGAGGTAGGGACCTAGGGCTTTCTCTAAGGTCTCCACAGGGGATTCAGACATCCCTTCATGTTGTGAGATGAAAGACGAGCCTGTATTCAAGCCACTGAAAGGAAATCCGGCCTCCTTTCAAGTTAGGGCTTCTCGCTGTATATTCCCCTTGAGGCAGCAAACACGGGGTCCCTCCCACATACCTATTGCTGAGAGAATCCTCCTCCTGAGGTAATTCTGGGAAGTTGGCATACGTCTTGACCCTAAGCCAAGGAATCAGCTCTCATCTCGAGACGATTTGGGGTACACGGAGCATTCCTCGAGTTGCTGTGCTGAAGTTCGTGTTCCTCTAGACTTGGGACAGTGTTCTCGGGGCATCTCTGGAGTTGCCTGAAGGAAGTCGAGCCACCGGTCGTGTTGAATGGGGAACGGGGAATGGCTCTGGAGTCAATGCAGGGGAATCGGGCCTGGTCTCGAGTTGATTTGGGGCACATGGAGCTGCTTTGCGTTGCTGGGGTGACCTCAGGGTCCGTCTAGACTGGTGACAGTGTTCTTGGGGACTGTCTGGAGATCCATTAAGCAAGTCGAAGCTCCTGACTTGTTTGAATGGGATCACGGAATAGCTCTGCATGCACTGCAGGGGAATGGGGCCTCATCTCGCCTCTAGGGGGAAGTCTCATGGTTTTTCTCGAGTTGCGGCGGGGACCTGGGGTATGTTCTCGACTTACGGCGGGGATGGCCCTTCAAAACACGAGTTTCTTCAGTGACGTCAGGACTCCTCTCTAGTAACGAGGGACACCTCAGGAATCTCTTCGAGGCTTGGCAGGGCAAAAGGGACGCTTCTCGAGGTGAGGCAGGGCACCCAAGGACCCTTTCCAGTAGCCACAGCGATTTTGGGATTCCTATCAGTATTCAAGAGGAGTCAGGCATCGTCACCTTTTGAAGCAATGAACTCCGCGTGCCTCTCGAGGTGTCAGCGGGATGTGAGGCATTCCGGCAAAATGAGGCAGGGACCTAGGGCTTTCTCTAAGGTCTCCACAGGGGATTCAGACATACCTTCATGTTGTGAGATGAAAGACGAGCCTGTATTCAAGCCACTGAAAGGAAATCCGGCCTCCTTTCAAGTTAGGGCTTCTCGCTGTATATTCCCCTTGAGGCAGCAAACTCGGGGTCCCTCCCACATACCTATTGCTGAGAGAAGCCTCCTCCTGAGGTGCTTCTGGGAAGTTGGCATACGTCTTGAGCCTAAGCCAGGGAATCAGCTCTCATCTCGAGACGATTTGGGGTACACGAAGCATTCCTCGAGTTGCTGTGCTGAAGTTGGTGTTCCTCTAGACTTGGGACAGTGTTCTCGGGGCATCTCTGGAGTTGCCTGAAGGAAGTCGAGCCACCGGTCGTGTTGAATGGGGAACGGGGAATGGCTCTGGAGTCAATGCAGGGGAATCGGGCCTCATCTCGAGTTGATTTGTGGCACCTGGAGCTGCTTTGCGTTGCTGGGGTGACCTCAGGGTCCGTGTAGACTGGTGACAGTGTTCTTGGGGACTGCCTCGAGATCCATTAAGCAAGTCGAAGCTCCTGACTTGTTTGAATGGGATCACGGAATAGCTCTGCATGCACTGCAGGGGAATGGGGCCTCATCTCGCCTCTAGGGGGAAGGCTCACGGTTTTTCTCGAGTTGCGGCGGGGACCTGGGGTATGTTCTCGACTTACGGCGGGGATGGCCCTTCAAAACACGAGTTTCTTCAGTGACGTCAGGACTCCTGTCTAGTAATGAGGGACACCTCAGCAATCTCTTCGAGGATTGGCAGGGCAAAAGGGACGCTTCTCGAGGTGTGGCAGGGCACCCAAGGACCCTTTCCAGTAGCCACAGCGATTTTGGGATTCCTATCAGTATTCAAGAGGAGTCAGGCATCGTCACCTTTTGAAGCAATGAACTCCGCGTGCCTCTCGAGGTGTCAGCGGGATGTGAGGCATTCCGTCAAAATAAGGTAGGGACCTAGGGCTTTCTCTAAGGTCTCCACAGGGGATTCAGACATCCCTTCATGTTGTGAGATGAAAGACGATCCTGTATTCAAGCCACTGAAAGCAAATCCGGCCTCCTTTCAAGTTAGGGCTTCTCGCTGTATATTCCCCTTGAGGCAGCAAACACGGGGTCCCTCCCACATACCTATTGCTGAGAGAATCCTCCTCCTGAGGTAATTCTGGGAAGTTGGCATACGTCTTGACCCTAAGCCAAGGAATCAGCTCTCATCTCGAGACGATTTGGGGTACACGGAGCATTCCTCGAGTTGCTGTGCTGAAGTTGGTGTTCCTCTAGACTTGGGACAGTGTTCTCGGGGCATCTCTGGAGTTGCCTGAAGGAAGTCGAGCCACCGGTCGTGTTGAATGGGGAACGGGGAATGGCTCTGGAGTCAATGCAGGGGAATCGGGCCTCATCTCGAGTTGATTTGTGGCACCTGGAGCTGCTTTGCGTTGCTGGGGTGACCTCAGGGTCCGTCTAGACTGGTGACAGTGTTCTTGGGGACTGCCTCGAGATCCATTAAGCAAGTCGAAGCTCCTGACTTGTTTGAATGGGATCACGGAATAGCTCTGCATGCACTGCAGTTGAATGGGGCCTCATCTCGCCTCTAGGGGGAAGTCTCATGGTTTTTCTCCAGTTGTGGCGGGGACCTGGGGTATGTTCTCGACTTACGGCGGGGATGGCCCTTCAAAACACGAGTTTCTTCAGTGACGTCAGGACTCCTTTCTAGTAACGAGGGACAGCTCAGGAATCTCTTCGAGGATTGGCAGGGCAAAAGGGACGCTTCTCGAGGTGAGGCAGGGCACCCAAGGACCCTTTCCAGTAGCCACAGCGATTTTGGGATTCCTATCAGTATTCAAGAGGAGTCAGGCATCGTCACCTTTTGAAGCAATGAACTCCGCGTGCCTCTCGAGGTGTCAGCGGGATGTGAGGCATTCCGTCAAAATGAGGTAGGGACCTAGGGCTTTCTCTAAGGTCTCCACAGGGGATTCAGACATCCCTTCATGTTGTGAGATGAAAGACGAGCCTGTATTCAAGCCACTGAAAGGAAATCCGGCCTCCTTTCAAGTTAGGGCTTCTCGCTGTATATTCCCCTTGAGGCAGCAAACACGGGGTCCCTCCCACATACCTATTGCTGAGAGAATCCTCCTCCTGAGGTAATTCTGGGAAGTTGGCATACGTCTTCACCCTAAGCCAAGGAATCAGCTCTCATCTCGAGACGATTTGGGGTACACGGAGCATTCCTCGAGTTGCTGTGCTGAAGTTCGTGTTCCTCTAGACTTGGGACAGTGTTCTCGGGGCATCTCTGGAGTTGCCTGAAGGAAGTCGAGCCACCGGTCGTGTTGAATGGGGAACGAGGAATGGCTCTGGAGTCAATGCAGGGGAATCGGGCCTCGTCTCGAGTTGATTTGGGGCACATGGAGCTGCTTTGCGTTGCTGGGGTGACCTCAGGGTCCGTCTAGACTGGTGACAGTGTTCTTGGGGACTGTCTGGAGATCCATTAAGCAAGTCGAAGCTCCTGACTTGTTTGAATGGGATCACGGAAGAGCTCTGCATGCACTGCAGGGGAATGGGGCCTCATCTCGCCTCTAGGGGGAAGTCTCATGGTTTTTCTGGAGTTGCGGCGGGGACCTGGGGTATGTTCTCGACTTACGGCGGGGATGGCCCTTCAAAACACGAGTTTCTTCAGTGACGTCAGGACTCCTCTCTAGTAACGTGGGACACCTCAGGAATCTCTTCAAGGCTTGGCAGGGCAAAAGGGACGCTTCTCGAGGTGAGGCAGGGCACCCAAGGACCCTTTCCAGTAGCCACAGCGATTTTGGGATTCCTATCAGTATTCAAGAGGAGTCAGGCATCGTCACCTTTTGAAGCAATGAACTCCGCGTGCCTCTCGAGGTGTCAGCGGGATGTGAGGCATTCCGTCAAAATGAGGCAGGGACCTAGGGCTTTCTCTAAGGTCTCCACAGGGGATTCAGACATCCCTTCATGTTGTGAGATGAAAGACGAGCCTGTATTCAAGCCACTGAAAGGAAATCCGGCCTCCTTTCAAGTTAGGGCTTCTCGCTGTATATTCCCCTTGAGGCAGCAAACTCGGGGTCCCTCCCACATACCTATTGCTGAGAGAAGCCTCCTCCTGAGGTGCTTCTGGGAAGTTGGCATACGTCTTGAGCCTAAGCCAGGGAATCAGCTCTCATCTCGAGACGATTTGGGGTACACGAAGCATTCCTCGAGTTGCTGTGCTGAAGTTGGTGTTCCTCAAGACTTGGGACAGTGTTCTCGGGGCATCTCTTGAGTTACCTGAAGGAAGTCGAGCCACCGGTCGTGTTGAATGGGGAACGGGGAATGGCTCTGGAGTCAATGCAGGGGAATCGGGCCTCATCTCGAGTTGATTTGGGGCACATGGAGCTGCTTTGCGTTGCTGGGGTGACCTCAGGGTCCGTCTAGACTGGTGACAGTGTTCTTGGGGACTGTCTGGAGATCCATTAAGCAAGTCGAAGCTCCTGACTTGTTTGAATGGGATCACGGAATAGCTCTGCATGCACTGCAGGGGAATGGGGCCTCATCTCGCCTCTAGGGGGAAGTCTCATGGTTTTTCTGGAGTTGCGGCGGGGACCTGTGGTATGTTCTCGACTTACGGCTGGGATGGCCCTTCAAAACACGAGTTTCTTCAGTGACGTCAGGACTCCTGTCTAGTAACGAGGGACAGCTCAGGAATCTCTTCGAGGATTGGCAGGGCAAAAGGGACGCTTCTCGAGGTGAGGCAGGGCACCCAAGGACCCTTTCCAGTAGCCACAGCGATTTTGGGATTCCTATCAGTATTCAAGATGAGTCAGGCATCGTCACCTTTTGAAGCAATGAACTCCGCGTGCCTCTCGAGGTGTCAGCGGGATGTGAGGCATTCCGTCAAAATGAGGTAGGGACCTAGGGCTTTCTCTAAGGTCTCCACAGGGGATTCAGACATCCCTTCATGTTGTGAGATGAAAGACGAGCCTGTATTCAAGCCACTGAAAGGAAATCCGGCCTCCTTTCAAGTTAGGGCTTCTCGCTGTATATTCCCCTTGAGGCAGCAAACACGGGGTCCCTCCCACATACCTATTGCTGAGAGAATCCTCCTCCTGAGTTAATTCTGGGAAGTTGGCATACGTCTTGAGCCTAAGCCAAGGAATCAGCTCTCATCTCGAGACGATTTGGGGTACACGCAGCATTCCTCGAGTTGCTGTTCTGAAGTTCGTGTTCCTCTAGACTTGGGACAGTGTTCTCGGGGCATCTCTGGAGTTGCCTGAAGGAAGTCGAGCCACCGGTCGTGTTGAATGGGGAACGGGGAATGGCTCTGGAGTCAATGCAGGGGAATCGGGCCTCATCTCGAGTTGATTTAGGGCAAATGGGGCTGCTCTGCGTTGCTGGGGTGACCTCAGGGTCCATCTAGACTGGTGACAGTGTTCTTGGGGACTGTCTGGAGATCCATTAAGCAAGTCGAAACTCCTGACTTGTTTGAATGGGATCACGGAATAGCTCTGCATGCACTGCAGGGGAATGGGGCCTCATCTCGCCTCTAGGGGGAAGTCTCATGGTTTTTCTCGAGTTGCGGCGGGGACCTGGGGTATGTTCTCGACTTACGGCGGGGATGGCCCTTCAAAACACGAGTTTCTTCAGTGACGTCAGGACTCCTGTCTAGTAACGAGGGACAGCTCAGGAATCTCTTCGAGGATTGGCAGGGCAAAAGGGACGCTTCTCGAGGTGAGGCAGGGCACCCAAGGACCCTTTCCAGTAGCCACAGGGATTTTGGGATTCCTATCAGTATTCAAGAGGAGTCAGGCATCGTCACCTTTTGAAGCAATGAACTCCGCGTGCCTCTCGAGGTGTCAGCGGGATGTGAGGCATTCCGTCAAAATGAGGTAGGGACCTAGGGCTTTCTCTAAGGTCTCCACAGGGGATTCAGACATCCCTTCATGTTGTGAGATGAAAGACGAGCCTGTATTCAAGCCACTGAAAGGAAATCCGGCCTCCTTTCAAGTTAGGGCTTCTCGCTGTATATTCCCCTTGAGGCAGCAAACACGGGGTCCCTCCCACATACCTATTGCTGAGAGAATCCTCCTCCTGAGGTAATTCTGGGAAGTTGGCATACGTCTTGACCCTAAGCCAAGGAATCAGCTCTCATCTCGAGACGATTTGGGGTACACGGAGCATTCCTCGAGTTGCTGTGCTGAAGTTCGTGTTCCTCTAGACTTGGGACAGTGTTCTCGGGGCATCTCTGGAGTTGCCTGAAGGAAGTCGAGCCACCGGTCGTGTTGAATGGGGAACGGGGAATGGCTCTGGAGTCAATGCAGGGGAATCGGGCCTGGTCTCGAGTTGATTTGGGGCACATGGAGCTGCTTTGCGTTGCTGCGGTGACCTCAGGGTCCGTCTAGACTGGTGACAGTGTTCTTGGGGACTGTCTGGAGATCCATTAAGCAAGTCGAAGCTCCTGACTTGTTTGAATGGGATCACGGAATAGCTCTGCATGGACTGCAGGGGAATGGGGCCTCATCTCGCCTCTAGGGGGAAGTCTCATGGTTTTTCTCGAGTTGCGGCGGGGACCTGGGGTATGTTCTCGACTTACGGCGGGGATGGCCCTTCAAAACACGAGTTTCTTCAGTGACGTCAGGACTCCTCTCTAGTAACGAGGGACACTTCAGGAATCTCTTCGAGGCTTGGCAGGGCAAAAGGGACGCTTCTCGAGGTGAGGCAGGGCACCCAAGGACCCTTTCCAGTAGCCACAGCGATTTTGGGATTCCTATCAGTATTCAAGAGGAGTCAGGCATCGTCACCTTTTGAAGCAATGAACTCCGCGTGCCTCTCGAGGTGTCAGCGGGATGTGATGCATTCCGTCAAAATGAGGCAGGGACCTAGGGCTTTCTCTAAGGTCTCCACAGGGGATTCAGACATCCCTTCATGTTGTGAGATGAAAGACGAGCCTGTATTCAAGCCACTGAAAGGAAATCCGGCCTCCTTTCAAGTTAGGGCTTCTCGCTGTATATTCACCTTGAGGCAGCAAACTCGGGGTCCCTCCCACATACCTATTGCTGAGAGAAGCCTCCTCCTGAGGTGCTTCTGGGAAGTTGGCATACGTCTTGAGCCTAAGCCAGGGAATCAGCTCTCATCTCGAGACGATTTGGGGTACACGAAGCATTCCTCGAGTTGCTGTGCTGAAGTTGGTGTTCCTCTAGACTTGGGACAGTGTTCTCGGGGCATCTCTGGAGTTGCCTGAAGGAAGTCGAGCCACCGGTCGTGTTGAATGGGGAACGGGGAATGGCTCTGGAGTCCATGCAGGGGAATCGGGCCTCATCTCGAGTTGATTTGTGGCACCTGGAGCTGCTTTGCGTTGCTGGGGTGACCTCAGGGTCCGTCTAGACTGGTGACAGTGTTCTTGGGGACTGCCTCGAGATCCATTAAGCAAGTCGAAGCTCCTGACTTGTTTGAATGGGATCACGGAATAGCTCTGCATGCACTGCAGGGGAATGGGGCCTCATCTCGCCTCTAGGGGGAAGGCTCACGGTTTTTCTCGAGTTGCGGCGGGGACCTGGGGTATGTTCTCGACTTACGGCGGGGATGGCCCTTCAAAACACGAGTTTCTTCAGTGACGTCAGGACTCCTGTCTAGTAATGAGGGACACCTCAGCAATCTCTTCGAGGATTGGCAGGGCAAAAGGGACGCTTCTCGAGGTGTGGCAGGGCACCCAAGGACCCTTTCCAGTAGCCACAGCGATTTTGGGATTCCTATCAGTATTCAAGAGGAGTCAGGCATCGTCACCTTTTGAAGCAATGAACTCCGCGTGCCTCTCGAGGTGTCAGCGGGATGTGAGGCATTCCTTCAAAATGAGGTAGGGACCTAGGGCTTTCTCTAAGGTCTCCACAGGGGATTCAGACATCCCTTCATGTTGTGAGATGAAAGACGATCCTGTATTCAAGCCACTGAAAGCAAATCCGGCCTCCTTTCAAGTTAGGGCTTCTCGCTGTATATTCCCCTTGAGGCAGCAAACACGGGGTCCCTCCCACATACCTATTGCTGAGAGAATCCTCCTCCTGAGGTAACTCTGGAAGTTGGCCTACGTCTTGACCCTAAGCCAAGGAATCAGCTCTCATCTCGAGACGATTTGGGGTACACGGAGCATTCCTCGAGTTGCTGTGCTGAAGTTCGTGTTCCTCTAGACTTGGGACAGTGTTCTCGGGGCATCTCTGGAGTTGCCTGAAGGAAGTCGAGCCACCGGTCGTGTTGAATGTGGAACGGGGAATGGCTCTGGAGTCAATGCAGGGGAATCGGGCCTCGTCTCGAGTTGATTTGGGGCACATGGAGCTGCTTTGCGTTGCTGGGGTGACCTCAGGGTCCGTCTAGACTGGTGACAGTGTTCTTGGGGACTGTCTGGAGATCCATTAAGCAAGTCGAAGCTCCTGACTTGTTTGAATGGGATCATGGAAGAGCTCTGCATGCACTGCAGGGGAATGGGGCCTCATCTCGCCTCTAGGGGGAAGTCTCATGGTTTTTCTCGAGTTGCGGCGGGGACCTGGGGTATGTTCTCGACTTACGGCGGGGATGGCCCTTCAAAACACGAGTTTCTTCAGTGACGTCAGGACTCCTCTCTAGTAACGTGGGACACCTCAGGAATCTCTTCAAGGCTTGGCAGGGCAAATGGGACGCTTCTCGAGGTGAGGCAGGGCACCCAAGGACCCTTTCCAGTAGCCACAGCGATTTTGGGATTCCTATCAGTATTCAAGAGGAGTCAGGCATCGTCACCTTTTGAAGCAATGAACTCCGCGTGCCTCTCGAGGTGTCAGCGGGATGTGATGCATTCCGTCAAAATGAGGCAGGGACCTAGGGCTTTCTCTAAGGTCTCCACAGGGGATTCAGACATCCCTTCATGTTGTGAGATGAAAGACGAGCCTGTATTCAAGCCACTGAAAGGAAATCCGGCCTCCTTTCAAGTTAGGGCTTCTCGCTGTATATTCCCCTTGAGGCAGCAAACTCGGGGTCCCTCCCACATACCTATTGCTGAGAGAAGCCTCCTCCTGAGGTGCTTCTGTGAAGTTGGCATACGTCTTGAGCCTAAGCCAGGGAATCAGCTCTCATCTCGAGACGATTTGGGGTACACGAAGCATTCCTCGAGTTGCTGTGCTGAAGTTGGTGTTCCTCTAGACTTGGGACAGTGTTCTCGGGGCATCTCTGGAGTTACCTGAAGGAAGTCGAGCCACCGGTCGTGTTGAATGGGGAACGGGGAATGGCTCTAGAGTCAATGCAGGGGAATCGGGCCTCATTTCGAGTTTATTTGGGGCACATGGAGCTGCTTTGCGTTGCTGGGGTGACCTCAGGGTCCGTCTAGACTGGTGACAGTGTTCTTGGGGACTGTCTGGAGATCCATTAAGCAAGTCGAAGCTCCTGACTTGTTTGAATGGGATCACGGAATAGCTCTGCATGCACTGCAGGGGAATGGGGCCTCATCTCGCCTCTAGGGGGAAGTCTCATGGTTTTTCTGGAGTTGCGGCGGGGACCTGGGGTATGTTCTCGACTTACGGCGGGGATGGCCCTTCAAAACACGAGTTTCTTCAGTGACGTCAGGACTCCTGTCTAGTAACGAGGGACAGCTCAGGAATCTCTTCGAGGATTGGCAGGGCAAAAGGGACGCTTCTCGAGGTGAGGCAGGGCACCCAAGGACTCTTTCCAGTAGCCACAGCGATTTTGGGATTCCTATCAGTATTCAAGATGAGTCAGGCATCGTCACCTTTTGAAGCAATGAACTCCGCGTGCCTCTCGAGGTGTCAGCGGGATGTGAGGCATTCCGTCAAAATGAGGTAGGGACCTAGGGCTTTCTCTAAGGTCTCCACAGGGGATTCAGACATCCCTTCATGTTGTGAGATGAAAGACGAGCCTGTATTCAAGCCACTGAAAGGAAATCCGGCCTCCTTTCAAGTTAGGGCTTCTCGCTGTATATTCCCCTTGAGGCAGCAAACACGGGGTCCCTCCCACATACCTATTGCTGAGAGAAGCCTCCTCCTGAGGTAATTCTGGGAAGTTGGCATACGTCTTGACCCTAAGCCAAGGAATCAGCTCTCATCTCGAGACGATTTGGGGTACACGGAGCATTCCTCGAGTTGCTGTGCTGAAGTTGGTGTTCCTCTAGACTTGGGACAGTGTTCTCGGGGCATCTCTGGAGTTGCCTGAAGGAAGTCGAGCCACCGGTCGTGTTGAATGGGGAACGGGGAATGGCTCTGGAGTCAATGCAGGGGAATCTGGCCTCGTCTCGAGTTGATTTGGGGCACATGGAGCTGCTTTGCGTTGCTGGGGTGACCGTAGGGTCCGTCTAGACTGGTGACAGTGTTCTTGGGGACTGTCTGGAGGTCCATTAAGCAAGTCGAAGCTCCTGACTTGTTTGAATGGGATCACGGAATAGCTCTGCATGCACTGCAGGGGAATGGGGCCTCATCTCGCCTATAGGGGGAAGTCTCATGGTTTTTCTCGAGTTGCGGCGGGGACCTGGGGTATGTTCTCGACTTACAGCGGGGATGGCCCTTCAAAACACGAGTTTCTTCAGTGACGTCAGGACTCCTGTCTAGTAACGAGGGACACTTCAGCAATCTCTTCGAGGCTTGGCAGGGCAAAAGGGACGCTTCTCGAGGTGAGGCATGGCACCCAAGGACCCTTTCCAGTAGCCACAGGGATTTTGGGATTCCTATAAGTAATCAAGAGGAGTCAGGCATCGTCACCTTTTGAAGCAATGAACTCCGCGTGCCTCTCGAGGTGTCAGCGGGATGTGAGGATTCCGTCAAAATGAGGCAGGGACCTAGGGCTTTCTCTAAGGTCTCCACAGGGGATTCAGACATCCCTTCATGTTGTGAGATGAAAGACGAGCCTGTATTCAAGCCACTGCAAGGAAATCCGGCCTCCTTTCAAGTTAGGGCTTCTTGCTGTATATTCCCCTTGAGGCAGCAAACTCGGGGTCCCTCCCACATACCTATTGCTGAGAGAAGCCTCCTCCTGAGGTGCTTCTGGAAAGGTGGCATACGTCTTGAGCCTAAGCCAGGGAATCAGCTCTCATCTCGAGACGATTTGGGGTACACAGAGCATTCCTCGAGTTGCTATGCTGAAGTTGGTGGTCCTCTAGACTTGGGACAGTGTTCTCGGGGCATCTCTGGAGTTGCCTGAAGGAAGTCGAGCCACCAGTCGTGTTGAATGGGGAACGGGGAATGGCTCTGGAGTCAATGCAGGGGAATCGGGCCTCATCTCGAGTTGATTTGTGGCACCTGGAGCTGCTTTGCGTTGCTGGGGTGACCTCAGGGTCCGTCTAGACTGGTGACAGTGTTCTTGGGGACTCCCTAGAGAACCATTAAGCAAGTCGAAGCTCCTGACTTGTTTGAATGGGATCACGGAATAGCTCTGCATGCACTGCAGGGGAATGGGGCCTCATCTCGCCTCTAGGGGGAAGGCTCACGGTTTTTCTCGAGTTGGGGCGGGGACCTGGGGTATGTTCTCGACTTACGGCGGGGATGGCCCTTCAAAACACGAGTTTCTTCAGTGACGTCAGGACTCCTGTCTAGTAACGAGGGACACCTCAGCAATCTCTTCGAGGCTTGGCAGGGCAAAAGGGACGCTTCTCGAGGTGAGGCAGGGCACCCAAGGACCCTTTCCAGTAGCCACAGCGATTTTGGGATTCCTATCAGTATTCAAGAGGAGTCAGGCATCGTCACCTTTTGAAGCAATGAACTCCGCGTGCCTCTCGAGGTGTCAGCGGGATGTGAGGCATTCCGTCAAAATGAGGTAGGGTCCTAGGGCTTTCTCTAAGGCCTCCACAGGGGATTCAGACATCCCTTCATGTTGTGAGATGAAAGACGAGCCTGTATTCAAGCCACTGAAAGCAAATCCGGCCTCCTTTCAAGTTAGGGCTTCTCGCTGTATATTCCCCTTGAGGCAGCAAACACTGGGTCCCTCCCACATACCTATTGCTGAGAGAAGCCTCCTCCTGAGGTAATTCTGGGAAGTTGGCATACGTCTTGACCCTAAGCCAAGGAATCAGCTCTCATCTCGAGACGATTTGGGGTATACGGAGCATTCCTCGAGTTGCTGTGGTGAAGTTCGTGTTCCTCTAGACTTGGGACAGTGTTCTCGGGGCATCTCTGGAGTTGCCTGAAGGAAGTCGAGCCACCGGTCGTGTTGAATGTGGAACGGGGAATGGCTCTGGAGTCAATGCAGGGGAATCGGGCCTCGTCTCGAGTTGATTTGGGGCACATGGAGCTGCTTTGCGTTGCTGGGGTGACCTCAGGGTCCATCTAGACTGGTGACAGTGTTCTTGGGGACTGTCTGGAGATCCATTAAGCAAGTCGAAGCTCCTGACTTGTTTGAATGGGATCACGGAATAACTCTGCATGCACTGCAGGGGAATGGGGCCTCATCTCGCTTCTAGGGGGAAGTCTCATGGTTTTTCTCGAGTTGCGGCGGGGACCTGGGGTATGTTCTCGACTTACGGCGGGGATGGCCCTTCAAAACACGAGTTTCTTCAGTGACGTCAGGACTCCTCTCTAGTAACGAGGGACACCTCAGGAATCTCTTCGAGGCTTGGCAGGGCAAAAGGGACGCTTCTCGAGGTGAGGCAGGGCACCCAAGGACCCTTTCCAGTAGCCACAGGGATTTTCGGATTCCTATCAGTATTCAAGAGGAGTCAGGCATCATCACCTTTTGAAGCAATGAACTCCGCGTGCCTCTCGAGGTGTCAGCGGGATGTGAGGCATTCCGTAAAAATGAGGCAGGGACCTAGGGCTTTCTCTAAGGTCTCCACAGGGGATTCAGACATCCCTTCATGTTGTGAGATGAAAGACGAGCCTGTATTCAAGCCACTGAAAGGAAATCCGGCCTCCTTTCAAGTTAGGGCTTCTCGCTGTATATTCCCCTTGAGGCAGCAAACTCGGGGTCCCTCCCACATACATATTGCTGAGAGAAGCCTCCTCCTGAGGTGCTTCTGGGAAGTTGGCATACGTCTTGAGCCTAAGCCAGGGAATCAGCTCTCATCTCGAGACGATTTGGGGTACACGAAGCATTCCTCGAGTTGCTGTGCTGAAGTTGGTGTTCCTCTAGACTTGGGACAGTGTTCTCGGGGCATCTCTGGAGTTACCTGAAGGAAGTCGAGCCACCGGTCGTGTTGAATGGGGAACGGGGAACGGGGAATGGCTTTGCAGTCAATGCAGGGGAATCGGGCCTCATCTCGAGTTGATTTAGGGCACATGGAGCTGCTTTGCGTTGCTGGGGTGACCTCAGGGTCCGTCTAGACTGGTGACAGTGTTCTTGGGGACTGTCTGGAGATCCATTAAGCAAGTCGAAGCTCCTGACTTGTTTGAATGGGATCACGGAATAGCTCTGCATGCACTGCAGGGGAATGGGGCCTCATCTCGCCTCTAGGGGGAAGTCTCATGGTTTTTCTCGAGTTGCGGCTGGGACCTGGGGTATGTTCTCGACTTACGGCGGGGATGGCCCTTCAAAACACGAGTTTCTTCAGTGACGTCAGGACTCCTGTCTAGTAACGAGGGACAGCTCAGGAATCTCTTCGAGGATTGGCAGGGCAAAAGGGACGCTTCTCGAGGTGAGGCAGGGCACCCAAGGACCCTTTCCAGTAGCCACAGCGATTTTGGGATTCCTATCAGTATTCAAGAGGAGTCAGGCATCGTCACCTTTTGAAGCAATGAACTCCGCGTGCCTCTCGAGGTGTCAGCGGGATGTGAGGCATTCCGTCAAAATGAGGTAGGGCCCTAGGGCTTTCTCTAAGGTCTCCACAGGGGATTCAGACATCCCTTCATGTTGTGAGATGAAAGACGAGCCTGTATTCAAGCCACTGAAAGGAAATCCGGCCTCCTTTCAAGTTAGGGCTTCTCGCTGTATATTCCCCTTGAGGCAGCAAACACGGGGTCCCTCCCACATACCTATTGCTGAGAGAATCCTCCTCCTGAGGTAACTCTGGAAGTTGGCATACGTCTTGACCCTAAGCCAAGGAATCAGCTCTCATCTCGAGACGATTTGGGGTACACGGAGCATTCCTCGAGTTGCTGTGCTGAAGTTGGTGTTCCTCTAGACTTGGGACAGTGTTCTCGGGGCATCTCTGGAGTTGCCTGAAGGAAGTCGAGCCACCGGTCGTGTTGAATGGGGAACAAGGAATGGCTCTGGAGTCAATGCAGGGGAATCGGGCCTCGTCTCGAGTTGATTTGGGGCACATGGAGCTGCTTTGCGTTGCTGGGGTGACCTCAGGGTCCGTCTAGACTGGTGACAGTGTTCTTGGGGACTGTCTGGAGATCCATTAAGCAAGTCGAAGCTCCTGACTTGTTTGAATGGGATCACGGAATAGCTCTGCATGCACTGCAGGGGAATGGGGCCTCATCTCGCCTCTAGGGGGAAGTCTCATGGTTTTTCTCGAGTTGCGGCGGGGAACTGGGGTATGTTCTCGACTTACAGCGGGGATGGCCCTTCAAAACACGAGTTTCTTCAGTGACGTCAGGACTCCTGTCTAGTAACGAGGGACACTTCAGCAATCTCTTCGAGGCTTGGCAGGGCAAAAGGGACGCTTCTCGATGTGAGGCATGGCACCCAAGGACCCTTTCCAGTAGCCACAGGGATTTTGGGATTCCTATAAGTAATCAAGAGGAGTCAGGCATCGTCACCTTTTGAAGCAATGAACTCCGCGTGCCTCTCGAGGTGTCAGCGGGATGTGAGGATTCCGTCAAAATGAGGCAGGGACCTAGGGCTTTCTCTAAGGTCTCCACAGGGGATTCAGACATCCCTTCATGTTGTGAGATGAAAGACGAGCCTGTATTCAAGCCACTGCAAGGAAATCTGGCCTCCTTTCAAGTTAGGGCTTCTCGCTGTATATTCCCCTTGAGGCAGCAAACTCGGGGTCCCTCCCACATACCTATTGCTGAGAGAAGCCTCCTCCTGAGGTGCTTCTGGAAAGGTGGCATACGTCTTGAGCCTAAGCCAGGGAATCAGCTCTCATCTCGAGACGATTTGGGGTACACAGAGCATTCCTCGAGTTGCTATGCTGAAGTTGGTGGTCCTCTAGACTTGGGACAGTGTTCTCGGGGCATCTCTGGAGTTGCCTGAAGGAAGTCGAGCCACCGGTCGTGTTGAATGGGGAACAAGGAATGGCTCTGGAGTCAATGCAGGGGAATCCGGCCTCATCTCGAGTTGATTTGGGGCACATGGAGCTGCTTTGCATTGCTGGGTGAACTCAGGGTCCGTCTAGACTGGTGACAGTGTACTTGGGGACTGTCTGGAGATCCATTAAGCAAGTCGAAGCTCCTGACTTGTTTGAATGGGATCACGGAATAGCTCTGCATGCACTGCAGGGGAATGGGGCCTCATCTCGCCTCTAGGGGGAAGTCTCATGGTTTTTCTGGAGTTGCGGCGGGGACCTGGGGTATGTTCTCGACTTACGGCGGGGATGGCCCTTCAAAACACGAGTTTCTTCAGTGACGTCAGGACTCCTCTCTAGTAACGAGGGACACCTGAGGAATCTCTTCGAGGCTTGGCAGGGCAAAAGGGACGCTTCTCGAGGTGAGGCAGGGCACCCAAGGACCCTTTCCAGTAGCCACAGGGATTTTGGGATTCCTATCAGTATTCAAGAGGAGTCAGGCATCGTCACCTTTTGAAGCAATGAACTCCGCGTGCCTCTCGAGGTGTCAGCGGGATGTGAGGCATTCCGTAAAAATGAGGCAGGGACCTAGGGCTTTCTCTAAGGTCTCCACAGGGGATTCAGACATCCCTTCATGTTGTGAGATGAAAGACGAGCCTGTATTCAAGCCACTGAAAGGAAATCCGGCCTCCTTTCAAGTTAGGGCTTCTCGCTGTATATTCCCCTTGAGGCAGCAAACTCGGGGTCCCTCCCACATACATATTGCTGAGAGAAGCCTCCTCCTGAGGTGCTTCTGGGAAGTTGGCATACGTCTTGAGCCTAAGCCAGGGAATCAGCTCTCATCTCGAGACGATTTGGGGTACACGAAGCATTCCTCGAGTTGCTGTGCTGAAGTTGGTGTTCCTCTAGACTTGGGACAGTGTTCTCGGGGCATCTCTGGAGTTACCTGAAGGAAGTCGAGCCACCGGTCGTGTTGAATGGGGAACGGGGAATGGCTTTGCAGTCAATGCAGGGGAATCGGGCCTCATCTCGAGTTGATTTAGGGCACATGGAGCTGCTTTGCGTTGCTGGGGTGACCTCAGGGTCCGTCTAGACTGGTGACAGTGTTCTTGGGGACTGTCTGGAGATCCATTAAGCAAGTCGAATCTCCTGACTTGTTTGAATGGGATCACGGAATAGCTCTGCATGCACTGCAGGGGAATGGGGCCTCATCTCGCCTCTAGGGGGAAGTCTCATGGTTTTTCTCGAGTTGCGGCGGGGACCTGGGGTATGTTCTCGACTTACGGCGGGGATGGCCCTTCAAAACACGAGTTTCTTCAGTGACGTCAGGACTCCTGTCTAGTAACGAGGGACAGCTCAGGAATCTCTTCGAGGATTGGCAGGGCAAAAGGGACGCTTCTCGAGGTGAGGCAGGGCACCCAAGGACCCTTTCCAGTAGCCACAGCGATTTTGGGATTCCTATCAGTATTCAAGAGGAGGCAGGCATCGTCACCTTTTGAAGCAATGAACTCCGCGTGCCTCTCGAGGTGTCAGCGGGATGTGAGGCATTCCGTCAAAATGAGGTAGGGCCCTAGGGCTTTCTCTAAGGTCTCCACAGGGGATTCAGACATCCCTTCATGTTGTGAGATGAAAGACGAGCCTGTATTCAAGCCACTGAAAGGAAATCCGGCCTCCTTTCAAGTTAGGGCTTCTCGCTGTATATTCCCCTTGAGGCAGCAAACACGGGGTCCCTCCCACATACCTATTGCTGAGAGAATCCTCCTCCTGAGGTAACTCTGGAAGTTGGCATACATCTTGACCCTAAGCCAAGGAATCAGCTCTCATCTCGAGACGATTTGGGGTACACGGAGCATTCCTCGAGTTGCTGTGCTCAAGTTGGTGTTCCTCTAGACTTGGGACAGTGTTCTCGGGGCATCTCTGGAGTTGCCTGAAGGAAGTCGAGCCACCGGTCGTGTTGAATGGGGAACGGCGAATGGCTCTGGAGTCAATGCAGGGGAATCGGGCCTCGTCTCGAGTTGATTTGGGGCACATGGAGCTGCTTTGCGTTGCTGGGGTGACCTCAGGGTCCGTCTAGACTGGTGACAGTGTTCTTGGGGACTGTCTGGAGATCCATTAAGCAAGTCGAAGCTCCTGACTTGTTTCAATGGGATCACGGAATAGCTCTGCATGCACTGCAGGGGAATGGGGCCTCATCTCGCCTCTAGGGGGAAGTCTCATGGTTTTTCTCGAGTTGCGGCGGGGACCTGGGGTATGTTCTCGACTTACAGCGGGGATGGCCCTTCAAAACACGAGTTTCTTCAGTGACGTCAGGACTCCTGTCTAGTAACGAGGGACACTTCAGCAATCTCTTCGAGGCTTGGCAGGGCAAAAGGGACGCTTCTCGAGGTGAGGCATGGCACCCAAGGACCCTTTCCAGTAGCCACAGGGATTTTGGGATTCCTATAAGTAATCAAGAGGAGTCAGGCATCGTCACCTTTTGAAGCAATGAACTCCGCGTGCCTCTCGAGGTGTCAGCGGGATGTGAGGATTCCGTCAAAATGAGGCAGGGACCTAGGGCTTTCTCTAAGGTCTCCACAGGGGATTCAGACATCCCTTCATGTTGTGAGATGAAAGACGAGCCTGTATTCAAGCCACTGCAAGGAAATCTGGCCTCCTTTCAAGTTAGGGCTTCTCGCTGTATATTCCCCTTGAGGCAGCAAACTCGGGGTCCCTCCCACATACCTATTGCTGAGAGAAGCCTCCTCCTGCGGTGCTTCTGGAAAGGTGGCATACGTCTTGAGCCTAAGCCAGGGAATCAGCTCTCATCTCGAGACGATTTGGGGTACACAGAGCATTCCTCGAGTTGCTGTGCTGAAGTTGGTGTTCCTCTAGACTTGGGACAGTGTTCTCGGGGCATCTCTGGAGTTACCTGAAGGAAGTCGAGCCACCGGTCGTGTTGAATGGGGAACGGGGAATGGCTTTGCAGTCAATGCAGGGGAATCGGGCCTCATCTCGAGTTGATTTAGGGCACATGGAGCTGCTTTGCTTTGCTGGGGTGACCTCAGGGTCCGTCTAGACTGGTGACAGTGTTCTTGGGGACTGTCTGGAGATCCATTAAGCAAGTCGAAGCTCCTGACTTGTTTGAATGGGATCACGGAATAGCTCTGCATGCACTGCAGGGGAATGGGGCCTCATCTCGCCTCTAGGGGGAAGTCTCATGGTTTTTCTCGAGTTGCGGCGGGGACCTGGGGTATGTTCTCGACTTACGGCTGGGATGGCCCTTCAAAACACGAGTTTCTTCAGTGACGTCAGGACTCCTCTCTAGTAACGAGGTACAGCTCAGGAATCTCTTCGAGGATTGGCAGGGCAAAAGGGACGCTTCTCGAGGTGAGGCAGGGCACCCAAGGACCCTTTCCAGTACCCACAGCGATTTTGGGATTCCTATCAGTATTCAAGAGGAGTCAGGCATCGTCACCTTTTGAAGCAATGAACTCCGCGTGCCTCTCGAGGTGTCAGCGGGATGTGAGGCATTCCGTCAAAATGAGGTAGGGACCTAGGGCTTTCTCTAAGGTCTCCACAGGGGATTCAGACATCCCTTCATGTTGTGAGATGAAAGACGAGCCTGTATTCAAGCCACTGAAAGGAAATCCGGCCTCCTTTCAAGTTAGGGCTTCTCGCTGTATATTCCCCTTGAGGCAGCAAACACGGGGTCCCTCCCACATACCTATTGCTGAGAGAATCCTCCTCCTGAGGTAATTCTGGGAAGTTGGCATACGTCTTGACCCTAAGCCAAGGAATCAGCTCTCATCTCGAGACGATTTGGGGTACACGGAGCATTCCTCGAGTTGCTGTGCTGAAGTTCGTGTTCCTCTAGACTTGGGACAGTGTTCTCGGGGCATCTCTGGAGTTGCCTGAAGGAAGTCGAGCCACCGGTCGTGTTGAATGGGGAACGGGGAATGGCTCTGGAGTCAATGCAGGGGAATCGGGCCTCGTCTCGAGTTGATTTGGGGCACATGGAGCTGCTTTGCGTTGCTGGGGTGACCTCAGGGTCCGTCTAGACTGGTGACAGTGTTCTTGGGGACTGTCTGGAGATCCATTAAGCAAGTCGAAGCTCCTGACTTGTTTGAATGGGATCACGGAATAGCTCTGCATGCACTGCAGGGGAATGGGGCCTCATCTCGCCTCTAGGGGGAAGTCTCATGGTTTTCCTCGAGTTGCGGCGGGGACCTGGGGTATGTTCTCGACTTACGGCGGGGATGGCCCTTCAAAACACGAGTTTCTTCAGTGACGTCAGGACTCCTCTCTAGTAACGAGGGACACCTCAGGAATCTCTTCGAGGCTTGGCAGGGCAAAAGGGACGCTTCTCGAGGTGAGGCAGGGCACCCAAGGACCCTTTCCAGTAGCCACAGCGATTTTGGGATTCCTATCAGTATTCAAGAGGAGTCAGGCATCGTCACCTTTTGAAGCAATGAACTCCGCGTGCCTCTCGAGGTGTCAGCGGGATGTGAGGCATTCCGTAAAAATGAGGCAGGGACCTAGGGCTTCTCTAAGGTCTCCACATGGGATTCAGACATCCCTTCATGTTGTGAGATGAAAGACGAGCCTGTATTCAAGCCACTGCAAGGAAATCCGGCCTCCTTTCAAGTTAGGGCTTCTCGCTGTATATTCCCCTTGAGGCAGCAAACTCGGGGTCCCTCCCACATACCTATTGCTGAGAGAAGCCTCCTCCTGAGGTGCTTCTGGGAAGTTGGTATACGTCTTGAGCCTAAGCCAGGGAATCAGGTCTCATCTCGAGACGATTTGGGGTACACAAAGCATTCCTCGAGTTGCTGTGCTGAAGTTGGTGTTCCTCTAGACTTGGGACAGTGTTCTCGGGGCATCTCTGGAGTTGCCTGAAGGAAGTCGAGCCACCGGTCGTGTTGAATGGGGAACGGGGAATGGCTCTGGAGTCAATGCAGGGGAATCGGGCCTCATCTCGAGTTGATTTGTGGCACCTGGAGCTGCTTTGCGTTGCTGGGGTGACCTCAGGGTCCGTCTAGACTGGTGACAGTGTTCTTGGGGACTGCCTCGAGATCCATTAAGCAAGTCGAAGCTCCTGACTTGTTTGAATGGGATCACGGAATAGCTCTGCATGCACTGCAGGGGAATGGGGCCTCATCTCGCCTCTAGGGGGAAGTCTCATGGTTTTTCTCGAGTTGCGGCGGGGACCTGGGGTATGTTCTCGACTTACGGCGGGGATGGCCCTTCAAAACACGAGTTTCTTCAGTGACGTCAGGACTCCTGTCTAGTAACGAGGGACAGCTCAGGAATCTCTTCGAGGATTGGCAGGGCAAAAGGGACGCTTCTCGAGGTGAGGCAGGGCACCCAAGGACCCTTTCCAGTAGCCACAGCGATTTTGGGATTCCTATCAGTATTCAAGAGGAGTCAGGCATCGTCACCTTTTGAAGCAATGAACTCCGCGTGCCTCTCGAGGTGTCAGCGGGATGTGAGGCATTCCGTCAAAATGAGGTAGGGACCCAGGGCTTTCTCTAAGGTCTCCACAGGGGATTCAGACATCCCTTCATGTTGTGAGATGAAAGACGAGCCTGTATTCAAGCCACTGAAAGGAAATCCGGCCTCCTTTCAAGTTAGGGCTTCTCGCTGTATATTCCCCTTGAGGCAGCAAACACGTGGTCCCTCCCACATACCTATTGCTGAGAGAATCCTCCTCCTGAGGTAATTCTGGGAAGTTGGCATACGTCTTGACCCTAAGCCAAGGAATCAGCTCTCATCTCGAGACGATTTGGGGTACACGGAGCATTCCTCGAGTTGCTGTGCTGAAGTTCGTGTTCCTCTAGTCTTGGGACAGTGTTCTCGGGGCATCTCTGGAGTTGCCTGAAGGAAGTCGAGCCACCGGTCGTGTTGAATGGGGAACGGGGAATGGCTCTGGAGTCAATGCAGGGGAATCGGGCCTCGTCTCGAGTTGATTTGGGGCACATGGAGCTGCTTTGCGTTGCTGGGGTGACCTCAGGGTCCGTCTAGACTGGTGACAGTGTTCTTGGGGACTGTCTGGAGATCCATTAAGCAAGTCGAAGCTCCTGACTTGTTTGAATGGGATCACGGAATAGCTCTGCATGCACTGCAGGGGAATGGGGCCTCATCTTGCCTCTAGGGGGAAGTCTCATGGTTTTTCTCGAGTTGCGGCGGGGACCTGGGGTATGTTCTCGACTTACGGCGGGGATGGCCCTTCAAAACACGAGTTTCTTCAGTGACGTCAGGACTCCTCTCTAGTAACGAGGGACACCTCAGGAATCTCTTCGAGGCTTGGCAGGGCAAAAGGGACGCTTCTCGAGGTGAGGCAGGGCACCCAAGGACCCTTTCCAGTAGCCACAGCGATTTTGGGATTCCTATCAGTATTCAAGAGGAGTCAGGCATCGTCACCTTTTGAAGCAATGAACTCCGCGTGCCTCTCGAGGTGTCAGCGGGATGTGAGGCATTCCGTAAAAATGAGGCAGGGACCTAGGGCTTTCTCTAAGGTCTCCACATGGGATTCAGACATCCCTTCATGTTGTGAGATGAAAGACGAGCCTGTATTCAAGCCACTGCAAGGAAATCCGGCCTCCTTTCAAGTTAGGGCTTCTCGCTGTATATTCCCCTTGAGGCAGCAAACTCGGGGTCCCTCCCACATACCTATTGCTGAGAGAAGCCTCCTCCTGAGGTGCTTCTGGGAAGTTGGTATACGTCTTGAGCCTAAGCCAGGGAATCAGGTCTCATCTCGAGACGATTTGGGGTACACAAAGCATTCCTCGAGTTGCTGTGCTGAAGTTGGTGTTCCTCTAGACTTGGGACAGTGTTCTCGGGGCATCTCTGGAGTTGCCTGAAGGAAGTCGAGCCACCGGTCGTGTTGAATGGGGAACGGGGAATGGCTCTGGAGTCAATGCAGGGGAATCGGGCCTCATCTCGAGTTGATTTGTGGCACCTGGAGCTGCTTTGCGTTGCTGGGGTGACCTCAGGGTCCGTCTAGACTGGTGACAGTGTTCTTGGGGACTGCCTCGAGATCCATTAAGCAAGTCGAAGCTCCTGACTTGTTTGAATGGGATCACGGAATAGCTCTGCATGCACTGCAGGGGAATGGGGCCTCATCTCGCCTCTAGGGGGAAGTCTCATGGTTTTTCTCGAGTTGCGGCGGGGACCTGGGGTATGTTCTCGACTTACGGCTGGGATGGCCCTTCAAAACACGAGTTTCTTCAGTGACGTCAGGACTCCTCTCTAGTAACGAGGTACAGCTCAGGAATCTCTTCGAGGATTGGCAGGGCAAAAGGGACGCTTCTCGAGGTGAGGCAGGGCACCCAAGGACCCTTTCCAGTACCCACAGCGATTTTGGGATTCCTATCAGTATTCAAGAGGAGTCAGGCATCGTCACCTTTTGAAGCAATGAACTCCGCGTGCCTCTCGAGGTGTCAGCGGGATGTGAGGCATTCCGTCAAAATGAGGTAGGGACCTAGGGCTTTCTCTAAGGTCTCCACAGGGGATTCAGACATCCCTTCATGTTGTGAGATGAAAGACGAGCCTGTATTCAAGCCACTGAAAGGAAATCCGGCCTCCTTTCAAGTTAGGGCTTCTCGCTGTATATTCCCCTTGAGGCAGCAAACACGGGGTCCCTCCCACATACCTATTGCTGAGAGAATCCTCCTCCTGAGGTAATTCTGGGAAGTTGGCATACGTCTTGACCCTAAGCCAAGGAATCAGCTCTCATCTCGAGACGATTTGGGGTACACGGAGCATTCCTCGAGTTGCTGTGCTGAAGTTCGTGTTCCTCTAGACTTGGGACAGTGTTCTCGGGGCATCTCTGGAGTTGCCTGAAGGAAGTCGAGCCACCGGTCGTGTTGAATGGGGAACGGGGAATGGCTCTGGAGTCAATGCAGGGGAATCGGGCCTCGTCTCGAGTTGATTTGGGGCACATGGAGCTGCTTTGCGTTGCTGGGGTGACCTCAGGGTCCGTCTAGACTGGTGACAGTGTTCTTGGGGACTGTCTGGAGATCCATTAAGCAAGTCGAAGCTCCTGACTTGTTTGAATGGGATCACGGAATAGCTCTGCATGCACTGCAGGGGAATGGGGCCTCATCTCGCCTCTAGGGGGAAGTCTCATGGTTTTCCTCGAGTTGCGGCGGGGACCTGGGGTATGTTCTCGACTTACGGCGGGGATGGCCCTTCAAAACACGAGTTTCTTCAGTGACGTCAGGACTCCTCTCTAGTAACGAGGGACACCTCAGGAATCTCTTCGAGGCTTGGCAGGGCAAAAGGGACGCTTCTCGAGGTGAGGCAGGGCACCCAAGGACCCTTTCCAGTAGCCACAGCGATTTTGGGATTCCTATCAGTATTCAAGAGGAGTCAGGCATCGTCACCTTTTGAAGCAATGAACTCCGCGTGCCTCTCGAGGTGTCAGCGGGATGTGAGGCATTCCGTAAAAATGAGGCAGGGACCTAGGGCTTCTCTAAGGTCTCCACATGGGATTCAGACATCCCTTCATGTTGTGAGATGAAAGACGAGCCTGTATTCAAGCCACTGCAAGGAAATCCGGCCTCCTTTCAAGTTAGGGCTTCTCGCTGTATATTCCCCTTGAGGCAGCAAACTCGGGGTCCCTCCCACATACCTATTGCTGAGAGAAGCCTCCTCCTGAGGTGCTTCTGGGAAGTTGGTATACGTCTTGAGCCTAAGCCAGGGAATCAGGTCTCATCTCGAGACGATTTGGGGTACACAAAGCATTCCTCGAGTTGCTGTGCTGAAGTTGGTGTTCCTCTAGACTTGGGACAGTGTTCTCGGGGCATCTCTGGAGTTGCCTGAAGGAAGTCGAGCCACCGGTCGTGTTGAATGGGGAACGGGGAATGGCTCTGGAGTCAATGCAGGGGAATCGGGCCTCATCTCGAGTTGATTTGTGGCACCTGGAGCTGCTTTGCGTTGCTGGGGTGACCTCAGGGTCCGTCTAGACTGGTGACAGTGTTCTTGGGGACTGCCTCGAGATCCATTAAGCAAGTCGAAGCTCCTGACTTGTTTGAATGGGATCACGGAATAGCTCTGCATGCACTGCAGGGGAATGGGGCCTCATCTCGCCTCTAGGGGGAAGTCTCATGGTTTTTCTCGAGTTGCGGCGGGGACCTGGGGTATGTTCTCGACTTACGGCGGGGATGGCCCTTCAAAACACGAGTTTCTTCAGTGACGTCAGGACTCCTGTCTAGTAACGAGGGACAGCTCAGGAATCTCTTCGAGGATTGGCAGGGCAAAAGGGACGCTTCTCGAGGTGAGGCAGGGCACCCAAGGACCCTTTCCAGTAGCCACAGCGATTTTGGGATTCCTATCAGTATTCAAGAGGAGTCAGGCATCGTCACCTTTTGAAGCAATGAACTCCGCGTGCCTCTCGAGGTGTCAGCGGGATGTGAGGCATTCCGTCAAAATGAGGTAGGGACCCAGGGCTTTCTCTAAGGTCTCCACAGGGGATTCAGACATCCCTTCATGTTGTGAGATGAAAGACGAGCCTGTATTCAAGCCACTGAAAGGAAATCCGGCCTCCTTTCAAGTTAGGGCTTCTCGCTGTATATTCCCCTTGAGGCAGCAAACACGTGGTCCCTCCCACATACCTATTGCTGAGAGAATCCTCCTCCTGAGGTAATTCTGGGAAGTTGGCATACGTCTTGACCCTAAGCCAAGGAATCAGCTCTCATCTCGAGACGATTTGGGGTACACGGAGCATTCCTCGAGTTGCTGTGCTGAAGTTCGTGTTCCTCTAGTCTTGGGACAGTGTTCTCGGGGCATCTCTGGAGTTGCCTGAAGGAAGTCGAGCCACCGGTCGTGTTGAATGGGGAACGGGGAATGGCTCTGGAGTCAATGCAGGGGAATCGGGCCTCGTCTCGAGTTGATTTGGGGCACATGGAGCTGCTTTGCGTTGCTGGGGTGACCTCAGGGTCCGTCTAGACTGGTGACAGTGTTCTTGGGGACTGTCTGGAGATCCATTAAGCAAGTCGAAGCTCCTGACTTGTTTGAATGGGATCACGGAATAGCTCTGCATGCACTGCAGGGGAATGGGGCCTCATCTTGCCTCTAGGGGGAAGTCTCATGGTTTTTCTCGAGTTGCGGCGGGGACCTGGGGTATGTTCTCGACTTACGGCGGGGATGGCCCTTCAAAACACGAGTTTCTTCAGTGACGTCAGGACTCCTCTCTAGTAACGAGGGACACCTCAGGAATCTCTTCGAGGCTTGGCAGGGCAAAAGGGACGCTTCTCGAGGTGAGGCAGGGCACCCAAGGACCCTTTCCAGTAGCCACAGCGATTTTGGGATTCCTATCAGTATTCAAGAGGAGTCAGGCATCGTCACCTTTTGAAGCAATGAACTCCGCGTGCCTCTCGAGGTGTCAGCGGGATGTGAGGCATTCCGTAAAAATGAGGCAGGGACCTAGGGCTTTCTCTAAGGTCTCCACATGGGATTCAGACATCCCTTCATGTTGTGAGATGAAAGACGAGCCTGTATTCAAGCCACTGCAAGGAAATCCGGCCTCCTTTCAAGTTAGGGCTTCTCGCTGTATATTCCCCTTGAGGCAGCAAACTCGGGGTCCCTCCCACATACCTATTGCTGAGAGAAGCCTCCTCCTGAGGTGCTTCTGGGAAGTTGGTATACGTCTTGAGCCTAAGCCAGGGAATCAGGTCTCATCTCGAGACGATTTGGGGTACACAAAGCATTCCTCGAGTTGCTGTGCTGAAGTTGGTGTTCCTCTAGACTTGGGACAGTGTTCTCGGGGCATCTCTGGAGTTGCCTGAAGGAAGTCGAGCCACCGGTCGTGTTGAATGGGGAACGGGGAATGGCTCTGGAGTCAATGCAGGGGAATCGGGCCTCATCTCGAGTTGATTTGTGGCACCTGGAGCTGCTTTGCGTTGCTGGGGTGACCTCAGGGTCCGTCTAGACTGGTGACAGTGTTCTTGGGGACTGCCTCGAGATCCATTAAGCAAGTCGAAGCTCCTGACTTGTTTGAATGGGATCACGGAATAGCTCTGCATGCACTGCAGGGGAATGGGGCCTCATCTCGCCTCTAGGGGGAAGTCTCATGGTTTTTCTCGAGTTGCGGCGGGGACCTGGGGTATGTTCTCGACTTACGGCGGGGATGGCCCTTCAAAACACGAGTTTCTTCAGTGACGTCAGGACTCCTGTCTAGTAACGAGGGACAGCTCAGGAATCTCTTCGAGGATTGGCAGGGCAAAAGGGACGCTTCTCGAGGTGAGGCAGGGCACCCAAGGACCCTTTCCAGTAGCCACAGCGATTTTGGGATTCCTATCAGTATTCAAGAGGAGTCAGGCATCGTCACCTTTTGAAGCAATGAACTCCGCGTGCCTCTCGAGGTGTCAGCGGGATGTGAGGCATTCCGTCAAAATGAGGTAGGGACCCAGGGCTTTCTCTAAGGTCTCCACAGGGGATTCAGACATCCCTTCATGTTGTGAGATGAAAGACGAGCCTGTATTCAAGCCACTGAAAGGAAATCCGGCCTCCTTTCAAGTTAGGGCTTCTCGCTGTATATTCCCCTTGAGGCAGCAAACACGTGGTCCCTCCCACATACCTATTGCTGAGAGAATCCTCCTCCTGAGGTAATTCTGGGAAGTTGGCATACGTCTTGACCCTAAGCCAAGGAATCAGCTCTCATCTCGAGACGATTTGGGGTACACGGAGCATTCCTCGAGTTGCTGTGCTGAAGTTCGTGTTCCTCTAGACTTGGGACAGTGTTCTCGGGGCATCTCTGGAGTTGCCTGAAGGAAGTCGAGCCACCGGTCGTGTTGAATGGGGAACGGGGAATGGCTCTGGAGTCAATGCAGGGGAATCGGGCCTCGTCTCGAGTTGATTTGGGGCACATGGAGCTGCTTTGCGTTGCTGGGGTGACCTCAGGGTCCGTCTAGACTGGTGACAGTGTTCTTGGGGACTGTCTGGAGATCCATTAAGCAAGTCGAAGCTCCTGACTTGTTTGAATGGGATCACGGAATAGCTCTGCATGCACTGCAGGGGAATGGGGCCTCATCTTGCCTCTAGGGGGAAGTCTCATGGTTTTTCTCGAGTTGCGGCGGGGACCTGGGGTATGTTCTCGACTTACGGCGGGGATGGCCCTTCAAAACACGAGTTTCTTCAGTGACGTCAGGACTCCTCTCTAGTAACGAGGGACACCTCAGGAATCTCTTCGAGGCTTGGCAGGGCAAAAGGGAAGCTTCTTGAGGTGAGGCAGGGCACCCAAGGACCCTTTCCAGTAGCCACAGCGATTTTGGGATTCCTATCAGTATTCAAGAGGAGTCAGGCATCGTCACCTTTTGAAGCAATGAACTCCGCGTGCCTCTCGAGGTGTCAGCGGGATGTGAGGCATTCCGTCAAAATGAGGCAGGGACCTAGGGCTTTCTCTAAGGTCTCCACAGGGGATTCAGACATACCTTCATGTTGTGAGATGAAAGACGAGCCTGTATTCAAGCCACTGCAAGGAAATCCGGCCTCCTTTCAAGTTAGGGCTTCTCGCTGTATATTCCCCTTGAGGCAGTAAACTCGGGGTCCCTCCCACATACCTATTGCTGAGAGAAGCCTCCTCCTGAGGTGCTTCTGGGAAGTTGGCATACGTCTTGAGCCTAAGCCAGGGAATTAGCTCTCATCTCGAGACGATTTGGGGTACACTAAGCATTCCTCGAGTTGCTGTGCTGAAGTTGGTGTTCCTCTAGACTTGATACAGTGTTTTCGGCGCATCTCTGGAGTTGCCTGAAGGAAGTCGAGCCACCGGTCGTGTTGAATGGGGAACGGGGAATGGCTCTGGAGTCAATGCAGGGGAATCGGGCCTCGTCTCGAGTTGATTTGGGGCACATGGAGCTGCTTTGCGTTGCTGGGGTGACCTCAGGGTCCGTCTAGACTGGTGACAGTGTTCTTGGGGACTGTCTGGAGATCCATTAAGCAAGTCGAAGCTCCTGACTTGTTTGAATGGGATCACGGAAGAGCTCTGCATGCACTGCAGGGGAATGGGGCCTCATCTCGCCTCTAGGGGGAAGTCTCATGGTTTTTCTCGAGTTGCGGCGGGGACCTGGGGTATGTTCTCGACTTACGGCGGGGATGGCCCTTCAAAACACGAGTTTCTTCAGTGACGTCAGGACTCCTCTCTAGTAACGTGGGACACCTCAGGAATCTCTTCAAGGCTTGGCAGGGCAAAAGGGACGCTTCTCGAGGTGAGGCAGGGCACCCAAGGACCCTTTCCAGTAGCCACAGCGATTTTGGGATTCCTATCAGTATTCAAGAGGAGTCAGGCATCGTCACCTTTTGAAGCAATGAACTCCGCGTGCCTCTCGAGGTGTCAGCGGGATGTGAGGCATTACGTCAAAATGAGGCAGGGACCTAGGGCTTTCTCTAAGGTCTCCACAGGGGATTCAGACATCCCTTCATGTTGTGAGATGAAAGACGAGCCTGTATTCAAGCCACTGCAAGGAAATCCGGCCTCCTTTCAAGTGAGGGCTTCTCGCTGTATATTCCCCTTGAGGCAGCAAACTCGGGGTCCCTCCCACATACATATTGCTGAGAGAAGCCTCCTCCTGAGGTGCTTCTGGAAAGTTGGCATACGTCTTGAGCCTAAGCCAGGGATTCAGCTCTCATCTCGAGACGATTTGGGGTACACAGAGCATTCCTCGAGTTGCTGTGCTGAAGTTGGTGTTTCTGTAGACTTGGGACAGTGTTCTCTGGGCATCTTTGGAGTTGCCTGAAGGAAGTCGAGCCACCGGTCGTGTTGAATGGGGAACGGGGAATGGCTCTGGAGTCAATGCAGGGGAATCGGGCCTCGTCTCGAGTTGATTTGGGGCACATGGAGCTGCTTTGCGTTGCTGGGGTGACCTCAGGGTCCGTCTAGACTGGTGACAGTGTTCTTGGGGACTGTCTGGAGATCCATTAAGCAAGTCGAAGCTCCTGACTTGTTTGAATGGGATCACGGAATAGCTCTGCATGCACTGCAGGGGAATGGGGCCTCATGTCTCCTCTAGGGGGAAGTCTCATGGTTTTTCTCGAGTTGCGGCGGGGACCTGGGGTATGTTCTCGACTTACAGCGGGGATGGCCCTTCAAAACACGAGTTTCTTCAGTGACGTCAGGACTCCTGTCTAGTAACGAGGGACACTTCAGCAATCTCTTCGAGGCTTGGCAGGGCAAAAGGGACGCTTCTCGAGGTGAGGCATGGCACCCAAGGACCCTTTCCAGTAGCCACAGGGATTTTGGGATTCCTATAAGTAATCAAGAGGAGTCAGGCATCGTCACCTTTTGAAGCAATGAACTCCGCGTGCCTCTCGAGGTGTCAGCGGTATGTGAGGATTCCGTCAAAATGAGGCAGGGACCTAGGGCTTTCTCTAAGGTCTCCACAGGGGATTCAGACATCCCTTCATGTTGTGAGATGAAAGACGAGCCTGTATTCAAGCCACTGAAAGGAAATCCGGCCTCCTTTCAAGTTAGGGCTTCTCGCTGTATATTCCCCTTGAGGCAGCAAACACGGGGTCCCTCCCACATACCTATTGCTGAGAGAATCCTCCTCCTGAGGTAACTCTGGAAGTTGGCATACGTCTTGACCCTAAGCCAAGGAATCAGCTCTCATCTCGAGACGATTTGGGGTACACGGAGCATTCCTCGAGTTGCTGTGCTGAAGTTGGTGTTCCTCTAGACTTGGGACAGTGTTCTCGGGGCATCTCTGGAGTTGCCTGAAGGAAGTCGAGCCACCGGTCGTGTTGAATGGGGAACGGCGAATGGCTCTGGAGTCAATGCAGGGGAATCGGGGATCGTCTCGAGTTGATTTGGGGCACATGGAGCTGCTTTGCGTTGCTGGGGTGACCTCAGGGTCCGTCTAGACTGGTGACAGTGTTCTTGGGGACTGTCTGGAGATCCATTAAGCAAGTCGAAGCTCCTGACTTGTTTGAATGGGATCACGGAATAGCTCTGCATGCACTGCAGGGGAATGGGGCCTCATCTCGCCTCTAGGGGGAAGTCTCATGGTTTTTCTCGAGTTGCGGCGGGGACCTGGGGTATGTTCTCGACTTACAGCGGGGATGGCCCTTCAAAACACGAGTTTCTTCAGTGACGTCAGGACTCCTGTCTAGTAACGAGGGACACTTCAGCAATCTCTTCGAGGCTTGGCAGGGCAAAAGGGACGCTTCTCGAGGTGAGGCATGGCACCCAAGGACCCTTTCCAGTAGCCACAGGGATTTTGGGATTCCTATAAGTAATCAAGAGGAGTCAGGCATCGTCACCTTTTGAAGCAATGAACTCCGCGTGCCTCTCGAGGTGTCAGCGGGATGTGAGGATTCCGTCAAAATGAGGCAGAGACCTAGGGCTTTCTCTAAGGTCTCCACAGGGGATTCAGACATCCCTTCATGTTGTGAGATGAAAGACGAGCCTGTATTCAAGCCACTGCAAGGAAATCTGGCCTCCTTTCAAGTTAGGGCTTCTCGCTGTATATTCCCCTTGAGGCAGCAAACTCGGGGTCCCTCCCACATACCTATTGCTGAGAGAAGCCTCCTCCTGCGGTGCTTCTGGAAAGGTGGCATACGTCTTGAGCCTAAGCCAGGGAATCAGCTCTCATCTCGAGATGATTTGGGGTACACAGAGCATTCCTCGAGTTGCTATGCTGAAGTTGGTGGTCCTCTAGACTTGGGACAGTGTTCTCGGGGCATCTCTGGAGTTGCCTGAAGGAAGTCGAGCCACCGGTCGTGTTGAATGGGGAACAAGGAATGGCTCTGGAGTCAATGCAGGGGAATCCGGCCTCATCTCGAGTTGATTTGGGGCACATGGAGCTGCTTTGCATTGCTGGGTGACCTCAGGGTCCGTCTAGACTGGTGACAGTGTACTTGGGGACTGTCTGGAGATCCATTAAGCAAGTCGAAGCTCCTGACTTGTTTGAATGGGATCACGGAATAGCTCTGCATGCACTGCAGGGGAATGGGACCTCATCTCGCCTCTAGGGGGAAGTCTCATGGTTTTTCTGGGGTTGCGGCGGGGACCTGGGGTATGTTCTCGACTTACGGCGGGGATGGCCCTTCAAAACACGAGTTTCTTCAGTGACGTCAGGACTCCTCTCTAGTAACGAGGGACACCTCAGGAATCTCTTCGAGGCTTGGCAGGGCAAAAGGGACGCTTCTCGAGGTGAGGCAGGGCACCCAAGGACCCTTTCCAGTAGCCACAGGGATTTTGGGATTCCTATCAGTATTCAAGAGGAGTCAGGCATCGTCACCTTTTGAAGCAATGAACTCCGCGTGCCTCTCGAGGTGTCAGCGGGATGTGAGGCATTCCGTAAAAATGAGGCAGGGACCTAGGGCTTTCTCTAAGGTCTCCACAGGGGATTCAGACATCCCTTCATGTTGTGAGATGAAAGACGAGCCTGTATTCAAGCCACTGAAAGGAAATCCGGCCTCCTTTCAAGTTAGGGCTTCTCGCTGTATATTCCCCTTGAGGCAGCAAACTCGGGGTCCCTCCCACATACATATTGCTGAGAGAAGCCTCCTCCTGAGGTGCTTCTGGGAAGTTGGCATACGTCTTGAGCCTAAGCCAGGGAATCAGCTCTCATCTCGAGACGATTTGGGGTACACGAAGCATTCCTCGAGTTGCTGTGCTGAAGTTGGTGTTCCTCTAGACTTGGGACAGTGTTCTCGGGGCATCTCTGGAGTTACCTGAAGGAAGTCGAGCCACCGGTCGTGTTGAATGGGGAACGGGGAATGGCTTTGCAGTCAATGCAGGGGAATCGGGCCTCATCTCGAGTTGATTTAGGGCACATGGAGCTGCTTTGCGTTGCTGGGGTGACCTCAGGGTCCGTCTAGACTGGTGACAGTGTTCTTGGGGACTGTCTGGAGATCCATTAAGCAAGTCGAATCTCCTGACTTGTTTGAATGGGATCACGGAATAGCTCTGCATGCACTGCAGGGGAATGGGGCCTCATCTCGCCTCTAGGGGGAAGTCTCATGGTTTTTCTCGAGTTGCGGCGGGGACCTGGGGTATGTTCTCGACTTACGGCGGGGATGGCCCTTCAAAACACGAGTTTCTTCAGTGACGTCAGGACTCCTGTCTAGTAACGAGGGACAGCTCAGGAATCTCTTCGAGGATTGGCAGGGCAAAAGGGACGCTTCTCGAGGTGAGGCAGGGCACCCAAGGACCCTTTCCAGTAGCCACAGCGATTTTGGGATTCCTATCAGTATTCAAGAGGAGGCAGGCATCGTCACCTTTTGAAGCAATGAACTCCGCGTGCCTCTCGAGGTGTCAGCGGGATGTGAGGCATTCCGTCAAAATGAGGTAGGGCCCTAGGGCTTTCTCTAAGGTCTCCACAGGGGATTCAGACATCCCTTCATGTTGTGAGATGAAAGACGAGCCTGTATTCAAGCCACTGAAAGGAAATCCGGCCTCCTTTCAAGTTAGGGCTTCTCGCTGTATATTCCCCTTGAGGCAGCAAACACGGGGTCCCTCCCACATACCTATTGCTGAGAGAATCCTCCTCCTGAGGTAACTCTGGAAGTTGGCATACATCTTGACCCTAAGCCAAGGAATCAGCTCTCATCTCGAGACGATTTGGGGTACACGGAGCATTCCTCGAGTTGCTGTGCTCAAGTTGGTGTTCCTCTAGACTTGGGACAGTGTTCTCGGGGCATCTCTGGAGTTGCCTGAAGGAAGTCGAGCCACCGGTCGTGTTGAATGGGGAACGGCGAATGGCTCTGGAGTCAATGCAGGGGAATCGGGCCTCGTCTCGAGTTGATTTGGGGCACATGGAGCTGCTTTGCGTTGCTGGGGTGACCTCAGGGTCCGTCTAGACTGGTGACAGTGTTCTTGGGGACTGTCTGGAGATCCATTAAGCAAGTCGAAGCTCCTGACTTGTTTCAATGGGATCACGGAATAGCTCTGCATGCACTGCAGGGGAATGGGGCCTCATCTCGCCTCTAGGGGGAAGTCTCATGGTTTTTCTCGAGTTGCGGCGGGGACCTGGGGTATGTTCTCGACTTACAGCGGGGATGGCCCTTCAAAACACGAGTTTCTTCAGTGACGTCAGGACTCCTGTCTAGTAACGAGGGACACTTCAGCAATCTCTTCGAGGCTTGGCAGGGCAAAAGGGACGCTTCTCGAGGTGAGGCATGGCACCCAAGGACCCTTTCCAGTAGCCACAGGGATTTTGGGATTCCTATAAGTAATCAAGAGGAGTCAGGCATCGTCACCTTTTGAAGCAATGAACTCCGCGTGCCTCTCGAGGTGTCAGCGGGATGTGAGGATTCCGTCAAAATGAGGCAGGGACCTAGGGCTTTCTCTAAGGTCTCCACAGGGGATTCAGACATCCCTTCATGTTGTGAGATGAAAGACGAGCCTGTATTCAAGCCACTGCAAGGAAATCTGGCCTCCTTTCAAGTTAGGGCTTCTCGCTGTATATTCCCCTTGAGGCAGCAAACTCGGGGTCCCTCCCACATACCTATTGCTGAGAGAAGCCTCCTCCTGCGGTGCTTCTGGAAAGGTGGCATACGTCTTGAGCCTAAGCCAGGGAATCAGCTCTCATCTCGAGACGATTTGGGGTACACAGAGCATTCCTCGAGTTGCTATGCTGAAGTTGGTGGTCCTCTAGACTTGGGACAGTGTTCTCGGGGCATCTCTGGAGTTGCCTGAAGGAAGTCGAGCCACCGGTCGTGTTGAATGGGGAACAAGGAATGGCTCTGGAGTCAATGCAGGGGAATCCGGCCTCATCTCGAGTTGATTTGGGGCACATGGAGCTGCTTTGCATTGCTGGGTGACCTCAGGGTCCGTCTAGACTGGTGACAGTGTACTTGGGGACTGTCTGGAGATCCATTAAGCAAGTCGAAGCTCCTGACTTGTTTGAATGGGATCACGGAATAGCTCTGCATGCACTGCAGGGGAATGGGGCCTCATCTCGCCTCTAGGGGGAAGTCTCATGGTTTTTCTGGAGTTGCGGCGGGGACCTGGGGTATGTTCTCGACTTACGGCGGGGATGGCCCTTCAAAACACGAGTTTCTTCAGTGACGTCAGGACTCCTCTCTAGTAACGAGGGACACCTCAGGAATCTCTTCGAGGCTTGGCAGGGCAAAAGGGACGCTTCTCGAGGTGAGGCAGGGCACCCAAGGACCCTTTCCAGTAGCCACAGGGATTTTGGGATTCCTATCAGTATTCAAGAGGAGTCAGGCATCGTCACCTTTTGAAGCAATGAACTCCGCGTGCCTCTCGAGGTGTCAGCGGGATGTGAGGCATTCCGTAAAAATGAGGCAGGGACCTAGGGCTTTCTCTAAGGTCTCCACAGGGGATTCAGACATCCCTTCATGTTGTGAGATGAAAGACGAGCCTGTATTCAAGCTACTGAAAGGAAATCCGGCCTCCTTTCAAGTTAGGGCTTCTCGCTGTATATTCCCCTTGAGGCAGCAAACTCGGGGTCCCTCCCACATACATATTGCTGAGAGAAGCCTCCTCCTGAGGTGCTTCTGGGAAGTTGGCATACGTCTTGAGCCTAAGCCAGGGAATCAGCTCTCATCTCGAGACGATTTAGGGTACACGAAGCATTCCTCGAGTTGCTGTGCTGAAGTTGGTGTTCCTCTAGACTTGGGACAGTGTTCTCGGGGCATCTCTGGAGTTACCTGAAGGAAGTCGAGCCACCGGTCGTGTTGAATGGGGAACGGGGAATGGCTTTGCAGTCAATGCAGGGGAATCGGGCCTCATCTCGAGTTGATTTAGGGCACATGGAGCTGCTTTGCTTTGCTGGGGTGACCTCAGGGTCCGTCTAGACTGGTGACAGTGTTCTTGGGGACTGTCTGGAGATCCATTAAGCAAGTCGAAGCTCCTGACTTGTTTGAATGGGATCACGGAATAGCTCTGCATGCACTGCAGGGGAATGGGGCCTCATCTCGCCTCTAGGGGGAAGTCTCATGGTTTTTCTCGAGTTGCGGCGGGGACCTGGGGTATGTTCTCGACTTACGGCTGGGATGGCCCTTCAAAACACGAGTTTCTTCAGTGACGTCAGGACTCCTCTCTAGTAACGAGGTACAGCTCAGGAATCTCTTCGAGGATTGGCAGGGCAAAAGGGACGCTTCTCGAGGTGAGGCAGGGCACCCAAGGACCCTTTCCAGTAGCCACAGCGATTTTGGGATTCCTATCAGTATTCAAGAGGAGTCAGGCATCGTCACCTTTTGAAGCAATGAACTCCGCGTGCCTCTCGAGGTGTCAGCGGGATGTGAGGCATTCCGTCAAAATGAGGTAGGGACCTAGGGCTTTCTCTAAGGTCTCCACAGGGGATTCAGACATCCCTTCATGTTGTGAGATGAAAGACGAGCCTGTATTCAAGCCACTGAAAGGAAATCCGGCCTCCTTTCAAGTTAGGGCTTCTCGCTGTATATTCCCCTTGAGGCAGCAAACACGGGGTCCCTCCCACATACCTATTGCTGAGAGAATCCTCCTCCTGAGGTAATTCTGGGAAGTTCGCATACGTCTTGACCCTAAGCCAAGGAATCAGCTCTCATCTCGAGACGATTTGGGGTACACGGAGCATTCCTCGAGTTGCTGTGCTGAAGTTCGTGTTCCTCTAGACTTGGGACAGTGTTCTCGGGGCATCTCTGGAGTTGCCTGAAGGAAGTCGAGCCACCGGTCGTGTTGAATGGGGAACGGGGAATGGCTCTGGAGTCAATGCAGGGGAATCGGGCCTCGTCTCGAGTTGATTTGGGGCACATGGAGCTGCTTTGCGTTGCTGGGGTGACCTCAGGGTCCGTCTAGACTGGTGACAGTGTTCTTGGGGACTGTCTGGAGATCCATTAAGCAAGTCGAAGCTCCTGACTTGTTTGAATGGGATCACGGAATAGCTCTGCATGCACTGCAGGGGAATGGGGCCTCATCTCGCCTCTAGGGGGAAGTCTCATGGTTTTCCTCGAGTTGCGGCGGGGACCTGGGGTATGTTCTCGACTTACGGCGGGGATGGCCCTTCAAAACACGAGTTTCTTCAGTGACGTCAGGACTCCTCTCTAGTAACGAGGGACACCTCAGGAATCTCTTCGAGGCTTGGCAGGGCAAAAGGGACGCTTCTCGAGGTGAGGCAGGGCACCCAAGGACCCTTTCCAGTAGCCACAGCGATTTTGGGATTCCTATCAGTATTCAAGAGGAGTCAGGCATCGTCACCTTTTGAAGCAATGAACTCCGCGTGCCTCTCGAGGTGTCAGCGGGATGTGAGGCATTCCGTAAAAATGAGGCAGGGACCTAGGGCTTCTCTAAGGTCTCCACATGGGATTCAGACATCCCTTCATGTTGTGAGATGAAAGACGAGCCTGTATTCAAGCCACTGCAAGGAAATCCGGCCTCCTTTCAAGTTAGGGCTTCTCGCTGTATATTCCCCTTGAGGCAGCAAACTCGGGGTCCCTCCCACATACCTATTGCTGAGAGAAGCCTCCTCCTGAGGTGCTTCTGGGAAGTTGGTATACGTCTTGAGCCTAAGCCAGGGAATCAGGTCTCATCTCGAGACGATTTGGGGTACACAAAGCATTCCTCGAGTTGCTGTGCTGAAGTTGGTGTTCCTCTAGACTTGGGACAGTGTTCTCGGGGCATCTCTGGAGTTGCCTGAAGGAAGTCGAGCCACCGGTCGTGTTGAATGGGGAACGGGGAATGGCTCTGGAGTCAATGCAGGGGAATCGGGCCTCATCTCGAGTTGATTTGTGGCACCTGGAGCTGCTTTGCGTTGCTGGGGTGACCTCAGGGTCCGTCTAGACTGGTGACAGTGTTCTTGGGGACTGCCTCGAGATCCATTAAGCAAGTCGAAGCTCCTGACTTGTTTGAATGGGATCACGGAATAGCTCTGCATGCACTGCAGGGGAATGGGGCCTCATCTCGCCTCTAGGGGGAAGTCTCATGGTTTTTCTCGAGTTGCGGCGGGGACCTGGGGTATGTTCTCGACTTACGGCGGGGATGGCCCTTCAAAACACGAGTTTCTTCAGTGACGTCAGGACTCCTGTCTAGTAACGAGGGACAGCTCAGGAATCTCTTCGAGGATTGGCAGGGCAAAAGGGACGCTTCTCGAGGTGAGGCAGGGCACCCAAGGACCCTTTCCAGTAGCCACAGCGATTTTGGGATTCCTATCAGTATTCAAGAGGAGTCAGGCATCGTCACCTTTTGAAGCAATGAACTCCGCGTGCCTCTCGAGGTGTCAGCGGGATGTGAGGCATTCCGTCAAAATGAGGTAGGGACCCAGGGCTTTCTCTAAGGTCTCCACAGGGGATTCAGACATCCCTTCATGTTGTGAGATGAAAGACGAGCCTGTATTCAAGCCACTGAAAGGAAATCCGGCCTCCTTTCAAGTTAGGGCTTCTCGCTGTATATTCCCCTTGAGGCAGCAAACACGTGGTCCCTCCCACATACCTATTGCTGAGAGAATCCTCCTCCTGAGGTAATTCTGGGAAGTTGGCATACGTCTTGACCCTAAGCCAAGGAATCAGCTCTCATCTCGAGACGATTTGGGGTACACGGAGCATTCCTCGAGTTGCTGTGCTGAAGTTCGTGTTCCTCTAGTCTTGGGACAGTGTTCTCGGGGCATCTCTGGAGTTGCCTGAAGGAAGTCGAGCCACCGGTCGTGTTGAATGGGGAACGGGGAATGGCTCTGGAGTCAATGCAGGGGAATCGGGCCTCGTCTCGAGTTGATTTGGGGCACATGGAGCTGCTTTGCGTTGCTGGGGTGACCTCAGGGTCCGTCTAGACTGGTGACAGTGTTCTTGGGGACTGTCTGGAGATCCATTAAGCAAGTCAAAGCTCCTGACTTGTTTGAATGGGATCACGGAATAGCTCTGCATGCACTGCAGGGGAATGGGGCCTCATCTTGCCTCTAGGGGGAAGTCTCATGGTTTTTCTCGAGTTGCGGCGGGGACCTGGGGTATGTTCTCGACTTACGGCGGGGATGGCCCTTCAAAACACGAGTTTCTTCAGTGACGTCAGGACTCCTCTCTAGTAACGAGGGACACCTCAGGAATCTCTTCGAGGCTTGGCAGGGCAAAAGGGACGCTTCTCGAGGTGAGGCAGGGCACCCAAGGACCCTTTCCAGTAGCCACAGCGATTTTGGGATTCCTATCAGTATTCAAGAGGAGTCAGGCATCGTCACCTTTTGAAGCAATGAACTCCGCGTGCCTCTCGAGGTGTCAGCGGGATGTGAGGCATTCCGTAAAAATGAGGCAGGGACCTAGGGCTTTCTCTAAGGTCTCCACATGGGATTCAGACATCCCTTCATGTTGTGAGATGAAAGACGAGCCTGTATTCAAGCCACTGCAAGGAAATCCGGCCTCCTTTCAAGTTAGGGCTTCTCGCTGTATATTCCCCTTGAGGCAGCAAACTCGGGGTCCCTCCCACATACCTATTGCTGAGAGAAGCCTCCTCCTGAGGTGCTTCTGGGAAGTTGGTATACGTCTTGAGCCTAAGCCAGGGAATCAGGACTCATCTCGAGACGATTTGGGGTACACAAAGCATTCCTCGAGTTGCTGTGCTGAAGTTGGTGTTCCTCTAGACTTGGGACAGTGTTCTCGGGGCATCTCTGGAGTTGCCTGAAGGAAGTCGAGCCACCGGTCGTGTTGAATGGGGAACGGGGAATGGCTCTGGAGTCAATGCAGGGGAATCGGGCCTCATCTCGAGTTGATTTGTGGCACCTGGAGCTGCTTTGCGTTGCTGGGGTGACCTCAGGGTCCGTCTAGACTGGTGACAGTGTTCTTGGGGACTGCCTCGAGATCCATTAAGCAAGTCGAAGCTCCTGACTTGTTTGAATGGGATCACGGAATAGCTCTGCATGCACTGCAGGGGAATGGGGCCTCATCTCGCCTCTAGGGGGAAGTCTCATGGTTTTTCTCGAGTTGCGGCGGGGACCTGGGGTATGTTCTCGACTTACGGCGGGGATGGCCCTTCAAAACACGAGTTTCTTCAGTGACGTCAGGACTCCTGTCTAGTAACGAGGGACAGCTCAGGAATCTCTTCGAGGATTGGCAGGGCAAAAGGGACGCTTCTCGAGGTGAGGCAGGGCACCCAAGGACCCTTTCCAGTAGCCACAGCGATTTTGGGATTCCTATCAGTATTCAAGAGGAGTCAGGCATCGTCACCTTTTGAAGCAATGAACTCCGCGTGCCTCTCGAGGTGTCAGCGGGATGTGAGGCATTCCGTAAAAATGAGGCAGGGACCTAGGGCTTTCTCTAAGGTCTCCACAGGGGATTCAGACATCCCTTCATGTTGTGAGATGAAAGACGAGCCTGTATTCAAGCCACTGAAAGGAAATCCGGCCTCCTTTCAAGTTAGGGCTTCTCGCTGTATATTCCCCTTGAGGCAGCAAACACGTGGTCCCTCCCACATACCTATTGCTGAGAGAATCCTCCTCCTGAGGTAATTCTGGGAAGTTGGCATACGTCTTGACCCTAAGCCAAGGAATCAGCTCTCATCTCGAGACGATTTGGGGTACACGGAGCATTCCTCGAGTTGCTGTGCTGAAGTTCGTGTTCCTCTAGACTTGGGACAGTGTTCTCGGGGCATCTCTGGAGTTGCCTGAAGGAAGTCGAGCCACCGGTCGTGTTGAATGGGGAACGGGGAATGGCTCTGGAGTCAATGCAGGGGAATCGGGCCTCGTCTCGAGTTGATTTGGGGCACATGGAGCTGCTTTGCGTTGCTGGGGTGACCTCAGGGTCCGTCTAGACTGGTGACAGTGTTCTTGGGGACTGTCTGGAGATCCATTAAGCAAGTCGAAGCTCCTGACTTGTTTGAATGGGATCACGGAATAGCTCTGCATGCACTGCAGGGGAATGGGGCCTCATCTCGCCTCTAGGGGGAAGTCTCATGGTTTTTCTCGAGTTGCGGCGGGGACCTGGGGTATGTTCTCGACTTACGGCGGGGATGGCCCTTCAAAACACGAGTTTCTTCAGTGACGTCAGGACTCCTCTCTAGTAACGAGGGACACCTCAGGAATCTCTTCGAGGCTTGGCAGGGCAAAAGGGAAGCTTCTTGAGGTGAGGCAGGGCACCCAAGGACCCTTTCCAGTAGCCACAGCGATTTTGGGATTCCTATCAGTATTCAAGAGGAGTCAGGCATCGTCACCTTTTGAAGCAATGAACTCCGCGTGCCTCTCGAGGTGTCAGCGGGATGTGAGGCATTCCGTCAAAATGAGGCAGGGACCTAGGGCTTTCTCTAAGGTCTCCACAGGGGATTCAGACATACCTTCATGTTGTGAGATGAAAGACGAGCCTGTATTCAAGCCACTGCAAGGAAATCCGGCCTCCTTTCAAGTTAGGGCTTCTCGCTGTATATTCCCCTTGAGGCAGTAAACTCGGGGTCCCTCCCACATACCTATTGCTGAGAGAAGCCTCCTCCTGAGGTGCTTCTGGGAAGTTGGCATACGTCTTGAGCCTAAGCCAGGGAATTAGCTCTCATCTCGAGACGATTTGGGGTACACTAAGCATTCCTCGAGTTGCTGTGCTGAAGTTGGTGTTCCTCTAGACTTGATACAGTGTTTTCGGCGCATCTCTGGAGTTGCCTGAAGGAAGTCGAGCCACCGGTCGTGTTGAATGGGGAACGGGGAATGGCTCTGGAGTCAATGCAGGGGAATCGGGCCTCGTCTCGAGTTGATTTGGGGCACATGGAGCTGCTTTGCGTTGCTGGGGTGACCTCAGGGTCCGTCTAGACTGGTGACAGTGTTCTTGGGGACTGTCTGGAGATCCATTAAGCAAGTCGAAGCTCCTGACTTGTTTGAATGGGATCACGGAAGAGCTCTGCATGCACTGCAGGGGAATGGGGCCTCATCTCGCCTCTAGGGGGAAGTCTCATGGTTTTTCTCGAGTTGCGGCGGGGACCTGGGGTATGTTCTCGACTTACGGCGGGGATGGCCCTTCAAAACACGAGTTTCTTCAGTGACGTCAGGACTCCTCTCTAGTAACGTGGGACACCTCAGGAATCTCTTCAAGGCTTGGCAGGGCAAAAGGGACGCTTCTCGAGGTGAGGCAGGGCACCCAAGGACCCTTTCCAGTAGCCACAGCGATTTTGGGATTCCTATCAGTATTCAAGAGGAGTCAGGCATCGTCACCTTTTGAAGCAATGAACTCCGCGTGCCTCTCGAGGTGTCAGCGGGATGTGAGGCATTACGTCAAAATGAGGCAGGGACCTAGGGCTTTCTCTAAGGTCTCCACAGGGGATTCAGACATCCCTTCATGTTGTGAGATGAAAGACGAGCCTGTATTCAAGCCACTGCAAGGAAATCCGGCCTCCTTTCAAGTGAGGGCTTCTCGCTGTATATTCCCCTTGAGGCAGCAAACTCGGGGTCCCTCCCACATACATATTGCTGAGAGAAGCCTCCTCCTGAGGTGCTTCTGGAAAGTTGGCATACGTCTTGAGCCTAAGCCAGGGATTCAGCTCTCATCTCGAGACGATTTGGGGTACACAGAGCATTCCTCGAGTTGCTGTGCTGAAGTTGGTGTTCCTGTAGACTTGGGACAGTGTTCTCTGGGCATCTTTGGAGTTGCCTGAAGGAAGTCGAGCCACCGGTCGTGTTGAATGGGGAACGGGGAATGGCTCTGGAGTCAATGCAGGGGAATCGGGCCTCGTCTCGAGTTGATTTGGGGCACATGGAGCTGCTTTGCGTTGCTGGGGTGACCTCAGGGTCCGTCTAGACTGGTGACAGTGTTCTTGGGGACTGTCTGGAGATCCATTAAGCAAGTCGAAGCTCCTGACTTGTTTGAATGGGATCACGGAATAGCTCTGCATGCACTGCAGGGGAATGGGGCCTCATCTCTCCTCTAGGGGGAAGTCTCATGGTTTTTCTCGAGTTGCGGCGGGGACCTGGGGTATGTTCTCGACTTACAGCGGGGATGGCCCTTCAAAACACGAGTTTCTTCAGTGACGTCAGGACTCCTGTCTAGTAACGAGGGACACTTCAGCAATCTCTTCGAGGCTTGGCAGGGCAAAAGGGACGCTTCTCGAGGTGAGGCATGGCACCCAAGGACCCTTTCCAGTAGCCACAGGGATTTTGGGATTCCTATAAGTAATCAAGAGGAGTCAGGCATCGTCACCTTTTGAAGCAATGAACTCCGCGTGCCTCTCGAGGTGTCAGCGGTATGTGAGGATTCCGTCAAAATGAGGCAGGGACCTAGGGCTTTCTCTAAGGTCTCCACAGGGGATTCAGACATCCCTTCATGTTGTGAGATGAAAGACGAGCCTGTATTCAAGCCACTGAAAGGAAATCCGGCCTCCTTTCAAGTTAGGGCTTCTCGCTGTATATTCCCCTTGAGGCAGCAAACACGGGGTCCCTCCCACATACCTATTGCTGAGAGAATCCTCCTCCTGAGGTAACTCTGGAAGTTGGCATACGTCTTGACCCTAAGCCAAGGAATCAGCTCTCATCTCGAGACGATTTGGGGTACACGGAGCATTCCTCGAGTTGCTGTGCTGAAGTTGGTGTTCCTCTAGACTTGGGACAGTGTTCTCGGGGCATCTCTGGAGTTGCCTGAAGGAAGTCGAGCCACCGGTCGTGTTGAATGGGGAACGGCGAATGGCTCTGGAGTCAATGCAGGGGAATCGGGCCTCGTCTCGAGTTGATTTGGGGCACATGGAGCTGCTTTGCGTTGCTGGGGTGACCTCAGGGTCCGTCTAGACTGGTGACAGTGTTCTTGGGGACTGTCTGGAGATCCATTAAGCAAGTCGAAGCTCCTGACTTGTTTGAATGGGATCACGGAATAGCTCTGCATGCACTGCAGGGGAATGGGGCCTCATCTCGCCTCTAGGGGGAAGTCTCATGGTTTTTCTCGAGTTGCGGCGGGGACCTGGGGTATGTTCTCGACTTACAGCGGGGATGGCCCTTCAAAACACGAGTTTCTTCAGTGACGTCAGGACTCCTGTCTAGTAACGAGGGACACTTCAGCAATCTCTTCGAGGCTTGGCAGGGCAAAAGGGACGCTTCTCGAGGTGAGGCATGGCACCCAAGGACCCTTTCCAGTAGCCACAGGGATTTTGGGATTCCTATAAGTAATCAAGAGGAGTCAGGCATCGTCACCTTTTGAAGCAATGAACTCCGCGTGCCTCTCGAGGTGTCAGCGGGATGTGAGGATTCCGTCAAAATGAGGCAGAGACCTAGGGCTTTCTCTAAGGTCTCCACAGGGGATTCAGACATCCCTTCATGTTGTGAGATGAAAGACGAGCCTGTATTCAAGCCACTGCAAGGAAATCTGGCCTCCTTTCAAGTTAGGGCTTCTCGCTGTATATTCCCCTTGAGGCAGCAAACTCGGGGTCCCTCCCACATACCTATTGCTGAGAGAAGCCTCCTCCTGCGGTGCTTCTGGAAAGGTGGCATACGTCTTGAGCCTAAGCCAGGGAATCAGCTCTCATCTCGAGATGATTTGGGGTACACAGAGCATTCCTCGAGTTGCTATGCTGAAGTTGGTGGTCCTCTAGACTTGGGACAGTGTTCTCGGGGCATCTCTGGAGTTGCCTGAAGGAAGTCGAGCCACCGGTCGTGTTGAATGGGGAACAAGGAATGGCTCTGGAGTCAATGCAGGGGAATCCGGCCTCATCTCGAGTTGATTTGGGGCACATGGAGCTGCTTTGCATTGCTGGGTGACCTCAGGGTCCGTCTAGACTGGTGACAGTGTACTTGGGGACTGTCTGGAGATCCATTAAGCAAGTCGAAGCTCCTGACTTGTTTGAATGGGATCACGGAATAGCTCTGCATGCACTGCAGGGGAATGGGACCTCATCTCGCCTCTAGGGGGAAGTCTCATGGTTTTTCTGGGGTTGCGGCGGGGACCTGGGGTATGTTCTCGACTTACGGCGGGGATGGCCCTTCAAAACACGAGTTTCTTCAGTGACGTCAGGACTCCTCTCTAGTAACGAGGGACACCTCAGGAATCTCTTCGAGGCTTGGCAGGGCAAAAGGGACGCTTCTCGAGGTGAGGCAGGGCACCCAAGGACCCTTTCCAGTAGCCACAGGGATTTTGGGATTCCTATCAGTATTCAAGAGGAGTCAGGCATCGTCACCTTTTGAAGCAATGAACTCCGCGTGCCTCTCGAGGTGTCAGCGGGATGTGAGGCATTCCGTAAAAATGAGGCAGGGACCTAGGGCTTTCTCTAAGGTCTCCACAGGGGATTCAGACATCCCTTCATGTTGTGAGATGAAAGACGAGCCTGTATTCAAGCCACTGAAAGGAAATCCGGCCTCCTTTCAAGTTAGGGCTTCTCGCTGTATATTCCCCTTGAGGCAGCAAACTCGGGGTCCCTCCCACATACATATTGCTGAGAGAAGCCTCCTCCTGAGGTGCTTCTGGGAAGTTGGCATACGTCTTGAGCCTAAGCCAGGGAATCAGCTCTCATCTCGAGACGATTTGGGGTACACGAAGCATTCCTCGAGTTGCTGTGCTGAAGTTGGTGTTCCTCTAGACTTGGGACAGTGTTCTCGGGGCATCTCTGGAGTTACCTGAAGGAAGTCGAGCCACCGGTCGTGTTGAATGGGGAACGGGGAATGGCTTTGCAGTCAATGCAGGGGAATCGGGCCTCATCTCGAGTTGATTTAGGGCACATGGAGCTGCTTTGCGTTGCTGGGGTGACCTCAGGGTCCGTCTAGACTGGTGACAGTGTTCTTGGGGACTGTCTGGAGATCCATTAAGCAAGTCGAAGCTCCTGACTTGTTTGAATGGGATCACGGAATAGCTCTGCATGCACTGCAGGGGAATGGGGCCTCATCTCGCCTCTAGGGGGAAGTCTCATGGTTTTTCTCGAGTTGCGGCGGGGACCTGGGGTATGTTCTCGACTTACGGCGGGGATGGCCCTTCAAAACACGAGTTTCTTCAGTGACGTCAGGACTCCTGTCTAGTAACGAGGGACACCTCAGCAATCTCTTCGAGGGTTGGCAGGGCAAAAGGGACGCTTCTCGAGGTGAGGCAGGGCACCCAAGGACCCTTTCCAGTAGCCACAGCGATTTTGGGATTCCTATCAGTATTCAAGAGGAGTCAGGCATCGTCACCTTTTGAAGCAATGAACTCCGCGTGCCTCTCGAGGTGTCAGCGGGATGTGAGGCATTCCGTCAAAATGAGGTAGGGCCCTAGGGCTTTCTCTAAGGTCTCCACAGGGGATTCAGACATCCCTTCATGTTGTGAGATGAAAGACGAGCCTGTATTCAAGCCACTGAAAGGAAATCCGGCCTCCTTTCAAGTTAGGGCTTCTCGCTGTATATTCCCCTTGAGGCAGCAAACACGGGGTCCCTCCCACATACCTATTGCTGAGAGAATCCTCCTCCTGAGGTAACTCTGGAAGTTGGCATACGTCTTGACCCTAAGCCAAGGAATCAGCTCTCATCTCGAGACGATTTGGGGTACACGGAGCATTCCTCGAGTTGCTGTGCTGAAGTTGGTGTTCCTCTAGACTTGGGACAGTGTTCTCGGGGCATCTCTGGAGTTGCCTGAAGGAAGTCGAGCCACCGGTCGTGTTGAATGGGGAACGGCGAATGGCTCTGGAGTCAATGCAGGGGAATCGGGCCTCGTTTCGAGTTGATTTGGGGCACATGGAGCTGCTTTGCGTTGCTGGGGTGACCTCAGGGTCCGTCTAGACTGGTGACAGTGTTCTTGGGGACTGTCTGGAGATCCATTAAGCAAGTCGAAGCTCCTGACTTTTTTGAATGGGATCACAGAATAGCTCTGCATGCACTGCAGGGGAATGGGGCCTCATCTCGCCTCTAGGGGGAAGTCTCATGGTATTTCTCGAGTTGCGGCGGGGACCTGGGGTATGTTCTCGACTTACAGCGGGGATGGCCCTTCAAAACACGAGTTTCTTCAGTGACGTCAGGACTCCTGTCTAGTAACGAGGGACACTTCAGCAATCTCTTCGAGGCTTGGCAGGGCAAAAGGGACGCTTCTCGAGGTGAGGCATGGCACCCAAGGACCCTTTCCAGTAGCCACAGGGATTTTGGGATTCCTATAAGTAATCAAGAGGAGTCAGGCATCGTCACCTTTTGAAGCAATGAACTCCGCGTGCCTCTCGAGGTGTCAGCGGGATGTGAGGATTCCGTCAAAATGAGGCAGGGACCTAGGGCTTTCTCTAAGGTCTCCACAGGGGATTCAGACATCCCTTCATGTTGTGAGATGAAAGACGAGCCTGTATTCAAGCCACTGCAAGGAAATCTGGCCTCCTTTCAAGTTAGGGCTTCTCGCTGTATATTCCCCTTGAGGCAGCAAACTCGGGGTCCCTCCCACATACCTATTGCTGAGAGAAGCCTCCTCCTGCGGTGCTTCTGGAAAGGTGGCATACGTCTTGAGCCTAAGCCAGGGAATCAGCTCTCATCTCGAGACGATTTGGGGTACACAGAGCATTCCTCGAGTTGCTATGCTGAAGTTGGTGGTCCTCTAGACTTGGGACAGTGTTCTCGGGGCATCTCTGGAGTTGCCTGAAGGAAGTCGAGCCACCGGTCGTGTTGAATGGGGAACAAGGAATGGCTCTGGAGTCAATGCAGGGGAATCCGGCCTCATCTCGAGTTGATTTGGGGCACATGGAGCTGCTTTGCATTGCTGGGTGACCTCAGGGTCCGTCTAGACTGGTGACAGTGTACTTGGGGACTGTCTGGAGATCCATTAAGCAAGTCGAAGCTCCTGACTTGTTTGAATGGGATCACGGAATAGCTCTGCATGCACTGCAGGGGAATGGGGCCTCATCTCGCCTCTAGGGGGAAGTCTCATGGTTTTTCTGGAGTTGCGGCGGGGACCTGGGGTATGTTCTCGACTTACGGCGGGGATGGCCCTTCAAAACACGAGTTTCTTCAGTGACGTCAGGACTCCTCTCTAGTAACGAGGGACACCTCAGGAATCTCTTCGAGGCTTGGCAGGGCAAAAGGGACGCTTCTCGAGGTGAACCAGGGCACCCAAGGACCCTTTCCAGTAGCCACAGGGATTTTGGGATTCCTATCAGTATTCAAGAGGAGTCAGGCATCGTCACCTTTTGAAGCAATGAACTCCGCGTGCCTCTCGAGGTGTCAGCGGGATGTGAGGCATTCCGTCAAAATGAGGTAGGGCCCTAGGGCTTTCTCTAAGGTCTCCACAGGGGATTCAGACATCCCTTCATGTTGTGAGATGAAAGACGAGCCTGTATTCAAGCCACTGAAAGGAAATCCGGCCTCCTTTCAAGTTAGGGCTTCTCGCTGTATATTCCCCTTGAGGCAGCAAACACGGGGTCCCTCCCACATACCTATTGCTGAGAGAATCCTCCTCCTGAGGTAACTCTGGAAGTTGGCATACGTCTTGACCCTAAGCCAAGGAATCAGCTCTCATCTCGAGACGATTTGGGGTACACGGAGCATTCCTCGAGTTGCTGTGCTGAAGTTGGTGTTCCTCTAGACTTGGGACAGTGTTCTCGGGGCATCTCTGGAGTTGCCTGAAGGAAGTCGAGCCACCGGTCGTGTTGAATGGGGAACGGCGAATGGCTCTGGAGTCAATGCAGGGGAATCGGGCCTCGTTTCGAGTTGATTTGGGGCACATGGAGCTGCTTTGCGTTGCTGGGGTGACCTCAGGGTCCGTCTAGACTGGTGACAGTGTTCTTGGGGACTGTCTGGAGATCCATTAAGCAAGTCGAAGCTCCTGACTTGTTTGAATGGGATCACAGAATAGCTCTGCATGCACTGCAGGGGAATGGGGCCTCATCTCGCCTCTAGGGGGAAGTCTCATGGTATTTCTCGAGTTGCGGCGGGGACCTGGGGTATGTTCTCGACTTACAGCGGGGATGGCCCTTCAAAACACGAGTTTCTTCAGTGACGTCAGGACTCCTGTCTAGTAACGAGGGACACTTCAGCAATCTCTTCGAGGCTTGGCAGGGCAAAAGGGACGCTTCTCGAGGTGAGGCATGGCACCCAAGGACCCTTTCCAGTAGCCACAGGGATTTTGGGATTCCTATAAGTAATCAAGAGGAGTCAGGCATCGTCACCTTTTGAAGCAATGAACTCCGCGTGCCTCTCGAGGTGTCAGCGGGATGTGAGGATTCCGTCAAAATGAGGCAGGGACCTAGGGCTTTCTCTAAGGTCTCCACAGGGGATTCAGACATCCCTTCATGTTGTGAGATGAAAGACGAGCCTGTATTCAAGCCACTGCAAGGAAATCTGGCCTCCTTTCAAGTTAGGGCTTCTCGCTGTATATTCCCCTTGAGGCAGCAAACTCGGGGTCCCTCCCACATACCTATTGCTGAGAGAAGCCTCCTCCTGCGGTGCTTCTGGAAAGGTGGCATACGTCTTGAGCCTAAGCCAGGGAATCAGCTCTCATCTCGAGACGATTTGGGGTACACAGAGCATTCCTCGAGTTGCTATGCTGAAGTTGGTGGTCCTCTAGACTTGGGACAGTGTTCTCGGGGCATCTCTGGAGTTGCCTGAAGGAAGTCGAGCCACCGGTCGTGTTGAATGGGGAACAAGGAATGGCTCTGGAGTCAATGCAGGGGAATCCGGCCTCATCTCGAGTTGATTTGGGGCACATGGAGCTGCTTTGCATTGCTGGGTGACCTCAGGGTCCGTCTAGACTGGTGACAGTGTACTTGGGGACTGTCTGGAGATCCATTAAGCAAGTCGAAGCTCCTGACTTGTTTGAATGGGATCACGGAATAGCTCTGCATGCACTGCAGGGGAATGGGGCCTCATCTCGCCTCTAGGGGGAAGTCTCATGGTTTTTCTGGAGTTGCGGCGGGGACCTGGGGTATGTTCTCGACTTACGGCGGGGATGGCCCTTCAAAACACGAGTTTCTTCAGTGACGTCAGGACTCCTCTCTAGTAACGAGGGACACCTCAGGAATCTCTTCGAGGCTTGGCAGGGCAAAAGGGACGCTTCTCGAGGTGAACCAGGGCACCCAAGGACCCTTTCCAGTAGCCACAGGGATTTTGGGATTCCTATCAGTATTCAAGAGGAGTCAGGCATCGTCACCTTTTGAAGCAATGAACTCCGCGTGCCTCTCGAGGTGTCAGCGGGATGTGAGGCATTCCGTAAAAATGAGGCAGGGACCTAGGGCTTTCTCTAAGGTCTCCACAGGGGATTCAGACATCCCTTCATGTTGTGAGATGAAAGACGAGCCTGTATTCAAGCCACTGAAAGGAAATCCGGCCTCCTTTCAAGTTAGGGCTTCTCGCTGTATATTCCCCTTGAGGCAGCAAACTCGGGGTCCCTCCCACATACATATTGCTGAGAGAAGCCTCCTCCTGAGGTGCTTCTGGGAAGTTGGCATACGTCTTGAGCCTAAGCCAGGGAATCAGCTCTCATCTCGAGACGATTTGGGGTACACGAAGCATTCCTCGAGTTGCTGTGCTGAAGTTGGTGTTCCTCTAGACTTGGGACAGTGTTCTCGGGGCATCTCTGGAGTTACCTGAAGGAAGTCGAGCCACCGGTCGTGTTGAATGGGGAACGGGGAATGGCTTTGCAGTCAATGCAGGGGAATCGGGCCTCATCTCGAGTTGATTTAGGGCACATGGAGCTGCTTTGCGTTGCTGGGGTGACCTCAGGGTCCGTCTAGACTGGTGACAGTGTTCTTGGGGACTGTCTGGAGATCCATTAAGCAAGTCGAAGCTCCTGACTTGTTTGAATGGGATCACGGAATAGCTCTGCATGCACTGCAGGGGAATGGGGCCTCATCTCGCCTCTAGGGGGAAGTCTCATGGTTTTTCTCGAGTTGCGGCGGGGACCTGGGGTATGTTCTCGACTTACGGCGGGGATGGCCCTTCAAAACACGAGTTTCTTCAGTGACGTCAGGACTCCTGTCTAGTAACGAGGGACAGCTCAGGAATCTCTTCGAGGATTGGCAGGGCAAAAGGGACGCTTCTCGAGGTGAGGCAGGGCACCCAAGGACCCTTTCCAGTAGCCACAGCGATTTTGGGATTCCTATCAGTATTCAAGAGGAGTCAGGCATCGTCACCTTTTGAAGCAATGAACTCCGCGTGCCTCTCGAGGTGTCAGCGGGATGTGAGGCATTCCGTCAAAATGAGGTAGGGCCCTAGGGCTTTCTCTAAGGTCTCCACAGGGGATTCAGACATCCCTTCATGTTGTGAGATGAAAGACGAGCCTGTATTCAAGCCACTGAAAGGAAATACGGCCTCCTTTCAAGTTAGGGCTTCTCGCTGTATATTCCCCTTGAGGCAGCAAACACGGGGTCCCTCCCACATACCTATTGCTGAGAGAATCCTCCTCCTGAGGTAACTCTGGAAGTTGGCATACGTCTTGACCCTAAGCCAAGGAATCAGCTCTCATCTCGAGACGATTTGGGGTACACGGAGCATTCCTCGAGTTGCTGTGCTGAAGTTGGTGTTCCTCTAGACTTGGGACAAGGTTCTCGGGGCATCTCTGGAGTTGCCTGAAGGAAGTCGAGCCACCGGTCGTGTTGAATGGGGAACGGCGAATGGCTCTGGAGTCAATGCAGGGGAATCGGGCCTCGTCTCGAGTTGATTTGGGGCACATGGAGCTGCTTTGCTTTGCTGGGGTGACCTCAGGGTCCGTCTAGACTGGTGACAGTGTTCTTGGGGACTGTCTGGAGATCCATTAAGCAAGTCGAAGCTCCTTACTTGTTTGAATGGGATCACGGAATAGCTCTGCATGCACTGCAGGGGAATGGGGCCTCATCTCGCCTCTAGGGGGAAGTCTCATGGTTTTTCTCGAGTTGCGGCGGGGACCTGGGGTATGTTCTCGACTTACAGCGGGGATGGCCCTTCAAAATACGAGTTTCTTCAGTGACGTCAGGACTCCTGTCTAGTAACGAGGGACACTTCAGCAATCTCTTCGAGGCTTGGCAGGGCAAAAGGGACGCTTCTCGAGGTGAGGCATGGCACCCAAGGACCCTTTCCAGTAGCCACAGGGATTTTGGGATTCCTATAAGTAATCAAGAGGAGTCAGGCATCGTCACCTTTTGAAGCAATGAACTCCGCGTGCCTCTCGAGGTGTCAGCGGGATGTGAGGATTCCGTCAAAATGAGGCAGGGACCTAGGGCTTTCTCTAAGGTCTCCACAGGGGATTCAGACATCCCTTCATGTTGTGAGATGAAAGACGAGCCTGTATTCAAGCCACTGCAAGGAAATCTGGCCTCCTTTCAAGTTAGGGCTTCTCGCTGTATATTCCCCTTGAGGCAGCAAACTCGGGGTCCCTCCCACATACCTATTGCTGAGAGAAGCCTCCTCCTGCGGTGCTTCTGGAAAGGTGGCATACGTCTTGAGCCTAAGCCAGGGAATCAGCTCTCATCTCGAGACGATTTGGGGTACACAGAGCATTCCTCGAGTTGCTATGCTGAAGTTGGTGGTCCTCTAGACTTGGGACAGTGTTCTCGGGGCATCTCTGGAGTTGCCTGAAGGAAGTCGAGCCACCGGTCGTGTTGAATGGGGAACAAGGAATGGCTCTGGAGTCAATGCAGGGGAATCCGGCCTCATCTCGAGTTGATTTGGGGCACATGGAGCTGCTTTGCATTGCTGGGTGACCTCAGGGTCCGTCTAGACTGGTGACAGTGTACTTGGGGACTGTCTGGAGATCCATTAAGCAAGTTGAAGCTCCTGACTTGTTTGAATGGGATCACGGAATAGCTCTGCATGCACTGCAGGGGAATGGGGCCTCATCTCGCCTCTAGGGGGAAGTCTCATGGTTTTTCTGGAGTTGCGGCGGGGACCTGGGGTATGTTCTCGACTTACGGCGGGGATGGCCCTTCAAAACACGAGTTTCTTCAGTGACGTCAGGACTCCTCTCTAGTAACGAGGGACACCTCAGGAATCTCTTCGAGGCTTGGCAGGGCAAAAGGGACGCTTCTCGAGGTGAGGCAGGGCACCCAAGGACCCTTTCCAGTAGCCACAGGGATTTTGGGATTCCTATCAGTATTCAAGAGGAGTCAGGCATCGTCACCTTTTGAAGCAATGAACTCCGCGTGCCTCTCGAGGTGTCAGCGGGATGTGAGGCATTCCGTAAAAATGAGGCAGGGACCTAGGGCTTTCTCTAAGGTCTCCACAGGGGATTCAGACATCCCTTCATGTTGTGAGATGAAAGACGAGCCTGTATTCAAGCCACTGAAAGGAAATCCGGCCTCCTTTCAAGGTAGGGCTTCTCGCTGTATATTCCCCTTGAGGCAGCAAACTCGGGGTCCCTCCCACATACATATTGCTGAGAGAAGCCTCCTCCTGAGGTGCTTCTGGGAAGTTGGCATACGTCTTGAGCCTAAGCCAGGGAATCAGCTCTCATCTCGAGACGATTTGGGGTACACGAAGCATTCCTCGAGTTGCTGTGCTGAAGTTGGTGTTCCTCTAGACTTGGGACAGTGTTCTCGGGGCATCTCTGGAGTTACCTGAAGGAAGTCGAGCCACCGGTCGTGTTGAATGGGGAACGGGGAATGGCTTTGCAGTCAATGCAGGGGAATCGGGCCTCATCTCGAGTTGATTTAGGGCACATGGAGCTGCTTTGCGTTGCTGGGGTGACCTCAGGGTCCGTCTAGACTGGTGACAGTGTTCTTGGGGACTGTCTGGAGATCCATTAAGCAAGTCGAAGCTCCTGACTTGTTTGAATGGGATCACGGAATAGCTCTGCATGCACTGCAGGGGAATGGGGCCTCATCTCGCCTCTAGGGGGAAATCTCATGGTTTTTCTCGAGTTGCGGCGGGGACCTGGGGTATGTTCTCGACTTACGGCGGGGATGGCCCTTCAAAACACGAGTTTCTTCAGTGACGTCAGGACTCCTGTCTAGTAACGAGGGACACCTCAGCAATCTCTTCGAGGGTTGGCAGGGCAAAAGGGACGCTTCTCGAGGTGAGGCAGGGCACCCAAGGACCCTTTCCAGTAGCCACAGCGATTTTGGGATTCCTATCAGTATTCAAGAGGAGTCAGGCATCGTCACCTTTTGAAGCAATGAACTCCGCGTGCCTCTCGAGGTGTCAGCGGGATGTGAGGCATTCCGTCAAAATGAGGTAGGGACCTAGGGCTTTCTCTAAGGTCTCCACAGGGGATTCAGACATCCCTTCATGTTGTGAGATGAAAGACGAGCCTGTATTCAAGCCACTGAAAGGAAATCCGGCCTCCTTTCAAGTTAGGGCTTCTCGCTGTATATTCCCCTTGAGGCAGCAAACACGGGGTCCCTCCCACATACCTATTGCTGAGAGAATCCTCCTCCTGAGGTAACTCTGGAAGTTGGCATACGTCTTGACCCTAAGCCAAGGAATCAGCTCTCATCTCGAGACGATTTGGGGTACACGGAGCATTCCTCGAGTTGCTGTGCTGAAGTTGGTGTTCCTCTAGACTTGGGACAGTGTTCTCGGGGCATCTCTGGAGTTGCCTGAAGGAAGTCGAGCCACCGGTCGTGTTGAATGGGGAACGGCGAATGGCTCTGGAGTCAATGCAGGGGAATCGGGCCTCGTCTCGAGTTGATTTGGGGCACATGGAGCTGCTTTGCGTTGCTGGGGTGACCTCAGGGTCCGTCTAGACTGGTGACAGTGTTCTTGGGGACTGTCTGGAGATCCATTAAGCAAGTCGAAGCTCCTGACTTGTTTCAATGGGATCACGGAATAGCTCTGCATGCACTGCAGGGGAATGGGGCCTCATCTCGCCTCTAGGGGGAAGTCTCATGGTTTTTCTCGAGTTGCGGCGGGGACCTGGGGTATGTTCTCGACTTACAGCGGGGATGGCCCTTCAAAACACGAGTTTCTTCAGTGACGTCAGGACTCCTGTCTAGTAACGAGGGACACTTCAGCAATCTCTTCGAGGCTTGGCAGGGCAAAAGGGACGCTTCTCGAGGTGAGGCATGGCACCCAAGGACCCTTTCCAGTAGCCACAGGGATTTTGGGATTCCTATAAGTAATCAAGAGGAGTCAGGCATCGTCACCTTTTGAAGCAATGAACTCCGCGTGCCTCTCGAGGTGTCAGCGGGATGTGAGGATTCCGTCAAAATGAGGCAGGGACCTAGGGCTTTCTCTAAGGTCTCCACAGGGGATTCAGACATCCCTTCATGTTGTGAGATGAAAGACGAGCCTGTATTCAAGCCACTGCAAGGAAATCTGGCCTCCTTTCAAGTTAGGGCTTCTCGCTGTATATTCCCCTTGAGGCAGCAAACTCGGGGTCCCTCCCACATACCTATTGCTGAGAGAAGCCTCCTCCTGCGGTGCTTCTGGAAAGGTGGCATACGTCTTGAGCCTAAGCCAGGGAATCAGCTCTCATCTCGAGACGATTTGGGGTACCAGAGCATTCCTCGAGTTGCTATGCTGAAGTTGGTGGTCCTCTAGACTTGGGACAGTGTTCTCGGGGCATCTCTGGAGTTGCCTGAAGGAAGTCGAGCCACCGGTCGTGTTGAATGGGGAACAAGGAATGGCTCTGGAGTCAATGCAGGGGAATCCGGCCTCATCTCGAGTTGTTTTGGGGCACATGGAGCTGCTTTGCATTGCTGGGTGACCTCAGGGTCCGTCTAGACTGGTGACAGTGTACTTGGGGACTGTCTGGAGATCCATTAAGCAAGTCGAAGCTCCTGACTTGTTTGAATGGGATCACGGAATAGCTCTGCATGCACTGCAGGGGAATGGGGCCTCATCTCGCCTCTAGGGGGAAGTCTCATGGTTTTTCTGGAGTTGCGGCGGGGACCTGGGGTATGTTCTCGACTTACGGCGGGGATGGCCCTTCAAAACACGAGTTTCTTCAGTGACGTCAGGACTCCTCTCTAGTAACGAGGGACACCTCAGGAATCTCTTCGAGGCTTGGCAGGGCAAAAGGGACGCTTCTCGAGGTGAGGCAGGGCACCCAAGGACCCTTTCCAGTAGCCACAGGGATTTTGGGATTCCTATCAGTATTCAAGAGGAGTCAGGCATCGTCACCTTTTGAAGCAATGAACTCCGCGTGCCTCTCGAGGTGTCAGCGGGATGTGAGGCATTCCGTAAAAATGAGGCAGGGACCTAGGGCTTTCTCTAAGGTCTCCACAGGGGATTCAGACATCCCTTCATGTTGTGAGATGAAAGACGAGCCTGTATTCAAGCCACTGAAAGGAAATCCGGCCTCCTTTCAAGTTAGGGCTTCTCGCTGTATATTCCCCTTGAGGCAGCAAACTTGGGGTCCCTCCCACATACATATTGCTGAGAGAAGCCTCCTCCTGAGGTGCTTCTGGGAAGTTGGCATACGTCTTGAGCCTAAGCCAGGGAATCAGCTCTCATCTCGAGACGATTTGGGGTACACGAAGCATTCCTCGAGTTGCTGTGCTGAAGTTGGTGTTCCTCTAGACTTGGGACAGTGTTCTCGGGGCATCTCTGGAGTTACCTGAAGGAAGTCGAGCCACCGGTCGTGTTGAATGGGGAACGGGGAACGGGGAATGGCTTTGCAGTCAATGCAGGGGAATCGGGCCTCATCTCGAGTTGATTTAGGGCACATGGAGCTGCTTTGCGTTGCTGGGGTGACCTCAGGGTCCGTCTAGACTGGTGACAGTGTTCTTGGGGACTGTCTGGAGATCCATTAAGCAAGTCGAAGCTCCTGACTTGTTTGAATGGGATCACGGAATAGCTCTGCATGCACTGCAGGGGAATGGGGCCTCATCTCGCCTCTAGGGGGAAGTCTCATGGTTTTTCTCGAGTTGCGGCGGGGACCTGGGGTATGTTCTCGACTTACGGCGGGGATGGCCCTTCAAAACACGAGTTTCTTCAGTGACGTCAGGACTCCTGTCTAGTAACGAGGGACAGCTCAGGAATCTCTTCGAGGATTGGCAGGGCAAAAGGGACGCTTCTCGAGGTGAGGCAGGGCACCCAAAGACCCTTTCCAGTAGCCACAGCGATTTTGGGATTCCTATCAGTATTCAAGAGGAGTCAGGCATCGTCACCTTTTGAAGCAATGAACTCCGCGTGCCTCTCGAGGTGTCAGCGGGATGTGAGGCATTCCGTCAAAATGAGGTAGGGCCCTAGGGCTTTCTCTAAGGTCTCCACAGGGGATTCAGACATCCCTTCATGTTGTGAGATGAAAGACGAGCCTGTATTCAAGCCACTGAAAGGAAATCCGGCCTCCTTTCAAGTTAGGGCTTCTCGCTGTATATTCCCCTTGAGGCAGCAAACACGGGGTCCCTCCCACATACCTATTGCTGAGAGAATCCTCCTCCTGAGGTAACTCTGGAAGTTGGCATACGTCTTGACCCTAAGCCAAGGAATCAGCTCTCATCTCGAGACGATTTGGGGTACACGGAGCATTCCTCGAGTTGCTGTGCTGAAGTTGGTGTTCCTCTAGACTTGGGACAGTGTTCTCGGGGCATCTCTGGAGTTGCCTGAAGGAAGTCGAGCCACCGGTCGTGTTGAATGGGGAACGGCGAATGGCTCTGGAGTCAATGCAGGGGAATCGGGCCTCGTCTCGAGTTGATTTGGGGCACATGGAGCTGCTTTGCGTTGCTGGGGTGACCTCAGGGTCCGTCTAGACTGGTGACAGTGTTCTTGGGGACTGTCTGGAGATCCATTAAGCAAGTCGAAGCTCCTGACTTGTTTGAATGGGATCACGGAATAGCTCTGCACGCACTGCAGGGGAATGGGGCCTCATCTCGCCTCTAGGGGGAAGTCTCATGGTTTTTCTCGAGTTGCGGCGGGGACCTGGGGTATGTTCTCGACTTACAGCGGGGATGGCCCTTCAAAACACGAGTTTCTTCAGTGACGTCAGGACTCCTGTCTAGTAACGAGGGACACTTCAGCAATCTCTTCGAGGCTTGGCAGGGCAAAAGGGACGCTTCTCGAGGTGAGGCATGGCACCCAAGGACCCTTTCCAGTAGCCACAGGGATTTTGGGATTCCTATAAGTAATCAAGAGGAGTCAGGCATCGTCACCTTTTGAAGCAATGAACTCCGCGTGCCTCTCGAGGTGTCAGCGGGATGTGAGGATTCCGTCAAAATGAGGCAGGGACCTAGGGCTTTCTCTAAGGTCTCCACAGGGGATTCAGACATCCCTTCATGTTGTGAGATGAAAGACGAGCCTGTATTCAAGCCACTGCAAGGAAATCTGGCCTCCTTTCAAGTTAGGGCTTCTCGCTGTATATTCCCCTTGAGGCAGCAAACTCGGGGTCCCTCCCACATACCTATTGCTGAGAGAAGCCTCCTCCTGCGGTGCTTCTGGAAAGGTGGCATACGTCTTGAGCCTAAGCCAGGGAATCAGCTCTCATCTCGAGACGATTTGGGGTACACAGAGCATTCCTCGAGTTGCTATGCTGAAGTTGGTGGTCCTCTAGACTTGGGACAGTGTTCTCGGGGCATCTCTGGAGTTGCCTGAAGGAAGTCGAGCCACCGGTCGTGTTGAATGGGGAACAAGGAATGGCTCTGGAGTCAATGCAGGGGAATCCGGCCTCATCTCGAGTTGATTTGGGGCACATGGAGCTGCTTTGCATTGCTGGGTGACCTCAGGGTCCGTCTAGACTGGTGACAGTGTACTTGGGGACTGTCTGGAGATCCATTAAGCAAGTCGAAGCTCCTGACTTGTTTGAATGGGATCACGGAATAGCTCTGCATGCACTGCAGGGGAATGGGGCCTCATCTCGCCTCTAGGGGGAAGTCTCATGGTTTTTCTGGAGTTGCGGCGGGGACCTGGGGTATGTTCTCGACTTACGGCGGGGATGGCCCTTCAAAACACGAGTTTCTTCAGTGACGTCAGGACTCCTCTCTAGTAACGAGGGACACCTCAGGAATCTCTTCGAGGCTTGGCAGGGCAAAAGGGACGCTTCTCGAGGTGAGGCAGGGCACCCAAGGACCCTTTCCAGTAGCCACAGGGATTTTGGGATTCCTATCAGTATTCAAGAGGAGTCAGGCATCGTCACCTTTTGAAGCAATGAACTCCGCGTGCCTCTCGAGGTGTCAGCGGGATGTGAGGCATTCCGTAAAAATGAGGCAGGGACCTAGGGCTTTCTCTAAGGTCTCCACAGGGGATTCAGACATCCCTTCATGTTGTGAGATGAAAGACGAGCCTGTATTCAAGCCACTGAAAGGAAATCCGGCCTCCTTTCAAGTTAGGGCTTCTCGCTGTATATTCCCCTTGAGGCAGCAAACTCGGGGTCCCTCCCACATACATATTGCTGAGAGAAGCCTCCTCCTGAGGTGCTTCTGGGAAGTTGGCATACGTCTTGAGCCTAAGCCAGGGAATCAGCTCTCATCTCGAGACGATTTGGGGTACACGAAGCATTCCTCGAGTTGCTGTGCTGAAGTTGGTGTTCCTCTAGACTTGGGACAGTGTTCTCGGGGCATCTCTGGAGTTACCTGAAGGAAGTCGAGCCACCGGTCGTGTTGAATGGGGAACGGGGAATGGCTTTGCAGTCAATGCAGGGGAATCGGGCCTCGTCTCGAGTTGATTTGGGGCACATGGAGCTGCTTTGCGTTGCTGGGGTGACCTCAGGGTCCGTCTAGACTGGTGACAGTGTTCTTGGGGACTGTCTGGAGATCCATTAAGCAAGTCGAAGCTCCTGACTTGTTTGAATGGGATCACGGAATAGCTCTGCATGCACTGCAGGGGAATGGGGCCTCATCTCGCCTCTAGGGGGAAGTCTCATGGTTTTTCTCGAGTTGCGGCGGGGACCTGGGGTATGTTCTCGACTTACGGCGGGGATGGCCCTTCAAAACACGAGTTTCTTCAGTGACGTCAGGACTCCTGTCTAGTAACGAGGGACAGCTCAGGAATCTCTTCGAGGATTGGCAGGGCAAAAGGGACGCTTCTCGAGGTGAGTCAGGGCACCCAAGGACCCTTTCCAGTAGCCACAGCGATTTTGGGATTCCTATCAGTATTCAAGAGGAGTCAGGCATCGTCACCTTTTGAAGCAATGAACTCCGCGTGCCTCTCGAGGTGTCAGCGGGATGTGAGGCATTCCGTCAAAATGAGGTAGGGCCCTAGGGCTTTCTCTAAGGTCTCCACAGGGGATTCAGACATCCCTTCATGTTGTGAGATGAAAGACGAGCCTGTATTCAAGCCACTGAAAGGAAATCCGGCCTCCTTTCAAGTTAGGGCTTCTCGCTGTATATTCCCCTTGAGGCAGCAAACACGGGGTCCCTCCCACATACCTATTGCTGAGAGAATCCTCCTCCTGAGGTAACTCTGGAAGTTGGCATACGTCTTGACCCTAAGCCAAGGAATCAGCTCTCATCTCGAGACGATTTGGGGTACACGGAGCATTCCTCGAGTTGCTGTGCTGAAGTTGGTGTTCCTCTAGACTTGGGACAGTGTTCTCGGGGCATCTCTGGAGTTGCCTGAAGGAAGTCGAGCCACCGGTCGTGTTGAATGGGGAACGGCGAATGGCTCTGGAGTCAATGCAGGGGAACCGGGCCTCGTCTCGAGTTGATTTGGGGCACATGGAGCTGCTTTGCGTTGCTGGGGCGACCTCAGGGTCCGTCTAGACTGGTGACAGTGTTCTTGGGGACTGTCTGGAGATCCATTAAGCAAGTCGAAGCTCCTGACTTGTTTCAATGGGATCACGGAATAGCTCTGCATGCACTGCAGGGGAATGGGGCCTCATCTCGCCTCTATGGGGAAGTCTCATGGTTTTTCTCGAGTTGCGGCGGGGACCTGGGGTATGTTCTCGACTTACAGCGGGGATGGCCCTTCAAAACACGAGTTTCTTCAGTGACGTCAGGACTCCTGTCTAGTAACGAGGGACACTTCAGCAATCTCTTCGAGGCTTGGCAGGGCAAAAGGGACGCTTCTCGAGGTGAGGCATGGCACCCAAGGACCCTTTCCAGTAGCCACAGGGATTTTGGGATTCCTATAAGTAATCAAGAGGAGTCAGGCATCGTCACCTTTTGAAGCAATGAACTCCGCGTGCCTCTCGAGGTGTCAGCGGGATGTGAGGATTCCGTCAAAATGAGGCAGGGACCTAGGGCTTTCTCTAAGGTCTCCACAGGGGATTCAGACATCCCTTCATGTTGTGAGATGAAAGACGAGCCTGTATTCAAGCCACTGCAAGGAAATCTGGCCTCCTTTCAAGTTAGGGCTTCTCGCTGTATATTCCCCTTGAGGCAGCAAACTCGGGGTCCCTCCCACATACCTATTGCTGAGAGAAGCCTCCTCCTGCGGTGCTTCTGGAAAGGTGGCATACGTCTTGAGCCTAAGCCAGGGAATCAGCTCTCATCTCGAGACGATTTGGGGTACACAGAGCATTCCTCGAGTTGCTATGCTGAAGTTGGTGGTCCTCTAGACTTGGGACAGTGTTCTCGGGGCATCTCTGGAGTTGCCTGAAGGAAGTCGAGCCACCGGTCGTGTTGAATGGGGAACAAGGAATGGCTCTGGAGTCAATGCAGGGGAATCCGGCCTCATCTCGAGTTGTTTTGGGGCACATGGAGCTGCTTTGCATTGCTGGGTGACCTCAGGGTCCGTCTAGACTGGTGACAGTGTACTTGGGGACTGTCTGGAGATCCATTAAGCAAGTCGAAGCTCCTGACTTGTTTGAATGGGATCACGGAATAGCTCTGCATGCACTGCAGGGGAATGGGGCCTCATCTCGCCTCTAGGGGGAAGTCTCATGGTTTTTCTGGAGTTGCGGCGGGGACCTGGGGTATGTTCTCGACTTACGGCGGGGATGGCCCTTCAAAACACGAGTTTCTTCAGTGACGTCAGGACTCCTCTCTAGTAACGAGGGACACCTCAGGAATCTCTTCGAGGCTTGGCAGGGCAAAAGGGACGCTTCTCGAGGTGAGGCAGGGCACCCAAGGACCCTTTCCAGTAGCCACAGGGATTTTGGGATTCCTATCAGTATTCAAGAGGAGTCAGGCATCGTCACCTTTTGAAGCAATGAACTCCGCGTGCCTCTCGAGGTGTCAGCGGGATGTGAGGCATTCCGTAAAAATGAGGCAGGGACCTAGGGCTTTCTCTAAGGTCTCCACAGGGGATTCAGACATCCCTTCATGTTGTGAGATGAAAGACGAGCCTGTATTCAAGCCACTGAAAGGAAATCCGGCCTCCTTTCAAGTTAGGGCTTCTCGCTGTATATTCCCCTTGAGGCAGCAAACTCGGGGTCCCTCCCACATACATATTGCTGAGAGAAGCCTCCTCCTGAGGTGCTTCTGGGAAGTTGGCATACGTCTTGAGCCTAAGCCAGGGAATCAGCTCTCATCTCGAGACGATTTGGGGTACACGAAGCATTCCTCGAGTTGCTGTGCTGAAGTTGGTGTTCCTCTAGACTTGGGACAGTGTTCTCGGGGCATCTCTGGAGTTACCTGAAGGAAGTCGAGCCACCGGTCGTGTTGAATGGGGAACGGGGAATGGCTTTGCAGTCAATGCAGGGGAATCGGGCCTCATCTCGAGTTGATTTAGGGCACATGGAGCTGCTTTGCGTTGCTGGGGTGACCTCAGGGTCCGTCTAGACTGGTGACAGTGTTCTTGGGGACTGTCTGGAGATCCATTAAGCAAGTCGAAGCTCCTGACTTGTTTGAATGGGATCACGGAATAGCTCTGCATGCACTGCAGGGGAATGGGGCCTCATCTCGCCTCTAGGGGGAAGTCTCATGGTTTTTCTCGAGTTGCGGCGGGGACCTGGGGTATGTTCTCGACTTACGGCGGGGATGGCCCTTCAAAACACGAGTTTCTTCAGTGACGTCAGGACTCCTGTCTAGTAACGAGGGACAGCTCAGGAATCTCTTCGAGGATTGGCAGGGCAAAAGGGACGCTTCTCGAGGTGAGGCAGGGCACCCAAGGACCCTTTCCAGTAGCCACAGCGATTTTGGGATTCCTATCAGTATTCAAGAGGAGTCAGGCATCGTCACCTTTTGAAGCAATGAACTCCGCGTGCCTCTCTAGGTGTCAGCGGGATGTGAGGCATTCCGTCAAAATGAGGTAGGGCCCTAGGGCTTTCTCTAAGGTCTCCACAGGGGATTCAGACATCCCTTCATGTTGTGAGATGAAAGACGAGCCTGTATTCAAGCCACTGAAAGGAAATCCGGCCTCCTTTCAAGTTAGGGCTTCTCGCTGTATATTCCCCTTGAGGCAGCAAACACGGGGTCCCTCCCACATACCTATTGCTGAGAGAATCCTCCTCCTGAGGTAACTCTGGAAGTTGGCATACGTCTTGACCCTAAGCCAAGGAATCAGCTCTCATCTCGAGACGATTTGGGGTACACGGAGCATTCCTCGAGTTGCTGTGCTGAAGTTGGTGTTCCTCTAGACTTGGGACAGTGTTCTCGGGGCATCTCTGGAGTTGCCTGAAGGAAGTCGAGCCACCGGTCGTGTTGAATGGGGAACGGCGAATGGCTCTGGAGTCAATGCAGGGGAACCGGGCCTCGTCTCGAGTTGATTTGGGGCACATGGAGCTGCTTTGCGTTGCTGGGGCGACCTCAGGGTCCGTCTAGACTGGTGACAGTGTTCTTGGGGACTGTCTGGAGATCCATTAAGCAAGTCGAAGCTCCTGACTTGTTTCAATGGGATCACGGAATAGCTCTGCATGCACTGCAGGGGAATGGGGCCTCATCTCGCCTCTAGGGGGAAGTCTCATGGTTTTTCTCGAGTTGCGGCGGGGACCTGGGGTATGTTCTCGACTTACAGCGGGGATGGCCCTTCAAAACACGAGTTTCTTCAGTGACGTCAGGACTCCTGTCTAGTAACGAGGGACACTTCAGCAATCTCTTCGAGGCTTGGCAGGGCAAAAGGGACGCTTCTCGAGGTGAGGCATGGCACCCAAGGACCCTTTCCAGTAGCCACAGGGATTTTGGGATTCCTATAAGTAATCAAGAGGAGTCAGGCATCGTCACCTTTTGAAGCAATGAACTCCGCGTGCCTCTCGAGGTGTCAGCGGGATGTGAGGATTCCGTCAAAATGAGGCAGGGACCTAGGGCTTTCTCTAAGGTCTCCACAGGGGATTCAGACATCCCTTCATGTTGTGAGATGAAAGACGAGCCTGTATTCAAGCCACTGCAAGGAAATCTGGCCTCCTTTCTAGTTAGGGCTTCTCGCTGTATATTCCCCTTGAGGCAGCAAACTCGGGGTCCCTCCCACATACCTATTGCTGAGAGAAGCCTCCTCCTGCGGTGCTTCTGGAAAGGTGGCATACGTCTTGAGCCTAAGCCAGGGAATCAGCTCTCATCTCGAGACGATTTGGGGTACACAGAGCATTCCTCGAGTTGCTATGCTGAAGTTGGTGGTCCTCTAGACTTGGGACAGTGTTCTCGGGGCATCTCTGGAGTTGCCTGAAGGAAGTCGAGCCACCGGTCGTGTTGAATGGGGAACAAGGAATGGCTCTGGAGTCAATGCAGGGGAATCCGGCCTCATCTCGAGTTGTTTTGGGGCACATGGAGCTGCTTTGCATTGCTGGGTGACCTCAGGGTCCGTCTAGACTGGTGACAGTGTACTTGGGGACTGTCTGGAGATCCATTAAGCAAGTCGAAGCTCCTGACTTGTTTGAATGGGATCACGGAATAGCTCTGCATGCACTGCAGGGGAATGGGGCCTCATCTCGCCTCTAGGGGGAAGTCTCATGGTTTTTCTGGAGTTGCGGCGGGGACCTGGGGTATGTTCTCGACTTACGGCGGGGATGGCCCTTCAAAACACGAGTTTCTTCAGTGACGTCAGGACTCCTCTCTAGTAACGAGGGACACCTCAGGAATCTCTTCGAGGCTTGGCAGGGCAAAAGGGACGCTTCTCGAGGTGAGGCAGGGCACCCAAGGACCCTTTCCAGTAGCCACAGGGATTTTGGGATTCCTATCAGTATTCAAGAGGAGTCAGGCATCGTCACCTTTTGAAGCAATGAACTCCGCGTGCCTCTCGAGGTGTCAGCGGGATGTGAGGCATTCCGTAAAAATGAGGCAGGGACCTAGGGCTTTCTCTAAGGTCTCCACAGGGGATTCAGACATCCCTTCATGTTGTGAGATGAAAGACGAGCCTGTATTCAAGCCACTGAAAGGAAATCCGGCCTCCTTTCAAGTTAGGGCTTCTCGCTGTATATTCCCCTTGAGGCAGCAAACTCGGGGTCCCTCCCACATACATATTGCTGAGAGAAGCCTCCTCCTGAGGTGCTTCTGGGAAGTTGGCATACGTCTTGAGCCTAAGCCAGGGAATCAGCTCTCATCTCGAGACGATTTGGGGTACACGAAGCATTCCTCGAGTTGCTGTGCTGAAGTTGGTGTTCCTCTAGACTTGGGACAGTGTTCTCGGGGCATCTCTGGAGTTACCTGAAGGAAGTCGAGCCACCGGTCGTGTTGAATGGGGAACGGGGAATGGCTTTGCAGTCAATGCAGGGGAATCGGGCCTCATCTCGAGTTGATTTAGGGCACATGGAGCTGCTTTGCGTTGCTGGGGTGACCTCAGGGTCCGTCTAGACTGGTGACAGTGTTCTTGGGGACTGTCTGGAGATCCATTAAGCAAGTCGAAGCTCCTGACTTGTTTGAATGGGATCACGGAATAGCTCTGCATGCACTGCAGGGGAATGGGGCCTCATCTCGCCTCTAGGGGGAAGTCTCATGGTTTTTCTCGAGTTGCGGCGGGGACCTGGGGTATGTTCTCGACTTACGGCGGGGATGGCCCTTCAAAACACGAGTTTCTTCAGTGACTTCAGGACTCCTGTCTAGTAACGAGGGACACCTCAGCAATCTCTTCGAGGGTTGGCAGGGCAAAAGGGACGCTTCTCGAGGTGAGGCAGGGCACCCAAGGACCCTTTCCAGTAGCCACAGCGATTTTGGGATTCCTATCAGTATTCAAGAGGAGTCAGGCATCGTCACCTTTTGAAGCAATGAACTCCGCGTGCCTCTCGAGGTGTCAGCGGGATGTGAGGCATTCCGTCAAAATGAGGTAGGGCCCTAGGGCTTTCTCTAAGGTCTCCACAGGGGATTCAGACATCCCTTCATGTTGTGAGATGAAAGACGAGCCTGTATTCAAGCCACTGAAAGGAAATCCGGCCTCCTTTCAAGTTAGGGCTTCTCGCTGTATATTCCCCTTGAGGCAGCAAACACGGGGTCCCTCCCACATACCTATTGCTGAGAGAATCCTCCTCCTGAGGTAACTCTGGAAGTTGGCATACGTCTTGACCCTAAGCCAAGGAATCAGCTCTCATCTCGAGACGATTTGGGGTACACGGAGCATTCCTCGAGTTGCTGTGCTGAAGTTGGTGTTCCTCTAGACTTGGGACAGTGTTCTCGGGGCATCTCTGGAGTTGCCTGAAGGAAGTCGAGCCACCGGTCGTGTTGAATGGGGAACAAGGAATGGCTCTGGAGTCAATGCAGGGGAATCGGGCCTCGTCTCGAGTTGATTTGGGGCACATGGAGCTGCTTTGCGTTGCTGGGGTGACCTCAGGGTCCGTCTAGACTGGTGACAGTGTTCTTGGGGACTGTCTGGAGATCCATTAAGCAAGTCGAAGCTCCTGACTTGTTTGAATGGGATCACGGAATAGCTCTGCATGCACTGCAGGGGAATGGGGCCTCATCTCGCCTCTAGGGGGAAGTCTCATGGTTTTTCTCGAGTTGCGGCGGGGACCTGGGGTATGTTCTCGACTTACAGCGGGGATGGCCCTTCAAAACACGAGTTTCTTCAGTGACGTCAGGACTCCTGTCTAGTAACGAGGGACACTTCAGCAATCTCTTCGAGGCTTGGCAGGGCAAAAGGGACGCTTCTCGAGGTGAGGCATGGCACCCAAGGACCCTTTCCAGTAGCCACAGGGATTTTGGGATTCCTATAAGTAATCAAGAGGAGTCAGGCATCGTCACCTTTTGAAGCAATGAACTCCGCGTGCCTCTCGAGGTGTCAGCGGGATGTGAGGATTCCGTCAAAATGAGGCAGGGACCTAGGGCTTTCTCTAAGGTCTCCACAGGGGATTCAGACATCCCTTCATGTTGTGAGATGAAAGACGAGCCTGTATTCAAGCCACTGCAAGGAAATCTGGCCTCCTTTCAAGTTAGGGCTTCTCGCTGTATATTCCCCTTGAGGCAGCAAACTCGGGGTCCCTCCCACATACCTATTGCTGAGAGAAGCCTCCTCCTGCGGTGCTTCTGGAAAGGTGGCATACGTCTTGAGCCTAAGCCAGGGAATCAGCTCTCATCTCGAGACGATTTGGGGTACACAGAGCATTCCTCGAGTTGCTATGCTGAAGTTGGTGGTCCTCTAGACTTGGGACAGTGTTCTCGGGGCATCTCTGGAGTTGCCTGAAGGAAGTCGAGCCACCGGTCGTGTTGAATGGGGAACAAGGAATGGCTCTGGAGTCAATGCAGGGGAATCCGGCCTCATCTCGAGTTGATTTGGGGCACATGGAGCTGCTTTGCATTGCTGGGTGACCTCAGGGTCCGTCTAGACTGGTGACAGTGTACTTGGGGACTGTCTGGAGATCCATTAAGCAAGTCGAAGCTCCTGACTTGTTTGAATGGGATCACGGAATAGCTCTGCATGCACTGCAGGGGAATGGGGCCTCATCTCGCCTCTAGGGGGAAGTCTCATGGTTTTTCTGGAGTTGCGGCGGGGACCTGGGGTATGTTCTCGACTTACGGCGGGGATGGCCCTTCAAAACACGAGTTTCTTCAGTGACGTCAGGACTCCTCTCTAGTAACGAGGGACACCTCAGGAATCTCTTCGAGGCTTGGCAGGGCAAAAGGGACGCTTCTCGAGGTGAGGCAGGGCACCCAAGGACCCTTTCCAGTAGCCACAGGGATTTTGGGATTCCTATCAGTATTCAAGAGGAGTCAGGCATCGTCACCTTTTGAAGCAATGAACTCCGCGTGCCTCTCGAGGTGTCAGCGGGATGTGAGGCATTCCGTAAAAATGAGGCAGGGACCTAGGGCTTTCTCTAAGGTCTCCACAGGGGATTCAGACATCCCTTCATGTTGTGAGATGAAAGACGAGCCTGTATTCAAGCCACTGAAAGGAAATCCGGCCTCCTTTCAAGTTAGGGCTTCTCGCTGTATATTCCCCTTGAGGCAGCAAACTCGGGGTCCCTCCCACATACCTATTGCTGAGAGAAGCCTCCTCCTGAGGTAACTCTGGAAGTTGGCATACGTCTTGACCCTAAGCCAAGGAATCAGCTCTCATCTCGAGACGATTTGGGGTACACGGAGCATTCCTCGAGTTGCTGTGCTGAAGTTCGTGTTCCTCTAGACTTGGGACAGTGTTCTCGGGGCATCTCTGGAGTTGCCTGAAGGAAGTCGAGCCACCGGTCGTGTTGAATGGGGAACGGCGAATGGCTCTGGAGTCAATGCAGGGAAATCGGGCCTCGTCTCCAGTTGATTTGGGGCACATGGAGCTGCTTTGCGTTGCTGGGGTGACCTCAGGGTCCGTCTAGACTGGTGACAGTGTTCTTGGGGACTGTCTGGAGATCCATTAAGCAAGTCGAAGCTCCTGACTTGTTTGAATGGGATCACGGAATAGCTCTGCATGCACTGCAGGGGAATGGGGCCTCATCTCGCCTCTAGGGGGAAGTCTCATGGTTTTTCTCGAGTTGCGGCGGGGACCTGGGGTATGTTCTCGACTTACAGCGGGGATGGCCCTTCAAAACACGAGTTTCTTCAGTGACGTCAGGACTCCTGTCTAGTAACGAGGGACACTTCAGCAATCTCTTCGAGGCTTGGCAGGGCAAAAGGGACGCTTCTCGAGGTGAGGCATGGCACCCAAGGACCCTTTCCAGTAACCACAGGGATTTTGGGATTCCTATAAGTAATCAAGAGGAGTCAGGCATCCTCACCTTTTGAAGCAATGAACTCCGCGTGCCTCTCGAGGTGTCAGCGGGATGTGAGGATTCCGTCAAAATGAGGCAGGGACCTAGGGCTTTCTCTAAGGTCTCCACAGGGGATTCAGACATCCCTTCATGTTGTGAGATGAAAGACGAGCCTGTATTCAAGCAACTGCAAGGAAATCTGGCCTCCTTTCAAGTTAGGGCTTCTCGCTGTATATTCCCCTTGAGGCAGCAAACTCGGGGTCCCTCCCACATACCTATTGCTGAGAGAAGCCTCCTCCTGCGGTGCTTCTGGAAAGGTGGCATACGTCTTGAGCCTAAGCCAGGGAATCAGCTCTCATCTCGAGACGATTTGGGGTACACAGAGCATTCCTCGAGTTGCTATGCTGAAGTTGGTGGTCCTCTAGACTTGGGACAGTGTTCTCGGGGCATCTCTGGAGTTGCCTGAAGGAAGTCGAGCCACCGGTCGTGTTGAATGGGGAACGGGGAATGGCTCTGGAGTCAATGCAGGGGAATCGGGCCTCATCTCGAGTTGATTTGTGGCACCTGGAGCTGCTTTGCTTTGCTGGGGTGACCTCAGGGTCCGTCTAGACTGGTGACAGTGTTCTTGGGGACTGCCTCGAGATCCATTAAGCAAGTCGAAGCTCCTGACTTGTTTGAATGGGATCACGGAAAAGCTCTGCATGCACTGCAGGGGAATGGGGCCTCATCTCGCCTCTAGGGGGAAGGCTCTCGGTTTTTCTCGAGTTGGGGCGGGGACCTGGGGTATGTTCTCGACTTACAGCGGGGATGGCCCTTCAAAACACGAGTTTCTTCAGTGACGTCAGGACTCCTCTCTAGTAACGAGGGACACCTCAGCAATCTCTTCGAGGCTTGGCAGGGCAAAAGGGACGCTTCTCGAGGTGAGGCAGGGCACCCAAGGACCCTTTCCAGTAGCCACAGCGATTTTGGGATTCCTATCAGTATTCAAGAGGAGTCAGGCATCGTCACCTTTTGAAGCAATGAACTCCGCGTGCCTCTCGAGGTGTCAGCGGGATGTGAGGCATTCCGTCAAAATGAGGTAGGGACCTAGGGCTTTCTCTAAGGTCTCCACAGGGGATTCAGACATCCCTTCATGTTGTGAGATGAAAGACGAGCCTGTATTCAAGCCACTGCAAGGAAATCCGGCCTCCTTTCAAGTTAGTGCTTCTCGCTGTATATTCCCCTTGAGGCAGCAAACACGGGGTCCCTCCCACATACCTAATGCTGAGAGAATACTCCTCCTGAGGTAATTCTGGGAAGTTGGCATACGTCTTGACCCTAAGCCAAGGAATCAGCTCTCATCTCGAGACGATTTGGGGTACACGGAGCATTCCTCGAGTTGCTGTGCTGAAGTTCGTGTTCCTCTAGACTTGGGACAGTGTTCTCGGGGCATCTCTGGAGTTGCCTGAAGGAAGTCGAGCCACCGGTCGTGTTGAATGGGGAACGGGGAATGGCTCTGGAGTCAATGCAGGGGAATCGGGCCTCGTCTCGAGTTGATTTGGGGCACATGGAGCTGCTTTGCGTTGCTGGGGTGACCTCAGGGTCCGTCTAGACTGGTGACAGTGTTCTTGGGGACTGTCTGGAGATCCATTAAGCAAGTCGAAGCTCCTGACTTGTTTGAATGGGATCACGGAATAGCTCTGCATGCACTGCAGGGGAATGGGGCCTCATCTCGCCTCTAGGGGGAAGTCTCATGGTTTTTCTCGAGTTGCGGCGGGGACCTGGGGTATGTTCTCGACTTACGGCGGGGATGGCCCTTCAAAACACGAGTTTCTTCAGTGACGTCAGGACTCCTCTCTAGTAACGAGGGACACCTCAGGAATCTCTTCGAGGCTTGGCAGGGCAAAAGGGACGCTTCTCGAGGTGAGGCAGGGCACCCAAGGACCCTTTCCAGTAGCCACAGCGATTTTGGGATTCCTATCAGTATTCAAGAGGAGTCAGGCATCGTCACCTTTTGAAGCAATGAACTCCGCGTGCCTCTCGAGGTGTCAGCGGGATGTGAGGCATTCCGTAAAAATGAGGCAGGGACCTAGGGCTTTCTCTAAGGTCTCCACATGGGATTCAGACATCCCTTCATGTTGTGAGATGAAAGACGAGCCTGTATTCAAGCCACTGCAAGGAAATCCGGCCTCCTTTCAAGTTAGGGCTTCTCGCTGTATATTCCCCTTGAGGCAGCAAACTCGGGGTCCCTCCCACATACCTATTGCTGAGAGAAGCCTCCTCCTGAGGTGCTTCTGGGAAGTTGGTATACGTCTTGAGCCTAAGCCAGGGAATCAGCTCTCATCTCGAGACGATTTGGGGTACACAAAGCATTCCTCGAGTTGCTGTGCTGAAGTTGGTGTTCCTCTAGACTTGGGACAGTGTTCTCGGGGCATCTCTGGAGTTGCCTGAAGGAAGTCGAGCCACCGGTCGTGTTGAATGGGGAACGGGGAATGGCTCTGGAGTCAATGCAGGGGAATCGGGCCTCGTCTCGAGTTGATTTGGGGCACATGGAGCAGCTTTGCGTTGCTGGGGTGACCTCAGGGTCCGTCTAGACTGGTGACAGTGTTCTTGGGGACTGTCTGGAGATCCATTAAGCAAGTCGAAGCTCCTGACTTGTTTGAATGGGATCACGGAATAGCTCTGCATGCACTGCAGGGGAATGGGGCCTCATCTCGCCTCTAGGGGGAAGTCTCATGGTTTTTCTCGAGTTGCGGCGGGGACCTGGGGTATGTTCTCGACTTACGGCGGGGATGGCCCTTCAAAACACGAGTTTCTTCAGTGACGTCAGGACTCCTCTCTAGTAACGAGGGACACCTCAGGAATCTCTTCGAGGCTTGGCAGGGCAAAAGGGACGCTTCTCGAGGTGAGGCAGGGCACCCAAGGACCCTTTCCAGTAGCCACAGCGATTTTGGGATTCCTATCAGTATTCAAGAGGAGTCAGGCATCGTCACCTTTTGAAGCAATGAACTCCGCGTGCCTCTCGAGGTGTCAGCGGGATGTGAGGCATTCCGTAAAAATGAGGCAGGGACCTAGGGCTTTCTCTAAGGTCTCCACATGGGATTCAGACATCCCTTCATGTTGTGAGATGAAAGACGAGCCTGTATTCAAGCCACTGCAAGGAAATCCGGCCTCCTTTCAAGTTAGGGCTTCTCGCTGTATATTCCCCTTGAGGCAGCAAACTCGGGGTCCCTCCCACATACCTATTGCTGAGAGAAGCCTCCTCCTGAGGTGCTTCTGGGAAGTTGGTATACGTCTTGAGCCTAAGCCAGGGAATCAGCTCTCATCTCGAGACGATTTGGGGTACACAAAGCATTCCTCGAGTTGCTGTGCTGAAGTTGGTGTTCCTCTAGACTTGGGACAGTGTTCTCGGGGCATCTCTGGAGTTGCCTGAAGGAAGTCGAGCCACCGGTCGTGTTGAATGGGGAACGGGGAATGGCTCTGGAGTCAATGCAGGGGAATCGGGCCTCATCTCGAGTTGATTTGTGGCACCTGGAGCTGCTTTGCGTTGCTGGGGTGACCTCAGGGTCCGTCTAGACTGGTGACAGTGTTCTTGGGGACTGCCTCGAGATCCATTAAGCAAGTCGAAGCTCCTGACTTGTTTGAATGGGATCACGGAATAGCTCTGCATGCACTGCAGGGGAATGGGGCCTCATCTCGCCTCTAGGGGGAAGTCTCATGGTTTTTCTCGAGTTGCGGCGGGGACCTGGGGTATGTTCTCGACTTACGGCGGGGATGGCCCTTCAAAACACGAGTTTCTTCAGTGACGTCAGGACTCCTGTCTAGTAACGAGGGACAGCTCAGGAATCTCTTCGAGGATTGGCAGGGCAAAAGGGACGCTTCTCGAGGTGAGGCAGGGCACCCAAGGACCCTTTCCAGTAGCCACAGCGATTTTGGGATTCCTATCAGTATTCAAGAGGAGTCAGGCATCGTCACCTTTTGAAGCAATGAACTCCGCGTGCCTCTCGAGGTGTCAGCGGGATGTGAGGCATTCCGTCAAAATGAGGTAGGGACCTAGGGCTTTCTCTAAGGTCTCCACAGGGGATTCAGACATCCCTTCATGTTGTGAGATGAAAGACGAGCCTGTATTCAAGCCACTGAAAGGAAATCCGGCCTCCTTTCAAGTTAGGGCTTCTCGCTGTATATTCCCCTTGAGGCAGCAAACACGGGGTCCCTCCCACATACCTATTGCTGAGAGAATCCTCCTCCTGAGGTAATTCTGGGAAGTTGGCATACGTCTTGACCCTAAGCCAAGGAATCAGCTCTCATCTCGAGACGATTTGGGGTACACGGAGCATTCCTCGAGTTGCTGTGCTGAAGTTCGTGTTCCTCTAGACTTGGGACAGTGTTCTCGGGGCATCTCTGGAGTTGCCTGAAGGAAGTCGAGCCACCGGTCGTGTTGAATGGGGAACGGGGAATGGCTCTGGAGTCAATGCAGGGGAATCGGGCCTCGTCTCGAGTTGATTTGGGGCACATGGAGCTGCTTTGCGTTGCTGGGGTGACCTCAGGGTCCGTCTAGACTGGTGACAGTGTTCTTGGGGACTGTCTGGAGATCCATTAAGCAAGTCGAAGCTCCTGACTTGTTTGAATGGGATCACGGAATAGCTCTGCATGCACTGCAGGGGAATGGGGCCTCATCTCGCCTCTAGGGGGAAGTCTCATGGTTTTTCTCGAGTTGCGGCGGGGACCTGGGGTATGTTCTCGACTTACGGCGGGGATGGCCCTTCAAAACACGAGTTTCTTCAGTGACGTCAGGACTCCTCTCTAGTAACGAGGGACACCTCAGGAATCTCTTCGAGGCTTGGCAGGGCAAAAGGGACGCTTCTCGAGGTGAGGCAGGGCACCCAAGGACCCTTTCCAGTAGCCACAGCGATTTTGGGATTCCTATCAGTATTCAAGAGGAGTCAGGCATCGTCACCTTTTGAAGCAATGAACTCCGCGTGCCTCTCGAGGTGTCAGCGGGATGTGAGGCATTCCGTCAAAATGAGGCAGGGACCTAGGGCTTTCTCTAAGGTCTCCACAGGGGATTCAGACATACCTTCATGTTGTGAGATGAAAGACGAGCCTGTATTCAAGCCACTGCAAGGAAATCCGGCCTCCTTTCAAGTTAGGGCTTCTCGCTGTATATTCCCCTTGAGGCAGCAAACTCGGGGTCCCTCCCACATACCTATTGCTGAGAGAAGCCTCCTCCTGAGGTGCTTCTGGGAAGTTGGCATACGTCTTGAGCCTAAGCCAGGGAATCAGCTCTCATCTCGAGACGATTTGGGGTACACGAAGCATTCCTCGAGTTGCTGTGCTGAAGTTGGTGTTCCTCTAGACTTGGGACAGTGTTCTCGGGGCATCTCTGGAGTTGCCTGAAGGAAGTCGAGCCACCGGTCGTGTTGAATGGGGAACGGGGAATGGCTCTGGAGTCAATGCAGGGGAATCGGGCCTCATCTCGAGTTGATTTGTGGCACCTGGAGCTGCTTTGCGTTGCTGGGGTGACCTCAGGGTCCGTCTAGACTGGTGACAGTGTTCTTGGGGACTGCCTCGAGATCCATTAAGCAAGTCGAAGCTCCTGACTTGTTTGAATGGGATCACGGAATAGCTCTGCATGCACTGCAGGGGAATGGGGCCTCATCTCGCCTCTAGGGGGAAGGCTCACGGTTTTTCTCGAGTTGCGGCGGGGACCTGGGGTATGTTCTCGACTTACGGCGGGGATGGCCCTTCAAAACACGAGTTTCTTCAGTGACGACAGGACTCCTGTCTAGTAATGAGGGACACCTCAGCAATCTCTTCGAGGATTGGCAGGGCAAAAGGGACGCTTCTCGAGGTGAGGCAGGGCACCCAAGGACCCTTTCCAGTAGCCACAGCGATTTTGGGATTCCTATCAGTATTCAAGAGGAGTCAGGCATCGTCACCTTTTGAAGCAATGAACTCCGCGTGCCTCTCGAGGTGTCAGCGGGATGTGAGGCATTCCGTCAAAATGAGGTAGGGACCTAGGGCTTTCTCTAAGGTCTCCACAGGGGATTCAGACATCCCTTCATGTTGTGAGATGAAAGACGATCCTGTATTCAAGCCACTGAAAGCAAATCCGGCCTCCTTTCAAGTTAGGGCTTCTCGCTGTATATTCCCCTTGAGGCAGCAAACACGGGGTCACTCCCACATACCTATTGCTGAGAGAATCCTCCTCCTGAGGTAATTCTGGGAAGTTGGCATACGTCTTGACCCTAAGCCAAGGAATCAGCTCTCATCTCGAGACGATTTGGGGTACACGGAGCATTCCTCGAGTTGTTGTGCTGAAGTTCGTGTTCCTCTAGACTTGGGACAGTGTTCTCGGGGCATCTCTGGAGTTGCCTGAAGGAAGTCGAGCCACCGGTCGTGTTGAATGGGCAACGGGGAATGGCTCTGGAGTCAATGCAGGGGAATCGGGCCTCGTCTCGAGTTGATTTGGGGCACATGGAGCTGCTTTGCGTTGCTGGGGTGACCTCAGGGTCCGTCTAGACTGGTGACAGTGTTCTTGGGGACTGTCTGGAGATCCATTAAGCAAGTCGAAGCTCCTGACTTGTTTGAATGGGATCACGGAAGAGCTCTGCATGCACTGCAGGGGAATGGGGCCTCATCTCGCCTCTAGGGGGAAGTCTCATGGTTTTTCTCGAGTTGCGGCGGGGACCTGGGGTATGTTCTCGACTTACGGCGGGGATGGCCCTTCAAAACACGGGTTTCTTCAGTGACGTCAGGACTCCTCTCTAGTAACGTGGGACACCTCAGGAATCTCTTCAAGGCTTGGCAGGGCAAAAGGGACGCTTCTCGAGGTGAGGCAGGGCACCCAAGGACCCTTTCCAGTAGCCACAGCGATTTTGGGATTCCTATCAGTATTCAAGAGGAGTCAGGCATCGTCACCTTTTGAAGCAATGAACTCCGCGTGCCTCTCGAGGTGTCAGCGGGATGTGAGGCATTCCGTCAAAATGAGGCAGGGACCTAGGGCTTTCTCTAAGGTCTCCACAGGGGATTCAGACATCCCTTCATGTTGTGAGATGAAAGACGAGCCTGTATTCAAGCCACTGAAAGGAAATCCGGCCTCCTTTCAAGTTAGGGCTTCTCGCTGTATATTCACCTTGAGGCAGCAAACTCGGGGTCCCTCCCACATACCTATTGCTGAGAGAAGCCTCCTCCTGAGGTGCTTCTGTGAAGTTGGCATACGTCTTGAGCCTAAGCCAGGGAATCAGCTCTCATCTCGAGACGATTTGGGGTACACGAAGCATTCCTCGAGTTGCTGTGCTGAAGTTGGTGTTCCTCTAGACTTGGGACAGTGTTCTCGGGGCATCTCTGGAGTTACCTGAAGGAAGTCGAGCCACCGGTCGTGTTGAATGGGGAACCGGGAATGGCTCTGGAGTCAATGCAGGGGAATCGGGCCTCATGTCGAGTTGATTTGGGGCACATGGAGCTGCTTTGCGTTGCTGGGGTGACCTCAGGGTCCGTCTAGACTGGTGACAGTGTTCTTGGGGACTGTCTGGAGATCCATTAAGCAAGTCGAAGCTCCTGACTTGTTTGAATGGGATCACGGAATAGCTCTGCATGCACTGCAGGGGAATGGGGCCTCATCTCGCCTCTAGGGGGAAGTCTCGTGGTTTTTCTGGAGTTGCGGCGGGGACCTGGGTTATGTTCTCGACTTACGGCTGGGATGGCCCTTCAAAACACGAGTTTCTTCAGTGACGTCAGGACTCCTGTCTAGTAACGATGGACAGCTCAGGAATCTCTTCGAGGATTGGCAGGGCAAAAGGGACGCTTCTCGAGGTGAGGCAGGGCACCCAAGGACCCTTTCCAGTAGCCACAGGGATTTTGGGATTCCTATAAGTAATCAAGAGGAGTCAGGCATCGTCACCTTTTGAAGCAATGAACTCCGCGTGCCTCTCGAGGTGTCAGCGGGATGTGAGGATTCCGTCAAAATGAGGCAGGGACCTAGGGCTTTCTCTAAGGTCTCCACAGGAGATTCAGACATCCCTTCATGTTGTGAGATGAAAGACAAGCCTGTATTCAAGCCACTGCAAGGAAATCCGGCCTCCTTTCAAGTTAGGGCTTCTCGCTGTATATTCCCCTTGAGGCAGCAAACTCGGGGTCCCTCCCACATACCTATTGCTGAGAGAAGCCTCCTCCTGATGTGCTTCTGGAAAGGTGGCATACGTCTTGAGCCTAAGCCAGGGAATCAGCTCTCATCTCGAGACGATTTGGGGTACACAGAGCATTCCTCGAGTTGCTATGCTGAAGTTGGTGTTCCTCTAGACTTGGGACAGTGTTCTCGGGGCATCTCTGGAGTTGCCTGAAGGAAGTCGAGCCACCGGTCGTGTTGAATGGGGAACGGGGAATGGCTCTGGAGTCAATGCAGGGGAATCGGGCCTCATCTCGAGTTGATTTGTGGCACCTGGAGCTGCTTTGCGTTGCTGGGGTGACCTCAGGGTCCGTCTAGACTGGTGACAGTGTTCTTGGGGACTGCCTCGAGATCCATTAAGCAAGTCGAAGCTCCTGACTTGTTTGAATGGGATCACGGAATAGCTCTGCATGCACTGCAGGGGAATGGGGCCTCATCTCGCCTCTAGGGGGAAGTCTCATGGTTTTTCTCGAGTTGCGGCGGGGACCTGGGGTATGTTCTCGACTTATGGCGGGGATGGCACTTCAAAACACGAGTTTCTTCAGTGACGTCAGGACTCCTGTCTAGTAACGAGGGACAGCTCAGGAATCTCTTCGAGGATTGGCAGGGCAAAAGGGACGCTTCTCGAGGTGAGGCAGGGCACCCAAGGACCCTTTCCAGTAGCCACAGCGATTTTGGGATTCCTATCAGTATTCAAGAGGAGTCAGGCATCGTCACCTTTTGAAGCAATGAACTCCGCGTGCCTCTCGAGGTGTCATCGGGATGTGAGGCATTCCGTCAAAATGAGGTAGGGACCTAGGGCTTTCTCTAAGGTCTCCACAGGGGATTCAGACATCCCTTCATGTTGTGAGATGAAAGACGAGCCTGTATTCAAGCCACTGAAAGGAAATCCGGCCTCCTTTCAAGTTAGGGCTTCTCGCTGTATATTCCCCTTGAGGCAGCAAACACGGGGTCCCTCCCACATACCTATTGCTGAGAGAATCCTCCTCCTGAGGTAATTCTGGGAAGTTGGCATACGTCTTGACCCTAAGCCAAGGAATCAGCTCTCATCTCGAGTCGATTTGGGGTACACGGAGCATTCCTCGAGTTGCTGTGCTGAAGTTCGTGTTCCTCTAGACTTGGGACAGTGTTCTCGGGGCATCCCTGGAGTTGCCTGAAGGAAGTCGAGCCACCGGTCGTGTTGAATGGGGAACGGGGAATGGCTCTGGAGTCAATGCAGGGGAATCGGGCCTCGTCTCGAGTTGATTTGGGGCACATGGAGCTGCTTTGCGTTGCTGGGGTGACCTCAGGGTCCGTCTAGACTGGTGACAGTGTTCTTGGGGACTGTCTGGAGATCCATTAAGCAAGTCGAAGCTCCTGACTTGTTTGAATGGGATCACGGAAGAGCTCTGCATGCACTGCAGGGGAATGGGGCCTCATCTCGCCTCTAGGGGGAAGTCTCATGGTTTTTCTGGAGTTGCGGCGGGGACCTGGGGTATGTTCTCGACTTACGGCGGGGATGGCCCTTCAAAACACGAGTTTCTTCAGTGACGTCAGGACTCCTCTCTAGTAACGTGGGACACCTCAGGAATCTCTTCAAGGCTTGGCAGGGCAAAAGGGACGCTTCTCGAGGTGAGGCAGGGCACCCAAGGACCCTTTCCAGTAGCCACAGCGATTTTGGGATTCCTATCAGTATTCAAGAGGAGTCAGGCATCGTCACCTTTTGAAGCAATGAACTCCGCGTGCCTCTCGAGGTGTCAGCGGGTTGTGAGGCATTCCGTCAAAATGAGGTAGGGACCTAGGGCTTTCTCTAAGGTCTCCACAGGGGATTCAGTCATCCCTTCATGTTGTGAGATGAAAGACGAGCCTGTATTCAAGCCACTGAAAGGAAATCCGGCCTCCTTTCAAGTTAGGGCTTCTCGCTGTATATTCCCCTTGAGGCAGCAAACACGGGGTCCCTCCCACATACCTATTGCTGAGAGAATCCTCCTCCTGAGGTAATTCTGGGAAGTTGGCATACGTCTTGACCCTAAGCCAAGGAATCAGCTCTCATCTCGAGACGATTTGGGGTACACGGAGCATTCCTCGAGTTGCTGTGCTGAAGTTCGTGTTCCTCTAGACTTGGGACAGTGTTCTCGGGGCATCTCTGGAGTTGCCTGAAGGAAGTCGAGCCACCGGTCGTGTTGAATGGGGAACGGGGAATGGCTCTGGAGTCAATGCAGGGGAATCGGGCCTCGTCTCGAGTTGATTTGGGGCACATGGAGCTGCTTTGCGTTGCTGGGGTGACCTCAGGGTCCGTCTAGACTGGTGACAGTGTTCTTGGGGACTGTCTGGAGATCCATTAAGCAAGTCGAAGCTCCTGACTTGTTTGAATGGTATCACGGAAGAGCTCTGCATGCACTGCAGGGGAATGGGGCCTCATCTCGCCTCTAGGGGGAAGTCTCATGGTTTTTCTGGAGTTGCGGCGGGGACCTGGGGTATGTTCTCGACTTACGGCGGGGATGGCCCTTCAAAACACGAGTTTCTTCAGTGACGTCAGGACTCCTCTCTAGTAACGTGGGACACCTCAGGAATCTCTTCAAGGCTTGGCAGGGCCAAAGGGACGCTTCTCGAGGTGAGGCAGGGCACCCAAGGACCCTTTCCAGTAGCCACAGCGATTTTGGGATTCCTATCAGTATTCAAGAGGAGTCAGGCATCGTCACCTTTTGAAGCAATGAACTCCGCGTGCCTCTCGAGGTGTCAGCGGGATGTGAGGCATTCCGTCAAAATGAGGCAGGGACCTAGGGCTTTCTCTAAGGTCTCCACAGGGGATTCAGACATCCCTTCATGTTGTGAGATGAAAGACGAGCCTGTATTCAAGCCACTGAAAGGAAATCCGGCCTCCTTTCAAGTTAGGGCTTCTCGCTGTATATTCCCCTTGAGGCAGCAAACACGGGGTCCCTCCCACATACCTATTGCTGAGAGAATCCTCCTCCTGAGTTAATTCTGGGAAGTTGGCATACGTCTTGACCCTAAGCCAAGGAATCAGCTCTCATCTCGAGACGATTTGGGGTACACGGAGCATTCCTCGAGTTGCTGTGCTGAAGTTCGTGTTCCTCTAGACTTGGGACAGTGTTCTCGGGGCATCTCTGGAGTTGCCTGAAGGAAGTCGAGCCACCGGTCGTGTTGAATGGGGAACGGGGAATGGCTCTGGAGTCAATGCAGGGGAATCGGGCCTCATCTCGAGTTGATTTAGGGCAAATGGGGCTGCTTTGCGTTGCTGGCGTGACCTCAGGGTCCATCTAGACTGGTGACAGTGTTCTTGGGGACTGTCTGGAGATCCATTAAGCAAGTCGAAACTCCTGACTTGTTTGAATGGGATCACGGAATAGCTCTGCATGCACTGCAGGGGAATGGGGCCTCATCTCGCCTCTAGGGGGAAGTCTCATGGTTTTTCTCGAGTTGCGGCGGGGACCTGGGGTATGTTCTCGACTTACGGCGGGGATGGCCCTTCAAAACACGAGTTTCTTCAGTGACGTCAGGACTCCTGTCTAGTAACGAGGGACAGCTCAGGAATCTCTTCGAGGATTGGCAGGGCAAAAGGGACGCTTCTCGAGGTGAGGCAGGGCACCCAAGGACCCTTTCCAGTAGCCACAGGGATTTTGGGATTCCTATCAGTATTCAAGAGGAGTCAGGCATCGTCACCTTTTGAAGCAATGAACTCCGCGTGCCTCTCGAGGTGTCAGCGGGATGTGAGGCATTCCGTCAAAATGAGGTAGGGACCTAGGGCTTTCTCTAAGGTCTCCACAGGGGATTCAGACATCCCTTCATGTTGTGAGATGAAAGACGAGCCTGTATTCAAGCCACTGAAAGGAAATCCGGCCTCCTTTCAAGTTAGGGCTTCTCGCTGTATATTCCCCTTGAGGCAGCAAACACGGGGTCCCTCCCACATACCTATTGCTGAGAGAATCCTCCTCCTGAGGTAATTCTGGGAAGTTGGCATACGTCTTGATCCTAAGCCAAGGAATCAGCTCTCATCTCGAGACGATTTGGGGTACACGGAGCATTCCTCGAGTTGCTGTGCTGAAGTTCGTGTTCCTCTAGACTTGGGACAGTGTTCTCGGGGCATCTCTGGAGTTGCCTGAAGGAAGTCGAGCCACCGGTCGTGTTGAATGGGGAACGGGGAATGGCTCTGGAGTCAATGCAGGGGAATCGGGCCTCGTCTCGAATTGATTTGGGGCACATGGAGCTGCTTTGCGTTGCTGGGGTGACCTCAGGGTCCGTCTAGACTGGTGACAGTGTTCTTGGGGACTGTCTGGAGATCCATTAAGCAAGTCGAAGCTCCTGACTTGTTTGAATGGGATCACGGAAGAGCTCTGCATGCACTGCAGGGGAATGGGGCCTCATCTCGCCTCTAGGGGGAAGTCTCATGGTTTTTCTCGAGTTGCGGCGGGGACCTGGGGTATGTTCTCGACTTACGGCGGGGATGGCCCTTCAAAACACGAGTTTCTTCAGTGACGTCAGGACTCCTCTCTAGTAACGTGGGACACCTCAGGAATCTCTTCAAGGCTTGGCAGGGCAAAAGGGACGCTTCTCGAGGTGAGGCAGGGCACCCAAGGACCATTTCCAGTAGCCACAGGGATTTTGGGATTCCTATAAGTAATCACGAGGAGTCAGGCATCGTCACCTTTTGAAGCAATGAGCTCCGCGTGCCTCTCGAGGTGTCAGCGGGATGTGAGGATTCCGTCAAAATGAGGCAGGGACCTAGGGCTTTCTCTAAGGTCTCCACAGGGGATTCAGACATCCCTTCATGTTGTGAGATGAAAGACGAGCCTGTATTCAAGCCACTGCAAGGAAATCCGGCCTCCTTTCAAGTTAGGGCTTCTCGCTGTATATTCCCCTTGAGGCAGCAAACTCGGAGTCCCTCCCACATACCTATTGCTGAGAGAAGCCTCCTCCTGAGGTGCTTCTGGAAAGTTGGCATACGTCTTGAGCCTAAGCCAGGGATTCAGCTCTCATCTCGAGACTATTTGGGGTACACAGAGCATTCCTCGAGTTGCTGTGCTGAAGTTGGTGTTCCTCTAGACTTGGGACAGTGTTCTCTGGACATCTCTGTAGTTGCCTGAAGGAAGTCGAGCCACCGGTCGTGTTGAATGGGGAACGGGGAATGGCTCTGGAGTCAATGCAGGGGAATCGGGCCTCATCTCGAGTTGATTTGTGGCACCTGGAGCTGCTTTGCGTTGCTGGGGTGACCTCAGGGTCCGTCTAGACTGGTGACAGTGTTCTTGGGGACTGCCTCGAGATCCATTAAGCAAGTCGAAGCTCCTGACTTGTTTGAATGGGATCACGGAATAGCTCTGCATGCACTGCAGGGGAATGGGGCCTCATCTCGCCTCTAGGGGGAAGGCTCACGGTTTTTCTCGAGTTGCGGCGGGGACCTGGGGTATGTTCTCGACTTACGGCGGGGATGGCCCTTCAAAACACGAGTTTCTTCAGTGACGTCAGGACTCCTGTCTAGTAACGAGGGACACCTCAGCAATCTCTTCGAGGCTTGGCAGGGCAAAAGGGACGCTTCTCGAGGTGAGGCAGGGCACCCAAGGACCCTTTCCAGTAGCCACAGCGATTTTGGGATTCCTATCAGTATTCAAGAGGAGTCAGGCATCGTCACCTTTTGAAGCAATGAACTCCGCGTGCCTCTCGAGGTGTCAGCGGGATGTGAGGCATTCCGTCAAAATGAGGTAGGGACCTAGGTCTTTCTCTAAGTTCTCCACAGGGGATTCAGACATCCCTTCATGTTGTGAGATGAAAGACGAGCCTGTATTCAAGCCACTGAAAGGAAATCCGGCCTCCTTTCAAGTTAGGGCTTCTCGCTGTATATTCCCCTTGAGGCAGCAAACACGGGGTCCCTCCCACATACCTATTGCTGAGAGAATCCTCCTCCTATGGTAATTCTGGGTAGTTGGCATACGTCTTGACCCTAAGCCAAGGAATCAGCTCTAATCTCGAGACGATTTGGGGTACACGGAGCATTCCTCGAGTTGCTGTGCTGAAGTTCGTGTTCCTCTAGACTTGGGACAGTGTTCTTGGGGCATCTCTGGAGTTGCCTGAAGGAAGTCGAGCCACCGTTCGTGTTGAATGGGGAACGGGGAATGGCTCTGGAGACAATGCAGGGGAATCGGGCCTCGTCTCGAGTTGATTTGGGGCACATGGAGCTGCTTTGCGTTGCTGGGGTGACCTCAGGGTCCGTCTAGACTGGTGACAGTGTTCTTGGGGACTTTCTGGAGATCCATTAAGCAAGTCGAAGCTCCTGACTTGTTGGAATGGGATCAAGGAATAGCTATGCATGCACTGCAGGGGAATGGGGCCTCATCTCGCCTCTAGGGGGAAGTCTCATGGTTTTTCTCGAGTTGCGGCGGGGACCTGGGGTATGTTATCGACTTACGGCGGGGATGGCCCTTCAAAACACGAGTTTCTTCAGTGACGTTAGGACTCCTGTCTAGTAACGAGGGACAGCTCAGGAATCTCTTTGAGGATTGGCAGGGCAAAAGGGACGCTTCTCGAGGTGAGGCAGGGCACCCAAGGACCCTTTCCAGTAGCCACAGCGATTTTGGGATTCCTATCAGTATTCAAGAGGAGTCAGGCATCGTCACCTTTTGAAGCAATGAACTCCGCGTGCCTCTCGAGGTGTCAGCGGGATGTGAGGCAATCCGTCAAAATGAGGTAGGGCCCTAGGGCTTTCTCTAAGGTCTCCACAGGGGATTCAGACATCCCTTCATGTTGTGAGATGAAAGACGAGCCTGTATTCAAGCCACTGAAAGGAAATCCGGCCTCCTTTCAAGTTAGGGCTTCTCGCTGTATATTCCCCTTGAGGCAGCAAACACGGGGTCCCTCCCACATACCTATTGCTGAGAGAATCCTCCTCCTGAGGTAACTCTGGAAGTTGGCATACGTCTTGACCCTAAGCCAAGGAATCAGCTCTCATCTCGAGACGATTTGGGGTACACGGAGCATTCCTCGAGTTGCTGTGCTGAAGTTGGTGTTCCTCTAGACTTGGGACAGTGTTCTCGGGGCATCTCTGGAGTTGCCTGAAGGAAGTCGAGCCACCGGTCGTGTTGAATGGGGAACGGCGAATGGCTCTGGAGTCAATGCAGGGGAATCGGGCCTCGTCTCGAGTTGATTTGGGGCACATGGAGCTGCTTTGCGTTGCTGGGGTGACCTCAGGGTCCGTCTAGACTTGTGACAGTGTTCTTGGGGACTGTCTGGAGATCCATTAAGCAAGTCGAAGCTCCTGACTTGTTTGAATGGGATCACGGAATAGCTCTGCATGCACTGCAGGGGAATGGGGCCTCATCTCGCCTCTAGGGGGAAGTCTCATGGTTTTTCTCGAGTTGCGGCGGGGACCTGGGGTATGTTCTCGACTTACAGCGGGGATGGCCCTTCAAAACACGAGTTTCTTCAGTGACGTCAGGACTCCTGTCTAGTAACGAGGGACACTTCAGCAATCTCTTCGAGGCTTGGCAGGGCAAAAGGGACGCTTCTCGATGTGAGGCATGGCACCCAAGGGCCCTTTCCAGTAGCCACAGGGATTTTGGGATTCCTATAAGTAATCAAGAGGAGTCAGGCATCGTCACCTTTTGAAGCAATGAACTCCGCGTGCCTCTCGAGGTGTCAGCGGGATGTGAGGATTCCGTCAAAATGAGGCAGGGACCTAGGGCTTTCTCTAAGGTCTCCACAGGGGATTCAGACATCCCTTCATGTTGTGAGATGAAGGACGAGCCTGTATTCAAGCCACTGCAAGGAAATCTGGCCTCCTTTCAAGTTAGGGCTTCTCGCTGTATATTCCCCTTGAGGCAGCAAACTCGGGGTCCCTCCCACATACCTATTGCTGAGAGAAACCTCCTCCTGAGGTGCTTCTGGAAAGGTGGCATACGTCTTGAGCCTAAGCCAGGGAATCAGCTCTCATCTCGAGACGATTTGGGGTACACAGAGCATTCCTCGAGTTGCTATGCTGAAGTTGGTGGTCCTCTAGACTTGGGACAGTGTTCTCGGGGCATCTCTGGAGTTGCCTGAAGGAAGTCGAGCCACCGGTCGTGTTGAATGGGGAACAAGGAATGGCTCTGGAGTCAATGCAGGGGAATCCGGCCTCATCTCGAGTTGATTTGGGGCACATGGAGCTGCTTTGCATTGCTGGGTGACCTCAGGGTCCGTCTAGACTGGTGACAGTGTACTTGGGGACTGTCTGGAGATCCATTAAGCAAGTCGAAGCTCCTGACTTGTTTGAATGGGATCACGGAATAGCTCTGCATGCACTGCAGGGGAATGGGGCCTCATCTCGCCTCTAGGGGGAAATCTCATGGTTTTTCTGGAGTTGCGGCGGGGACCTGGGGTATGTTCTCGACTTACGGCGGGGAAGGCCCTTCAAAACACGAGTTTCTTCAGTGACGTCAGGACTCCTCTCTAGTAACGAGGGACACCTCAGGAATCTCTTCGAGGCTTGGCAGGGCAAAAGGGACGCTTCTCGAGGTGAGGCAGGGCACCCAAGGACCCTTTCCAGTAGCCACAGCGATTTTGGGATTCCTATCAGTATTCAAGAGGAGTCAGGCATCGTCACCTTTTGAAGCAATGAACTCCGCGTGCCTCTCGAGGTGTCAGCGGGATGTGAGGCATTCCGTAAAAATGAGGCAGGGACCTAGGGCTTTCTCTAAGGTCTCCACAGGGGATTCAGACATCCCTTCATGTTGTGAGATGAAAGACGAGCCTGTATTCAAGCCACTGAAAGGAAATCCGGCCTCCTTTCAAGTTAGGGCTTCTCGCTGTATATTCCCCTTGAGGCAGCAAACTCGGGGTCCCTCCCACATACATATTGCTGAGAGAAGCCTCCTCCTGAGGTGCTTCTGGGAAGTTGGCATACGTCTTGAGCCTAAGCCAGGGAATCAGCTCTCATCTCGAGACGATTTGGGGTACACGAAGCATTCCTCGAGTTGCTGTGCTGAAGTTGGTGTTCCTCTAGACTTGGGACAGTGTTCTCGGGGCATCTCTGGAGTTACCTGAAGAAAGTCGAGCCACCGGTCGTGTTGAATGGGGAACGGGGAATGGCTTTGCAGTCAATGCAGGGGAATCGGGCCTCATCTCGAGTTGATTTAGGGCACATGGAGCTGCTTTGCGTTGCTGGGGTGACCTCAGGGTCCGTCTAGACTGGTGACAGTGTTCTTGGGGACTGTCTGGAGATCCATTAAGCAAGTCGAAGCTCCTGACTTGTTTGAATGGGATCACGGAATAGCTCTGCATGCACTGCAGGGGAATGGGGCCTCATCTCGCCTCTAGGGGGAAGTCTCATGGTTTTTCTCGAGTTGCGGCGGGGACCTGGGGTATGTTCTCGACTTACGGCGGGGATGGCCCTTCAAAACACGAGTTTCTTCAGTGACGTCAGGACTCCTGTCTAGTAACGAGGGACAGCTCAGGAATCTCTTCGAGGATTGGAAGGGCAAAAGGGACGCTTCTCGAGGTGAGGCAGGGCACCCAAGGACCCTTTCCAGTAGCCACAGGGATTTTGGGATTCCTATCAGTATTCAAGAGGAGGCAGGCATCGTCACCTTTTGAAGCAATGAACTCCGCGTGCCTCTCGAGGTGTCAGCGGGATGTGAGGCATTCCGTCAAAATGAGGTAGGGCCCTAGGGCTTTCTCTAAGGTCTCCACAGGGGATTCAGACATCCCTTCATGTTGTGAGATGAAAGACGAGCCTGTATTCAAGCCACTGAAAGGAAATCCGGATTCCTTTCAAGTTAGGGCTTCTCGCTGTATATTCCCCTTGAGGCAGCAAACACGGGGTCCCTCCCACATACCTATTGCTGAGAGAATGCTCCTCCTGAGGTAACTCTGGAAGTTGGCATACATCTTGACCCTAAGCCAAGGAATCAGCTCTCATCTCGAGACGATTTGGGGTACACGGAGCATTCCTCGAGTTGCTGTGCTGAAGTTGGTGTTCCTCTAGACTTGGGACAGTGTTCTCGGGGCATCTCTGGAGTTGCCTGAAGGAAGTCGAGCCACCGGTCGTGTTGAATGGGGAACGGCGAATGGCTCTGGAGTCAATGCAGGGGAATCGGGCCTCGTCTCGAGTTGATTTGGGGCACATGGAGCTGCTTTGCGTTGCTGGGGTGACCTCAGGGTCCGTCTAGACTGGTGACAGTGTTCTTGGGGACTGTCTGGAGATCCATTAAGCAAGTCGAAGCTCCTGACTTGTTTGAATGGGATCACGGAATAGCTCTGCATGCACTGCAGGGGAATGGGGCCTCATCTCGCCTCTAGGGGGAAGTCTCATGGTTTTTCTCGAGTTGCGGCGGGGACCTGGGGTATGTTCTCGACTTACAGCGGGGATGGCCCTTCAAAACACGAGTTTCTTCAGTGACGTCAGGACTCCTGTCTAGTAACGAGGGACACTTCAGCAATCTCTTCGAGGCTTGGCAGGGCAAAAGGGACGCTTCTCGAGGTGAGGCATGGCACCCAAGGACCCTTTCCAGTAGCCACAGGGATTTTGGGATTCCTATAAGTAATCAAGAGGAGTCAGACATCGTCACCTTTTGAAGCAATGAACTCCGCGTGCCTCTCGAGGTGTCAGCGGGATGTGAGGATTCCGTCAAAATGAGGCAGGGACCTAGGGCTTTCTCTAAGGTCTCCACAGGGGATTCAGACATCCCTTCATGTTGTGAGATGAAAGACGAGCCTGTATTCAAGCCACTGCAAGGAAATCTGGCCTCCTTTCAAGTTAGGGCTTCTCGCTGTATATTCCCCTTGAGGCAGCAAACTCGGGGTCCCTCCCACATACCTATTGCTGAGAGAAGCCTCCTCCTGCGGTGCTTCTGGAAAGGTGGCATACGTCTTGAGCCTAAGCCAGGGAATCAGCTCTCATCTCGAGACGATTTGGGGTACACAGAGCATTCCTCGAGTTGCTATGCTGAAGTTGGTGGTCGTCAAGACTTGGGACAGTGTTCTCGGGGCATCTCTGGAGTTGCCTGAAGGAAGTCGAGCCACCGGTCGTGTTGAATGGGGAACAAGGAATGGCTCTGGAGTCAATGCAGGGGAATCCGGCCTCATCTCGAGTTGATTTGGGGCACATGGAGCTGCTTTGCATTGCTGGGTGACCTCAGGGTCCGTCTAGACTGGTGACAGTGTACTTGGGGACTGTCTGGAGATCCATTAAGCAAGTCGAAGCTCCTGACTTGTTTGAATGGGATCACGGAATAGCTCTGCATGCACTGCAGGGGAATGGGGCCTCATCTCGCCTCTAGGGGGAAGTCTCATGGTTTTTCTGGAGTTGCGGCGGGGACCTGGGGTATGTTCTCGACTTACGGCGGGGATGGCCCTTCAAAACACGAGTTTCTTCAGTGACGTCAGGACTCCTCTCTAGTAACGAGGGACACCTCAGGAATCTCTTCGAGGCTTGGCAGGGCAAAAGGGACGCTTCTCGAGGTGAGGCAGGGCACCCAAGGACCCTTTCCAGTAGCCACAGGGATTTTGGGATTCCTATCAGTATTCAAGAGGAGTCAGGCATCGTCACCTTTTGAAGCAATGAACTCCGCGTGCCTCTCTAGGTGTCAGCGGGATGTGAGGCATTCCGTAAAAATGAGGCAGGGACCTAGGGCTTTCTCTAAGGTCTCCACAGGGGATTCAGACATCCCTTCATGTTGTGAGATGAAAGACGAGCCTGTATTCAAGCCACTGAAAGGAAATCCGGCCTCCTTTCAAGTTAGGGCTTCTCGCTGTATATTCCCCTTGAGGCAGCAAACTCGGGGTCCCTCCCACATACATATTGCTGAGAGAAGCCTCCTCCTGAGGTGCTTCTGGGAAGTTGGCATACGTCTTGAGCCTAAGCCAGGGAATCAGCTCTCATCTCGAGACGATTTGGGGTACACGAAGCATTACTCGAGTTGCTGTGCTGAAGTTGGTGTTCCTCTAGACTTGGGACAGTGTTCTCGGGGCATCTCTGGAGTTACCTGAAGGAAGTCGAGCCACCGGTCGTGTTGAATGGGGAACGGGGAATGGCTTTGCAGTCAATGCAGGGGAATCGGGCCTCATCTCGAGTTTATTTAGGGCACATGGAGCTGCTTTGCGTTGCTGGGGTGACCTCAGGGTCCGTCTAGACTGGTGACAGTGTTCTTGGGGACTGTCTGGAGATCCATTAAGCAAGTCGAAGCTCCTGACTTGTTTGAATGGGATCACGGAATAGCTCTGCATGCACTGCAGGGGAATGGGGCCTCATCTCGCCTCTAGGGGGAAGTCTCATGGTTTTTCTCGAGTTGCGGTGGGGACCTGGGGTATGTTCTCGACTTACGGCGGGGATGGCCCTTCAAAACACGAGTTTCTTCAGTGACGTCAGGACTCCTGTCTAGTAACGAGGGACAGCTCAGGAATCTCTTCGAGGATTGGCAGGGCAAAAGGGACGCTTCTCGAGGTGAGGCAGGGCACCCAAGGACCCTTTCCAGTAGCCACAGCGATTTTGGGATTCCTATCAGTATTCAAGAGGAGTCAGGCATCGTCACCTTTTGAAGCAATGAACTCCGCGTGCCTCTCGAGGTGTCAGCGGGATGTGAGGCATTCCGTCAAAATGAGGTAGGGCCCTAGGGCTTTCTCTAAGGTCTCCACAGGGGATTCAGACATCCCTTCATGTTGTGAGATGAAAGACGAGCCTGTATTCAAGCCACTGAAAGGAAATCCGGCCTCCTTTCAAGTTAGGGCTTCTCGCTGTATATTCCCCTTGAGGCAGCAAACACGGGGTCCCTCCCACATACCTATTGCTGAGAGAATCCTCCTCCTGAGGTAACTCTGGAAGTTGGCATACGTCTTGACCCTAAGCCAAGGAATCAGCTCTCATCTCGAGACGATTTGGGGTACACGGAGCATTCCTCGAGTTGCTGTGCTGAAGTTGGTGTTCCTCTAGACTTGGGACAGTGTTCTCGGGGCATCTCTGGAGTTGCCTGAAGGAAGTCGAGCCACTGGTCGTGTTGAATGGGGAACGGCGAATGGCTCTGGAGTCAATGCAGGGGAATCGGGCCTCGTCTCGAGTTGATTTGGGGCACATGGAGCTGCTTTGCGTTGCTGGGGTGACCTCAGGGTCCGTCTAGACTGGTGACAGTGTTCTTGGGGACTGTCTGGAGATCCATTAAGCAAGTCGAAGCTCCTGACTTGTTTGAATGGGGTCACGGAATAGCTCTGCATGCACTGCAGGGGAATGGGGCCTCATCTCGCCTCTAGGGGGAAGTCTCATGGTTTTTCTCGAGTTGCGGCGGGGACCTGGGGTATGTTCTCGACTTACAGCGGGGATGGCCCTTCAAAACACGAGTTTCTTCAGTGACGTCAGGACTCCTGTCTAGTAACGAGGGACACTTCAGCAATCTCTTCGAGGCTTGGCAGGGCAAAAGGGACGCTTCTCGAGGTGAGGCATGGCACCCAAGGACCCTTTCCAGTAGCCACAGGGATTTTGGGATTCCTATAAGTAATCAAGAGGAGTCAGGCATCGTCACCTTTTGAAGCAATGAACTCCGCGTGCCTCTCGAGGTGTCAGCGGGATGTGAGGATTCCGTCAAAATGAGGCAGGGACCTAGGGCTTTCTCTAAGGTCTCCACAGGGGATTCAGACATCCCTTCATGTTGTGAGATGAAAGACGAGCCTGTATTCAAGCCACTGCAAGGAAATCTGGCCTCCTTTCAAGTTAGGGCTTCTCGCTGTATATTCCCCTTGAGGCAGCAAACTCGGGGTCCCTCCCACATACCTATTGCTGAGAGAAGCCTCCTCCTGCGGTGCTTCTGGAAAGGTGGCATACGTCTTGAGCCTAAGCCAGGGAATCAGCTCTCATCTCGAGACGATTTGGGGTACAAAGAGCATTCCTCGAGTTGCTATGCTGAAGTTGGTGGTCCTCTAGACTTGGGACAGTGTTCTCGGGGCATCTCTGGAGTTACCTGAAGGAAGTCGAGCCACCGGTCGTGTTGAATGGGGAACGGGGAATGGCTCTGCAGTCAATGCAGGGGAATCGGGCTCATCTCGAGTTGATTTAGGGCACATGGAGCTGCTTTGCCTTGCTGGGGTGACCTCAGGGTCCGTCTAGACTGGTGACAGTGTTCTTGGGGACTGTCTGGAGATCCATTAAGCAAGTCGAAGCTCCTGACTTGTTTGAATGGGATCACGGAATAGCTCTGCATGCACTGCAGGGGAATGGGGCCTCATCTCGCCTCTAGGGGGAAGTCTCATGGTTTTTCTCGAGTTGCGGCGGGGACCTGGGGTATGTTCTCGACTTACGGCGGGGATGGCCCTTCAAAACACGAGTTTCTTCAGTGACGTCAGGACTCCTGTCTAGTAACGAGGGACAGCTCAGGAATCTCTTCGAGGATTGGCAGGGCAAAAGGGACGCTTCTCGAGGTGAGGCAGGGCACCCAAGGACCCTTTCCAGTAGCCACAGCGATTTTGGGATTCCTATCAGTATTCAAGAGGAGTCAGGCATCGTCACCTTTTGAAGCAATGAACTCCGCGTGCCTCTCGAGGTGTCAGCGGGATGTGCGGCATTCCGTCAAAATGAGGTAGGGCCCTAGGGCTTTCTCTAAGGTCTCCACAGGGGATTCAGACATCCCTTCATGTTGTGAGATGAAAGACGAGCCTGTATTCAAGCCACTGAAAGGAAATCCGGCCTCCTTTCAAGTTAGGGCTTCTCGCTGTATATTCCCCTTGAGGCAGCAAACACGGGGTCCCTCCCACATACCTATTGCTGAGAGAATCCTCCTCCTGAGGTAACTCTGGAAGTTGGCATACGTCTTGACCCTAAGCCAAGGAATCAGCTCTCATGTCGAGACGATTTGGGGTACACGGAGCATTCCTCGAGTTGCTGTGCTGAAGTTGGTGTTCCTCTAGACTTGGGACAGTGTTCTCGGGGCATCTCTGGAGTTGCCTGAAGGAAGTCGAGCCACCGGTCGCGTTGAATGGGGAACGGCGAATGGCTCTGGAGTCAATGCAGGGGAATCGGGCCTCATCTCGAGTTGATTTGTGGCACCTGGAGCTGCTTTGCGTTGCTGGGGTGACCTCAGGGTCCGTCTAGACTGGTGACAGTGTTCTTGGGGACTGCCTCGAGATCCATTAAGCAAGTCGAAGCTCCTGACTTGTTTGAATGGGATCACGGAAAAGCTCTGCATGCACTGCAGGGGAATGGGGCCTCATCTCGCCTCTAGGGGGAAGGCTCTCGGTTTTTCTCGAGTTGGGGCGGGGACCTGGGGTATGTTCTCGACTTACGGCGGGGATGGCCCTTCAAAACACGAGTTTCTTCAGTGACGTCAGGACTCCTGTCTAGTAACGAGGGACAGCTCAGCAATCACTTCGAGGGTTGGCAGGGCAAAAGGGACGCTTCAGGAGGTGAGGCAGGGCACCCAAGGACCCTTTCCAGTAGCCACAGCGATTTTGGGATTCCTATCAGTATTCAAGAGGAGTCAGGCATCGTCACCTTTTGAAGCAATGAACTCCGCGTGCCTCTCGAGGTGTCAGCGGGATGTGAGGCATTCCGTCAAAATGAGGTAGGGTCCTAGGGCTTTCTCTAAGGTCTCCACAGGGGATTCAGACATCCCTTCATGTTGTGAGATGAAAGACGAGCCTGTATTCAAGCCACTGCAAGGAAATCCGGCCTCCTTTCAAGTTAGGGCTTCTCGCTGTATATTTCCCCTTGAGGCAGCAAACTCGGAGTCCCTCCCACATAACTATTGCTGAGAGAAGCCTCCTCCTGAGGTGCTTCTGGAAAGTTGGCATACGTCTTGAGCCTAAGCCAGGGATTCAGCTCTCATCTCGAGACGATTTGGGGTACACAGAGCATTCCTCGAGTTGCTGTGCTGAAGTTGGTGTTCCTCTAGACTTGGGACAGTGTTCTCTGGGCATCTCTGGAGTTGCCTGAAGGAAGTCGAGCCACCGGTCGTGTTGAATGGGGAACGGGGAATGGCTCTGGAGTCAATGCAGGGGAATCGGGCCTCATCTCGAGTTGATTTGTGGCACCTGGAGCTGCTTTGCGTTGCTGGGGTGACCTCAGGGTCCGTCTAGACTGGTGACAGTGTTCTTGGGGACTGCCTCGAGATCCATTAAGCAAGTCGAAGCTCCTGACTTGTTTGAATGGGATCACGGAAAAGCTCTGCATGCACTGCAGGGGAATGGGGCCTCATCTCGACTCTAGGGGGAAGGCTCTCGGTTTTTCTCGAGTTGGGGCGGGGACCTGGGGTATGTTCTCGACTTACGGCGGGGATGGCCCTTCAAAACACGAGTTTCTTCAGTGACGTCAGGACTCCTGTCTAGTAACGAGAGACACCTCAGCAATCTCTTCGAGGCTTGGCAGGGCAAAAGGGACGCTTCTCGAGGTGAGGCAGGGCACCCAAGGACCCTTTCCAGTAGCCACAGCGATTTTGGGATTCCTATCAGTATTCAAGAGGAGTCAGGCATCGTCACCTTTTGAAGCAATGAACTCCGCGTGCCTCTCGAGGTGTCAGCGGGATGTGAGGCATTCCGTAAAAATGAGGCAGGGACCTAGGGCTTTCTCTAAGGTCTCCACAGGGGATTCAGACATCCCTTCATGTTGTGAGATGAAAGACGAGCCTGTATTCAAGCCACTGAAAGGAAATCCGGCCTCCTTTCAAGTTAGTGCTTCTCGCTGTATATTCCCCTTGAGGCAGCAAACACGGGGTCCCTCCCACATACCTATTGCTGAGAGAATCCTCCTCCTGAGGTAATTCTGGGAAGTTGGCATACGTCTTGACCCTAAGCCAAGGAATCAGCTCTCATCTCGAGACGATTTGGGGTACACGGAGCATTCCTCGAGTTGCTGTGCTGAAGTTCGTGTTCCTCTAGACTTGGGACAGTGTTCTCGGGGTATCTCTGGAGTTGCCTGAAGGAAGTCGAGCCACCGGTCGTGTTGAATGGGGAACGGGGAATGGCTCTGGAGTCAATGCAGGGGAATCGGGCCTCGTCTCGAGTTGATTTGGGGCACATGGAGCTGCTTTGCGTTGCTGGGGTGACCTCAGGGTCCGTCTAGACTGGTGACAGTGTTCTTGGGGACTGTCTGGAGATCCATTAAGCAAGTCGAAGCTCCTGACTTGTTTGAATGGGATCACGGAATAGCTCTGCATGCACTGCAGGGGAATGGGGCCTCATCTCGCCTCTAGGGGGAAGTCTCATGGTTTTTCTCGAGTTGCGGCGGGGACCTGGGGTATGTTCTCGACTTACGGCTGGGACGGCCCTTCAAAACACGAGTTTCTTCAGTGACGTCAGGACTCCTCTCTAGTAACGAGGGACAGCTCAGGAATCTCTTCGAGGATTGGCAGGGCAAAAGGGACGCTTCTCGAGGTGAGGCAGGGCACCCAAGGACCCTTTCCAGTAGCCACAGCGATTTTGGGATTCCTATCAGTATTCAAGAGGAGTCAGGCATCGTCACCTTTTGAAGCAATGAACTCCGCGTGCCTCTCGAGGTGTCAGCGGGATGTGAGGCATTCCGTCAAAATGAGGTAGGGACCTAGGGCTTTCTCTAAGGTCTCCACAGGGGATTCAGACATCCCTTCATGTTGTGAGATGAAAGACGAGCCTGTATTCAAGCCACTGAAAGGAAATCCGGCCTCCTTTCAAGTTAGGGCTTCTCGCTGTATATTCCCCTTGAGGCAGCAAACACGGGGTCCCTCCCACATACCTATTGCTGAGAGAATCCTGCTCCTGAGGTAATTCTGGGAAGTTGGCATACGTCTTGACCCTAAGCCAAGGAATCAGCTCTCATCTCGAGACGATTTGGGGTACACGGAGCATTCCTCGAGTTGCTGTGCTGAAGTTGGTGTTCCTCTAGACTTGGGACAGTGTTCTCGGGGCATCTCTGGAGTTGCCTGAAGGAAGTCGAGCCACCGGTCGTGTTGAATGGGGAACGGGGAATGGCTCTGGAGTCAATGCAGGGGAATCGGGCCTCGTCTCGAGTTGATTTGGGGCACATGGAGCTGCTTTGCGTTGCTGGCGTGACCTCAGGGTCCATCTAGACTGGTGACAGTGTTCTTGGGGACTGTCTGGAGATCCATTAAGCAAGTCGAAGCTCCTGACTTGTTTGAATGGGATCACGGAATAGCTCTGCATGCACTGCAGGGGAATGGGGCCTCATCTCGCCTCTAGGGGGAAGTCTCATGGTTTTTCTCGAGTTGCGGCGGGGACCTGGGGTATGTTCTCGACTTACGGCGGAGATGGCCCTTCAAAACACGAGTTTCTTCAGTGACGTCAGGACTCCTCTCTAGTAACGAGGGACACCTCAGGAATCTCTTCGAGGCTTGGCAGGGCAAAAGGGACGCTTCTCGAGGTGAGGCAGGGCACCCAAGGACCCTTTCCAGTAGCCACAGCGATTTTGGGATTCCTATCAGTATTCAAGAGGAGTCAGGCATCGTCACCTTTTGAAGCAATGAACTCCGCGTGCCTCTCGAGGTGTCAGCGGGATGTGAGGCATTCCGTAAAAATGAGGCAGGGACCTAGGGCTTTCTCTAAGGTCTCCACATGGGATTCAGACATCCCTTCATGTTGTGAGATGAAAGACGAGCCTGTATTCAAGCCACTGCAAGGAAATCCGGCCTCCTTTCAAGTTAGGGCTTCTCGCTGTATATTCCCCTTGAGGCAGCAAACTCGGGGTCCCTCCCACATACCTATTGCTGAGAGAAGCCTCCTCCTGAGGTGCTTCTGGGAAGTTGGTATACGTCTTGAGCCTAAGCCAGGGAATCAGCTCTCATCTCGAGACGATTTGTGGTACACAAAGCATTCCTCGAGTTGCTGTGCTGAAGTTGGTGTTCCTCTAGACTTGGGACAGTGTTCTCGGGGCATCTCTGGAGTTGCCTGAAGGAAGTCGAGCCACCGGTCGTGTTGAATGGGGAACGGGGAATGGCTCTGGAGTCAATGCAGGGGAATCGGGCCTCATCTCGAGTTGATTTGGGGCACATGGAGCTGCTTTGCGTTGCTGGGGTGACCTCAGCGTCCGTCTAGACTGGTGACAGTGTTCTTGGGGACTGCCTCGAGATCCATTAAGCAAGTCGAAGCTCCTGACTTGTTTGAATGGGATCACGGAATAGCTCTGCATGCACTGCAGGGGAATGGGGCCTCATCTCGCCTCTAGGGGGAAGTCTCATGGTTTTTCTCGAGTTGCGGCGGGGACCTGGGGTATGTTCTCGACTTACGGCGGGGATGGCCCTTCAAAACACGAGTTTCTTCAGTGACGTCAGGACTCCTGTCTAGTAACGAGGGACACCTCAGGAATCTCTTCGAGGATTGGCAGGGCAAAAGGGACGCTTCTCGAGGTGAGGCAGGGCACCCAAGGACCCTTTCCAGTAGCCACAGCGATTTTGGGATTCCTATCAGTATTCAAGAGGAGTCAGGCATCGTCACCTTTTGAAGCAATGAACTCCGCGTGCCTCTCGAGGTGTCAGCGGGATGTGAGGCATTCCGTCAAAATGAGGTAGGGACCTAGGGCTTTCTCTAAGGTCTCCACAGGGGATTCAGACATCCCTTCATGTTGTGAGATGAAAGACGAGCCTGTATTCAAGCCACTGAAAGGAAATCCGGCCTCCTTTCAAGTTAGGGCTTCTCGCTGTATATTCCCCTTGAGGCAGCAAACACGGGGTCCCTCCCACATACCTATTGCTGAGAGAATCCTCCTCCTGAGGTAATTCTGGGAAGTTGGCATACGTCTTGACCCTAAGCCAAGGAATCAGCTCTAATCTCGAGACGATTTGGGGTACACGGAGCATTCCTCGAGTTGCTGTGCTGAAGTTCGTGTTCCTCTAGACTTGGGACAGTGTTCTCGGGGCATCTCTGGAGTTGCCTGAAGGAAGTCGAGCCACCGGTCGTGTTGAATGGGGAACGGGGAATGGCTCTGGAGTCAATGCAGGGGAATCGGGCCTCGTCTCGAGTTGATTTGGGGCACATGGAGCTGCTTTGCGTTGCTGGGGTGACCTCAGGGTCCGTCTAGACTGGTGACAGTGTTCTTGGGGACTGTCTGGAGATCCATTAAGCAAGTCGAAGCTCCTGACTTGTTTGAATGGGATCACGGAATAGCTCTGCATGCACTGCAGGGGAATGGGGCCTCATCTCGCCTCTAGGGGGAAGTCTCATGGTTTTTCTCGAGTTGCGGCGGGGACCTGGGGTATGTTCTCGACTTACGGCGGGGATGGCCCTTCAAAACACGAGTTTCTTCAGTGACGTCAGGACTCCTCTCTAGTAACGAGGGACACCTCAGGAATCTCTTCGAGGCTTGGCAGGGCAAAAGGGACGCTTCTCGAGGTGAGGCAGGGCACCCAAGGACCCTTTCCAGTAGCCACAGCGATTTTGGGATTCCTATCAGTATTCAAGAGGAGTCAGGCATCGTCACCTTTTGAAGCAATGAACTCCGCGTGCCTCTCGAGGTGTCAGCGGGATGTGAGGCATTCCGTCAAAATGAGGCAGGGACCTAGGGCTTTCTCTAAGGTCTCCACAGGGGATTCAGACATACCTTCATGTTGTGAGATGAAAGACGAGCCTGTATTCAAGCCACTGCAAGGAAATCCGGCCTCCTTTCAAGTTAGGGCTTCTCGCTGTATATTCCCCTTGAGGCAGTAAACTCGGGGTCCCTCCCACATACCTATTGCTGAGAGAAGCCTCCTCCTGAGGTGCTTCTGGGAAGTTGGCATACGTCTTGAGCCTAAGCCAGGGAATCAGCTCTCATCTCGAGACGATTTGGGGTACACGAAGCATTCCTCGAGTTGCTGTGCTGAAGTTGGTGTTCCTCTAGACTTGATACAGTGTTCTCGGGGCATCTCTGGAGTTGCCTGAAGGAAGTCGAGCCACCGGTCGTGTTGAATGGGGAACGGGGAATGGCTCTGGAGTCAATGCAGGGTAATCGGGCCTCATCTCGAGTTGATTTGTGGCACCTGGATCTGCTTTGCGTTGCTGGGGTGACCTCAGGGTCCGTCTAGACTGGTGACAGTGTTCTTGGGGACTGTCTGGAGATCCATTAAGCAAGTCGAAGCTCCTGACTTGTTTGAATGGGATCACGGAATAGCTCTGCATGCACTGCAGGGGAATGGGGCCTCATCTCGCCTCTAGGGGGAAGTCTCATGGTTTTTCTCGAGTTGCGGCGGGGACCTGGGGTATGTTCTCGACTTACGGCGGGGATGGCCCTTCAAAACACGAGTTTCTTCAGTGACGTCAGGACTCCTGTCTAGTAACGAGGGACACCTCAGCAATCTCTTCGAGGGTTGGCAGGGCAAAAGGGACGCTTCTCGAGGTGAGGCAGGGCACCCAAGGACCCTTTCCAGTAGCCACAGCGATTTTGGGATTCCTATCAGTATTCAAGAGGAGTCAGGCATCGTCACCTTTTGAAGCAATGAACTCCGCGTGCCTCTCGTGGTGTCAGCGGGATGTGAGGCATTCCGTCAAAATGAGGTAGGGCCCTAGGGCTTTCTCTAAGGTCTCCACAGGGGATTCAGACATCCCTTCATGTTGTGAGATGAAAGATGAGCCTGTATTCAAGCCACTGAAAGGAAATCCGGCCTCCTTTCAAGTTAGGGCTTCTCGCTGTATATTCCCCTTGAGGCAGCAAACACGGGGTCCCTCCCACATACCTATTGCTGAGAGAATCCTCCTCCTGAGGTAACTCTGGAAGTTGGCATACGTCTTGACCCTAAGCCAAGGAATCAGCTCTCATGTCGAGACGATTTGGGGTACACGGAGCATTCCTCGAGTTGCTGTGCTGAAGTTGGTGTTCCTCTAGACTTGGGACAGTGTTCTCGGGGCATCTCTGGAGTTGCCTGAAGGAAGTCGAGCCACCGGTCGCGTTGAATGGGGAACGGCGAATGGCTCTGGAGTCAATGCAGGGGAATCGGGCCTCGTCTCGAGTTGATTTGGGGCACATGGAGCTGCTTTGCGTTGCTGGGGTGACCTCAGGGTCCGTCTAGACTGGTGACAGTGTTCTTGGGGACTGTCTGGAGATCCATTAAGCAAGTCGAAGCTCCTGACTTGTTTGAATGGGATCACGGAATAGCTCTGCATGCACTGCAGGGGAATGGGGCCTCATCTCGCCTCTAGGTGGAAGTCTCATGGTTTTTCTGGAGTTGCGGCGGGGACCTGGGGTATGTTCTCGACTTACAGCAGGGATGGCCCTTCAAAACACGAGTTTCCTCAGTGACGTCAGGACTCCTGTCTAGTAACGAGGGACACTTCAGCAATCTCTTCGAGGCTTGGCAGGGCAAAAGGGACGCTTCTCGAGGTGAGGCATGGCACCCAAGGACCCTTTCCAGTAGCCACAGGGATTTTGGGATTCCTATCAGTATTCAAGAGGAGTCAGGCATCGTCACCTTTTGAAGCAATGAACTCCGCGTGCCTCTAGAGGTGTCAGCGGGATGTGAGGATTCCGTCAAAATGAGGCAGGGACCTAGGGCTTTCTCTAAGGTCTCCACAGGGATTCAGACATCCCTTCATGTTGTGAGATGAAAGACGAGCCTGTATTCAAGCCACTGCAAGGAAATCCGGCCTCCTTTCAAGTTAGGGCTTCTCGCTGTATATTCCCCTTGAGGCAGCAAACTCGGAGTCCCTCCCACATACCTATTGCTGAGAGAAGCCTCCTCCTGAGGTGCTTCTGGAAAGTTGGCATACGTCTTGAGCCTAAGCCAGGGATTCAGCTCTCATCTCGAGACGATTTGGGGTACACAGAGCATTCCTCGAGTTGCTGTGCTGAAGTTGGTGTTCCTCTAGACTTGGGACAGTGTTCTCTGGGCATCTCTGGAGTTGCCTGAAGGAAGTCGAGCCACCGGTCGTGTTGATTGGGCAACGGGGAATGGCTCTGGAGTCAATGCAGGGGAATCGGGCCTCATCTCGAGTTGATTTGTGGCACCTGGAGCTGCTTTGCGTTGCTGGGGTGACCTCAGGGTCCGTCTAGACTGGTGACAGTGTTCTTGGGGACTGCCTCGAGATCCATTAAGCAAGTCGAAGCTCCTGACTTGTTTGAATGGGATCACGGAAAAGCTCTGCATGCACTGCAGGGGAATGGGGCCTCATCTCGCCTCTAGGGGGAAGGCTCTCGGTTTTTCTCGAGTTGGGGCGGGGACCTGGGGTATGTTCTCGACTTACGGCGGGGATGGCCCTTCAAAACACGAGTTTCTTCAGTGACGTCAGGACTCCTGTCTAGTAACGAGGGACAGCTCAGCAATCACTTCGAGGGTTGGCAGGGCAAAAGGGACGCTTCAGGAGGTGAGGCAGGGCACCCAAGGACCCTTTCCAGTAGCCACAGCGATTTTGGGATTCCTATCAGTATTCAAGAGGAGTCAGGCATCGTCACCTTTTGAAGCAATGAACTCCGCGTGCCTCTCGAGGTGTCAGCGGGATGTGAGGCATTCCGTCAAAATGAGGTAGGGTCCTAGGGCTTTCTCTAAGGTCTCCACAGGGGATTCAGACATCCCTTCATGTTGTGAGATGAAAGACGAGCCTGTATTCAAGCCACTGCAAGGAAATCCGGCCTCCTTTCAAGTTAGGGCTTCTCGCTGTATATTTCCCCTTGAGGCAGCAAACTCGGAGTCCCTCCCACATAACTATTGCTGAGAGAAGCCTCCTCCTGAGGTGCTTCTGGAAAGTTGGCATACGTCTTGAGCCTAAGCCAGGGATTCAGCTCTCATCTCGAGACGATTTGGGGTACACAGAGCATTCCTCGAGTTGCTGTGCTGAAGTTGGTGTTCCTCTAGACTTGGGACAGTGTTCTCTGGGCATCTCTGGAGTTGCCTGAAGGAAGTCGAGCCACCGGTCGTGTTGAATGGGGAACGGGGAATGGCTCTGGAGTCAATGCAGGGGAATCGGGCCTCATCTCGAGTTGATTTGTGGCACCTGGAGCTGCTTTGCGTTGCTGGGGTGACCTCAGGGTCCGTCTAGACTGGTGACAGTGTTCTTGGGGACTGCCTCGAGATCCATTAAGCAAGTCGAAGCTCCTGACTTGTTTGAATGGGATCACGGAAAAGCTCTGCATGCACTGCAGGGGAATGGGGCCTCATCTCGACTCTAGGGGGAAGGCTCTCGGTTTTTCTCGAGTTGGGGCGGGGACCTGGGGTATGTTCTCGACTTACGGCGGGGATGGCCCTTCAAAACACGAGTTTCTTCAGTGACGTCAGGACTCCTGTCTAGTAACGAGAGACACCTCAGCAATCTCTTCGAGGCTTGGCAGGGCAAAAGGGACGCTTCTCGAGGTGAGGCAGGGCACCCAAGGACCCTTTCCAGTAGCCACAGCGATTTTGGGATTCCTATCAGTATTCAAGAGGAGTCAGGCATCGTCACCTTTTGAAGCAATGAACTCCGCGTGCCTCTCGAGGTGTCAGCGGGATGTGAGGCATTCCGTAAAAATGAGGCAGGGACCTAGGGCTTTCTCTAAGGTCTCCACAGGGGATTCAGACATCCCTTCATGTTGTGAGATGAAAGACGAGCCTGTATTCAAGCCACTGAAAGGAAATCCGGCCTCCTTTCAAGTTAGTGCTTCTCGCTGTATATTCCCCTTGAGGCAGCAAACACGGGGTCCCTCCCACATACCTATTGCTGAGAGAATCCTCCTCCTGAGGTAATTCTGGGAAGTTGGCATACGTCTTGACCCTAAGCCAAGGAATCAGCTCTCATCTCGAGACGATTTGGGGTACACGGAGCATTCCTCGAGTTGCTGTGCTGAAGTTCGTGTTCCTCTAGACTTGGGACAGTGTTCTCGGGGTATCTCTGGAGTTGCCTGAAGGAAGTCGAGCCACCGGTCGTGTTGAATGGGGAACGGGGAATGGCTCTGGAGTCAATGCAGGGGAATCGGGCCTCGTCTCGAGTTGATTTGGGGCACATGGAGCTGCTTTGCGTTGCTGGGGTGACCTCAGGGTCCGTCTAGACTGGTGACAGTGTTCTTGGGGACTGTCTGGAGATCCATTAAGCAAGTCGAAGCTCCTGACTTGTTTGAATGGGATCACGGAATAGCTCTGCATGCACTGCAGGGGAATGGGGCCTCATCTCGCCTCTAGGGGGAAGTCTCATGGTTTTTCTCGAGTTGCGGCGGGGACCTGGGGTATGTTCTCGACTTACGGCTGGGACGGCCCTTCAAAACACGAGTTTCTTCAGTGACGTCAGGACTCCTCTCTAGTAACGAGGGACAGCTCAGGAATCTCTTCGAGGATTGGCAGGGCAAAAGGGACGCTTCTCGAGGTGAGGCAGGGCACCCAAGGACCCTTTCCAGTAGCCACAGCGATTTTGGGATTCCTATCAGTATTCAAGAGGAGTCAGGCATCGTCACCTTTTGAAGCAATGAACTCCGCGTGCCTCTCGAGGTGTCAGCGGGATGTGAGGCATTCCGTCAAAATGAGGTAGGGACCTAGGGCTTTCTCTAAGGTCTCCACAGGGGATTCAGACATCCCTTCATGTTGTGAGATGAAAGACGAGCCTGTATTCAAGCCACTGAAAGGAAATCCGGCCTCCTTTCAAGTTAGGGCTTCTCGCTGTATATTCCCCTTGAGGCAGCAAACACGGGGTCCCTCCCACATACCTATTGCTGAGAGAATCCTGCTCCTGAGGTAATTCTGGGAAGTTGGCATACGTCTTGACCCTAAGCCAAGGAATCAGCTCTCATCTCGAGACGATTTGGGGTACACGGAGCATTCCTCGAGTTGCTGTGCTGAAGTTGGTGTTCCTCTAGACTTGGGACAGTGTTCTCGGGGCATCTCTGGAGTTGCCTGAAGGAAGTCGAGCCACCGGTCGTGTTGAATGGGGAACGGGGAATGGCTCTGGAGTCAATGCAGGGGAATCGGGCCTCGTCTCGAGTTGATTTGGGGCACATGGAGCTGCTTTGCGTTGCTGGCGTGACCTCAGGGTCCATCTAGACTGGTGACAGTGTTCTTGGGGACTGTCTGGAGATCCATTAAGCAAGTCGAAGCTCCTGACTTGTTTGAATGGGATCACGGAATAGCTCTGCATGCACTGCAGGGGAATGGGGCCTCATCTCGCCTCTAGGGGGAAGTCTCATGGTTTTTCTCGAGTTGCGGCGGGGACCTGGGGTATGTTCTCGACTTACGGCGGAGATGGCCCTTCAAAACACGAGTTTCTTCAGTGACGTCAGGACTCCTCTCTAGTAACGAGGGACACCTCAGGAATCTCTTCGAGGCTTGGCAGGGCAAAAGGGACGCTTCTCGAGGTGAGGCAGGGCACCCAAGGACCCTTTCCAGTAGCCACAGCGATTTTGGGATTCCTATCAGTATTCAAGAGGAGTCAGGCATCGTCACCTTTTGAAGCAATGAACTCCGCGTGCCTCTCGAGGTGTCAGCGGGATGTGAGGCATTCCGTAAAAATGAGGCAGGGACCTAGGGCTTTCTCTAAGGTCTCCACATGGGATTCAGACATCCCTTCATGTTGTGAGATGAAAGACGAGCCTGTATTCAAGCCACTGCAAGGAAATCCGGCCTCCTTTCAAGTTAGGGCTTCTCGCTGTATATTCCCCTTGAGGCAGCAAACTCGGGGTCCCTCCCACATACCTATTGCTGAGAGAAGCCTCCTCCTGAGGTGCTTCTGGGAAGTTGGTATACGTCTTGAGCCTAAGCCAGGGAATCAGCTCTCATCTCGAGACGATTTGTGGTACACAAAGCATTCCTCGAGTTGCTGTGCTGAAGTTGGTGTTCCTCTAGACTTGGGACAGTGTTCTCGGGGCATCTCTGGAGTTGCCTGAAGGAAGTCGAGCCACCGGTCGTGTTGAATGGGGAACGGGGAATGGCTCTGGAGTCAATGCAGGGGAATCGGGCCTCATCTCGAGTTGATTTGGGGCACATGGAGCTGCTTTGCGTTGCTGGGGTGACCTCAGCGTCCGTCTAGACTGGTGACAGTGTTCTTGGGGACTGCCTCGAGATCCATTAAGCAAGTCGAAGCTCCTGACTTGTTTGAATGGGATCACGGAATAGCTCTGCATGCACTGCAGGGGAATGGGGCCTCATCTCGCCTCTAGGGGGAAGTCTCATGGTTTTTCTCGAGTTGCGGCGGGGACCTGGGGTATGTTCTCGACTTACGGCGGGGATGGCCCTTCAAAACACGAGTTTCTTCAGTGACGTCAGGACTCCTGTCTAGTAACGAGGGACACCTCAGGAATCTCTTCGAGGATTGGCAGGGCAAAAGGGACGCTTCTCGAGGTGAGGCAGGGCACCCAAGGACCCTTTCCAGTAGCCACAGCGATTTTGGGATTCCTATCAGTATTCAAGAGGAGTCAGGCATCGTCACCTTTTGAAGCAATGAACTCCGCGTGCCTCTCGAGGTGTCAGCGGGATGTGAGGCATTCCGTCAAAATGAGGTAGGGACCTAGGGCTTTCTCTAAGGTCTCCACAGGGGATTCAGACATCCCTTCATGTTGTGAGATGAAAGACGAGCCTGTATTCAAGCCACTGAAAGGAAATCCGGCCTCCTTTCAAGTTAGGGCTTCTCGCTGTATATTCCCCTTGAGGCAGCAAACACGGGGTCCCTCCCACATACCTATTGCTGAGAGAATCCTCCTCCTGAGGTAATTCTGGGAAGTTGGCATACGTCTTGACCCTAAGCCAAGGAATCAGCTCTAATCTCGAGACGATTTGGGGTACACGGAGCATTCCTCGAGTTGCTGTGCTGAAGTTCGTGTTCCTCTAGACTTGGGACAGTGTTCTCGGGGCATCTCTGGAGTTGCCTGAAGGAAGTCGAGCCACCGGTCGTGTTGAATGGGGAACGGGGAATGGCTCTGGAGTCAATGCAGGGGAATCGGGCCTCGTCTCGAGTTGATTTGGGGCACATGGAGCTGCTTTGCGTTGCTGGGGTGACCTCAGGGTCCGTCTAGACTGGTGACAGTGTTCTTGGGGACTGTCTGGAGATCCATTAAGCAAGTCGAAGCTCCTGACTTGTTTGAATGGGATCACGGAATAGCTCTGCATGCACTGCAGGGGAATGGGGCCTCATCTCGCCTCTAGGGGGAAGTCTCATGGTTTTTCTCGAGTTGCGGCGGGGACCTGGGGTATGTTCTCGACTTACGGCGGGGATGGCCCTTCAAAACACGAGTTTCTTCAGTGACGTCAGGACTCCTCTCTAGTAACGAGGGACACCTCAGGAATCTCTTCGAGGCTTGGCAGGGCAAAAGGGACGCTTCTCGAGGTGAGGCAGGGCACCCAAGGACCCTTTCCAGTAGCCACAGCGATTTTGGGATTCCTATCAGTATTCAAGAGGAGTCAGGCATCGTCACCTTTTGAAGCAATGAACTCCGCGTGCCTCTCGAGGTGTCAGCGGGATGTGAGGCATTCCGTCAAAATGAGGCAGGGACCTAGGGCTTTCTCTAAGGTCTCCACAGGGGATTCAGACATACCTTCATGTTGTGAGATGAAAGACGAGCCTGTATTCAAGCCACTGCAAGGAAATCCGGCCTCCTTTCAAGTTAGGGCTTCTCGCTGTATATTCCCCTTGAGGCAGTAAACTCGGGGTCCCTCCCACATACCTATTGCTGAGAGAAGCCTCCTCCTGAGGTGCTTCTGGGAAGTTGGCATACGTCTTGAGCCTAAGCCAGGGAATCAGCTCTCATCTCGAGACGATTTGGGGTACACGAAGCATTCCTCGAGTTGCTGTGCTGAAGTTGGTGTTCCTCTAGACTTGATACAGTGTTCTCGGGGCATCTCTGGAGTTGCCTGAAGGAAGTCGAGCCACCGGTCGTGTTGAATGGGGAACGGGGAATGGCTCTGGAGTCAATGCAGGGTAATCGGGCCTCATCTCGAGTTGATTTGTGGCACCTGGATCTGCTTTGCGTTGCTGGGGTGACCTCAGGGTCCGTCTAGACTGGTGACAGTGTTCTTGGGGACTGTCTGGAGATCCATTAAGCAAGTCGAAGCTCCTGACTTGTTTGAATGGGATCACGGAATAGCTCTGCATGCACTGCAGGGGAATGGGGCCTCATCTCGCCTCTAGGGGGAAGTCTCATGGTTTTTCTCGAGTTGCGGCGGGGACCTGGGGTATGTTCTCGACTTACGGCGGGGATGGCCCTTCAAAACACGAGTTTCTTCAGTGACGTCAGGACTCCTGTCTAGTAACGAGGGACACCTCAGCAATCTCTTCGAGGGTTGGCAGGGCAAAAGGGACGCTTCTCGAGGTGAGGCAGGGCACCCAAGGACCCTTTCCAGTAGCCACAGCGATTTTGGGATTCCTATCAGTATTCAAGAGGAGTCAGGCATCGTCACCTTTTGAAGCAATGAACTCCGCGTGCCTCTCGTGGTGTCAGCGGGATGTGAGGCATTCCGTCAAAATGAGGTAGGGCCCTAGGGCTTTCTCTAAGGTCTCCACAGGGGATTCAGACATCCCTTCATGTTGTGAGATGAAAGACGAGCCTGTATTCAAGCCACTGCAAGGAAATCCGGCCTCCTTTCAAGTTAGGGCTTCTCGCTGTATATTTCCCCTTGAGGCAGCAAACTCGGAGTCCCTCCCACATAACTATTGCTGAGAGAAGCCTCCTCCTGAGGTGCTTCTGGAAAGTTGGCATACGTCTTGAGCCTAAGCCAGGGATTCAGCTCTCATCTCGAGACGATTTGGGGTACACAGAGCATTCCTCGAGTTGCTGTGCTGAAGTTGGTGTTCCTCTAGACTTGGGACAGTGTTCTCTGGGCATCTCTGGAGTTGCCTGAAGGAAGTCGAGCCACCGGTCGTGTTGAATGGGGAACGGGGAATGGCTCTGGAGTCAATGCAGGGGAATCGGGCCTCATCTCGAGTTGATTTGTGGCACCTGGAGCTGCTTTGCGTTGCTGGGGTGACCTCAGGGTCCGTCTAGACTGGTGACAGTGTTCTTGGGGACTGCCTCGAGATCCATTAAGCAAGTCGAAGCTCCTGACTTGTTTGAATGGGATCACGGAAAAGCTCTGCATGCACTGCAGGGGAATGGGGCCTCATCTCGACTCTAGGGGGAAGGCTCTCGGTTTTTCTCGAGTTGGGGCGGGGACCTGGGGTATGTTCTCGACTTACGGCGGGGATGGCCCTTCAAAACACGAGTTTCTTCAGTGACGTCAGGACTCCTGTCTAGTAACGAGAGACACCTCAGCAATCTCTTCGAGGCTTGGCAGGGCAAAAGGGACGCTTCTCGAGGTGAGGCAGGGCACCCAAGGACCCTTTCCAGTAGCCACAGCGATTTTGGGATTCCTATCAGTATTCAAGAGGAGTCAGGCATCGTCACCTTTTGAAGCAATGAACTCCGCGTGCCTCTCGAGGTGTCAGCGGGATGTGAGGCATTCCGTAAAAATGAGGCAGGGACCTAGGGCTTTCTCTAAGGTCTCCACAGGGGATTCAGACATCCCTTCATGTTGTGAGATGAAAGACGAGCCTGTATTCAAGCCACTGAAAGGAAATCCGGCCTCCTTTCAAGTGAGGGCTTCTCGCTGTATATTCCCCTTGAGGCAGCAAACACGGGGTCCCTCCCACATACCTATTGCTGAGAGAATCCTCCTCCTGAGGTAATTCTGGGAAGTTGGCATACGTCTTGACCCTAAGCCAAGGAATCAGCTCTCATCTCGAGACGATTTGGGGTACACGGAGCATTCCTCGAGTTGCTGTGCTGAAGTTCGTGTTCCTCTAGACTTGGGACAGTGTTCTCGGGGTATCTCTGGAGTTGCCTGAAGGAAGTCGAGCCACCGGTCGTGTTGAATGGGGAACGGGGAATGGCTCTGGAGTCAATGCAGGGGAATCGGGCCTCGTCTCGAGTTGATTTGGGGCACATGGAGCTGCTTTGCGTTGCTGGGGTGACCTCAGGGTCCGTCTAGACTGGTGACAGTGTTCTTGGGGACTGTCTGGAGATCCATTAAGCAAGTCGAAGCTCCTGACTTGTTTGAATGGGATCACGGAATAGCTCTGCATGCACTGCAGGGGAATGGGGCCTCATCTCGCCTCTAGGGGGAAGTCTCATGGTTTTTCTCGAGTTGCGGCGGGGACCTGGGGTATGTTCTCGACTTACGGCTGGGACGGCCCTTCAAAACACGAGTTTCTTCAGTGACGTCAGGACTCCTCTCTAGTAACGAGGGACAGCTCAGGAATCTCTTCGAGGCTTGGCAGGGCAAAAGGGACGCTTCTCGAGGTGAGGCAGGGCACCCAAGGACCCTTTCCAGTAGCCACAGCGATTTTGGGATTCCTATCAGTATTCAAGAGGAGTCAGGCATCGTCACCTTTTGAAGCAATGAACTCCGCGTGCCTCTCGAGGTGTCAGCGGGATGTGAGGCATTCCGTCAAAATGAGGTAGGGACCTAGGGCTTTCTCTAAGGTCTCCACAGGGGATTCAGACATCCCTTCATGTTGTGAGATGAAAGACGAGCCTGTATTCAAGCCACTGAAAGGAAATCCGGCCTCCTTTCAAGTTAGGGCTTCTCGCTGTATATTCCCCTTGAGGCAGCAAACACGGGGTCCCTCCCACATACCTATTGCTGAGAGAATCCTGCTCCTGAGGTAATTCTGGGAAGTTGGCATACGTCTTGACCCTAAGCCAAGGAATCAGCTCTCATCTCGAGACGATTTGGGGTACACGGAGCATTCCTCGAGTTGCTGTGCTGAAGTTGGTGTTCCTCTAGACTTGGGACAGTGTTCTCGGGGCATCTCTGGAGTTGCCTGAAGGAAGTCGAGCCACCGGTCGTGTTGAATGGGGAACGGGGAATGGCTCTGGAGTCAATGCAGGGGAATCGGGCCTCGTCTCGAGTTGATTTGGGGCACATGGAGCTGCTTTGCGTTGCTGGCGTGACCTCAGGGTCCATCTAGACTGGTGACAGTGTTCTTGGGGACTGTCTGGAGATCCATTAAGCAAGTCGAAGCTCCTGACTTGTTTGAATGGGATCACGGAATAGCTCTGCATGCACTGCAGGGGAATGGGGCCTCATCTCGCCTCTAGGGGGAAGTCTCATGGTTTTTCTCGAGTTGCGGCGGGGACCTGGGGTATGTTCTCGACTTACGGCGGAGATGGCCCTTCAAAACACGAGTTTCTTCAGTGACGTCAGGACTCCTCTCTAGTAACGAGGGACACCTCAGGAATCTCTTCGAGGCTTGGCAGGGCAAAAGGGACGCTTCTCGAGGTGAGGCAGGGCACCCAAGGACCCTTTCCAGTAGCCACAGCGATTTTGGGATTCCTATCAGTATTCAAGAGGAGTCAGGCATCGTCACCTTTTGAAGCAATGAACTCCGCGTGCCTCTCGAGGTGTCAGCGGGATGTGAGGCATTCCGTAAAAATGAGGCAGGGACCTAGGGCTTTCTCTAAGGTCTCCACATGGGATTCAGACATCCCTTCATGTTGTGAGATGAAAGACGAGCCTGTATTCAAGCCACTGCAAGGAAATCCGGCCTCCTTTCAAGTTAGGGCTTCTCGCTGTATATTCCCCTTGAGGCAGCAAACTCGGGGTCCCTCCCACATACCTATTGCTGAGAGAAGCCTCCTCCTGAGGTGCTTCTGGGAAGTTGGTATACGTCTTGAGCCTAAGCCAGGGAATCAGCTCTCATCTCGAGACGATTTGTGGTACACAAAGCATTCCTCGAGTTGCTGTGCTGAAGTTGGTGTTCCTCTAGACTTGGGACAGTGTTCTCGGGGCATCTCTGGAGTTGCCTGAAGGAAGTCGAGCCACCGGTCGTGTTGAATGGGGAACGGGGAATGGCTCTGGAGTCAATGCAGGGGAATCGGGCCTCATCTCGAGTTGATTTGGGGCACATGGAGCTGCTTTGCGTTGCTGGGGTGACCTCAGCGTCCGTCTAGACTGGTGACAGTGTTCTTGGGGACTGCCTCGAGATCCATTAAGCAAGTCGAAGCTCCTGACTTGTTTGAATGGGATCACGGAATAGCTCTGCATGCACTGCAGGGGAATGGGGCCTCATCTCGCCTCTAGGGGGAAGTCTCATGGTTTTTCTCGAGTTGCGGCGGGGACCTGGGGTATGTTCTCGACTTACGGCGGGGATGGCCCTTCAAAACACGAGTTTCTTCAGTGACGTCAGGACTCCTGTCTAGTAACGAGGGACACCTCAGGAATCTCTTCGAGGATTGGCAGGGCAAAAGGGACGCTTCTCGAGGTGAGGCAGGGCACCCAAGGACCCTTTCCAGTAGCCACAGCGATTTTGGGATTCCTATCAGTATTCAAGAGGAGTCAGGCATCGTCACCTTTTGAAGCAATGAACTCCGCGTGCCTCTCGAGGTGTCAGCGGGATGTGAGGCATTCCGTCAAAATGAGGTAGGGACCTAGGGCTTTCTCTAAGGTCTCCACAGGGGATTCAGACATCCCTTCATGTTGTGAGATGAAAGACGAGCCTGTATTCAAGCCACTGAAAGGAAATCCGGCCTCCTTTCAAGTTAGGGCTTCTCGCTGTATATTCCCCTTGAGGCAGCAAACACGGGGTCCCTCCCACATACCTATTGCTGAGAGAATCCTCCTCCTGAGGTAATTCTGGGAAGTTGGCATACGTCTTGACCCTAAGCCAAGGAATCAGCTCTAATCTCGAGACGATTTGGGGTACACGGAGCATTCCTCGAGTTGCTGTGCTGAAGTTCGTGTTCCTCTAGACTTGGGACAGTGTTCTCGGGGCATCTCTGGAGTTGCCTGAAGGAAGTCGAGCCACCGGTCGTGTTGAATGGGGAACGGGGAATGGCTCTGGAGTCAATGCAGGGGAATCGGGCCTCGTCTCGAGTTGATTTGGGGCACATGGAGCTGCTTTGCGTTGCTGGGGTGACCTCAGGGTCCGTCTAGACTGGTGACAGTGTTCTTGGGGACTGTCTGGAGATCCATTAAGCAAGTCGAAGCTCCTGACTTGTTTGAATGGGATCACGGAATAGCTCTGCATGCACTGCAGGGGAATGGGGCCTCATCTCGCCTCTAGGGGGAAGTCTCATGGTTTTTCTCGAGTTGCGGCGGGGACCTGGGGTATGTTCTCGACTTACGGCGGGGATGGCCCTTCAAAACACGAGTTTCTTCAGTGACGTCAGGACTCCTCTCTAGTAACGAGGGACACCTCAGGAATCTCTTCGAGGCTTGGCAGGGCAAAAGGGACGCTTCTCGAGGTGAGGCAGGGCACCCAAGGACCCTTTCCAGTAGCCACAGCGATTTTGGGATTCCTATCAGTATTCAAGAGGAGTCAGGCATCGTCACCTTTTGAAGCAATGAACTCCGCGTGCCTCTCGAGGTGTCAGCGGGATGTGAGGCATTCCGTCAAAATGAGGCAGGGACCTAGGGCTTTCTCTAAGGTCTCCACAGGGGATTCAGACATACCTTCATGTTGTGAGATGAAAGACGAGCCTGTATTCAAGCCACTGCAAGGAAATCCGGCCTCCTTTCAAGTTAGGGCTTCTCGCTGTATATTCCCCTTGAGGCAGTAAACTCGGGGTCCCTCCCACATACCTATTGCTGAGAGAAGCCTCCTCCTGAGGTGCTTCTGGGAAGTTGGCATACGTCTTGAGCCTAAGCCAGGGAATCAGCTCTCATCTCGAGACGATTTGGGGTACACGAAGCATTCCTCGAGTTGCTGTGCTGAAGTTGGTGTTCCTCTAGACTTGATACAGTGTTCTCGGGGCATCTCTGGAGTTGCCTGAAGGAAGTCGAGCCACCGGTCGTGTTGAATGGGGAACGGGGAATGGCTCTGGAGTCAATGCAGGGTAATCGGGCCTCATCTCGAGTTGATTTGTGGCACCTGGATCTGCTTTGCGTTGCTGGGGTGACCTCAGGGTCCGTCTAGACTGGTGACAGTGTTCTTGGGGACTGTCTGGAGATCCATTAAGCAAGTCGAAGCTCCTGACTTGTTTGAATGGGATCACGGAATAGCTCTGCATGCACTGCAGGGGAATGGGGCCTCATCTCGCCTCTAGGGGGAAGTCTCATGGTTTTTCTCGAGTTGCGGCGGGGACCTGGGGTATGTTCTCGACTTACGGCGGGGATGGCCCTTCAAAACACGAGTTTCTTCAGTGACGTCAGGACTCCTGTCTAGTAACGAGGGACACCTCAGCAATCTCTTCGAGGGTTGGCAGGGCAAAAGGGACGCTTCTCGAGGTGAGGCAGGGCACCCAAGGACCCTTTCCAGTAGCCACAGCGATTTTGGGATTCCTATCAGTATTCAAGAGGAGTCAGGCATCGTCACCTTTTGAAGCAATGAACTCCGCGTGCCTCTCGTGGTGTCAGCGGGATGTGAGGCATTCCGTCAAAATGAGGTAGGGCCCTAGGGCTTTCTCTAAGGTCTCCACAGGGGATTCAGACATCCCTTCATGTTGTGAGATGAAAGACGAGCCTGTATTCAAGCCACTGAAAGGAAATCCGGCCTCCTTTCAAGTTAGGGCTTCTCGCTGTATATTCCCCTTGAGGCAGCAAACACGGGGTCCCTCCCACATACCTATTGCTGAGAGAATCCTCCTCCTGAGGTAACTCTGGAAGTTGGCATACGTCTTGACCCTAAGCCAAGGAATCAGCTCTCATCTCGAGACGATTTGGGGTAAACGGAGCATTCCTCGAGTTGCTGTGCTGAAGTTGGTGTTCCTCTAGACTTGGGACAGTGTTCTCGGGGCATCTCTGGAGTTGCCTGAAGGAAGTCGAGCCACCGGTCGTGTTGAATGGGGAACGGCGAATGGCTCTGGAGTCAATGCAGGGGAATCGGGCCTCGTCTCGAGTTGATTTGGGGCACATGGAGCTGCTTTGCGTTGCTGGGGTGACCTCAGGGTCCGTCTAGACTGGTGACAGTGTTCTTGGGGACTGTCTGGAGATCCATTAAGCAAGTCGAAGCTCCTGACTTGTTTGAATGGGATCACGGAATAGCTCTGCATGCACTGCAGGGGAATGGGGCCTCATCTCGCCTCTAGGGGGAAGTCTCATGGTTTTTCTCGAGTTGCGGCGGGGACCTGGGGTATGTTCTCGACTTACAGCGGGGATGGCCCTTCAAAACACGAGTTTCTTCAGTGACGTCAGGACTCCTGTCTAGTAACGAGGGACACTTCAGCAATCTCTTCGAGGCTTGGCAGGGCAAAAGGGACGCTTCTCGAGGTGAGGCATGGCACCCAAGGACCCTTTCCAGTAGCCACAGGGATTTTGGGATTCCTATAAGTAATCAAGAGGAGTCAGGCATCGTCACCTTTTGAAGCAATGAACTCCGCGTGCCTCTCGATTTGTCAGCGGGATGTGAGGATTCCGTCAAAATGAGGCAGGGACCTAGGGCTTTCTCTAAGGTCTCCACAGGGGATTCAGACATCCCTTCATGTTGTGAGATGAAAGACGAGCCTGTATTCAAGCCACTGCAAGGAAATCTGGCCTCCTTTCAAGTTAGGGCTTCTCGCTGTATATTCCCCTTGAGGCAGCAAACTCGGGGTCCCTCCCACATACCTATTGCTGAGAGAAGCCTCCTCCTGCGGTGCTTCTGGAAAGGTGGCATACGTCTTGAGCCTAAGCCAGGGAATCAGCTCTCATCTCGAGACGATTTGGGGTACACAGAGCATTCCTCGAGTTGCTATGCTGAAGTTGGTGGTCCTCTAGACTTGGGACAGTGTTCTCGGGGCATCTCTGGAGTTGCCTGAAGGAAGTCGAGCCACCGGTCGTGTTGAATGGGGAACAAGGAATGGCTCTGGAGTCAATGCAGGGGAATCCGGCCTCATCTCGAGTTGTTTTGGGGCACATGGAGCTGCTTTGCATTGCTGGGTGACCTCAGGGTCCGTCTAGACTGGTGACAGTGTACTTGGGGACTGTCTGGAGATCCATTAAGCAAGTCGAAGCTCCTGACTTGTTTGAATGGGATCACGGAATAGCTCTGCATGCACTGCAGGGGAATGGGGCCTCATCTCGCCTCTAGGGGGAAGTCTCATGGTTTTTCTGGAGTTGCGGCGGGGACCTGGGGTATGTTCTCGACTTACGGCGGGGATGGCCCTTCAAAACACGAGTTTCTTCAGTGACGTCAGGACTCCTCTCTAGTAACGAGGGACACCTCAGGAATCTCTTCGAGGCTTGGCAGGGCAAAAGGGACGCTTCTCGAGGTGAGGCAGGGCACCCAAGGACCCTTTCCAGTAGCCACAGGGATTTTGGGATTCCTATCAGTATTCAAGAGGAGTCAGGCATCGTCACCTTTTGAAGCAATGAACTCCGCGTGCCTCTCGAGGTGTCAGCGGGATGTGAGGCATTCCGTAAAAATGAGGCAGGGACCTAGGGCTTTCTCTAAGGTCTCCACAGGGGATTCAGACATCCCTTCATGTTGTGAGATGAAAGACGAGCCTGTATTCAAGCCACTGAAAGGAAATCCGGCCTCCTTTCAAGTTAGGGCTTCTCGCTGTATATTCCCCTTGAGGCAACAAACTCGGGGTCCCTCCCACATACATATTGCTGAGAGAAGCCTCCTCCTGAGGTGCTTCTGGGAAGTTGGCATACGTCTTGAGCCTAAGCCAGGGAATCAGCTCTCATCTCGAGACGATTTGGGGTACACGAAGCATTCCTCGAGTTGCTGTGCTGAAGTTGGTGTTCCTTTAGACTTGGGACAGTGTTCTCGGGGCATCTCTGGAGTTACCTGAAGGAAGTCGAGCCACCGGTCGTGTTGAATGGGGAACGGGGAATGGCTTTGCAGTCAATGCAGGGGAATCGGGCCTCATCTCGAGTTGATTTAGGGCACATGGAGCTGCTTTGCGTTGCTGGGGTGACCTCAGGGTCCGTCTAGACTGGTGACAGTGTTCTTGGGGACTGTCTGGAGATCCATTAAGCAAGTCGAAGCTCCTGACTTGTTTGAATGGGATCACGGAATAGCTCTGCATGCACTGCAGGGGAATGGGGCCTCATCTCGCCTCTAGGGGGAAGTCTCATGGTTTTTCTCGAGTTGCGGCGGGGACCTGGGGTATGTTCTCGACTTACGGCGGGGATGGCCCTTCAAAACACGAGTTTCTTCAGTGACGTCAGGACTCCTGTCTAGTAACGAGGGACAGCTCAGGAATCTCTTCGAGGATTGGCAGGGCAAAAGGGACGCTTCTCGAGGTGAGGCAGGGCACCCAAGGACCCTTTCCAGTAGCCACAGCGATTTTGGGATTCCTATCAGTATTCAAGAGGAGTCAGGCATCGTCACCTTTTGAAGCAATGAACTCCGCGTGCCTCTCGAGGTGTCAGCGGGATGTGAGGCATTCCGTCAAAATGAGGTAGGGCCCTAGGGCTTTCTCTAAGGTCTCCACAGGGGATTCAGACATCCCTTCATGTTGTGAGATGAAAGACGAGCCTGTATTCAAGCCACTGAAAGGAAATCCGGCCTCCTTTCAAGTTAGGGCTTCTCGCTGTATATTCCCCTTGAGGCAGCAAACACGGGGTCCCTCCCACATACCTATTGCTGAGAGAATCCTCCTCCTGAGGTAACTCTGGAAGTTGGCATACGTCTTGACCCTAAGCCAAGGAATCAGCTCTCATCTCGAGACGATTTGGGGTACACGGAGCATTCCTCGAGTTGCTGTGCTGAAGTTGGTGTTCCTCTAGACTTGGGACAGTGTTCTCGGGGCATCTCTGGAGTTGCCTGAAGGAAGTCGAGCCACCGGTCGTGTTGAATGGGGAACGGCGAATGGCTCTGGAGTCAATGCAGGGGAATCGGGCCTCGTCTCGAGTTGATTTGGGGCACATGGAGCTGCTTTGCGTTGCTGGGGTGACCTCAGGGTCCGTCTAGACTGGTGACAGTGTTCTTGGGGACTGTCTGGAGATCCATTAAGCAAGTCGAAGCTCCTGACTTGTTTGAATGGGATCACGGAATAGCTCTGCATGCACTGCAGGGGAATGGGGCCTCATCTCGCCTCTAGGGGGAAGTCTCATGGTTTTTCTCGAGTTGCGGCGGGGACCTGGGGTATGTTCTCGACTTACAGCGGGGATGGCCCTTCAAAACACGAGTTTCTTCAGTGACGTCAGGACTCCTGTCTAATAACGAGGGACACTTCAGCAATCTCTTCGAGGCTTGGCAGGGCAAAAGGGACGCTTCTCGAGGTGAGGCATGGCACCCAAGGACCCTTTCCAGTAGCCACAGGGATTTTGGGATTCCTATAAGTAATCAAGAGGAGTCAGGCATCGTCACCTTTTGAAGCAATGAACTCCGCGTGCCTCTCGAGGTGTCAGCGGGATGTGAGGATTCCGTCAAAATGAGGCAGGGACCTAGGGCTTTCTCTAAGGTCTCCACAGGGGATTCAGACATCCCTTCATGTTGTGAGATGAAAGACGAGCCTGTATTCAAGCCACTGCAAGGAAATCTGGCCTCCTTTCAAGTTAGGGCTTCTCGCTGTATATTCCCCTTGAGGCAGCAAACTCGGGGTCCCTCCCACATACCTATTGCTGAGAGAAGCCTCCTCCTGCGGTGCTTCTGGAAAGGTGGCATAAGTCTTGAGCCTAAGCCAGGGAATCAGCTCTCATCTCGAGACGATTTGGGGTACACAGAGCATTCCTCGAGTTGCTATGCTGAAGTTGGTGGTCCTCTAGACTTGGGACAGTGTTCTCGGGGCATCTCTGGAGTTGCCTGAAGGAAGTCGAGCCACCGGTCGTGTTGAATGGGGAACAAGGAATGGCTCTGGAGTCAATGCAGGGGAATCCGGCCTCATCTCGAGTTGATTTGGGGCACATGGAGCTGCTTTGCATTGCTGGGTGACCTCAGGGTCCGTCTAGACTGGTGACAGTGTACTTGGGGACTGTCTGGAGATCCATTAAGCAAGTCGAAGCTCCTGACTTGTTTGAATGGGATCACGGAATAGCTCTGCATGCACTGCAGGGGAATGGGGCCTCATCTCGCCTCTAGGGGGAAGTCTCATGGTTTTTCTGGAGTTGCGGCGGGGACCTGGGGTATGTTCTCGACTTACGGCGGGGATGGCCCTTCAAAACACGAGTTTCTTCAGTGACGTCAGGACTCCTCTCTAGTAACGAGGGACACCTCAGGAATCTCTTCGAGGCTTGGCAGGGCAAAAGGGACGCTTCTCGAGGTGAGGCAGGGCACCCAAGGACCCTTTCCAGTAGCCACAGGGATTTTGGGATTCCTATCAGTATTAAAGAGGAGTCAGGCATCGTCACCTTTTGAAGCAATGAACTCCGCGTGCCTCTCGAGGTGTCAGCGGGATGTGAGGCATTCCGTCAAAATGAGGTAGGGCCCTAGGGCTTTCTCTAAGGTCTCCACAGGGGATTCAGACATCCCTTCATGTTGTGAGATGAAAGACGAGCCTGTATTCAAGCCACTGAAAGGAAATCCGGCCTCCTTTCAAGTTAGGGCTTCTCGCTGTATATTCCCCTTGAGGCAGCAAACACGGGGTCCCTCCCACATACCTATTGCTGAGAGAATCCTCCTCCTGAGGTAACTCTGGAAGTTGGCATACGTCTTGACCCTAAGCCAAGGAATCAGCTCTCATCTCGAGACGATTTGGGGTACACGGAGCATTCCTCGAGTTGCTGTGCTGAAGTTGGTGTTCCTCTAGACTTGGGACAGTGTTCTCGGGGCATCTCTGGAGTTGCCTGAAGGAAGTCGAGCCACCGGTCGTGTTGAATGGGGAACGGCGAATGGCTCTGGAGTCAATGCAGGGGAATCGGGCCTCGTCTCGAGTTGATTTGGGGCACATGGAGCTGCTTTGCGTTGCTGGGGTGACCTCAGGGTCCGTCTAGACTGGTGACAGTGTTCTTGGGGACTGTCTGGAGATCCATTAAGCAAGTCGAAGCTCCTGACTTGTTTGAATGGGATCACGGAATAGCTCTGCATGCACTGCAGGGGAATGGGGCCTCATCTCGCCTCTAGGGGGAAGTCTCATGGTTTTTCTCGAGTTGCGGCGGGGACCTGGGGTATGTTCTCGACTTACGGCGGGGATGGCCCTTCAAAACACGAGTTTCTTCAGTGACGTCAGGACTCCTGTCTAGTAACGAGGGACAGCTCACGAATCTCTTCGAGGATTGGCAGGGCAAAAGGGACGCTTTTCGAGGTGAGGCAGGGCACCCAAGGACCCTTTCCAGTAGCCACAGCGATTTTGGGATTCCTATCAGTATTCAAGAGGAGTCAGGCATCGTCACCTTTTGAAGCAATGAACTCCGCGTGCCTCTCGAGGTGTCAGCGGGATGTGAGGCATTCCGTCAAAATGAGGTAGGGCCCTAGGGCTTTCTCTAAGGTCTCCACAGGGGATTCAGACATCCCTTCATGTTGTGAGACGAAAGACCAGCCTGTATTCAAGCCACTGAAAGGAAATCCGGCCTCCTTTCAAGTTAGGGCTTCTCGCTGTATATTCCCCTTGAGGCAGCAAACACGGGGTCCCTCCCACATACCTATTGCTGAGAGAATCCTCCTCCTGAGGTAACTCTGGAAGTTGGCATACGTCTTGACCCTAAGCCAAGGAATCAGCTCTCATCTCGAGACGATTTGGGGTACACGGAGCATTCCTCGAGTTGCTGTGCTGAAGTTGGTGTTCCTCTAGACTTGGGACAGTGTTCTCGGGGCATCTCTGGAGTTGCCTGAAGGAAGTCGAGCCACCGGTCGTGTTGAATGGGGAACGGCGAATGGCTCTGGAGTCAATGCAGGGGAATCGGGCCTCGTCTCGAGTTGATTTGGGGCACATGGAGCTGCTTTGCGTTGCTGGGGTGACCTCAGGGTCCGTCTAGACTGGTGACAGTGTTCTTGGGGACTGTCTGGAGATCCATTAAGCAAGTCGAAGCTCCTGACTTGTTTGAATGGGATCACGGAATAGCTCTGCATACACTGCAGGGGAATGGGGCCTCATCTCGCCTCTAGGGGGAAGTCTCATGGTTTTTCTCGAGTTGCGGCGGGGACCTGGGGTATGTTCTCGACTTACAGCGGGGATGGCCCTTCAAAACACGAGTTTCTTCAGTGACGTCAGGACTCCTGTCTAGTAACGAGGGACACTTCAGCAATCTCTTCGAGGCTTGGCAGGGCAAAAGGGACGCTTCTCGAGGTGAGGCATGGCACCCAAGGACCCTTTCCAGTAGCCACAGGGATTTTGGGATTCCTATAAGTAATCAAGAGGAGTCAGGCATCGTCACCTTTTGAAGCAATGAACTCCGCGTGCCTCTCGAGGTGTCAGCGGGATGTGAGGATTCCGTCAAAATGAGGCAGGGACCTAGGGCTTTCTCTAAGGTCTCCACAGGGGATTCAGACATCCCTTCATGTTGTGAGATGAAAGACGAGCCTGTATTCAAGCCACTGCAAGGAAATCTGGCCTCCTTTCAAGTTAGGGCTTCTCGCTGTATATTCCCCTTGAGGCAGCAAACTCGGGGTCCCTCCCACATACCTATTGCTGAGAGATGCCTCCTCCTGCGGTGCTTCTGGAAAGGTGGCATAAGTCTTGAGCCTAAGCCAGGGAATCAGCTCTCATCTCGAGACGATTTGGGGTACACAGAGCATTCCTCGAGTTGCTATGCTGAAGTTGGTGGTCCTCTAGACTTGGGACAGTGTTCTCGGGGCATCTCTGGAGTTGCCTGAAGGAAGTCGAGCCACCGGTCGTGTTGAATGGGGAACAAGGAATGGCTCTGGAGTCAATGCAGGGGAATCCGGCCTCATCTCGAGTTGATTTGGGGCACATGGAGCTGCTTTGCATTGCTGGGTGACCTCAGGGTCCGTCTAGACTGGTGACAGTGTACTTGGGGACTGTCTGGAGATCCATTAAGCAAGTCGAAGCTCCTGACTTGTTTGAATGGGATCACGGAATAGCTCTGCATGCACTGCAGGGGAATGGGGCCTCATCTCGCCTCTAGGGGGAAGTCTCATGGTTTTTCTGGAGTTGCGGCGGGGACCTGGGGTATGTTCTCGACTTACGGCGGGGATGGCCCTTCAAAACACGAGTTTCTTCAGTGACGTCAGGACTCCTCTCTAGTAACGAGGGACACCTCAGGAATCTCTTCGAGGCTTGGCAGGGCAAAAGGGACGCTTCTCGAGGTGAGGCAGGGCACCCAAGGACCCTTTCCAGTAGCCACAGGGATTTTGGGATTCCTATCAGTATTAAAGAGGAGTCAGGCATCGTCACCTTTTGAAGCAATGAACTCCGCGTGCCTCTCGAGGTGTCAGCGGGATGTGAGGCATTCCGTCAAAATGAGGTAGGGCCCTAGGGCTTTCTCTAAGGTCTCCACAGGGGATTCAGACATCCCTTCATGTTGTGAGATGAAAGACGAGCCTGTATTCAAGCCACTGAAAGGAAATCCGGCCTCCTTTCAAGTTAGGGCTTCTCGCTGTATATTCCCCTTGAGGCAGCAAACACGGGGTCCCTCCCACATACCTATTGCTGAGAGAATCCTCCTCCTGAGGTAATTCTGGGAAGTTGGCATACGTCTTGACCCTAAGCCAAGGAATCAGCTCTAATCTCGAGACGATTTGGGGTACACGGAGCATTCCTCGAGTTGCTGTGCTGAAGTTCGTGTTCCTCTAGACTTGGGACAGTGTTCTCGGGGCATCTCTGGAGTTGCCTGAAGGAAGTCGAGCCACCGGTCGTGTTGAATGGGGAACGGGGAATGGCTCTGGAGTCAATGCAGGGGAATCGGGCCTCGTCTCGAGTTGATTTGGGGCACATGGAGCTGCTTTGCGTTGCTGGGGTGACCTCAGGGTCCGTCTAGACTGGTGACAGTGTTCTTGGGGACTGTCTGGAGATCCATTAAGCAAGTCGAAGCTCCTGACTTGTTTGAATGGGATCACGGAATAGCTCTGCATGCACTGCAGGGGAATGGGGCCTCATCTCGCCTCTAGGGGGAAGTCTCATGGTTTTTCTCGAGTTGCGGCGGGGACCTGGGGTATGTTCTCGACTTACGGCGGGGATGGCCCTTCAAAACACGAGTTTCTTCAGTGACGTCAGGACTCCTCTCTAGTAACGAGGGACACCTCAGGAATCTCTTCGAGGCTTGGCAGGGCAAAAGGGACGCTTCTCGAGGTGAGGCAGGGCACCCAAGGACCCTTTCCAGTAGCCACAGCGATTTTGGGATTCCTATCAGTATTCAAGAGGAGTCAGGCATCGTCACCTTTTGAAGCAATGAACTCCGCGTGCCTCTCGAGGTGTCAGCGGGATGTGAGGCATTCCGTCAAAATGAGGCAGGGACCTAGGGCTTTCTCTAAGGTCTCCACAGGGGATTCAGACATACCTTCATGTTGTGAGATGAAAGACGAGCCTGTATTCAAGCCACTGCAAGGAAATCCGGCCTCCTTTCAAGTTAGGGCTTCTCGCTGTATATTCCCCTTGAGGCAGTAAACTCGGGGTCCCTCCCACATACCTATTGCTGAGAGAAGCCTCCTCCTGAGGTGCTTCTGGGAAGTTGGCATACGTCTTGAGCCTAAGCCAGGGAATCAGCTCTCATCTCGAGACGATTTGGGGTACACGAAGCATTCCTCGAGTTGCTGTGCTGAAGTTGGTGTTCCTCTAGACTTGATACAGTGTTCTCGGGGCATCTCTGGAGTTGCCTGAAGGAAGTCGAGCCACCGGTCGTGTTGAATGGGGAACGGGGAATGGCTCTGGAGTCAATGCAGGGTAATCGGGCCTCATCTCGAGTTGATTTGTGGCACCTGGATCTGCTTTGCGTTGCTGGGGTGACCTCAGGGTCCGTCTAGACTGGTGACAGTGTTCTTGGGGACTGTCTGGAGATCCATTAAGCAAGTCGAAGCTCCTGACTTGTTTGAATGGGATCACGGAATAGCTCTGCATGCACTGCAGGGGAATGGGGCCTCATCTCGCCTCTAGGGGGAAGTCTCATGGTTTTTCTCGAGTTGCGGCGGGGACCTGGGGTATGTTCTCGACTTACGGCGGGGATGGCCCTTCAAAACACGAGTTTCTTCAGTGACGTCAGGACTCCTGTCTAGTAACGAGGGACACCTCAGCAATCTCTTCGAGGGTTGGCAGGGCAAAAGGGACGCTTCTCGAGGTGAGGCAGGGCACCCAAGGACCCTTTCCAGTAGCCACAGCGATTTTGGGATTCCTATCAGTATTCAAGAGGAGTCAGGCATCGTCACCTTTTGAAGCAATGAACTCCGCGTGCCTCTCGTGGTGTCAGCGGGATGTGAGGCATTCCGTCAAAATGAGGTAGGGCCCTAGGGCTTTCTCTAAGGTCTCCACAGGGGATTCAGACATCCCTTCATGTTGTGAGATGAAAGACGAGCCTGTATTCAAGCCACTGAAAGGAAATCCGGCCTCCTTTCAAGTTAGGGCTTCTCGCTGTATATTCCCCTTGAGGCAGCAAACACGGGGTCCCTCCCACATACCTATTGCTGAGAGAATCCTCCTCCTGAGGTAACTCTGGAAGTTGGCATACGTCTTGACCCTAAGCCAAGGAATCAGCTCTCATCTCGAGACGATTTGGGGTAAACGGAGCATTCCTCGAGTTGCTGTGCTGAAGTTGGTGTTCCTCTAGACTTGGGACAGTGTTCTCGGGGCATCTCTGGAGTTGCCTGAAGGAAGTCGAGCCACCGGTCGTGTTGAATGGGGAACGGCGAATGGCTCTGGAGTCAATGCAGGGGAATCGGGCCTCGTCTCGAGTTGATTTGGGGCACATGGAGCTGCTTTGCGTTGCTGGGGTGACCTCAGGGTCCGTCTAGACTGGTGACAGTGTTCTTGGGGACTGTCTGGAGATCCATTAAGCAAGTCGAAGCTCCTGACTTGTTTGAATGGGATCACGGAATAGCTCTGCATGCACTGCAGGGGAATGGGGCCTCATCTCGCCTCTAGGGGGAAGTCTCATGGTTTTTCTCGAGTTGCGGCGGGGACCTGGGGTATGTTCTCGACTTACAGCGGGGATGGCCCTTCAAAACACGAGTTTCTTCAGTGACGTCAGGACTCCTGTCTAGTAACGAGGGACACTTCAGCAATCTCTTCGAGGCTTGGCAGGGCAAAAGGGACGCTTCTCGAGGTGAGGCATGGCACCCAAGGACCCTTTCCAGTAGCCACAGGGATTTTGGGATTCCTATAAGTAATCAAGAGGAGTCAGGCATCGTCACCTTTTGAAGCAATGAACTCCGCGTGCCTCTCGAGGTGTCAGCGGGATGTGAGGATTCCGTCAAAATGAGGCAGGGACCTAGGGCTTTCTCTAAGGTCTCCACAGGGGATTCAGACATCCCTTCATGTTGTGAGATGAAAGACGAGCCTGTATTCAAGCCACTGCAAGGAAATCTGGCCTCCTTTCAAGTTAGGGCTTCTCGCTGTATATTCCCCTTGAGGCAGCAAACTCGGGGTCCCTCCCACATACCTATTGCTGAGAGAAGCCTCCTCCTGCGGTGCTTCTGGAAAGGTGGCATACGTCTTGAGCCTAAGCCAGGGAATCAGCTCTCATCTCGAGACGATTTGGGGTACACAGAGCATTCCTCGAGTTGCTATGCTGAAGTTGGTGGTCCTCTAGACTTGGGACAGTGTTCTCGGGGCATCTCTGGAGTTGCCTGAAGGAAGTCGAGCCACCGGTCGTGTTGAATGGGGAACAAGGAATGGCTCTGGAGTCAATGCAGGGGAATCCGGCCTCATCTCGAGTTGTTTTGGGGCACATGGAGCTGCTTTGCATTGCTGGGTGACCTCAGGGTCCGTCTAGACTGGTGACAGTGTACTTGGGGACTGTCTGGAGATCCATTAAGCAAGTCGAAGCTCCTGACTTGTTTGAATGGGATCACGGAATAGCTCTGCATGCACTGCAGGGGAATGGGGCCTCATCTCGCCTCTAGGGGGAAGTCTCATGGTTTTTCTGGAGTTGCGGCGGGGACCTGGGGTATGTTCTCGACTTACGGCGGGGATGGCCCTTCAAAACACGAGTTTCTTCAGTGACGTCAGGACTCCTCTCTAGTAACGAGGGACACCTCAGGAATCTCTTCGAGGCTTGGCAGGGCAAAAGGGACGCTTCTCGAGGTGAGGCAGGGCACCCAAGGACCCTTTCCAGTAGCCACAGGGATTTTGGGATTCCTATCAGTATTCAAGAGGAGTCAGGCATCGTCACCTTTTGAAGCAATGAACTCCGCGTGCCTCTCGAGGTGTCAGCGGGATGTGAGGCATTCCGTAAAAATGAGGCAGGGACCTAGGGCTTTCTCTAAGGTCTCCACAGGGGATTCAGACATCCCTTCATGTTGTGAGATGAAAGACGAGCCTGTATTCAAGCCACTGAAAGGAAATCCGGCCTCCTTTCAAGTTAGGGCTTCTCGCTGTATATTCCCCTTGAGGCAACAAACTCGGGGTCCCTCCCACATACATATTGCTGAGAGAAGCCTCCTCCTGAGGTGCTTCTGGGAAGTTGGCATACGTCTTGAGCCTAAGCCAGGGAATCAGCTCTCATCTCGAGGCGATTTGGGGTACACGAAGCATTCCTCGAGTTGCTGTGCTGAAGTTGGTGTTCCTTTAGACTTGGGACAGTGTTCTCGGGGCATCTCTGGAGTTACCTGAAGGAAGTCGAGCCACCGGTCGTGTTGAATGGGGAACGGGGAATGGCTTTGCAGTCAATGCAGGGGAATCGGGCCTCATCTCGAGTTGATTTAGGGCACATGGAGCTGCTTTGCGTTGCTGGGGTGACCTCAGGGTCCGTCTAGACTGGTGACAGTGTTCTTGGGGACTGTCTGGAGATCCATTAAGCAAGTCGAAGCTCCTGACTTGTTTGAATGGGATCACGGAATAGCTCTGCATGCACTGCAGGGGAATGGGGCCTCATCTCGCCTCTAGGGGGAAGTCTCATGGTTTTTCTCGAGTTGCGGCGGGGACCTGGGGTATGTTCTCGACTTACGGCGGGGATGGCCCTTCAAAACACGAGTTTCTTCAGTGACGTCAGGACTCCTGTCTAGTAACGAGGGACAGCTCAGGAATCTCTTCGAGGATTGGCAGGGCAAAAGGGACGCTTCTCGAGGTGAGGCAGGGCACCCAAGGACCCTTTCCAGTAGCCACAGCGATTTTGGGATTCCTATCAGTATTCAAGAGGAGTCAGGCATCGTCACCTTTTGAAGCAATGAACTCCGCGTGCCTCTCGAGGTGTCAGCGGGATGTGAGGCATTCCGTCAAAATGAGGTAGGGCCCTAGGGCTTTCTCTAAGGTCTCCACAGGGGATTCAGACATCCCTTCATGTTGTGAGATGAAAGACGAGCCTGTATTCAAGCCACTGAAAGGAAATCCGGCCTCCTTTCAAGTTAGGGCTTCTCGCTGTATATTCCCCTTGAGGCAGCAAACACGGGGTCCCTCCCACATACCTATTGCTGAGAGAATCCTCCTCCTGAGGTAACTCTGGAAGTTGGCATACGTCTTGACCCTAAGCCAAGGAATCAGCTCTCATCTCGAGACGATTTGGGGTACACGGAGCATTCCTCGAGTTGCTGTGCTGAAGTTGGTGTTCCTCTAGACTTGGGACAGTGTTCTCGGGGCATCTCTGGAGTTGCCTGAAGGAAGTCGAGCCACCGGTCGTGTTGAATGGGGAACGGCGAATGGCTCTGGAGTCAATGCAGGGGAATCGGGCCTCGTCTCGAGTTGATTTGGGGCACATGGAGCTGCTTTGCGTTGCTGGGGTGACCTCAGGGTCCGTCTAGACTGGTGACAGTGTTCTTGGGGACTGTCTGGAGATCCATTAAGCAAGTCGAAGCTCCTGACTTGTTTGAATGGGATCACGGAATAGCTCTGCATGCACTGCAGGGGAATGGGGCCTCATCTCGCCTCTAGGGGGAAGTCTCATGGTTTTTCTCGAGTTGCGGCGGGGACCTGGGGTATGTTCTCGACTTACAGCGGGGATGGCCCTTCAAAACACGAGTTTCTTCAGTGACGTCAGGACTCCTGTCTAGTAACGAGGGACACTTCAGCAATCTCTTCGAGGCTTGGCAGGGCAAAAGGGACGCTTCTCGAGGTGAGGCATGGCACCCAAGGACCCTTTCCAGTAGCCACAGGGATTTTGGGATTCCTATAAGTAATCAAGAGGAGTCAGGCATCGTCACCTTTTGAAGCAATGAACTCCGCGTGCCTCTCGAGGTGTCAGCGGGATGTGAGGATTCCGTCAAAATGAGGCAGGGACCTAGGGCTTTCTCTAAGGTCTCCACAGGGGATTCAGACATCCCTTCATGTTGTGAGATGAAAGACGAGCCTGTATTCAAGCCACTGCAAGGAAATCTGGCCTCCTTTCAAGTTAGGGCTTCTCGCTGTATATTCCCCTTGAGGCAGCAAACTCGGGGTCCCTCCCACATACCTATTGCTGAGAGAAGCCTCCTCCTGCGGTGCTTCTGGAAAGGTGGCATAAGTCTTGAGCCTAAGCCAGGGAATCAGCTCTCATCTCGAGACGATTTGGGGTACACAGAGCATTCCTCGAGTTGCTATGCTGAAGTTGGTGGTCCTCTAGACTTGGGACAGTGTTCTCGGGGCATCTCTGGAGTTGCCTGAAGGAAGTCGAGCCACCGGTCGTGTTGAATGGGGAACAAGGAATGGCTCTGGAGTCAATGCAGGGGAATCCGGCCTCATCTCGAGTTGATTTGGGGCACATGGAGCTGCTTTGCATTGCTGGGTGACCTCAGGGTCCGTCTAGACTGGTGACAGTGTACTTGGGGACTGTCTGGAGATCCATTAAGCAAGTCGAAGCTCCTGACTTGTTTGAATGGGATCACGGAATAGCTCTGCATGCACTGCAGGGGAATGGGGCCTCATCTCGCCTCTAGGGGGAAGTCTCATGGTTTTTCTGGAGTTGCGGCGGGGACCTGGGGTATGTTCTCGACTTACGGCGGGGATGGCCCTTCAAAACACGAGTTTCTTCAGTGACGTCAGGACTCCTCTCTAGTAACGAGGGACACCTCAGGAATCTCTTCGAGGCTTGGCAGGGCAAAAGGGACGCTTCTCGAGGTGAGGCAGGGCACCCAAGGACCCTTTCCAGTAGCCACAGGGATTTTGGGATTCCTATCAGTATTAAAGAGGAGTCAGGCATCGTCACCTTTTGAAGCAATGAACTCCGCGTGCCTCTCGAGGTGTCAGCGGGATGTGAGGCATTCCGTCAAAATGAGGTAGGGCCCTAGGGCTTTCTCTAAGGTCTCCACAGGGGATTCAGACATCCCTTCATGTTGTGAGATGAAAGACGAGCCTGTATTCAAGCCACTGAAAGGAAATCCGGCCTCCTTTCAAGTTAGGGCTTCTCGCTGTATATTCCCCTTGAGGCAGCAAACACGGGGTCCCTCCCACATACCTATTGCTGAGAGAATCCTCCTCCTGAGGTAACTCTGGAAGTTGGCATACGTCTTGACCCTAAGCCAAGGAATCAGCTCTCATCTCGAGACGATTTGGGGTACACGGAGCATTCCTCGAGTTGCTGTGCTGAAGTTGGTGTTCCTCTAGACTTGGGACAGTGTTCTCGGGGCATCTCTGGAGTTGCCTGAAGGAAGTCGAGCCACCGGTCGTGTTGAATGGGGAACGGCGAATGGCTCTGGAGTCAATGCAGGGGAATCGGGCCTCGTCTCGAGTTGATTTGGGGCACATGGAGCTGCTTTGCGTTGCTGGGGTGACCTCAGGGTCCGTCTAGACTGGTGACAGTGTTCTTGGGGACTGTCTGGAGATCCATTAAGCAAGTCGAAGCTCCTGACTTGTTTGAATGGGATCACGGAATAGCTCTGCATGCACTGCAGGGGAATGGGGCCTCATCTCGCCTCTAGGGGGAAGTCTCATGGTTTTTCTCGAGTTGCGGCGGGGACCTGGGGTATGTTCTCGACTTACGGCGGGGATGGCCCTTCAAAACACGAGTTTCTTCAGTGACGTCAGGACTCCTGTCTAGTAACGAGGGACAGCTCACGAATCTCTTCGAGGATTGGCAGGGCAAAAGGGACGCTTTTCGAGGTGAGGCAGGGCACCCAAGGACCCTTTCCAGTAGCCACAGCGATTTTGGGATTCCTATCAGTATTCAAGAGGAGTCAGGCATCGTCACCTTTTGAAGCAATGAACTCCGCGTGCCTCTCGAGGTGTCAGCGGGATGTGAGGCATTCCGTCAAAATGAGGTAGGGCCCTAGGGCTTTCTCTAAGGTCTCCACAGGGGATTCAGACATCCCTTCATGTTGTGAGACGAAAGACCAGCCTGTATTCAAGCCACTGAAAGGAAATCCGGCCTCCTTTCAAGTTAGGGCTTCTCGCTGTATATTCCCCTTGAGGCAGCAAACACGGGGTCCCTCCCACATACCTATTGCTGAGAGAATCCTCCTCCTGAGGTAACTCTGGAAGTTGGCATACGTCTTGACCCTAAGCCAAGGAATCAGCTCTCATCTCGAGACGATTTGGGGTACACGGAGCATTCCTCGAGTTGCTGTGCTGAAGTTGGTGTTCCTCTAGACTTGGGACAGTGTTCTCGGGGCATCTCTGGAGTTGCCTGAAGGAAGTCGAGCCACCGGTCGTGTTGAATGGGGAACGGCGAATGGCTCTGGAGTCAATGCAGGGGAATCGGGCCTCGTCTCGAGTTGATTTGGGGCACATGGAGCTGCTTTGCGTTGCTGGGGTGACCTCAGGGTCCGTCTAGACTGGTGACAGTGTTCTTGGGGACTGTCTGGAGATCCATTAAGCAAGTCGAAGCTCCTGACTTGTTTGAATGGGATCACGGAATAGCTCTGCATGCACTGCAGGGGAATGGGGCCTCATCTCGCCTCTAGGGGGAAGTCTCATGGTTTTTCTCGAGTTGCGGCGGGGACCTGGGGTATGTTCTCGACTTACAGCGGGGATGGCCCTTCAAAACACGAGTTTCTTCAGTGACGTCAGGACTCCTGTCTAGTAACGAGGGACACTTCAGCAATCTCTTCGAGGCTTGGCAGGGCAAAAGGGACGCTTCTCGAGGTGAGGCATGGCACCCAAGGACCCTTTCCAGTAGCCACAGGGATTTTGGGATTCCTATAAGTAATCAAGAGGAGTCAGGCATCGTCACCTTTTGAAGCAATGAACTCCGCGTGCCTCTCGAGGTGTCAGCGGGATGTGAGGATTCCGTCAAAATGAGGCAGGGACCTAGGGCTTTCTCTAAGGTCTCCACAGGGGATTCAGACATCCCTTCATGTTGTGAGATGAAAGACGAGCCTGTATTCAAGCCACTGCAAGGAAATCTGGCCTCCTTTCAAGTTAGGGCTTCTCGCTGTATATTCCCCTTGAGGCAGCAAACTCGGGGTCCCTCCCACATACCTATTGCTGAGAGATGCCTCCTCCTGCGGTGCTTCTGGAAAGGTGGCATAAGTCTTGAGCCTAAGCCAGGGAATCAGCTCTCATCTCGAGACGATTTGGGGTACACAGAGCATTCCTCGAGTTGCTATGCTGAAGTTGGTGGTCCTCTAGACTTGGGACAGTGTTCTCGGGGCATCTCTGGAGTTGCCTGAAGGAAGTCGAGCCACCGGTCGTGTTGAATGGGGAACAAGGAATGGCTCTGGAGTCAATGCAGGGGAATCCGGCCTCATCTCGAGTTGATTTGGGGCACATGGAGCTGCTTTGCATTGCTGGGTGACCTCAGGGTCCGTCTAGACTGGTGACAGTGTACTTGGGGACTGTCTGGAGATCCATTAAGCAAGTCGAAGCTCCTGACTTGTTTGAATGGGATCACGGAATAGCTCTGCATGCACTGCAGGGGAATGGGGCCTCATCTCGCCTCTAGGGGGAAGTCTCATGGTTTTTCTGGAGTTGCGGCGGGGACCTGGGGTATGTTCTCGACTTACGGCGGGGATGGCCCTTCAAAACACGAGTTTCTTCAGTGACGTCAGGACTCCTCTCTAGTAACGAGGGACACCTCAGGAATCTCTTCGAGGCTTGGCAGGGCAAAAGGGACGCTTCTCGAGGTGAGGCAGGGCACCCAAGGACCCTTTCCAGTAGCCACAGGGATTTTGGGATTCCTATCAGTATTAAAGAGGAGTCAGGCATCGTCACCTTTTGAAGCAATGAACTCCGCGTGCCTCTCGAGGTGTCAGCGGGATGTGAGGCATTCCGTCAAAATGAGGTAGGGCCCTAGGGCTTTCTCTAAGGTCTCCACAGGGGATTCAGACATCCCTTCATGTTGTGAGATGAAAGACGAGCCTGTATTCAAGCCACTGAAAGGAAATCCGGCCTCCTTTCAAGTTAGGGCTTCTCGCTGTATATTCCCCTTGAGGCAGCAAACACGGGGTCCCTCCCACATACCTATTGCTGAGAGAATCCTCCTCCTGAGGTAACTCTGGAAGTTGGCATACGTCTTGACCCTAAGCCAAGGAATCAGCTCTCATCTCGAGACGATTTGGGGTACACGGAGCATTCCTCGAGTTGCTGTGCTGAAGTTGGTGTTCCTCTAGACTTGGGACAGTGTTCTCGGGGCATCTCTGGAGTTGCCTGAAGGAAGTCGAGCCACCGGTCGTGTTGAATGGGGAACGGCGAATGGCTCTGGAGTCAATGCAGGGGAATCGGGCCTCGTCTCGAGTTGATTTGGGGCACATGGAGCTGCTTTGCGTTGCTGGGGTGACCTCAGGGTCCGTCTAGACTGGTGACAGTGTTCTTGGGGACTGTCTGGAGATCCATTAAGCAAGTCGAAGCTCCTGACTTGTTTGAATGGGATCACGGAATAGCTCTGCATGCACTGCAGGGGAATGGGGCCTCATCTCGCCTCTAGGGGGAAGTCTCATGGTTTTTCTCGAGTTGCGGCGGGGACCTGGGGTATGTTCTCGACTTACAGCGGGGATGGCCCTTCAAAACACGAGTTTCTTCAGTGACGTCAGGACTCCTGTCTAGTAACGAGGGACACTTCAGCAATCTCTTCGAGGCTTGGCAGGGCAAAAGGGACGCTTCTCGAGGTGAGGCATGGCACCCAAGGACCCTTTCCAGTAGCCACAGGGATTTTGGGATTCCTATAAGTAATCAAGAGGAGTCAGGCATCGTCACCTTTTGAAGCAATGAACTCCGCGTGCCTCTCGAGGTGTCAGCGGGATGTGAGGATTCCGTCAAAATGAGGCAGGGACCTAGGGCTTTCTCTAAGGTCTCCACAGGGGATTCAGACATCCCTTCATGTTGTGAGATGAAAGACGAGCCTGTATTCAAGCCACTGCAAGGAAATCTGGCCTCCTTTCAAGTTAGGGCTTCTCGCTGTATATTCCCCTTGAGGCAGCAAACTCGGGGTCCCTCCCACATACCTATTGCTGAGAGAAGCCTCCTCCTGCGGTGCTTCTGGAAAGGTGGCATAAGTCTTGAGCCTAAGCCAGGGAATCAGCTCTCATCTCGAGACGATTTGGGGTACACAGAGCATTCCTCGAGTTGCTATGCTGAAGTTGGTGGTCCTCTAGACTTGGGACAGTGTTCTCGGGGCATCTCTGGAGTTGCCTGAAGGAAGTCGAGCCACCGGTCGTGTTGAATGGGGAACAAGGAATGGCTCTGGAGTCAATGCAGGGGAATCCGGCCTCATCTCGAGTTGATTTGGGGCACATGGAGCTGCTTTGCATTGCTGGGTGACCTCAGGGTCCGTCTAGACTGGTGACAGTGTACTTGGGGACTGTCTGGAGATCCATTAAGCAAGTCGAAGCTCCTGACTTGTTTGAATGGGATCACGGAATAGCTCTGCATGCACTGCAGGGGAATGGGGCCTCATCTCGCCTCTAGGGGGAAGTCTCATGGTTTTTCTGGAGTTGCGGCGGGGACCTGGGGTATGTTCTCGACTTACGGCGGGGATGGCCCTTCAAAACACGAGTTTCTTCAGTGACGTCAGGACTCCTCTCTAGTAACGAGGGACACCTCAGGAATCTCTTCGAGGCTTGGCAGGGCAAAAGGGACGCTTCTCGAGGTGAGGCAGGGCACCCAAGGACCCTTTCCAGTAGCCACAGGGATTTTGGGATTCCTATCAGTATTCAAGAGGAGTCAGGCATCGTCACCTTTTGAAGCAATGAACTCCGCGTGCCTCTCGAGGTGTCAGCGGGATGTGAGGCATTCCGTAAAAATGAGGCAGGGACCTAGGGCTTTCTCTAAGGTCTCCACAGGGGATTCAGACATCCCTTCATGTTGTGAGATGAAAGACGAGCCTGTATTCAAGCCACTGAAAGGAAATTCGGCCTCCTTTCAAGGTAGGGCTTCTCGCTGTATATTCCCCTTGAGGCAGCAAACTCGGGGTCCCTCCCACATACATATTGCTGAGAGAAGCCTCCTCCTGAGGTGCTTCTGGGAAGTTGGCATACGTCTTGAACCTAAGCCAGGGAATCAGCTCTCATCTCGAGACGATTTGGGGTACACGAAGCATTCCTCGAGTTGCTGTGCTGAAGTTGGTGTTCCTCTAGACTTGGGACAGTGTTCTCGGGGCATCTCTGGAGTTACCTGAAGGAAGTCGAGCCACCGGTCGTGTTGAATGGGGAACGGGGAATGGCTTTGCAGACAATGCAGGGGAATCGGGCCTCATCTCGAGTTGATTTAGGGCACATGGAGCTGCTTTGCGTTGCTGGGGTGACCTCAGGGTCCGTCTAGACTGGTGACAGTGTTCTTGGGGACTGTCTGGAGATCCATTAAGCAAGTCGAAGCTCCTGACTTGTTTGAATGGGATCACGGAATAGCTCTGCATGCACTGCAGGGGAATGGGGCCTCATCTCGCCTCTAGGGGGAAGTCTCATGGTTTTTCTCGAGTTGCGGCGGGGACCTGGGGTATGTTCTCGACTTACGGCGGGGATGGCCCTTCAAAACACGAGTTTCTTCAGTGACGTCAGGACTCCTGTCTAGTAACGAGGGACACCTCAGCAATCTCTTCGAGGGTTGGCAGGGCAAAAGGGACGCTTCTCGAGGTGAGGCAGGGCACCCAAGGACCCTTTCCAGTAGCCACAGCGATTTTGGGATTCCTATCAGTATTCAAGAGGAGTCAGGCATCGTCACCTTTTGAAGCAATGAACTCCGCGTGCCTCTCGAAGTGTCAGCGGGATGTGAGGCATTCCGTCAAAATGAGGTAGGGCCCTAGGGCTTTCTCTAAGGTCTCCACAGGGGATTCAGACATCCCTTCATGTTGTGAGATGAAAGACGAGCCTGTATTCAAGCCACTGAAAGGAAATCCGGCCTCCTTTCAAGTTAGGGCTTCTCGCTGTATATTCCCCTTGAGGCAGCAAACACGGGGTCCCTCCCACATACCTATTGCTGAGAGAATCCTCCTCCTGAGGTAACTCTGGAAGTTGGCATACGTCTTGACCCTAAGCCAAGGAATCAGCTCTCATCTAGAGACGATTTGGGGTACACGGAGCATTCCTCGAGTTGCTGTGCTGAAGTTGGTGTTCCTCTAGACTTGGGACAGTGTTCTCGGGGCATCTCTGGAGTTGCCTGAAGGAAGTCGAGCCACCGGTCGTGTTGAATGGGGAACGGGGAATGGCTCTGGAGTCAATGCAGGGGAATCGGGCCTCGTCTCGAGTTGATTTGGGGCACATGGAGCTGCTTTGCGTTGCTGGGGTGACCTCAGGGTCCGTCTAGACTGGTGACAGTGTTCTTGGGGACTGTCTGGAGATCCATTAAGCAAGTCGAAGCTCCTGACTTGTTTGAATGGGATCACGGAATAGCTCTGCATGCACTGCAGGGGAATGGGGCCTCATCTCGCCTCTAGGGGGAAGTCTCATGGTTTTTCTCGAGTTGCGGCGGGGACCTGGGGTATGTTCTCGACTTACAGCGGGGATGGCCCTTCAAAACACGAGTTTCTTCAGTGACGTCAGGACTCCTGTCTAGTAACGAGGGACACTTCAGCAATCTCTTCGAGGCTTGGCAGGGCAAAAGGGACGCTTCTCGAGGTGAGGCATGGCACCCAAGGACCCTTTCCAGTAGCCACAGGGATTTTGGGATTCCTATAAGTAATCAAGAGGAGTCAGGCATCGTCACCTTTTGAAGCAATGAACTCCGCGTGCCTCTCGAGGTGTCAGCGGGATGTGAGGATTCCGTCAAAATGAGGCAGGGACCTAGGGCTTTCTCTAAGGTCTCCACAGGGGATTCAGACATCCCTTCATGTTGTGAGATGAAAGACGAGCCTGTATTCAAGCCACTGCAAGGAAATCTGGCCTCCTTTCAAGTTAGGGCTTCTCGCTGTATATTCCCCTTGAGGCAGCAAACTCGGGGTCCCTCCCACATACCTATTGCTGAGAGAAGCCTCCTCCTGCGGTGCTTCTGGAAAGGTGGCATACGTCTTGAGCCTAAGCCAGGGAATCAGCTCTCATCTCGAGACGATTTGGGGTACACAGAGCATTCCTCGAGTTGCTGTGCTGAAGTTGGTGGTCCTCTAGACTTGGGACAGTGTTCTCGGGGCATCTCTGGAGTTGCCTGAAGGAAGTCGAGCCACCGGTCGTGTTGAATGGGGAACAAGGAATGGCTCTGGAGTCAATGCAGGGGAATCCGGCCTCATCTCGAGTTGATTTGGGGCACATGGAGCTGCTTTGCATTGCTGGGTGACCTCAGGGTCCGTCTAGACTGGTGACAGTGTACTTGGGGACTGTCTGGAGATCCATTAAGCAAGTCGAAGCTCCTGACTTGTTTGAATGGGATCACGGAATAGCTCTGCATGCACTGCAGGGGAATGGGGCCTCATCTCGCCTCTAGGGGGAAGTCTCATGGTTTTTCTGGAGTTGCGGCGGGGACCTGGGGTATGTTCTCGACTTACGGCGGGGATGGCCCTTCAAAACACGAGTTTCTTCAGTGACGTCAGGACTCCTCTCTAGTAACGAGGGACACCTCAGGAATCTCTTCGAGGCTTGGCAGGGCAAAAGGGACGCTTCTCGAGGTGAGGCAGGGCACCCAAGGACCCTTTCCAGTAGCCACAGGGATTTTGGGATTCCTATCAGTATTCAAGAGGAGTCAGGCATCGTCACCTTTTGAAGCAATGAACTCCGCGTGCCTCTCGAGGTGTCAGCGGGATGTGAGGCATTCCGTCAAAATGAGGCAGGGACCTAGGGCTTTCTCTAAGGTCTCCACAGGGGATTCAGACATCCCTTCATGTTGTGAGATGAAAGACGAGCCTGTATTCAAGCCACTGAAAGGAAATCCGGCCTCCTTTCAAGTTACGGCTTCTCGCTGTATATTCCCCTTGAGGCAGCAAACTCGGGGTCCCTCCCACATACATATTGCTGAGAGAAGCCTCCTCCTGAGGTGCTTCTGGGAAGTTGGCATACGTCTTGAGCCTAAGCCAGGGAATCAGCTCTCATCTCGAGACGATTTGGGGTACACGAAGCATTCCTCGAGTTGCTGTGCTGAAGTTGGTGTTCCTCTAGACTTGGGACAGTGTTCTCGGGGCATCTCTGGAGTTACCTGAAGGAAGTCGAGCCACCGGTCGTGTTGAATGGGGAACGGGGAATGGCTTTGCAGTCAATGCAGGGGAATCGGGCCTCATCTCGAGTTGATTTAGGGCACATGGACTGCTTTGCGTTGCTGGGGTGACCTCAGGGTCCGTCTAGACTGGTGACAGTGTTCTTGGGGACTGTCTGGAGATCCATTAAGCAAGTCGAAGCTCCTGACTTGTTTGAATGGGATCACGGAATAGCTCTGCATGCACTGCAGGGGAATGGGGCCTCATCTCGCCTCTAGGGGGAAGTCTCATGGTTTTTCTCGAGTTGCGGCGGGGACCTGGGGTATGTTCTCGACTTACGGCGGGGATGGCCCTTCAAAACACGAGTTTCTTCAGTGACGTCAGGACTCCTGTCTAGTAACGAGGGACAGCTCAGGAATCTCTTCGAGGATTGGCAGGGCAAAAGGGACGCTTCTCGAGGTGAGGCAGGGCACCCAAGGACCCTTTCCAGTAGCCACAGCGATTTTGGGATTCCTATCAGTATTCAAGAGGAGTCAGGCATCGTCACCTTTTGAAGCAATGAACTCCGCGTGCCTCTCGAGGTGTCAGCGGGATGTGAGGCATTCCGTCAAAATGAGGTAGGGCCCTAGGGCTTTCTCTAAGGTCTCCACAGGGGATTCAGACATCCCTTCATGTTGTGAGATGAAAGACGAGCCTGTATTCAAGCCACTGAAAGGAAATCCGGCCTCCTTTCAAGTTAGGGCTTCTCGCTGTATATTCCCCTTGAGGCAGCAAACACGGGGTCCCTCCCACATACCTATTGCTGAGAGAATCCTCCTCCTGAGGTAACTCTGGAAGTTGGCATACGTCTTGACCCTAAGCCAAGGAATCAGCTCTCATCTCGAGACGATTTGGGGTACACGGAGCATTCCTCGAGTTGCTGTGCTGAAGTTGGTGTTCCTCTAGACTTGGGACAGTGTTCTCGGGGCATCTCTGGAGTTGCCTGAAGGAAGTCGAGCCACCGGTCGTGTTGAATGGGGAACGGCGAATGGCTCTGGAGTCAATGCAGGGGAATCGGGCCTCGTCTCGAGTTGATTTGGGGCACATGGAGCTGCTTTGCGTTGCTGGGGTGACCTCAGGGTCCGTCTAGACTGGTGACAGTGTTCTTGGGGACTGTCTGGAGATCCATTAAGCAAGTCGAAGCTCCTGACTTGTTTGAATGGGATCACGGAATAGCTCTGCATGCACTGCAGGGGAATGGGGCCTCATCTCGCCTCTAGGGGGAAGTCTCATGGTTTTTCTCGAGTTGCGGCGGGGACCTGGGGTATGTTCTCGACTTACAGCGGGGATGGCCCTTCAAAACACGAGTTTCTTCAGTGACGTCAGGACTCCTGTCTAGTAACGAGGGACACTTCAGCAATCTCTTCGAGGCTTGGCAGGGCAAAAGGGACGCTTCTCGAGGTGAGGCATGGCACCCAAGGACCCTTTCCAGTAGCCACAGGGATTTTGGGATTCCTATAAGTAATCAAGAGGAGTCAGGCATCCTCACCTTTTGAAGCAATGAACTCCGCGTGCCTCTCGAGGTGTCAGCGGGATGTGAGGATTCCGTCAAAATGAGGCAGGGACCTAGGGCTTTCTCTAAGGTCTCCACAGGGGATTCAGACATCCCTTCATGTTGTGAGATGAAAGACGAGCCTGTATTCAAGCCACTGCAAGGAAATCTGGCCTCCTTTCAAGTTAGGGCTTCTCGCTGTATATTCCCCTTGAGGCAGCAAACTCGGGGTCCCTCCCACATACCTATTGCTGAGAGAAGCCTCCTCCTGCGGTGCTTCTGGAAAGGTGGCATACGTCTTGAGCCTAAGCCAGGGAATCAGCTCACATCTCGAGACGATTTGGGGTACACAGAGCATTCCTCGAGTTGCTATGCTGAAGTTGGTGGTCCTCTAGACTTGGGACAGTGTTCTCGGGGCATCTCTGGAGTTGCCTGAAGGAAGTCGAGCCACCGGTCGTGTTGAATGGGGAACGGGGAATGGCTCTGGAGTCAATGCAGGGGAATCGGGCCTCATCTCAAGTTGATTTGTGGCACCTGGAGCTGCTTTGCGTTGCTGGGGTGACCTCAGGGTCCGTCTAGACTGGTGACAGTGTTCTTGGGGACTGCCTCGAGATCCATTAAGCAAGTCGAAGCTCCTGACTTGTTTGAATGTGATCACGGAAAAGCTCTGCATGCACTGCAGGGGAATGGGGCCTCATCTCGCCTCTAGGGGGAAGGCTCTCGGTTTTTCTCGAGTTGGGGCGGGGACCTGGGGTATGTTCTCGACTTACGGCGGGGATGGCCCTTCAAAACACGAGTTTCTTCAGTGACGTCAGGACTCCTGTCTAGTAACGAGGGACACCTCAGCAATCTCTTCGAGGCTTGGCAGGGCAAAAGGGACGCTTCTCGAGGTGAGGCAGGGCACCCAAGGACCCTTTCCAGTAGCCACAGCGATTTTGGGATTCCTATCAGTATTCAAGAGGAGTCAGGCATCGTCACCTTTTGAAGCAATGAACTCCGCGTGCCTCTCGAGGTGTCAGCGGGATGTGAGGCATTCCGTCAAAATGAGGTAGGGACCTAGGGCTTTCTCTAAGGTCTCCACAGGGGATTCAGACATCTCTTCATGTTGTGAGATGAAAGACGAGCCTGTATTCAAGCCACTGCAAGGAAATCCGGCCTCCTTTCAAGTTAGTGCTTCTCGCTGTATATTCCCCTTGAGGCAGCAAACACGGGGTCCCTCCCACATACCTAATGCTGAGAGAATACTCCTCCTGAGGTAATTCTGGGAAGTTGGCATACGTCTTGACCCTAAGCCAAGGAATCAGCTCTCATCTCGAGACGATTTGGGGTACACGGAGCATTCCTCGAGTTGCTGTGCTGAAGTTGGTGTTCCTCTAGACTTGGGACAGTGTTCTCTGGGCATCTCTGGAGTTGCCTGAAGGAAGTCGAGCCACCGGTCGTGTTGAATGGGGAACGGGGAATGGCTCTGGAGTCAATGCAGGGGAATCGGGCCTCGTCTCGAGTTGATTTGGGGCACATGGAGCTGCTTTGCGTTGCTGGGGTGACCTCAGGGTCCGTCTAGACTGGTGACAGTGTTCTTGGGGACTGTCTGGAGATCCATTAAGCAAGTCGAAGCTCCTGACTTGTTTGAATGGGATCACGGAATAGCTCTGCATGCACTGCAGGGGAATGGGGCCTCATCTCGCCTCTAGGGGGAAGTCTCATGGTTTTTCTCGAGTTGCGGCGGGGACCTGGGGTATGTTCTCGACTTACGGCGGGGATGGCCCTTCAAAACACGAGTTTCTTCAGTGACGTCAGGACTCCTCTCTAGTAACGAGGGACACCTCAGGAATCTCTTCGAGGCTTGGCAGGGCAAAAGGGACGCTTCTCGAGGTGAGGCAGGGCACCCAAGGACCCTTTCCAGTAGCCACAGCGATTTTGGGATTCCTATCAGTATTCAAGAGGAGTCAGGCATCGTCACCTTTTGAAGCAATGAACTCCGCGTGCCTCTCGAGGTGTCAGCGGGATGTGAGGCATTCCGTAAAAATGAGGCAGGGACCTAGGGATTTCTCTAAGGTCTCCACATGGGATTCATACATCCCTTCATGTTGTGAGATGAAAGACGAGCCTGTATTCAAGCCACTGCAAGGAAATCCGGCCTCCTTTCAAGTTAGGGCTTCTCGCTGTATATTCCCCTTGAGGCAGCAAACTCGGGGTCCCTCCCACATACCTATTGCTGAGAGAAGCCTCCTCCTGAGGTGCTTCTGGGAAGTTGGTATACGTCTTGAGCCTAAGCCAGGGAATCAGCTCTCATCTCGAGACGATTTGGGGTACACAAAGCATTCCTCGAGTTGCTGTGCTGAAGTTGGTGTTCCTCTAGACTTGGGACAGTGTTCTCGGGGCATCTCTGGAGTTGCCTGAAGGAAGTCGACCCACCGGTCGTGTTGAATGGGGAACGGGGAATGGCTCTGGAGTCAATGCAGGGGAATCGGGCCTCATCTCGAGTTGATTTGTGGCACCTGGAGCTGCTTTGCGTTGCTGGGGTGACCTCAGGGTCCGTCTAGACTGGTGACAGTGTTCTTGGGGACTGCCTCGAGATCCATTAAGCAAGTCGAAGCTCCTGACTTGTTTGAATGGGATCACGGAATAGCTCTGCATGCACTGCAGGGGAATGGGGCCTCATCTCGCCTCTAGGGGGAAGTCTCACGGTTTTTCTCGAGTTGCGGCGGGGACCTGGGGTATGTTCTCGATTTACGGCGGGGATGGCCCTTCAAAACACGAGTTTCTTCAGTGACGTCAGGACTCCTGTCTAGTAACGAGGGACAGCTCAGGAATCTCTTCGAGGATTGGCAGGGCAAAAGGGACGCTTCTCGAGGTGAGGCAGGGCACCCAAGGACCCTTTCCAGTAGCCACAGCGATTTTGGGATTCCTATCAGTATTCAAGAGGAGTCAGGCATCGTCACCTTTTGAAGCAATGAACTCCGCGTGCCTCTCGAGGTGTCAGCGGGATGTGAGGCATTCCGTCAAAATGAGGTAGGGACCTAGGGCTTTCTCTAAGGTCTCCACAGGGGATTCAGACATCCCTTCATGTTGTGAGATGAAAGACGAGCCTGTATTCAAGCCACTGAAAGGAAATCCGGCCTCCTTTCAAGTTAGGGCTTCTCGCTGTATATTCCCCTTGAGGCAGCAAACACGGGGTCCCTCCCACATACCTATTGCTGAGAGAATCCTCCTCCTGAGGTAATTCTGGGAAGTTGGCATACGTCTTGACCCTAAGCCAAGGAATCAGCTCTCATCTCGAGACGATTTGGGGTGCACGGAGCATTCCTCGAGTTGCTGTGCTGAAGTTCGTGTTCCTCTAGACTTGGGACAGTGTTCTCGGGGCATCTCTGGAGTTGCCTGAAGGAAGTCGAGCCACCGGTCGTGTTGAATGGGGAACGGGGAATGGCTCTGGAGTCAATGCAGGGGAATCGGGCCTCGTCTCGAGTTGATTTGGGGCACATGGAGCTGCTTTGCGTTGCTGGGGTGACCTCAGGGTCCGTCTAGACTGGTGACAGTGTTCTTGGGGACTGCCTCGAGATCCATTAAGCAAGTCGAAGCTCCTGACTTGTTTGAATGGGATCACGGAATAGCTCTGCATGCACTGCAGGGGAATGGGGCCTCATCTCGCCTCTAGGGGGAAGGCTCACGGTTTTTCTCGAGTTGCGGCGGGGACCTGGGGTATGTTCTCGACTTACGGCGGGGATGGCCCTTCAAAACACGAGTTTCTTCAGTGACGTCAGGACTCCTGTCTAGTAATGAGGGACACCTCAGCAATCTCTTCGAGGATTGGCAGGGCAAAAGGGACGCTTCTCGAGGTGAGGCAGGGCACCCAAGGACCCTTTCCAGTAGCCACAGCGATTTTGGGATTCCTATCAGTATTCAAGAGGAGTCAGGCATCGTCACCTTTTGAAGCAATGAACTCCGCGTGCCTCTCGAGGTGTCAGCGGGATGTGAGGCATTCCGTCAAAATGAGGTAGGGACCTAGGGCTTTCTCTAAGGTCTCCACAGGGGATTCAGACATCCCTTCATGTTGTGAGATGAAAGACGATCCTGTATTCAAGCCACTGAAAGCAAATCCGGCCTCCTTTCAAGTTAGGGCTTCTCGCTGTATATTCCCCTTGAGGCAGCAAACACGGGGTCCCTCCCACATACCTATTGCTGAGAGAATCCTCCTCCTGAGGTAATTCTGGGAAGTTGGCATACGTCTTGACCCTAAGCCAAGGAATCAGCTCTCATCTCGAGACGATTTGGGGTACACGGAGCATTCCTCGAGTTGCTGTGCTGAAGTTCGTGTTCCTCTAGACTTGGGACAGTGTTCTCGGGGCATCTCTGGAGTTGCCTGAAGGAAGTCGAGCCACCGGTCGTGTTGAATGGGGAACGGGGAATGGCTCTGGAGTCAATGCAGGGGAATCGGGCCTCGTCTCGAGTTGATTTGGGGCACATGGAGCTGCTTTGCGTTGCTGGGGTGACCTCAGGGTCCGTCTAGACTGGTGACAGTGTTCTTGGGGACTGTCTGGAGATCCATTAAGCAAGTCGAAGCTCCTGACTTGTTTGAATGGGATCACGGAAGAGCTCTGCATGCACTGCAGGGAAATGGGGCCTCATCTCGCCTCTAGGGGGAAGTCTCATGGTTTTTCTCGAGTTGCGGCGGGGACCTGGGGTATGTTCTCGACTTACGGCGGGGATGGCCCTTCAAAACACGAGTTTCTTCAGTGACGTCAGGACTCCTCTCTAGTAACGTGGGACACCTCAGGAATCTCTTCAAGGCTTGGCAGGGCAAAAGGGACGCTTCTCGAGGTGAGCCAGGGCACCCAAGGACCCTTTCCAGTAGCCACAGCGATTTTGGGATTCCTATCAGTATTCAAGAGGAGTCAGGCATCGTCACCTTTTGAAGCAATGAACTCCGCGTGCCTCTCGAGGTGTCAGCGGGATGTGAGGCATTCCGTCAAAATGAGGCAGGGACCTAGGGCTTTCTCTAAGGTCTCCACAGGGGATTCAGACATCCCTTCATGTTGTGAGATGAAAGACGAGCCTGTATTCAAGCCACTGAAAGGAAATCCGGCCTCCTTTCAAGTTAGGGCTTCTCGCTGTATATTCCCCTTGAGGCAGCAAACTCGGGGTCCCTCCCACATACCTATTGCTGAGAGAATCCTCCTCCTGAGGTAATTCTGGGAAGTTGGCATACGTCTTGACCCTAAGCCAAGGAATCAGCTCTCATCTCGAGGCGATTTGGGGTACACGGAGCATTCCTCGAGTTGCTGTGCTGAAGTTCGTGTTCCTCTAGACTTGGGACAGTGTTCTCGGGGCATCTCTGGAGTTGCCTGAAGGAAGTCGAGCCACCGGTCGTGTTGAATGGGGAACGGGGAATGGCTCTGGAGTCAATGCAGGGGAATCGGGCCTCGTCTCGAGTTGATTTGGGGCACATGGAGCTGCTTTGCGTTGCTGGGGTGACCTCAGGGTCCGTCTAGACTGGTGACAGTGTTCTTGGGGACTGTCTGGAGATCCATTAAGCAAGTCGAAGCTCCTGACTTGTTTGAATGGGATCACGGAATAGCTCTGCATGCACTGCAGGGGAATGGGGCCTCATCTCGCCTCTAGGGGGAAGTCTCATGGTTTTTCTCGAGTTGCGGCGGGGACCTGGGGTATGTTCTCGACTTACAGCGGGGATGGCCCTTCAAAACACGAGTTTCTTCAGTGACGTCAGGACTCCTGTCTAGTAACGAGGGACACTTCAGCAATCTCTTCGAGGCTTGGCAGGGCAAAAGGGACGCTTCTCGAGGTGAGGCATGGCACCCAAGGACCCTTTCCAGTAGCCACAGGGATTTTGGGATTCCTATAAGTAATCAAGAGGAGTCAGTCATCGTCACCTTTTGAAGCAATGAACTCCGCGTGCCTCTCGAGGTGTCAGCGGGATGTGAGGATTCCGTCAAAATGAGGCAGGGACCTAGGGCTTTCTCTAAGGTCTCCACAGGGGATCAGACATCCCTTCATGTTGTGAGATGAAAGACGAGCCTGTATTCAAGCCACTGCAAGGAAATCCGGCCTCCTTTCAAGTTAGGGCTTCTTGCTGTATATTCCCCTTGAGGCAGCAAACTCGGGGTCCCTCCCACATACCTATTGCTGAGAGAAGCCTCCTCCTGATGTGCTTCTGGAAAGGTGGCATACGTCTTGAGCCTAAGCCAGGGAATCAGCTCTCATCTCGAGACGATTTGGGGTACACAGAGCATTCCTCGAGTTGCTATGCTGAAGTTGGTGGTCCTCTAGACTTGGGACAGTGTTCTCTGGGCATCTCTGGAGTTGCCTGAAGGAAGTCGAGCCACCGGTCGTGTTGAATGGGGAACGGGGAATGGCTCTGGAGTCAATGCAGGGGAATCGGGCCTCATCTCGAGTTGATTTGTGGCACCTGGAGCTGCTTTGCGTTGCTGGGGTGACCTCAGGGTCCGTCTAGACTGGTGACAGTGTTCTTGGGTACTCCCTCGAGATCCATTAAGCAAGTCGAAGCTCCTGACTTGTTTGAATGGGATCACGGAATAGCTCTGCATGCACTGCAGGGGAATGGGGCCTCATCTCGCCTCTCGGGGGAAGGCTCACGGTTTTTCTCGAGTTGGGGCGGGGACCTGGGGTATGTTCTCGACTTACGGCGGGGATGGCCCTTCAAAACACGAGTTTCTTCAGTGACGTCAGGACTCCTGTCAAGTAACGAGGGACACCTCAGCAATCTCTTCGAGGCTTGGCAGGGCAAAAGGGACGCTTCTCGAGGTGAGGCAGGGCACCCAAGGACCCTTTCCAGTAGCCACAGGGATTTTGGGATTCCTATCAGTATTCAAGAGGAGTCAGGCATCGTCACCTTTTGAAGCAATGAACTCCGCGTGCCTCTCGAGGTGTCAGCGGGATGTGAGGCATTCCGTCAAAATGAGGCAGGGACCTAGGGCTTTCTCTAAGGTCTCCACAGGGGATTCAGACATCCCTTCATGTTGTGAGATGAAAGACGAGCCTGTATTCAAGCCACTGCAAGGAAATCCGGCCTCCTTTCAAGTTAGGGCTTCTCGCTGTATATTCCCCTTGAGGCAGCAAACACGGGGTCCCTCCCACATACCTATTGCTGAGAGAATCCTCCTCCTGAGGTAACTCTGGAAGTTGGCATACGTCTTGACCCTAAGCCAAGGAATCAGCTCTCATCTCGAGACGATTTGGGGTACACGGAGCATTCCTCGAGTTGCTGTGCTGAAGTTGGTGTTCCTCTAGACTTGGGACAGTGTTCTCGGGGCATCTCTGGAGTTGCCTGAAGGAAGTCGAGCCACCGGTCGTGTTGAATGGGGAACGGCGAATGGCTCTGGAGTCAATGCAGGGGAATCGGGCCTCGTCTCGAGTTGATTTGGGGCACATGGAGCTGCTTTGCGTTGCTGGGGTGACCTCAGGGTCCGTCTAGACTGGTGACAGTGTTCTTGGGGACTGTCTGGAGATCCATTAAGCAAGTCGAAGCTCCTGACTTGTTTGAATGGGATCACGGAATAGCTCTGCATGCACTGCAGGGGAATGGGGCCTCATCTCGCCTCTAGGGGGAAGTCTCATGGTTTTTCTCGAGTTGCGGCGGGGACCTGGGGTATGTTCTCGACTTACAGCGGGGATGGCCCTTCAAAACACGAGTTTCTTCAGTGACGTCAGGACTCCTGTCTAGTAACGAGGGACACCTCAGGAATCTCTTCGAGGCTTGGCAGGCAAAAGGGACGCTTCTCGAGGTGAGGCAGGGCACCCAAGGACCCTTTCCAGTAGCCACAGGGATTTTGGGATTCCTATCAGTATTCAAGAGGAGTCAGGCATCGTCACCTTTTGAAGCAGTGAACTCCGCGTGCCTCTCGAGGTGTCAGCGGGATGTGAGGCATTCCGTCAAAATGAGGTAGGGCCCTAGGGCTTTCTCTAAGGTCTCCACAGGGGATTCAGACATCCCTTCATGTTGTGAGATGAAAGACGAGCCTGTATTCAAGCCACTGAAAGGAAATCCGGCCTCCTTTCAAGTTAGGGCTTCTCGCTGTATATTCCCCTTGAGGCAGCAAACACGGGGTCCCTCCCACATACCTATTGCTGAGAGAATCCTCCTCCTGAGGTAACTCTGGAAGTTGGCATACGTCTTGACCCTAAGCCAAGGAATCAGCTCTCATCTCGAGACGATTTGGGGTACACGGAGCATTCCTCGAGTTGCTGTGCTGAAGTTGGTGTTCCTCTAGACTTGGGACAGTGTTCTCGGGGCATCTCTGGAGTTGCCTGAAGCAAGTCGAGCCACCGGTCGTGTTGAATGGGGAACGGCGAATGGCTCTGGAGTCAATGCAGGGGAATCGGGCCTCGTCTCGAGTTGATTTGGGGCACATGGAGCTGCTTTGCGTTGCTGGGGTGACCTCAGGGTCCGTCTAGACTGGTGACAGTGTTCTTGGGGACTGTCTGGAGATCCATTAAGCAAGTCGAAGCTCCTGACTTGTTTGAATGGGATCACGGAATAGCTCTGCATGCACTGCAGGGGAATGGGGCCTCATCTCGCCTCTAGGGGGAAGTCTCATGGTTTTTCTCGAGTTGCGGCGGGGACCTGGGGTATGTTCTCGACTTACAGCGGGGATGGCCCTTCAAAACACGAGTTTCTTCAGTGACGTCAGGACTCCTGTCTAGTAACGAGGGACACTTCAGCAATCTCTTCGAGGCTTGGCAGGGCAAAAGGGACGCTTCTCGAGGTGAGGCAGGGCACCCAAGGACCCTTTCCAGTAGCACCAGGGATTTTGGGATTCCTATAAGTAATCAAGAGGAGTCAGGCATCGTCACCTTTTGAAGCAATGAACTCCGCGTGCCTCTCGAGGTGTCAGCGGGATGTGAGGATTCCGTCAAAATGAGGCAGGGACCTAGGGCTTTCTCTAAGGTCTCCACAGGGGATTCAGACATCCCTTCATGTTGTGAGATGAAAGACGAGCCTTTATTCAAGCCACTGCAAGGAAATCTGGCCTCCTTTCAAGTTAGGGCTTCTCGCTGTATATTCCCCTTGAGGCAGCAAACTCGGGGTTCCTCCCACATACCTATTGCTGAGAGAAGCCTCCTCCTGAGGTGCTTCTGGAAAGGTGGCATACGTCTTGAGCCTAAGCCAGGGAATCAGCTCTCATCTCGAGACGATTTGGGGTACACAGAGCATTCCTCGAGTTGCTATGCTGAAGTTGGTGGTCCTCTAGTCTTGGGACAGTGTTCTCGGGGCATCTCTGGAGTTGCCTGAAGGAAGTCGAGCCACCGGTCGTGTTGAATGGGGAACAAGGAATGGCTCTGGAGTCAATGCAGGGGAATCCGGCCTCATCTCGAGTTGATTTGGGGCACATGGAGCTGCTTTGCATTGCTGGGTGACCTCAGGGTCCGTCTAGACTGGTGACAGTGTACTTGGGGACTGTCTGGAGATCCATTAAGCAAGTCGAAGCTCCTGACTTGTTTGAATGGGATCACGGAATAGCTCTGCATGCGCTGCAGGGGAATGGGGCCTCATCTCGCCTCTAGGGGGAAGTCTCATGGTTTTTCTGGAGTTGCGGCGGGGACCTGGGGTATGTTCTCGACTTACGGCGGGGATGGCCCTTCAAAACACGAGTTTCTTCAGTGACGTCAGGACTCCTGTCTAGTAACGAGGGACACCTCAGGAATCTCTTCGAGGCTTGGCAGGGCAAAAGGGACGCTTCCCGAGGTGAGGCAGGGCACCCAAGGACCCTTTCCAGTAGCCACAGGGATTTTGGGATTCCTATCAGTATTCAAGAGGAGTCAGGCATCGTCACCTTTTGAAGCAATGAACTCCGCGTGCCTCTCGAGGTGTCAGCGGGATGTGAGGCATTCCGTAAAAATGAGGCAGGGACCTAGGGCTTTCTCTAAGGTCTCCACAGGGGATTCAGACATCCCTTCATGTTGTGAGATGAAAGACGAGCCTGTATTCAAGCCACTGAAAGGAAATCCGGCCTCCTTTCAAGTTAGGGCTTCTCGCTGTATATTCCCCTTGAGGCAGCAAACTCGGGGTCCCTCCCACATACATATTGCTGAGAGAAGCCTCCTCCTGAGGTGCTTCTGGGAAGTTGGCATACGTCTTGAGCCTAAGCCAGGGAATCAGCTCTCATCTCGAGACGATTTGGGGTACACGAAGCATTCCTCGAGTTGCTGTGCTGAAGTTGGTGTTCCTCTAGACTTGGGACAGTGTTCTCGGGGCATCTCTGGAGTTACCTGAAGGAAGTCGAGCCACCGGTCGTGTTGAATGGGGAACGGGGAATGGCTTTGCAGTCAATGCAGGGGAATCGGGCCTCATCTCGAGTTTATTTAGGGCACCTGGAGCTGCTTTGCGTTGCTGGGGTGACCTCAGGGTCCGTCTAGACTGGTGACAGTGTTCTTGGGGACTGTCTGGAGATCCATTAAGCAAGTCGAAGCTCCTGACTTGTTTGAATGGGATCACGGAATAGCTCTGCATGCACTGCAGGGGAATGGGGCCTCATCTCGCCTCTAGGGGGAAGTCTCATGGTTTTTCTCGAGTTGCGGCGGGGACCTGGGGTATGTTCTCGACTTACGGCGGGGATGGCCCTTCAAAACACGAGTTTCTTCAGTGACGTCAGGACTCCTGTCTAGTAACGAGGGACAGCTCAGGAATCTCTTCGAGGATTGGCAGGGCAAAAGGGACGCTTCTCGAGGTGAGGCAGGGCACCCAAGGACCCTTTCCAGTAGCCACAGCGATTTTGGGATTCCTATCAGTATTCAAGAGGAGTCAGGCATCGTCACCTTTTGAAGCAATGAACTCCGCGTGCCTCTCGAGGTGTCAGCGGGATGTGAGGCATTCCGTCAAAATGAGGTAGGGCCCTAGGGCTTTCTCTAAGGTCTCCACAGGGGATTCAGACATCCCTTCATGTTGTGAGATGAAAGACGAGCCTGTATTCAAGCCACTGAAAGGAAATCCGGCCTCCTTTCAAGTTAGGGCTTCTCGCTGTATATTCCCCTTGAGGCAGCAAACACGGGGTCCCTCCCACATACCTATTGCTGAGAGAATCCTCCTCCTGAGGTAACTCTGGAAGTTGGCATACGTCTTGACCCTAAGCCAAGGAATCAGCTCTCATCTCGAGACGATTTGGGGTACACGGAGCATTCCTCGAGTTGCTGTGCTGAAGTTGGTGTTCCTCTAGACTTGGGACAGTGTTCTCGGGGCATCTCTGGAGTTGCCTGAAGGAAGTCGAGCCACCGGTCGTGTTGAATGGGGAACGGCGAATGGCTCTGGAGTCAATGCAGGGGAATCGGGCCTCGTCTCGAGTTGATTTGGGGCACATGGAGCTGCTTTGCGTTGCTGGGGTGACCTCAGGGTCCGTCTAGACTGGTGACAGTGTTCTTGGGGACTGTCTGGAGATCCATTAAGCAAGTCGAAGCTCCTGACTTGTTTGAATGGGATCACGGAATAGCTCTGCATGCACTGCAGGGGAATGGGGCCTCATCTCGCCTCTAGGGGGAAGTCTCATGGTTTTTCTCGAGTTGCGGCGGGGACCTGGGGTATGTTCTCGACTTACAGCGGGGATGGCCCTTCAAAACACGAGTTTCTTCAGTGACGTCAGGACTCCTGTCTAGTAACGAGGGACACTTCAGCAATCTCTTCGAGGCTTGGCAGGGCAAAAGGGACGCTTCTCGAGGTGAGGCAGGGCACCCAAGGACCCTTTCCAGTAGCACCAGGGATTTTGGGATTCCTATAAGTAATCAAGAGGAGTCAGGCATCGTCACCTTTTGAAGCAATGAACTCCGCGTGCCTCTCGAGGTGTCAGCGGGATGTGAGGATTCCGTCAAAATGAGGCAGGGACCTAGGGCTTTCTCTAAGGTCTCCACAGGGGATTCAGACATCCCTTCATGTTGTGAGATGAAAGACGAGCCTTTATTCAAGCCACTGCAAGGAAATCTGGCCTCCTTTCAAGTTAGGGCTTCTCGCTGTATATTCCCCTTGAGGCAGCAAACTCGGGGTCCCTCCCACATACCTATTGCTGAGAGAAGCCTCCTCCTGAGGTGCTTCTGGAAAGGTGGCATACGTCTTGAGCCTAAGCCAGGGAATCAGCTCTCATCTCGAGACGATTTGGGGTACACAGAGCATTCCTCGAGTTGCTATGCTGAAGTTGGTGGTCCTCTAGTCTTGGGACAGTGTTCTCGGGGCATCTCTGGAGTTGCCTGAAGGAAGTCGAGCCACCGGTCGTGTTGAATGGGGAACAAGGAATGGCTCTGGAGTCAATGCAGGGGAATCCGGCCTCATCTCGAGTTGATTTGGGGCACATGGAGCTGCTTTGCATTGCTGGGTGACCTCAGGGTCCGTCTAGACTGGTGACAGTGTACTTGGGGACTGTCTGGAGATCCATTAAGCAAGTCGAAGCTCCTGACTTGTTTGAATGGGATCACGGAATAGCTCTGCATGCACTGCAGGGGAATGGGGCCTCATCTCGCCTCTAGGGGGAAGTCTCATGGTTTTTCTGGAGTTGCGGCGGGGACCTGGGGTATGTTCTCGACTTACGGCGGGGATGGCCCTTCAAAACACGAGTTTCTTCAGTGACGTCAGGACTCCTGTCTAGTAACGAGGGACACCTCAGGAATCTCTTCGAGGCTTGGCAGGGCAAAAGGGACGCTTCTCGAGGTGAGGCAGGGCACCCAAGGACCCTTTCCAGTAGCCACAGGGATTTTGGGATTCCTATCAGTATTCAAGAGGAGTCAGGCATCGTCACCTTTTGAAGCAATGAACTCCGCGTGCCTCTCGAGGTGTCAGCGGGATGTGAGGCATTCCGTAAAAATGAGGCAGGGACCTAGGGCTTTCTCTAAGGTCTCCACAGGGGATTCAGACATCCCTTCATGTTGTGAGATGAAAGACGAGCCTGTATTCAAGCCACTGAAAGGAAATCCGGCCTCCTTTCAAGTTAGGGCTTCTCGCTGTATATTCCCCTTGAGGCAGCAAACTCGGGGTCCCTCCCACATACATATTGCTGAGAGAAGCCTCCTCCTGAGGTGCTTCTGGGAAGTTGGCATACGTCTTGAGCCTAAGCCAGGGAATCAGCTCTCATCTCGAGACGATTTGGGGTACACGAAGCATTCCTCGAGTTGCTGTGCTGAAGTTGGTGTTCCTCTAGACTTGGGACAGTGTTCTCGGGGCATCTCTGGAGTTACCTGAAGGAATTCGAGCCACCGGTCGTGTTGAATGGGGAACGGGGAATGGCTTTGCAGTCAATGCAGGGGAATCGGGCCTCATCTCGAGTTGATTTAGGGCACATGGAGCTGCTTTGCGTTGCTGGGGTGACCTCAGGGTCCGTCTAGACTGGTGACAGTGTTCTTGGGGACTGTCTGGAGATCCATTAAGCAAGTCGAAGCTCCTGACTTGTTTGAATGGGATCACGGAATAGCTCTGCATGCACTGCAGGGGAATGGGGCCTCATCTCGCCTCTAGGGGGAAGTCTCATGGTTTTTCTCGAGTTGCGGCGGGGACCTGGGGTATGTTCTCGACTTACGGCGGGGATGGCCCTTCAAAACACGAGTTTCTTCAGTGACGTCAGGACTCCTGTCTAGTAACGAGGGACAGCTCAGGAATCTCTTCGAGGATTGGCAGGGCAAAAGGGACGCTTCTCGAGGTGAGGCAGGGCACCCAAGGACCCTTTCCAGTAGCCACAGCGATTTTGGGATTCCTATCAGTATTCAAGAGGAGTCAGGCATTGTCACCTTTTGAAGCAATGAACTCCGCGTGCCTCTCGAGGTGTCAGCGGGATGTGAGGCATTCCGTCAAAATGAGGTAGGGCCCTAGGGCTTTCTCTAAGGTCTCCACAGGGGATTCAGACATCCCTTCATGTTGTGAGATGAAAGACGAGCCTGTATTCAAGCCACTGAAAGGAAATCCGGCCTCCTTTCAAGTTAGGGCTTCTCGCTGTATATTCCCCTTGAGGCAGCAAACACGGGGTCCCTCCCACATACCTATTGCTGAGAGAATCCTCCTCCTGAGGTAACTCTGGAAGTTGGCATACGTCTTGACCCTAAGCCAAGGAATCAGCTCTCATCTCGAGACGATTTGGGGTACACGGAGCATTCCTCGAGTTGCTGTGCTGAAGTTGGTGTTCCTCTAGACTTGGGACAGTGTTCTCGGGGCATCTCTGGAGTTGCCTGAAGGAAGTCGAGCCACCGGTCGTGTTGAATGGGGAACGGCGAATGGCTCTGGAGTCAATGCAGGGGAATCGGGCCTCGTCTCGAGTTGATTTGGGGCACATGGAGCTGCTTTGCGTTGCTGGGGTGACCTCAGGGTCCGTCTAGACTGGTGACAGTGTTCTTGGGGACTGTCTGGAGATCCATTAAGCAAGTCGAAGCTCCTGACTTGTTTGAATGGGATCACGGAATAGCTCTGCATGCACTGCAGGGGAATGGGGCCTCATCTCGCCTCTAGGGGGAAGTCTCATGGTTTTTCTCGAGTTGCGGCGGGGACCTGGGGTATGTTCTCGACTTACAGCGGGGATGGCCCTTCAAAACACGAGTTTCTTCAGTGACGTCATGACTCCTGTCTAGTAACGAGGGACACTTCAGCAATCTCTTCGAGGCTTGGCAGGGCAAAAGGGACGCTTCTCGAGGTGAGGCAGGGCACCCAAGGACCCTTTCCAGTAGCCACAGGGATTTTGGGATTCCTATAAGTAATCAAGAGGAGTCAGGCATCGTCACCTTTTGAAGCAATGAACTCCGCGTGCCTCTCGAGGTGTCAGCGGGATGTGAGGATTCCGTCAAAATGAGGCAGGGACCTAGGGCTTTCTCTAAGGTCTCCACAGGGGATTCAGACATCCCTTCATGTTGTGAGATGAAAGACGAGCCTGTATTCAAGCCACTGCAAGGAAATCTGGCCTCCTTTCAAGTTAGGGCTTCTCGCTGTATATTCCCCTTGAGGCAGCAAACTCGGGGTCCCTCCCACATACCTATTGCTGAGAGAAGCCTCCTCCTGAGGTGCTTCTGGAAAGGTGGCATACGTCTTGAGCCTAAGCCAGGGAATCAGCTCTCATCTCGAGACGATTTGGGGTACACAGAGCATTCCTCGAGTTGCTATGCTGAAGTTGGTGGTCCTCTAGTCTTGGGACAGTGTTCTCGGGGCATCTCTGGAGTTGCCTGAAGGAAGTCGAGCCACCGGTCGTGTTGAATGGGGAACAAGGAATGGCTCTGGAGTCAATGCAGGGGAATCCGGCCTCATCTCGAGTTGATTTGGGGCACATGGAGCTGCTTTGCATTGCTGGGTGACCTCAGGGTCCGTCTAGACTGGTGACAGTGTACTTGGGGACTGTCTGGAGATCCATTAAGCAAGTCGAAGCTCCTGACTTGTTTGAATGGGATCACGGAATAGCTCTGCATGCACTGCAGGGGAATGGGGCCTCATCTCGCCTCTAGGGGGAAGTCTCATGGTTTTTCTGGAGTTGCGGCGGGGACCTGGGGTATGTTCTCGACTTACGGCGGGGATGGCCCTTCAAAACACGAGTTTCTTCAGTGACGTCAGGACTCCTGTCTAGTAACGAGGGACACCTCAGGAATCTCTTCGAGGCTTGGCAGGGCAAAAGGGACGCTTCTCGAGTTGAGGCAGGGCACCCAAGGACCCTTTCCAGTAGCCACAGGGATTTTGGGATTCCTATCAGTATTCAAGAGGAGTCAGGCATCGTCACCTTTTGAAGCAATGAACTCCGCGTGCCTCTCGAGGTGTCAGCGGGATGTGAGGCATTCCGTAAAAATGAGGCAGGGACCTAGGGCTTTCTCTAAGGTCTCCACAGGGGATTCAGACATCCCTTCATGTTGTGAGATGAAAGACGAGCCTGTATTCAAGCCACTGAAAGGAAATCCGGCCTCCTTTCAAGTTAGGGCTTCTCGCTGTATATTCCCCTTGAGGCAGCAAACTCGGGGTCCCTCCCACATACATATTGCTGAGAGAAGCCTCCTCCTGAGGTGCTTCTGGGAAGTTGGCATACGTCTTGAGCCTAAGCCAGGGAATCAGCTCTCATCTCGAGACGATTTGGGTTACACGAAGCATTCCTCGAGTTGCTGTGCTGAAGTTGGTGTTCCTCTAGACTTGGGACAGTGTTCTCGGGGCATCTCTGGAGTTACCTGAAGGAAGTCGAGCCACCGGTCGTGTTGAATGGGGAACGGGGAATGGCTTTGCAGTCAATGCAGGGGAATCGGGCCTCATCTCGAGTTGATTTAGGGCACATGGAGCTGCTTTGCGTTGCTGGGGTGACCTCAGGGTCCGTCTAGACTGGTGACAGTGTTCTTGGGGACTGTCTGGAGATCCATTAAGCAAGTCGAAGCTCCTGACTTGTTTGAATGGGATCACGGAATAGCTCTGCATGCACTGCAGGGGAATGGGGCCTCATCTCGCCTCTAGGGGGAAGTCTCATGGTTTTTCTCGAGTTGCGGCGGGGACCTGGGGTATGTTCTCGACTTACGGCGGGGATGGCCCTTCAAAACACGAGTTTCTTCAGTGACGTCAGGACTCCTGTCTAGTAACGAGGGACAGCTCAGGAATCTCTTCGAGGATTGGCAGGGCAAAAGGGACGCTTCTCGAGGTGAGGCAGGGCACCCAAGGACCCTTTCCAGTAGCCACAGCGATTTTGGGATTCCTATCAGTATTCAAGAGGAGTCAGGCATTGTCACCTTTTGAAGCAATGAACTCCGCGTGCCTCTCGAGGTGTCAGCGGGATGTGAGGCATTCCGTCAAAATGAGGTAGGGCCCTAGGGCTTTCTCTAAGGTCTCCACAGGGGATTCAGACATCCCTTCATGTTGTGAGATGAAAGACGAGCCTGTATTCAAGCCACTGAAAGGAAATCCGGCCTCCTTTCAAGTTAGGGCTTCTCGCTGTATATTCCCCTTGAGGCAGCAAACACGGGGTCCCTCCCACATACCTATTGCTGAGAGAATCCTCCTCCTGAGGTAACTCTGGAAGTTGGCATACGTCTTGACCCTAAGCCAAGGAATCAGCTCTCATCTCGAGACGATTTGGGGTACACGGAGCATTCCTCGAGTTGCTGTGCTGAAGTTGGTGTTCCTCTAGACTTGGGACAGTGTTCTCGGGGCATCTCTGGAGTTGCCTGAAGGAAGTCGAGCCACCGGTCGTGTTGAATGGGGAACGGCGAATGGCTCTGGAGTCAATGCAGGGGAATCGGGCCTCGTCTCGAGTTGACTTGGGGCACATGGAGCTGCTTTGCGTTGCTGGGGTGACCTCAGGGTCCGTCTAGACTGGTGACAGTGTTCTTGGGGACTGTCTGGAGATCCATTAAGCAAGTCGAAGCTCCTGACTTGTTTGAATGGGATCACGGAATAGCTCTGCATGCACTGCAGGGGAATGGGGCCTCATCTCGCCTCTAGGGGGAAGTCTCATGGTTTTTCTCGAGTTGCGGCGGGGACCTGGGGTATGTTCTCGACTTACGGCGGGGATGGCCCTTCAAAACACGAGTTTCTTCAGTGACGTCAGGACTCCTGTCTAGTAACGAGGGACAGCTCAGGAATCTCTTCGAGGATTGGCAGGGCAAAAGGGACGCTTCTCGAGGTGAGGCAGGGCACCCAAGGACCCTTTCCAGTAGCCACAGCGATTTTGGGATTCCTATCAGTATTCAAGAGGAGTCAGGCATCGTCACCTTTTGAAGCAATGAACTCCGCGTGCCTCTCGAGGTGTCAGCGGGATGTGAGGCATTCCGTCAAAATGAGGTAGGGCCCTAGGGCTTTCTCTAAGGTCTCCACAGGGGATTCAGACATCCCTTCATGTTGTGAGATGAAAGACGAGCCTGTATTCAAGCCACTGAAAGGAAATCCGGCCTCCTTTCAAGTTAGGGCTTCTCGCTGTATATTCCCCTTGAGGCAGCAAACACGGGGTCCCTCCCACATACCTATTGCTGAGAGAATCCTCCTCCTGAGGTAACTCTGGAAGTTGGCATACGTCTTGACCCTAAGCCAAGGAATCAGCTCTCATCTCGAGACGATTTGGGGTACACGGAGCATTCCTCGAGTTGCTGTGCTGAAGTTGGTGTTCCTCTAGACTTGGGACAGTGTTCTCGGGGCATCTCTGGAGTTGCCTGAAGGAAGTCGAGCCACCGGTCGTGTTGAATGGGGAACGGCGAATGGCTCTGGAGTCAATGCAGGGGAATCGGGCCTCGTCTCGAGTTGATTTGGGGCACATGGAGCTGCTTTGCGTTGCTGGGGTGACCTCAGGGTCCGTCTAGACTGGTGACAGTGTTCTTGGGGACTGTCTGGAGATCCATTAAGCAAGTCGAAGCTCCTGACTTGTTTGAATGGGATCACGGAATAGCTCTGCATGCACTGCAGGGGAATGGGGCCTCATCTCGCCTCTAGGGGGAAGTCTCATGGTTTTTCTCGAGTTGCGGCGGGGACCTGGGGTATGTTCTCGACTTACAGCGGGGATGGCCCTTCAAAACACGAGTTTCTTCAGTGACGTCAGGACTCCTGTCTAGTAACGAGGGACACTTCAGCAAACTCTTCGAGGCTTGGCAGGGCAAAAGGGACGCTTCTCGAGGTGAGGCAGGGCACCCAAGGACCCTTTCCAGTAGCCACAGGGATTTTGGGATTCCTATAAGTAATCAAGAGGAGTCAGGCATCGTCACCTTTTGAAGCAATGAACTCCGCGTGCCTCTCGAGGTGTCAGCGGGATGTGAGGATTCCGTCAAAATGAGGCAGGGACCTAGGGCTTTCTCTAAGGTCTCCACAGGGGATTCAGACATCCCTTCATGTTGTGAGATGAAAGACGAGCCTGTATTCAAGCCACTGCAAGGAAATCTGGCCTCCTTTCAAGTTAGGGCTTCTCGCTGTGTATTCCCCTTGAGGCAGCAAACTCGGGGTCCCTCCCACATACCTATTGCTGAGAGAAGCCTCCTCCTGAGGTGCTTCTGGAAAGGTGGCATACGTCTTGAGCCTAAGCCAGGGAATCAGCTCTCATCTCGAGACGATTTGGGGTACACAGAGCATTCCTCGAGTTGCTATGCTGAAGTTGGTGGTCCTCTAGTCTTGGGACAGTGTTCTCGGGGCATCTCTGGAGTTGCCTGAAGGAAGTCGAGCCACCGGTCGTGTTGAATGGGGAACAAGGAATGGCTCTGGAGTCAATGCAGGGGAATCCGGCCTCATCTCGAGTTGATTTGGGGCACATGGAGCTGCTTTGCATTGCTGGGTGACCTCAGGGTCCGTCTAGACTGGTGACAGTGTAGTTGGGGACTGTCTGGAGATCCATTAAGCAAGTCGAAGCTCCTGACTTGTTTGAATGGGATCACGGAATAGCTCTGCATGCACTGCAGGGGAATGGGGCCTCATCTCGCCTCTAGGGGGAAGTCTCATGGTTTTTCTGGAGTTGCGGCGGGGACCTGGGGTATGTTCTCGACTTACGGCGGGGATGGCCCTTCAAAACACGAGTTTCTTCAGTGACGTCAGGACTCCTGTCTAGTAACGAGGGACACCTCAGGAATCTCTTCGAGGCTTGGCAGGGCAAAAGGGACGCTTCTCGAGGTGAGGCAGGGCACCCAAGGACCCTTTCCAGTAGCCACAGGGATTTTGGGATTCCTATCAGTATTCAAGATGAGTCAGGCATCGTCACCTTTTGAAGCAATGAACTCCGCGTGCCTCTCGAGGTGTCAGCGGGATGTGAGGCATTCCGTAAAAATGAGGCAGGGACCTAGGGCTTTCTCTAAGGTCTCCACAGGGGATTCAGACATCCCTTCATGTTGTGAGATGAAAGACGAGCCTGTATTCAAGCCACTGAAAGGAAATCCGGCCTCCTTTCAAGTTAGGGCTTCTCGCTGTATATTCCCCTTGAGGCAGCAAACTCGGGGTCCCTCCCACATACATATTGCTGAGAGAAGCCTCCTCCTGAGGTGCTTCTGGGAAGTTGGCATACGTCTTGAGCCTAAGCCAGGGAATCAGCTCTCATCTCGAGACGATTTGGGGTACACAGAGCATTCCTCGAGTTGCTATGCTGAAGTTGGTGGTCCTCTAGACTTGGGACAGTGTTCTCGGGGCATCTCTGGAGTTGCCTGAAGGAAGTCGAGCCACCGGTCGTGTTGAATGGGGAACGGCGAATGGCTCTGGAGTCAATGCAGGGGAATCGGGCCTCGTCTCGAGTTGACTTGGGGCACATGGAGCTGCTTTGCGTTGCTGGGGTGACCTCAGGGTCCGTCTAGACTGGTGACAGTGTTCTTGGGGACTGTCTGGAGATCCATTAAGCAAGTCGAAGCTCCTGACTTGTTTGAATGGGATCACGGAATAGCTCTGCATGCACTGCAGGGGAATGGGGCCTCATCTCGACTCTAGGGGGAAGTCTCATGGTTTTTCTCGAGTTGCGGCGGGGACCTGGGGTATGTTCTCGACTTACGGCGGGGATGGCCCTTCAAAACACGAGTTTCTTCAGTGACGTCAGGACTCCTGTCTAGTAACGAGGGACAGCTCAGGAATCTCTTCGAGGATTGGCAGGGCAAAAGGGACGCTTCTCGAGGTGAGGCAGGGCACCCAAGGACCCTTTCCAGTAGCCACAGCGATTTTGGGATTCCTATCAGTATTCAAGAGGAGTCAGGCATCGTCACCTTTTGAAGCAATGAACTCCGCGTGCCTCTCGAGGTGTCAGCGGGATGTGAGGCATTCCGTCAAAATGAGGTAGGGCCCTAGGGCTTTCTCTAAGGTCTCCACAGGGGATTCAGACATCCCTTCATGTTGTGAGATGAAAGACGAGCCTGTATTCAAGCCACTGAAAGGAAATCCGGCCTCCTTTCAAGTTAGGGCTTCTCGCTGTATATTCCCCTTGAGGCAGCAAACACGGGGTCCCTCCCACATACCTATTGCTGAGAGAATCCTCCTCCTGAGGTAACTCTGGAAGTTGGCATACGTCTTGAGCCTAAGCCAGGGAATCAGCTCTCATCTCGAGACGATTTGGGGTACACAGAGCATTCCTCGAGTTGCTATGCTGAAGTTGGTGGTCCTCTAGACTTGGGACAGTGTTCTCGGGGCATCTCTGGAGTTGCCTGAAGGAAGTCGAGCCACCGGTCGTGTTGAATGGGGAACAAGGAATGGCTCTGGAGTCAATGCAGGGGAATCCGGCCTCATCTCGAGTTGATTTGGGGCACATGGAGCTGCTTTGCATTGCTGGGTGACCTCAGGGTCCGTCTAGACTGGTGACAGTGTACTTGGGGACTGTCTGGAGATCCAATAAGCAAGTCGAAGCTCCTGACTTGTTTGAATGGGATCACGGAATAGCTCTGCATGCACTGCAGGGGAATGGGGCCTCATCTCGCCTCTAGGTTGAAGTCTCATGGTTTTTCTGGAGTTGCGGCGGGGACCTGGGGTATGTTCTCGACTTACGGCGGGGATGGCCCTTCAAAACACGAGTTTCTTCAGTGACGTCAGGACTCCTGTCTAGTAACGAGGGACACCTCAGGAATCTCTTCGAGGCTTGGCAGGGCAAAAGGGACGCTTCTCGAGGTGAGGCAGGGCACCCAAGGACCCTTTCCAGTAGCCACAGGGATTTTGGGATTCCTATCAGTATTCAAGAGGAGTCAGGCATCGTCACCTTTTGAAGCAATGAACTCCGCGTGCCTCTCGAGGTGTCAGCGGGATGTGAGGCATTCCGTAAAAATGAGGCAGGGACCTAGGGCTTTCTCTAAGGTCTCCACAGGGGATTCAGACATCCCTTCATGTTGTGAGATGAAAGACGAGCCTGTATTCAAGCCACTGAAAGGAAATCCGGCCTCCTTTCAAGTTAGGGCTTCTCGCTGTATATTCCCCTTGAGACAGCAAACACGGGGTCCCTCCCACATACCTATTGCTGAGAGAATCCTCCTCCTGAGGTAACTCTGGAAGTTGGCATACGTCTTGACACTAAGCCAAGGAATCAGCTCTCATCTCGAGACGATTTGGGGTACACGGAGCATTCCTCGAGTTGCTGTGTTGAAGTTGGTGTTCCTCTAGACTTGGGACAGTGTTCTCGGGGCATCTCTGGAGTTGCCTGAAGGAAGTCGAGCCACCGGTCGTGTTGAATGGGGAACGGCGAATGGCTCTGGAGTCAATGCAGGGGAATCGGGCCTCGTCTCGAGTTGATTTGGGGCACATGGAGCTGCTTTGCGTTGCTGGGGTGACCTCAGGGTCCGTCTAGACTGGTGACAGTGTTCTTGGGGACTGTCTGGAGATCCATTAAGCAAGTCGAAGCTCCTGACTTGTTTGAATGGGATCACGGAATAGCTCTGCATGCACTGCAGGGGAATGGGGCCTCATCTCGCCTCTAGGGGGAAGTCTCATGGTTTTTCTCGAGTTGCGGCGGGGACCTGGGGTATGTTCTCGACTTACAGCGGGGATGGCCCTTCAAAACACGAGTTTCTTCAGTGACGTCAGGACTCCTGTCTAGTAACGAGGGACACTTCAGCAATCTCTTCGAGGCTTGGCAGGGCAAAAGGGACGCTTCTCGAGGTGAGGCAGGGCACCCAAGGACCCTTTCCAGTAGCCACAGGGATTTTGGGATTCCTATAAGTAATCAAGAGGAGTCAGGCATCGTCACCTTTTGAAGTAATGAACTCCGCGTGCCTCTCGAGGTGTCAGCGGGATGTGAGGATTCCGTCAAAATGAGGCAGGGACCTAGGGCTTTCTCTAAGGTCTCCACAGGGGATTCAGACATCCCTTCATGTTGTGAGATGAAAGACGAGCCTGTATTCAAGCCACTGCAAGGAAATCTGGCCTCCTTTCAACTTAGGGCTTCTCGCTGTATATTCCCCTTGAGGCAGCAAACTCGGGGTCCCTCCCACATACCTATTGCTGAGAGAAGCCTCCTCCTGAGGTGCTTCTGGAAAGGTGGCATACGTCTTGAGCCTAAGCCAGGGAATCAGCTCTCATCTCGAGACGATTTGGGGTACACAGAGCATTCCTCGAGTTGCTATGCTGAAGTTGGTGTTCCTCTAGACTTGGGACAGTGTTCTCGGGGCATCTCTGGAGTTGCCTGAAGGAAGTCGAGCCACCGGTCGTGTTGAATGGGGAACAAGGAATGGCTCTGGAGTCAATGCAGGGGAATCCGGCCTCATCTCGAGTTGATTTGGGGCACATGGAGCTGCTTTGCATTGCTGGGTGACCTCAGGGTCCGTCTAGACTGGTGACAGTGTACTTGGGGACTGTCTGGAGATCCATTAAGCAAGTCGAAGCTCCTGACTTGTTTGAATGGGATCACGGAATAGCTCTGCATGCACTGCAGGGGAATGGGGCCTCATCTCGCCTCTAGGGGGAAGTCTCATGGTTTTTCTGGAGTTGCGGCGGGGACCTGGGGTATGTTCTCGACTTACGGCGGGGATGGCCCTTCAAAACACGAGTTTCTTCAGTGACGTCAGGACTCCTCTCTAGTAACGAGGGACACCTCAGGAATCTCTTCGAGGCTTGGCAGGGCAAAAGGGACGCTTCTCGAGGTGAGGCAGGGCACCCAAGGACCCTTTCCAGTAGCCACAGGGATTTTGGGATTCCTATCAGTATTCAAGAGGAGTCAGGCATCGTCACCTTTTGAAGCAATGAACTCCGCGTGCCTCTCGAGGTGTCAGCGGGATGTGAGGCATTCCGTAAAAATGAGGCAGGGACCTAGGGCTTTCTCTAAGGTCTCCACAGGGGATTCAGACATCCCTTCATGTTGTGAGATGAAAGACGAGCCTGTATTCAAGCCACTGCAAGGAAATCTGGCCTCCTTTCAACTTAGGGCTTCTCGCTGTATATTCCCCTTGAGGCAGCAAACTCGGGGTCCCTCCCACATACCTATTGCTGAGAGAAGCCTCCTCCTGAGGTGCTTCTGGAAAGGTGGCATACGTCTTGAGCCTAAGCCAGGGAATCAGCTCTCATCTCGAGACGATTTGGGGTACACAGAGCATTCCTCGAGTTGCTATGCTGAAGTTGGTGGTCCTCTAGACTTGGGACAGTGTTCTCGGGGCATCTCTGGAGTTGCCTGAAGGAAGTCGAGCCACCGGTCGTGTTGAATGGGGAACAAGGAATGGCTCTGGAGTCAATGCAGGGGAATCCGGCCTCATCTCGAGTTGATTTGGGGCACATGGAGCTGCTTTGCATTGCTGGGTGACCTCAGGGTCCGTCTAGACTGGTGACAGTGTACTTGGGGACTGTCTGGAGATCCATTAAGCAAGTCGAAGCTCCTGACTTGTTTGAATGGGATCACGGAATAGCTCTGCATGCACTGCAGGGGAATGGGGCCTCATCTCGCCTCTAGGGGGAAGTCTCATGGTTTTTCTGGAGTTGCGGCGGGGACCTGGGGTATGTTCTCGACTTACGGCGGGGATGGCCCTTCAAAACACGAGTTTCTTCAGTGACGTCAGGACTCCTCTCTAGTAACGAGGGACACCTCAGGAATCTCTTCGAGGCTTGGCAGGGCAAAAGGGACGCTTCTCGAGGTGAGGCAGGGCACCCAAGGACCCTTTCCAGTAGCCACAGGGATTTTGGGATTCCTATCAGTATTCAAGAGGAGTCAGGCATCGTCACCTTTTGAAGCAATGAACTCCGCGTGCCTCTCGAGGTGTCAGCGGGATGTGAGGCATTCCGTAAAAATGAGGCAGGGACCTAGGGCTTTCTCTAAGGTCTCCACAGGGGATTCAGACATCCCTTCATGTTGTGAGATGAAAGACGAGCCTGTATTCAAGCCACTGAAAGGAAATCCGGCCTCCTTTCAAGTTAGGGCTTCTCGCTGTATATTCCCCTTGAGGCAGCAAACTCGGGGTCCCTCCCACATACATATTGCTGAGAGAAGCCTCCTCCTGAGGTGCTTCTGGGAAGTTGGCATACGTCTTGAGCCTAAGCCAGGGAATCAGCTCTCATCTCGAGACGATTTGGGGTACACGGAGCATTCCTCGAGTTGCTGTGCTGAAGTTGGTGTTCCTCTAGACTTGGGACAGTGTTCTCGGGGCATCTCTGGAGTTGCCTGAAGGAAGTCGAGCCACCGGTCGTGTTGAATGGGGAACGGCGAATGGCTCTGGAGTCAATGCAGGGGAATCGGGCCTCGTCTCGAGTTGATTTGGGGCACATGGAGCTGCTTTGCGTTGCTGGGGTGACCTCAGGGTCCGTCTAGACTGGTGACAGTGTTCTTGGGGACTGTCTGGAGATCCATTAAGCAAGTCGAAGCTCCTGACTTGTTTGAATGGGATCACGGAATAGCTCTGCATGCACTGCAGGGGAATGGGGCCTCATCTCGCCTCTAGGGGGAAGTCTCATGGTTTTTCTCGAGTTGCGGCGGGGACCTGGGGTATGTTCTCGACTTACAGCGGGGATGGCCCTTCAAAACACGAGTTTCTTCAGTGACGTCAGGACTCCTGTCTAGTAACGAGGGACACTTCAGCAATCTCTTCGAGGCTTGGCAGGGCAAAAGGGACGCTTCTCGAGGTGAGGCAGGGCACCCAAGGACCCTTTCCAGTAGCCACAGGGATTTTGGGATTCCTATAAGTAATCAAGAGGAGTCAGGCATCGTCACCTTTTGAAGCAATGAACTCCGCGTGCCTCTCGAGGTGTCAGCGGGATGTGAGGATTCCGTCAAAATGAGGCAGGGACCTAGGGCTTTCTCTAAGGTCTCCACAGGGGATTCAGACATCCCTTCATGTTGTGAGATGAAAGACGAGCCTGTATTCAAGCCACTGCAAGGAAATCTGGCCTCCTTTCAAGTTAGGGCTTCTCGCTGTATATTCCCCTTGAGGCAGCAAACTCGGGGTCCCTCCCACATACCTATTGCTGAGAGAAGCCTCCTCCTGAGGTGCTTCTGGAAAGGTGGCATACGTCTTGAGCCTAAGCCAGGGAATCAGCTCTCATCTCGAGACGATTTGGGGTACACAGAGCATTCCTCGAGTTGCTATGCTGAAGTTGGTGGTCCTCTAGACTTGGGACAGTGTTCTCGGGGCATCTCTGGAGTTGCCTGAAGGAAGTCGAGCCACCGGTCGTGTTGAATGGGGAACAAGGAATGGCTCTGGAGTCAATGCAGGGGAATCCGGCCTCATCTCGAGTTGATTTGGGGCACATGGAGCTGCTTTGCATTGCTGGGTGACCTCAGGATCCGTCTAGACTGGTGACAGTGTACTTGGGGACTGTCTGGAGATCCAATAAGCAAGTCGAAGCTCCTGACTTGTTTGAATGGGATCACGGAATAGCTCTGCATGCACTGCAGGGGAATGGGGCCTCATCTCGCCTCTAGGTTGAAGTCTCATGGTTTTTCTGGAGTTGCGGCGGGGACCTGGGGTATGTTCTCGACTTACGGCGGGGATGGCCCTTCAAAACACGAGTTTCTTCAGTGACGTCAGGACTCCTGTCTAGTAACGAGGGACACCTCAGGAATCTCTTCGAGGCTTGGCAGGGCAAAAGGGACGCTTCTCGAGGTGAGGCAGGGCACCCAAGGACCCTTTCCAGTAGCCACAGGGATTTTGGGATTCCTATCAGTATTCAAGAGGAGTCAGGCATCGTCACCTTTTGAAGCAATGAACTCCGCGTGCCTCTCGAGGTGTCAGCGGGATGTGAGGCATTCCGTCAAAATGAGGCAGGGACCTAGGGCTTTCTCTAAGGTCTCCACAGGGGATTCAGACATCCCTTCATGTTGTGAGATGAAAGACGAGCCTGTATTCAAGCCACTGAAAGGAAATCCGGCCTCCTTTCAAGTTAGGGCTTCTCGCTGTATATTCCCCTTGAGGCAGCAAACTCGGGGTCCCTCCCACATACATATTGCTGAGAGAAGCCTCCTCCTGAGGTGCTTCTGGGAAGTTGGCATACGTCTTGAGCCTAAGCCAGGGAATCAGCTCTCATCTCGAGACGATTTGGGGTACACGAAGCATTCCTCGAGTTGCTGTGGTGAAGTTGGTGTTCCTCTAGACTTGGGACAGTGTTCTCGGGGCATCTCTGGAGTTACCTGAAGGAAGTCGAGCCACCGGTCGTGTTGAATGGGGAACGGGGAATGGCTTTGCCGTCAATGCAGGGGAATCGGGCCTCATCTCGAGTTGATTTAGGGCACATGGAGCTGCTTTGCGTTGCTGGGGTGACCTCAGGGTCCGTCTAGACTGGTGACAGTGTTCTTGGGGACTGTCTGGAGATCCATTAAGCAAGTCGAAGCTCCTGACTTGTTTGAATGGGATCACGGAATAGCTCTGCATGCACTGCAGGGGAATGGGGCCTCATCTCGCCTCTAGGGGGAAGTCTCATGGTTTTTCTCGAGTTGCGGCGGGGACCTGGGGTATGTTCTCGACTTACGGCGGGGATGGCCCTTCAAAACACGAGTTTCTTCAGTGACGTCAGGACTCCTGTCTAGTAACGAGGGACAGCTCAGGAATCTCTTCGAGGATTGGCAGGGCAAAAGGGACGCTTCTCGAGGTGAGGCAGGGCACCCAAGGACCCTTTCCAGTAGCCACAGCGATTTTGGGATTCCTATCAGTATTCAAGAGGAGTCAGGCATTGTCACCTTTTGAAGCAATGAACTCCGCGTGCCTCTCGAGGTGTCAGCGGGATGTGAGGCATTCCGTAAAAATGAGGCAGGGACCTAGGGCTTTCTCTAAGGTCTCCACAGGGGATTCAGACATCCCTTCATGTTGTGAGATGAAAGACGAGCCTGTATTCAAGTCACTGAAAGGAAATCCGGCCTCCTTTCAAGTTAGGGCTTCTCGCTGTATATTCCCCTTGAGACAGCAAACACGGGGTCCCTCCCACATACCTATTGCTGAGAGAATCCTCCTCCTGAGGTAACTCTGGAAGTTGGCATACGTCTTGACCCTAAGCCAAGGAATCAGCTCTCATCTCGAGACGATTTGGGGTACACGGAGCATTCCTCGAGTTGCTGTGCTGAAGTTGGTGTTCCTCTAGACTTGGGACAGTGTTCTCGGGGCATCTCTGGAGTTGCCTGAAGGAAGTCGAGCCACCGGTCGTGTTGAATGGGGAACGGCGAATGGCTCTGGAGTCAATGCAGGGGAATCGGGCCTCGTCTCGAGTTGACTTGGGGCACATGGAGCTGCTTTGCGTTGCTGGGGTGACCTCAGGGTCCGTCTAGACTGGTGACAGTGTTCTTGGGGACTGTCTGGAGATCCATTAAGCAAGTCGAAGCTCCTGACTTGTTTGAATGGGATCACGGAATAGCTCTGCATGCACTGCAGGGGAATGGGGCCTCATCTCGCCTCTAGGGGGAAGTCTCATGGTTTTTCTCGAGTTGCGGTGGGGACCTGGGGTATGTTCTCGACTTACAGCGGGGATGGCCCTTCAAAACACGAGTTTCTTCAGTGACGTCAGGACTCCGGTCTAGTAACGAGGGACACTTCAGCAATCTCTTCGAGGCTTGGCAGGGCAAAAGGGACGCTTCTCGAGGTGAGGCATGGCACCCAAGGACCCTTTCCAGTAGCCACAGGGATTTTGGGATTCCTATAAGTAATCAAGAGGAGTCAGGCATCGTCACCTTTTGAAGCAATGAACTCCGCGTGCCTCTCGAGGTGTCAGCGGGATGTGAGGATTCCGTCAAAATGAGGCAGGGACCTAGGGCTTTCTCTAAGGTCTCCACAGGGGATTCAGACATCCCTTCATGTTGGGAGATGAAAGACGAGCCTGTATTCAAGCCACTGCAAGGAAATCTGGCCTCCTTTCAAGTTAGGGCTTCTCGCTGTATATTCCCCTTGAGGCAGCAAACTCGGGGTCCCTCCCACATACCTATTGCTGAGAGAAGCCTCCTCCTGAGGTGCTTCTGGAAAGGTGGCATACGTCTTGAGCCTAAGCCAGGGAATCAGCTCTCATCTCGATACGATTTGGCGTACACAGAGCATTCCTCGAGTTGCTATGCTGAAGTTGGTGGTCCTCTAGACTTGGGACAGTGTTCTCGGGGCATCTCTGGAGTTGCCTGAAGGAAGTCGAGCCACCGGTCGTGTTGAATGGGGAACAAGGAATGGCTCTGGAGTCAATGCAGGGGAATCCGGCCTCATCTCGAGTTGATTTGGGGCACATGGAGCTGCTTTGCATTGCTGGGTGACCTCAGGGTCCGTCTAGACTGGTGACAGTGTACTTGGGGACTGTCTGGAGATCCATTAAGCAAGTCGAAGCTCCTGACTTGTTTGAATGGGATCACGGAATAGCTCTGCATGCACTGCAGGGGAATGGGGCCTCATCTCGCCTCTAGGGGGAAGTCTCATGGTTTTTCTGGAGTTGCGGCGGGGACCTGGGGTATGTTCTCGACTTACGGCGGGGATGGCCCTTCAAAACACGAGTTTCTTCAGTGACGTCAGGACTCTTCTCTAGTAACGAGGGACACCTCAGGAATCTCTTCGAGGCTTGGCAGGGCAAAAGGGACGCTTCTCGAGGTGAGGCAGGGCACCCAAGGACCCTTTCCAGTAGCCACAGGGATTTTGGGATTCCTATCAGTATTCAAGAGGAGTCAGGCATCGTCACCTTTTGAAGCAATGAACTCCGCGTGCCTCTCGAGGTGTCAGCGGGATGTGAGGCATTCCGTAAAAATGAGGCAGGGACCTAGGGCTTTCTCTAAGGTCTCCACAGGGGATTCAGACATCCCTTCATGTTGTGAGATGAAAGACGAGCCTGTATTCAAGCCACTGAAAGGAAATCCGGCCTCCTTTCAAGTTAGGGCTTCTCGCTGTGTATTCCCCTTGAGGCAGCAAACTCGGGGTCCCTCCCACTTACATATTGCTGAGAGAAGCCTCCTCCTGAGGTGCTTCTGGGAAGTTGGCATACGTCTTGAGCCTAAGCCAGGGAATCAGCTCTCATCTCGAGACGATTTGGGGTACACGGAGCATTCCTCGAGTTGCTGTGTTGAAGTTGGTGTTCCTCTAGACTTGGGACAGTGTTCTCGGGGCATCTCTGGAGTTGCCTGAAGGAAGTCGAGCCACCGGTCGTGTTGAATGGGGAACGGCGAATGGCTCTGGAGTCAATGCAGGGGAATCGGGCCTCGTCTCGAGTTGATTTGGGGCACATGGAGCTGCTTTGCGTTGCTGGGGTGACCTCAGGGTCCGTCTAGACTGGTGACAGTGTTCTTGGGGACTGTCTGGAGATCCATTAAGCAAGTCGAAGCTCCTGACTTGTTTGAATGGGATCACGGAATAGCTCTGCATGCACTGCAGGGGAATGGGGCCTCATCTCGCCTCTAGGGGGAAGTCTCATGGTTTTTCTCGAGTTGCGGCGGGGACCTGGGGTATGTTCTCGACTTACAGCGGGGATGGCCCTTCAAAACACGAGTTTCTTCAGTGACGTCAGGACTCCTGTCTAGTAACGAGGGACACTTCAGCAATCTCTTCGAGGCTTGGCAGGGCAAAAGGGACGCTTCTCGAGGTGAGGCAGGGCACCCAAGGACCCTTTCCAGTAGCCACAGGGATTTTGGGATTCCTATAAGTAATCAAGAGGAGTCAGGCATCGTCACCTTTTGAAGTAATGAACTCCGCGTGCCTCTCGAGGTGTCAGCGGGATGTGAGGATTCCGTCAAAATGAGGCAGGGACCTAGGGCTTTCTCTAAGGTCTCCACAGGGGATTCAGACATCCCTTCATGTTGTGAGATGAAAGACGAGCCTGTATTCAAGCCACTGCAAGGAAATCTGGCCTCCTTTCAACTTAGGGCTTCTCGCTGTATATTCCCCTTGAGGCAGCAAACTCGGGGTCCCTCCCACATACCTATTGCTGAGAGAAGCCTCCTCCTGAGGTGCTTCTGGAAAGGTGGCATACGTCTTGAGCCTAAGCCAGGGAATCAGCTCTCATCTCGAGACGATTTGGGGTACACAGAGCATTCCTCGAGTTGCTATGCTGAAGTTGGTGGTCCTCTAGACTTGGGACAGTGTTCTCGGGGCATCTCTGGAGTTGCCTGAAGGAAGTCGAGCCACCGGTCGTGTTGAATGGGGAACAAGGAATGGCTCTGGAGTCAATGCAGGGGAATCCGGCCTCATCTCGAGTTGATTTGGGGCACATGGAGCTGCTTTGCATTGCTGGGTGACCTCAGGGTCCGTCTAGACTGGTGACAGTGTACTTGGGGACTGTCTGGAGATCCATTAAGCAAGTCGAAGCTCCTGACTTGTTTGAATGGGATCACGGAATAGCTCTGCATGCACTGCAGGGGAATGGGGCCTCATCTCGCCTCTAGGGGGAAGTCTCATGGTTTTTCTGGAGTTGCGGCGGGGACCTGGGGTATGTTCTCGACTTACGGCGGGGATGGCCCTTCAAAACACGAGTTTCTTCAGTGACGTCAGGACTCCTCTCTAGTAACGAGGGACACCTCAGGAATCTCTTCGAGGCTTGGCAGGGCAAAAGGGACGCTTCTCGAGGTGAGGCAGGGCACCCAAGGACCCTTTCCAGTAGCCACAGGGATTTTGGGATTCCTATCAGTATTCAAGAGGAGTCAGGCATCGTCACCTTTTGAAGCAATGAACTCCGCGTGCCTCTCGAGGTGTCAGCGGGATGTGAGGCATTCCGTAAAAATGAGGCAGGGACCTAGGGCTTTCTCTAAGGTCTCCACAGGGGATTCAGACATCCCTTCATGTTGTGAGATGAAAGACGAGCCTGTATTCAAGCCACTGCAAGGAAATCTGGCCTCCTTTCAACTTAGGGCTTCTCGCTGTATATTCCCCTTGAGGCAGCAAACTCGGGGTCCCTCCCACATACCTATTGCTGAGAGAAGCCTCCTCCTGAGGTGCTTCTGGAAAGGTGGCATACGTCTTGAGCCTAAGCCAGGGAATCAGCTCTCATCTCGAGACGATTTGGGGTACACAGAGCATTCCTCGAGTTGCTATGCTGAAGTTGGTGGTCCTCTAGACTTGGGACAGTGTTCTCGGGGCATCTCTGGAGTTGCCTGAAGGAAGTCGAGCCACCGGTCGTGTTGAATGGGGAACAAGGAATGGCTCTGGAGTCAATGCAGGGGAATCCGGCCTCATCTCGAGTTGATTTGGGGCACATGGAGCTGCTTTGCATTGCTGGGTGACCTCAGGGTCCGTCTAGACTGGTGACAGTGTACTTGGGGACTGTCTGGAGATCCATTAAGCAAGTCGAAGCTCCTGACTTGTTTGAATGGGATCACGGAATAGCTCTGCATGCACTGCAGGGGAATGGGGCCTCATCTCGCCTCTAGGGGGAAGTCTCATGGTTTTTCTGGAGTTGCGGCGGGGACCTGGGGTATGTTCTCGACTTACGGCGGGGATGGCCCTTCAAAACACGAGTTTCTTCAGTGACGTCAGGACTCCTCTCTAGTAACGAGGGACACCTCAGGAATCTCTTCGAGGCTTGGCAGGGCAAAAGGGACGCTTCTCGAGGTGAGGCAGGGCACCCAAGGACCCTTTCCAGTAGCCACAGGGATTTTGGGATTCCTATCAGTATTCAAGAGGAGTCAGGCATCGTCACCTTTTGAAGCAATGAACTCCGCGTGCCTCTCGAGGTGTCAGCGGGATGTGAGGCATTCCGTAAAAATGAGGCAGGGACCTAGGGCTTTCTCTAAGGTCTCCACAGGGGATTCAGACATCCCTTCATGTTGTGAGATGAAAGACGAGCCTGTATTCAAGCCACTGAAAGGAAATCCGGCCTCCTTTCAAGTTAGGGCTTCTCGCTGTGTATTCCCCTTGAGGCAGCAAACTCGGGGTCCCTCCCACATACATATTGCTGAGAGAAGCCTCCTCCTGAGGTGCTTCTGGGAAGTTGGCATACGTCTTGAGCCTAAGCCAGGGAATCAGCTCTCATCTCGAGACGATTTGGGGTACACGGAGCATTCCTCGAGTTGCTGTGCTGAAGTTGGTGTTCCTCTAGACTTGGGACAGTGTTCTCGGGGCATCTCTGGAGTTGCCTGAAGGAAGTCGAGCCACCGGTCGTGTTGAATGGGGAACGGCGAATGGCTCTGGAGTCAATGCAGGGGAATCGGGCCTCGTCTCGAGTTGATTTGGGGCACATGGAGCTGCTTTGCGTTGCTGGGGTGACCTCAGGGTCCGTCTAGACTGGTGACAGTGTTCTTGGGGACTGTCTGGAGATCCATTAAGCAAGTCGAAGCTCCTGACTTGTTTGAATGGGATCACGGAATAGCTCTGCATGCACTGCAGGGGAATGGGGCCTCATCTCGCCTCTAGGGGGAAGTCTCATGGTTTTTCTCGAGTTGCGGCGGGGACCTGGGGTATGTTCTCGACTTACAGCGGGGATGGCCCTTCAAAACACGAGTTTCTTCAGTGACGTCAGGACTCCTGTCTAGTAACGAGGGACACTTCAGCAATCTCTTCGAGGCTTGGCAGGGCAAAAGGGACGCTTCTCGAGGTGAGGCAGGGCACCCAAGGACCCTTTCCAGTAGCCACAGGGATTTTGGGATTCCTATAAGTAATCAAGAGGAGTCAGGCATCGTCACCTTTTGAAGTAATGAACTCCGCGTGCCTCTCGAGGTGTCAGCGGGATGTGAGGATTCCGTCAAAATGAGGCAGGGACCTAGGGCTTTCTCTAAGGTCTCCACAGGGGATTCAGACATCCCTTCATGTTGTGAGATGAAAGACGAGCCTGTATTCAAGCCACTGCAAGGAAATCTGGCCTCCTTTCAACTTAGGGCTTCTCGCTGTATATTCCCCTTGAGGCAGCAAACTCGGGGTCCCTCCCACATACCTATTGCTGAGAGAAGCCTCCTCCTGAGGTGCTTCTGGAAAGGTGGCATACGTCTTGAGCCTAAGCCAGGGAATCAGCTCTCATCTCGAGACGATTTGGGGTACACAGAGCATTCCTCGAGTTGCTATGCTGAAGTTGGTGGTCCTCTAGACTTGGGACAGTGTTCTCGGGGCATCTCTGGAGTTGCCTGAAGGAAGTCGAGCCACCGGTCGTGTTGAATGGGGAACAAGGAATGGCTCTGGAGTCAATGCAGGGGAATCCGGCCTCATCTCGAGTTGATTTGGGGCACATGGAGCTGCTTTGCATTGCTGGGTGACCTCAGGGTCCGTCTAGACTGGTGACAGTGTACTTGGGGACTGTCTGGAGATCCATTAAGCAAGTCGAAGCTCCTGACTTGTTTGAATGGGATCACGGAATAGCTCTGCATGCACTGCAGGGGAATGGGGCCTCATCTCGCCTCTAGGGGGAAGTCTCATGGTTTTTCTGGAGTTGCGGCGGGGACCTGGGGTATGTTCTCGACTTACGGCGGGGATGGCCCTTCAAAACACGAGTTTCTTCAGTGACGTCAGGACTCCTCTCTAGTAACGAGGGACACCTCAGGAATCTCTTCGAGGCTTGGCAGGGCAAAAGGGACGCTTCTCGAGGTGAGGCAGGGCACCCAAGGACCCTTTCCAGTAGCCACAGGGATTTTGGGATTCCTATCAGTATTCAAGAGGAGTCAGGCATCGTCACCTTTTGAAGCAATGAACTCCGCGTGCCTCTCGAGGTGTCAGCGGGATGTGAGGCATTCCGTAAAAATGAGGCAGGGACCTAGGGCTTTCTCTAAGGTCTCCACAGGGGATTCAGACATCCCTTCATGTTGTGAGATGAAAGACGAGCCTGTATTCAAGCCACTGCAAGGAAATCTGGCCTCCTTTCAACTTAGGGCTTCTCGCTGTATATTCCCCTTGAGGCAGCAAACTCGGGGTCCCTCCCACATACCTATTGCTGAGAGAAGCCTCCTCCTGAGGTGCTTCTGGAAAGGTGGCATACGTCTTGAGCCTAAGCCAGGGAATCAGCTCTCATCTCGAGACGATTTGGGGTACACAGAGCATTCCTCGAGTTGCTATGCTGAAGTTGGTGGTCCTCTAGACTTGGGACAGTGTTCTCGGGGCATCTCTGGAGTTGCCTGAAGGAAGTCGAGCCACCGGTCGTGTTGAATGGGGAACAAGGAATGGCTCTGGAGTCAATGCAGGGGAATCCGGCCTCATCTCGAGTTGATTTGGGGCACATGGAGCTGCTTTGCATTGCTGGGTGACCTCAGGGTCCGTCTAGACTGGTGACAGTGTACTTGGGGACTGTCTGGAGATCCATTAAGCAAGTCGAAGCTCCTGACTTGTTTGAATGGGATCACGGAATAGCTCTGCATGCACTGCAGGGGAATGGGGCCTCATCTCGCCTCTAGGGGGAAGTCTCATGGTTTTTCTGGAGTTGCGGCGGGGACCTGGGGTATGTTCTCGACTTACGGCGGGGATGGCCCTTCAAAACACGAGTTTCTTCAGTGACGTCAGGACTCCTCTCTAGTAACGAGGGACACCTCAGGAATCTCTTCGAGGCTTGGCAGGGCAAAAGGGACGCTTCTCGAGGTGAGGCAGGGCACCCAAGGACCCTTTCCAGTAGCCACAGGGATTTTGGGATTCCTATCAGTATTCAAGAGGAGTCAGGCATCGTCACCTTTTGAAGCAATGAACTCCGCGTGCCTCTCGAGGTGTCAGCGGGATGTGAGGCATTCCGTAAAAATGAGGCAGGGACCTAGGGCTTTCTCTAAGGTCTCCACAGGGGATTCAGACATCCCTTCATGTTGTGAGATGAAAGACGAGCCTGTATTCAAGCCACTGAAAGGAAATCCGGCCTCCTTTCAAGTTAGGGCTTCTCGCTGTGTATTCCCCTTGAGGCAGCAAACTCGGGGTCCCTCCCACATACATATTGCTGAGAGAAGCCTCCTCCTGAGGTGCTTCTGGGAAGTTGGCATACGTCTTGAGCCTAAGCCAGGGAATCAGCTCTCATCTCGAGACGATTTGGGGTACACGGAGCATTCCTCGAGTTGCTGTGCTGAAGTTGGTGTTCCTCTAGACTTGGGACAGTGTTCTCGGGGCATCTCTGGAGTTGCCTGAAGGAAGTCGAGCCACCGGTCGTGTTGAATGGGGAACGGCGAATGGCTCTGGAGTCAATGCAGGGGAATCGGGCCTCGTCTCGAGTTGATTTGGGGCACATGGAGCTGCTTTGCGTTGCTGGGGTGACCTCAGGGTCCGTCTAGACTGGTGACAGTGTTCTTGGGGACTGTCTGGAGATCCATTAAGCAAGTCGAAGCTCCTGACTTGTTTGAATGGGATCACGGAATAGCTCTGCATGCACTGCAGGGGAATGGGGCCTCATCTCGCCTCTAGGGGGAAGTCTCATGGTTTTTCTCGAGTTGCGGCGGGGACCTGGGGTATGTTCTCGACTTACAGCGGGGATGGCCCTTCAAAACACGAGTTTCTTCAGTGACGTCAGGACTCCTGTCTAGTAACGAGGGACACTTCAGCAATCTCTTCGAGGCTTGGCAGGGCAAAAGGGACGCTTCTCGAGGTGAGGCAGGGCACCCAAGGACCCTTTCCAGTAGCCACAGGGATTTTGGGATTCCTATAAGTAATCAAGAGGAGTCAGGCATCGTCACCTTTTGAAGCAATGAACTCCGCGTGCCTCTCGAGGTGTCAGCGGGATGTGAGGATTCCGTCAAAATGAGGCAGGGACCTAGGGCTTTCTCTAAGGTCTCCACAGGGGATTCAGACATCCCTTCATGTTGTGAGATGAAAGACGAGCCTGTATTCAAGCCACTGCAAGGAAATCTGGCCTCCTTTCAAGTTAGGGCTTCTCGCTGTATATTCCCCTTGAGGCAGCAAACTCGGGGTCCCTCCCACATACCTATTGCTGAGAGAAGCCTCCTCCTGAGGTGCTTCTGGAAAGGTGGCATACGTCTTGAGCCTAAGCCAGGGAATCAGCTCTCATCTCGAGACGATTTGGGGTACACAGAGCATTCCTCGAGTTGCTATGCTGAAGTTGGTGGTCCTCTAGACTTGGGACAGTGTTCTCGGGGCATCTCTGGAGTTGCCTGAAGGAAGTCGAGCCACCGGTCGTGTTGAATGGGGAACAAGGAATGGCTCTGGAGTCAATGCAGGGGAATCCGGCCTCATCTCGAGTTGATTTGGGGCACATGGAGCTGCTTTGCATTGCTGGGTGACCTCAGGATCCGTCTAGACTGGTGACAGTGTACTTGGGGACTGTCTGGAGATCCAATAAGCAAGTCGAAGCTCCTGACTTGTTTGAATGGGATCACGGAATAGCTCTGCATGCACTGCAGGGGAATGGGGCCTCATCTCGCCTCTAGGTTGAAGTCTCATGGTTTTTCTGGAGTTGCGGCGGGGACCTGGGGTATGTTCTCGACTTACGGCGGGGATGGCCCTTCAAAACACGAGTTTCTTCAGTGACGTCAGGACTCCTGTCTAGTAACGAGGGACACCTCAGGAATCTCTTCGAGGCTTGGCAGGGCAAAAGGGACGCTTCTCGAGGTGAGGCAGGGCACCCAAGGACCCTTTCCAGTAGCCACAGGGATTTTGGGATTCCTATCAGTATTCAAGAGGAGTCAGGCATCGTCACCTTTTGAAGCAATGAACTCCGCGTGCCTCTCGAGGTGTCAGCGGGATGTGAGGCATTCCGTCAAAATGAGGCAGGGACCTAGGGCTTTCTCTAAGGTCTCCACAGGGGATTCAGACATCCCTTCATGTTGTGAGATGAAAGACGAGCCTGTATTCAAGCCACTGAAAGGAAATCCGGCCTCCTTTCAAGTTAGGGCTTCTCGCTGTATATTCCCCTTGAGGCAGCAAACTCGGGGTCCCTCCCACATACATATTGCTGAGAGAAGCCTCCTCCTGAGGTGCTTCTGGGAAGTTGGCATACGTCTTGAGCCTAAGCCAGGGAATCAGCTCTCATCTCGAGACGATTTGGGGTACACGAAGCATTCCTCGAGTTGCTGTGGTGAAGTTGGTGTTCCTCTAGACTTGGGACAGTGTTCTCGGGGCATCTCTGGAGTTACCTGAAGGAAGTCGAGCCACCGGTCGTGTTGAATGGGGAACGGGGAATGGCTTTGCCGTCAATGCAGGGGAATCGGGCCTCATCTCGAGTTGATTTAGGGCACATGGAGCTGCTTTGCGTTGCTGGGGTGACCTCAGGGTCCGTCTAGACTGGTGACAGTGTTCTTGGGGACTGTCTGGAGATCCATTAAGCAAGTCGAAGCTCCTGACTTGTTTGAATGGGATCACGGAATAGCTCTGCATGCACTGCAGGGGAATGGGGCCTCATCTCGCCTCTAGGGGGAAGTCTCATGGTTTTTCTCGAGTTGCGGCGGGGACCTGGGGTATGTTCTCGACTTACGGCGGGGATGGCCCTTCAAAACACGAGTTTCTTCAGTGACGTCAGGACTCCTGTCTAGTAACGAGGGACAGCTCAGGAATCTCTTCGAGGATTGGCAGGGCAAAAGGGACGCTTCTCGAGGTGAGGCAGGGCACCCAAAGACCCTTTCCAGTAGCCACAGCGATTTTGGGATTCCTATCAGTATTCAAGAGGAGTCAGGCATTGTCACCTTTTGAAGCAATGAACTCCGCGTGCCTCTCGAGGTGTCAGCGGGATGTGAGGCATTCCGTCAAAATGAGGTAGGGCCCTAGGGCTTTCTCTAAGGTCTCCACAGGGGATTCAGACATCCCTTCATGTTGTGAGATGAAAGACGAGCCTGTATTCAAGTCACTGAAAGGAAATCCGGCCTCCTTTCAAGTTAGGGCTTCTCGCTGTATATTCCCCTTGAGACAGCAAACACGGGGTCCCTCCCACATACCTATTGCTGAGAGAATCCTCCTCCTGAGGTAACTCTGGAAGTTGGCATACGTCTTGACCCTAAGCCAAGGAATCAGCTCTCATCTCGAGACGATTTGGGGTACACGGAGCATTCCTCGAGTTGCTGTGCTGAAGTTGGTGTTCCTCTAGACTTGGGACAGTGTTCTCGGGGCATCTCTGGAGTTGCCTGAAGGAAGTCGAGCCACCGGTCGTGTTGAATGGGGAACGGCGAATGGCTCTGGAGTCAATGCAGGGGAATCGGGCCTCGTCTCGAGTTGACTTGGGGCACATGGAGCTGCTTTGCGTTGCTGGGGTGACCTCAGGGTCCGTCTAGACTGGTGACAGTGTTCTTGGGGACTGTCTGGAGATCCATTAAGCAAGTCGAAGCTCCTGACTTGTTTGAATGGGATCACGGAATAGCTCTGCATGCACTGCAGGGGAATGGGGCCTCATCTCGCCTCTAGGGGGAAGTCTCATGGTTTTTCTCGAGTTGCGGTGGGGACCTGGGGTATGTTCTCGACTTACAGCGGGGATGGCCCTTCAAAACACGAGTTTCTTCAGTGACGTCAGGACTCCGGTCTAGTAACGAGGGACACTTCAGCAATCTCTTCGAGGCTTGGCAGGGCAAAAGGGACGCTTCTCGAGGTGAGGCATGGCACCCAAGGACCCTTTCCAGTAGCCACAGGGATTTTGGGATTCCTATAAGTAATCAAGAGGAGTCAGGCATCGTCACCTTTTGAAGCAATGAACTCCGCGTGCCTCTCGAGGTGTCAGCGGGATGTGAGGATTCCGTCAAAATGAGGCAGGGACCTAGGGCTTTCTCTAAGGTCTCCACAGGGGATTCAGACATCCCTTCATGTTGTGAGATGAAAGACGAGCCTGTATTCAAGCCACTGCAAGGAAATCTGGCCTCCTTTCAAGTTAGGGCTTCTCGCTGTATATTCCCCTTGAGGCAGCAAACTCGGGGTCCCTCCCACATACCTATTGCTGAGAGAAGCCTCCTCCTGAGGTGCTTCTGGAAAGGTGGCATACGTCTTGAGCCTAAGCCAGGGAATCAGCTCTCATCTCGATACGATTTGGCGTACACAGAGCATTCCTCGAGTTGCTATGCTGAAGTTGGTGGTCCTCTAGACTTGGGACAGTGTTCTCGGGGCATCTCTGGAGTTGCCTGAAGGAAGTCGAGCCACCGGTCGTGTTGAATGGGGAACAAGGAATGGCTCTGGAGTCAATGCAGGGGAATCCGGCCTCATCTCGAGTTGATTTGGGGCACATGGAGCTGCTTTGCATTGCTGGGTGACCTCAGGGTCCGTCTAGACTGGTGACAGTGTACTTGGGGACTGTCTGGAGATCCATTAAGCAAGTCGAAGCTCCTGACTTGTTTGAATGGGATCACGGAATAGCTCTGCATGCACTGCAGGGGAATGGGGCCTCATCTCGCCTCTAGGGGGAAGTCTCATGGTTTTTCTGGAGTTGCGGCGGGGACCTGGGGTATGTTCTCGACTTACGGCGGGGATGGCCCTTCAAAACACGAGTTTCTTCAGTGACGTCAGGACTCTTCTCTAGTAACGAGGGACACCTCAGGAATCTCTTCGAGGCTTGGCAGGGCAAAAGGGACGCTTCTCGAGGTGAGGCAGGGCACCCAAGGACCCTTTCCAGTAGCCACAGGGATTTTGGGATTCCTATCAGTATTCAAGAGGAGTCAGGCATCGTCACCTTTTGAAGCAATGAACTCCGCGTGCCTCTCGAGGTGTCAGCGGGATGTGAGGCATTCCGTAAAAATGAGGCAGGGACCTAGGGCTTTCTCTAAGGTCTCCACAGGGGATTCAGACATCCCTTCATGTTGTGAGATGAAAGACGAGCCTGTATTCAAGCCACTGAAAGGAAATCCGGCCTCCTTTCAAGTTAGGGCTTCTCGCTGTGTATTCCCCTTGAGGCAGCAAACTCGGGGTCCCTCCCACTTACATATTGCTGAGAGAAGCCTCCTCCTGAGGTGCTTCTGGGAAGTTGGCATACGTCTTGAGCCTAAGCCAGGGAATCAGCTCTCATCTCGAGACGATTTGGGGTACACGGAGCATTCCTCGAGTTGCTGTGTTGAAGTTGGTGTTCCTCTAGACTTGGGACAGTGTTCTCGGGGCATCTCTGGAGTTGCCTGAAGGAAGTCGAGCCACCGGTCGTGTTGAATGGGGAACGGCGAATGGCTCTGGAGTCAATGCAGGGGAATCGGGCCTCGTCTCGAGTTGATTTGGGGCACATGGAGCTGCTTTGCGTTGCTGGGGTGACCTCAGGGTCCGTCTAGACTGGTGACAGTGTTCTTGGGGACTGTCTGGAGATCCATTAAGCAAGTCGAAGCTCCTGACTTGTTTGAATGGGATCACGGAATAGCTCTGCATGCACTGCAGGGGAATGGGGCCTCATCTCGCCTCTAGGGGGAAGTCTCATGGTTTTTCTCGAGTTGCGGCGGGGACCTGGGGTATGTTCTCGACTTACAGCGGGGATGGCCCTTCAAAACACGAGTTTCTTCAGTGACGTCAGGACTCCTGTCTAGTAACGAGGGACACTTCAGCAATCTCTTCGAGGCTTGGCAGGGCAAAAGGGACGCTTCTCGAGGTGAGGCAGGGCACCCAAGGACCCTTTCCAGTAGCCACAGGGATTTTGGGATTCCTATAAGTAATCAAGAGGAGTCAGGCATCGTCACCTTTTGAAGTAATGAACTCCGCGTGCCTCTCGAGGTGTCAGCGGGATGTGAGGATTCCGTCAAAATGAGGCAGGGACCTAGGGCTTTCTCTAAGGTCTCCACAGGGGATTCAGACATCCCTTCATGTTGTGAGATGAAAGACGAGCCTGTATTCAAGCCACTGCAAGGAAATCTGGCCTCCTTTCAACTTAGGGCTTCTCGCTGTATATTCCCCTTGAGGCAGCAAACTCGGGGTCCCTCCCACATACCTATTGCTGAGAGAAGCCTCCTCCTGAGGTGCTTCTGGAAAGGTGGCATACGTCTTGAGCCTAAGCCAGGGAATCAGCTCTCATCTCGAGACGATTTGGGGTACACAGAGCATTCCTCGAGTTGCTATGCTGAAGTTGGTGGTCCTCTAGACTTGGGACAGTGTTCTCGGGGCATCTCTGGAGTTGCCTGAAGGAAGTCGAGCCACCGGTCGTGTTGAATGGGGAACAAGGAATGGCTCTGGAGTCAATGCAGGGGAATCCGGCCTCATCTCGAGTTGATTTGGGGCACATGGAGCTGCTTTGCATTGCTGGGTGACCTCAGGGTCCGTCTAGACTGGTGACAGTGTACTTGGGGACTGTCTGGAGATCCATTAAGCAAGTCGAAGCTCCTGACTTGTTTGAATGGGATCACGGAATAGCTCTGCATGCACTGCAGGGGAATGGGGCCTCATCTCGCCTCTAGGGGGAAGTCTCATGGTTTTTCTGGAGTTGCGGCGGGGACCTGGGGTATGTTCTCGACTTACGGCGGGGATGGCCCTTCAAAACACGAGTTTCTTCAGTGACGTCAGGACTCCTCTCTAGTAACGAGGGACACCTCAGGAATCTCTTCGAGGCTTGGCAGGGCAAAAGGGACGCTTCTCGAGGTGAGGCAGGGCACCCAAGGACCCTTTCCAGTAGCCACAGGGATTTTGGGATTCCTATCAGTATTCAAGAGGAGTCAGGCATCGTCACCTTTTGAAGCAATGAACTCCGCGTGCCTCTCGAGGTGTCAGCGGGATGTGAGGCATTCCGTAAAAATGAGGCAGGGACCTAGGGCTTTCTCTAAGGTCTCCACAGGGGATTCAGACATCCCGTCATGTTGTGAGATGAAAGACGAGCCTGTATTCAAGCCACTGAAAGGAAATCCGGCCTCCTTTCAAGTTAGGGCTTCTCGCTGTATATTCCCCTTGAGGCAGCAAACTCGGGGTCCCTCCCACATACATATTGCTGAGAGAAGCCTCCTCCTGAGGTGCTTCTGGGAAGTTGGCATACGTCTTGAGCCTAAGCCAGGGAATCAGCTCTCATCTCGAGACGATTTGGGGTACACGAAGCATTCCTCGAGTTGCTATGCTGAAGTTGGTGTTCCTCTAGACTTGGGACAGTGTTCTCGGGGCATCTCTGGAGTTACCTGAACGAAGTCGAGCCACCGGTCGTGTTGAATGGGGAACGGGGAATGGCTTTGCAGTCAATGCAGGGGAATCGGGCCTCATCTCGAGTTTATTTAGGGCACCTGGAGCTGCTTTGCGTTGCTGGGGTGACCTCAGGGTCCGTCTAGACTGGTGACAGTGTTCTTGGGGACTGTCTGGAGATCCATTAAGCAAGTCGAAGCTCCTGACTTGTTTGAATGGGATCACGGAATAGCTCTGCATGCACTGCAGGGGAATGGGGCCTCATCTCGCCTCTAGGGGGAATTCTCATTGTTTTTCTCGAGTTGCGGCGGGGACCTGGGGTATGTTCTCGACTTACGGCGGGGATGGCCCTTCAAAACACGAGTTTCTTCAGTGACGTCAGGACTCCTGTCTAGTAACGAGGGACACCTCAGCAATCTCTTCGAGGGTTGGCAGGGCAAAAGGGACGCTTCTCGAGGTGAGGCAGGGCACCCAAGGACCCTTTCCAGTAGCCACAGCGATTTTGGGATTCCTATCAGTATTCAAGAGGAGTCAGGCATCGTCACCTTTTGAAGCAATGAACTCCGCGTGCCTCTCGAGGTGTCAGCGGGATGTGAGGCATTCCGTCAAAATGAGGTATGGCCCTAGGGCTTTCTCTAAGGTCTCCACAGGGGATTCAGACATCCCTTCATGTTGTGAGATGAAAGACGAGCCTGTATTCAAGCCACTGAAAGGAAATCCGGCCTCCTTTCAAGTTAGGGCTTCTCGCTGTATATTCCCCTTGAGGCAGCAAACACGGGGTCCCTCCCACATACCTATTGCTGAGAGAATCCTCCTCCTGAGGTAACTCTGGAAGTTGGCATACGTCTTGACCCTAAGCCAAGGAATCAGCTCTCATCTCGAGACGATTTGGGGTACACGGAGCATTCCTCGAGTTGCTGTGCTGAAGTTGGTGTTCCTCTAGACTTGGGACAGTGTTCTCGGGGCATCTCTGGAGTTGCCTGAAGGAAGTCGAGCCACCGGTCGTGTTGAATGGGGAACGGGGAATGGCTCTGGATTCAATGCAGGGGAATCGGGCCTCGTCTCGAGTTGATTTGGGGCACATGGAGCTGCTTTGCGTTGCTGGGGTGACCTCAGGGTCCGTCTAGACTGGTGACAGTGTTCTTGGGGACTGTCTGGAGATCCATTAAGCAAGTCGAAGCTCCTGACTTGTTTGAATGGGATCACGGAATAGCTCTGCATGCACTGCAGGGGAATGGGGCCTCATCTCCCCTCTAGGGGGAAGTCTCAAGGTTTTTCTCGAGTTGCGGCGGGGACCTGGGGTATGTTCTCGACTTACAGCGGGGATGGCCCTTCAAAACACGAGTTTCTTCAGTGACGTCAGGACTCCTGTCTAGTAACGAGGGACACTTCAGCAATCTCTTCGAGGCTTGGCAGGGCAAAAGGGACGCTTCTCGAGGTGAGGCATGGCACCCAAGGACCCTTTCCAGTAGCCACAGGGATTTTGGGATTCCTATAAGTAATCAAGAGGAGTCAGGCATCGTCACCTTTTGAAGCAATGAACTCCGCGTGCCTCTCGAGGTGTCAGCGGGATGTGAGGATTCCGTCAAAATGAGGCAGGGACCTAGGGCTTTCTCTAAGGTCTCCACAGGGGATTCAGACATCCCTTCATGTTGTGAGATGAAAGACGAGCCTGTATTCAAGCCACTGCAAGGAAATCTGGCCTCCTTTCAAGTTAGGGCTTCTCGCTGTATATTCCCCTTGAGGCAGCAAACTCGGGGTCCCTCCCACATACCTATTGCTGAGAGAAGCCTCCTCCTGCGGTGCTTCTGGAAAGGTGGCATACGTCTTGAGCCTAAGCCAGGGAATCAGCTCTCATCTCGAGACGATTTGGGGTACACAGAGCATTCCTCGAGTTGCTATGCTGAAGTTGGTGGTCCTCTAGACTTGGGACAGTGTTCTCGGGGCATCTCTGGAGTTGCCTGAAGGAAGTCGAGCCACCGGTCGTGTTGAATGGGGAACAAGGAATGGCTCTGGAGTCAATGCAGGGGAATCCGGCCTCATCTCGAGTTGATTTGGGGCACATGGAGCTGCTTTGCATTGCTGGGTGACCTCAGGGTCCGTCTAGACTGGTGACAGTGTACTTGGGGACTGTCTGGAGATCCATTAAGCAAGTCGAAGCTCCTGACTTGTTTGAATGGGATCACGGAATAGCTCTGCATGCACTGCAGGGGAATGGGGCCTCATCTCGCCTCTAGGGGGAAGTCTCATGGTTTTTCTGGAGTTGCGGCAGGGACCTGGGGTATGTTCTCGACTTACGGCGGGGATGGCCCTTCAAAACACGAGTTTCTTCAGTGACGTCAGGACTCCTCTCTAGTAACGAGGGACACCTCAGGAATCTCTTCGAGGCTTGGCAGGGCAAAAGGGACGCTTCTCGAGGTGAGGCAGGGCACCCAAGGACCCTTTCCAGTAGCCACAGGGATTTTGGGATTCCTATCAGTATTCAAGAGGAGTCAGGCATCGTCACCTTTTGAAGCAATGAACTCCGCGTGCCTCTCGAGGTGTCAGCGGGATGTGAGGCATTCCGTAAAAATGAGGCAGGGACCTAGGGCTTTCTCTAAGGTCTCCACAGGGGATTCAGACATCCCTTCATGTTGTGAGATGAAAGACGAGCCTGTATTCAAGCCACTGAAAGGAAATCCGGCCTCCTTTCAAGTTAGGGCTTCTCGCTGTATATTCCCCTTGAGGCAGCAAACTCGGGGTCCCTCCCACATACATATTGCTGAGAGAAGCCTCCTCCTGAGGTGCTTCTGGGAAGTTGGCATACGTCTTGAGCCTAAGCCAGGGAATCAGCTCTCATCTCGAGACGATTTGGGGTACACGAAGCATTCCTCGAGTTGCTGTGCTGAAGTTGGTGTTCCTCTAGACTTGGGACAGTGTTCTCGGGGCATCTCTGGAGTTACCTGAACGAAGTCGAGCCACCGGTCGTGTTGAATGGGGAACGGGGAATGGCTTTGCAGTCAATGCAGGGGAATCGGGCCTCATCTCGAGTTGATTTAGGGCACATGGAGCTGCTTTGCGTTGCTGGGGTGACCTCAGGGTCCGTCTAGACTGGTGACAGTGTTCTTGGGGACTGTCTGGAGATCCATTAAGCAAGTCGAAGCTCCTGACTTGTTTGAATGGGATCACGGAATAGCTCTGCATGCACTGCAGGGGAATGGGGCCTCATCTCGCCTCTAGGGGGAAGTCTCATGGTTTTTCTCGAGTTGCGGCGGGGACCTGGGGTATGTTCTCGACTTACGGCGGGGATGGCCCTTCAAAACACGAGTTTCTTCAGTGACGTCAGGACTCCTGTCTAGTAACGAGGGACAGCTCAGGAATCTCTTCGAGGATTGGCAGGGCAAAAGGGACGCTTCTCGAGGTGAGGCAGGGCACCCAAGGACCCTTTCCAGTAGCCACAGCGATTTTGGGATTCCTATCAGTATTCAAGAGGAGTCAGGCATCGTCACCTTTTGAAGCAATGAACTCCGCGTGCCTCTCGAGGTGTCAGCGGGATGTGAGGCATTCCGTCAAAATGAGGTAGGGCCCTAGGGCTTTCTCTAAGGTCTCCACAGGGGATTCAGACATCCCTTCATGTTGTGAGATGAAAGACGAGCCTGTATTCAAGCCACTGAAAGGAAATCCGGCCTCCTTTCAAGTTAGGGCTTCTCGCTGTATATTCCCCTTGAGGCAGCAAACACGGGGTCCCTCCCACATACCTATTGCTGAGAGAATCCTCCTCCTGAGGTAACTCTGGAAGTTGGCATACGTCTTGACCCTAAGCCAAGGAATCAGCTCTCATCTCGAGACGATTTGGGGTACACGGAGCATTCCTCGAGTTGCTGTGCTGAAGTTGGTGTTCCTCTAGACTTGGGACAGTGTTCTCGGGGCATCTCTGGAGTTGCCTGAAGGAAGTCGAGCCACCGGTCGTGTTGAATGGGGAACGGGGAATGGCTCTGGAGTCAATGCAGGGGAATCGGGCCTCGTCTCGAGTTGATTTGTGGCACCTGGAGCTGCTTTGCGTTGCTGGGGTGACCTCAGGGTCCGTCTAGACTGGTGACAGTGTTCTTGGGGACTGCCTCGAGATCCATTAAGCAAGTCGAAGCTCCTGACTTGTTTGAATGGGATCACGGAAAAGCTCTGCATGCACTGCAGGGGAATGGGGCCTCATCTCGCCTCTAGGGGGAAGGCTCTCGGTTTTTCTCGAGTTGGGGCGGGGACCTGGGGTATGTTCTCGACTTACGGCGGGGATGGCCCTTCAAAACACGAGTTTCTTCAGTGACGTCAGGACTCCTGTCTAGTAACGAGGGACACCTCAGCAATCTCTTCGAGGATTGGCAGGGCAAAAGGGACGCTTCTCGAGGTGAGGCAGGGCACCCAAGGACCCTTTCCAGTAGCCACAGCGATTTTGGGATTCCTATCAGTATTCAAGAGGAGTCAGGCATCGTCACCTTTTGAAGCAATGAACTCCGCGTGCCTCTCGAGGTGTCAGCGGGATGTGAGGCATTCCGTCAAAATGAGGTAGGGCCCTAGGGCTTTCTCTAAGGTCTCCACAGGGGATTCAGACATCCCTTCATGTTGTGAGATGAAAGACGAGCCTGTATTCAAGCCACTGAAAGGAAATCCGGCCTCCTTTCAAGTTAGGGCTTCTCGCTGTATATTCCCCTTGAGGCAGCAAACACGGGGTCCCTCCCACATACTTATTGCTGAGAGAATCCTCCTCCTGAGGTAACTCTGGAAGTTGGCATACGTCTTGACCCTAAGCCAAGGAATCAGCTCTCATCTCGAGACGATTTGGGGTACACGGAGCATTCCTCGAGTTGCTGTGCTGAAGTTGGTGTTCCTCTAGACTTGGGACAGTGTTCTCGGGGCATCTCTGGAGTTGCCTGAAGGAAGTCGAGCCACCGGTCGTGTTGAATGGGGAACGGCGAATGGCTCTGGAGTCAATGCAGGGGAATCGGGCCTCGTCTCGAGTTGATTTGGGGCACATGGAGCTGCTTTGCGTTGCTGGGGTGACCTCAGGGTCCGTCTAGACTGGTGACAGTGTTCTTGGGGACTGTCTGGAGATCCATTAAGCAAGTCGAAGCTCCTGACTTGTTTGAATGGGATCACGGAATAGCTCTGCATGCACTGCAGGGGAATGGGGCCTCATCTCGCCTCTAGGGGGAAGTCTCATGGTTTTTCTCGAGTTGCGGCGGGGACCTGGGGTATGTTCTCGACTTACAGCGGGGATGGCCCTTCAAAACACGAGTTTCTTCAGTGACGTCAGGACTCCTGTCTAGTAACGAGGGACACTTCAGCAATCTCTTCGAGGCTTGGCAGGGCAAAAGGGAAGCTTCTCGAGGTGAGGCATGGCACCCAAGGACCCTTTCCAGTAGCCACAGGGATTTTGGGATTCCTATAAGTAATCAAGAGGAGTCAGGCATCGTCACCTTTTGAAGCAATGAACTCCGCGTGCCTCTCGAGGTGTCAGCGGGATGTGAGGATTCCGTCAAAATGAGGCAGGGACCTAGGGCTTTCTCTAAGGTCTCCACAGGGGATTCAGACATCCCTTCATGTTGTGAGATGAAAGACGAGCCTGTATTCAAGCCACTGCAAGGAAATCTGGCCTCCTTTCAAGTTAGGGCTTCTCGCTGTATATTCCCCTTGAGGCAGCAAACTCGGGGTCCCTCCCACATACCTATTGCTGAGAGAAGCCTCCTCCTGCGGTGCTTCTGGAAAGGTGGCATACGTCTTGAGCCTAAGCCAGGGAATCAGCTCTCATCTCGAGACGATTTGGGGTACACAGAGCATTCCTCGAGTTGCTATGCTGAAGTTGGTGGTCCTCTAGACTTGGGACAGTGTTCTCGGGGCATCTCTGGAGTTGCCTGAAGGAAGTCGAGCCACCGGTCGTGTTGAATGGGGAACAAGGAATGGCTCTGGAGTCAATGCAGGGGAATCCGGCCTCATCTCGAGTTGATTTGGGGCACATGGAGCTGCTTTGCATTGCTGGGTGACCTCAGGGTCCGTCTAGACTGGTGACAGTGTACTTGGGGACTGTCTGGAGATCCATTAAGCAAGTCGAAGCTCCTGACTTGTTTGAATGGGATCACGGAATAGCTCTGCATGCACTGCAGGGGAATGGGGCCTCATCTCGCCTCTAGGGGGAAGTCTCATGGTTTTTCTCGAGTTGCGGCGGGGACCTGGGGTATGTTCTCGACTTACGGCGGGGATGGCCCTTCAAAACACGAGTTTCTTCAGTGACGTCAGGACTCCTCTCTAGTAACGAGGGACACCTCAGGAATCTCTTCGAGGGTTGGCAGGGCAAAAGGGATGCTTCTCGAGGTGAGGCAGGGCACCCAAGGACCCTTTCCAGTAGCCACAGGGATTTTGGGATTCCTATCAGTATTCAAGAGGAGTCAGGCATCGTCACCTTTTGAAGCAATGAACTCCGCGTGCCTCTCGAGGTGTCAGCGGGATGTGAGGCATTCCGTAAAAATGAGGCAGGGACCTAGGGATTTCTCTAAGGTCTCCACAGGGGATTCAGACATCCCTTCATGTTGTGAGATGAAAGACGAGCCTGTATTCAAGCCACTGAAAGGAAATCCGGCCTCCTTTCAAGTTAGGGCTTCTCGCTGTATATTCCCCTTGAGGCAGCAAACTCGGGGTCCCTCCCACATACATATTGCTGAGAGAAGCCTCCTCCTGAGGTGCTTCTGGGAAGTTGGCATACGTCCTGAGCCTAAGCCAGGGAATCAGCTCTCATCTCGAGACGATTTGGGGTACACGAAGCATTCCTCGAGTTGCTGTGCTGAAGTTGGTGTTCCTCTAGACTTGGGACAGTGTTCTCGGGGCATCTCTGGAGTTACCTGAAGGAAGTCGAGCCACCGGTCGTGTTGAATGGGGAACGGGGAATGGCTTTGCAGTCAATGCAGGGGAATCGGGCCTCATCTCGAGTTGATTTAGGGCACATGGAGCTGCTTTGCGTTGCTGGGGTGACCTCAGGGTCCGTCTAGACTGGTGACAGTGTTCTTGGGGACTGTCTGGAGATCCATTAAGCAAGTCGAAGCTCCTGACTTGTTTGAATGGGATCACGGAATAGCTCTGCATGCACTGCAGGGGAATGGGGCCTCATCTCGCCTCTAGGGGGAAGTCTCATGGTTTTTCTCGAGTTGCGGCGGGGACCTGGGGTATGTTCTCGACTTACGGCGGGGATGGCCCTTCAAAACACGAGTTTCTTCAGTGACGTCAGGACTCCTGTCTAGTAACGAGGGACACCTCAGCAATCTCTTCGAGGGTTGGCAGGGCAAAAGGGACGCTTCTCGAGGTGAGGCAGGGCACCCAAGGACCCTTTCCAGTAGCCACAGCGATTTTGGGATTCCTATCAGTATTCAAGAGGAGTCAGGCATCGTCACCTTTTGAAGCAATGAACTCCGCGTGCCTCTCGAGGTGTCAGCGGGATGTGAGGCATTCCGTCAAAATGAGGTAGGGCCCTAGGGCTTTCTCTAAGGTCTCCACAGGGGATTCAGACATCCCTTCATGTTGTGAGATGAAAGACGAGCCTGTATTCAAGCCACTGAAAGGAAATCCGGCCTCCTTTCAAGTTAGGGCTTCTCGCTGTATATTCCCCTTGAGGCAGCTAACACGGGGTCCCTCCCACATACCTATTGCTGAGAGAATCCTCCTCCTGAGGTAACTCTGGAAGTTGGCATACGTCTTGACCCTAAGCCAAGGAATCAGCTCTCATCTCGAGACGATTTGGGGTACACGGAGCATTCCTCGAGTTGCTGTGCTGAAGTTGGTGTTCCTCTAGACTTGGGACAGTGTTCTCGGGGCATCTCTGGAGTTGCCTGAAGGAAGTCGAGCCACCGGTCGTGTTGAATGGGGAACGGCGAATGGCTCTGGAGTCAATGCAGGGGAATCGGGCCTCGTCTCGAGTTGATTTGGGGCACATGGAGCTGCTTTGCGTTGCTGGGGTGACCTCAGGGTCCGTCTAGACTGGTGACAGTGTTCTTGGGGACTGTCTGGAGATCCATTAAGCAAGTCGAAGATCCTGACTTGTTTGAATGGGATCACGGAATAGCTCTGCATGCACTGCAGGGGAATGGGGCCTCATCTCCCCTCTAGGGGGAAGTCTCATGGTTTTTCTCGAGTTGCGGCGGGGACCTGGGGTATGTTCTCGACTTACAGCGGGGATGGCCCTTCAAAACACGAGTTTCTTCAGTGACGTCAGGACTCCTGTCTAGTAACGAGGGACACTTCAGCAATCTCTTCGAGGCTTGGCAGGGCAAAAGGGACGCTTCTCGAGGTGAGGCATGGCACCCAAGGACCCTTTCCAGTAGCCACAGGGATTTTGGGATTCCTATAAGTAATCAAGAGGAGTCAGGCATCGTCACCTTTTGAAGCAATGAACTCCGCGTGCCTCTCGAGGTGTCAGCGGGATGTGAGGATTCCGTCAAAATGAGGCAGGGACCTAGGGCTTTCTCTAAGGTCTCCACAGGGGATTCAGACATCCCTTCATGTTGTGAGATGAAAGACGAGCCTGTATTCAAGCCACTGCAAGGAAATCTGGCCTCCTTTCAAGTTAGGGCTTCTCGCTGTATATTCCCCTTGAGGCAGCAAACTCGGGGTCCCTCCCACATACCTATTGCTGAGAGAAGCCTCCTCCTGAGGTGCTTCTGGAAAGGTGGCATACGTCTTGAGCCTAAGCCAGGGAATCAGCTCTCATCTCGAGACGATTTGGGGTACACAGAGCATTCCTCGAGTTGCTATGCTGAAGTTGGTGGTCCTCTAGACTTGGGACAGTGTTCTCGGGGCATCTCTGGAGTTGCCTGAAGGAAGTCGAGCCACCGGTCGTGTTGAATGGGGAACAAGGAATGGCTCTGGAGTCAATGCAGGGGAATCCGGCCTCATCTCGAGTTGATTTGGGGCACATGGAGCTGCTTTGCATTGCTGGGTGACCTCAGGGTCCGTCTAGACTGGTGACAGTGTACTTGGGGACTGTCTGGAGATCCATTAAGCAAGTCGAAGCTCCTGACTTGTTTGAATGGGATCACGGAATAGCTCTGCATGCACTGCAGGGGAATGGGGCCTCATCTCGCCTCTAGGGGGAAGTCTCATGGTTTTTCTGGAGTTGCGGCGGGGACCTGGGGTATGTTCTCGACTTACGGCGGGGATGGCCCTTCAAAACACGAGTTTCTTCAGTGACGTCAGGACTCCTCTCTAGTAACGAGGGACACCTCAGGAATCTCTTCGAGGCTTGGCAGGGCAAAAGGGACGCTTCTCGAGGTGAGGCAGGGCACCCAAGGACCCTTTCCAGTAGCCACAGGGATTTTGGGATTCCTATCAGTATTCAAGAGGAGTCAGGCATCGTCACCTTTTGAAGCAATGAACTCCGCGTGCCTCTCGAGGTGTCAGCGGGATGTGAGGCATTCCGTAAAAATGAGGCAGGGACCTAGGGCTTTCTCTAAGGTCTCCACAGGGGATTCAGACATCCCTTCATGTTGTGAGATGAAAGACGAGCCTGTATTCAAGCCACTGAAAGGAAATCCGGCCTCCTTTCAAGTTAGGGCTTCTCGCTGTGTATTCCCCTTGAGGCAGCAAACTCGGGGTCCCTCCCACATACATATTGCTGAGAGAAGCCTCCTCCTGAGGTGCTTCTGGGAAGTTGGCATACGTCTTGAGCCTAAGCCAGGGAATCAGCTCTCATCTCGAGACGATTTGGGGTACACGAAGCATTCCTCGAGTTGCTGTGCTGAAGTTGGTGTTCCTCTAGACTTGGGACAGTGTTCTCGGGGCATCTCTGGAGTTACCTGAACGAAGTCGAGCCACCGGTCGTGTTGAATGGGGAACGGGGAATGGCTTTGCAGTCAATGCAGGGGAATCGGGCCTCATCTCGAGTTGATTTAGGGCACATGGAGCTGCTTTGCGTTGCTGGGGTGACCTCAGGGTCCGTCTAGACTGGTGACAGTGTTCTTGGGGACTGTCTGGAGATCCATTAAGCAAGTCGAAGCTCCTGACTTGTTTGAATGGGATCACGGAATAGCTCTGCATGCACTGCAGGGGAATGGGGCCTCATCTCGCCTCTAGGGGGAAGTCTCATGGTTTTTCTGGAGTTGCGGCGGGGACCTGGGGTATGTTCTCGACTTACGGCGGGGATGGCCCTTCAAAACACGAGTTTCTTCAGTGACGTCAGGACTCCTGTCCAGTAACGAGGGACACCTCAGGAATCTCTTCGAGGATTGGCAGGGCAAAAGGGACGCTTCTCGAGGTGAGGCAGGGCACCCAAGGACCCTTTCCAGTAGCCACAGCGATTTTGGGATTCCTATCAGTATTCAAGAGGAGTCAGGCATCGTCACCTTTTGAAGCAATGAACTCCGCGTGCCTCTCGAGGTGTCAGCGGGATGTGAGGCATTCCGTCAAAATGAGGTAGGGCCCTAGGGCTTTCTCTAAGGTCTCCACAGGGGATTCAGACATCCCTTCATGTTGTGAGATGAAAGACGAGCCTGTATTCAAGCCACTGAAAGGAAATCCGGCCTCCTTTCAAGTTAGGGCTTCTCGCTGTATATTCCCCTTGAGGCAGCAAACACGGGGTCCCTCCCACATACCTATTGCTGAGAGAATCCTCCTCCTGAGGTAACTCTGGAAGTTGGCATACGTCTTGACCCTAAGCCAAGGAATCAGCTCTCATCTAGAGACGATTTGGGGTACACGGAGCATTCCTCGAGTTGCTGTGCTGAAGTTGGTGTTCCTCTAGACTTGGGACAGTGTTCTCGGGGCATCTCTGGAGTTGCCTGAAGGAAGTCGAGCCACCGGTCGTGTTGAATGGGGAACGGCGAATGGCTCTGGAGTCAATGCAGGGGAATCGGGCCTCGTCTCGAGTTGATTTGGGGCACATGGAGCTGCTTTGCGTTGCTGGGGTGACCGTAGGGTCCGTCTAGACTGGTGACAGTGTTCTTGGGGACTGTCTGGAGATCCATTAAGCAAGTCGAAGCTCCTGACTTGTTTGAATGGGATCACGGAATAGCTCTGCATGCACTGCAGGGGAATGGGGCCTCATCTCGCCTCTAGGGGGAAGTCTCATGGTTTTTCTCGAGTTGCGGCGGGGACCTGGGGTATGTTCTCGACTTACAGCGGGGATGGCCCTTCAAAACACGAGTTTATTCAGTGACGTCAGGACTCCTGTCTAGTAACGAGGGACACTTCAGCAATCTCTTCGAGGCTTGGCAGGGCAAAAGGGACGCTTCTCGAGGTGAGGCATGGCACCCAAGGACCCTTTCCAGTAGCCACAGGGATTTTGGGATTCCTATAAGTAATCAAGAGGAGTCAGGCATCATCACCTTTTGAAGCAATGAACTCCGCGTTCCTCTCGAGGTGTCAGCGGGATGTGAGGATTCCGTCAAAATGAGGCAGGGACCTAGGGCTTTCTCTAAGGTCTCCACAGGGGATTCAGACTTCCCTTCATGTTGTGAGATGAAAGACGAGCCTGTATTCAAGCCACTGCAAGGAAATCTGGCCTCCTTTCAAGTTAGGGCTTCTCGCTGTATATTCCCCTTGAGGCAGCAAACTCGGGGTCCCTCCCACATACCTATTGCTGAGAGAAGCCTCCTCCTGCGGTGCTTCCGGAAAGGTGGCATAAGTCTTGAGCCTAAGCCAGGGAATCAGCTCTCATCTCGAGACGATTTGGGGTACACAGAGCATTCCTCGAGTTGCTATGCTGAAGTTGGTGGTCCTCTAGACTTGGGACAGTGTTCTCGGGGCATCTCTGGAGTTGCCTGAAGGAAGTCGAGCCACCGGTCGTGTTGAATGGGGAACAAGGAATGGCTCTGGAGTCAATGCAGGGGAATCCGGCCTCATCTCGAGTTGATTTGGGGCACATGGAGCTGCTTTGCATTGCTGGGTGACCTCAGGGTCCGTCTAGACTGGTGACAGTGTACTTGGGGACTGTCTGGAGATCCATTAAGCAAGTCGAAGCTCCTGACTTGTTTGAATGGGATCACGGAATAGCTCTGCATGCACTGCAGGGGAATGGGGCCTCATCTCGCCTCTAGGGGGAAGTCTCATGGTTTTTCTGGAGTTGCGGCGGGGACCTGGGGTATGTTCTCGACTTACGGCGGGGATGGCCCTTCAAAACACGAGTTTCTTCAGTGACGACAGGACTCCTCTCTAGTAACGAGGGACACCTCAGGAATCTCTTCGAGGCTTGGCAGGGCAAAAGGGACGCTTCTCGAGGTGAGGCAGGGCACCCAAGGACCCTTTCCAGTAGCCACAGGGATTTTGGGATTCCTATCAGTATTCAAGAGGAGTCAGGCATCGTCACCTTTTGAAGCAATGAACTCCGCGTGCCTCTCGAGGTGTCAGCGGGATGTGAGGCATTCCGTAAAAATGAGGCAGGGACCTAGGGCTTTCTCTAAGGTCTCCACAGGGGATTCAGACATCCCTTCATGTTGTGAGATGAAAGACGAGCCTGTATTCAAGCCACTGAAAGGAAATCCGGCCTCCTTTCAAGTTAGGGCTTCTCGCTGTATATTCCCCTTGAGGCAGCAAACTCGGGGTCCCTCCCACATACATATTGCTGAGAGAAGCCTCCTCCTGAGGTGCTTCTGGGAAGTTGGCATACGTCTTGAGCCTAAGCCAGGGAATCAGCTCTCATCTCGAGACGATTTGGGGTACACGAAGCATTCCTCGAGTTGCTGTGCTGAAGTTGGTGTTCCTCTAGACTTGGGACAGTGTTCTCGGGGCATCTCTGGAGTTACCTGAAGGAAGTCGAGCCACCGGTCGTGTTGAATGGGGAACGGGGAATGGCTTTGCAGTCAATGCAGGGGAATCGGGCCTCATCTCGAGTTGATTTAGGGCACATGGAGCTGCTTTGCGTTGCTGGGGTGACCTCAGGGTCTGTCTAGACTGGTGACAGTGTTCTTGGGGACTGTCTGGAGATCCATTAAGCAAGTCGAAGCTCCTGACTTGTTTGAATGGGATCACGGAATAGCTCTGCATGCACTGCAGGGGAATGGGGCCTCATCTCGCCTCTAGGGGGAAGTCTCATGGTTTTTCTCGAGTTGCGGCGGGGACCTGGGGTATGTTCTCGACTTACGGCGGGGATGGCCCTTCAAAACACGAGTTTCTTCAGTGACGTCAGGACTCCTGTCTAGTAACGAGGGACACCTCAGCAATCTCTTCGAGGGTTGGCAGGGCAAAAGGGACGCTTCTCGAGGTGAGGCAGGGCACCCAAGGACCCTTTCCAGTAGCCCCAGCGATTTTGGGATTCCTATCAGTATTCAAGAGGAGTCAGGCATCGTCACCTTTTGAAGCAATGAACTCCGCGTGCCTCTCGAGGTGTCAGCGGGATGTGAGGCATTCCGTCAAAATGAGGTAGGGCCCTAGGGCTTTCTCTAAGGTCTCCACAGGGGATTCAGACATCCCTTCATGTTGTGAGATGAAAGACGAGCCTGTATTCAAGCCACTGAAAGGAAATCCGGCCTCCTTTCAAGTTAGGGCTTCTCGCTGTATATTCCCCTTGAGGCAGCAAACACGGGGTCCCTCCCACATACCTATTGCTGAGAGAATCCTCCTCCTGAGGTAACTCTGGAAGTTGGCATACGTCTTGACCCTAAGCCAAGGAATCAGCTCTCATCTAGAGACGATTTGGGGTACACGGAGCATTCCTCGAGTTGCTGTGCTGAAGTTGGTGTTCCTCTAGACTTGGGACAGTGTTCTCGGGGCATCTCTGGAGTTCCCTGAAGGAAGTCGAGCCACCGGTCGTGTTGAATGGGGAACGGCGAATGGCTCTGGAGTCAATGCAGGGGAATCGGGCCTCGTCTCGAGTTGATTTGGGGCACATGGAGCTGCTTTGCATTGCTGGGTGACCTCAGGGTCCGTCTAGACTGGTGACAGTGTACTTGGGGACTGTCTGGAGATCCATTAAGCAAGTCGAAGCTCCTGACTTGTTTGAATGGGATCACGGAATAGCTCTGCATGCACTGCAAGGGAATGGGGCCTCATCTCGCCTCTAGGGGGAAGTCTCATGGTTTTTCTGGAGTTGCGGCGGGGACCTGGGGTATGTTCTCGACTTACGGCGGGGATGGCCCTTCAAAACACGAGTTTCTTCAGTGACGTCAGGACTCCTCTCTAGTAACGAGGGACACCTCAGGAATCTCTTCGAGGCTTGACAGGGCAAAAGGGACGCTTCTCGAGGTGAGGCAGGGCACCCAAGGACCCTTTCCAGTAGCCACAGGGATTTTGGGATTCCTATCAGTATTCAAGAGGAGTCAGGCATCGTCACCTTTTGAAGCAATGAACTCCGCGTGCCTCTCGTGGTGTCAGCGGGATGTGAGGCATTCCGTAAAAATGAGGCAGGGACCTAGGGCTTTCTCTAAGGTCTCCACAGGGGATTCAGACATCCCTTCATGTTGTGAGATGAAAGACGAGCCTGTATTCAAGCCACTGAAAGGAAATCTGGCCTCCTTTCAAGTTAGGGCTTCTCGCTGTATATTCCCCTTGAGGCAGCAAACTCGGGGTCCCTCCCACATACATATTGCTGAGAGAAGCCTCCTCCTGAGGTGCTTCTGGGAAGTTGGCATACGTCTTGAGCCTAAGCCAGGGAATCAGCTCTCATCTCGAGACGATTTGGGGTACACGAAGCATTCCTCGAGTTGCTGTGCTGAAGTTGGTGTTCCTCTAGACTTGGGACAGTGTTCGCGGGGCATCTCTGGAGTTACCTGAACGAAGTCGAGCCACCGGTCGTGTTGAATGGGGAACGGGGAATGGCTTTGCAGTCAATGCAGGGGAATCGGGCCTCATCTCGAGTTGATTTAGGGCACATGGAGCTGCTTTGCGTTGCTGGGGTGACCTCAGGGTCCGTCTAGACTGGTGACAGTGTTCTTGGGGACTGTCTGGAGATCCATTAAGCAAGTCGAAGCTCCTGACTTGTTTGAATGGGATCACGGAAGAGCTCTGCATGCACTGCAGGGGAATGGGGCCTCATCTCGCCTCTAGGGGGAAGTCTCATGGTTTTTCTCGAGTTGCGGCGGGGACCTGGGGTATGTTCTCGACTTACAGCGGGGATGGCCCTTCAAAACACGAGTTTCTTCAGTGACGTCAGGACTCCTGTCTAGTAACGAGGGACACTTCAGCAATCTCTTCGAGGCTTGGCAGGGCAAAAGGGACGCTTCTCGAGGTGAGGCAGGGCACCCAAGGACCCTTTCCAGTAGCCACAGCGATTTTGGGATTCCTATCAGTATTCAAGAGGAGTCAGGCATCGTCACCTTTTGAAGCAATGAACTCCGCGTGCCTCTCGAGGTGTCAGCGGGATGTGAGGCATTCCGTCAAAATGAGGTAGGGCCCTAGGGCTTTCTCTAAGGTCTCCACAGGGGATTCAGACATCCCTTCATGTTGTGAGATGAAAGACGAGCCTGTATTCAAGCCACTGAAAGGAAATCCGGCCTCCTTTCAAGTTAGGGCTTCTCGCTGTATATTCCCCTTGAGGCAGCAAACACGGGGTCCCTCCCACATACCTATTGCTGAGAGAATCCTCCTCCTGAGGTAACTCTGGAAGTTGGCATACGTCTTGACCCTAAGCCAAGGAATCAGCTCTCATCTCGAGACGATTTGGGGTACACGGAGCATTCCTCGAGTTGCTGTGCTGAAGTTGGTGTTCCTCTAGACTTGGGACAGTGTTCTCGGGGCATCTCTGGAGTTGCCTGAAGGAAGTCGAGCCACCGGTCGTGTTGAATGGGGAACGGCGAATGGCTCTGGAGTCAATGCAGGGGAATCGGGCCTCGTCTCGAGTTGATTTGGGGCACATGGAGCTGCTTTGCATTGCTGGGGTGACCTCAGGGTCCGTCTAGACTGGTGACAGTGTTCTTGGGGACTGTCTGGAGATCCATTAAGCAAGTCGAAGCTCCTGACTTGTTTGAATGGGATCACGGAATAGCTCTGCATGCACTGCAGGGGAATGGGGCCTCATCTCGCCTCTAGGGGGAAGTCTCATGGTTTTTCTCGAGTTGCGGCGGGGACCTGGGGTATGTTCTCGACTTACAGCGGGGATGGCCCTTCAAAACACGAGTTTCTTCAGTGACGTCAGGACTCCTGTCTAGTAACGAGGGACACTTCAGCAATCTCTTCGAGGCTTGGCAGGGCAAAAGGGACGCTTCTCGAGGTGAGGCATGGCACCCAAGGACCCTTTCCAGTAGCCACAGGGATTTTGGGATTCCTATAAGTAATCAAGAGGAGTCAGGCATCATCACCTTTTGAAGCAATGAACTCCGCGTGCCTCTCGAGGTGTCAGCGGGATGTGAGGATTCCGTCAAAATGAGGCAGGGACCTAGGGCTTTCTCTAAGGTCTCCACAGGGGATTCAGACATCCCTTCATGTTGTGAGATGAAAGACGAGCCTGTATTCAAGCCACTGCAAGGAAATCTGGCCTCCTTTCAAGTTAGGGCTTCTCGCTGTATATTCCCCTTGAGGCAGCAAACTCGGGGTCCCTCCCACATACCTATTGCTGAGAGAAGCCTCCTCCTGCGGTGCTTCTGGAAAGGTGGCATAAGTCTTGAGCCTAAGCCAGGGAATCAGCTCTCATCTCGAGACGATTTGGGGTACACAGAGCATTCCTCGAGTTGCTATGCTGAAGTTGGTGGTCCTCTAGACTTGGGACAGTGTTCTCGGGGCATCTCTGGAGTTGCCTGAAGGAAGTCGAGCCACCGGTCGTGTTGAATGGGGAACAAGGAATGGCTCTGGAGTCAATGCAGGGGAATCCGGCCTCATCTCGAGTTGATTTGTGGCACCTGGAGCTGCTTTGCGTTGCTGGGGTGACCTCAGGGTCCGTCTAGACTGGTGACAGTGTTCTTGGGGACTGCCTCGAGGTCCATTAAGCAAGTCGAAGCTCCTGACTTGTTTGAATGGGATCACGGAAAAGCTCTGCATGCACTGCAGGGGAATGGGGCCTCATCTCGCCTCTAGGGGGAAGGCTCTCGGTTTTTCTCGAGTTGGGGCGGGGACCTGGGGTATGTTCTCGACTTACGGCGGGGATGGCCCTTCAAAACACGAGTTTCTTCAGTGACGTCAGGACTCCTGTCTAGTAACGAGGGACACCTCAGCAATCTCTTCGAGGCTTGGCAGGGCAAAAGGGACGCTTCTCGAGGTGAGGCAGGGCACCCAAGGACCCTTTCCAGTAGCCACAGCGATTTTGGGATTCCTATCAGTATTCAAGAGGAGTCAGGCATCGTCACCTTTTGAAGCAATGAACTCCGCGTGCCTCTCGAGGTGTCAGCGGGATGTGAGGCATTCCGTCAAAATGAGGTAGGGACCTAGGGCTTTCTCTAAGGTCTCCACAGGGGATTCAGACATCCCTTCATGTTGTGAGATGAAAGACGAGCCTGTATTCAAGCCACTGAAAGGAAATCCGGCCTCCTTTCAAGTTAGTGCTTCTCGCTGTATATTCCCCTTGAGGCAGCAAACACGGGGTCCCTCCCACATACCTAATGCTGAGAGAATACTCCTCCTGAGGTAATTCTGGGAAGTTGGCATACGTCTTGACCCTAAGCCAAGGAATCAGCTCTCATCTCGAGACGATTTGGGGTACACGGAGCATTCCTCGAGTTGCTGTGCTCAAGTTCGTGTTCCTCTAGACTTGGGACAGTGTTCCCGGGGCATCTCTGGAGTTGCCTGAAGGAAGTCGAGCCACCGGTCGTGTTGAATGGGGAACGGGGAATGGCTCTGGAGTCAATGCAGGGGATTCGGGCCTCGTCTCGAGTTGATTTGGGGCACATGGAGCTGCTTTGCGTTGCTGGGGTGACCTCAGGGTCCGTCTAGACTGGTGATAGTGTTCTTGGGGACTGTCTGGAGATCCATTAAGCAAGTCGAAGCTCCTGACTTGTTTGAATGGGATCACGGAATAGCTCTGCATGCACTGCAGGGGAATGGGGCCTCATCTCGCCTCTAGGGGGAAGTCTCATGGTTTTTCTCGAGTTGCGGCGGGGACCTGGGGTATGTTCTCGACTTACGGCGGGGATGGCCCTTCAAAACACGAGTTTCTTCAGTGACGTCAGGACTCCTCTCTAGTAACGAGGGACACCTCAGGAATCTCTTCGAGGCTTGGCAGGGCAAAAGGGACGCTTCTCGAGGTGAGGCATGGCACCAAAGGACCCTTTCCAGTAGCCACAGCGATTTTGGGATTCCTATCAGTATTCAAGAGGAGTCAGGCATCGTCACCTTTTGAAGCAATGAACTCCGCGTGCCTCTCGAGGTGTCAGCGGGATGTGAGGCATTCCGTAAAAATGAGGCAGGGACCTAGGGCTTTCTCTAAGGTCTCCACATGGGATTCATACATCCCTTCATGTTGTGAGATGAAAGACGAGCCTGTATTCAAGCCACTGCAAGGAAATCCGGCCTCCTTTCAAGTTAGGGCTTCTCGCTGTATATTCCCCTTGAGGCAGCAAACTCGGGGTCCCTCCCACATACCTATTGCTGAGAGAAGCCTCCTCCTGAGGTGCTTCTGGGAAGTTGGTATACGTCTTGAGCCTAAGCCAGGGAATCAGCTCTCATCTCGAGACGATTTGGGGTACACAAAGCATTCCTCGAGTTGCTGTGCTGAAGTTGGTGTTCCTCTAGACTTGGGACAGTGTTCTCGGGGCATCTCTGGAGTTGCCTGAAGGAAGTCGATCCACCGGTCGTGTTGAATGGGGAACGGGGAATGGCTCTGGAGTCAATGCAGGGGAATCGGGCCTCATCTCGAGTTGATTTGTGGCACCTGGAGCTGCTTTGCGTTGCTGGGGTGACCTCAGGGTCCGTCTAGACTGGTGACAGTGTTCTTGGGGACTGCCTCGAGATCCATTAAGCAAGTCGAAGCTCCTGACTTGTTTGAATGGGATCACGGAATAGCTCTGCATGCACTGCAGGGGAATGGGGCCTCATCTCGCCTCTAGGGGGAAGTCTCATGGTTTTTCTCGAGTTGCGGCGGGGACCTGGGGTATGTTCTCGACTTACGGCGGGGATGGCCCTTCAAAACACGAGTTTCTTCAGTGACGTCAGGACTCCTGTCTAGTAACGAGGGACAGCTCAGGAATCTCTTCGAGGATTGGCAGGGCAAAAGGGACGCTTCTCGAGGTGAGGCAGGGCACCCAAGGATCCTTTCCAGTAGCCACAGCGATTTTGGGATTCCTATCAGTATTCAAGAGGAGTCAGGCATCGTCACCTTTTGAAGCAATGAACTCCGCGTGCCTCTCGAGGTGTCAGCGGGATGTGAGGCATTCCGTCAAAATGAGGTAGGGACCTAGGGCTTTCTCTAAGGTCTCCACAGGGGATTCAGACATCCCTTCATGTTGTGAGATGAAAGACGAGCCTGTATTCAAGCCACTGAAAGGAAATCCGGCCTCCTTTCAAGTTAGGGCTTCTCGCTGTATATTCCCCTTGAGGCAGCAAACACGGGGTCCCTCCCACATACCTATTGCTGAGAGAATCCTCCTCCTGAGGTAATTCTGGGAAGTTGGCATACGTCTTGACCCTAAGCCAAGGAATCAGCTCTCATCTCGAGGCGATTTGGGGTACACGGAGCATTCCTCGAGTTGCTGTGCTGAAGTTCGTGTTCCTCTAGACTTGGGACAGTGTTCTCGGGGCATCTCTGGAGTTGCCTGAAGGAAGTCGAGCCACCGGTCGTGTTGAATGGGGAACGGGGAATCGCTCTGGAGTCAATGCAGGGGAATCGGGCCTCGTCTCGAGTTGATTTGGGGCACATGGAGCTGCTTTGCATTGCTGGGGTGACCTCAGGGTCCGTCTAGACTGGTGACAGTGTTCTTGGGGAATGTCTGGAGATCCATTAAGCAAGTCGAAGCTCCTGACTTGTTTGAATGGGATCACGGAATAGCTCTGCATGCACTGCAGGGGAATGGGGCCTCATCTCGCCTCTAGGGGGAAGTCTCATGGTTTTTCTCGAGTTGCGGCGGGGACCTGGGGTATGTTCTCGACTTACAGCGGGGATGGCCCTTCAAAACACGAGTTTCTTCAGTGACGTCAGGACTCCTGTCTAGTAACGAGGGACACTTCAGCAATCTCTTCGAGGCTTGGCAGGGCAAAAGGGACGCTTCTCGAGGTGAGGCATGGCACCCAAGGACCCTTTCCAGTAGCCACAGGGATTTTGGGATTCCTATAAGTAATCAAGAGGAGTCAGGCATCGTCACCTTTTGAAGCAATGAACTCCGCGTGCCTCTCGAGGTGTCAGCGGGATGTGAGGATTCCGTCAAAATGAGGCAGGGACCTAGGGCTTTCTCTAAGGTCTCCACAGGGGATTCAGACATCCCTTCATGTTGTGAGATGAAAGACGAGCCTGTATTCAAGCCACTGCAAGGAAATCCGGCCTCCTTTCAAGTTAGGGCTTCTTGCTGTATATTCCCCTTGAGGCAGCAAACTCGGGGTCCCTCCCACATACCTATTGCTGAGAGAAGCCTCCTCCTGATGTGCTTCTGGAAAGGTGGCATACGTCTTGAGCCTAAGCCAGGGAATCAGCTCTCATCTCGAGACGATTTGGGGTACACAGAGCATTCCTCGAGTTGCTATGCTGAAGTTGGTGGTCCTCTAGACTTGGGACAGTGTTCTCTGGGCATCTCTGGAGTTGCCTGAAGGAAGTCGAGCCACCGGTCGTGTTGAATGGGGAACGGGGAATGGCTCTGGAGTCAATGCAGGGGAATCGGGCCTCATCTCGAGTTGATTTGTGGCACCTGGAGCTGCTTTGCGTTGCTGGGGTGACCTCAGGGTCCGTCTAGACAGGTGACAGTGTTCTTGGGGACTCCCTCGAGATCCATTAAGCAAGTCGAAGCTCCTGACTTGTTTGAATGGGATCACGGAATAGCTCTGCATGCACTGCAGGGGAATGGGGCCTCATCTCGCCTCTCGGGGGAAGGCTCACAGTTTTTCTCGAGTTGGGGCGGGGACCAGGGGTATGTTCTGGACTTACGGCGGGGATGGCCCTTCAAAACACGAGTTTCTTCAGTGACGTCAGGACTCCTGTCTAGTAACGAGGGACACCTCAGCAATCTCTTCGAGGCTTGGCAGGGCAAAAGGGACGCTTCTCGAGGTGAGGCAGGGCACCCAAGGACCCTTTCCAGTAGCCACAGCGATTTTGGGATTCCTATCAGTATTCAAGAGGAGTCAGGCATCGTCACCTTTTGAAGCAATGAACTCCGCGTGCCTCTCGAGGTGTCAGCGCGATGTGAGGCATTCCGTCAAAATGAGGTAGGGCCCTAGGGCTTTCTCTAAGGTCTCCACAGGGGATTCAGACATCCCTTCATGTTGTGAGATGAAAGACGAGCCTGTATTCAAGCCACTGAAAGGAAATCCGGCCTCCTTTCAAGTTAGGGCTTCTCGCTGTATATTCCCCTTGAGGCAGCAAACACGGGGTCCCTCCCACATACCTATTGCTGAGAGAATCCTCCTCCTGAGGTAACTCTGGAAGTTGGCATACGTCTTGACCATAAGCCAAGGAATCAGCTCTCATCTCGAGACGATTTGGGGTACACGGAGCATTCCTCGAGTTGCTGTGCTGAAGTTGGTGTTCCTCTAGACTTGGGACAGTGTTCTCGGGGCATCTCTGGAGTTGCCTGAAGGAAGTCGAGCCACCGGTCGTGTTGAATGGGGAACGGCGAATGGCTCTGGAGTCAATGCAGGGGAATCGGGCCTCGTCTCGAGTTGATTTGGGGCACATGGAGCTGCTTTGCGTTGCTGGGGTGACCTCAGGGTCCGTCTAGACTGGTGACAGTGTTCTTGGGGACTGTCTGGAGATCCATTAAGCAAGTCGAAGCTCCTGACTTGTTTGAATGGGATCACGGAATAGCTCTGCATGCACTGCAGGGGAATGGGGCCTCATCTCGCCTCTAGGGGGAAGTCTCATGGTTTTTCTCGAGTTGCGGCGGGGACCTGGGGTATGTTCTCGACTTACGGCGGGGATGGCCCTTCAAAACACGAGTTTCTTCAGTGACGTCAGGACTCCTGTCTAGTAACGAGGGACAGCTCAGGAATCTCTTCGAGGATTGGCAGGGCAAAAGGGACGCTTCTCGAGGTGAGGCAGGGCACCCAAGGACCCTTTCCAGTAGCCACAGCGATTTTGGGATTCCTATCAGTATTCAAGAGGAGTCAGGCATCGTCACCTTTTGAAGCAATGAACTCCGCGTGCCTCTCGAGGTGTCAGCGGGATGTGAGGCATTCCGTCAAAATGAGGTAGGGCCCTAGGGCTTTCTCTAAGGTCTCCACAGGGGATTCAGACATCCCTTCATGTTGTGAGATGAAAGACGAGCCTGTATTCAAGCCACTGAAAGGAAATCCGGCCTCCTTTCAAGTTAGGGCTTCTCGCTGTATATTCCCCTTGAGGCAGCAAACACGGGGTCCCTCCCACATACCTATTGCTGAGAGAATCCTCCTCCTGAGGTAACTCTGGAAGTTGGCATACGTCTTGACCCTAAGCCAAGGAATCAGCTCTCATCTCGAGACGATTTGGGGTACACGGAGCATTCCTCGAGTTGCTGTGCTGAAGTTGGTGTTCCTCTAGACTTGGGACAGTGTTCTCGGGGCATCTCTGGAGTTGCCTGAAGGAAGTCGAGCCACCGGTCGTGTTGAATGGGGAACGGCGAATGGCTCTGGAGTCAATGCAGGGGAATCGGGCCTCGTCTCGAGTTGATTTGGGGCACATGGAGCTGCTTTGCGTTGCTGGGGTGACCTCAGGGTCCGTCTAGACTGGTGACAGTGTTCTTGGGGACTGTCTGGAGATCCATTAAGCAAGTCGAAGCTCCTGACTTGTTTGAATGGGATCACGGAATAGCTCTGCATGCACTGCAGGGGAATGGGGCCTCATCTCGCCTCTAGGGGGAAGTCTCATGGTTTTTCTGGAGTTGCGGCGGGGACCTGGGGTATGTTCTCGACTTACGGCGGGGATGGCCCTTCAAAACACGAGTTTCTTCAGTGACGTCAGGACTCCTGTCTAGTAACGAGGGACACTTCAGCAATCTCTTCGAGGCTTGGCAGGGCAAAAGGGACGCTTCTCGAGGTGAGGCAGGGCACCCAAGGACCCTTTCCAGTAGCCACAGGGATTTTGGGATTCCTATAAGTAATCAAGAGGAGTCAGGCATCGTCACCTTTTGAAGCAATGAACTCCGCGTGCCTCTCGAGGTGTCAGCGGGATGTGAGGATTCCGTCAAAATGAGGCAGGGACCTAGGGCTTTCTCTAAGGTCTCCACAGGGGATTCAGACATCCCTTCATGTTGTGAGATGAAAGACGAGCCTGTATTCAAGCCACTGCAAGGAAATCTGGCCTCCTTTCAAGTTAGGGCTTCTCGCTGTATATTCCCCTTGAGGCAGCAAACTCGGGGTCCCTCCCACATACCTATTGCTGAGAGAAGCCTCCTCCTGAGGTGCTTCTGGAAAGGTGGCATACGTCTTGAGCCTAAGCCAGGGAATCAGCTCTCATCTCGAGACGATTTGGGGTACACAGAGCATTCCTCGAGTTGCTATGCTGAAGTTGGTGGTCCTCTAGACTTGGGACAGTGTTCTCGGGGCATCTCTGGAGTTGCCTGAAGGAAGTCGAGCCACCGGTCGTGTTGAATGGGGAACAAGGAATGGATCTGGAGTCAATGCAGGGGAATCCGGCCTCATCTCGAGTTGACTTGGGGCACATGGAGCTGCTTTGCATTGCTGGGTGACCTCAGGGTCCGTCTAGACTGGTGACAGTGTACTTGGGGACTGTCTGGAGATCCATTAAGCAAGTCGAAGCTCCTGACTTGTTTGAATGGGATCACGGAATAGCTCTGCATGCACTGCAGGGGAATGGGGCCTCATCTCGCCTCTAGGGGGAAGTCTCATGGTTTTTCTGGAGTTGCGGCGGGGACCTGGGGTATGTTCTCGACTTACGGCGGGGATGGCCCTTCAAAACACGAGTTTCTTCAGTGACGTCAGGACTCCTGTCTAGTAACGAGGGACACCTCAGGAATCTCTTCGAGGCTTGGCAGGGCAAAAGGGACGCTTCTCGAGGTGAGGCAGGGCACCCAAGGACCCTTTCCAGTAGCCACAGCGATTTTGGGATTCCTATCAGTATTCAAGAGGAGTCAGGCATCGTCACCTTTTGAAGCAATGAACTCCGCGTGCCTCTCGAGGTGTCAGCGGGATGTGAGGCATTCCGTCAAAATGAGGCAGGGACCTAGGGCTTTCTCTAAGGTCTCCACAGGGGATTCAGACATCCCTTCATGTTGTGAGATGAAAGACGAGCCTGTATTCAAGCCACTGAAAGGAAATCCGGCCTCCTTTCAAGTTAGGGCTTCTCGCTGTATATTCACCTTGAGGCAGCAAACTCGGGGTCCCTCCCACATACCTATTGCTGAGAGAAGCCTCCTCCTGAGGTGCTTCTGTGAAGTTGGCATACGTCTTGAGCCTAAGCCAGGGAATCAGCTCTCATCTCGAGACGATTTGGGGTACACGAAGCATTCCTCGAGTTGCTGTGCTGAAGTTGGTGTTCCTCTAGACTTGGGACAGTGTTCTCGGGGCATCTCTGGAGTTACCTGAAGGAAGTCGAGCCACCGGTCGTGTTGAATGGGGAACCGGGAATGGCTCTGGAGTCAATGCAGGGGAATCGGGCCTCATCTCGAGTTGATTTGGGGCACATGGAGCTGCTTTGCGTTGCTGGGGTGACCTCAGGGTCCCTCTAGACTGGTGACAGTGTTCTTGGGGACTGTCTGGAGATCCATTAAGCAAGTCGAAGCTCCTGACTTGTTTGAATGGGATCACGGAATAGCTCTGCATGCACTGCAGGGGAATGGGGCCTCATCTCGCCTCTAGGGGGAAGTCTCATGGTTTTTCTGGAGTTGCGGCGGGGACCTGGGGTATGTTCTCGACTTACGGCTGGGATGGCCCTTCAAAACACGAGTTTCTTCAGTGACGTCAGGACTCCTGTCTAGTAACGAGGGACAGCTCAGGAATCTCTTCGAGGATTGGCAGGGCAAAAGGGACGCTTCTCGAGGTGAGGCAGGGCACCCAAGGACCCTTTCCAGTAGCCACAGCGATTTTGGGATTCCTATCAGTATTCAAGATGAGTCAGGCATCGTCACCTTTTGAAGCAATGAACTCCGCGTGCCTCTCGAGGTGTCAGCGGGATGTGAGGCATTCCGTCAAAATGAGGTAGGGACCTAGGGCTTTCTCTAAGGTCTCCACAGGGGATTCAGACATCCCTTCATGTTGTGAGATGAAAGACGAGCCTGTATTCAAGCCACTGAAAGGAAATCCGGCCCCCTTTCAAGTTAGGGCTTCTCGCTGTATATTCCCCTTGAGGCAGCAAACACGGGGTCCCTCCCACATACCTATTGCTGAGAGAATCCTCCTCCTGAGGTAATTCTGGGAAGTTGGCATACGTCTTGACCCTAAGCCAAGGAATCAGCTCTCATCTCGAGGCGATTTGGGGTACACGGAGCATTCCTCGAGTTGCTGTGCTGAAGTTCGTGTTCCTCTAGACTTGGGACAGTGTTCTCGGGGCATCTCTGGAGTTGCCTGAAGGAAGTCGAGCCACCGGTCGTGTTGAATGGGGAACGGGGAATGGCTCTGGAGTCAATGCAGGGGAATCGGGCCTCGTCTCGAGTTGATTTGGGGCACATGGAGCTGCTTTGCGTTGCTGGGGTGACCTCAGGGTCCGTCTAGACTGGTGACAGTGTTCTTGGGGACTGTCTGGAGATCCATTAAGCAAGTCGAAGCTCCTGACTTGTTTGAATGGGATCACGGAATAGCTCTGCATGCACTGCAGGGGAATGGGGCCTCATCTCGCCTCTAGGGGGAAGTCTCATGGTTTTTCTCGAGTTGCGGCGGGGACCTGGGGTATGTTCTCGACTTACAGCGGGGATGGCCCTTCAAAACACGAGTTTCTTCAGTGACGTCAGGACTCCTGTCTAGTAACGAGGGACACTTCAGCAATCTCTTCGAGGCTTGGCAGGGCAAAAGGGACGCTTCTCGAGGTGAGGCATGGCACCCAAGGACCCTTTCCAGTAGCCACAGGGATTTTGGGATTCCTATAAGTAATCAAGAGGAGTCAGGCATCGTCACCTTTTGAAGCAATGAACTCCGCGTGCCTCTCGAGGTGTCAGCGGGATGTGAGGATTCCGTCAAAATGAGGCAGGGACCTAGGGCTTTCTCTAAGGTCTCCACAGGGGATTCAGACATCCCTTCATGTTGTGAGATGAAAGACGAGCCTGTATTCAAGCCACTGCAAGGAAATCCGGCCTCCTTTCAAGTTAGGGCTTCTTGCTGTATATTCCCCTTGAGGCAGCAAACTCGGGGTCCCTCCCACATACCTATTGCTGAGAGAAGCCTCCTCCTGATGTGCTTCTGGAAGGGTGGCATACGTCTTGAGCCTAAGCCAGGGAATCAGCTCTCATCTCGAGACGATTTAGGGTACACAGAGCATTCCTCGAGTTGCTATGCTGAAGTTGGTGGTCCTCTAGACTTGGGACAGTGTTCTCTGGGCATCTCTGGAGTGGCCTGAAGGAAGTCGAGCCACCGGTCGTGTTGAATGGGGAACGGGGAATGGCTCTGGAGTAAATGCAGGGGAATCGGGCCTCATCTCGAGTTGATTTGTGGCACCTGGAGCTGCTTTGCGTTGCTGGGGTGACCTCAGGGTCCGTCTAGACAGGTGACAGTGTTCTTGGGGACTCCCTCGAGATCCATTAAGCAAGTCGAAGCTCCTGACTTGTTTGAATGGGATCACGGAATAGCTCTGCATGCACTGCAGGGGAATGGGGCCTCATCTCGCCTCTCGGGGGAAGGCTCACGGTTTTTCTCGAGTTGGGGCGGGGACCTGGGGTATGTTCTGGACTTACGGCGGGGATGGCCCTTCAAAACACGAGTTTCTTCAGTGACGTCAGGACTCCTGTCTAGTAACGAGGGACACCTCAGCAATCTCTTCGAGGCTTGGCAGGGCAAAAGGGACGCTTCTCGAGGTGAGGCAGGGCACCCAAGGACCCTTTCCAGTAGCCACAGCGATTTTGGGATTCCTATCAGTATTCAAGAGGAGTCAGGCATCGTCACCTTTTGAAGCAATGAACTCCGCGTGCCTCTCGAGGTGTCAGCGGGATGTGAGGCATTCCGTCAAAATGAGGCAGGGACCTAGGGCTTTCTCTAAGGTCTCCACAGGGGATTCAGACATCCCTTCATGTTGTGAGATGAAAGACGAGCCTGTATTCAAGCCACTGAAAGGAAATCCGGCCTCCTTTCAAGTTAGGGCTTCTCGCTGTATATTCACCTTGAGGCAGCAAACTCGGGGTCCCTCCCACATACCTATTGCTGAGAGAAGCCTCCTCCTGAGGTGCTTCTGTGAAGTTGGCATACGTCTTGAGCCTAAGCCAGGGAATCAGCTCTCATCTCGAGACGATTTGGGGTACACGAAGCATTCCTCGAGTTGCTGTGCTGAAGTTGGTGTTCCTCTAGACTTGGGACAGTGTTCTCGGGGCATCTCTGGAGTTACCTGAAGGAAGTCGAGCCACCGGTCGTGTTGAATGGGGAACCGGGAATGGCTCTGGAGTCAATGCAGGGGAATCGGGCCTCATCTCGAGTTGATTTGGGGCACATGGAGCTGCTTTGCGTTGCTGGGGTGACCTCAGGGTCCGTCTAGACTGGTGACAGTGTTCTTGGGGACTGTCTGGAGATCCATTAAGCAAGTCGAAGCTCCTGACTTGTTTGAATGGGATCACGGAATAGCTCTGCATGCACTGCAGGGGAATGGGGCCTCATCTCGCCTCTAGGGGGAAGTCTCATGGTTTTTCTGGAGTTGCGGCGGGGACCTGGGGTATGTTCTCGACTTACGGCTGGGATGGCCCTTCAAAACACGAGTTTCTTCAGTGACGTCAGGACTCCTGTCTAGTAACGAGGGACAGCTCAGGAATCTCTTCGAGGATTGGCAGGGCAAAAGGGACGCTTCTCGAGGTGAGGCAGGGCACCCAAGGACCCTTTCCAGTAGCCACAGCGATTTTGGGATTCCTATCAGTATTCAAGATGAGTCAGGCATCGTCACCTTTTGAAGCAATGAACTCCGCGTGCCTCTCGAGGTGTCAGCGGGATGTGAGGCATTCCGTCAAAATGAGGTAGGGACCTAGGGCTTTCTCTAAGGTCTCCACAGGGGATTCAGACATCCCTTCATGTTGTGAGATGAAAGACGAGCCTGTATTCAAGCCACTGAAAGGAAATCCGGCCTCCTTTCAAGTTAGGGCTTCTCGCTGTATATTCCCCTTGAGGCAGCAAACACGGGGTCCCTCCCACGTACCTATTGCTGAGAGAATCCTCCTCCTGAGGTAATTCTGGGAAGTTGGCATACGTCTTGACCCTAAGCCAAGGAATCAGCTCTCATCTCGAGGCGATTTGGGGTACACGGAGCATTCCTCGAGTTGCTGTGCTGAAGTTCGTGTTCCTCTAGACTTGGGACAGTGTTCTCGGGGCATCTCTGGAGTTGCCTGAAGGAAGTCGAGCCACCGGTCGTGTTGAATGGGGAACGGGGAATGGCTCTGGAGTCAATGCAGGGGAATCGGGCCTCGTCTCGAGTTGATTTGGGGCACATGGAGCTGCTTTGCGTTGCTGGGGTGACCTCAGGGTCCGTCTAGACTGGTGACAGTGTTCTTGGGGACTGTCTGGAGATCCATTAAGCAAGTCGAAGCTCCTGACTTGTTTGAATGGGATCACGGAATAGCTCTGCATGCACTGCAGGGGAATGGGGCCTCATCTCGCCTCTAGGGGGAAGTCTCATGGTTTTTCTCGAGTTGCGGCGGGGACCTGGGGTATGTTCTCGACTTACAGCGGGGATGGCCCTTCAAAACACGAGTTTCTTCAGTGACGTCAGGACTCCTGTCTAGTAACGAGGGACACTTCAGCAATCTCTTCGAGGCTTGGCAGGGCAAAAGGGACGCTTCTCGAGGTGAGGCATGGCACCCAAGGACCCTTTCCAGTAGCCACAGGGATTTTGGGATTCCTATAAGTAATCAAGAGGAGTCAGGCATCGTCACCTTTTGAAGCAATGAACTCCGCGTGCCTCTCGAGGTGTCAGCGGGATGTGAGGATTCCGTCAAAATGAGGCAGGGACCTAGGGCTTTCTCTAAGGTCTCCACAGGGGATTCAGACATCCCTTCATGTTGTGAGATGAAAGACGAGCCTGTATTCAAGCCACTGCAAGGAAATCCGGCCTCCTTTCAAGTTAGGGCTTCTTGCTGTATATTCCCCTTGAGGCAGCAAACTCGGGGTCCCTCCCACATACCTATTGCTGAGAGAAGCCTCCTCCTGATGTGCTTCTGGAAGGGTGGCATACGTCTTGAGCCTAAGCCAGGGAATCAGCTCTCATCTCGAGACGATTTAGGGTACACAGAGCATTCCTCGAGTTGCTATGCTGAAGTTGGTGGTCCTCTAGACTTGGGACAGTGTTCTCTGGGCATCTCTGGAGTGGCCTGAAGGAAGTCGAGCCACCGGTCGTGTTGAATGGGGAACGGGGAATGGCTCTGGAGTAAATGCAGGGGAATCGGGCCTCATCTCGAGTTGATTTGTGGCACCTGGAGCTGCTTTGCGTTGCTGGGGTGACCTCAGGGTCCGTCTAGACAGGTGACAGTGTTCTTGGGGACTCCCTCGAGATCCATTAAGCAAGTCGAAGCTCCTGACTTGTTTGAATGGGATCACGGAATAGCTCTGCATGCACTGCAGGGGAATGGGGCCTCATCTCGCCTCTCGGGGGAAGGCTCACGGTTTTTCTCGAGTTGGGGCGGGGACCTGGGGTATGTTCTGGACTTACGGCGGGGATGGCCCTTCAAAACACGAGTTTCTTCAGTGACGTCAGGACTCCTGTCTAGTAACGAGGGACACCTCAGCAATCTCTTCGAGGCTTGGCAGGGCAAAAGGGACGCTTCTCGAGGTGAGGCAGGGCACCCAAGGACCCTTTCCAGTAGCCACAGCGATTTTGGGATTCCTATCAGTATTCAAGAGGAGTCAGGCATCGTCACCTTTTGAAGCAATGAACTCCGCGTGCCTCTCGAGGTGTCAGCGCGATGTGAGGCATTCCGTCAAAATGAGGTAGGGCCCTAGGGCTTTCTCTAAGGTCTCCACAGGGGATTCAGACATCCCTTCATGTTGTGAGATGAAAGACGAGCCTGTATTCAAGCCACTGAAAGGAAATCCGGCCTCCTTTCAAGTTAGGGCTTCTCGCTGTATATTCCCCTTGAGGCAGCAAACACGGGGTCCCTCCCACATACCTATTGCTGAGAGAATCCTCCTCCTGAGGTAACTCTGGAAGTTGGCATACGTCTTGACCGTAAGCCAAGGAATCAGCTCTCATCTCGAGACGATTTGGGGTACACGGAGCATTCCTCGAGTTGCTGTGCTGAAGTTGGTGTTCCTCTAGACTTGGGACAGTGTTCTCGGGGCATCTCTGGAGTTGCCTGAAGGAAGTCGAGCCACCGGTCGTGTTGAATGGGGAACGGCGAATGGCTCTGGAGTCAATGCAGGGGAATCGGGCCTCGTCTCGAGTTGATTTGGGGCACATGGAGCTGCTTTGCGTTGCTGGGGTGACCTCAGGGTCCGTCTAGACTGGTGACAGTGTTCTTGGGGACTGTCTGGAGATCCATTAAGCAAGTCGAAGCTCCTGACTTGTTTGAGTGGGATCACGGAATAGCTCTGCATGCACTGCAGGGGAATGGGGCCTCATCTCGCCTCTAGGGGGAAGTCTCATGGTTTTTCTCGAGTTGCGGCGGGGACCTGGGGTATGTTCTCGACTTACGGCGGGGATGGCCCTTCAAAACACGAGTTTCTTCAGTGACGTCAGGACTCCTGTCTAGTAACGAGGGACAGCTCACGAATCTCTTCGAGGATTGGCAGGGCAAAAGGGACGCTTCTCGAGGTGAGGCAGGGCACCCAAGGACCCTTTCCAGTAGCCACAGCGATTTTGGGATTCCTATCAGTATTCAAGAGGAGTCAGGCATCGTCACCTTTTGAAGCAATGAACTCCGCGTGCCTCTCGAGGTGTCAGCGGGATGTGAGGCATTCCGTCAAAATGAGGTAGGGCCCTAGGGCTTTCTCTAAGGTCTCCACAGGGGATTCAGACATCCCTTCATGTTGTGAGATGAAAGACGAGCCTGTATTCAAGCCACTGAAAGGAAATCCGGCCTCCTTTCAAGTTAGGGCTTCTCGCTGTATATTCCCCTTGAGGCAGCAAACACGGGGTCCCTCCCACATACCTATTGCTGAGAGAATCCTCCTCCTGAGGTAACTCTGGAAGTTGGCATACGTCTTGACCCTAAGCCAAGGAATCAGCTCTCATCTCGAGACGATTTGGGGTACACGGAGCATTCCTCGAGTTGCTGTGCTGAAGTTGGTGTTCCTCTAGACTTGGGACAGTGTTCTCGGGGCATCTCTGGAGTTGCCTGAAGGAAGTCGAGCCACCGGTCGTGTTGAATGGGGAACGGCGAATGGCTCTGGAGTCAATGCAGGGGAATCGGGCCTCGTCTCGAGTTGATTTGGGGCACATGGAGCTGCTTTGCGTTGCTGGGGTGACCTCAGGGTCCGTCTAGACTGGTGACAGTGTTCTTGGGGACTGTCTGGAGATCCATTAAGCAAGTCGAAGCTCCTGACTTGTTTGAATGGGATCACGGAATAGCTCTGCATGCACTGCAGGGGAATGGGGCCTCATCTCGCCTCTAGGGGGAAGTCTCATGGTTTTTCTCGAGTTGCGGCGGGGACCTGGGGTATGTTCTCGACTTACAGCGGGGATGGCCCTTCAAAACACGAGTTTCTTCAGTGACGTCAGGACTCCTGTCTAGTAACGAGGGACACTTCAGCAATCTCTTCGAGGCTTGGCAGGGCAAAAGGGACGCTTCTCGAGGTGAGGCAGGGCACCCAAGGACCCTTTCCAGTAGCCACAGGGATTTTGGGATTCCTATAAGTAATCAAGAGGAGTCAGGCATCGTCACCTTTTGAAGCAATGAACTCCGCGTGCCTCTCGAGGTGTCAGCGGGATGTGAGGATTCCGTCAAAATGAGGCAGGGACCTAGGGCTTTCTCTAAGGTCTCCACAGGGGATTCAGACATCCCTTCATGTTGTGAGATGAAAGACGAGCCTGTATTCAAGCCACTGCAAGGAAATCTGGCCTCCTTTCAAGTTAGGGCTTCTCGCTGTATATTCCCCTTGAGGCAGCAAACTCGGGGTCCCTCCCACATACCTATTGCTGAGAGAAGCCTCCTCCTGAGGTGCTTCTGGAAAGGTGGCATACGTCTTGAGCCTAAGCCAGGGAATCAGCTCTCATCTCGAGACGATTTGGGGTACACAGAGCATTCCTCGAGTTGCTATGCTGAAGTTGGTGGTCCTCTAGACTTGGGACAGTGTTCTCGGGGCATCTCTGGAGTTGCCTGAAGGAAGTCGAGCCACCGGTCGTGTTGAATGGGGAACAAGGAATGGCTCTGGAGTCAATGCAGGGGAATCCGGCCTCATCTCGAGTTGACTTGGGGCACATGGAGCTGCTTTGCATTGCTGGGTGACCTCAGGGTCCGTCTAGACTGGTGACAGTGCACTTGGGGACTGTCTGGAGATCCATTAAGCAAGTCGAAGCTCCTGACTTGTTTGAATGGGATCACGGAATAGCTCTGCATGCACTGCAGGGGAATGGGGCCTCATCTCGCCTATAGGGGGAAGTCTCATGGTTTTTCTGGAGTTGCGGCGGGGACCTGGGGTATGTTCTCGACTTACGGCGGGGATGGCCCTTCAAAACACGAGTTTCTTCAGTGACGTCAGGACTCCTGTCTAGTAACGAGGGACACCTCAGGAATCTCTTCGAGGCTTGGCAGGGCAAAAGGGACGCTTCTCGAGGTGAGGCAGGGCACCCAAGGACCCTTTCCAGTAGCCACAGGGATTTTGGGATTCCTATCAGTATTCAAGAGGAGTCAGGCATCGTCACCTTTTGAAGCAATGAACTCCGCGTGCCTCTCGAGGTGTCAGCGGGATGTGAGGCATTCCGTAAAAATGAGGCAGGGACCTAGGGCTTTCTCTAAGGTCTCCACAGGGGATTCAGACATCCCTTCATGTTGTGAGATGAAAGACGAGCCTGTATTCAAGCCACTGAAAGGAAATCCGGCCTCCTTTCAAGTTAGGGCTTCTCGCTGTATATTCCCCTTGAGGCAGCAAACTCGGGGTCCCTCCCACATACATATTGCTGAGAGAAGCCTCCTCCTGAGGTGCTTCTGGGAAGTTGGCATACGTCTTGAGCCTAAGCCAGGGAATCAGCTCTCATCTCGAGACGATTTGGGGTACACGAAGCATTCCTCGAGTTGCTGTGCTGAAGTTGGTGTTCCTCTAGACTTGGGACAGTGTTCTCGGGGCATCTCTGGAGTTACCTGAAGGAAGTCGAGCCACCGGTCGTGTTGAATGGGGAACGGGGAATGGCTTTGCAGTCAATGCAGGGGAATCGGGCCTCATCTCGAGTTGATTTAGGGCACATGGAGCTGCTTTGCGTTGCTGGGGTGACCTCAGGGTCCGTCTAGACTGGTGACAGTGTTCTTGGGGACTGTCTGGAGATCCATTAAGCAAGTCGAAGCTCCTGACTTGTTTGAATGGGATCACGGAATAGCTCTGCATGCACTGCAGGGGAATGGGGCCTCATCTCGCCTCTAGGGGGAAGTCTCATGGTTTTTCTCGAGTTGCGGCGGGGACCTGGGGTATGTTCTCGACTTACAGCGGGGATGGCCCTTCAAAACACGAGTTTCTTCAGTGACGTCAGGACTCCTGTCTAGTAACGAGGGACACTTCAGCAATCTCTTCGAGGCTTGGCAGGGCAAAAGGGACGCTTCTCGAGGTGAGGCATGGCACCCAAGGACCCTTTCCAGTAGCCACAGGGATTTTGGGATTCCTATAAGTAATCAAGAGGAGTCAGGCATCGTCACCTTTTGAAGCAATGAACTCCGCGTGCCTCTCGAGGTGTCAGCGGGATGTGAGGATTCCGTCAAAATGAGGCAGGGACCTAGGGCTTTCTCTAAGGTCTCCACAGGGGATTCAGACATCCCTTCATGTTGTGAGATGAAAGACGAGCCTGTATTCAAGCCACTGCAAGGAAATCTGGCCTCCTTTCAAGTTAGGGCTTCTCGCTGTATATTCCCCTTGAGGCAGCAAACTCGGGGTCCCTCCCACATACCTATTGCTGAGAGAAGCCTCCTCCTGAGGTGTGTCTGGAAAGGTGGCATACGTCTTGAGACTAAGCCAGGGAATCAGCTCTCATCTCGATACGATTTGGGGTACACAGAGCATTCCTCGAGTTGCTATGCTGAAGTTGGTGGTCCTCTAGACTTGGGACAGTGTTCTCGGGGCATCTCTGGAGTTGCCTGAAGGAAGTCGAGCCACCGGTCGTGTTGAATGGGGAACAAGGAATGGCTCTGGAGTCAATGCAGGGGAATCCGGCCTCATCTCGAGTTGATTTGGGGCACATGGAGCTGCTTTGCATTGCTGGGTGACCTCAGGGTCCGTCTAGACTGGTGACAGTGTACTTGGGGAATGTCTGGAGATCCATTAAGCAAGTCGAAGCTCCTGACTTGTTTGAATGGGATCACGGAATAGCTCTGCATGCACTGCAGGGGAATGGGGCCTCATCTCGCCTCTAGGGGGAAGTCTCATGGTTTTTCTGGAGTTGCGGCGGGGACCTGGGGTATGTTCTCGACTTACGGCGGGGATGGCCCTTCAAAACACGAGTTTCTTCAGTGACGTCAGGACTCCTCTCTAGTAACGAGGGACACCTCAGGAATCTCTTCGAGGCTTGGCAGGGCAAAAGGGACGCTTCTCGAGGTGAGGCAGGGCACCCAAGGACCCTTTCCAGTAGCCACAGGGATTTTGGGATTCCTATCAGTATTCAAGAGGAGTCAGGCATCGTCACCTTTTGAAGCAATGAACTCCGCGTGCCTCTCGAGGTGTCAGCGGGATGTGAGGCATTCCGTAAAAATGAGGCAGGGACCTAGGGCTTTCTCTAAGGTCTCCACAGGGGATTCAGACATCCCTTCATGTTGTGAGATGAAAGACGAGCCTGTATTCAAGCCACTGAAAGGAAATCCGGCCTCCTTTCAAGTTAGGGCTTCTCGCTGTGTATTCCCCTTGAGGCAGCAAACTCGGGGTCCCTCCCACATACATATTGCTGAGAGAAGCCTCCTCCTGAGGTGCTTCTGGGAAGTTGGCATACGTCTTGAGCCTAAGCCAGGGAATCAGCTCTCATCTCGAGACGATTTGGGGTACACGGAGCATTCCTCGAGTTGCTGTGCTGAAGTTGGTGTTCCTCTAGACTTGGGACAGTGTTCTCGGGGCATCTCTGGAGTTGCCTGAAGGAAGTCGAGCCACCGGTCGTGTTGAATGGGGAACGGCGAATGGCTCTGGAGTCAATGCAGGGGAATCGGGCCTCGTCTCGAGTTGATTTGGGGCACATGGAGCTGCTTTGCGTTGCTGGGGTGACCTCAGGGTCCGTCTGGACTGGTGACAGTGTTCTTGGGGACTGTCTGGAGATCCATTAAGCAAGTCGAAGCTCCTGACTTGTTTGAATGGGATCACGGAATAGCTCTGCATGCACTGCAGGGGAATGGGGCCTCATCTCGCCTCTAGGGGGAAGTCTCATGGTTTTTCTCGAGTTGCGGCGGGGACCTGGGGTATGTTCTCCACTTACAGCGGGGATGGCCCTTCAAAACACGAGTTTCTTCAGTGACGTCAGGACTCCTGTCTAGTAACGAGGGACACTTCAGCAATCTCTTCGAGGCTTGGCAGGGCAAAAGGGACGCTTCTCGAGGTGAGGCAGGGCACCCAAGGACCCTTTCCAGTAGCCACAGGGATTTTGGGATTCCTATAAGTAATCAAGAGGAGTCAGGCATCGTCACCTTTTGAAGCAATGAACTCCGCGTGCCTCTCGAGGTGTCAGCGGGATGTGAGGATTCCGTCAAAATGAGGCAGGGACCTAGGGCTTTCTCTAAGGTCTCCACAGGGGATTCAGACATCCCTTCATGTTGTGAGATGAAAGACGAGCCTGTAGTCAAGCCACTGCAAGGAAATCTGGCCTCCTTTCAACTTAGGGCTTCTCGCTGTATATTCCCCTTGAGGCAGCAAATTCGGGGTCCCTCCCACATACCTATTGCTGAGAGAAGCCTCCTCCTGAGGTGCTTCTGGAAAGGTGGCATACGTCTTGAGCCTAAGCCAGGGAATCAGCTCTCATCTCGAGACGATTTGGGGTACACAGAGCATTCCTCGAGTTGCTATGCTGAAGTTGGTGGTCCTCTAGACTTGGGACAGTGTTCTCGGGGCATCTCTGGAGTTGCCTGAAGGAAGTCGAGCCACCGGTCGTGTTGAATGGGGAACAAGGAATGGCTCTGGAGTCAATGCAGGGGAATCCGGCCTCATCTCGAGTTGATTTGGGGCACATGGAGCTGCTTTACATTGCTGGGTGACCTCAGGGTCCGTCTAGACTGGTGACAGTGTACTTGGGGACTGTCTGGAGATCCATTAAGCAAGTCGAAGCTCCTGACTTGTTTGAATGGGATCACGGAATAGCTCTGCATGCACTGCAGGGGAATGGGGCCTCATCTCGCCTCTAGGGGGAAGTCTCATGGTTTTTCTGGAGTTGCGGCGGGGACCTGGGGTATGTTCTCGACTTACGGCGGGGATGGCCCTTCAAAACACGAGTTTCTTCAGTGACGTCAGGACTCCTGTCTAGTAACGAGGGACACCTCAGGAATCTCTTCGAGGCTTGGCAGGGCAAAAGGGACGCTTCTCGAGGTGAGGCAGGGCACCCAAGGACCCTTTCCAGTAGCCACAGGGATTTTGGGATTCCTATCAGTATTCAAGAGGAGTCAGGCATCGTCACCTTTTGAAGCAATGAACTCCGCGTGCCTCTCGAGGTGTCAGCGGGATGTGAGGCATTCCGTAAAAATGAGGCAGGGACCTAGGGCTTTCTCTAAGGTCTCCACAGGGGATTCAGACATCCCTTCATGTTGTGAGATGAAAGACGAGCCTGTATTCAAGCCACTGAAAGGAAATCCGGCCTCCTTTCAAGTTAGGGCTTCTCGCTGTATATTCCCCTTGAGGCAGCAAACTCGGGGTCCCTCCCACATACATATTGCTGAGAGAAGCCTCCTCCTGAGGTGCTTCTGGGAAGTTGGCATACCTCTTGAGCCTAAGCCAGGGAATCAGCTCTCATCTCGAGACGATTTGGGGTACACGGAGCATTCCTCGAGTTGCTGAGCTGAAGTTGGTGTTCCTCTAGACTTGGGACAGTGTTCTCGGGGCATCTCTGGAGTTGCCTGAAGGAAGTCGAGCCACCGGTCGTGTTGAATGGGGAACGGCGAATGGCTCTGGAGTCAATGCAGGGGAATCGGGCCTCGTCTCGAGTTGACTTGGGGCACATGGAGCTGCTTTGCGTTGCTGGGGTGACCTCAGGGTCCGTCTAGACTGGTGACAGTGTTCTTGGGGACTGTCTGGAGATCCATTAAGCAAGTCGAAGCTCCTGACTTGTTTGAATGGGATCACGGAATAGCTCTGCATGCACTGCAGGGGAATGGGGCCTCATCTCGCCTCTAGGGGGAAGTCTCATGGTTTTTCTCGAGTTGCGGCGGGGACCTGGGGTATGTTCTCGACTTACAGCGGGGATGGCCCTTCAAAACACGAGTTTCTTCAGTGACGTCAGGACTCCTGTCTAGTAACGAGGGACACTTCAGCAATCTCTTCGAGGCTTGGCAGGGCAAAAGGGACGCTTCTCGAGGTGAGGCATGGCACCCAAGGACCCTTTCCAGTAGCCACAGGGATTTTGGGATTCCTATAAGTAATCAAGAGGAGTCAGGCATCGTCACCTTTTGAAGCAATGAACTCCGCGTGCCTCTCGAGGTGTCAGCGGGATGTGAGGATTCCGTCAAAATGAGGCAGGGACCTAGGGCTTTCTCTAAGGTCTCCACAGGGGATTCAGACATCCCTTCATGTTGTGAGATGAAAGACGAGCCTGTATTCAAGCCACTGCAAGGAAATCTGGCCTCCTTTCAAGTTAGGGCTTCTCGCTGTATATTCCCCTTGAGGCAGCAAACTCGGGGTCCCTCCCACATACCTATTGCTGAGAGAAGCCTCCTCCTGAGGTGCTTCTGGAAAGGTGGCATACGTCTTGAGCCTAAGCCAGGGAATCAGCTCTCATCTCGAGACGATTTGGGGTACACAGAGCATTCCTCGAGTTGCTATGCTGAAGTTGGTGGTCCTCTAGACTTGGGACAGTGTTCTCGGGGCATCTCTGGAGTTGTCTGAAGGAAGTCGAGCCACCGGTCGTGTTGAATGGGGAACAAGGAATGGCTCTGGAGTCAATGCAGGGGAATCCGGCCTCATCTCGAGTTGATTTGGGGCACATGGAGCTGCTTTGCATTGCTGGGTGACCTCAGGGTCCGTCTAGACTGGTGACAGTGTACTTGGGGACTGTCTGGAGATCCATTAAGCAAGTCCAAGCTCCTGACTTGTTTGAATGGGATCACGGAATAGCTCTGCATGCACTGCAGGGGAATGGGGCCTCATCTCGCCTCTAGGGGGAAGTCTCATGGTTTTTCTCGAGTTGTGGCGGGGACCTGGGGTATGTTCTCGACTTACGGCGGGGATGGCCCTTCAAAACACGAGTTTCTTCAGTGACGTCAGGACTCCTCTCTAGTAACGAGGGACACCTCAGGAATCTCTTCGAGGCTTGGCAGGGCAAAAGGGACGCTTCTCGAGGTGAGGCAGGGCACCCAAGGACCCTTTCCAGTAGCCACAGGGATTTTGGGATTCCTATCAGTATTCAAGAGGAGTCAGGCATCGTCACCTTTTGAAGCAATGAACTCCGCGTGCCTCTCGAGGTGTCAGCGGGATGTGAGGCATTCCGTAAAAATGAGGCAGGGACCTAGGGCTTTCTCTAAGGTCTCCACAGGGGATTCAGACATCCCTTCATGTTGTGAGATGAAAGACGAGCCTGTATTCAAGCCACTGAAAGGAAATCCGGCCTCCTTTCAAGTTAGGGCTTCTCGCTGTATATTCCCCTTGAGGCAGCAAACTCGGGGTCCCTCCCACATACATATTGCTGAGAGAAGCCTCCTCCTGAGGTGCTTCTGGGAAGTTGGCATACCTCTTGAGCCTAAGCCAGGGAATCAGCTCTCATCTCGAGACGATTTGGGGTACACGAAGCATTCCTCGAGTTGCTGTGCTGAAGTTGGTGTTCCTCTAGACTTGGGACAGTGTTCTCGGGGCATCTCTGGAGTTACCTGAAGGAAGTCGAGCCACCGGTCGTGTTGAATGGGGAACGGGGAATGGCTCTGCAGTCAATGCAGGGGAATCGGGCCTCATCTCGAGTTGATTTAGGGCACATGGAGCTGCTTTGCGTTGCTGGGGTGACCTCAGGGTCCGTCTAGACTGGTGACAGTGTTCTTGGGGACTGTCTGGAGATCCATTAAGCAAGTCGAAGCTCCTGACTTGTTTGAATGGGATCACGGAATAGCTCTGCATGCACTGCAGGGGAATGGGGCCTCATCTCGCCTCTAGGGGGAAGTCTCATGGTTTTTCTGGAGTTGCGGCGGGGACCTGGGGTATGTTCTCGACTTACGGCGGGGATGGCCCTTCAAAACACGAGTTTCTTCAGTGACGTCAGGACTCCTGTCTAGTAACGAGGGACAGCTCAGGAATCTCTTCGAGGATTGGCAGGGCAAAAGGGACGCTTCTCGAGGTGAGGCAGCGCACCCAAGGACCCTTTCCAGTAGCCACAGCGATTTTGGGATTCCTATCAGTATTCAAGAGGAGTCAGGCATCGTCACCTTTTGAAGCAATGAACTCCGCGTGCCTCTCGAGGTGTCAGCGGGATGTGAGGCATTCCGTCAAAATGAGGTAGGGCCCTAGGGCTTTCTCTAAGGTCTCCACAGGGGATTCAGACATCCCTTCATGTTGTGAGATGAAAGACGAGCCTGTATTCAAGCCACTGAAAGGAAATCCGGCCTCCTTTCAAGTTAGGGCTTCTCGCTGTATATTCCCCTTGAGGCAGCAAACACGGGGTCCCTCCCACATACCTATTGCTGAGAGAATCCTCCTCCTGAGGTAACTCTGGAAGTTGGCATACGTCTTGACCCTAAGCCAAGGAATCAGCTCTCATCTCGAGACGATTTGGGGTACACGGAGCATTCCTCGAGTTGCTGTGCTGAAGTTGGTGTTCCTCTAGACTTGGGACAGTGTTCTCGGGGCATCTCTGGAGTTGCCTGAAGGAAGTCGAGCCACCGGTCGTGTTGAATGGGGAACGGCGAATGGCTCTGGAGTCAATGCAGGGGAATCGGGCCTCGTCTCGAGTTGATTTGGGGCACATGGAGCTGCTTTGCGTTGCTGGGGTGACCGTAGGGTCCGTCTAGACTGGTGACAGTGTTCTTGGGGACTGTCTGGAGATCCATTAAGCAAGTCGAAGCTCCTGACTTGTTTGAATGGGATCACGGAATAGCTCTGCATGCACTGCAGGGGAATGGGGCCTCATCTCGCCTCTAGGGGGAAGTCTCATGGTTTTTCTCGAGTTGCGGCGGGGACCTGGGGTATGTTCTCGACTTACAGCGGGGATGGCCCTTCAAAACACGAGTTTCTTCAGTGACGTCAGGACTCCTGTCTAGTAACGAGGGACACTTCAGCAATCTCTTCGAGGCTTGGCAGGGCAAAAGGGACGCTTCTCGAGGTGAGGCATGGCACCCAACGACCCTTTCCAGTAGCCACAGGGATTTTGGGATTCTTATAAGTAATCAAGAGGAGTCAGGCATCCTCACCTTTTGAAGCAATGAACTCCGCGTGCCTCTCGAGGTGTCAGCGGGATGTGAGGATTCCGTCAAAATGAGGCAGGGACCTAGGGCTTTCTCTAAGGTCTCCACAGGGGATTCAGACATCCCTTCATGTTGTGAGATGAAAGACGAGCCTGTATTCAAGCCACTGCAAGGAAATCTGGCCTCCTTTCAAGTTAGGGCTTCTCGCTGTATATTCCCCTTGAGGCAGCAAACTCGGGGTCCCTCCCACATACCTATTGCTGAGAGAAGCCTCCTCCTGAGGTGCTTCTGGAAAGGTGGCATACGTCTTGAGCCTAAGCCAGGGAATCAGCTCTCATCTCGAGACGATTTGGGGTACACAGAGCATTCCTCGAGTTGCTATGCTGAAGTTGGTGGTCCTCTAGACTTGGGACAGTGTTCTCGGGGCATCTCTGGAGTTGCCTGAAGGAAGTCGAGCCACCGGTCGTGTTGAATGGGGAACAAGGAATGGCTCTGGAGTCAATGCAGGGGAATCCGGCCTCATCTCGAGTTGATTTGGGGCACGTGGAGCTGCTTTGCATTGCTGGGTGACCTCAGGGTCCGTCTAGACTGGTGACAGTGTACTTGGGGACTGTCTGGAGATCCATTAAGCAAGTCGAAGCTCCTGACTTGTTTGAATGGGATCACGGAATAGCTCTGCATGCACTGCAGGGGAATGGGGCCTCATCTCGCCTCTAGGGGGAAGTCTCATGGTTTTTCTGGAGTTGCGGCGGGGACCTGGGGTATGTTCTCGACTTATGGCGGGGATGGCCCTTCAAAACACGAGTTTCTTCAGTGACGTCAGGACTCCTCTCTAGTAACGAGGGACAACTCAGGAATCTCTTCGAGGCTTGGCAGGGCAAAAGGGACGCTTCTCGAGGTGAGGCAGAGCACCCAAGGACCCTTTCCAGTAGCCACAGGGATTTTGGGATTCCTATCAGTATTCAAGAGGAGTCAGGCATCGTCACCTTTTGAAGCAATGAACTCCGCGTGCCTCTCGAGGTGTCAGCGGGATGTGAGGCATTCCGTAAAAATGAGGCAGGGACCTAGGGCTTTCTCTAAGGTCTCCACAGGGGATTCAGACATCCCTTCATGTTGTGAGATGAAAGACGAGCCTGTATTCAAGCCACTGAAAGGAAATCCGGCCTCCTTTCAAGTTAGGGCTTCTCGCTGTATATTCCCCTTGAGGCAGCAAACTCGGGGTCCCTCCCACATACATATTGCTGAGAGAAGCCTCCTCCTGAGGTGCTTCTGGGAAGTTGGCATACCTCTTGAGCCTAAGCCAGGGAATCAGCTCTCATCTCGAGACAATTTGGGGTACACGGAGCATTCCTCGAGTTGCTGAGCTGAAGTTGGTGTTCCTCTAGACTTGGGACAGTGTTCTCGGGGCATCTCTGGAGTTGCCTGAAGGAAGTCGAGCCACCGGTCGTGTTGAATGGGGAACGGCGAATGGCTCTGGAGTCAATGCAGGGGAATCGGGCCTCGTCTCGAGTTGACTTGGGGCACATGGAGCTGCTTTGCGTTGCTGGGGTGACCTCAGGGTCCGTCTAGACTGGTGACAGTGTTCTTGGGGACTGTCTGGAGATCCATTAAGCAAGTCGAAGCTCCTGACTTGTTTGAATGGGATCACGGAATAGCTCTGCATGCACTGCAGGGGAATGGGGCCTCATCTCGCCTCTAGGGGGAAGTCTCATGGTTTTTCTCGAGTTGCGGCGGGGACCTGGGGTATGTTCTCGACTTACAGCGGGGATGGCCCTTCAAAACACGAGTTTCTTCAGTGACGTCAGGACTCCTGTCTAGTAACGAGGGACACTTCAGCAATCTCTTCGAGGCTTGGCAGGGCAAAAGGGACGCTTCTCGAGGTGAGGCATGGCACCCAAGGACCCTTTCCAGTAGCCACAGGGATTTTGGGATTCCTATAAGTAATCAAGAGGAGTCAGGCATCGTCACCTTTTGAAGCAATGAACTCCGCGTGCCTCTCGAGGTGTCAGCGGGATGTGAGGATTCCGTCAAAATGAGGCAGGGACCTAGGGCTTTCTCTAAGGTCTCCACAGGGGATTCAGACATCCCTTCATGTTGTGAGATGAAAGACGAGCCTGTATTCAAGCCACTGCAAGGAAATCTGGCCTCCTTTCAAGTTAGGGCTTCTCGCTGTATATTCCCCTTGAGGCAGCAAACTCGGGGTCCCTCCCACATACCTATTGCTGAGAGAAGCCTCCTCCTGAGGTGCTTCTGGAAAGGTGGCATACGTCTTGAGCCTAAGCCAGGGAATCAGCTCTCATCTCGAGACGATTTGGGGTACACAGAGCATTCCTCGAGTTGCTATGCTGAAGTTGGTGGTCCTCTAGACTTGGGACAGTGTTCTCGGGGCATCTCTGGAGTTGTCTGAAGGAAGTCGAGCCACCGGTCGTGTTGAATGGGGAACAAGGAATGGCTCTGGAGTCAATGCAGGGGAATCCGGCCTCATCTCGAGTTGATTTGGGGCACATGGAGCTGCTTTGCATTGCTGGGTGACCTCAGGGTCCGTCTAGACTGGTGACAGTGTACTTGGGGACTGTCTGGAGATCCATTAAGCAAGTCGAAGCTCCTGACTTGTTTGAATGGGATCACGGAATAGCTCTGCATGCACTGCAGGGGAATGGGGCCTCATCTCGCCTCTAGGGGGAAGTCTCATGGTTTTTCTCGAGTTGCGGCGGGGACCTGGGGTATGTTCTCGACTTACGGCGGGGATGGCCCTTCAAAACACGAGTTTCTTCAGTGACGTCAGGACTCCTCTCTAGTAACGAGGGACACCTCAGGAATCTCTTCGAGGCTTGGCAGGGCAAAAGGGACGCTTCTCGAGGTGAGGCAGGGCACCCAAGGACCCTTTCCAGTAGCCACAGGGATTTTGGGATTCCTATCAGTATTCAAGAGGAGTCAGGCATCGTCACCTTTTGAAGCAATGAACTCCGCGTGCCTCTCGAGGTGTCAGCGGGATGTGAGGCATTCCGTAAAAATGAGGCAGGGACCTAGGGCTTTCTCTAAGGTCTCCACAGGGGATTCAGACATCCCTTCATGTTGTGAGATGAAAGACGAGCCTGTATTCAAGCCACTGAAAGGAAATCCGGCCTCCTTTCAAGTTAGGGCTTCTCGCTGTATATTCCCCTTGAGGCAGCAAACTCGGGGTCCCTCCCACATACATATTGCTGAGAGAAGCCTCCTCCTGAGGTGCTTCTGGGAAGTTGGCATACCTCTTGAGCCTAAGCCAGGGAATCAGCTCTCATCTCGAGACGATTTGGGGTACACGAAGCATTCCTCGAGTTGCTGTGCTGAAGTTGGTGTTCCTCTAGACTTGGGACAGTGTTCTCGGGGCATCTCTGGAGTTACCTGAAGGAAGTCGAGCCACCGGTCGTGTTGAATGGGGAACGGGGAATGGCTCTGCAGTCAATGCAGGGGAATCGGGCCTCATCTCGAGTTGATTTAGGGCACATGGAGCTGCTTTGCGTTGCTGGGGTGACCTCAGGGTCCGTCTAGACTGGTGACAGTGTTCTTGGGGACTGTCTGGAGATCCATTAAGCAAGTCGAAGCTCCTGACTTGTTTGAATGGGATCACGGAATAGCTCTGCATGCACTGCAGGGGAATGGGGCCTCATCTCGCCTCTAGGGGGAAGTCTCATGGTTTTTCTCGAGTTGCGGCGGGGACCTGGGGTATGTTCTCGACTTACGGCGGGGATGGCCCTTCAAAACACGAGTTTCTTCAGTGACGTCAGGACTCCTGTCTAGTAACGAGGGACAGCTCAGGAATCTCTTCGAGGATTGGCAGGGCAAAAGGGACGCTTCTCGAGGTGAGGCAGCGCACCCAAGGACCCTTTCCAGTAGCCACAGCGATTTTGGGATTCCTATCAGTATTCAAGAGGAGTCAGGCATCGTCACCTTTTGAAGCAATGAACTCCGCGTGCCTCTCGAGGTGTCAGCGGGATGTGAGGCATTCCGTCAAAATGAGGTAGGGCCCTAGGGCTTTCTCTAAGGTCTCCACAGGGGATTCAGACATCCCTTCATGTTGTGAGATGAAAGACGAGCCTGTATTCAAGCCACTGAAAGGAAATCCGGCCTCCTTTCAAGTTAGGGCTTCTCGCTGTATATTCCCCTTGAGGCAGCAAACACGGGGTCCCTCCCACATACCTATTGCTGAGAGAATCCTCCTCCTGAGGTAACTCTGGAAGTTGGCATACGTCTTGACCCTAAGCCAAGGAATCAGCTCTCATCTCGAGACGATTTGGGGTACACGGAGCATTCCTCGAGTTGCTGTGCTGAAGTTGGTGTTCCTCTAGACTTGGGACAGTGTTCTCGGGGCATCTCTGGAGTTGCCTGAAGGAAGTCGAGCCACCGGTCGTGTTGAATGGGGAACGGCGAATGGCTCTGGAGTCAATGCAGGGGAATCGGGCCTCGTCTCGAGTTGATTTGGGGCACATGGAGCTGCTTTGCGTTGCTGGGGTGACCGTAGGGTCCGTCTAGACTGGTGACAGTGTTCTTGGGGACTGTCTGGAGATCCATTAAGCAAGTCGAAGCTCCTGACTTGTTTGAATGGGATCACGGAATAGCTCTGCATGCACTGCAGGGGAATGGGGCCTCATCTCGCCTCTAGGGGGAAGTCTCATGGTTTTTCTCGAGTTGCGGCGGGGACCTGGGGTATGTTCTCGACTTACAGCGGGGATGGCCCTTCAAAACACGAGTTTATTCAGTGACGTCAGGACTCCTGTCTAGTAACGAGGGACACTTCAGCAATCTCTTCGAGGCTTGGCAGGGCAAAAGGGACGCTTCTCGAGGTGAGGCATGGCACCCAACGACCCTTTCCAGTAGCCACAGGGATTTTGGGATTCTTATAAGTAATCAAGAGGAGTCAGGCATCCTCACCTTTTGAAGCAATGAACTCCGCGTGCCTCTCGAGGTGTCAGCGGGATGTGAGGATTCCGTCAAAATGAGGCAGGGACCTAGGGCTTTCTCTAAGGTCTCCACAGGGGATTCAGACATCCCTTCATGTTGTGAGATGAAAGACGAGCCTGTATTCAAGCCACTGCAAGGAAATCTGGCCTCCTTTCAAGTTAGGGCTTCTCGCTGTATATTCCCCTTGAGGCAGCAAACTCGGGGTCCCTCCCACATACCTATTGCTGAGAGAAGCCTCCTCCTGCGGTGCTTCTGGAAAGGTGGCATACGTCTTGAGCCTAAGCCAGGGAATCAGCTCTCATCTCGAGACGATTTGGGGTACACAGAGCATTCCTCGAGTTGCTATGCTGAAGTTGGTGGTCCTCTAGACTTGGGACAGTGTTCTCGGGGCATCTCTGGAGTTGCCTGAAGGAAGTCGAGCCACCGGTCGTGTTGAATGGGGAACAAGGAATGGCTCTGGAGTCAATGCAGGGGAATCCGGCCTCATCTCGAGTTGATTTGGGGCACATGGAGCTGCTTTGCATTGCTGGGTGACCTCAGGGTCCGTCTAGACTGGTGACAGTGTACTTGGGGACTGTCTGGAGATCCATTAAGCAAGTCGAAGCTCCTGACTTGTTTGAATGGGATCACGGAATAGCTCTGCATGCACTGCAGGGGAATGGGGCCTCATCTCGCCTCTAGGGGGAAGTCTCATGGTTTTTCTGGAGTTGCGGCGGGGACCTGGGGTATGTTCTCGACTTACGGCGGGGATGGCCCTTCAAAACACGAGTTTCTTCAGTGACGTCAGGACTCCTCTCTAGTAACGAGGGACACCTCAGGAATCTCTTCGAGGCTTGGCAGGGCAAAAGGGACGCTTCTCGAGGTGAGGCAGGGCACCCAAGGACCCTTTCCAGTAGCCACAGGGATTTTGGGATTCCTATCAGTATTCAAGAGGAGTCAGGCATCGTCACCTTTTGAAGCAATGAACTCCGCGTGCCTCTCGAGGTGTCAGCGGGATGTGAGGCATTCCGTAAAAATGAGGCAGGGACCTAGGGCTTTCTCTAAGGTCTCCACAGGGGATTCAGACATCCCTTCATGTTGTGAGATGAAAGACGAGCCTGTATTCAAGCCACTGAAAGGAAATCCGGCCTCCTTTCAAGTTAGGGCTTCTCGCTGTATATTCCCCTTGAGGCAGCAAACTCGGGGTCCCTCCCACATACATATTGCTGAGAGAAGCCTCCTCCTGAGGTGCTTCTGGGAAGTTGGCATACGTCTTGAGCCTAAGCCAGGGAATCAGCTCTCATCTCGAGACGATTTGGGGTACACGAAGCATTCCTCGAGTTGCTGTGCTGAAGTTGGTGTTCCTCTAGACTTGGGACAGTGTTCTCGGGGCATCTCTGGAGTTACCTGAAGGAAGTCGAGCCACCGGTCGTGTTGAATGGGGAACGGGGAATGGCTTTGCAGTCAATGCAGGGGAATCGGGCCTCATCTCGAGTTGATTTAGGGCACATGGAGCTGCTTTGCGTTGCTGGGGTGACCTCAGGGTCCGTCTAGACTGGTGACAGTGTTCTTGGGGACTGTCTGGAGATCTATTAAGCAAGTCGAAGCTCCTGACTTGTTTGAATGGGATCACGGAATAGCTCTGCATGCACTGCAGGGGAATGGGGCCTCATCTCGCCTCTAGGGGGAAGTCTCATGGTTTTTCTCGAGTTGCGGCGGGGACCTGGGGTATGTTCTCGACTTACGGCGGGGATGGCCCTTCAAAACACGAGTTTCTTCAGTGACGTCAGGACTCCTGTCTAGTAACGAGGGACAGCTCAGGAATCTCTTCGAGGATTGGCAGGGCAAAAGGGACGCTTCTCGAGGTGAGGCATGGCACCCAAGGACCCTTTCCAGTAGCCACAGGGATTTTGGGATTCCTATCAGTATTCAAGAGGAATCAGGCATCGTCACCTTTTGAAGCAATGAACTCCGCGTGCCTCTAGAGGTGTCAGCGGGATGTGAGGATTCCGTCAAAATGAGGCAGGGACCTAGGGCTTTCTCTAAGGTCTCCACAGGGATTCAGACATCCCTTCATGTTGTGAGATGAAAGACGAGCCTGTATTCAAGCCACTGCAAGGAAATCCGGCCTCCTTTCAAGTTAGGGCTTCTCGCTGTATATTCCCCTTGAGGCAGCAAACTCGGAGTCCCTCCCACATACCTATTGCTGAGAGAAGCCTCCTCCTGAGGTGCTTCTGGAAATTTGGCATACGTCTTGAGCCTAAGCCAGGGATTCAGCTCTCATCTCGAGACGATTTGGGGTACACAGAGCATTCCTCGAGTTGCTGTGCTGAAGTTGGTGTTCCTCTAGACTTGGGACAGTGTTCTCTGGGCATCTCTGGAGTTGCCTGAAGGAAGTCGAGCCACCGGTCGTGTTGAATGGGGAACGGGGAATGGCTCTGGAGTCAATGCAGGGGAATCGGGCCTCATCTCGAGTTGATTTGTGGCACCTGGAGCTGCTTTGCGTTGCTGGGGTGACCTCAGGGTCCGTCTAGACTGGTGACAGTGTTCTTGGGGACTGTCTGGAGATCTATTAAGCAAGTCGAAGCTCCTGACTTGTTTGAATGGGATCACGGAATAGCTCTGCATGCACTGCAGGGGAATGGGGCCTCATCTCGCCTCTAGGGGGAAGTCTCATGGTTTTTCTCGAGTTGCGGCGGGGACCTGGGGTATGTTCTCGACTTACGGCGGGGATGGCCCTTCAAAACACGAGTTTCTTCAGTGACGTCAGGACTCCTGTCTAGTAACGAGGGACAGCTCAGGAATCTCTTCGAGGATTGGCAGGGCAAAAGGGACGCTTCTCGAGGTGAGGCATGGCACCCAAGGACCCTTTCCAGTAGCCACAGGGATTTTGGGATTCCTATCAGTATTCAAGAGGAGTCAGGCATCGTCACCTTTTGAAGCAATGAACTCCGCGTGCCTCTAGAGGTGTCAGCGGGATGTGAGGATTCCGTCAAAATGAGGCAGGGACCTAGGGCTTTCTCTAAGGTCTCCACAGGGATTCAGACATCCCTTCATGTTGTGAGATGAAAGACGAGCCTGTATTCAAGCCACTGCAAGGAAATCCGGCCTCCTTTCAAGTTAGGGCTTCTCGCTGTATATTCCCCTTGAGGCAGCAAACTCGGAGTCCCTCCCACATACCTATTGCTGAGAGAAGCCTCCTCCTGAGGTGCTTCTGGAAATTTGGCATACGTCTTGAGCCTAAGCCAGGGATTCAGCTCTCATCTCGAGACGATTTGGGGTACACAGAGCATTCCTCGAGTTGCTGTGCTGAAGTTGGTGTTCCTCTAGACTTGGGACAGTGTTCTCTGGGCATCTCTGGAGTTGCCTGAAGGAAGTCGAGCCACCGGTCGTGTTGAATGGGGAACGGGGAATGGCTCTGGAGTCAATGCAGGGGAATCGGGCCTCATCTCGAGTTGATTTGTGGCACCTGGAGCTGCTTTGCGTTGCTGGGGTGACCTCAGGGTCCGTCTAGACTGGTGACAGTGTTCTTGGGGACTGCCTCGAGATCCATTAAGCAAGTCGAAGCTCCTGATTTGTTTGAATGGGATCACGGAAAAGCTCTGCATGCACTGCAGGGGAATGGGGCCTCATCTCGCCTCTAGGGGGAAGGCTCTCGGTTTTTCTCGAGTTGGGGCAGGGACCTGGGGTATGTTCTCGACTTACGGCGGGGATGGCCCTTCAAAACACGAGTTTCTTCAGTGACGTCAGGACTCCTGTCTAGTAACGAGGGACACTTCAGCAATCTCTTCGAGGCTTGGCAGGGCAAAAGGGACGCTTCTCGAGGTGAGGCAGGGCACCCAAGGACCCTTTCCAGTAGCCACAGCGATTTTGGGATTCCTATCAGTATTCAAGAGGAGTCAGGCATTGTCACCTTTTGAAGCAATGAACTCCGCGTGCCTCTCGAGGTGTCAGCGGGATGTGAGGCATTCCGTCAAAATGAGGTAGGGTCCTAGGGCTTTCTCTAAGGTCTCCACAGGGGATTCAGACATCCCTTCATGTTGTGAGATGAAAGACGAGCCTGTATTCAAGCCACTGCAAGGAAATCCGGCCTCCTTTCAAGTTAGGGCTTCTCGCTGTATATTCCGATTGAGGCAGCAAACTCGGAGTCCCTCCAACATACCTATTGCTGAGAGAAGCCTCCTTCTTAGGTGCTTCTGGAAAGTTGGCATACGTCTTGAGCCTAAGCCAGGGATTCAGCTCTCATCTCGAGACGATTTGGGGTACACAGAGCATTCCTCGAGTTGCTGTGCTGAAGTTGGTGTTCCTCTAGACTTGGGACAGTGTTCTCTGGGCATCTCTGGAGTTGCCTGAAGGAAGTCGAGCCACCGGTCGTGTTGAATGGTTAACGGGGAATGGCTCTGGAGTCAATGCAGGGGAATCGGGCCTCATCTCGAGTTGATTTGTGGCACCTGGAGCTGCTTTGCGTTGCTGGGGTGACCTCAGGGTCCGTCTAGACTGGTGACAGTGTTCTTGGGGACTGCCTCGAGATCCATTAAGCAAGTCGAAGCTCCTGATTTGTTTGAATGGGATCACGGAAAAGCTCTGCATGCACTGCAGGGGAATGGGGCCTCATCTCGCCTCTAGGGGGAAGGCTCTCGGTTTTTCTCGAGTTGGGGCGGGGACCTGGGGTATGTTCTCGACTTACGGCGGGGATGGCCCTTCAAAACACGAGTTTCTTCAGTGACGTCAGGACTCCTGTCTAGTAACGAGGGACACCTCAGCAATCTCTTCGAGGCTTGGCAGGGCAAAAGGGACGCTTCTCGAGGTGAGGCAGGGCACCCAAGGACCCTTTCCAGTAGCCACAGCGATTTTGGGATTCCTATCAGTATTCAAGAGGAGTCAGGCATTGTCACCTTTTGAAGCAATGAACTCCGCGTGCCTCTCGAGGTGTCAGCGGGATGTGAGGCATACCGTCAAAATGAGGTAGGGTCCTAGGGCTTTCTCTAAGGTCTCCACAGGGGATTCAGACATCCCTTCATGTTGTGAGATGAAAGACGAGCCTGTATTCAAGCCACTGCAAGGAAATCCGGCCTCCTTTCAAGTTAGGGCTTCTCGCTGTATATTCCCCTTGAGGCAGCAAACTCGGAGTCCCTCCCACATACCTATTGCTGAGAGAAGCCTCCTCCTGAGGTGCTTCTGGAAAGTTGGCATACGTCTTGAGCCTAAGCCAGGGATTCAGCTCTCATCTCGAGACGATTTGGGGTACACAGAGCATTCCTCGAGTTGCTGTGCTGAAGTTGGTGTTCCTCTAGACTTGGGACAGTGTTCTCTGGGCATCTCTGGAGTTGCCTGAAGGAAGTCGAGCCACCGGTCGTGTTGAATGGGGAACGGGGAATGGCTCTGGAGTCAATGCAGGGGAATCGGGCCTCATCTCGAGTTGATTTGTGGCACCTGGAGCTGCTTTGCGTTGCTGGGGTGACCTCAGGGTCCGTCTAGACTGGTGACAGTGTTCTTGGGGACTGCCTCGAGATCCATTAAGCAAGTCGAAGCTCCTGACTTGTTTGAATGGGATCACGGAAAAGCTCTGCATGCACTGCAGGGGAATGGGGCCTCATCTCGCCTCTAGGGGGAAGGCTCTCGGTTTTTCTCGAGTTGGGGCGGGGACCTGGGGTATGTTCTTGACTTACGGCGGGGATGGCCCTTCAAAACACGAGTTTCTTCAGTGACGTCAGGACTCCTGTCTAGTAACGAGGGACACCTCAGCAATCTCTTCGAGGCTTGGCAGGGCAAAAGGGACGCTTCTCGAGGTGAGGCAGGGCACCCAAGGACCCTTTCCAGTAGCCACAGCGATTTTGGGATTCCTATCAGTATTCAAGAGGAGTCAGGCATCGTCACCTTTTGAAGCAATGAACTCCGCGTGCCTCTCGAGGTGTCAGCGGGATGTGAGGCATTCCGTCAAAATGAGGTAGGGTCCTAGGGCTTTCTCTAAGGTCTCCACAGGGGATTCAGACATCCCTTCATGTTGTGAGATGAAAGACGAGCCTGTATTCAAGCCACTGAAAGGAAATCCGGCCTCCTTTCAAGTTAGGGCTTCTCGCTGTATATTCCCCTTGAGGCAGCAAACACGGGGTCCCTCCCACATACCTTTTGCTGAGAGAAGCCTCCTCCTGAGGTAATTCTGGGAAGTTGGCATACGTCTTGACCCTAAGCCAAGGAATCAGCTCTCATCTCGAGACGATTAGGGGTACACGGAGCATTCCTCGAGTTGCTGTGCTGAAGTTCGTGTTCCTCTAGACTTGGGACAGTGTTCTCGGGGCATCTCTGGAGTTGCCTGAAGGAAGTCGAGCCACCGGTCGTGTTGAATGGGGAACGGCGAATGGCTCTGGAGTCAATGCAGGGGAATCGGGCCTCGTCTCGAGTTGATTTGGGGCACATGGAGCTGCTTTGCGTTGCTGGGGTGACCTCAGGGTCCGTCTAGACTGGTGACAGTGTTCTTGGGGACTGTCTGGAGATCCATTAAGCAAGTCGAAGCTCCTGACTTGTTTGAATGGGATCACGGAATAGCTCTGCATGCACTGCAGGGGAATGGGGCCTCATCTCGCCTCTAGGGGGAAGTCTCATGGTTTTTCTCGAGTTGCGGCGGGGACCTGGGGTATGTTCTCGACTTACAGCGGGGATGGCCCTTCAAAACACGAGTTTCTTCAGTGACGTCAGGACTCCTGTCTAGTAACGAGGGACACCTCAGGAATCTCTTCGAGGCTTGGCAGGGCAAAAGGGACGCTTCTCGAGGTGAGGCAGGGCACCCAAGGACCCTTTCCAGTAGCCACAATGATTTTGGGATTCCTATCAGTATTCAAGAGGAGTCAGGCATCGTCACCTTTTGAAGCAATGAACTCCGCGTGCCTCTCGAGGTGTCAGCGGGATGTGAGGCATTCCGTCAAAATGAGGCAGGGACCTAGGGCTTTCTCTAAGGTCTCCACAGGGGATTCAGACATCCCTTCATGTTGTGAGATGAAAGACGAGCCTGTATTCAAGCCACTGAAAGGACATCCGGCCTCCTTTCAAGTTAGGGCTTCTCGCTGTATATTCCCCTTGAGGCAGCAAACTCGGGGTCCCTCCCACATACATATTGCTGAGAGAAGCCTCCTCCTGAGGTGCTTCTGGGAAGTTGGCATACGTCTTGAGCCTAAGCCAGGGAATCAGCTCTCATCTCGAGACGATTTGGGGTACACGAAGCATTCCTCGAGTTGCTGTGCTGAAGTTGGTGTTCCTCTAGACTTGGGACAGTGTTCTCGGGGCATCTCTGGAGTTACCTGAAGGAAGTCGAGCCACCGGTCGTGTTGAATGGGGAACGGGGAATGGCTTTGCAGTCAATGCAGGGGAATCGGGCCTCATCTCGAGTTGATTTAGGGCACATGGAGCTGCTTTGCGTAGCTGGGGTGACCTCAGGGTCCGTCTAGACTGGTGACAGTGTTCTTGGGGACTGTCTGGAGATCCATTAAGCAAGTCGAAGCTCCTGACTTGTTTGAATGGGATCACGGAATAGCTCTGCATGCACTGCAGGGGAATGGGGCCTCATCTCGCCTCTAGGGGGAAGTCTCATGGTTTTTCTCGAGTTGCGGCGGGGACCTGGGGTATGTTCTCGACTTACGGCGGGGATGGCCCTTCAAAACACGAGTTTCTTCAGTGACGTCAGGACTCCTGTCTAGTAACGAGGGACAGCTCAGGAATCTCTTCGAGGATTGGCAGGGCAAAAGGGACGCTTCTCGAGGTGAGGCAGGGCACCCAAGGACCCTTTCCAGTAGCCACAGCGATTTTGGGATTCCTATCAGTATTCAAGAGGAGTCAGGCATCGTCACCTTTTGAAGCAATGAACTCCGCGTGCCTCTCGAGGTGTCAGCGGGATGTGAGGCATTCCGTAAAAATGAGGCAGGGACCTAGGGCTTTCTCTAAGGTCTCCACAGGGGATTCAGACATCCCTTCATGTTGTGAGATGAAAGACGAGCCTGTATTCAAGCCACTGAAAGGAAATCCGGCCTCCTTTCAAGTTAGGGCTTCTCGCTGTATATTCCCCTTGAGGCAGCAAACACGGGGTCCCTCCCACATACCTATTGCTGAGAGAATCCTCCTCCTGAGGTAACTCTGGAAGTTGGCATACGTCTTGACCCTAAGCCAAGGAATCAGCTCTCATCTCGAGACGATTTGGGGTACACGGAGCATTCCTCGAGTTGCTGTGCTGAAGTTGGTGTTCCTCTAGACTTGGGACAGTGTTCTCGGGGCATCTCTGGAGTTGCCTGAAGGAAGTCGAGCCACCGGTCGTGTTGAATGGGGAACGGCGAATGGCTCTGGAGTCAATGCAGGGGAATCGGGCCTCGTCTCGAGTTGATTTGGGGCACATGGAGCTGCTTTGCGTTGCTGGGGTGACCTCAGGGTCCGTCTAGACTGGTGACAGTGTTCTTGGGGACTGTCTGGAGATCCATTAAGCAAGTCGAAGCTCCTGACTTGTTTGAATGGGATCACGGAATAGCTCTGCATGCACTGCAGGGGAATGGGGCCTCATCTCGCCTCTAGGGGGAAGTCTCATGGTTTTTCTCGAGTTGCGGCGGGGACCTGGGGTATGTTCTCGACTTACAGCGGGGATGGCCCTTCAAAACACGAGTTTCTTCAGTGACGTCAGGACTCCTGTCTAGTAACGAGGGACACTTCAGCAATCTCTTCGAGGCTTGGCAGGGCAAAAGGGACGCTTCTCGAGGTGAGGCAGGGCACCCAAGGACCCTTTCCAGTAGCCACAGGGATTTTGGGATTCCTATAAGTAATCAAGAGGAGTCAGGCATCGTCACCTTTTGAAGCAATGAACTCCGCGTGCCTCTCGAGGTGTCAGCGGGATGTGAGGATTCCGTCAAAATGAGGCAGGGACCTAGGGCTTTCTCTAAGGTCTCCACAGGGGATTCAGACATCCCTTCATGTTGTGAGATGAAAGACGAGCCTGTATTCAAGCCACTGCAAGGAAATCTGGCCTCCTTTCAAGTTAGGGCTTCTCGCTGTATATTCCCCTTGAGGCAGCAAACTCGGGGTCCCTCCCACATACCTATTGCTGAGAGAAGCCTCCTCCTGAGGTGCTTCTGGAAAGGTGGCATACGTCTTGAGCCTAAGCCAGGGAATCAGCTCTCATCTCGAGACGATTTGGGGTACACAGAGCATTCCTCGAGTTGCTATGCTGAAGTTGGTGGTCCTCTAGACTTGGGACAGTGTTCTCGGGGCATCTCTGGAGTTGCCTGAAGGAAGTCGAGCCACCGGTCGTGTTGAATGGGGAACAAGGAATGGCTCTGGAGTCAATGCAGGGGAATCCGGCCTCATCTCGAGTTGATTTGGGGCACATGGAGCTGCTTTGCATTGCTGGGTGACCTCAGGGTCCGTCTAGACTGGTGACAGTGTACTTGGGGACTGTCTGGAGATCCATTAAGCAAGTCGAAGCTCCTGACTTGTTTGAATGGGATCACGGAATAGCTCTGCATGCACTGCAGGGGAATGGGGCCTCATCTCGCCTCTAGGGGGAAGTCTCATGGTTTTTCTGGAGTTGCGGCGGGGACCTGGGGTATGTTCTCGACTTACGGCGGGGATGGCCCTTCAAAACACGAGTTTCTTCAGTGACGTCAGGACTCCTCTCTAGTAACGAGGGACACCTCAGGAATCTCTTCGAGGCTTGGCAGGGCAAAAGGGACGCTTCTCGAGGTGAGGCAGGGCACCCAAGGACCCTTTCCAGTAGCCACAGGGATTTTGGGATTCCTATCAGTATTCAAGAGGAGTCAGGCATCGTCACCTTTTGAAGCAATGAACTCCGCGTGCCTCTCGAGGTGTCAGCGGGATGTGAGGCATTCCGTAAAAATGAGGCAGGGACCTAGGGCTTTCTCTAAGGTCTCCACAGGGGATTCAGACATCCCTTCATGTTGTGAGATGAAAGACGAGCCTGTATTCAAGCCACTGAAAGGAAATCCGGCCTCCTTTCAAGTTAGGGCTTCTCGCTGTATATTCCCCTTGAGGCAGCAAACTCGGGGTCCCTCCCACATACATATTGCTGAGAGAAGCCTCCTCCTGAGGTGCTTCTGGGAAGTTGGCATACGTCTTGAGCCTAAGCCAGGGAATCAGCTCTCATCTCGAGACGATTTGGGGTACACGAAGCATTCCTCGAGTTGCTGTGCTGAAGTTGGTGTTCCTCTAGACTTGGGACAGTGTTCTCGGGGCATCTCTGGAGTTACCTGAAGGAAGTCGAGCCACCGGTCGTGTTGAATGGGGAACGGGGAATTGCTTTGCAGTCAATGCAGGGGAATCGGGCCTCATCTCGAGTTGATTTAGGGCACATGGAGCTGCTTTGCTTTGCTGGGGTGACCTCAGGGTCCGTCTAGACTGGTGACAGTGTTCTTGGGGACTGTCTGGAGATCCATTAAGCAAGTCGAAGCTCCTGACTTGTTTGAATGGGATCACGGAATAGCTCTGCATGCACTGCAGGGGAATGGGGCCTCATCTCGCCTCTAGGGGGAAGTCTCATGGTTTTTCTCGAGTTGCGGCGGGGACCTGGGGTATGTTCTCGACTTACAGCGGGGATGGCCCTTCAAAACACGAGTTTCTTCAGTGACGTCAGGACTCCTGTCTAGTAACGAGGGACAGCTCAGGAATCTCTTCGAGGATTGGCAGGGCAAAAGGGACGCTTCTCGAGGTGAGGCATGGCACCCAAGGACCCTTTCCAGTAGCCACAGCGATTTTGGGATTCCTATCAGTATTCAAGAGGAGTCAGGCATCGTCACCTTTTGAAGCAATGAACTCCGCGTGCCTCTCGAGGTGTCAGCGGGATGTGAGGCATTCCGTCAAAATGAGGTAGGGCCCTAGGGCTTTCTCTAAGGTCTCCACAGGGGATTCAGACATCCCTTCATGTTGTGAGATGAAAGACGAGCCTGTATTCAAGCCACTGAAAGGAAATCCGGCCTCCTTTCAAGTTAGGGCTTCTCGCTGTATATTCCCCTTGAGGCAGCAAACACGGGGTCCCTCCCACATACCTATTGCTGAGAGAATCCTCCTCCTGAGGTAACTCTGGAAGTTGGCATACGTCTTGACCCTAAGCCAAGGAATCAGCTCTCATCTCGAGACGATTTGGGGTACACGGAGCATTCCTCGAGTTGCTGTGCTGAAGTTGCTGTTCCTCTAGACTTGGGACAGTGTTCTCGGGGCATCTCTGGAGTTGCCTGAAGGAAGTCGAGCCACCGGTCGTGTTGAATGGGGAACGGCGAATGGCTCTGGAGTCAATGCAGGGGAATCGGGCCTCATCTCGAGTTGATTTGGGGCACATGGAGCTGCTTTGCGTTGCTGGGGTGACCTCAGGGTCCGTCTAGACTGGTGACAGTGTTCTTGGGGACTGTCTGGAGATCCATTAAGAAAGTCGAAGCTCCTGACTTGTTTGAATGGGATCACGGAATAGCTCTGCATGCACTGCAGGGGAATGGGGCCTCATCTCGCCTCTAGGGGGAAGTCTCATGGTTTTTCTCGAGTTGCGGCGGGGACCTGGGGTATGTTCTCGACTTACAGCGGGGATGGCCCTTCAAAACACGAGTTTCTTCAGTGACGTCAGGACTCCTGTCTAGTAACGAGGGACACTTCAGCAATCTCTTCGAGGCTTGGCAGGGCAAAAGGGACGCTTCTCGAGGTGAGGCATGGCACCCAACGACCCTTTCCAGTAGCCACAGGGATTTTGGGATTCCTATAAGTAATCAAGAGGAGTCAGGCATCGTCACCTTTTGAAGCAATGAACTCCGCGTGCCTCTCGAGGTGTCAGCGGGATGTGAGGATTCCGTCAAAATGAGGCAGGGACCTAGGGCTTTCTCTAAGGTCTCCACAGGGGATTCAGACATCCCTTCATGTTGTGAGATGAAAGACGAGCCTGTATTCAAGCCACTGCAAGGAAATCTGGCCTCCTTTCAAGTTAGGGCTTCTCGCTGTATATTCCCCTTGAGGCAGCAAACTCGGGGTCCCTCCCACATACCTATTGCTGAGAGAAGCCTCCTCCTGAGGTGCTTCTGGAAAGGTGGCATACGTCTTGAGCCTAAGCCAGGGAATCAGCTCTCATCTCGAGACGATTTGGGGTACACAGAGCATTCCTCGAGTTGCTATGCTGAAGTTGGTGGTCCTCTAGACTTGGGACAGTGTTCTCGGGGCATCTCTGGAGTTGCCTGAAGGAAGTCGAGCCACCGGTCGTGTTGAATGGGGAACAAGGAATGGCTCTGGAGTCAATGCAGGGGAATCCGGCCTCATCTCGAGTTGATTTGGGGCACATGGAGCTGCTTTGCATTGCTGGGTGACCTCAGGGTCCGTCTAGACTGGTGACAGTGTACTTGGGGACTGTCTGGAGATCCATTAAGCAAGTCGAAGCTCCTGACTTGTTTGAATGGGATCACGGAATAGCTCTGCATGCACTGCAGGGGAATGGGGCCTCATCTCGCCTCTAGGGGGAAGTCTCATGGTTTTTCTGGAGTTGCGGCGGGGACCTGGGGTATGTTCTCGACTTACGGCGGGGATGGCCCTTCAAAACACGAGTTTCTTCAGTGACGTCAGGACTCCTGTCTAGTAACGAGGGACACTTCAGCAATCTCTTCGAGGCTTGGCAGGGCAAAAGGGACGCTTCTCGAGGTGAGGCAGGGCACCCAAGGACCCTTTCCAGTAGCCACAGCGATTTTGGGATTCCTATCAGTATTCAAGAGGAGTCAGGCATCGTCACCTTTTGAAGCAATGAACTCCGCGTGCCTCTCGAGGTGTCAGCGGGATGTGAGGCATTCCGTCAAAATGAGGTAGGGCCCTAGGGCTTTCTCTAAGGTCTCCACAGGGGATTCAGACATCCCTTCATGTTGTGAGATGAAAGACGAGCCTGTATTCAAGCCACTGAAAGGAAATCCGGCCTCCTTTCAAGTTAGGGCTTCTCGCTGTATATTCCCCTTGAGGCAGCAAACACGGGGTCCCTCCCACATACCTATTGCTGAGAGAATCCTCCTCCTGAGGTAACTCTGGAAGTTGGCATACGTCTTGACCCTAAGCCAAGGAATCAGCTCTCATCTCGAGACGATTTGGGGTACACGGAGCATTCCTCGAGTTGCTGTGCTGAAGTTGGTGTTCCTCTAGACTTGGGACAGTGTTCTCGGGGCATCTCTGGAGTTGCCTGAAGGAAGTCGAGCCACCGGTCGTGTTGAATGGGGAACGGCGAATGGCTCTGGAGTCAATGCAGGGGAATCGGGCCTCGTCTCGAGTTGATTTGGGGCACATGGAGCTGCTTTGCGTTGCTGGGGTGACCTCAGGGTCCGTCTAGACTGGTGACAGTGTTCTTGGGGCATCTCTGGAGTTGCCTGAAGGAAGTCGAGCCACCGGTCGTGTTGAATGGGGAACGGCGAATGGCTCTGGAGTCAATGCAGGGGAATCGGGCCTCGTCTCGAGTTGATTTGGGGCACATGGAGCTGCTTTGCGTTGCTGGGGTGACCTCAGGGTCCGTCTAGACTGGTGACAGTGTTCTTGGGGACTGTCTGGAGATCCATTAAGCAAGTCGAAGCTCCTGACTTGTTTGAATGGGATCACGGAATAGCTCTGCATGCACTGCAGGGGAATGGGGCCTCATCTCGCCTCTAGGGGGAAGTCGCATGGTTTTTCTCGAGTTGCGGCGGGGACCTGGGGTATGTTCTCGACTTACAGCGGGGATGGCCCTTCAAAACACGAGTTTCTTCAGTGACATCAGGACTCCTGTCTAGTAACGAGGGACACTTCAGCAATCTCTTCGAGGCTTGGCAGGGCAAAAGGGACGCTTCTCGAGGTGAGGCAGGGCACCCAAGGACCCTTTCCAGTAGCCACAGGGATTTTGGGATTCCTATAAGTAATCAAGAGGAGTCAGGCATCGTCACCTTTTGAAGCAATGAACTCCGCGTGCCTCTCGAGGTGTCAGCGGGATGTGAGGATTCCGTCAAAATGAGGCAGGGACCTAGGGCTTTCTCTAAGGTCTCCACAGGGGATTCAGACATCCCTTCATGTTGTGAGATGAAAGACGAGCCTGTATTCAAGCCACTGCAAGGAAATCTGGCCTCCTTTCAAGTTAGGGCTTCTCGCTGTATATTCCCCTTGAGGCAGCAAACTCGGGGTCCCTCCCACATACCTATTGCTGAGAGAAGCCTCCTCCTGAGGTGCTTCTGGAAAGGTGGCATACGTCTTGAGCCTAAGCCAGGGAATCAGCTCTCATCTCGAGACGATTTGGGGTACACAGAGCATTCCTCGAGTTGCTATGCTGAAGTTGGTGGTCCTCTAGACTTGGGACAGTGTTCTCGGGGCACCTCTGGAGTTGCCTGAAGGAAGTCGAGCCACCGGTCGTGTTGAATGGGGAACAAGGAATGGCTCTGGAGTCAATGCAGGGGAATCCGGCCTCATCTCGAGTTGATTTGGGGCACATGGAGCTGCTTTGCATTGCTGGGTGACCTCAGGGTCCGTCTAGACTGGTGACAGTGTACTTGGGGACTCTCTGGAGATCCATTAAGCAAGTCGAAGCTCCTGACTTGTTTGAATGGGATCACGGAATAGCTCTGCATGCACTGCAGGGGAATGGGGCCTCATCTCGCCTCTAGGGGGAAGTCTCATGGTTTTTCTGGAGTTGCGGCGGGGACCTGGGGTATGTTCTCGACTTACGGCGGGGATGGCCCTTCAAAACACGAGTTTCTTCAGTGACGTCAGGACTCCTGTCTAGTAACGAGGGACACCTCAGGAATCTCTTCGAGGCTTGGCAGGGCAAAAGGGATGCTTCTCGAGGTGAGGCAGGGCACCCAAGGACCCTTTCCAGTAGCCACAGGGATTTTGGGATTCCTATCAGTATTCAAGAGGAGTCAGGCATCGTCACCTTTTGAAGCAATGAACTCCGCGTGCCTCTCGAGGTGTCAGCGGGATGTGAGGCATTCCGTAAAAATGAGGCAGGGACCTAGGGCTTTCTCTAAGGTCTCCACAGGGGATTCAGACATCCCTTCATGTTGTGAGATGAAAGACGAGCCTGTATTCAAGCCACTGAAAGGAAATCCGGCCTCCTTTCAAGTTAGGGCTTCTCGCTGTATATTCCCCTTGAGGCAGCAAACTCGGGGTCCCTCCCACATACATATTGCTGAGAGAAGCCTCCTCCTGAGGTGCTTCTGGGAAGTTGGCATACGTCTTGAGCCTAAGCCAGGGAATCAGCTCTCATCTCGAGACGATTTGGGGTACACAGAGCATTCGTCGAGTTGCTGTGCTGAAGTTGGTGTTCCTCTAGACTTGGGACAGTGTTCTCTGGGCATCTCTGGAGTTGCCTGAAGGAAGTCGAGCCACCGGTCGTGTTGAATGGGGAACGGGGAATGGCTCTGGAGTCAATGCAGGGGAATCGGGCCTCATCTCGAGTTGATTTGTGGCACCTGGAGCTGCTTTGCGTTGCTGGGGTGACCTCAGGGTCCGTCTAGACTGGTGACAGTGTTCTTGGGGACTGCCTCGAGATCCATTAAGCAAGTCGAAGCTCCTGATTTGTTTGAATGGGATCACGGAAAAGCTCTGCATGCACTGCAGGGGAATGGGGCCTCATCTCGCCTCTAGGGGGAAGGCTCTCGGTTTTTCTCGAGTTGGGGCAGGGACCTGGGGTATGTTCTCGACTTACGGCGGGGATGGCCCTTCAAAACACGAGTTTCTTCAGTGACGTCAGGACTCCTGTCTAGTAACGAGGGACACCTCAGCAATCTCTTCGAGGCTTGGCAGGGCAAAAGGGACGCTTCTCGAGGTGAGGCAGGGCACCCAAGGACCCTTTCCAGTAGCCACAGCGATTTTGGGATTCCTATCAGTATTCAAGAGGAGTCAGGCATTGTCACCTTTTGAAGCAATGAACTCCGCGTGCCTCTCGAGGTGTCAGCGGGATGTGAGGCATTCCGTCAAAATGAGGTAGGGTCCCAGGGCTTTCTCTAAGGTCTCCACAGGGGATTCAGACACCCCTTCATGTTGTGAGATGAAAGACGAGCCTGTATTCAAGCCACTGCAAGGAAATCCGGCCTCCTTTCAAGTTAGGGCTTCTCGCTGTATATTCCCATTGAGGCAGCAAACTCGGAGTCCCTCCCACATACCTATTGCTGAGAGAAGCCTCCTTCTTAGGTGCTTCTGGAAAGTTGGCATACGTCTTGAGCCTAAGCCAGGGATTCAGCTCTCATCTCGAGACGATTTGGGGTACACAGAGCATTCCTCGAGTTGCTGTGCTGAAGTTGGTGTTCCTCTAGACTTGGGACAGTGTTCTCGGGGCATCTCTGGAGTTGCCTGAAGGAAGTCGAGCCACCGGTCGTGTTGAATGGTTAACGGGGAATGGCTCTGGAGTCAATGCAGGGGAATCGGGCCTCATCTCGAGTTGATTTGTGGCACCTGGAGCTGCTTTGCGTTGCTGGGGTGACCTCAGGGTCCGTCTAGACTGGTGACAGTGTTCTTGGGGACTGCCTCGAGATCCATTAAGCAAGTCGAAGCTCCTGATTTGTTTGAATGGGATCACGGAAAAGCTCTGCATGCACTGCAGGGGAATGGGGCCTCATCTCGCCTCTAGGGGGAAGGCTCTCGGTTTTTCTCGAGTTGGGGCGGGGACCTGGGGTATGTTCTCGACTTACGGCGGGGATGGCCCTTCAAAACACGAGTTTCTTCAGTGACGTCAGGACTCCTGTCTAGTAACGAGGGACACCTCAGCAATCTCTTCGAGGCTTGGCAGGGCAAAAGGGACGCTTCTCGAGGTGAGGCAGGGCACCCAAGGACCCTTTCCAGTAGCCACAGCGATTTTGGGATTCCTATCAGTATTCAAGAGGAGTCAGGCATTGTCACCTTTTGAAGCAATGAACTCCGCGTGCCTCTCGAGGTGTCAGCGGGATGTGAGGCATACCGTCAAAATGAGGTAGGGTCCTAGGGCTTTCTCTAAGGTCTCCACAGGGGATTCAGACATCCCTTCATGTTGTGAGATGAAAGACGAGCCTGTATTCAAGCCACTGCAAGGAAATCCGGCCTCCTTTCAAGTTAGGGCTTCTCGCTGTATATTCCCCTTGAGGCAGCAAACTCGGAGTCCCTCCCACATACCTATTGCTGAGAGAAGCCTCCTCCTGAGGTGCTTCTGGAAAGTTGGCATACGTCTTGAGCCTAAGCCAGGGATTCAGCTCTCATCTCGAGACGATTTGGGGTACACAGAGCATTCCTCGAGTTGCTGTGCTGAAGTTGATGTTCCTCTAGACTTGGGACAGTGTTCTCTGGGCATCTCTGGAGTTGCCTGAAGGAAGTCGAGCCACCGGTCGTGTTGAATGGGGAACGGGGAATGGCTCTGGAGTCAATGCAGGGGAATCGGGCCTCATCTCGAGTTGATTTGTGGCACCTGGAGCTGCTTTGCGTTGCTGGGGTGACCTCAGGGTCCGTCTAGACTGGTGACAGTGTTCTTGGGGACTGCCTCGAGATCCATTAAGCAAGTCGAAGCTCCTGACTTGTTTGAATGGGATCACGGAAAAGCTCTGCATGCACTGCAGGGGAATGGGGCCTCATCTCGCCTCTAGGGGGAAGGCTCTCGGTTTTTCTCGAGTTGGGGCGGGGACCTGGGGTATGTTCTTGACTTACGGCGGGGATGGCCCTTCAAAACACGAGTTTCTTCAGTGACGTCAGGACTCCTGTCTAGTAACGAGGGACACCTCAGCAATCTCTTCGAGGCTTGGCAGGGCAAAAGGGACGCTTCTCGAGGTGAGGCAGGGCACCCAAGGACCCTTTCCAGTAGCCACAGCGATTTTGGGATTCCTATCAGTATTCAAGAGGAGTCAGGCATCGTCACCTTTTGAAGCAATGAACTCCGCGTGCCTCTCGAGGTGTCAGCGGGATGTGAGGCATTCCGTCAAAATGAGGTAGGGTCCTAGGGCTTTCTCTAAGGTCTCCACAGGGGATTCAGACATCCCTTCATGTTGTGAGATGAAAGACGAGCCTGTATTCAAGCCACTGAAAGGAAATCCGGCCTCCTTTCAAGTTAGGGCTTCTCGCTGTATATTCCCCTTGAGGCAGCAAACACGGGGTCCCTCCCACATACCTATTGCTGAGAGAAGCCTCCTCCTGAGGTAATTCTGGGAAGTTGGCATACGTCTTGACCCTAAGCCAAGGAATCAGCTCTCATCTCGAGACGATTAGGGGTACACGGAGCATTCCTCGAGTTGCTGTGCTGAAGTTCGTGTTCCTCTAGACTTGGGACAGTGTTCTCGGGGCATCTCTGGAGTTGCCTGAAGGAAGTCGAGCCACCGGTCGTGTTGAATGGGGAACGGCGAATGGCTCTGGAGTCAATGCAGGGGAATCGGGCCTCGTCTCGAGTTGATTTGGGGCACATGGAGCTGCTTTGCGTTGCTGGGGTGACCTCAGGGTCCGTCTAGACTGGTGACAGTGTTCTTGGGGACTGTCTGGAGATCCATTAAGCAAGTCGAAGCTCCTGACTTGTTTGAATGGGATCACGGAATAGCTCTGCATGCACTGCAGGGGAATGGGGCCTCATCTCGCCTCTAGGGGGAAGTCTCATGGTTTTTCTCGAGTTGCGGCGGGGACCTGGGGTATGTTCTCGACTTACAGCGGGGATGGCCCTTCAAAACACGAGTTTCTTCAGTGACGTCAGGACTCCTGTCTAGTAACGAGGGACACCTCAGGAATCTCTTCGAGGCTTGGCAGGGCAAAAGGGACGCTTCTCGAGGTGAGGCAGGGCACCCAAGGACCCTTTCCAGTAGCCACAGGGATTTTGGGATTCCTATCAGTATTCAAGAGGAGTCAGGCATCGTCACCTTTTGAAGCAATGAACTCCGCGTGCCTCTCGAGGTGTCAGCGGGATGTGAGTCATTCCGTAAAAATGAGGCAGGGACCTAGGGCTTTCTCTAAGGTCTCCACAGGGGATTCAGACATCCCTTCATGTTGTGAGATGAAAGACGAGCCTGTATTCAAGCCACTGAAAGGACATCCGGCCTCCTTTCAAGTTAGGGCTTCTCGCTGTATATTCCCCTTGAGGCAGCAAACTCGGGGTCCCTCCCACATACATATTGCTGAGAGAAGCCTCCTCCTGAGGTGCTTCTGGGAAGTTGGCATACGTCTTGAGCCTAAGCCAGGGAATCAGCTCTCATCTCGAGACGATTTGGGGTACACGAAGCATTCCTCGAGTTGCTGTGCTGAAGTTGGTGTTCCTCTAGACTTGGGACAGTGTTCTCGGGGCATCTCTGGAGTTACCTGAAGGAAGTCGAGCCACCGGTCGTGTTGAATGGGGAACGGGGAATGGCTTTGCAGTCAATGCAGGGGAATCGGGCCTCATCTCGAGTTGATTTAGGGCACATGGAGCTGCTTTGCGTTGCTGGGGTGACCTCAGGGTCCGTCTAGACTGGTGACAGTGTTCTTGGGGACTGTCTGGAGATCCATTAAGCAAGTCGAAGCTCCTGACTTGTTTGAATGGGATCACGGAATAGCTCTGCATGCACTGCAGGGGAATGGGGCCTCATCTCGCCTCTAGGGGGAAGTCTCATGGTTTTTCTCGAGTTGCGGCGGGGACCTGGGGTATGTTCTCGACTTACGGCGGGGATGGCCCTTCAAAACACGAGTTTCTTCAGTGACGTCAGGACTCCTGTCTAGTAACGAGGGACAGCTCAGGAATCTCTTCGAGGATTGGCAGGGCAAAAGGGACGCTTCTCGAGGTGAGGCAGGGCACCCAAGGACCCTTTCCAGTAGCCACAGCGATTTTGGGATTCCTATCAGTATTCAAGAGGAGTCAGGCATCGTCACCTTTTGAAGCAATGAACTCCGCGTGCCTCTCGAGGTGTCAGCGGGATGTGAGGCATTCCGTAAAAATGAGGCAGGGACCTAGGGCTTTCTCTAAGGTCTCCACAGGGGATTCAGACATCCCTTCATGTTGTGAGATGAAAGACGAGCCTGTATTCAAGCCACTGAAAGGAAATCCGGCCTCCTTTCAAGTTAGGGCTTCTCGCTGTATATTCCCCTTGAGGCAGCAAACACGGGGTCCCTCCCACATACCTATTGCTGAGAGAATCCTCCTCCTGAGGTAACTCTGGAAGTTGGCATACGTCTTGACCTTAAGCCAAGGAATCAGCTCTCATCTCGAGACGATTTGGGGTACACGGAGCATTCCTCGAGTTGCTGTGCTGAAGTTGGTGTTCCTCTAGACTTGGGACAGTGTTCTCGGGGCATCTCTGGAGTTGCCTGAAGGAAGTCGAGCCACCGGTTGTGTTGAATGGGGAACGGCGAATGGCTCTGGAGTCAATGCAGGGGAATCGGGCCTCGTCTCGAGTTGATTTGGGGCACATGGAGCTGCTTTGCGTTGCTGGGGTGACCTCAGGGTCCGTCTAGACTGGTGACAGTGTTCTTGGGGACTGTCTGGAGATCCATTAAGCAAGTCGAAGCTCCTGACTTGTTTGAATGGGATCACGGAATAGCTCTGCATGCACTGCAGGGGAATGGGGCCTCATCTCGCCTCTAGGGGGAAGTCTCATGGTTTTTCTCGAGTTGCGGCGGGGACCTGGGGTATGTTCTCGACTTACGGCGGGGATGGCCCTTCAAAACACGAGTTTCTTCAGTGACGTCAGGACTCCTGTCTAGTAACGAGGGACACTTCAGCAATCTCTTCGAGGCTTGGCAGGGCAAAAGGGACGCTTCTCGAGGTGAGGCAGGGCACCCAAGGACCCTTTCCAGTAGCCACAGGGATTTTGGGATTCCTATAAGTAATCAAGAGGAGTCAGGCATCGTCACCTTTTGAAGCAATGAACTCCGCGTGCCTCTCGAGGTGTCAGCGGGATGTGAGGATTCCGTCAAAATGAGGCAGGGACCTAGGGCTTTCTCTAAGGTCTCCACAGGGGATTCAGACATCCCTTCATGTTGTGAGATGAAAGACGAGCCTGTATTCAAGCCACTGCAAGGAAATCTGGCCTCCTTTCAAGTTAGGGCTTCTCGCTGTATATTCCCCTTGAGGCAGCAAACTCGGGGTCCCTCCCACATACCTATTGCTGAGAGAAGCCTCCTCCTGAGGTGCTTCTGGAAAGGTGGCATACGTCTTGAGCCTAAGCCAGGGAATCAGCTCTCATCTCGAGACGATTTGGGGTACACAGAGCATTCCTCGAGTTGCTATGCTGAAGTTGGTGGTCCTCTAGACTTGGGACAGTGTTCTCGGGGCATCTCTGGAGTTGCCTGAAGGAAGTCGAGCCACCGGTCGTGTTGAATGGGGAACAAGGAATGGCTCTGGAGTCAATGCAGGGGAATCCGGCCTCATCTCGAGTTGATTTGGGGCACATGGAGCTGCTTTGCGTTGCTGGGTGACCTCAGGGTCCGTCTAGACTGGTGACAGTGTACTTGGGGACTGTCTGGAGATCCATTAAGCAAGTCGAAGCTCCTGACTTGTTTGAATGGGATCACGGAATAGCTCTGCATGCACTGCAGGGGAATGGGGCCTCATCTCGCCTCTAGGGGGAAGTCTCATGGTTTTTCTGGAGTTGCGGCGGGGACCTGGGGTATGTTCTCGACTTACGGCGGGGATGGCCCTTCAAAACACGAGTTTCTTCAGTGACGTCAGGACTCCTCTCTAGTAACGAGGGACACCTCAGGAATCTCTTCGAGGCTTGGCAGGGCAAAAGGGACGCTTCTCGAGGTGAGGCAGGGCACCCAAGGACCCTTTCCAGTAGCCACAGGGATTTTGGGATTCCTATCAGTATTCAAGAGGAGTCAGGCATCGTCACCTTTTGAAGCAATGAACTCCGCGTGCCTCTCGAGGTGTCAGCGGGATGTGAGGCATTCCGTAAAAATGAGGCAGGGACCTAGGGCTTTCTCTAAGGTCTCCACAGGGGATTCAGACATCCCTTCATGTTGTGAGATGAAAGACGAGCCTGTATTCAAGCCACTGAAAGGAAATCCGGCCTCCTTTCAAGTTAGGGCTTCTCGCTGTATATTCCCCTTGAGGCAGCAAACTCGGGGTCCCTCCCACATACATATTGCTGAGAGAAGCCTCCTCCTGAGGTGCTTCTGGGAAGTTGGCATACGTCTTGAGCCTAAGCCAGGGAATCAGCTCTCATCTCGAGACGATTTGGGGTACACGAAGCATTCCTCGAGTTGCTGTGCTGAAGTTGGTGTTCCTCTAGACTTGGGACAGTGTTCTCGGGGCATCTCTGGAGTTACCTGAAGGAAGTCGAGCCACCGGTCGTGTTGAATGGGGAACGGGGAATGTCTTTGCAGTCAATGCAGGGGAATCGGGCCTCATCTCGAGTTGATTTAGGGTACATGGAGCTGCTTTGCGTTGCTGGGGTGACCTCAGGGTCCGTCTAGACTGGTGACAGTGTTCTTGGGGACTGTCTGGAGATCCATTAAGCAAGTCGAAGCTCCTGACTTGTTTGAATGGGATCACGGATTGCTCTGCATGCACTGCAGGGGAATGGGGCCTCATCTCGCCTCTAGGGGGAAGTCTCATGGTTTTTCTCGAGTTGCGGCGGGGACCTGGGGTATGTTCTCGACTTACAGCGGGGATGGCCCTTCAAAACACGAGTTTCTTCAGTGACGTCAGGACTCCTGTCTAGTAACGAGGGACAGCTCAGGAATCTCTTCGAGGATTGGCAGGGCAAAAGGGACGCTTCTCGAGGTGAGGCAGGGCACCCAAGGACCCTTTCCAGTAGCCACAGCGATTTTGGGATTCCTATCAGTATTCAAGAGGAGTCAGGCATCGTCACCTTTTGAAGCAATGAACTCCGCGTGCCTCTCGAGGTGTCAGCGGGATGTGAGGCATTCCGTCAAAATGAGGTAGGGCCCTAGGGCTTTCTCTAAGGTCTCCACAGGGGATTCAGACATCCCTTCATGTTGTGAGATGAAAGACGAGCCTGTATTCAAGCCACTGAAAGGAAATCCGGCCTCCTTTCAAGTTAGGGCTTCTCGCTGTATATTCCCCTTGAGGCAGCAAACACGGGGTCCCTCCCACATACCTATTGCTGAGAGAATCCTCCTCCTGAGGTAACTCTGGAAGTTGGCATACGTCTTGACCCTAAGCCAAGGAATCAGCTCTCATCTCGAGACGATTTGGGGTACACGGAGCATTCCTCGAGTTGCTGTGCTGAAGTTGGTGTTCCTCTAGACTTGGGACAGTGTTCTCGGGGCATCTCTGGAGTTGCCTGAAGGAAGTCGAGCCACCGGTCGTGTTGAATGGGGAACGGCGAATGGCTCTGGAGTCAATGCAGGGGAATCGGGCCTCATCTCGAGTTGATTTGGGGCACATGGAGCTGCTTTGCGTTGCTGGGGTGACCTCAGGGTCCGTCTAGACTGGTGACAGTGTTCTTGGGGACTGTCTGGAGATCCATTAAGCAAGTCGAAGCTCCTGACTTGTTTGAATGGGATCACGGAATAGCTCTGCATGCACTGCAGGGGAATGGGGCCTCATCTCGCCTCTAGGGGGAAGTCTCATGGTTTTTCTCGAGTTGCGGCGGGGACCTGGGGTATGTTCTCGACTTACAGCGGGGATGGCCCTTCAAAACACGAGTTTCTTCAGTGACGTCAGGACTCCTGTCTAGTAACGAGGGACACTTCAGCAATCTCTTCGAGGCTTGGCAGGGCAAAAGGGACGCTTCTCGAGGTGAGGCATGGCACCCAAGGACCCTTTCCAGTAGCCACAGGGATTTTGGGATTCCTATAAGTAATCAAGAGGAGTCAGGCATCGTCAACTTTTGAAGCAATGAACTCCGCGTGCCTCTCGAGGTGTCAGCGGGATGTGAGGATTCCGTCAAAATGAGGCAGGGACCTAGGGCTTTCTCTAAGGTCTCCACAGGGGATTCAGACATCCCTTCATGTTGTGAGATGAAAGACGAGCCTGTATTCAAGCCACTGCAAGGAAATCTGGCCTCCTTTCAAGTTAGGGCTTCTCGCTGTATATTCCCCTTGAGGCAGCAAACTCGGGGTCCCTCCCACATACCTATTGCTGAGAGAAGCCTCCTCCTGAGGTGCTTCTGGAAAGGTGGCATACGTCTTGAGCCTAAGCCAGGGAATCAGCTCTCATCTCGAGACGATTTGGGGTACACAGAGCATTCCTCGAGTTGCTATGCTGAAGTTGGTGGTCCTCTAGACTTGGGACAGTGTTCTCGGGGCATCTCTGGAGTTGCCTGAAGGAAGTCGAGCCACCGGTCGTGTTGAATGGGGAACAAGGAATGGCTCTGGAGTCAATGCAGGGGAATCCGGCCTCATCTCGAGTTGATTTGGGGCACATGGAGCTGCTTTGCATTGCTGGGTGACCTCAGGGTCCGTCTAGACTGGTGACAGTGTACTTGGGGACTGTCTGGAGATCCATTAAGCAAGTCGAAGCTCCTGACTTGTTTGAATGGGATCACGGAATAGCTCTGCATGCACTGCAGGGGAATGGGGCCTCATCTCGCCTCTAGGGGGAAGTCTCATGGTTTTTCTGGAGTTGCGGCGGGGACCTGGGGTATGTTCTCGACTTACGGCGGGGATGGCCCTTCAAAACACGAGTTTCTTCAGTGACGTCAGGACTCCTGTCTAGTAACGAGGGACACTTCAGCAATCTCTTCGAGGCTTGGCAGGGCAAAAGGGACGCTTCTCGAGGTGAGGCAGGGCACCCAAGGACCCTTTCCAGTAGCCACAGCGATTTTGGGATTCCTATCAGTATTCAAGAGGAGTCAGGCATCGTCACCTTTTGAAGCAATGAACTCCGCGTGCCTCTCGAGGTGTCAGCGGGATGTGAGGCATTCCGTCAAAATGAGGTAGGGCCCTAGGGCTTTCTCTAAGGTCTCCACAGGGGATTCAGACATCCCTTCATGTTGTGAGATGAAAGACGAGCCTGTATTCAAGCCACTGAAAGGAAATCCGGCCTCCTTTCAAGTTAGGGCTTCTCGCTGTATATTCCCCTTGAGGCAGCAAACACGGGGTCCCTCCCACATACCTATTGCTGAGAGAATCCTCCTCCTGAGGTAACTCTGGAAGTTGGCATACGTCTTGACCCTAAGCCAAGGAATCAGCTCTCATCTCGAGACGATTTGGGGTACACGGAGCATTCCTCGAGTTGCTGTGCTGAAGTTGGTGTTCCTCTAGACTTGGGACAGTGTTCTCGGGGCATCTCTGGAGTTGCCTGAAGGAAGTCGAGCTACCGGTCGTGTTGAATGGGGAACGGCGAATGGCTCTGGAGTCAATGCAGGGGAATCGGGCCTCGTCTCGAGTTGATTTGGGGCACATGGAGCTGCTTTGCGTTGCTGGGGTGACCTCAGGGTCCGTCTAGACTGGTGACAGTGTTCTTGGGGACTCTCTGGAGATCCATTAAGCAAGTCGAAGCTCCTGACTTGTTTGAATGGGATCACGGAATAGCTCTGCATGCACTGCAGGGGAATGGGGCCTCATCTCGCCTCTAGGGGGAAGTCTCATGGTTTTTCTCGAGTTGCGGCGGGGACCTGGGGTATGTTCTCGACTTACAGCGGGGATGGCCCTTCAAAACACGAGTTTCTTCAGTGACGTCAGGACTCCTGTCTAGTAACGAGGGACACTTCAGCAATCTCTTCGAGGCTTGGCAGGGCAAAAGGGACGCTTCTCGAGGTGAGGCATGGCACCCAAGGACCCTTTCCAGTAGCCACAGGGATTTTGGGATTCCTATAAGTAATCAAGAGGAGTCAGGCATCCTCACCTTTTGAAGCAATGAACTCCGCGAGCCTCTCGAGGTGTCGGCGGGATGTGAGGATTCCGTCAAAATGAGGCAGGGACCTAGGGCTTTCTCTAAGGTCTCCACAGGGGATTCAGACATCCCTTCATGTTGTGAGATGAAAGACGAGCCTGTATTCAAGCCACTGCAAGGAAATCTGGCCTCCTTTCAAGTTAGGGCTTCTCGCTGTATATTCCCCTTGAGGCAGCAAACTCGGGGTCCCTCCCACATACCTATTGCTGAGAGAAGCCTCCTCCTGCGGTGCTTCTGGAAAGGTGGCATACGTCTTGAGCCTAAGCCAGGGAATCAGCTCTCATCTCGAGACGATTTGGGGTACACAGAGCATTCCTCGAGTTGCTATGCTGAAGTTGGTGGTCCTCTAGACTTGGGACAGTGTTCTCGGGGCATCTCTGGAGTTGCCTGAAGGAAGTCGAGCCACCGGTCGTGTTGAATGGGGAACAAGGAATGGCTCTGGAGTCAATGCAGGGGAATCCGGCCTCATCTCGAGTTGATTTGGGGCACATGGAGCTGCTTTGCATTGCTGGGTGACCTCAGGGTCCGTCTAGACTGGTGACAGTGTACTTGGGGACTGTCTGGAGATCCATTAAGCAAGTCGAAGCTCCTGACTTGTTTGAATGGGATCACGGAATAGCTCTGCATGCACTGCAGGGGAATGGGGCCTCATCTCGCCTCTAGGGGGAAGTCTCATGGTTTTTCTCGAGTTGCGGCGGGGACCTGGGGTATGTTCTCGACTTACGGCGGGGATGGCCCTTCAAAACACGAGTTTCTTCAGTGACGTCAGGACTCCTCTCTAGTAACGAGGGACAGCTCAGGAATCTCTTCGAGGATTGGCAGGGCAAAAGGGACGCTTCTCGAGGTGAGGCAGGGCACCCAAGGACCCTTTCCAGTAGCCACAGGGATTTTGGGATTCCTATCAGTATTCAAGAGGAGTCAGGCATCGTCACCTTTTGAAGCAATGAACTCCGCGTGCCTCTCGAGGTGTCAGCGGGATGTGAGGCATTCCGTAAAAATGAGGCAGGGACCTAGGGCTTTCTCTAAGGTCTCCACAGGGGATTCAGACATCCCTTCATGTTGTGAGATGAAAGACGAGCCTGTATTCAAGCCACTGAAAGGAAATCCGGCCTCCTTTCAAGTTAGGGCTTCTCGCTGTATATTCCCCTTGAGGCAGCAAACTCGGGGTCCCTCCCACATACATATTGCTGAGAGAAGCCTCCTCCTGAGGTGCTTCTGGGAAGTTGGCATACGTCTTGAGCCTAAGCCAGGGAATCAGCTCTCATCTCGAGACGATTTGGGGTACACGAAGCATTCCTCGAGTTGCTGTGCTGAAGTTGGTGTTCCTCTAGACTTGGGACAGTGTTCTCGGGGCATCTCTGGAGTTACCTGAAGGAAGTCGAGCCACCGGTCGTGTTGAATGGGGAACGGGAAATGGCTTTGCAGTCAATGCAGGGGAATCGGGCCTCATCTCGAGTTGATTTAGGGCACATGGAGCTGCTTTGCGTTGCTGGGGTGACCTCAGGGTCCGTCTAGACTGGTGACAGTGTTCTTGGGGACTGTCTGGAGATCCATTAAGCAAGTCGAAGCTCCTGACTTGTTTGAATGGGATCACGGAATAGCTCTGCATGCACTGCAGGGGAATGGGGCCTCATCTCGCCTCTAGGGGGAAATCTCATGGTTTTTCTCGAGTTGTGGCGGGGACCTGGGGTATGTTCTCGACTTACGGCGGGGATGGCCCTTCAAAACACGAGTTTCTTCAGTGACGTCAGGACTCCTGTCTAGTAACGAGGGACAGCTCAGGAATCTCTTCGAGGATTGGCAGGGCAAAAGGGACGCTTCTCGAGGTGAGGCAGGGCACCCAAGGACCCTTTCCAGTAGCCACAGCGATTTTGGGATTCCTATCAGTATTCAAGAGGAGTCAGGCATCGTCACCTTTTGAAGCAATGAACTCCGCGTGCCTCTCGAGGTGTCAGCGGGATGTGATGCATTCCGTCAAAATGAGGTAGGGCCCTAGGGCTTTCTCTAAGGTCTCCACAGGGGATTCAGACATCCCTTCATGTTGTGAGATGAAAGACGAGCCTGTATTCAAGCCACTGAAAGGAAATCCGGCCTCCTTTCAAGTTAGGGCTTCTCGCTGTATATTCCCCTTGAGGCAGCAAACACGGGGTCCCTCCCACATACCTATTGCTGAGAGAATCCTCCTCCTGAGGTAACTCTGGAAGTTGGCATACGTCTTGACCCTAAGCCAAGGAATCAGCTCTCATCTCGAGACGATTTGGGGTACACGGAGCATTCCTCGAGATGCTGTGCTGAAGTTGGTGTTCCTCTAGACTTGGGACAGTGTTCTCGGGGCATCTCTGGAGTTGCCTGAAGGAAGTCGAGCCACCGGTCGTGTTGAATGGGGAACGGCGAATGGCTCTGGAGTCAATGCAGGGGAATCGGGCCTCGTCTCGAGTTGATTTGGGGCACATGGAGCTGCTTTGCGTTGCTGGGGTGACCTCAGGGTCCGTCTAGACTGGTGACAGTGTTCTTGGGGCATCTCTGGAGTTGCCTGAAGGAAGTCGAGCCACCGGTCGTGTTGAATGGGGAACGGCGAATGGCTCTGGAGTCAATGCAGGGGAATCGGGCCTCGTCTCGAGTTGATTTGGGGCACATGGAGCTGCTTTGCGTTGCTGGGGTGACCTCAGGGTCCGTCTAGACTGGTGACAGTGTTCTTGGGGACTGTCTGGAGATCCATTAAGCAAGTCGAAGCTCCTGACTTGTTTGAATGGGATCACGGAATAGCTCTGCATGCACTGCAGGGGAATGGGGCCTCATCTCGCCTCTAGGGGGAAGTCGCATGGTTTTTCTCGAGTTGCGGCGGGGACCTGGGGTATGTTCTCGACTTACAGCGGGGATGGCCCTTCAAAACACGAGTTTCTTCAGTGACGTCAGGACTCCTGTCTAGTAACGAGGGACACTTCAGCAATCTCTTCGAGGCTTGGCAGGGCAAAAGGGACGCTTCTCGAGGTGAGGCAGGGCACCCAAGGACCCTTTCCAGTAGCCACAGGGATTTTGGGATTCCTATAAGTAATCAAGAGGAGTCAGGCATCGTCACCTTTTGAAGCAATGAACTCCGCGTGCCTCTCGAGGTGTCAGCGGGATGTGAGGATTCCGTCAAAATGAGGCAGGGACCTAGGGCTTTCTCTAAGGTCTCCACAGGGGATTCAGACATCCCTTCATGTTGTGAGATGAAAGACGAGCCTGTATTCAAGCCACTGCAAGGAAATCTGGCCTCCTTTCAAGTTAGGGCTTCTCGCTGTATATTCCCCTTGAGGCAGCAAACTCGGGGTCCCTCCCACATACCTATTGCTGAGAGAAGCCTCCTCCTGAGGTGCTTCTGGAAAGGTGGCATACGTCTTGAGCCTAAGCCAGGGAATCAGCTCTCATCTCGAGACGATTTGGGGTACACAGAGCATTCCTCGAGTTGCTATGCTGAAGTTGGTGGTCCTCTAGACTTGGGACAGTGTTCTCGGGGCACCTCTGGAGTTGCCTGAAGGAAGTCGAGCCACCGGTCGTGTTGAATGGGGAACAAGGAATGGCTCTGGCGTCAATGCAGGGGAATCCGGCCTCATCTCGAGTTGATTTAGGGCACATGGAGCTGCTTTGCGTTGCTGGGGTGACCTCAGGGTCCGTCTAGACTGGTGACAGTGTTCTTGGGGACTGTCTGGAGATCCATTAAGCAAGTCGAAGCTCCTGACTTGTTTGAATGGGATCACGGAATAGCTCTGCATGCACTGCAGGGGAATGGGGCCTCATCTCGCCTCTAGGGGGAAGTCTCATGGTTTTTCTCGAGTTGCGGCGGGGACCTGGGGTATGTTCTCGACTTACGGCGGGGATGGCCCTTCAAAACACGAGTTTCTTCAGTGACGTCAGGACTTCTGTCTAGTAACGAGGGACAGCTCAGGAATCTCTTCGAGGATTGGCAGGGCAAAAGGGACGCTTCTCGAGGTGAGGCAGGGCACCCAAGGACCCAATCCAGTAGCCACAGCGATTTTGGGATTCCTATCAGTATTCAAGAGGAGTCAGGCATCGTCACCTTTTGAAGCAATGAACTCCGCGTGCCTCTCGAGGTGTCAGCGGGATGTGAGGCATTCCGTCAAAATGAGGTAGGGCCCTAGGGCTTTCTCTAAGGTCTCCACAGGGGATTCAGACATCCCTTCATGTTGTGAGATGAAAGACGAGCCTGTATTCAAGCCACTGAAAGGAAATCCGGCCTCCTTTCAAGTTAGGGCTTCTCGCTGTATATTCCCCTTGAGGCAGCAAACAGGGGGTCCCTCCCACATACCTATTGCTGAGAGAATCCTCCTCCTGAGGTAACTCTGGAAGTTGGCATACGTCTTGACCCTAAGGCAAGGAATCAGCTCTCATCTCGAGACGATTTGGGGTACACGGAGCATTCCTCGAGTTGCTGTGCTGAAGTTGGTGTTCCTCTAGACTTGGGACAGTGTTCTCGGGGCATCTCTGGAGTTGCCTGAAGGAAGTCGAGCCACCGGTCGTGTTGAATGGGGAACGGCGAATGGCTCTGGAGTCAATGCAGGGGAATCGGGCCTCGTCTCGAGTTGACTTGAGGCACATGGAGCTGCTTTGCGTTGCTGGGGTGACCTCAGGGTCCGTCTAGACTGGTGACAGTGTTCTTGGGGACTGTCTGGAGATCCATTAAGCAAGTCGAAGCTCCTGACTTGTTTGAATGGGATCACGGAATAGCTCTGCATGCACTGCAGGGGAATGGGGCCTCATCTCGCCTCTAGGGGGAAGTCTCATGGTTTTTCTCGAGTTGCGGCGGGGACCTGGGGTATGTTCTCGACTTACAGCGGGGATGGCCCTTCAAAACACGAGTTTCTTCAGTGACGTCAGGACTCCTGTCTAGTAACGAGGGACACTTCAGCAATCTCTTCGAGGCTTGGCAGGGCAAAAGGGACGCTTCTCGAGGTGAGGCATGGCACCCAAGGACCCTTTCCAGTAGCCACAGGGATTTTGGGATTCCTATAAGTAATCAAGAGGAGTCAGGCATCGTCACCTTTTGAAGCAATGAACTCCGCGTGCCTCTCGAGGTGTCAGCGGGATGTGAGGATTCCGTCAAAATGAGGCAGGGACCTAGGGCTTTCTCTAAGGTCTCCACAGGGGATTCAGACATCCCTTCATGTTGTGAGATGAAAGACGAGCCTGTATTCAAGCCACTGCAAGGAAATCTGGCCTCCTTTCAAGTTAGGGCTTCTCGCTGTATATTCCCCTTGAGGCAGCAAACTCGGGGTCCCTCCCACATACCTATTGCTGAGAGAAGCCTCCTCCTGAGGTGCTTCTGGAAAGGTGGCATACGTCTTGAGCCTAAGCCAGGGAATCAGCTCTCATCTCGATACGATTTGGGGTACACAGAGCATTCCTCGAGTTGCTATGCTGAAGTTGGTGGTCCTCTAGACTTGGGACAGTGTTCTCGGGGCATCTCTGGAGTTGCCTGAAGGAAGTCGAGCCACCGGTCGTGTTGAATGGGGAACAAGGAATGGCTCTGGAGTCAATGCAGGGGAATCCGGCCTCATCTCGAGTTGATTTGGGGCACATGGAGCTGCTTTGCATTGCTGGGTGACCTCAGGGTCCGTCTAGACTGGTGACAGTGTACTTGGGGACTGTCTGGAGATCCATTAAGCAAGTCGAAGCTCCTGACTTGTTTGAATGGGATCACGGAATAGCTCTGCATGCACTGCAGGGGAATGGGGCCTCATCTCGCCTCTAGGGGGAAGTCTCATGGTTTTTCTCGAGTTGCGGCGGGGACCTGGGGTATGTTCTCGACTTACGGCGGGGATGGCCCTTCAAAACACGAGTTTCTTCAGTGACGTCAGGACTCCTCTCTAGTAACGAGGGACACCTCAGGAATCTCTTCGAGGCTTGGCAGGGCAAAAGGGACGCTTCTCGAGGTGAGGCAGGGCACCCAAGGACCCTTTCCAGTAGCCACAGGGATTTTGGGATTCCTATCAGTATTCAAGAGGAGTCAGGCATCGTCACCTTTTGAAGCAATGAACTCCGCGTGCCTCTCGAGGTGTCAGCGGGATGTGAGGCATTCCGTAAAAATGAGGCAGGGACCTAGGGCTTTCTCTAAGGTCTCCACAGGGGATTCAGACATCCCTTCATGTTGTGAGATGAAAGACGAGCCTGTATTCAAGCCACTGAAAGGAAATCCGGCCTCCTTTCAAGTTAGGGCTTCTCGCTGTATATTCCCCTTGAGGCAGCAAACTCGGGGTCCCTCCCACATACCTATTGCTGAGAGAAGCCTCCTCCTGAGGTGCTTCTGGGAAGTTGGCATACGTCTTGAGCCTAAGCCAGGGAATCAGCTCTCATCTCGAGACGATTTGGGGTACATGGAGCATTCCTCGAGTTGCTGTGCTGAAGTTGGTGTTCCTCTAGACTTGGGACAGTGTTCTCGGGGCATCTCTGGAGTTGCCTGAAGGAAGTCGAGCCACCGGTCGTGTTGAATGGGGAACGGCGAATGACTCTGGAGTCAATGCAGGGGAATCGGGCCTCGTCTCGAGTTGATTTGGGGCACATGGAGCTGCTTTGCGTTGCTGGGGTGACCTCAGGGTCCGTCTAGACTGGTGACAGTGTTCTTGGGGACTGTCTGGAGATCCATTAAGCAAGTCGAAGCTCCTGACTTGCTTGAATGGGATCACGGAATAGCTCTGCATGCACTGCAGGGGAATGGGGCCTCATCTCGCCTCTAGGGGGAAGTCTCATGGTTTTTCTCGAGTTGCGGCGGGGACCTGGGGTATGTTCTCGACTTACAGCGGGGATGGCCCTTCAAAACACGAGTTTCTTCAGTGACGTCAGGACTCCTGTCTAGTAACGAGGGACACTTCAGCAATCTCTTCGAGGCTTGGCAGGGCAAAAGGGACGCTTCTCGAGGTGAGGCATGGCACCCAAGGACCCTTTCCAGTAGCCACAGGGATTTTGGGATTCCTATAAGTAATCAAGAGGAGTCAGGCATCGTCACCTTTTGAAGCAATGAACTCCGCGTGCCTCTCGAGGTGTCAGCGGGATGTGAGGATTCCGTCAAAATGAGGCAGGGACCTAGGGCTTTCTCTAAGGTCTCCACAGGGGATTCAGACATCCCTTCATGTTGTGAGATGAAAGACGAGCCTGTATTCAAGCCACTGAAAGGAAATCCGGCCTCCTTTCAAGTTAGGGCTTCTCGCTGTATATTCCCCTTGAGGCAGCAAACTCGGGGTCCCTCCCACATACATATTGCTGAGAGAAGCCTCCTCCTGAGGTGCTTCTGGGAAGTTGGCATACGTCTTGAGCCTAAGCCAGGGAATCAGCTCTCATCTCGAGACGATTTGGGGTACACGAAGCATTCCTCGAGTTGCTGTGCTGAAGTTGGTGTTCCTCTAGACTTGGGACAGTGTTCTCGGGGCATCTCTGGAGTTACCTGAAGGAAGTCGAGCCACCGGTCGTGTTGAATGGGGAACGGGGAATGGCTCTGCAGTCAATGCAGGGGAATCGGGCCTCATCTCGAGTTGATTTAGGGCACATGGAGCTGCTTTGCGTTGCTGGGGTGACCTCAGGGTCCGTCTAGACTGGTGACAGTGTTCTTGGGGACTGTCTGGAGATCCATTAAGCAAGTCGAAGCTCCTGACTTGTTTGAATGGGATCACGGAATAGCTCTGCATGCACTGCAGGGGAATGGGGCCTCATCTCGCCTCTAGGGGGAAGTCTCATGGTCTTTCTCGAGTTGCGGCGGGGACCTGGGGTATGTTCTCGACTTACGGCGGGGATGGCCCTTCAAAACACGAGTTTCTTCAGTGACGTCAGGACTCCTCTCTAGTAACGAGGGACACCTCAGGAATCTCTTCGAGGCTTGGCAGGGCAAAAGGGACGCTTCTCGAGGTGAGGCAGGGCACCCAAGGACCCTTTCCAGTAGCCACAGGGATTTTGGGATTCCTATCAGTATTCAAGAGGAGTCAGGCATCGTCACCTTTTGAAGCAATGAACTCCGCGTGCCTCTCGAGGTGTCAGCGGGATGTGAGGCATTCCGTAAAAATGAGGCAGGGACCTAGGGCTTTCTCTAAGGTCTCCACAGGGGATTCAGACATCCCTTCATGTTGTGAGATGAAAGACGAGCCTGTATTCAAGCCACTGAAAGGAAATCCGGCCTCCTTTCAAGTTAGGGCTTCTCGCTGTATATTCCCCTTGAGGCAGCAAACACGGGGTCCCTCCCACATACCTATTGCTGAGAGAAGCCTCCTCCTGAGGTGCTTCTGGGAAGTTGGCATACGTCTTGAGCCTAAGCCAGGGAATCAGCTCTCATCTCGAGACGATTTGGGGTACATGGAGCATTCCTCGAGTTGCTGTGCTGAAGTTGGTGTTCCTCTAGACTTGGGACAGTGTTCTCGGGGCATCTCTGGAGTTGCCTGAAGGAAGTCGAGCCACCGGTCGTGTTGAATGGGGAACGGCGAATGGCTCTGGAGTCAATGCAGGGGAATCGGGCCTCGTCTCGAGTTGATTTGGGGCACATGGAGCTGCTTTGCGTTGCTGGGGTGACCTCAGGGTCCGTCTAGACTGGTGACAGTGTTCTTGGGGACTGTCTGGAGATCCATTAAGCAAGTCGAAGCTCCTGACTTGCTTGAATGGGATCACGGAATAGCTCTGCATGCACTGCAGGGGAATGGGGCCTCATCTCGCCTCTAGGGGGAAGTCTCATGGTTTTTCTCGAGTTGCGGCGGGGACCTGGGGTATGTTCTCGACTTACAGCGGGGATGGCCCTTCAAAACACGAGTTTCTTCAGTGACGTCAGGACTCCTGTCTAGTAACGAGGGACACTTCAGCAATCTCTTCGAGGCTTGGCAGGGCAAAAGGGACGCTTCTCGAGGTGAGGCATGGCACCCAAGGACCCTTTCCAGTAGCCACAGGGATTTTGGGATTCCTATAAGTAATCAAGAGGAGTCAGGCATCGTCACCTTTTGAAGCAATGAACTCCGCGTGCCTCTCGAGGTGTCAGCGGGATGTGAGGATTCCGTCAAAATGAGGCAGGGACCTAGGGCTTTCTCTAAGGTCTCCACAGGGGATTCAGACATCCCTTCATGTTGTGAGATGAAAGACGAGCCTGTATTCAAGCCACTGAAAGGAAATCCGGCCTCCTTTCAAGTTAGGGCTTCTCGCTGTATATTCCCCTTGAGGCAGCAAACTCGGGGTCCCTCCCACATACATATTGCTGAGAGAAGCCTCCTCCTGAGGTGCTTCTGGGAAGTTGGCATACGTCTTGAGCCTAAGCCAGGGAATCAGCTCTCATCTCGAGACGATTTGGGGTACACGAAGCATTCCTCGAGTTGCTGTGCTGAAGTTGGTGTTCCTCTAGACTTGGGACAGTGTTCTCGGGGCATCTCTGGAGTTACCTGAAGGAAGTCGAGCCACCGGTCGTGTTGAATGGGGAACGGGGAATGGCTCTGCAGCCAATGCAGGGGAATCGGGCCTCATCTCGAGTTGATTTAGGGCACATGGAGCTGCTTTGCGTTGCTGGGGTGACCTCAGGGTCCGTCTAGACTGGTGACAGTGTTCTTGGGGTCTGTCTGGAGATCCATTAAGCAAGTCGAAGCTCCTGACTTGTTTGAATGGGATCACGGAATAGCTCTGCATGCACTGCAGGGGAATGGGGCCTCATCTCGCCTCTAGGGGGAAGTCTCATGGTCTTTCTCGAGTTGCGGCGGGGACCTGGGGTATGTTCTCGACTTACGGCGGGGATGGCCCTTCAAAACACGAGTTTCTTCAGTGACGTCAGGACTCCTCTCTAGTAACGAGGGACACCTCAGGAATCTCTTCGAGGCTTGGCAGGGCAAAAGGGACGCTTCTCGAGGTGAGGCAGGGCACCCAAGGACCCTTTCCAGTAGCCACAGGGATTTTGGGATTCCTATCAGTATTCAAGAGGAGTCAGGCATCGTCACCTTTTGAAGCAATGAACTCCGCGTGCCTCTCGAGGTGTCAGCGGGATGTGAGGCATTCCGTAAAAATGAGGCAGGGACCTAGGGCTTTCTCTAAGGTCTCCACAGGGGATTCAGACATCCCTTCATGTTGTGAGATGAAAGACGAGCCTGTATTCAAGCCACTGAAAGGAAATCCGGCCTCCTTTCAAGTTACGGCTTCTCGCTGTATATTCCCCTTGAGGCAGCAAACTCGGGGTCCCTCCCACATACATATTGCTGAGAGAAGCATCCTCCTGAGGTGCTTCTGGGAAGTTGGCATACGTCTTGAGCCTAAGCCAGGGAATCAGCTCTCATCTCGAGACGATTTGGGGTACACGAACCATTCCTCGAGTTGCTGTGCTGAAGTTGGTGTTCCTCTAGACTTGGGACAGTGTTCTCGGGGCATCTCTGGAGTTACCTGAAGGAAGTCGAGCCACCGGTCGTGTTGAATGGGGAACGGAGAATGGCTCTGCAGTCAATGCAGGGGAATCGGGCCTCATCTCGAGTTGATTTAGGGCACATGGAGCTGCTTTGCGTTGCTGGGGTGACCTCAGGGTCCGTCTAGACTGGTGACAGTGTTCTTGGGGACTGTCTGGAGATCCATTAAGCAAGTCGAAGCTCCTGACTTGTTTGAATGGGATCACGGAATAGCTCTGCATGCACTGCAGGGGAATGGGGCCTCATCTCGCCTCTAGGGGGAAGTCTCATGGTTTTTCTCGAGTTGCGGCGGGGACCTGGGGTATGTTCTCGACTTACGGCGGGGATGGCCCTTCAAAACACGAGTTTCTTCAGTGACGTCAGGACTCCTGTCTAGTAACGAGGGACAGCTCAGGAATCTCTTCGAGGATTGGCAGGGCAAAAGGGACGCTTCTCGAGGTGAGGCAGGGCACCCAAGGACCCTTTCCAGTAGCCACAGCGATTTTGGGATTCCTATCAGTATTCAAGAGGAGTCAGGCATCGTCACCTTTTGAAGCAATGAACTCCGCGTGCCTCTCTAGGTGTCAGCGGGATGTGAGGCATTCCGTCAAAATGAGGTAGGGCCCTAGGGCTTTCTCTAAGGTCTCCACAGGGGATTCAGACATCCCTTCATGTTGTGAGATGAAAGACGAGCCTGTATTCAAGCCACTGAAAGGAAATCCGGCCTCCTTTCAAGTTAGGGCTTCTCGCTGTATATTCCCCTTGAGGCAGCAAACACGGGGTCCCTCCCACATACCTATTGCTGAGAGAATCCTCCTCCTGAGGTAACTCTGGAAGTTGGCATACGTCTTGACCCTAAGCCAAGGAATCAGCTCTCATCTCGAGACGATTTGGGGTACACGGAGCATTCCTCGAGTTGCTGTGCTGAAGTTGGTGTTCCTCTAGACTTGGGACAGTGTTCTCGGGGCATCTCTGGAGTTGCCTGAAGGAAGTCGAGCCACCGGTCGTGTTGAATGGGGAACAAGGAATGGCTCTGGAGTCAATGCAGGGGAATCCGGCCTCATCTCGAGTTGATTTGGGGCACATGGAGCTGCTTTGCATTGCTGGGTGACCTCAGGGTCCGTCTAGACTGGTGACAGTGTACTTGGGGACTGTCTGGAGATCCATTAAGCAAGTCGAAGCTCCTGACTTGTTTGAATGGGATCACGGAATAGCTCTGCATGCACTGCAGGGGAATGGGGCCTCATCTCGCCTCTAGGGGGAAGTCTCATGGTTTTTCTGGAGTTGCGGCGGGGACCTGGGGTATGTTCTCGACTTACGGCGGGGATGGCCCTTCAAAACACGAGTTTCTTCAGTGACGTCAGGACTCCTCTCTAGTAACGAGGGACACCTCAGGAATCTCTTCGAGGCTTGGCAGGGCAAAAGGGACGCTTCTCGAGGTGAGGCAGGGCACCCAAGGACCCTTTCCAGTAGCCACAGCGATTTTGGGATTCCTATCAGTATTCAAGAGGAGTCAGGCATCGTCACCTTTTGAAGCAATGAACTCCGCGTGCCTCTCGAGGTGTCAGCGGGATGTGAGGCATTCCGTAAAAATGAGGCAGGGACCTAGGGCTTTCTCTAAGGTCTCCACAGGGGATTCAGACATCCCTTCATGTTGTGAGATGAAAGACGAGCCTGTATTCAAGCCACTGAAAGGAAATCCAGCCTCCTTTCAAGTTAGGGCTTCTCGCTGTATATTCCCCTTGAGGCAGCAAACTCGGGGTCCCTCCCACATACATATTGCTGAGAGAATCCTCCTCCTGAGGTAATTCTGGGAAGTTGGCATACGTCTTGACCCTAAGCCAAGGAATCAGCTCTCATCTCGAGACGATTTGGGGTACACGGAGCATTCCTCGAGTTGCTGTGCTGAAGTTCGTGTTCCTCTAGACTTGGGACAGTGTTCTCGGGGCATCTCTGGAGTTGCCTGAAGGAAGTCGAGCCACCGGTCGTGTTGAATGGGGAACGGGGAATGGCTCTGGAGTCAATGCAGGGGAATCGGGCCTCGTCTCGAGTTGATTTGGGGCACATGGAGCTGCTTTGCGTTGCTGGGGTGACCTCAGGGTCCGTCTAGACTGGTGACAGTGTTCTTGGGGACTGTCTGGAGATCCATTAAGCAAGTCGAAGCTCCTGACTTGTTTGAATGGGATCACGGAATAGCTCTGCATGCACTGCAGGGGAATGGGGCCTCATCTCGCCTCTAGGGGGAAGTCTCATGGTTTTTCTCGAGTTGCGGCGGGGACCTGGGGTATGTTCTCGACTTACGGCGGGGATGGCCCTTCAAAACACGAGTTTCTTCAGTGACGTCAGGACTCCTGTCTAGTAACGAGGGACAGCTCAGGAATCTCTTCGAGGATTGGCAGGGCAAAAGGGACGCTTCTCGAGGTGAGGCAGGGCACCCAAGGACCCTTTCCAATAGCCACAGCGATTTTGGGATTCCTATCAGTATTCAAGAGGAGTCAGGCATCGTCACCTTTTGAAGCAATGAACTCCGCGTGCCTCTCGAGGTGTCAGCGGGATGTGAGGCATTCCGTCAAAATGAGGTAGGGCCCTAGGGCTTTCTCTAAGGTCTCCACAGGGGATTCAGACATCCCTTCATGTTGTGAGATGAAAGACGAGCCTGTATTCAAGCCACTGAAAGGAAATCCGGCCTCCTTTCAAGTTAGGGCTTCTCGCTGTATATTCCCCTTGAGGCAGCAAACACGGGGTCCCTCCCACATACCTATTGCTGAGAGAATCCTCCTCCTGAGGTAACTCTGGAAGTTGGCATACGTCTTGACCCTAAGCCAAGGAATCAGCTCTCATCTCGAGACGATTTGGGGTACACGGAGCATTCCTCGAGTTGCTGTGCTGAAGTTGGTGTTCCTCTAGACTTGGGACAGTGTTCTCGGGGCATCTCTGGAGTTGCCTGAAGGAAGTCGAGCCACCGGTCGTGTTGAATGGGGAACAAGGAATGGCTCTGGAGTCAATGCAGGGGAATCCGGCCTCATCTCGAGTTGATTTGGGGCACATGGAGCTGCTTTGCATTGCTGGGTGACCTCAGGGTCCGTCTAGACTGGTGACAGTGTACTTGGGGACTGTCTGGAGATCCATTAAGCAAGTCGAAGCTCCTGACTTGTTTGAATGGGATCACGGAATAGCTCTGCATGCACTGCAGGGGAATGGGGCCTCATCTCGCCTCTAGGGGGAAGTCTCATGGTTTTTCTGGAGTTGCGGCGGGGACCTGGGGTATGTTCTCGACTTACGGCGGGGATGGCCCTTCAAAACACGAGTTTCTTCAGTGACGTCAGGACTCCTCTCTAGTAACGAGGGACACCTCAGGAATCTCTTCGAGGCTTGGCAGGGCAAAAGGGACGCTTCTCGAGGTGAGGCAGGGCACCCAAGGACCCTTTCCAGTAGCCACAGCGATTTTGGGATTCCTATCAGTATTCAAGAGGAGTCAGGCATCGTCACCTTTTGAAGCAATGAACTCCGCGTGCCTCTCGAGGTGTCAGCGGGATGTGAGGCATTCCGTAAAAATGAGGCAGGGACCTAGGGCTTTCTCTAAGGTCTCCACAGGGGATTCAGACATCCCTTCATGTTGTGAGATGAAAGACGAGCCTGTATTCAAGCCACTGAAAGGAAATCCAGCCTCCTTTCAAGTTAGGGCTTCTCGCTGTATATTCCCCTTGAGGCAGCAAACTCGGGGTCCCTCCCACATACATATTGCTGAGAGAATCCTCCTCCTGAGGTAATTCTGGGAAGTTGGCATACGTCTTGACCCTAAGCCAAGGAATCAGCTCTCATCTCGAGACGATTTGGGGTACACGGAGCATTCCTCGAGTTGCTGTGCTGAAGTTCGTGTTCCTCTAGACTTGGGACAGTGTTCTCGGGGCATCTCTGGAGTTGCCTGAAGGAAGTCGAGCCACCGGTCGTGTTGAATGGGGAACGGGGAATGGCTCTGGAGTCAATGCAGGGGAATCGGGCCTCGTCTCGAGTTGATTTGGGGCACATGGAGCTGCTTTGCGTTGCTGGGGTGACCTCAGGGTCCGTCTAGACTGGTGACAGTGTTCTTGGGGACTGTCTGGAGATCCATTAAGCAAGTCGAAGCTCCTGACTTGTTTGAATGGGATCACGGAATAGCTCTGCATGCACTGCAGGGGAATGGGGCCTCATCTCGCCTCTAGGGGGAAGTCTCATGGTTTTTCTCGAGTTGCGGCGGGGACCTGGGGTATGTTCTCGACTTACGGCGGGGATGGCCCTTCAAAACACGAGTTTCTTCAGTGACGTCAGGACTCCTGTCTAGTAACGAGGGACAGCTCAGGAATCTCTTCGAGGATTGGCAGGGCAAAAGGGACGCTTCTCGAGGTGAGGCAGGGCACCCAAGGACCCTTTCCAATAGCCACAGCGATTTTGGGATTCCTATCAGTATTCAAGAGGAGTCAGGCATCGTCACCTTTTGAAGCAATGAACTCCGCGTGCCTCTCGAGGTGTCAGCGGGATGTGAGGCATTCCGTCAAAATGAGGTAGGGCCCTAGGGCTTTCTCTAAGGTCTCCACAGGGGATTCAGACATCCCTTCATGTTGTGAGATGAAAGACGAGCCTGTATTCAAGCCACTGAAAGGAAATCCGGCCTCCTTTCAAGTTAGGGCTTCTCGCTGTATATTCCCCTTGAGGCAGCAAACACGGGGTCCCTCCCACATACCTATTGCTGAGAGAATCCTCCTCCTGAGGTAACTCTGGAAGTTGGCATACGTCTTGACCCTAAGCCAAGGAATCAGCTCTCATCTCGAGACGATTTGGGGTACACGGAGCATTCCTCGAGTTGCTGTGCTGAAGTTGGTGTTCCTCTAGACTTGGGACAGTGTTCTCGGGGCATCTCTGGAGTTGCCTGAAGGAAGTCGAGCCACCGGTCGTGTTGAATGGGGAACAAGGAATGGCTCTGGAGTCAATGCAGGGGAATCCGGCCTCATCTCGAGTTGATTTGGGGCACATGGAGCTGCTTTGCATTGCTGGGTGACCTCAGGGTCCGTCTAGACTGGTGACAGTGTACTTGGGGACTGTCTGGAGATCCATTAAGCAAGTCGAAGCTCCTGACTTGTTTGAATGGGATCACGGAATAGCTCTGCATGCACTGCAGGGGAATGGGGCCTCATCTCGCCTCTAGGGGGAAGTCTCATGGTTTTTCTGGAGTTGCGGCGGGGACCTGGGGTATGTTCTCGACTTACGGCGGGGATGGCCCTTCAAAACACGAGTTTCTTCAGTGACGTCAGGACTCCTCTCTAGTAACGAGGGACACCTCAGAAATCTCTTCGAGGCTTGGCAGGGCAAAAGGGACGCTTCTCGAGGTGAGGCAGGGCACCCAAGGACCCTTTCCAGTAGCCACAGGGATTTTGGGATTCCTATCAGTATTCAAGAGGAGTCAGGCATCGTCACCTTTTGAAGCAATGAAATCCGCGTGCCTCTCGAGGTGTCAGCGGGATGTGAGGCATTCCGTAAAAATGAGGCAGGGACCTAGGGCTTTCTCTAAGGTCTCCACAGGGGATTCAGACATCCCTTCATGTTGTGAGATGAAAGACGAGCCTGTATTCAAGCCACTGAAAGGAAATCCGGCCTCCTTTCAAGTTAGGGCTTCTCGCTGTATATTCCCCTTGAGGCAGCAAACTCGGGGTCCCTCCCACATACATATTGCTGAGAGAAGCCTCCTCCTGAGGTGCTTCTGGGAAGTTGGCATACGTCTTGAGCCTAAGCCAGGGAATCAGCTCTCATCTCGAGACGATTTGGGGTACACGAAGCATTCCTCGAGTTGCTGTGCTGAAGTTGGTGTTCCTCTAGACTTGGGACAGTGTTCTCGGGGCATCTCTGGAGTTACCTGAAGGAAGTCGAGCCACCGGTCGTGTTGAATGGGGAACGGGGAATGGCTCTGCAGTCAATGCAGGGGAATCGGGCCTCATCTCGAGTTGATTTAGGGCACATGGAGCTGCTTTGCGTTGCTGGGGTGACCTCAGGGTCCGTCTAGACTGGTGACAGTGTTCTTGGGGACTGTCTGGAGATCCATTAAGCAAGTCGAAGCTCCTGACTTGTTTGAATGGGATCACGGAATAGCTCTGCATGCACTGCAGGGGAATGGGGCCTCATCTCGCCTCTAGGGGGAAGTCTCATGGTTTTTCTCGAGTTGTGGCGGGGACCTGGGGTATGTTCTCGACTTACGGCGGGGATGGCCCTTCAAAACACGAGTTTCTTCAGTGACGTCAGGACTCCTGTCTAGTAACGAGGGACAGCTCAGGAATCTCTTCGAGGATTGGCAGGGCAAAAGGGACGCTTCTCGAGGTGAGGCAGGGCACCCAAGGACCCTTTCCAGTAGCCACAGGGATTTTGGGATTCCTATCAGTATTCAAGAGGAGTCAGGCATCGTCACCTTTTGAAGCAATGAACTCCGCGTGCCTCTCGAGGTGTCAGCGGGATGTGAGGCATTCCGTCAAAATGAGGTAGGGCCCTAGGGCTTTCTCTAAGGTCTCCACAGGGGATTCAGACATCCCTTCATGTTGTGAGATGAAAGACGAGCCTGTATTCAAGCCACTGCAAGGAAATCCGGCCTCCTTTCAAGTTAGGGCTTCTCGCTGTATATTCCCCTTGAGGCAGCAAACTCGGAGTCCCTCCCACATACCTATTGCTGAGAGAAGCCTCCTCCTGAGGTAATTCTGGGAAGTTGGCATACGTCTTGACCCTAAGCCAAGGAATCAGCTCTCATCTCGAGACGATTAGGGGTACACGGAGCATTCCTCGAGTTGCTGTGCTGAAGTTCGTGTTCCTCTAGACTTGGGACAGTGTTCTCGGGGCATCTCTGGAGTTGCCTGAAGGAAGTCGAGCCACCGGTCGTGTTGAATGTGGAACGGGGAATGGCTCTGGAGTCAATGCAGGGGAATCGGGCCTCGTCTCGAGTTGATTTGGGGCACATGGAGCTGCTTTGCGTTGCTGGGGTGACCTCAGGGTCCGTCTAGACTGGTGACAGTGTTCTTGGGGACTGTCTGGAGATCCATTAAGCAAGTCGAAGCTCCTGACTTGTTTGAATGGGATCACGGAATAGCTCTGCATGCACTGCAGGGGAATGGGGCCTCATCTCGCCTCTAGGGGGAAGTCTCATGGTTTTTCTCGAGTTGCGGCGGGGACCTGGGGTATGTTCTCGACTTACAGCGGGGATGGCCCTTCAAAACACGAGTTTCTTCAGTGACCTCAGGACTCCTGTCTAGTAACAAGGGACACCTCAGGAATCTCTTCGAGGCTTGGCAGGGCAAAAGGGACGCTTCTCGAGGTGAGGCAGGGCACCCAAGGACCCTTTCCAGTAGCCACAGGGATTTTGGGATTCCTATCAGTATTCAAGAGGAGTCAGGCATCGTCACCTTTTGAAGCAATGAACTCCGCGTGCCTCTCGAGGTGTCAGCGGGATGTGAGGCATTCCGTAAAAATGAGGCAGGGACCAAGGGCTTTCTCTAAGGTCTCCACAGGGGATTCAGACATCCCTTCATGTTGTGAGATGAAAGACGAGCCTGTATTCAAGCCACTGAAAGGAAATCCGGCCTCCTTTCAAGTTAGGGCTTCTCGCTGTATATTCCCCTTGAGGCAGCAAACTCGGGGTCCCTCCCACATACATATTGCTGAGAGAAGCCTCCTCCTGAGGTGCTTCTGGGAAGTTGGCATACGTCTTGAGCCTAAGCCAGGGAATCAGCTCTCATCTCGAGACGATTTGGGGGTACACGAAGCATTCCTCGAGTTGCTGTGCTGAAGTTGGTGTTCCTCTAGACTTGGGACAGTGTTCTCGGGGCATCTCTGGAGTTACCTGAAGGAAGTCGAGCCACCGGTCGTGTTGAATGGGGAACGGGGAATGGCTTTGCAGTCAATGCAGGGGAATCGGGCCTCATCTCGAGTTGATTTAGGGCACATGGAGCTGCTTTGCGTTGCTGGGGTGACCTCAGGGTCCGTCTAGACTGGTGACAGTGTTCTTGGGGACTGTCTGGAGATCCATTAAGCAAGTCGAAGCTCCTGACTTGTTTGAATGGGATCACGGAATAGCTCTGCATGCACTGCAGGGGAATGGGGCCTCATCTCGCCTCTAGGGGGAAGTCTCATGGTTTTTCTCGAGTTGCGGCGGGGACCTGGGGTATGTTCTCGACTTACGGCGGGGATGGCCCTTCAAAACACGAGTTTCTTCAGTGACGTCAGGACTCCTGTCTAGTAACGAGGGACAGCTCACGAATCTCTTCGAGGATTGGCAGGGCAAAAGGGACGCTTCTCGAGGTGAGGCAGGGCACCCAAGGACCCTTTCCAGTAGCCACAGCGATTTTGGGATTCCTATCAGTATTCAAGAGGAGTCAGGCATCGTCACCTTTTGAAGCAATGAACTCCGCGTGCCTCTCGAGGTGTCAGCGGGATGTGAGGCATTCCGTCAAAATGAGGTAGGGTCCTAGGGCTTTCTCTAAGGTCTCCACAGGGGATTCAGACATCCCTTCATGTTGTGAGATGAAAGACGAGCCTGTATTCAAGCCACTGAAAGGAAATCCGGCCTCCTTTCAAGTTAGGGCTTCTCGCTGTATATTCCCCTTGAGGCAGCAAACACGGGGTCCCTCCCACATACCTATTGCTGAGAGAAGCCTCCTCCTGAGGTAATTCTGGGAAGTTGGCATACGTCTTGACCCTAAGCCAAGGAATCAGCTCTCATCTCGAGACGATTAGGGGTACACGGAGCATTCCTCGAGTTGCTGTGCTGAAGTTCGTGTTCCTCTAGACTTGGGACAGTGTTCTCGGGGCATCTCTGGAGTTGCCTGAAGGAAGTCGAGCCACCGGTCGTGTTGAATGTGGAACGGGGAATGGCTCTGGAGTCAATGCAGGGGAATCGGGCCTCGTCTCGAGTTGATTTGGGGCACATGGAGCTGCTTTGCTTTGCTGGGGTGACCTCAGGGTCCGTCTAGACTGGTGACAGTGTTCTTGGGGACTGTCTGGAGATCCATTAAGCAAGTCGAAGCTCCTGACTTGTTTGAATGGGATCACGGAATAGCTCTGCATGCACTGCAGGGGAATGGGGCCTCATCTCGCCTCTAGGGGGAAGTCTCATGGTTTTTCTCGAGTTGCGGCGGGGACCTGGGGTATGTTCTCGACTTACAGCGGGGATGGCCCTTCAAAACACGAGTTTCTTCAGTGACATCAGGACTCCTGTCTAGTAACGAGGGACACCTCAGGAATCTCTTCGAGGCTTGGCAGGGCAAAAGGGACGCTTCTCGAGGTGAGGCAGGGCACCCAAGGACCCTTTCCATTAGCCACAGGGATTTTGGGATTCCTATCAGTATTCAAGAGGAGTCAGGCATCGTCACCTTTTGAAGCAATGAACTCCGCGTGCCTCTCGAGGTGTCAGCGGGATGTGAGGCATTCCGTAAAAATGAGGCAGGGACCAAGGGCTTTCTCTAAGGTCTCCACAGGGGATTCAGACATCCCTTCATGTTGTGAGATGAAAGACGAGCCTGTATTCAAGCCACTGAAAGGAAATCCGGCCTCCTTTCAAGTTAGGGCTTCTCGCTGTATATTCCCCTTGAGGCAGCAAACTCGGGGTCCCTCCCACATACATATTGCTGAGAGAAGCCTCCTCCTGAGGTGCTTCTGGGAAGTTGGCATACGTCTTGAGCCTAAGCCAGGGAATCAGCTCTCATCTCGAGACGATTTGGGGGTACACGAAGCATTCCTCGAGTTGCTGTGCTGAAGTTGGTGTTCCTCTAGACTTGGGACAGTGTTCTCGGGGCATCTCTGGAGTTACCTGAAGGAAGTCGAGCCACCGGTCGTGTTGAATGGGGAACGGGGAATGGCTTTGCAGTCAATGCAGGGGAATCGGGCCTCATCTCGAGTTGATTTAGGGCACATGGAGCTGCTTTGCGTTGCTGGGGTGACCTCAGGGTCCGTCTAGACTGGTGACAGTGTTCTTGGGGACTGTCTGGAGATCCATTAAGCAAGTCGAAGCTCCTGACTTGTTTGAATGGGATCACGGAATAGCTCTGCATGCACTGCAGGGGAATGGGGCCTCATCTCGCCTCTAGGGGGAAGTCTCATGGTTTTTCTCGAGTTGCGGCGGGGACCTGGGGTATGTTCTCGACTTACGGCGGGGATGGCCCTTCAAAACACGAGTTTCTTCAGTGACGTCAGGACTCCTGTCTAGTAACGAGGGACAGCTCAGGAATCTCTTCGAGGATTGGCAGGGCAAAAGGGACGCTTCTCGAGGTGAGGCAGGGCACCCAAGGACCCTTTCCAGTAGCCACAGCGATTTTGGGATTCCTATCAGTATTCAAGAGGAGTCAGGCATCGTCACCTTTTGAAGCAATGAACTCCGCGTGCCTCTCGAGGTGTCAGCGGGATGTGAGGCATTCCGTAAAAATGAGGTAGGGCCCTAGGGCTTTCTCTAAGGTCTCCACAGGGGATTCAGACATCCCTTCATGTTGTGAGATGAAAGACGAGCCTGTATTCAAGCCACTGAAAGGAAATCCGGCCTCCTTTCAAGTTAGGGCTTCTCACTGTATATTCCCCTTGAGGCAGCAAACACGGGGTCCCTCCCACATACCTATTGCTGAGAGAATCCTCCTCCTGAGGTAACTCTGGAAGTTGGCATACGTCTTGACCCTAAGCCAAGGAATCAGCTCTCATCTCGAGACGATTTGGGGTACACGGAGCATTCCTCGAGTTGCTGTGCTGAAGTTGGTGTTCCTCTAGGCTTGGGACAGTGTTCTCGGGGCATCTCTGGAGTTGCCTGAAGGAAGTCGAGCCACCGGTCGTGTTGAATGGGGAACGGCGAATGGCTCTGGAGTCAATGCAGGGGAATCGGGCCTCGTCTCGAGTTGATTTGGGGCACATGGAGCTGCTTTGCGTTGCTGGGGTGACCTCAGGGTCCGTCTAGACTGGTGACAGTGTTCTTGGGGATTGTCTGGAGATCCATTAAGCAAGTCGAAGCTCCTGACTTGTTTGAATGGGATCACGGAATAGCTCTGCATGCACTGCAGGGGAATGGGGCCTCATCTCGCCTCTAGGGGGAAGTCTCATGGTTTTTCTCGAGTTGCGGCGGGGACCTGGGGTATGTTCTCGACTTACAGCGGGGATGGCCCTTCAAAACACGAGTTTCTTCAGTGACGTCAGGACTCCTGTCTAGTAACGAGGGACACCTCAGGAATCTCTTCGAGGCTTGGCAGGGCAAAAGGGACGCTTCTCGAGGTGAGGCAGGGCACCCAAGGACCCTTTCCAGTAGCCACAGGGATTTTGGGATTCCTATCAGTATTCAAGAGGAGTCAGGTATCGTCACCTTTTGAAGCAATGAACTCCGCGTGCCTCTCGAGGTGTCAGCGGGATGTGAGGCATTCCGTAAAAATGAAGCAGGGACCAAGGGCTTTCTCTAAGGTCTCCACAGGGGATTCAGACATCCCTTCATGTTGTGAGATGAAAGACGAGCCTGTATTCAAGCCACTGAAAGGAAATCCGGCCTCCTTTCAAGTTAGGGCTTCTCGCTGTATATTCCCCTTGAGGCAGCAAACTCGGGGTCCCTCCCACATACATATTGCTGAGAGAAGCCTCCTCCTGAGGTGCTTCTGGGAAGTTGGCATACGTCTTGAGCCTAAGCCAGGGAATCAGCTCTCATCTCGAGACGATTTGGGGGTACACGAAGCATTCCTCGAGTTGCTGTGCTGAAGTTGGTGTTCCTCTAGACTTGGGACAGTGTTCTCGGGGCATCTGTGGAGTTACCTGAAGGAAGTCGAGCCACCGGTCGTGTTGAATGGGGAACGGGGAATGGCTTTGCAGTCAATGCAGGGGAATCGGGCCTCATCTCGAGTTGATTTAGGGCACATGGAGCTGCTTTGCGTTGCTGGGGTGACCTCAGGGTCCGTCTAGACTGGTGACAGTGTTCTTGGGGACTGTCTGGAGATCCATTAAGCAAGTCGAAGCTCCTGACTTGTTTGAATGGGATCACGGAATAGCTCTGCATGCACTGCAGGGGAATGGGGCCTCATCTCGCCTCTAGGGGGAAGTCTCATGGTTTTTCTCGAGTTGCGGCGGGGACCTGGGGTATGTTCTCGACTTACGGCGGGGATGGCCCTTCAAAACACGAGTTTCTTCAGTGACGTCAGGACTCCTGTCTAGTAACGAGGGACAGCTCAGGAATCTCTTCGAGGATTGGCAGGGCAAAAGGGACGCTTCTCGAGGTGAGGCAGGGCACCCAAGGACCCTTTCCAGTAGCCACAGCGATTTTGGGATTCCTATCAGTATTCAAGAGGAGTCAGGCATCGTCACCTTTTGAAGCAATGAACTCCGCGTGCCTCTCGAGGTGTCAGCGGGATGTGAGGCATTCCGTCAAAATGAGGTAGGGTCCTAGGGCTTTTTCTAAGGTCTCCACAGGGGATTCAGACATCCCTTCATGTTGTGAGATGAAAGACGAGCCTGTATTCAAGCCAGTGAAAGGAAATCCGGCCTCCTTTCAAGTTAGGGCTTCTCGCTGTATATTCCCCTTGAGGCAGCAAACACGGGGTCCCTCCCACATACCTATTGCTGAGAGAAGCCTCCTCCTGAGGTAATTCTGGGAAGTTGGCATACGTCTTGACCCTAAGCCAAGGAATCAGCTCTCATCTCGAGACGATTAGGGGTACACGGAGCATTCCTCGAGTTGCTGTGCTGAAGTTCGTGTTCCTCTAGACTTGGGACAGTGTTCTCGGGGCATCTCTGGAGTTGCCTGAAGGAAGTCGAGCCACCGGTCATGTTGAATGTGGAACGGGGAATGGCTCTGGAGTCAATGCAGGGGAATCGGGCCTCGTCTCGAGTTGATTTGGGGCACATGGAGCTGCTTTGCGTTGCTGGGGTGACCTCAGGGTCCGTCTAGACTGGTGACAGTGTTCTTGGGGACTGTCTGGAGATCCATTAAGCAAGTCGAAGCTCCTGACTTGTTTGAATGGGATCACGGAATAGCTCTGCATGCACTGCAGGGGAATGGGGCCTCATCTCGCCTCTAGGGGGAAGTCTCATGGTTTTTCTCGAGTTGCGGCGGGGACCTGGGGTATGTTCTCGACTTACAGCGGGGATGGCCCTTCAAAACACGAGTTTCTTCAGTGACGTCAGGACTCCTGTCTAGTAACGAGGGACACTTCAGCAATCTCTTCGAGGCTTGGCAGGGCAAAAGGGACGCTTCTCGAGGTGAGGCAGGGCACCCAAGGACCCTTTCCAGTAGCCACAGGGATTTTGGGATTCCTATAAGTAATCAAGAGGAGTCAGGCATCGTCACCTTTTGAAGCAATGAACTCCGCGTGCCTCTCGAGGTGTCAGCGGGATGTGAGGATTCCGTCAAAATGAGGCAGTAACCTAGGGCTTTCTCTAAGGTCTCCACAGGGGATTCAGACATCCCTTCATGTTGTGAGATGAAAGACGAGCCTGTATTCAAGCCACTGCAAGGAAATCTGGCCTCCTTTCAAGTGAGGGCTTCTCGCTGTATATTCCCCTTGAGGCAGCAAACTCGGGGTCCCTCCCACATACCTATTGCTGAGAGAAGCCTCCTCCTGAGGTGCTTCTGGAAAGGTGGCATACGTCTTGAGCCTAAGCCAGGGAATCAGCTCTCATCTCGAGACGATTTGGGGTACACAGAGCATTCCTCGAGTTGCTATGCTGAAGTTGGTGGTCCTCTAGACTTGGGACAGTGTTCTCGGGGCATCTCTGGAGTTGCCTGAAGGAAGTCGAGCCACCGGTCGTGTTGAATGGGGAACAAGGAATGGCTCTGGAGTCAATGCAGGGGAATCCGGCCTCATCTCGAGTTGATTTGGGGCACATGGAGCTGCTTTGCATTGCTGGGTGACCTCAGGGTCCGTCTAGACTGGTGACAGTGTACTTGGGGACTGTCTGGAGATCCATTAAGCAAGTCGAAGCTCCTGACTTGTTTGAATGGGATCACGGAATAGCTCTGCATGCACTGCAGGGGAATGGGGCCTCATCTCGCCTCTAGGGGGAAGTCTCATGGTTTTTCTGGAGTTGCGGCGGGGACCTGGGGTATGTTCTCGACTTACGGCGGGGATGGCCCTTCAAAACACGAGTTTCTTCAGTGACGTCAGGACTCCTCTCTAGTAACGAGGGACTCCTCAGGAATCTCTTCGAGGCTTGGCAGGGCAAAAGGGACGCTTCTCGAGGTGAGGCAGGGCACCCAAGGACCCTTTCCAGTAGCCACAGGGATTTTGGGATTCCTATCAGTATTCAAGAGGAGTCAGGCATCGTCACCTTTTGAAGCAATGAACTCCGCGTGCCTCTCGAGGTGTCAGCGGGATGTGAGGCATTCCGTAAAAATGAGGCAGGGACCTAGGGCTTTCTCTAAGGTCTCCACAGGGGATTCAGACATCCCTTCATGTTGTGAGATGAAAGACGAGCCTGTATTCAAGCCACTGAAAGGAAATCCGGCCTCCTTTCAAGTTAGGGCTTCTCGCTGTATATTCCCCTTGAGGCAGCAAACTCGGGGTCCCTCCCACATACATATTGCTGAGAGAAGCCTCCTCCTGAGGTGCTTCTGGGAAGTTGGCATACGTCTTGAGCCTAAGCCAGGGAATCAGCTCTCATCTCGAGACGATTTGGGGGTACACGAAGCATTCCTCGAGTTGCTGTGCTGAAGTTGGTGTTCCTCTAGACTTGGGACAGTGTTCTCGGGGCATCTCTGGAGTTACCTGAAGGAAGTCGAGCCACCGGTCGTGTTGAATGGGGAACGGGGAATGGCTTTGCAGTCAATGCAGGGGAATCGGGCCTCATCTCGAGTTGATTTAGGGCACATGGAGCTGCTTTGCGTTGCTGGGGTGACGTCAGGGTCCGTCTAGACTGGTGACAGTGTTCTTGGGGACTGTCTGGAGATCCATTAAGCAAGTCGAAGCTCCTGACTTGTTTGAATGGGATCACGGAATAGCTCTGCATGCACTGCAGGGGAATGGGGCCTCATCTCGCCTCTAGGGGGAAGTCTCATGGTTTTTCTCGAGTTGCGGCGGGGACCTGGGGTATGTTCTCGACTTACGGCGGGGATGGCCCTTCAAAACACGAGTTTCTTCAGTGACGTCAGGACTCCTGTCTAGTAACGAGGGACAGCTCAGGAATCTCTTCGAGGATTGGCAGGGCAAAAGGGACGCTTCTCGAGGTGAGGCAGGGCACCCAAGGACCCTTTCCAGTAGCCACAGCGATTTTGGGATTCCTATCAGTATTCAAGAGGAGTCAGGCATCGTCACCTTTTGAAGCAATGAACTCCGCGTGCCTCTCGAGGTGTCAGCGGGATGTGAGGCATTCCGTCAAAATGAGGTAGGGCCCTAGGGCTTTCTCTAAGGTCTCCACAGGGGATTCAGACATCCCTTCATGTTGTGAGATGAAAGACGAGCCTGTATTCAAGCCACTGAAATGAAATCCGGCCTCCTTTCAAGTTAGGGCTTCTCACTGTATATTCCCCTTGAGGCAGCAAACACGGGGTCCCTCCCACATACCTATTGCTGAGAGAATCCTCCTCCTGAGGTAACTCTGGAAGTTGGCATACGTCTTGACCCTAAGCCAAGGAATCAGCTCTCATCTCGAGACGATTTGGGGTACACGGAGCATTCCTCGAGTTGCTGTGCTGAAGTTGGTGTTCCTCTAGGCTTGGGACAGTGTTCTCGGGGCATCTCTGGAGTTGCCTGAAGGAAGTCGAGCCACCGGTCGTGTTGAATGGGGAACGGGGAATGGCTCTGGAGTCAATGCAGGGGAATCGGGCCTCGTCTCGAGTTGATTTGGGGCACATGGAGCTGCTTTGCGTTGCTGGGGTGACCTCAGGGTCCGTCTAGACTGGTGACAGTGTTCTTGGGGACTGTCTGGAGATCCATTAAGCAAGTCGAAGCTCCTGACTTGTTTGAATGGGATCACGGAATAGCTCTGCATGCACTGCAGGGGAATGGGGCCTCATCTCGCCTCTAGGGGGAAGTCTCATGGTTTTTCTCGAGTTGCGGCGGGGACCTGGGGTATGTTCTCGACTTACAGCGGGGATGGCCCTTCAAAACACGAGTTTCTTCAGTGACGTCAGGACTCCTGTCTAGTAACGAGGGACACTTCAGCAATCTCTTCGAGGCTTGGCAGGGCAAAAGGGACGCTTCTCGAGGTGAGGCAGGGCACCCAAGGACCCTTTCCAGTAGCCACAGGGATTTTGGGATTCCTATAAGTAATCAAGAGGAGTCAGGCATCGTCACCTTTTGAAGCAATGAACTCCGCGTGCCTCTCGAGGTGTCAGCGGGATGTGAGGATTCCGTCAAAATGAGGCAGGGACCTAGGGCTTTCTCTAAGGTCTCCACAGGGGATTCAGACATCCCTTCATGTTGTGAGATGAAAGACGAGCCTGTATTCAAGCCACTGCAAGGAAATCTGGCCTCCTTTCAAGTGAGGGCTTCTCGCTGTATATTCCCCTTGAGGCAGCAAACTCGGGGTCCCTCCCACATACCTATTGCTGAGAGAAGCCTCCTCCTGAGGTGCTTCTGGAAAGGTGGCATACGTCTTGAGCCTAAGCCAGGGAATCAGCTCTCATCTCGAGACGATTTGGGGTACACAGAGCATTCCTCGAGTTGCTATGCTGAAGTTGGTGGTCCTCTAGACTTGGGACAGTGTTCTCGGGGCATCTCTGGAGTTGCCTGAAGGAAGTCGAGCCACCGGTCGTGTTGAATGGGGAACAAGGAATGGCTCTGGAGTCAATGCAGGGGAATCCGGCCTCATCTCGAGTTGATTTGGGGCACATGGAGCTGCTTTGCATTGCTGGGTGACCTCAGGGTCCGTCTAGACTGGTGACAGTGTACTTGGGGACTGTCTGGAGATCCATTAAGCAAGTCGAAGCTCCTGACTTGTTTGAATGGGATCACGGAATAGCTCTGCATGCACTGCAGGGGAATGGGGCCTCATCTCGCCTCTAGGGGGAAGTCTCATGGTTTTTCTGGAGTTGCGGCGGGGACCTGGGGTATGTTCTCGACTTACGGCGGGGATGGCCCTTCAAAACACGAGTTTCTTCAGTGACGTCAGGACTCCTCTCTAGTAACGAGGGACTCCTCAGGAATCTCTTCGAGGCTTGGCAGGGCAAAAGGGACGCTTCTCGAGGTGAGGCAGGGCACCCAAGGACCCTTTCCAGTAGCCACAGGGATTTTGGGATTCCTATCAGTATTCAAGAGGAGTCAGGCATCGTCACCTTTTGAAGCAATGAACTCCGCGTGCCTCTCGAGGTGTCAGCGGGATGTGAGGCATTCCGTAAAAATGAGGCAGGGACCTAGGGCTTTCTCTAAGGTCTCCACAGGGGATTCAGACATCCCTTCATGTTGTGAGATGAAAGACGAGCCTGTATTCAAGCCACTGAAAGGAAATCCGGCCTCCTTTCAAGTTAGGGCTTCTCGCTGTATATTCCCCTTGAGGCAGCAAACTCGGGGTCCCTCCCACATACATATTGCTGAGAGAAGCCTCCTCCTGAGGTGCTTCTGGGAAGTTGGCATACGTCTTGAGCCTAAGCCAGGGAATCAGCTCTCATCTCGAGACGATTTGGGGTACACGAAGCATTCCTCGAGTTGCTGTGCTGAAGTTGGTGTTCCTCTAGACTTGGGACAGTGTTCTCGGGGCATCTCTGGAGTTACCTGAAGGAAGTCGAGCCACCGGTCGTGTTGAATGGGGAACGGGGAATGGCTTTGCAGTCAATGCAGGGGAATCGGGCCTCATCTCGAGTTGATTTAGGGCACATGGAGCTGCTTTGCGTTGCTGGGGTGACCTCAGGGTCCGTCTAGACTGGTGACAGTGTTCTTGGGGACTGTCTGGAGATCCATTAAGCAAGTCGAAGCTCCTGACTTGTTTGAATGGGATCACGGAATAGCTCTGCATGCACTGCAGGGGAATGGGGCCTCATCTCGCCTCTAGGGGGAAGTCTCATGGTTTTTCTCGAGTTGCGGCGGGGACCTGGGGTATGTTCTCGACTTACGGCGGGGATGGCCCTTCAAAACACGAGTTTCTTCAGTGACGTCAGGACTCCTGTCTAGTAACGAGGGACAGCTCAGGAATCTCTTCGAGGATTGGCAGGGCAAAAGGGACGCTTCTCGAGGTGAGGCAGGGCACCCAAGGACCCTTTCCAGTAGCCACAGCGATTTTGGGATTCCTATCAGTATTCAAGAGGAGTCAGGCATTGTCACCTTTTGAAGCAATGAACTCCGCGTGCCTCTCGAGGTGTCAGCGGGATGTGAGGCATTCCGTCAAAATGAGGTAGGGCCCTAGGGCTTTCTCTAAGGTCTCCACAGGGGATTCAGACATCCCTTCATGTTGTGAGATGAAAGACGAGCCTGTATTCAAGCCACTGAAAGGAAATCCGGCCTCCTTTCAAGTTAGGGCTTCTCGCTGTATATTCCCCTTGAGGCAGCAAACACGGGGTCCCTCCCACATACCTATTGCTGAGAGAATCCTCCTCCTGAGGTAACTCTGGAAGTTGGCATACGTCTTGACCCTAAGCCAAGGAATCAGCTCTCATCTCGAGACGATTTGGGGTACACGGAGCATTCCTCGAGTTGCTGTGCTGAAGTTGGTGTTCCTCTAGACTTGGGACAGTGTTCTCGGGGCATCTCTGGAGTTGCCTGAAGGAAGTCGAGCCACCGGTCGTGTTGAATGGGGAACGGCGAATGGCTCTGGAGTCAATGCAGGGGAATCGGGCCTCGTCTCGAGTTGATTTGGGACACATGGAGCTGCTTTGCGTTGCTGGGGTGACCTCAGGGTCCGTCTAGACTGGTGACAGTGTTCTTGGGGACTGTCTGGAGATCCATTAAGCAAGTCGAAGCTCCTGACTTGTTTGAATGGGATCACGGAATAGCTCTGCATGCACTGCAGGGGAATGGGGCCTCATCTCGCCTCTAGGGGGAAGTCTCATGGTTTTTCTCGAGTTGCGGCGGGGACCTGGGGTATGTTCTCGACTTACAGCGGGGATGGCCCTTCAAAACACGAGTTTCTTCAGTGACGTCAGGACTCCTGTCTAGTAACGAGGGACACTTCAGCAATCTCTTCGAGGCTTGGCAGGGCAAAAGGGACGCTTCTCGAGGTGAGGCATGGCACCCAAGGACCCTTTCCAGTAGCCACAGGGATTTTGGGATTCCTATAAGTAATCAAGAGGAGTCAGGCATCGTCACCTTTTGAAGCAATGAACTCCGCGTGCCTCTCGAGGTGTCAGCGGGATGTGAGGATTCCGTCAAAATGAGGCAGGGACCTAGGGCTTTCTCTAAGGTCTCCACAGGGGATTCAGACATCCCTTCATGTTGGGAGATGAAAGACGAGCCTGTATTCAAGCCACTGCAAGGAAATCTGGCCTCCTTTCAAGTTAGGGCTTCTCGCTGTATATTCCCCTTGAGGCAGCAAACTCGGGGTCCCTCCCACATACCTATTGCTGAGAGAAGCCTCCTCCTGAGGTGCTTCTTGAAAGGTGGCATACGTCTTGAGCCTAAGCCAGGGAATCAGCTCTCATCTCGAGACGATTTGGGGTACACAGAGCATTCCTCGAGTTGCTATGCTGAAGTTGGTGGTCCTCTAGACTTGGGACAGTGTTCTCGGGGCATCTCTGGAGTTGCCTGAAGGAAGTCGAGCCACCGGTCGTGTTGAATGGGGAACAAGGAATGGCTCTGGAGTCAATGCAGGGGAATCCGGCCTCATCTCGAGTTGATTTGGGGCACATGGAGCTGCTTTGCATTGCTGGGTGACCTCAGGGTCCGTCTAGACTGGTGACAGTGTTCTTGGGGACTGTCTGGAGATCCATTAAGCAAGTCGAAGCTCCTGACTTGTTTGAATGGGATCACGGAATAGCTCTGCATGCACTGCAGGGGAATGGGGCCTCATCTCGCCTCTAGGGGGAAGTCTCATGGTTTTTCTGGAGTTGCGGCGGGGGCCTGGGGTATGTTCTCGACTTACGGCGGGGATGGCCCTTCAAAACACGAGTTTCTTCAGTGACGTCAGGACTCCTCTCTAGTAACGAGGGACACCTCAGGAATCTCTTCGAGGCTTGGCAGGGCAAAAGGGACGCTTCTCGAGGTGAGGCAGGGCACCCAAGGACCCTTTCCAGTAGCCACAGGGATTTTGGGATTCCTATCAGTATTCAAGAGGAGTCAGGCATCGTCACCTTTTGAAGCAATGAACTCCGCGTGCCTCTCGAGGTGTCAGCGGGATGTGAGGCATTCCGTAAAAATGAGGCAGGGACCTAGGGCTTTCTCTAAGGTCTCCACAGGGGATTCAGACATCCCTTCATGTTGTGAGATGAAAGACGAGCCTGTATTCAAGCCACTGAAAGGAAATCCGGCCTCCTTTCAAGTTAGGGCTTCTCGCTGTATATTCCCCTTGAGGCAGCAAACTCGGGGTCCCTCCCACATACATATTGCTGAGAGAAGCCTCCTCCTGAGGTGCTTCTGGGAAGTTGGCATACGTCTTGAGCCTAAGCCAGGGAATCAGCTCTCATCTCGAGACGATTTGGGGTACACGGAGCATTCCTCGAGTTTCTGTGCTGAAGTTGGTGATCCTCTAGACTTGGGACAGTGTTCTCGGGGCATCTCTGGAGTTGCCTGAAGGAAGTCGAGCCACCGGTCGTGTTGAATGGGGAACGGCGAATGGCTCTGGAGTCAATGCAGGGGAATCGGGCCTCGTCTCGAGTTGATTTGGGGCACATGGAGCTGCTTTGCGTTGCTGGGGTGACCTCAGGGTCCGTCTAGACTGGTGACAGTGTTCTTGGGGACTCTCTGGAGATCCATTAAGCAAGTCGAAGCTCCTGACTTGTTTGAATGGGATCACGGAATAGCTCTGCATGCACTGCAGGGGAATGGGGCCTCATCTCGCCTCTAGGGGGAAGTCTCATGGTTTTTCTCGAGTTGCGGCGGGGACCTGGGGTATGTTCTCGACTTACAGCGGGGATGGCCCTTCAAAACACGAGTTTCTTCAGTGACGTCAGGACTCCTGTCTAGTAACGAGGGACACTTCAGCAATCTCTTCGAGGCTTGGCAGGGCAAAAGGGACGCTTCTCGAGGTGAGGCATGGCACCCAAGGACCCTTTCCAGTAGCCACAGGGATTTTGGGATTCCTATAAGTAATCAAGAGGAGTCAGGCATCGTCACCTTTTGAAGCAATGAACTCCGCGTGCCTCTCGAGGTGTCAGCGGGATGTGAGGATTCCGTCAAAATGAGGCAGGGACCTAGGGCTTTCTCTAAGGTCTCCACAGGGGATTCAGACATCCCTTCATGTTGGGAGATGAAAGACGAGCCTGTATTCAAGCCACTGCAAGGAAATCTGGCCTCCTTTCAAGTTAGGGCTTCTCGCTGTATATTCCCCTTGAGGCAGCAAACTCGGGGTCCCTCCCACATACCTATTGCTGAGAGAAGCCTCCTCCTGAGGTGCTTCTGGAAAGGTGGCATACGTCTTGAGCCTAAGCCAGGGAATCAGCTCTCATCTCGAGACGATTTGGGGTACACAGAGCATTCCTCGAGTTGCTATGCTGAAGTTGGTGGTCCTCTAGACTTGGGACAGTGTTCTCGGGGCATCTCTGGAGTTGCCTGAAGGAAGTCGAGCCACCGGTCGTGTTGAATGGGGAACAAGGAATGGCTCTGGAGTCAATGCAGGGGAATCCGGCCTCATCTCGAGTTGATTTGGGGCACATGGAGCTGCTTTGCATTGCTGGGTGACCTCAGGGTCCGTCTAGACTGGTGACAGTGTTCTTGGGGACTGTCTGGAGATCCATTAAGCAAGTCGAAGCTCCTGACTTGTTTGAATGGGATCACGGAATAGCTCTGCATGCACTGCAGGGGAATGGGGCCTCATCTCGCCTCTAGGGGGAAGTCTCATGGTTTTTCTCGAGTTGCGGCGGGGACCTGGGGTATGTTCTCGACTTACGGCGGGGATGGCCCTTCAAAACACGAGTTTCTTCAGTGACGTCAGGACTCCTCTCTAGTAACGAGGGACACCTCAGGAATCTCTTCGAGGCTTGGCAGGGCAAAAGGGACGCTTCTCGAGGTGAGGCAGGGCACCCAAGGACCCTTTCCAGTAGCCACAGGGATTTTGGGATTCCTATCAGTATTCAAGAGGAGTCAGGCATCGTCACCTTTTGAAGCAATGAACTCCGCGTGCCTCTCGAGGTGTCAGCGGGATGTGAGGCATTCCGTAAAAATGAGGCAGGGACCTAGGGCTTTCTCTAAGGTCTCCACAGGGGATTCAGACATCCCTTCATGTTGTGAGATGAAAGACGAGCCTGTATTCAAGCCACTGAAAGGAAATCCGGCCTCCTTTCAAGTTAGGGCTTCTCGCTGTATATTCCCCTTGAGGCAGCAAACTCGGGGTCCCTCCCACATACATATTGCTGAGAGAAGCCTCCTCCTGAGGTGCTTCTGGGAAGTTGGCATACGTCTTGAGCCTAAGCCAGGGAATCAGCTCTCATCTCGAGACGATTTGGGGTACACGGAGCATTCCTCGAGTTTCTGTGCTGAAGTTGGTGTTCCTCTAGACTTGGGACAGTGTTCTCGGGGCATCTCTGGAGTTGCCTGAAGGAAGTCGAGCCACCGGTCGTGTTGAATGGGGAACGGCGAATGGCTCTGGAGTCAATGCAGGGGAATCGGGCCTCGTCTCGAGTTGATTTGGGGCACATGGAGCTGCTTTGCGTTGCTGGGGTGACCTCAGGGTCCGTCTAGACTGGTGACAGTGTTCTTGGGGACTCTCTGGAGATCCATTAAGCAAGTCGAAGCTCCTGACTTGTTTGAATGGGATCACGGAATAGCTCTGCATGCACTGCAGGGGAATGGGGCCTCATCTCGCCTCTAGGGGGAAGTCTCATGGTTTTTCTCGAGTTGCGGCGGGGACCTGGGGTATGTTCTCGACTTACAGCGGGGATGGCCCTTCAAAACACGAGTTTCTTCAGTGACGTCAGGACTCCTGTCTAGTAACGAGGGACACTTCAGCAATCTCTTCGAGGCTTGGCAGGGCAAAAGGGACGCTTCTCGAGGTGAGGCATGGCACCCAAGGACCCTTTCCAGTAGCCACAGGGATTTTGGGATTCCTATAAGTAATCAAGAGGAGTCAGGCATCGTCACCTTTTGAAGCAATGAACTCCGCGTGCCTCTCGAGGTGTCAGCGGGATGTGAGGATTCCGTCAAAATGAGGCAGGGACCTAGGGCTTTCTCTAAGGTCTCCACAGGGGATTCAGACATCCCTTCATGTTGTGAGATGAAAGACGAGCCTGTATTCAAGCCACTGCAAGGAAATCTGGCCTCCTTTCAAGTTAGGGCTTCTCGCTGTATATTCCCCTTGAGGCAGCAAACTCGGGGTCCCTCCCACATACCTATTGCTGAGAGAAGCCTCCTCCTGAGGTGCTTCTGGAAAGGTGGCATACGTCTTGAGCCTAAGCCAGGGAATCAGCTCTCATCTTGAGACGATTTGGGGTACACAGAGCATTCCTCGAGTTGCTATGCTGAAGTTGGTGGTCCTCTAGACTTGGGACAGTGTTCTCGGGGCATCTCTGGAGTTGCCTGAAGGAAGTCGAGCCACCGGTCGTGTTGAATGGGGAAGAAGGAATGGCTCTGGAGTCAATGCAGGGGAATCCGGCCTCATCTCGAGTTGATTTGGGGCACATGGAGCTGCTTTGCATTGCTGGGTGACCTCAGGGTCCGTCTAGACTGGTGACAGTGTACTTGGGGACTGTCTGGAGATCCATTAAGCAAGTCGAAGCTCCTGACTTGTTTGAATGGGATCACGGAATAGCTCTGCATGCACTGCAGGGGAATGGGGCCTCATCTCGCCTCTAGGGGGAAGTCTCATGGTTTTTCTGGAGTTGCGGCGGGGACCTGGGGTATGTTCTCGACTTACGGCGGGGATGGCCCTTCAAAACACGAGTTTCTTCAGTGACGTCAGGACTCCTCTCTAGTAACGAGGGACACCTCAGGAATCTCTTCGAGGCTTGGCAGGGCAAAAGGGACGCTTCTCGAGGTGAGGCAGGGCACCCAAGGACCCTATCCAGTAGCCACAGGGATTTTGGGATTCCTATCAGTATTCAAGAGGAGTCAGGCATCGTCACCTTTTGAAGCAATGAACTCCGCGTGCCTCTCGAGGTGTCAGCGGGATGTGAGGCATTCCGTAAAAATGAGGCAGGGACCTAGGGCTTTCTCTAAGGTCTCCACAGGGGATTCAGACATCCCTTCATGTTGTGAGATGAAAGACGAGCCTGTATTCAAGCCACTGAAAGGAAATCCGGCCTCCTTTCAAGTTAGGGCTTCTCGCTGTATATTCCCCTTGAGGCAGCAAACTCAGGGTCCCTCCCACATACATATTGCTGAGAGAAGCCTCCTCCTGAGGTGCTTCTGGGAAGTTGGCATACGTCTTGAGCCTAAGCCAGGGAATCAGCTCTCATCTCGAGACGATTTGGGGTACACGAAACATTCCTCGATTTGCTGTGCTGAAGTTGGTGTTCCTCTAGACTTGGGACAGTGTTCTCGGGGCATCTCTGGAGTTACCTGAAGGAAGTCGAGCCACCGGTCGTGTTGAATGGGGAACGGGGAATGGCTCTGCAGTCAATGCAGGGGAATCGGGCCTCATCTCGAGTTGATTTAGGGCACATGGAGCTGCTTTGCGTTGCTGGGGTGACCTCAGGGTCCGTCTAGACTGGTGACAGTGTTCTTGGGGACTGTCTGGAGATCCATTAAGCAAGTCGAAGCTCCTGACTTGTTTGAATGGGATCACGGAATAGCTCTGCATGCACTGCAGGGGAATGGGGCCTCATCTCGCCTCTAGGGGGAAGTCTCATGGTTTTTCTCGAGTTGCGGCGGGGACCTGGGGTATGTTCTCGACTTACGGCGGGGATGGCCCTTCAAAACACGAGTTTCTTCAGTGACGTCAGGACTCCTGTCTAGTAACGAGGGACAGCTCAGGAATCTCTTCGAGGATTGGCAGGGCAAAAGGGACGCTTCTCGAGGTGAGGCAGGGCACCCAAGGACCCTTTCCAGTAGCCACAGCCATTTTGGGATTCCTATCAGTATTCAAGAGGAGTCAGGCATCGTCACCTTTTGAAGCAATGAACTCCGTGTGCCTCTCGAGGTGTCAGCGGGATGTGAGGCATTCCGTCAAAATGAGGTAGGGCCCTAAGGCTTTCTCTAAGGTCTCCACAGGGGATTCAGACATCCCTTCATGTTGTGAGATGAAAGACGAGCCTGTATTCAAGCCACTGAAAGGAAATCCGGCCTCCTTTCAAGTTAGGGCTTCTCGCTGTATATTCCCCTTGAGGCAGCAAACACGGGGTCCCTCCCACATACCTATTGCTGAGAGAATCCTCCTCCTGAGGTAACTCTGGAAGTTGGCATACGTCTTGACCCTAAGCCAAGGAATCAGCTCTCATCTCGATACGATTTGGGGTACACGGAGCATTCCTCGAGTTGCTGTGCTGAAGTTGGTGTTCCTCTAGACTTGGGACAGTGTTCTCGGGGCATCTCTGGAGTTGCCTGAAGGAAGTCGAGCCACCGGTCGTGTTGAATGGGGAACGGCGAATGGCTCTGGAGTCAATGCAGGGGAATCGGGCCTCGTCTCGAGTTGATTTGGGGCACATGGAGCTGCTTTGCGTTGCTGGGGTGACCTCAGGGTCCGTCTAGACTGGTGACAGTGTTCTTGGGGACTGTCTGGAGATCCATTAAGCAAGTCGAAGCTCCTGACTTGTTTGAATGGGATCACGGAATAGCTCTGCATGCACTGCAGGGGAATGGGGCCTCATCTCGCCTCTAGGGGGAAGTCTCATGGTTTTTCTCGAGTTGCGGCGGGGACCTGGGGTATGTTCTCGACTTACCGCGGGGATGGCCCTTCAAAACACGAGTTTCTTCAGTGACGTCAGGACTCCTGTCTAGTAACGAGGGACACTTCAGCAATCTCTTCGAGGCTTGGCAGGGCAAAAGGGACGCTTCTCGAGGTGAGGCAGGGCACCCAAGGACCCTTTCCAGTAGCCACAGGGATTTTGGGATTCCTATAAGTAATCAAGAGGAGTCAGGCATCGTCACCTTTTGAAGCAATGAACTCCGCGTGCCTCTCGAGGTGTCAGCGGGATGTGAGGATTCCGTCAAAATGAGGCAGGGACCTAGGGCTTTCTCTAAGGTCTCCACAGGGGATTCAGACATCCCTTCATGTTGTGAGATGAAAGACGAGCCTGTATTCAAGCCACTGCAAGGAAATCTGGCCTCCTTTCAAGTGAGGGCTTCTCGCTGTATATTCCCCTTGAGGCAGCAAACTCGGGGTCCCTCCCACATACCTATTGCTGAGAGAAGCCTCCTCCTGAGGTGCTTCTGGAAAGGTGGCATACGTCTTGAGCCTAAGCCAGGGAATCAGCTCTCATCTCGAGACGATTTGGGGTACACAGAGCATTCCTCGAGTTGCTATGCTGAAGTTGGTGGTCCTCTAGACTTGGGACAGTGTTCTCGGGGCATCTCTGGAGTTGCCTGAAGGAAGTCGAGCCACCGGTCGTGTTGAATGGGGAACAAGGAATGGCTCTGGAGTCAATGCAGGGGAATCCGGCCTCATCTCGAGTTGATTTGGGGCACATGGAGCTGCTTTGCATTGCTGGGTGACCTCAGGGTCCGTCTAGACTGGTGACAGTGTACTTGGGGACTGTCTGGAGTTCCATTAAGCAAGTCGAAGCTCCTGACTTGTTTGAATGGGATCACGGAATAGCTCTGCATGCACTGCAGGGGAATGGGGCCTCATCTCGCCTCTAGGGGGAAGTCTCATGGTTTTTCTGGAGTTGCGGCGGGGACCTGGGGTATGTTCTCGACTTACGGCGGGGATGGCCCTTCAAAACACGAGTTTCTTCAGTGACGTCAGGACTCCTCTCTAGTAACGAGGGACTCCTCAGGAATCTCTTCGAGGCTTGGCAGGGCAAAAGGGACGCTTCTCGAGGTGAGGCAGGGCACCCAAGGACCCTTTCCAGTAGCCACAGGGATTTTGGGATTCCTATCAGTATTCAAGAGGAGTCAGGCATCGTCACCTTTTGAAGCAATGAACTCCGCGTGCCTCTCGAGGTGTCAGCGGGATGTGAGGCATTCCGTAAAAATGAGGCAGGGACCTAGGGCTTTCTCTAAGGTCTCCACAGGGGATTCAGACATCCCTTCATGTTGTGAGATGAAAGACGAGCCTGTATTCAAGCCACTGAAAGGAAATCCGGCCTCCTTTCAAGTTAGGGCTTCTCGCTGTATATTCCCCTTGAGGCAGCAAACTCGGGGTCCCTCCCACATACATATTGCTGAGAGAAGCCTCCTCCTGAGGTGCTTCTGGGAAGTTGGCATACGTCTTGAGCCTAAGCCAGGGAATCAGCTCTCATCTCGAGACGATTTGTGGTACACGAAGCATTCCTCGAGTTGCTGTGCTGAAGTTGGTGTTCCTCTAGACTTGGGACAGTGTTCTCGGGGCATCTCTGGAGTTACCTGAAGGAAGTCGAGCCACCGGTCGTGTTGAATGGGGAACGGGGAATGGCTTTGCAGTCAATGCAGGGGAATCGGGCCTCATCTCGAGTTGATTTAGGGCACATGGAGCTGCTTTGCGTTGCTGGGGTGACCTCAGGGTCCGTCTAGACTGGTGACAGTGTTCTTGGGGACTGTCTGGAGATCCATTAAGCAAGTCGAAGCTCCTGACTTGTTTGAATGGGATCACGGAATAGCTCTGCATGCACTGCAGGGGAATGGGGCCTCATCTCGCCTCTAGGGGGAAGTCTCATGGTTTTTCTCGAGTTGCGGCGGGGACCTGGGGTATGTTCTCGACTTACGGCGGGGATGGCCCTTCAAAACACGAGTTTCTTCAGTGACGTCAGGACTCCTGTCTAGTAACGAGGGACAGCTCAGGAATCTCTTCGAGGATTGGCAGGGCAAAAGGGACGCTTCTCGAGGTGAGGCAGGGCACCCAAGGACCCTTTCCAGTAGCCACAGCGATTTTGGGATTCCTATCAGTATTCAAGAGGAGTCAGGCATTGTCACCTTTTGAAGCAATGAACTCCGCGTGCCTCTCGAGGTGTCAGCGGGATGTGAGGCATTCCGTCAAAATGAGGTAGGGTCCTAGGGCTTTCTCTAAGGTCTCCACAGGGGATTCAGACATCCCTTCATGTTGTGAGATGAAAGACGAGCCTGTATTCAAGCCACTGAAAGGAAATCCGGCCTCCTTTCAAGTTAGGGCTTCTCGCTGTATATTCCCCTTGAGGCAGCAAACACGGGGTCCCTCCCACATACCTATTGCTGAGAGAATCCTCCTCCTGAGGTAACTCTGGAAGTTGGCATACGTCTTGACCCTAAGCCAAGGAATCAGCTCTCATCTCGAGACGATTTGGGGTACACGGAGCATTCCTCGAGTTGCTGTGCTGAAGTTGGTGTTCCTCTAGACTTGGGACAGTGTTCTCGGGGCATCTCTGGAGTTGCCTGAAGTAAGTCGAGCCACCGGTCGTGTTGAATGGGGAACGGCGAATGGCTCTGGAGTCAATGCAGGGGAATCGGGCCTCGTCTCGAGTTGATTTGGGGCACATGGAGCTGCTTTGCGTTGCTGGGGTGACCTCAGGGTCCGTCTAGACTGGTGACAGTGTTCTTGGGGACTGTCTGGAGATCCATTAAGCAAGTCGAAGCTCCTGACTTGTTTGAATGGGATCACGGAATAGCTCTGCATGCACTGCAGGGGAATGGGGCCTCATCTCGCCTCTAGGGGGAAGTCTCATGGTTTTTGTCGAGTTGCGGCGGGGACCTGGGGTATGTTCTCGACTTACAGCGGGGATGGCCCTTCAAAACACGAGTTTCTTCAGTGACGTCAGGACTCCTGTCTAGTAACGAGGGACACTTCAGCAATCTCTTCGAGGCTTGGCAGGGCAAAAGGGACGCTTCTCGAGGTGAGGCATGGCACCCAAGGACCCTTTCCAGTAGCCACAGGGATTTTGGGATTCCTATAAGTAATCAAGAGGAGTCAGGCATCGTCACCTTTTGAAGCAATGAACTCCGCGTGCCTCTCGAGGTGTCAGCGGGATGTGAGGATTCCGTCAAAATGAGGCAGGGACCTAGGGCTTTCTCTAAGGTCTCCACAGGGGATTCAGACATCCCTTCATGTTGTGAGATGAAAGACGAGCCTGTATTCAAGCCACTGCAAGGAAATCTGGCCTCCTTTCAAGTTAGGGCTTCTCGCTGTATATTCCCCTTGAGGCAGCAAACTCGGGGTCCCTCCCACATACCTATTGCTGAGAGAAGCCTCCTCCTGAGGTGCTTCTGGAAAGGTGGCATACGTCTTGAGCCTAAGCCAGGGAATCAGCTCTCATCTCGAGACGATTTGGGGTACACAGAGCATTCCTCGAGTTGCTATGCTGAAGTTGGTGGTCCTCTAGACTTGGGACAGTGTTCTCGGGGCATCTCTGGAGTTGCCTGAAGGAAGTCGAGCCACCGGTCGTGTTGAATGGGGAACAAGGAATGGCTCTGGAGTCAATGCAGGGGAATCCGGCCTCATCTCGAGTTGATTTGGGGCACATGGAGCTGCTTTGCATTGCTGGGTGACCTCAGGGTCCGTCTAGACTGGTGACAGTGTTCTTGGGGACTGTCTGGAGATCCATTAAGCAAGTCGAAGCTCCTGACTTGTTTGAATGGGATCACGGAATAGCTCTGCATGCACTGCAGGGGAATGGGGCCTCATCTCGCCTCTAGGGGGAAGTCTCATGGTTTTTCTGGAGTTGCGGCGGGGACCTGGGGTATGTTCTCGACTTACGGCGGGGATGGCCCTTCAAAACACGAGTTTCTTCAGTGACGTCAGGACTCCTCTCTAGTAACGAGGGACACCTCAGGAATCTCTTCGAGGCTTGGCAGGGCAAAAGGGACGCTTCTCGAGGTGAGGCAGGGCACCCAAGGACCCTTTCCAGTAGCCACAGGGATTTTGGGATTCCTATCAGTATTCAAGAGGAGTCAGGCATCGTCACCTTTTGAAGCAATGAACTCCGCGTGCCTCTCGAGGTGTCAGCGGGATGTGAGGCATTCCGTAAAAATGAGGCAGGGACCTAGGGCTTTCTCTAAGGTCTCCACAGGGGATTCAGACATCCCTTCATGTTGTGAGATGAAAGACGAGCCTGTATTCAAGCCACTGAAAGGAAATCCGGCCTCCTTTCAAGTTAGGGCTTCTCGCTGTATATTCCCCTTGAGGCAGCAAACTCGGGGTCCCTCCCACATACATATTGCTGAGAGAAGCCTCCTCCTGAGGTGCTTCTGGGAAGTTGGCATACGTCTTGAGCCTAAGCCAGGGAATCAGCTCTCATCTCGAGACGATTTGGGGTACACGGAGCATTCCTCGAGTTTCTGTGCTGAAGTTGGTGTTCCTCTAGACTTGGGACAGTGTTCTCGGGGCATCTCTGGAGTTGCCTGAAGGAAGTCGAGCCACCGGTCGTGTTGAATGGGGAACGGCGAATGGCTCTGGAGTCAATGCAGGGGAATCGGGCCTCGTCTCGAGTTGATTTGGGGCACATGGAGCTGCTTTGCGTTGCTGGGGTGACCTCAGGGTCCGTCTAGACTGGTGACAGTGTTCTTGGGGACTCTCTGGAGATCCATTAAGCAAGTCGAAGCTCCTGACTTGTTTGAATGGGATCACGGAATAGCTCTGCATGCACTGCAGGGGAATGGGGCCTCATCTCGCCTCTAGGGGGAAGTCTCATGGTTTTTCTCGAGTTGCGGCGGGGACCTGGGGTATGTTCTCGACTTACAGCGGGGATGGCCCTTCAAAACACGAGTTTCTTCAGTGACGTCAGGACTCCTGTCTAGTAACGAGGGACACTTCAGCAATCTCTTCGAGGCTTGGCAGGGCAAAAGGGACGCTTCTCGAGGTGAGGCATGGCACCCAAGGACCCTTTCCAGTAGCCACAGGGATTTTGGGATTCCTATAAGTAATCAAGAGGAGTCAGGCATCGTCACCTTTTGAAGCAATGAACTCCGCGTGCCTCTCGAGGTGTCAGCGGGATGTGAGGATTCCGTCAAAATGAGGCAGGGACCTAGGGCTTTCTCTAAGGTCTCCACAGGGGATTCAGACATCCCTTCATGTTGTGAGATGAAAGACGAGCCTGTATTCAAGCCACTGCAAGGAAATCTGGCCTCCTTTCAAGTTAGGGCTTCTCGCTGTATATTCCCCTTGAGGCAGCAAACTCGGGGTCCCTCCCACATACCTATTGCTGAGAGAAGCCTCCTCCTGAGGTGCTTCTGGAAAGGTGGCATACGTCTTGAGCCTAAGCCAGGGAATCAGCTCTCATCTTGAGACGATTTGGGGTACACAGAGCATTCCTCGAGTTGCTATGCTGAAGTTGGTGGTCCTCTAGACTTGGGACAGTGTTCTCGGGGCATCTCTGGAGTTGCCTGAAGGAAGTCGAGCCACCGGTCGTGTTGAATGGGGAACAAGGAATGGCTCTGGAGTCAATGCAGGGGAATCCGGCCTCATCTCGAGTTGATTTGGGGCACATGGAGCTGCTTTGCATTGCTGGGTGACCTCAGGGTCCGTCTAGACTGGTGACAGTGTACTTGGGGACTGTCTGGAGATCCATTAAGCAAGTCGAAGCTCCTGACTTGTTTGAATGGGATCACGGAATAGCTCTGCATGCACTGCAGGGGAATGGGGCCTCATCTCGCCTCTAGGGGGAAGTCTCATGGTTTTTCTCGAGTTGCGGCGGGGACCTGGGGTATGTTCTCGACTTACCGCGGGGATGGCCCTTCAAAACACGAGTTTCTTCAGTGACGTCAGGACTCCTGTCTAGTAACGAGGGACACTTCAGCAATCTCTTCGAGGCTTGGCAGGGCAAAAGGGACGCTTCTCGAGGTGAGGCAGGGCACCCAAGGACCCTTTCCAGTAGCCACAGGGATTTTGGGATTCCTATAAGTAATCAAGAGGAGTCAGGCATCGTCACCTTTTGAAGCAATGAACTCCGCGTGCCTCTCGAGGTGTCAGCGGGATGTGAGGATTCCGTCAAAATGAGGCAGGGACCTAGGGCTTTCTCTAAGGTCTCCACAGGGGATTCAGACATCCCTTCATGTTGTGAGATGAAAGACGCGCCTGTATTCAAGCCACTGCAAGGAAATCTGGCCTCCTTTCAAGTGAGGGCTTCTCGCTGTATATTCCCCTTGAGGCAGCAAACTCGGGGTCCCTCCCACATACCTATTGCTGAGAGAAGCCTCCTCCTGAGGTGCTTCTGGAAAGGTGGCATACGTCTTGAGCCTAAGCCAGGGAATCAGCTCTCATCTCGAGACGATTTGGGGTACACAGAGCATTCCTCGAGTTGCTATGCTGAAGTTGGTGGTCCTCTAGACTTGGGACAGTGTTCTCGGGGCATCTCTGGAGTTGCCTGAAGGAAGTCGAGCCACCGGTCGTGTTGAATGGGGAACAAGGAATGGCTCTGGAGTCAATGCAGGGGAATCCGGCCTCATCTCGAGTTGATTTGGGGCACATGGAGCTGCTTTGCATTGCTGGGTGACCTCAGGGTCCGTCTAGACTGGTGACAGTGTACTTGGGGACTGTCTGGAGATCCATTAAGCAAGTCGAAGCTCCTGACTTGTTTGAATGGGATCACGGAATAGCTCTGCATGCACTGCAGGGGAATGGGGCCTCATCTCGCCTCTAGGGGGAAGTCTCATGGTTTTTCTGGAGTTGCGGCGGGGACCTGGGGTATGTTCTCGACTTACGGCGGGGATGGCCCTTCAAAACACGAGTTTCTTCAGTGACGTCAGGACTCCTCTCTAGTAACGAGGGACTCCTCAGGAATCTCTTCGAGGCTTGGCAGGGCAAAAGGGACGCTTCTCGAGGTGAGGCAGGGCACCCAAGGACCCTTTCCAGTAGCCACAGGGATTTTGGGATTCCTATCAGTATTCAAGAGGAGTCAGGCATCGTCACCTTTTGAAGCAATGAACTCCGCGTGCCTCTCGAGGTGTCAGCGGGATGTGAGGCATTCCGTAAAAATGAGGCAGGGACCTAGGGCTTTCTCTAAGGTCTCCACAGGGGATTCAGACATCCCTTCATGTTGTGAGATGAAAGACGAGCCTGTATTCAAGCCACTGAAAGGAAATCCGGCCTCCTTTCAAGTTAGGGCTTCTCGCTGTATATTCCCCTTGAGGCAGCAAACTCGGGGTCCCTCCCACATACATATTGCTGAGAGAAGCCTCCTCCTGAGGTGCTTCTGGGAAGTTGGCATACGTCTTGAGCCTAAGCCAGGGAATCAGCTCTCATCTCGAGACGATTTGGGGTACACGAAGCATTCCTCGAGTTGCTGTGCTGAAGTTGGTGTTCCTCTAGACTTGGGACAGTGTTCTCGGGGCATCTCTGGAGTTACCTGAAGGAAGTCGAGCCACCGGTCGTGTTGAATGGGGAACGGGGAATGGCTTTGCAGTCAATGCAGGGGAATCGGGCCTCATCTCGAGTTGATTTAGGGCACATGGAGCTGCTTTGCGTTGCTGGGGTGACCTCAGGGTCCGTCTAGACTGGTGACAGTGTTCTTGGGGACTGTCTGGAGATCCATTAAGCAAGTCGAAGCTCCTGACTTGTTTGAATGGGATCACGGAATAGCTCTGCATGCACTGCAGGGGAATGGGGCCTCATCTCGCCTCTAGGGGGAAGTCTCATGGTTTTTCTCGAGTTGCGGCGGGGACCTGGGGTATGTTCTCGACTTACGGCGGGGATGGCCCTTCAAAACACGAGTTTCTTCAGTGACGTCAGGACTCCTGTCTAGTAACGAGGGACAGCTCAGGAATCTCTTCGAGGATTGGCAGGGCAAAAGGGACGCTTCTCGAAGTGAGGCAGGGCACCCAAGGACCCTTTCCAGTAGCCACAGCGATTTTGGGATTCCTATCAGTATTCAAGAGGAGTCAGGCATTGTCACCTTTTGAAGCAATGAACTCCGCGTGCCTCTCGAGGTGTCAGCGGGATGTGAGGCATTCCGTCAAAATGAGGTAGGGCCCTAGGGCTTTCTCTAAGGTCTCCACAGGGGATTCAGACATCCCTTCATGTTGTGAGATGAAAGACGAGCCTGTATTCAAGCCACTGAAAGGAAATCCGGCCTCCTTTCAAGTTAGGGCTTCTCGCTGTATATTCCCCTTGAGGCAGCAAACACGGGGTCCCTCCCACATACCTATTGCTGAGAGAATCCTCCTCCTGAGGTAACTCTGGAAGTTGGCATACGTCTTGACCCTAAGCCAAGGAATCAGCTCTCATCTCGAGACGATTTGGGGTACACGGAGCATTCCTCGAGTTGCTGTGCTGAAGTTGGTGTTCCTCTAGACTTGGGACAGTGTTCTCGGGGCATCTCTGGAGTTGCCTGAAGGAAGTCGAGCCACCGGTCGTGTTGAATGGGGAACGGCGAATGGCTCTGGAGTCAATGCAGGGGAATCGGGCCTCGTCTCGAGTTGATTTGGGGCACATGGAGCTGCTTTGCGTTGCTGGGGTGACCTCAGGGTCCGTCTAGACTGGTGACAGTGTTCTTGGGGACTGTCTGGAGATCCATTAAGCAAGTCGAAGCTCCTGACTTGTTTGAATGGGATCACGGAATAGCTCTGCATGCACTGCAGGGGAATGGGGCCTCATCTCGCCTCTAGGGGGAAGTCTCATGGTTTTTCTCGAGTTGCGGCGGGGACCTGGGGTATGTTCTCGACTTACAGCGGGGATGGCCCTTCAAAACACGAGTTTCTTCAGTGACGTCAGGACTCCTGTCTAGTAACGAGGGACACTTCAGCAATCTCTTCGAGGCTTGGCAGGGCAAAAGGGACGCTTCTCGAGGTGAGGCATGGCACCCAAGGACCCTTTCCAGTAGCCACAGGGATTTTGGGATTCCTATAAGTATTCAAGAGGAGTCAGGCATCGTCACCTTTTGAAGCAATGAACTCCGCGTGCCTCTCGAGGTGTCAGCGGGATGTGAGGATTCCGTCAAAATGAGGCAGGGACCTAGGGCTTTCTCTAAGGTCTCCACAGGGGATTCAGACATCCCTTCATGTTGGGAGATGAAAGACGAGCCTGTATTCAAGCCACTGCAAGGAAATCTGGCCTCCTTTCAAGTTAGGGCTTCTCGCTGTATATTCCCCTTGAGGCAGCAAACTCGGGGTCCCTCCCACATACCTATTGCTGAGAGAAGCCTCCTCCTGAGGTGCTTCTGGAAAGGTGGCATACGTCTTGAGCCTAAGCCAGGGAATCAGCTCTCATCTCGAGACGATTTGGGGTACACAGAGCATTCCTCGAGTTGCTATGCTGAAGTTGGTGGTCCTCTAGACTTGGGACAGTGTTCTCGGGGCATCTCTGGAGTTGCCTGAAGGAAGTCGAGCCACCGGTCGTGTTGAATGGGGAACAAGGAATGGCTCTGGAGTCAATGCAGGGGAATCCGGCCTCATCTCGAGTTGATTTGGGGCACATGGAGCTGCTTTGCATTGCTGGGTGACCTCAGGGTCCGTCTAGACTGGTGACAGTGTTCTTGGGGACTGTCTGGAGATCCATTAAGCAAGTCGAAGCTCCTGACTTGTTTGAATGGGATCACGGAATAGCTCTGCATGCACTGCAGGGGAATGGGGCCTCATCTCGCCTCTAGGGGGAAGTCTCATGGTTTTTCTGGAGTTGCGGCGGGGACCTGGGGTATGTTCTCGACTTACGGCGGGGATGGCCCTTCAAAACACGAGTTTCTTCAGTGACGTCAGGACTCCTCTCTAGTAACGAGGGACACCTCAGGAATCTCTTCGAGGCTTGGCAGGGCAAAAGGGACGCTTCTCGAGGTGAGGCAGGGCACCCAAGGACCCTTTCCAGTAGCCACAGGGATTTTGGGATTCCTATCAGTATTCAAGAGGAGTCAGGCATCGTCACCTTTTGAAGCAATGAACTCCGCGTGCCTCTCGAGGTGTCAGCGGGATGTGAGGCATTCCGTAAAAATGAGGCAGGGACCTAGGGCTTTCTCTAAGGTCTCCACAGGGGATTCAGACATCCCTTCATGTTGTGAGATGAAAGACGAGCCTGTATTCAAGCCACTGAAAGGAAATCCGGCCTCCTTTCAAGTTAGGGCTTCTCGCTGTATATTCCCCTTGAGGCAGCAAACTCGGGGTCCCTCCCACATACATATTGCTGAGAGAAGCCTCCTCCTGAGGTGCTTCTGGGAAGTTGGCATACGTCTTGAGCCTAAGCCAGGGAATCAGCTCTCATCTCGAGACGATTTGGGGTACACGGAGCATTCCTCGAGTTTCTGTGCTGAAGTTGGTGTTCCTCTAGACTTGGGACAGTGTTCTCGGGGCATCTCTGGAGTTGCCTGAAGGAAGTCGAGCCACCGGTCGTGTTGAATGGGGAACGGCGAATGGCTCTGGAGTCAATGCAGGGGAATCGGGCCTCGTCTCGAGTTGATTTGGGGCACATGGAGCTGCTTTGCGTTGCTGGGGTGACCTCAGGGTCCGTCTAGACTGGTGACAGTGTTCTTGGGGACTCTCTGGAGATCCATTAAGCAAGTCGAAGCTCCTGACTTGTTTGAATGGGATCACGGAATAGCTCTGCATGCACTGCAGGGGAATGGGGCCTCATCTCGCCTCTAGGGGGAAGTCTCATGGTTTTTCTCGAGTTGCGGCGGGGACCTGGGGTATGTTCTCGACTTACAGCGGGGATGGCCCTTCAAAACACGAGTTTCTTCAGTGACGTCAGGACTCCTGTCTAGTAACGAGGGACACTTCAGCAATCTCTTCGAGGCTTGGCAGGGCAAAAGGGACGCTTCTCGAGGTGAGGCATGGCACCCAAGGACCCTTTCCAGTAGCCACAGGGATTTTGGGATTCCTATAAGTAATCAAGAGGAGTCAGGCATCGTCACCTTTTGAAGCAATGAACTCCGCGTGCCTCTCGAGGTGTCAGCGGGATGTGAGGATTCCGTCAAAATGAGGCAGGGACCTAGGGCTTTCTCTAAGGTCTCCACAGGGGATTCAGACATCCCTTCATGTTGTGAGATGAAAGACGAGCCTGTATTCAAGCCACTGCAAGGAAATCTGGCCTCCTTTCAAGTTAGGGCTTCTCGCTGTATATTCCCCTTGAGGCAGCAAACTCGGGGTCCCTCCCACATACCTATTGCTGAGAGAAGCCTCCTCCTGAGGTGCTTCTGGAAAGGTGGCATACGTCTTGAGCCTAAGCCAGGGAATCAGCTCTCATCTTGAGACGATTTGGGGTACACAGAGCATTCCTCGAGTTGCTATGCTGAAGTTGGTGGTCCTCTAGACTTGGGACAGTGTTCTCGGGGCATCTCTGGAGTTGCCTGAAGGAAGTCGAGCCACCGGTCGTGTTGAATGGGGAACAAGGAATGGCTCTGGAGTCAATGCAGGGGAATCCGGCCTCATCTCGAGTTGATTTGGGGCACATGGAGCTGCTTTGCATTGCTGGGTGACCTCAGGGTCCGTCTAGACTGGTGACAGTGTACTTGGGGACTGTCTGGAGATCCATTAAGCAAGTCGAAGCTCCTGACTTGTTTGAATGGGATCACGGAATAGCTCTGCATGCACTGCAGGGGAATGGGGCCTCATCTCGCCTCTAGGGGGAAGTCTCATGGTTTTTCTCGAGTTGCGGCGGGGACCTGGGGTATGTTCTCGACTTACCGCGGGGATGGCCCTTCAAAACACGAGTTTCTTCAGTGACGTCAGGACTCCTGTCTAGTAACGAGGGACACTTCAGCAATCTCTTCGAGGCTTGGCAGGGCAAAAGGGACGCTTCTCGAGGTGAGGCAGGGCACCCAAGGACCCTTTCCAGTAGCCACAGGGATTTTGGGATTCCTATAAGTAATCAAGAGGAGTCAGGCATCGTCACCTTTTGAAGCAATGAACTCCGCGTGCCTCTCGAGGTGTCAGCGGGATGTGAGGATTCCGTCAAAATGAGGCAGGGACCTAGGGCTTTCTCTAAGGTCTCCACAGGGGATTCAGACATCCCTTCATGTTGTGAGATGAAAGACGCGCCTGTATTCAAGCCACTGCAAGGAAATCTGGCCTCCTTTCAAGTGAGGGCTTCTCGCTGTATATTCCCCTTGAGGCAGCAAACTCGGGGTCCCTCCCACATACCTATTGCTGAGAGAAGCCTCCTCCTGAGGTGCTTCTGGAAAGGTGGCATACGTCTTGAGCCTAAGCCAGGGAATCAGCTCTCATCTCGAGACGATTTGGGGTACACAGAGCATTCCTCGAGTTGCTATGCTGAAGTTGGTGGTCCTCTAGACTTGGGACAGTGTTCTCGGGGCATCTCTGGAGTTGCCTGAAGGAAGTCGAGCCACCGGTCGTGTTGAATGGGGAACAAGGAATGGCTCTGGAGTCAATGCAGGGGAATCCGGCCTCATCTCGAGTTGATTTGGGGCACATGGAGCTGCTTTGCATTGCTGGGTGACCTCAGGGTCCGTCTAGACTGGTGACAGTGTACTTGGGGACTGTCTGGAGATCCATTAAGCAAGTCGAAGCTCCTGACTTGTTTGAATGGGATCACGGAATAGCTCTGCATGCACTGCAGGGGAATGGGGCCTCATCTCGCCTCTAGGGGGAAGTCTCATGGTTTTTCTGGAGTTGCGGCGGGGACCTGGGGTATGTTCTCGACTTACGGCGGGGATGGCCCTTCAAAACACGAGTTTCTTCAGTGACGTCAGGACTCCTCTCTAGTAACGAGGGACTCCTCAGGAATCTCTTCGAGGCTTGGCAGGGCAAAAGGGACGCTTCTCGAGGTGAGGCAGGGCACCCAAGGACCCTTTCCAGTAGCCACAGGGATTTTGGGATTCCTATCAGTATTCAAGAGGAGTCAGGCATCGTCACCTTTTGAAGCAATGAACTCCGCGTGCCTCTCGAGGTGTCAGCGGGATGTGAGGCATTCCGTAAAAATGAGGCAGGGACCTAGGGCTTTCTCTAAGGTCTCCACAGGGGATTCAGACATCCCTTCATGTTGTGAGATGAAAGACGAGCCTGTATTCAAGCCACTGAAAGGAAATCCGGCCTCCTTTCAAGTTAGGGCTTCTCGCTGTATATTCCCCTTGAGGCAGCAAACTCGGGGTCCCTCCCACATACATATTGCTGAGAGAAGCCTCCTCCTGAGGTGCTTCTGGGAAGTTGGCATACGTCTTGAGCCTAAGCCAGGGAATCAGCTCTCATCTCGAGACGATTTGGGGGTACACGAAGCATTCCTCGAGTTGCTGTGCTGAAGTTGGTGTTCCTCTAGACTTGGGACAGTGTTCTCGGGGCATCTCTGGAGTTACCTGAAGGAAGTCGAGCCACCGGTCGTGTTGAATGGGGAACGGGGAATGGCTTTGCAGTCAATGCAGGGGAATCGGGCCTCATCTCGAGTTGATTTAGGGCACATGGAGCTGCTTTGCGTTGCTGGGGTGACCTCAGGGTCCGTCTAGACTGGTGACAGTGTTCTTGGGGACTGTCTGGAGATCCATTAAGCAAGTCGAAGCTCCTGACTTGTTTGAATGGGATCACGGAATAGCTCTGCATGCACTGCAGGGGAATGGGGCCTCATCTCGCCTCTAGGGGGAAGTCTCATGGTTTTTCTCGAGTTGCGGCGGGGACCTGGGGTATGTTCTCGACTTACGGCGGGGATGGCCCTTCAAAACACGAGTTTCTTCAGTGACGTCAGGACTCCTGTCTAGTAACGAGGGACAGCTCAGGAATCTCTTCGAGGATTGGCAGGGCAAAAGGGACGCTTCTCGAGGTGAGGCAGGGCACCCAAGGACCCTTTCCAGTAGCCACAGCGATTTTGGGATTCCTATCAGTATTCAAGAGGAGTCAGGCATCGTCACCTTTTGAAGCAATGAACTCCGCGTGCCTCTCGAGGTGTCAGCGGGATGTGAGGCATTCCGTCAAAATGAGGTAGGGCCCTAGGGCTTTCTCTAAGGTCTCCACAGGGGATTCAGACATCCCTTCATGTTGTGAGATGAAAGACGAGCCTGTATTCAAGCCACTGAAATGAAATCCGGCCTCCTTTCAAGTTAGGGCTTCTCACTGTATATTCCCCTTGAGGCAGCAAACACGGGGTCCCTCCCACATACCTATTGCTGAGAGAATCCTCCTCCTGAGGTAACTCTGGAAGTTGGCATACGTCTTGACCCTAAGCCAAGGAATCAGCTCTCATCTCGAGACGATTTGGGGTACACGGAGCATTCCTCGAGTTGCTGTGCTGAAGTTGGTGTTCCTCTAGGCTTGGGACAGTGTTCTCGGGGCATCTCTGGAGTTGCCTGAAGGAAGTCGAGCCACCGGTCGTGTTGAATGGGGAACGGCGAATGGCTCTGGAGTCAATGCAGGGGAATCGGGCCTCGTCTCGAGTTGATTTGGGGCACATGGAGCTGCTTTGCGTTGCTGGGGTGACCTCAGGGTCCGTCTAGACTGGTGACAGTGTTCTTGGGGACTGTCTGGAGATCCATTAAGCAAGTCGAAGCTCCTGACTTGTTTGAATGGGATCACGGAATAGCTCTGCATGCACTGCAGGGGAATGGGGCCTCATCTCGCCTCTAGGGGGAAGTCTCATGGTTTTTCTCGAGTTGCGGCGGGGACCTGGGGTATGTTCTCGACTTACAGCGGGGATGGCCCTTCAAAACACGAGTTTCTTCAGTGACGTCAGGACTCCTGTCTAGTAACGAGGGACACTTCAGCAATCTCTTCGAGGCTTGGCAGGGCAAAAGGGACGCTTCTCGAGGTGAGGCAGGGCACCCAAGGACCCTTTCCAGTAGCCACAGGGATTTTGGGATTCCTATAAGTAATCAAGAGGAGTCAGGCATCGTCACCTTTTGAAGCAATGAACTCCGCGTGCCTCTCGAGGTGTCAGCGGGATGTGAGGATTCCGTCAAAATGAGGCAGGGACCTAGGGCTTTCTCTAAGGTCTCCACAGGGGATTCAGACATCCCTTCATGTTGTGAGATGAAAGACGAGCCTGTATTCAAGCCACTGCAAGGAAATCTGGCCTCCTTTCAAGTGAGGGCTTCTCGCTGTATATTCCCCTTGAGGCAGCAAACTCGGGGTCCCTCCCACATACCTATTGCTGAGAGAAGCCTCCTCCTGAGGTGCTTCTGGAAAGGTGGCATACGTCTTGAGCCTAAGCCAGGGAATCAGCTCTCATCTCGAGACGATTTGGGGTACACAGAGCATTCCTCGAGTTGCTATGCTGAAGTTGGTGGTCCTCTAGACTTGGGACAGTGTTCTCGGGGCATCTCTGGAGTTGCCTGAAGGAAGTCGAGCCACCGGTCGTGTTGAATGGGGAACAAGGAATGGCTCTGGAGTCAATGCAGGGGAATCCGGCCTCATCTCGAGTTGATTTGGGGCACATGGAGCTGCTTTGCATTGCTGGGTGACCTCAGGGTCCGTCTAGACTGGTGACAGTGTACTTGGGGACTGTCTGGAGATCCATTAAGCAAGTCGAAGCTCCTGACTTGTTTGAATGGGATCACGGAATAGCTCTGCATGCACTGCAGGGGAATGGGGCCTCATCTCGCCTCTAGGGGGAAGTCTCATGGTTTTTCTGGAGTTGCGGCGGGGACCTGGGGTATGTTCTCGACTTACGGCGGGGATGGCCCTTCAAAACACGAGTTTCTTCAGTGACGTCAGGACTCCTCTCTAGTAACGAGGGACTCCTCAGGAATCTCTTCGAGGCTTGGCAGGGCAAAAGGGACGCTTCTCGAGGTGAGGCAGGGCACCCAAGGACCCTTTCCAGTAGCCACAGGGATTTTGGGATTCCTATCAGTATTCAAGAGGAGTCAGGCATCGTCACCTTTTGAAGCAATGAACTCCGCGTGCCTCTCGAGGTGTCAGCGGGATGTGAGGCATTCCGTAAAAATGAGGCAGGGACCTAGGGCTTTCTCTAAGGTCTCCACAGGGGATTCAGACATCCCTTCATGTTGTGAGATGAAAGACGAGCCTGTATTCAAGCCACTGAAAGGAAATCCGGCCTCCTTTCAAGTTAGGGCTTCTCGCTGTATATTCCCCTTGAGGCAGCAAACTCGGGGTCCCTCCCACATACATATTGCTGAGAGAAGCCTCCTCCTGAGGTGCTTCTGGGAAGTTGGCATACGTCTTGAGCCTAAGCCAGGGAATCAGCTCTCATCTCGAGACGATTTGGGGTACACGAAGCATTCCTCGAGTTGCTGTGCTGAAGTTGGTGTTCCTCTAGACTTGGGACAGTGTTCTCGGGGCATCTCTGGAGTTACCTGAAGGAAGTCGAGCCACCGGTCGTGTTGAATGGGGAACGGGGAATGGCTTTGCAGTCAATGCAGGGGAATCGGGCCTCATCTCGAGTTGATTTAGGGCACATGGAGCTGCTTTGCGTTGCTGGGGTGACCTCAGGGTCCGTCTAGACTGGTGACAGTGTTCTTGGGGACTGTCTGGAGATCCATTAAGCAAGTCGAAGCTCCTGACTTGTTTGAATGGGATCACGGAATAGCTCTGCATGCACTGCAGGGGAATGGGGCCTCATCTCGCCTCTAGGGGGAAGTCTCATGGTTTTTCTCGAGTTGCGGCGGGGACCTGGGGTATGTTCTCGACTTACGGCGGGGATGGCCCTTCAAAACACGAGTTTCTTCAGTGACGTCAGGACTCCTGTCTAGTAACGAGGGACAGCTCAGGAATCTCTTCGAGGATTGGCAGGGCAAAAGGGACGCTTCTCGAGGTGAGGCAGGGCACCCAAGGACCCTTTCCAGTAGCCACAGCGATTTTGGGATTCCTATCAGTATTCAAGAGGAGTCAGGCATTGTCACCTTTTGAAGCAATGAACTCCGCGTGCCTCTCGAGGTGTCAGCGGGATGTGAGGCATTCCGTCAAAATGAGGTAGGGCCCTAGGGCTTTCTCTAAGGTCTCCACAGGGGATTCAGACATCCCTTCATGTTGTGAGATGAAAGACGAGCCTGTATTCAAGCCACTGAAAGGAAATCCGGCCTCCTTTCAAGTTAGGGCTTCTCGCTGTATATTCCCCTTGAGGCAGCAAACACGGGGTCCCTCCCACATACCTATTGCTGAGAGAATCCTCCTCCTGAGGTAACTCTGGAAGTTGGCATACGTCTTGACCCTAAGCCAAGGAATCAGCTCTCATCTCGAGACGATTTGGGGTACACGGAGCATTCCTCGAGTTGCTGTGCTGAAGTTGGTGTTCCTCTAGACTTGGGACAGTGTTCTCGGGGCATCTCTGGAGTTGCCTGAAGGAAGTCGAGCCACCGGTCGTGTTGAATGGGGAACGGCGAATGGCTCTGGAGTCAATGCAGGGGAATCGGGCCTCGTCTCGAGTTGATTTGGGACACATGGAGCTGCTTTGCGTTGCTGGGGTGACCTCAGGGTCCGTCTAGACTGGTGACAGTGTTCTTGGGGACTGTCTGGAGATCCATTAAGCAAGTCGAAGCTCCTGACTTGTTTGAATGGGATCACGGAATAGCTCTGCATGCACTGCAGGGGAATGGGGCCTCATCTCGCCTCTAGGGGGAAGTCTCATGGTTTTTCTCGAGTTGCGGCGGGGACCTGGGGTATGTTCTCGACTTACAGCGGGGATGGCCCTTCAAAACACGAGTTTCTTCAGTGACGTCAGGACTCCTGTCTAGTAACGAGGGACACTTCAGCAATCTCTTCGAGGCTTGGCAGGGCAAAAGGGACGCTTCTCGAGGTGAGGCATGGCACCCAAGGACCCTTTCCAGTAGCCACAGGGATTTTGGGATTCCTATAAGTAATCAAGAGGAGTCAGGCATCGTCACCTTTTGAAGCAATGAACTCCGCGTGCCTCTCGAGGTGTCAGCGGGATGTGAGGATTCCGTCAAAATGAGGCAGGGACCTAGGGCTTTCTCTAAGGTCTCCACAGGGGATTCAGACATCCCTTCATGTTGGGAGATGAAAGACGAGCCTGTATTCAAGCCACTGCAAGGAAATCTGGCCTCCTTTCAAGTTAGGGCTTCTCGCTGTATATTCCCCTTGAGGCAGCAAACTCGGGGTCCCTCCCACATACCTATTGCTGAGAGAAGCCTCCTCCTGAGGTGCTTCTTGAAAGGTGGCATACGTCTTGAGCCTAAGCCAGGGAATCAGCTCTCATCTCGAGACGATTTGGGGTACACAGAGCATTCCTCGAGTTGCTATGCTGAAGTTGGTGGTCCTCTAGACTTGGGACAGTGTTCTCGGGGCATCTCTGGAGTTGCCTGAAGGAAGTCGAGCCACCGGTCGTGTTGAATGGGGAACAAGGAATGGCTCTGGAGTCAATGCAGGGGAATCCGGCCTCATCTCGAGTTGATTTGGGGCACATGGAGCTGCTTTGCATTGCTGGGTGACCTCAGGGTCCGTCTAGACTGGTGACAGTGTTCTTGGGGACTGTCTGGAGATCCATTAAGCAAGTCGAAGCTCCTGACTTGTTTGAATGGGATCACGGAATAGCTCTGCATGCACTGCAGGGGAATGGGGCCTCATCTCGCCTCTAGGGGGAAGTCTCATGGTTTTTCTGGAGTTGCGGCGGCGGCCTGGGGTATGTTCTCGACTTACGGCGGGGATGGCCCTTCAAAACACGAGTTTCTTCAGTGACGTCAGGACTCCTCTCTAGTAACGAGGGACACCTCAGGAATCTCTTCGAGGCTTGGCAGGGCAAAAGGGACGCTTCTCGAGGTGAGGCAGGGCACCCAAGGACCCTTTCCAGTAGCCACAGGGATTTTGGGATTCCTATCAGTATTCAAGAGGAGTCAGGCATCGTCACCTTTTGAAGCAATGAACTCCGCGTGCCTCTCGAGGTGTCAGCGGGATGTGAGGCATTCCGTAAAAATGAGGCAGGGACCTAGGGCTTTCTCTAAGGTCTCCACAGGGGATTCAGACATCCCTTCATGTTGTGAGATGAAAGACGAGCCTGTATTCAAGCCACTGAAAGGAAATCCGGCCTCCTTTCAAGTTAGGGCTTCTCGCTGTATATTCCCCTTGAGGCAGCAAACTCGGGGTCCCTCCCACATACATATTGCTGAGAGAAGCCTCCTCCTGAGGTGCTTCTGGGAAGTTGGCATACGTCTTGAGCCTAAGCCAGGGAATCAGCTCTCATCTCGAGACGATTTGGGGTACACGGAGCATTCCTCGAGTTTCTGTGCTGAAGTTGGTGATCCTCTAGACTTGGGACAGTGTTCTCGGGGCATCTCTGGAGTTGCCTGAAGGAAGTCGAGCCACCGGTCGTGTTGAATGGGGAACGGCGAATGGCTCTGGAGTCAATGCAGGGGAATCGGGCCTCGTCTCGAGTTGATTTGGGGCACATGGAGCTGCTTTGCGTTGCTGGGGTGACCTCAGGGTCCGTCTAGACTGGTGACAGTGTTCTTGGGGACTCTCTGGAGATCCATTAAGCAAGTCGAAGCTCCTGACTTGTTTGAATGGGATCACGGAATAGCTCTGCATGCACTGCAGGGGAATGGGGCCTCATCTCGCCTCTAGGGGGAAGTCTCATGGTTTTTCTCGAGTTGCGGCGGGGACCTGGGGTATGTTCTCGACTTACAGCGGGGATGGCCCTTCAAAACACGAGTTTCTTCAGTGACGTCAGGACTCCTGTCTAGTAACGAGGGACACTTCAGCAATCTCTTCGAGGCTTGGCAGGGCAAAAGGGACGCTTCTCGAGGTGAGGCATGGCACCCAAGGACCCTTTCCAGTAGCCACAGGGATTTTGGGATTCCTATAAGTAATCAAGAGGAGTCAGGCATCGTCACCTTTTGAAGCAATGAACTCCGCGTGCCTCTCGAGGTGTCAGCGGGATGTGAGGATTCCGTCAAAATGAGGCAGGGACCTAGGGCTTTCTCTAAGGTCTCCACAGGGGATTCAGACATCCCTTCATGTTGGGAGATGAAAGACGAGCCTGTATTCAAGCCACTGCAAGGAAATCTGGCCTCCTTTCAAGTTAGGGCTTCTCGCTGTATATTCCCCTTGAGGCAGCAAACTCGGGGTCCCTCCCACATACCTATTGCTGAGAGAAGCCTCCTCCTGAGGTGCTTCTGGAAAGGTGGCATACGTCTTGAGCCTAAGCCAGGGAATCAGCTCTCATCTCGAGACGATTTGGGGTACACAGAGCATTCCTCGAGTTGCTATGCTGAAGTTGGTGGTCCTCTAGACTTGGGACAGTGTTCTCGGGGCATCTCTGGAGTTGCCTGAAGGAAGTCGAGCCACCGGTCGTGTTGAATGGGGAACAAGGAATGGCTCTGGAGTCAATGCAGGGGAATCCGGCCTCATCTCGAGTTGATTTGGGGCACATGGAGCTGCTTTGCATTGCTGGGTGACCTCAGGGTCCGTCTAGACTGGTGACAGTGTTCTTGGGGACTGTCTGGAGATCCATTAAGCAAGTCGAAGCTCCTGACTTGTTTGAATGGGATCACGGAATAGCTCTGCATGCACTGCAGGGGAATGGGGCCTCATCTCGCCTCTAGGGGGAAGTCTCATGGTTTTTCTCGAGTTGCGGCGGGGACCTGGGGTATGTTCTCGACTTACGGCGGGGATGGCCCTTCAAAACACGAGTTTCTTCAGTGACGTCAGGACTCCTCTCTAGTAACGAGGGACACCTCAGGAATCTCTTCGAGGCTTGGCAGGGCAAAAGGGACGCTTCTCGAGGTGAGGCAGGGCACCCAAGGACCCTTTCCAGTAGCCACAGGGATTTTGGGATTCCTATCAGTATTCAAGAGGAGTCAGGCATCGTCACCTTTTGAAGCAATGAACTCCGCGTGCCTCTCGAGGTGTCAGCGGGATGTGAGGCATTCCGTAAAAATGAGGCAGGGACCTAGGGCTTTCTCTAAGGTCTCCACAGGGGATTCAGACATCCCTTCATGTTGTGAGATGAAAGACGAGCCTGTATTCAAGCCACTGAAAGGAAATCCGGCCTCCTTTCAAGTTAGGGCTTCTCGCTGTATATTCCCCTTGAGGCAGCAAACTCGGGGTCCCTCCCACATACATATTGCTGAGAGAAGCCTCCTCCTGAGGTGCTTCTGGGAAGTTGGCATACGTCTTGAGCCTAAGCCAGGGAATCAGCTCTCATCTCGAGACGATTTGGGGTACACGGAGCATTCCTCGAGTTTCTGTGCTGAAGTTGGTGTTCCTCTAGACTTGGGACAGTGTTCTCGGGGCATCTCTGGAGTTGCCTGAAGGAAGTCGAGCCACCGGTCGTGTTGAATGGGGAACGGCGAATGGCTCTGGAGTCAATGCAGGGGAATCGGGCCTCGTCTCGAGTTGATTTGGGGCACATGGAGCTGCTTTGCGTTGCTGGGGTGACCTCAGGGTCCGTCTAGACTGGTGACAGTGTTCTTGGGGACTCTCTGGAGATCCATTAAGCAAGTCGAAGCTCCTGACTTGTTTGAATGGGATCACGGAATAGCTCTGCATGCACTGCAGGGGAATGGGGCCTCATCTCGCCTCTAGGGGGAAGTCTCATGGTTTTTCTCGAGTTGCGGCGGGGACCTGGGGTATGTTCTCGACTTACAGCGGGGATGGCCCTTCAAAACACGAGTTTCTTCAGTGACGTCAGGACTCCTGTCTAGTAACGAGGGACACTTCAGCAATCTCTTCGAGGCTTGGCAGGGCAAAAGGGACGCTTCTCGAGGTGAGGCATGGCACCCAAGGACCCTTTCCAGTAGCCACAGGGATTTTGGGATTCCTATAAGTAATCAAGAGGAGTCAGGCATCGTCACCTTTTGAAGCAATGAACTCCGCGTGCCTCTCGAGGTGTCAGCGGGATGTGAGGATTCCGTCAAAATGAGGCAGGGACCTAGGGCTTTCTCTAAGGTCTCCACAGGGGATTCAGACATCCCTTCATGTTGTGAGATGAAAGACGAGCCTGTATTCAAGCCACTGCAAGGAAATCTGGCCTCCTTTCAAGTTAGGGCTTCTCGCTGTATATTCCCCTTGAGGCAGCAAACTCGGGGTCCCTCCCACATACCTATTGCTGAGAGAAGCCTCCTCCTGAGGTGCTTCTGGAAAGGTGGCATACGTCTTGAGCCTAAGCCAGGGAATCAGCTCTCATCTTGAGACGATTTGGGGTACACAGAGCATTCCTCGAGTTGCTATGCTGAAGTTGGTGGTCCTCTAGACTTGGGACAGTGTTCTCGGGGCATCTCTGGAGTTGCCTGAAGGAAGTCGAGCCACCGGTCGTGTTGAATGGGGAAGAAGGAATGGCTCTGGAGTCAATGCAGGGGAATCCGGCCTCATCTCGAGTTGATTTGGGGCACATGGAGCTGCTTTGCATTGCTGGGTGACCTCAGGGTCCGTCTAGACTGGTGACAGTGTACTTGGGGACTGTCTGGAGATCCATTAAGCAAGTCGAAGCTCCTGACTTGTTTGAATGGGATCACGGAATAGCTCTGCATGCACTGCAGGGGAATGGGGCCTCATCTCGCCTCTAGGGGGAAGTCTCATGGTTTTTCTGGAGTTGCGGCGGGGACCTGGGGTATGTTCTCGACTTACGGCGGGGATGGCCCTTCAAAACACGAGTTTCTTCAGTGACGTCAGGACTCCTCTCTAGTAACGAGGGACACCTCAGGAATCTCTTCGAGGCTTGGCAGGGCAAAAGGGACGCTTCTCGAGGTGAGGCAGGGCACCCAAGGACCCTATCCAGTAGCCACAGGGATTTTGGGATTCCTATCAGTATTCAAGAGGAGTCAGGCATCGTCACCTTTTGAAGCAATGAACTCCGCGTGCCTCTCGAGGTGTCAGCGGGATGTGAGGCATTCCGTAAAAATGAGGCAGGGACCTAGGGCTTTCTCTAAGGTCTCCACAGGGGATTCAGACATCCCTTCATGTTGTGAGATGAAAGACGAGCCTGTATTCAAGCCACTGAAAGGAAATCCGGCCTCCTTTCAAGTTAGGGCTTCTCGCTGTATATTCCCCTTGAGGCAGCAAACTCAGGGTCCCTCCCACATACATATTGCTGAGAGAAGCCTCCTCCTGAGGTGCTTCTGGGAAGTTGGCATACGTCTTGAGCCTAAGCCAGGGAATCAGCTCTCATCTCGAGACGATTTGGGGTACACGAAACATTCCTCGATTTGCTGTGCTGAAGTTGGTGTTCCTCTAGACTTGGGACAGTGTTCTCGGGGCATCTCTGGAGTTACCTGAAGGAAGTCGAGCCACCGGTCGTGTTGAATGGGGAACGGGGAATGGCTCTGCAGTCAATGCAGGGGAATCGGGCCTCATCTCGAGTTGATTTAGGGCACATGGAGCTGCTTTGCGTTGCTGGGGTGACCTCAGGGTCCGTCTAGACTGGTGACAGTGTTCTTGGGGACTCTCTGGAGATCCATTAAGCAAGTCGAAGCTCCTGACTTGTTTGAATGGGATCACGGAATAGCTCTGCATGCACTGCAGGGGAATGGGGCCTCATCTCGCCTCTAGGGGGAAGTCTCATGGTTTTTCTCGAGTTGCGGCGGGGACCTGGGGTATGTTCTCGACTTACGGCGGGGATGGCCCTTCAAAACACGAGTTTCTTCAGTGACGTCAGGACTCCTGTCTAGTAACGAGGGACAGCTCAGGAATCTCTTCGAGGATTGGCAGGGCAAAAGGGACGCTTCTCGAGGTGAGGCAGGGCACCCAAGGACCCTTTCCAGTAGCCACAGCGATTTTGGGATTCCTATCAGTATTCAAGAGGAGTCAGGCATCGTCACCTTTTGAAGCAATGAACTCCGTGTGCCTCTCGAGGTGTCAGCGGGATGTGAGGCATTCCGTCAAAATGAGGTAGGGCCCTAGGGCTTTCTCTAAGGTCTCCACAGGGGATTCAGACATCCCTTCATGTTGTGAGATGAAAGACGAGCCTGTATTCAAGCCACTGAAAGGAAATCCGGCCTCCTTTCAAGTTAGGGCTTCTCGCTGTATATTCCCCTTGAGGCAGCAAACACGGGGTCCCTCCCACATACCTATTGCTGAGAGAATCCTCCTCCTGAGGTAACTCTGGAAGTTGGCATACGTCTTGACCCTAAGCCAAGGAATCAGCTCTCATCTCGATACGATTTGGGGTACACGGAGCATTCCTCGAGTTGCTGTGCTGAAGTTGGTGTTCCTCTAGACTTGGGACAGTGTTCTCGGGGCATCTCTGGAGTTGCCTGAAGGAAGTCGAGCCACCGGTCGTGTTGAATGGGGAACGGCGAATGGCTCTGGAGTCAATGCAGGGGAATCGGGCCTCGTCTCGAGTTGATTTGGGGCACATGGAGCTGCTTTGCGTTGCTGGGGTGACCTCAGGGTCCGTCTAGACTGGTGACAGTGTTCTTGGGGACTGTCTGGAGATCCATTAAGCAAGTCGAAGCTCCTGACTTGTTTGAATGGGATCACGGAATAGCTCTGCATGCACTGCAGGGGAATGGGGCCTCATCTCGCCTCTAGGGGGAAGTCTCATGGTTTTTCTCGAGTTGCGGCGGGGACCTGGGGTATGTTCTCGACTTACCGCGGGGATGGCCCTTCAAAACACGAGTTTCTTCAGTGACGTCAGGACTCCTGTCTAGTAACGAGGGACACTTCAGCAATCTCTTCGAGGCTTGGCAGGGCAAAAGGGACGCTTCTCGAGGTGAGGCAGGGCACCCAAGGACCCTTTCCAGTAGCCACAGGGATTTTGGGATTCCTATAAGTAATCAAGAGGAGTCAGGCATCGTCACCTTTTGAAGCAATGAACTCCGCGTGCCTCTCGAGGTGTCAGCGGGATGTGAGGATTCCGTCAAAATGAGGCAGGGACCTAGGGCTTTCTCTAAGGTCTCCACAGGGGATTCAGACATCCCTTCATGTTGTGAGATGAAAGACGAGCCTGTATTCAAGCCACTGCAAGGAAATCTGGCCTCCTTTCAAGTGAGGGCTTCTCGCTGTATATTCCCCTTGAGGCAGCAAACTCGGGGTCCCTCCCACATACCTATTGCTGAGAGAAGCCTCCTCCTGAGGTGCTTCTGGAAAGGTGGCATACGTCTTGAGCCTAAGCCAGGGAATCAGCTCTCATCTCGAGACGATTTGGGGTACACAGAGCATTCCTCGAGTTGCTATGCTGAAGTTGGTGGTCCTCTAGACTTGGGACAGTGTTCTCGGGGCATCTCTGGAGTTGCCTGAAGGAAGTCGAGCCACCGGTCGTGTTGAATGGGGAACAAGGAATGGCTCTGGAGTCAATGCAGGGGAATCCGGCCTCATCTCGAGTTGATTTGGGGCACATGGAGCTGCTTTGCATTGCTGGGTGACCTCAGGGTCCGTCTAGACTGGTGACAGTGTACTTGGGGACTGTCTGGAGTTCCATTAAGCAAGTCGAAGCTCCTGACTTGTTTGAATGGGATCACGGAATAGCTCTGCATGCACTGCAGGGGAATGGGGCCTCATCTCGCCTCTAGGGGGAAGTCTCATGGTTTTTCTGGAGTTGCGGCGGGGACCTGGGGTATGTTCTCGACTTACGGCGGGGATGGCCCTTCAAAACACGAGTTTCTTCAGTGACGTCAGGACTCCTCTCTAGTAACGAGGGACTCCTCAGGAATCTCTTCGAGGCTTGGCAGGGCAAAAGGGACGCTTCTCGAGGTGAGGCAGGGCACCCAAGGACCCTTTCCAGTAGCCACAGGGATTTTGGGATTCCTATCAGTATTCAAGAGGAGTCAGGCATCGTCACCTTTTGAAGCAATGAACTCCGCGTGCCTCTCGAGGTGTCAGCGGGATGTGAGGCATTCCGTAAAAATGAGGCAGGGACCTAGGGCTTTCTCTAAGGTCTCCACAGGGGATTCAGACATCCCTTCATGTTGTGAGATGAAAGACGAGCCTGTATTCAAGCCACTGAAAGGAAATCCGGCCTCCTTTCAAGTTAGGGCTTCTCGCTGTATATTCCCCTTGAGGCAGCAAACTCGGGGTCCCTCCCACATACATATTGCTGAGAGAAGCCTCCTCCTGAGGTGCTTCTGGGAAGTTGGCATACGTCTTGAGCCTAAGCCAGGGAATCAGCTCTCATCTCGAGACGATTTGTGGTACACGAAGCATTCCTCGAGTTGCTGTGCTGAAGTTGGTGTTCCTCTAGACTTGGGACAGTGTTCTCGGGGCATCTCTGGAGTTACCTGAAGGAAGTCGAGCCACCGGTCGTGTTGAATGGGGAACGGGGAATGGCTTTGCAGTCAATGCAGGGGAATCGGGCCTCATCTCGAGTTGATTTAGGGCACATGGAGCTGCTTTGCGTTGCTGGGGTGACCTCAGGGTCCGTCTAGACTGGTGACAGTGTTCTTGGGGACTGTCTGGAGATCCATTAAGCAAGTCGAAGCTCCTGACTTGTTTGAATGGGATCACGGAATAGCTCTGCATGCACTGCAGGGGAATGGGGCCTCATCTCGCCTCTAGGGGGAAGTCTCATGGTTTTTCTCGAGTTGCGGCGGGGACCTGGGGTATGTTCTCGACTTACGGCGGGGATGGCCCTTCAAAACACGAGTTTCTTCAGTGACGTCAGGACTCCTGTCTAGTAACGAGGGACAGCTCAGGAATCTCTTCGAGGATTGGCAGGGCAAAAGGGACGCTTCTCGAGGTGAGGCAGGGCACCCAAGGACCCTTTCCAGTAGCCACAGCGATTTTGGGATTCCTATCAGTATTCAAGAGGAGTCAGGCATTGTCACCTTTTGAAGCAATGAACTCCGCGTGCCTCTCGAGGTGTCAGCGGGATGTGAGGCATTCCGTCAAAATGAGGTAGGGTCCTAGGTCTTTCTCTAAGGTCTCCACAGGGGATTCAGACATCCCTTCATGTTGTGAGATGAAAGACGAGCCTGTATTCAAGCCACTGAAAGGAAATCCGGCCTCCTTTCAAGTTAGGGCTTCTCGCTGTATATTCCCCTTGAGGCAGCAAACACGGGGTCCCTCCCACATACCTATTGCTGAGAGAATCCTCCTCCTGAGGTAACTCTGGAAGTTGGCATACGTCTTGACCCTAAGCCAAGGAATCAGCTCTCATCTCGAGACGATTTGGGGTACACGGAGCATTCCTCGAGTTGCTGTGCTGAAGTTGGTGTTCCTCTAGACTTGGGACAGTGTTCTCGGGGCATCTCTGGAGTTGCCTGAAGTAAGTCGAGCCACCGGTCGTGTTGAATGGGGAACGGCGAATGGCTCTGGAGTCAATGCAGGGGAATCGGGCCTCGTCTCGAGTTGATTTGGGGCACATGGAGCTGCTTTGCGTTGCTGGGGTGACCTCAGGGTCCGTCTAGACTGGTGACAGTGTTCTTGGGGACTGTCTGGAGATCCATTAAGCAAGTCGAAGCTCCTGACTTGTTTGAATGGGATCACGGAATAGCTCTGCATGCACTGCAGGGGAATGGGGCCTCATCTCGCCTCTAGGGGGAAGTCTCATGGTTTTTCTCGAGTTGCGGCGGGGACCTGGGGTATGTTCTCGACTTACAGCGGGGATGGCCCTTCAAAACACGAGTTTCTTCAGTGACGTCAGGACTCCTGTCTAGTAACGAGGGACACTTCAGCAATCTCTTCGAGGCTTGGCAGGGCAAAAGGGACGCTTCTCGAGGTGAGGCATGGCACCCAAGGACCCTTTCCAGTAGCCACAGGGATTTTGGGATTCCTATAAGTAATCAAGAGGAGTCAGGCATCGTCACCTTTTGAAGCAATGAACTCCGCGTGCCTCTCGAGGTGTCAGCGGGATGTGAGGATTCCGTCAAAATGAGGCAGGGACCTAGGGCTTTCTCTAAGGTCTCCACAGGGGATTCAGACATCCCTTCATGTTGTGAGATGAAAGACGAGCCTGTATTCAAGCCACTGCAAGGAAATCTGGCCTCCTTTCAAGTTAGGGCTTCTCGCTGTATATTCCCCTTGAGGCAGCAAACTCGGGGTCCCTCCCACATACCTATTGCTGAGAGAAGCCTCCTCCTGAGGTGCTTCTGGAAAGGTGGCATACGTCTTGAGCCTAAGCCAGGGAATCAGCTCTCATCTCGAGACGATTTGGGGTACACAGAGCATTCCTCGAGTTGCTATGCTGAAGTTGGTGGTCCTCTAGACTTGGGACAGTGTTCTCGGGGCATCTCTGGAGTTGCCTGAAGGAAGTCGAGCCACCGGTCGTGTTGAATGGGGAACAAGGAATGGCTCTGGAGTCAATGCAGGGGAATCCGGCCTCATCTCGAGTTGATTTGGGGCACATGGAGCTGCTTTGCATTGCTGGGTGACCTCAGGGTCCGTCTAGACTGGTGACAGTGTTCTTGGGGACTGTCTGGAGATCCATTAAGCAAGTCGAAGCTCCTGACTTGTTTGAATGGGATCACGGAATAGCTCTGCATGCACTGCAGGGGAATGGGGCCTCATCTCGCCTCTAGGGGGAAGTCTCATGGTTTTTCTGGAGTTGCGGCGGGGACCTGGGGTATGTTCTCGACTTACGGCGGGGATGGCCCTTCAAAACACGAGTTTCTTCAGTGACGTCAGGACTCCTCTCTAGTAACGAGGGACACCTCAGGAATCTCTTCGAGGCTTGGCAGGGCAAAAGGGACGCTTCTCGAGGTGAGGCAGGGCACCCAAGGACCCTTTCCAGTAGCCACAGGGATTTTGGGATTCCTATCAGTATTCAAGAGGAGTCAGGCATCGTCACCTTTTGAAGCAATGAACTCCGCGTGCCTCTCGAGGTGTCAGCGGGATGTGAGGCATTCCGTAAAAATGAGGCAGGGACCTAGGGCTTTCTCTAAGGTCTCCACAGGGGATTCAGACATCCCTTCATGTTGTGAGATGAAAGACGAGCCTGTATTCAAGCCACTGAAAGGAAATCCGGCCTCCTTTCAAGTTAGGGCTTCTCGCTGTATATTCCCCTTGAGGCAGCAAACTCGGGGTCCCTCCCACATACATATTGCTGAGAGAAGCCTCCTCCTGAGGTGCTTCTGGGAAGTTGGCATACGTCTTGAGCCTAAGCCAGGGAATCAGCTCTCATCTCGAGACGATTTGGGGTACACGGAGCATTCCTCGAGTTTCTGTGCTGAAGTTGGTGTTCCTCTAGACTTGGGACAGTGTTCTCGGGGCATCTCTGGAGTTGCCTGAAGGAAGTCGAGCCACCGGTCGTGTTGAATGGGGAACGGCGAATGGCTCTGGAGTCAATGCAGGGGAATCGGGCCTCGTCTCGAGTTGATTTGGGGCACATGGAGCTGCTTTGCGTTGCTGGGGTGACCTCAGGGTCCGTCTAGACTGGTGACAGTGTTCTTGGGGACTCTCTGGAGATCCATTAAGCAAGTCGAAGCTCCTGACTTGTTTGAATGGGATCACGGAATAGCTCTGCATGCACTGCAGGGGAATGGGGCCTCATCTCGCCTCTAGGGGGAAGTCTCATGGTTTTTCTCGAGTTGCGGCGGGGACCTGGGGTATGTTCTCGACTTACAGCGGGGATGGCCCTTCAAAACACGAGTTTCTTCAGTGACGTCAGGACTCCTGTCTAGTAACGAGGGACACTTCAGCAATCTCTTCGAGGCTTGGCAGGGCAAAAGGGACGCTTCTCGAGGTGAGGCATGGCACCCAAGGACCCTTTCCAGTAGCCACAGGGATTTTGGGATTCCTATAAGTAATCAAGAGGAGTCAGGCATCGTCACCTTTTGAAGCAATGAACTCCGCGTGCCTCTCGAGGTGTCAGCGGGATGTGAGGATTCCGTCAAAATGAGGCAGGGACCTAGGGCTTTCTCTAAGGTCTCCACAGGGGATTCAGACATCCCTTCATGTTGGGAGATGAAAGACGAGCCTGTATTCAAGCCACTGCAAGGAAATCTGGCCTCCTTTCAAGTTAGGGCTTCTCGCTGTATATTCCCCTTGAGGCAGCAAACTCGGGGTCCCTCCCACATACCTATTGCTGAGAGAAGCCTCCTCCTGAGGTGCTTCTGGAAAGGTGGCATACGTCTTGAGCCTAAGCCAGGGAATCAGCTCTCATCTTGAGACGATTTGGGGTACACAGAGCATTCCTCGAGTTGCTATGCTGAAGTTGGTGGTCCTCTAGACTTGGGACAGTGTTCTCGGGGCATCTCTGGAGTTGCCTGAAGGAAGTCGAGCCACCGGTCGTGTTGAATGGGGAACAAGGAATGGCTCTGGAGTCAATGCAGGGGAATCCGGCCTCATCTCGAGTTGATTTGGGGCACATGGAGCTGCTTTGCATTGCTGGGTGACCTCAGGGTCCGTCTAGACTGGTGACAGTGTACTTGGGGACTGTCTGGAGATCCATTAAGCAAGTCGAAGCTCCTGACTTGTTTGAATGGGATCACGGAATAGCTCTGCATGCACTGCAGGGGAATGGGGCCTCATCTCGCCTCTAGGGGGAAGTCTCATGGTTTTTCTCGAGTTGCGGCGGGGACCTGGGGTATGTTCTCGACTTACCGCGGGGATGGCCCTTCAAAACACGAGTTTCTTCAGTGACGTCAGGACTCCTGTCTAGTAACGAGGGACACTTCAGCAATCTCTTCGAGGCTTGGCAGGGCAAAAGGGACGCTTCTCGAGGTGAGGCAGGGCACCCAAGGACCCTTTCCAGTAGCCACAGGGATTTTGGGATTCCTATAAGTAATCAAGAGGAGTCAGGCATCGTCACCTTTTGAAGCAATGAACTCCGCGTGCCTCTCGAGGTGTCAGCGGGATGTGAGGATTCCGTCAAAATGAGGCAGGGACCTAGGGCTTTCTCTAAGGTCTCCACAGGGGATTCAGACATCCCTTCATGTTGTGAGATGAAAGACGCGCCTGTATTCAAGCCACTGCAAGGAAATCTGGCCTCCTTTCAAGTGAGGGCTTCTCGCTGTATATTCCCCTTGAGGCAGCAAACTCGGGGTCCCTCCCACATACCTATTGCTGAGAGAAGCCTCCTCCTGAGGTGCTTCTGGAAAGGTGGCATACGTCTTGAGCCTAAGCCAGGGAATCAGCTCTCATCTCGAGACGATTTGGGGTACACAGAGCATTCCTCGAGTTGCTATGCTGAAGTTGGTGGTCCTCTAGACTTGGGACAGTGTTCTCGGGGCATCTCTGGAGTTGCCTGAAGGAAGTCGAGCCACCGGTCGTGTTGAATGGGGAACAAGGAATGGCTCTGGAGTCAATGCAGGGGAATCCGGCCTCATCTCGAGTTGATTTGGGGCACATGGAGCTGCTTTGCATTGCTGGGTGACCTCAGGGTCCGTCTAGACTGGTGACAGTGTACTTGGGGACTGTCTGGAGATCCATTAAGCAAGTCGAAGCTCCTGACTTGTTTGAATGGGATCACGGAATAGCTCTGCATGCACTGCAGGGGAATGGGGCCTCATCTCGCCTCTAGGGGGAAGTCTCATGGTTTTTCTGGAGTTGCGGCGGGGACCTGGGGTATGTTCTCGACTTACGGCGGGGATGGCCCTTCAAAACACGAGTTTCTTCAGTGACGTCAGGACTCCTCTCTAGTAATGAGGGACTCCTCAGGAATCTCTTCGAGGCTTGGCAGGGCAAAAGGGACGCTTCTCGAGGTGAGGCAGGGCACCCAAGGACCCTTTCCAGTAGCCACAGGGATTTTGGGATTCCTATCAGTATTCAAGAGGAGTCAGGCATCGTCACCTTTTGAAGCAATGAACTCCGCGTGCCTCTCGAGGTGTCAGCGGGATGTGAGGCATTCCGTAAAAATGAGGCAGGGACCTAGGGCTTTCTCTAAGGTCTCCACAGGGGATTCAGACATCCCTTCATGTTGTGAGATGAAAGACGAGCCTGTATTCAAGCCACTGAAAGGAAATCCGGCCTCCTTTCAAGTTAGGGCTTCTCGCTGTATATTCCCCTTGAGGCAGCAAACTCGGGGTCCCTCCCACATACATATTGCTGAGAGAAGCCTCCTCCTGAGGTGCTTCTGGGAAGTTGGCATACGTCTTGAGCCTAAGCCAGGGAATCAGCTCTCATCTCGAGACGATTTGGGGTACACGAAGCATTCCTCGAGTTGCTGTGCTGAAGTTGGTGTTCCTCTAGACTTGGGACAGTGTTCTCGGGGCATCTCTGGAGTTACCTGAAGGAAGTCGAGCCACCGGTCGTGTTGAATGGGGAACGGGGAATGGCTTTGCAGTCAATGCAGGGGAATCGGGCCTCATCTCGAGTTGATTTAGGGCACATGGAGCTGCTTTGCGTTGCTGGGGTGACCGCAGGGTCCGTCTAGACTGGTGACAGTGTTCTTGGGGACTGTCTGGAGATCCATTAAGCAAGTCGAAGCTCCTGACTTGTTTGAATGGGATCACGGAATAGCTCTGCATGCACTGCAGGGGAATGGGGCCTCATCTCGCCTCTAGGGGGAAGTCTCATGGTTTTTCTCGAGTTGCGGCGGGGACCTGGGGTATGTTCTCGACTTACGGCGGGGATGGCCCTTCAAAACACGAGTTTCTTCAGTGACGTCAGGACTCCTGTCTAGTAACGAGGGACAGCTCAGGAATCTCTTCGAGGATTGGCAGGGCAAAAGGGACGCTTCTCGAGGTGAGGCAGGGCACCCAAGGACACTTTCCAGTAGCCACAGTGATTTTGGGATTCCTATCAGTATTCAAGAGGAGTCAGGCATTGTCACCTTTTGAAGCAATGAACTCCGCGTGCCTCTCGAGGTGTCAGCGGGATGTGAGGCATTCCGTCAAAATGAGGTAGGGCCCTAGGGCTTTCTCTAAGGTCTCCACAGGGGATTCAGACATCCCTTCATGTTGTGAGATGAAAGACGAGCCTGTATTCAAGCCACTGAAAGGAAATCCGGCCTCCTTTCAAGTTAGGGCTTCTCGCTGTATATTCCCCTTGAGGCAGCAAACACGGGGTCCCTCCCACATACCTATTGCTGAGAGAATCCTCCTCCTGAGGTAACTCTGGAAGTTGGCATACGTCTTGACCCTAAGCCAAGGAATCAGCTCTCATCTCGAGACGATTTGGGGTACACGGAGCATTCCTCGAGTTGCTGTGCTGAAGTTGGTGTTCCTCTAGACTTGGGACAGTGTTCTCGGGGCATCTCTGGAGTTGCCTGAAGGAAGTCGAGCCACCGGTCGTGTTGAATGGGGAACGGCGAATGGCTCTGGAGTCAATGCAGGGGAATCGGGCCTCGTCTCGAGTTGATTTGGGGCACATGGAGCTGCTTTGCGTTGCTGGGGTGACCTCAGGGTCCGTCTAGACTGGTGACAGTGTTCTTGGGGACTGTCTGGAGATCCATTAAGCAAGTCGAAGCTCCTGACTTGTTTGAATGGGATCACGGAATAGCTCTGCATGCACTGCAGGGGAATGGGGCCTCATCTCGCCTCTAGGGGGAAGTCTCATGGTTTTTCTCGAGTTGCGGCGGGGACCTGGGGTATGTTCTCGACTTACAGCGGGGATGGCCCTTCAAAACACGAGTTTCTTCAGTGACGTCAGGACTCCTGTCTAGTAACGAGGGACACTTCAGCAATCTCTTCGAGGCTTGGCAGGGCAAAAGGGACGCTTCTCGAGGTGAGGCAGGGCACCCAAGGACCCTTTCCAGTAGCCACAGGGATTTTGGGATTCCTATAAGTAATCAAGAGGAGTCAGGCATCGTCACCTTTTGAAGCAATGAACTCCGCGTGCCTCTCGAGGTGTCAGCGGGATGTGAGGATTCCGTCAAAATGAGGCAGGGACCTAGGGCTTTCTCTAAGGTCTCCACAGGGGATTCAGACATCCCTTCATGTTGGGAGATGAAAGACGAGCCTGTATTCAAGCCACTGCAAGGAAATCTGGCCTCCTTTCAAGTTAGGGCTTCTCGCTGTATATTCCCCTTGAGGCAGCAAACTCGGGGTCCCTCCCACATACCTATTGCTGAGAGAAGCCTCCTCCTGAGGTGCTTCTGGAAAGGTGGCATACGTCTTGAGCCTAAGCCAGGGAATCAGCTCTCATCTCGAGACGATTTGGGGTACACAGAGCATTCCTCGAGTTGCTATGCTGAAGTTGGTGGTCCTCTAGACTTGGGACAGTGTTCTCGGGGCATCTCTGGAGTTGCCTGAAGGAAGTCGAGCCACCGGTCGTGTTGAATGGGGAACAAGGAATGGCTCTGGAGTCAATGCAGGGGAATCCGGCCTCATCTCGAGTTGATTTGGGGCACATGGAGCTGCTTTGCATTGCTGGGTGACCTCAGGGTCCGTCTAGACTGGTGACAGTGTTCTTGGGGACTGTCTGGAGATCCATTAAGCAAGTCGAAGCTCCTGACTTGTTTGAATGGGATCACGGAATAGCTCTGCATGCACTGCAGGGGAATGGGGCCTCATCTCGCCTCTAGGGGGAAGTCTCATGGTTTTTCTGGAGTTGCGGCGGGGACCTGGGGTATGTTCTCGACTTACGGCGGGGATGGCCCTTCAAAACACGAGTTTCTTCAGTGACGTCAGGACTCCTCTCTAGTAACGAGGGACACCTCAGGAATCTCTTCGAGGCTTGGCAGGGCAAAAGGGACGCTTCTCGAGGTGAGGCAGGGCACCCAAGGACCCTTTCCAGTAGCCACAGGGATTTTGGGATTCCTATCAGTATTCAAGAGGAGTCAGGCATCGTCACCTTTTGAAGCAATGAACTCCGCGTGCCTCTCGAGGTGTCAGCGGGATGTGAGGCATTCCGTAAAAATGAGGCAGGGACCTAGGGCTTTCTCTAAGGTCTCCACAGGGGATTCAGACATCCCTTCATGTTGTGAGATGAAAGACGAGCCTGTATTCAAGCCACTGAAAGGAAATCCGGCCTCCTTTCAAGTTAGGGCTTCTCGCTGTATATTCCCCTTGAGGCAGCAAACTCGGGGTCCCTCCCACATACATATTGCTGAGAGAAGCCTCCTCCTGAGGTGCTTCTGGGAAGTTGGCATACGTCTTGAGCCTAAGCCAGGGAATCAGCTCTCATCTCGAGACGATTTGGGGTACACGGAGCATTCCTCGAGTTTCTGTGCTGAAGTTGGTGTTCCTCTAGACTTGGGACAGTGTTCTCGGGGCATCTCTGGAGTTGCCTGAAGGAAGTCGAGCCACCGGTCGTGTTGAATGGGGAACGGCGAATGGCTCTGGAGTCAATGCAGGGGAATCGGGCCTCGTCTCGAGTTGATTTGGGGCACATGGAGCTGCTTTGCGTTGCTGGGGTGACCTCAGGGTCCGTCTAGACTGGTGACAGTGTTCTTGGGGACTGTCTGGAGATCCATTAAGCAAGTCGAAGCTCCTGACTTGTTTGAAAGGGATCACGGAATAGCTCTGCATGCACTGCAGGGGAATGGGGCCTCATCTCGCCTCTAGGGGGAAGTCTCATGGTTTTTCTCGAGTTGCGGCGGGGACCTGGGGTATGTTCTCGACTTACAGCGGGGATGGCCCTTCAAAACACGAGTTTCTTCAGTGACGTCAGGACTCCTGTCTAGTAACGAGGGACACTTCAGCAATCTCTTCGAGGCTTGGCAGGGCAAAAGGGACGCTTCTCGAGGTGAGGCATGGCACCCAAGGACCCTTTCCAGTAGCCACAGGGATTTTGGGATTCCTATAAGTAATCAAGAGGAGTCAGGCATCGTCACCTTTTGAAGCAATGAACTCCGCGTGCCTCTCGAGGTGTCAGCGGGATGTGAGGATTCCGTCAAAATGAGGCAGGGACCTAGGGCTTTCTCTAAGGTCTCCACAGGGGATTCAGACATCCCTTCATGTTGTGAGATGAAAGACGAGCCTGTATTCAAGCCACTGCAAGGAAATCTGGCCTCCTTTCAAGTTAGGGCTTCTCGCTGTATATTCCCCTTGAGGCAGCAAACTCGGGGTCCCTCCCACATACCTATTGCTGAGAGAAGCCTCCTCCTGAGGTGCTTCTGGAAAGGTGGCATACGTCTTGAGCCTAAGCCAGGGAATCAGCTCTCATCTTGAGACGATTTGGGGTACACAGAGCATTCCTCGAGTTGCTATGCTGAAGTTGGTGGTCCTCTAGACTTGGGACAGTGTTCTCGGGGCATCTCTGGAGTTGCCTGAAGGAAGTCGAGCCACCGGTCGTGTTGAATGGGGAACAAGGAATGGCTCTGGAGTCAATGCAGGGGAATCCGGCCTCATCTCGAGTTGATTTGGGGCACATGGAGCTGCTTTGCATTGCTGGGTGACCTCAGGGTCCGTCTAGACTGGTGACAGTGTACTTGGGGACTGTCTGGAGATCCATTAAGCAAGTCGAAGCTCCTGACTTGTTTGAATGGGATCACGGAATAGCTCTGCATGCACTGCAGGGGAATGGGGCCTCATCTCGCCTCTAGGGGGAAGTCTCATGGTTTTTCTCGAGTTGCGGCGGGGACCTGGGTTATGTTCTCGACTTACGGCGGGGATGGCCCTTCAAAACACGAGTTTCTTCAGTGACGTCAGGACTCCTCTCTAGTAACGAGGGACACCTCAGGAATCTCTTCGAGGCTTGGCAGGGCAAAAGGGACGCTTCTCGAGGTGAGGCAGGGCACCCAAGGACCCTTTCCAGTAGCCGCAGGGATTTTGGGATTCCTATCAGTATTCAAGAGGAGTCAGGCATCGTCACCTTTTGAAGCAATGAACTCCGCGTGCCTCTCGAGGTGTCAGCGGGATGTGAGGCATTCCGAAAAATGAGGCAGGGACCTAGGGCTTTCTCTAAGGTCTCCACAGGGGATTCAGACATCCCTGCATGTTGTGAGATGAAAGACGAGCCTGTATTCAAGCCACTGAAAGGAAATCCGGCCTCCTTTCAAGTTAGGGCTTCTCGCTGTATATTCCCCTTGAGGCAGCAAACTCGGGGTCCCTCCCACATACATATTGCTGAGAGAAGCCTCCTCCTGAGGTGCTTCTGGGAAGTTGGCATACGTCTTGAGCCTAAGCCAGGGAATCAGCTCTCATCTCGAGACGATTTGGGGTACACGAAACATTCCTCGATTTGCTGTGCTGAAGTTGGTGTTCCTCTAGACTTGGGACAGTGTTCTCGGGGCATCTCTGGAGTTACCTGAAGGAAGTCGAGCCACCGGTCGTGTTGAATGGGGAACGGGGAATGGCTCTGCAGTCAATGCAGGGGAATCGGGCCTCATCTCGAGTTGATTTAGGGCACATGGAGCTGCTTTGCGTTGCTGGGGTGACCTCAGGGTCCGTCTAGACTGGTGACAGTGTTCTTGGGGACTGTCTGGAGATCCATTAAGCAAGTCGAAGCTCCTGACTTGTTTGAATGGGATCACGGAATAGCTCTGCATGCACTGCAGGGGAATGGGGCCTCATCTCGCCTCTAGGGGGAAGTCTCATGGTTTTTCTCGAGTTGCGGCGGGGACCTGGGGTATGTTCTCGACTTACGGCGGGGATGGCCCTTCAAAACACGAGTTTCTTCAGTGACGTCAGGACTCCTGTCTAGTAACGAGGGACAGCTCAGGAATCTCTTCGAGGATTGGCAGGGCAAAAGGGACGCTTCTCGAGGTGAGGCAGGGCACCCAAGGACCCTTTCCAGTAGCCACAGCGATTTTGGGATTCCTATCAGTATTCAAGAGGAGTCAGGCATCGTCACCTTTTGAAGCAATGAACTCCGTGTGCCTCTCGAGGTGTCAGCGGGATGTGAGGCATTCCGTCAAAATGAGGTAGGGCCCTAGGGCTTTCTCTAAGGTCTCCACAGGGGATTCAGACATCCCTTCATGTTGTGAGATGAAAGACGAGCCTGTATTCAAGCCACTGAAAGGAAATCCGGCCTCCTTTCAAGTTAGGGCTTCTCGCTGTATATTCCCCTTGAGGCAGCAAACACGGGGTCCCTCCCACATACCTATTGCTGAGAGAATCCTCCTCCTGAGGTAACTCTGGAAGTTGGCATACGTCTTGACCCTAAGCCAAGGAATCAGCTCTCATCTCGAGACGATTTGGGGTACACGGAGCATTCCTCGAGTTGCTGTGCTGAAGTTGGTGTTCCTCTAGACTTGGGACAGTGTTCTCGGGGCATCTCTGGAGTTGCCTGAAGGAAGTCGAGCCACCGGTCGTGTTGAATGGGGAACGGCGAATGGCTCTGGAGTCAATGCAGGGGAATCGGGCCTCGTCTCGAGTTGATTTGGGGCACATGGAGCTGCTTTGCGTTGCTGGGGTGACCTCAGGGTCCGTCTAGACTGGTGACAGTGTTCTTGGGGACTGTCTGGAGATCCATTAAGCAAGTCGAAGCTCCTGACTTGTTTGAATGGGATCACGGAATAGCTCTGCATGCACTGCAGGGGAATGGGGCCTCATCTCGCCTCTAGGGGGAAGTCTCATGGTTTTTCTCGAGTTGCGGCGGGGACCTGGGGTATGTTCTCGACTTACGGCGGGGATGGCCCTTCAAAACACGAGTTTCTTCAGTGACGTCAGGACTCCTGTCTAGTAACGAGGGACACTTCAGCAATCTCTTCGAGGCTTGGCAGGGCAAAAGGGACGCTTCTCGAGGTGAGGCATGGCACCCAAGGACCCTTTCCAGTAGCCACAGGGATTTTGGGATTCCTATAAGTAATCAAGAGGAGTCAGGAATCCTCACCTTTTGAAGCAATGAACTCCGCGTGCCTCTCGAGGTGTCAGCGGGATGTGAGGATTCCGTCAAAATGAGGCAGGGACCTAGGGCTTTCTCTAAGGTCTCCACAGGGGATTCAGACATCCCTTCATGTTGTGAGATGAAAGACGAGCCTGTATTCAAGCCACTGCAAGGAAATCTGGCCTCCTTTCAAGTTAGGGCTTCTCGCTGTATATTCCCCTTGAGGCAGCAAGCTCGGGGTCCCTCCCACATACCTATTGCTGAGAGAAGCCTCCTCCTGCGGTGCTTCTGGAAAGGTGGCATACGTCTTGAGCCTAAGCCAGGGAATCAGCTCTCATCTCGAGACGATTTGGGGTACACAGAGCATTCCTCGAGTTGCTATGCTGAAGTTGGTGGTCCTCTAGACTTGGGACAGTGTTCTCTGGGCATCTCTGGAGTTGCCTGAAGGAAGTCGAGCCACCGGTCGTGTTGAATGGGGAACAAGGAATGGCTCTGCAGTCAATGCAGGGGAATCCGGCCTCATCTCGAGTTGATTTGGGGCACATGGAGCTGCTTTGCATTGCTGGGTGACCTCAGGGTCCGTCTAGACTGGTGACAGTGTACTTGGGGACTGTCTGGAGATCCATTAAGCAAGTCGAAGCTCCTGACTTGTTTGAATGGGATCACGGAATAGCTCTGCATGCACTGCAGGGGAATGGGGCCTCATCTCGCCTCTAGGGGGAAGTCTCATGGTTTTTCTGGAGTTGCGGCGGGGACCTGGGGTATGTTCTCGACTTACGGCGGGGATGGCCCTTCAAAACACGAGTTTCTTCAGTGACGTCAGGACTCCTCTCTAGTAACGAGGGACACCTCAGGAATCTCTTCGAGGCTTGGCAGGGCAAAAGGGACGCTTCTCGAGGTGAGGCAGGGCACCCAAGGACCCTTTCCAGTAGCCACAGGGATTTTGGGATTCCTATCAGTATTCAAGAGGAGTCAGGCATCGTCACCTTTTGAAGCAATGAACTCCGCGTGCCTCTCGAGGTGTCAGCGGGATGTGAGGCATTCCGTAAAAATGAGGCAGGGACCTAGGGCTTTCTCTAAGGTCTCCACAGGGGATTCAGACATCCCTTCATGTTGTGAGATGAAAGACGAGCCTGTATTCAAGCCACTGAAAGGAAATCCGGCCTCCTTTCAAGTTAGGGCTTCTCGCTGTATATTCCCCTTGAGGCAGCAAACTCGGGGTCCCTCCCACATACCTATTGCTGAGAGAAGCCTCCTCCTGAGGTGCTTCTGGGAAGTTGGCATACGTCTTGAGCCTAAGCCAGGGAATCAGCTCTCATCTCGAGACGATTTGGGGTACACGAAGCATTCCTCGAGTTGCTGTGCTGAAGTTGGTGTTCCTCTAGACTTGGGACAGTGTTGTCTGGGCATCTCTGGAGTTACCTGAAGGAAGTCGAGCCACCGGTCGTGTTGAATGGGGAACGGGGAATGGCTCTGCAGTCAATGCAGGGGAATCGGGCCTCATCTCGAGTTGATTTAGGGCACATGGAGCTGCTTTGCGTTGCTGGGGTGACCTCAGGGTCCGTCTAGACTGGTGACAGTGTTCTTGGGGACTGTCTGGAGATCCATTAAGCAAGTCGAAGCTCCTGACTTGTTTGAATGGGATCACGGAATAGCTCTGCATGCACTGCAGGGGAATGGGGCCTCATCTCGCCTCTAGGGGGAAGTCTCATGGTTTTTCTCGAGTTGTGGCGGGGACCTGGGGTATGTTCTCGACTTACGGCGTGGATGGCCCTTCAAAACACGAGTTTCTTCAATGACGTCAGGACTCCTGTCTAGTAACGAGGGACAGCTCAGGAATCTCTTCGAGGATTGGCAGGGCAAAAGGGACGCTTCTCGAGGTGAGGCAGGGCACCCAAGGACCCTTTCCAGTAGCCACAGCGATTTTGGGATTCCTATCAGTATTCAAGAGGAGTCAGGCATCGTCACCTTTTGAAGCAATGAACTCCGTGTGCCTCTCGAGGTGTCAGCGGGATGTGAGGCATTCCGTCAAAATGAGGTAGGGCCCTAGGGCTTTCTCTAAGGTCTCCACAGGGGATTCAGACATCCCTTCATGTTGTGAGATGAAAGACGAGCCTGTATTCAAGCCACTGAAAGGAAATCCGGCCTCCTTTCAAGTTAGGGCTTCTCGCTGTATATTCCCCTTGAGGCAGCAAACACGGGGTCCCTCCCACATACCTATTGCTGAGAGAAGCCTCCTCCTGAGGTAACTCTGGAAGTTGGCATACGTCTTGACCCTAAGCCAAGGAATCAGCTCTCATCTCGAGACGATTTGGGGTACACGGAGCATTCCTCGAGTTGCTGTGCTGAAGTTCGTGTTCCTCTAGACTTGGGACAGTGTTCTCGGGGCATCTCTGGAGTTGCCTGAAGGAAGTCGAGCCACCGGTCGTGTTGAATGGGGAACGGCGAATGGCTCTGGAGTCAATGCAGGGGAATCGGGCCTCGTCTCGAGTTGATTTGGGGCACATGGAGCTGCTTTGCGTTGCTGGGGTGACCTCAGGGTCCGTCTAGACTGGTGACAGTGTTCTTGGGGACTGTCTGGAGATCCATTAAGCAAGTCGAAGCTCCTGACTTGTTTGAATGGGATCACGGAATAGCTCTGCATGCACTGCAGGGGAATGGGGCCTCATCTCGCCTCTAGGGGGAAGTCTCATGGTTTTTCTCGAGTTGCGGCGGGGACCTGGGGTATGTTCTCGACTTACAGCGGGGATGGCCCTTCAAAACACGAGTTTCTTCAGTGACGTCAGGACTCCTGTCTAGTAACGAGGGACACTTCAGCAATCTCTTCGAGGCTTGGCAGGGCAAAAGGGACGCTTCTCGAGGTGAGGCATGGCACCCAAGGACCCTTTCCAGTAGCCACAGGGATTTTGGGATTCCTATCAGTATTCAAGAGGAGTCAGGCATCGTCACCTTTTGAAGCAATGAACTCCGCGTGCCTCTAGAGGTGTCAGCGGGATGTGAGGATTCCGTCAAAATGAGGCAGGGACCTAGGGCTTTCTCTAAGGTCTCCACAGGGATTCAGACATCCCTTCATGTTGTGAGATGAAAGACGAGCCTGTATTCAAGCCACTGCAAGGAAATCCGGCCTCCTTTCAAGTTAGGGCTTCTCGCTGTATATTCCCCTTGAGGCAGCAAACTCGGAGTCCCTCCCACATACCTATTGCTGAGAGAAGCCTCCTCCTGAGGTGCTTCTGGAAATTTGGCATACGTCTTGAGCCTAAGCCAGGGATTCAGCTCTCATCTCGAGACGATTTGGGGTACACAGAGCATTCCTCGAGTTGCTGTGCTGAAGTTGGTGTTCCTCTAGACTTGGGACAGTGTTCTCTGGGCATCTCTGGAGTTGCCTGAAGGAAGTCGAGCCACCGGTCGTGTTGAATGGGGAACGGGGAATGGCTCTGGAGTCAATGCAGGGGAATCGGGCCTCATCTCGAGTTGATTTGTGGCACCTGGAGCTGCTTTGCGTTGCTGGGGTGACCTCAGGGTCCGTCTAGACTGGTGACAGTGTTCTTGGGGACTGCCTCGAGATCCATTAAGCAAGTCGAAGCTCCTGATTTGTTTGAATGGGATCACGGAAAAGCTCTGCATGCACTGCAGGGGAATGGGGCCTCATCTCGCCTCTAGGGGGAAGGCTCTCGGTTTTTCTCGAGTTGGGGCGGGGACCTGGGGTATGTTCTCGACTTACGGCGGGGATGGCCCTTCAAAACACGAGTTTCTTCAGTGACGTCAGGACTCCTGTCTAGTAACGAGGGACACCTCAGCAATCTCTTCGAGGCTTGGCAGGGCAAAAGGGACGCTTCTCGAGGTGAGGCAGGGCACCCAAGGACCCTTTCCAGTAGCCACAGCGATTTTGGGATTCCTATCAGTATTCAAGAGGAGTCAGGCATTGTCACCTTTTGAAGCAATGAACTCCGCGTGCCTCTCGAGGTGTCAGCGGGATGTGAGGCATTCCGTCAAAATGAGGTAGGGTCCTAGGGCTTTCTCTAAGGTCTCCACAGGGGATTCAGACATCCCTTCATGTTGTGAGATGAAAGACGAGCCTGTATTCAAGCCACTGCAAGGAAATCCGGCCTCCTTTCAAGTTAGGGCTTCTCGCTGTATATTCCCCTTGAGGCAGCAAACTCGGAGTCCCTCCCACATACCTATTGCTGAGAGAAGCCTCCTCCTGAGGTGCTTCTGGAAAGTTGGCATACGTCTTGAGCCTAAGCCAGGGATTCAGCTCTCATCTCGAGACGATTTGGGGTACACAGAGCATTCCTCGAGTTGCTGTGCTGAAGTTGGTGTTCCTCTAGACTTGGGACAGTGTTCTCTGGGCATCTCTGGAGTTGCCTGAAGGAAGTCGAGCCACCGGTCGTGTTGAATGGGGAACGGGGAATGGCTCTGGAGTCAATGCAGGGGAATCGGGCCTCATCTCGAGTTGATTTGTGGCACCTGGAGCTGCTTTGCGTTGCTGGGGTGACCTCAGGGTCCGTCTAGACTGGTGACAGTGTTCTTGGGGACTGCCTCGAGATCCATTAAGCAAGTCGAAGCTCCTGACTTGTTTGAATGGGATCACGGAAAAGCTCTGCATGCACTGCAGGGGAATGGGACCTCATCTCGCCTCTAGGGGGAAGGCTCTCGGTTTTTCTCGAGTTGGGGCGGGGACCTGGGGTATGTTCTTGACTTCCGGCGGGGATGGCCCTTCAAAACACGAGTTTCTTCAGTGACGTCAGGACTCCTGTCTAGTAACGAGGGACACCTCAGCAATCTCTTCGAGGCTTGGCAGGGCAAAAGGGACGCTTCTCGAGGTGAGGCAGGGCACCCAAGGACCCTTTCCAGTAGCCACAGCGATTTTGGGATTCCTATCAGTATTCAAGAGGAGTCAGGCATTGTCACCTTTTGAAGCAATGAACTCCGCGTGCCTCTCGAGGTGTCAGCGGGATGTGAGGCATTCCGTCAAAATGAGGTAGGGTCCTAGGTCTTTCTCTAAGGTCTCCACAGGGGATTCAGACATCCCTTCATGTTGTGAGATGAAAGACGAGCCTGTATTCAAGCCACTGAAAGGAAATCCGGCCTCCTTTCAAGTTAGGGCTTCTCGCTGTATATTCCCCTTGAGGCAGCAAACACGGGGTCCCTCCCACATACCTATTGCTGAGAGAAGCCTCCTCCTGAGGTAATTCTGGGAAGTTGGCATACGTCTTGACCCTAAGCCAAGGAATCAGCTCTCATCTCGAGACGATTAGGGGTACACGGAGCATTCCTCGAGTTGCTGTGCTGAAGTTCGTGTTCCTCTAGACTTGGGACAGTGTTCTCGGGGCATCTCTGGAGTTGCCTGAAGGAAGTCGAGCCACCGGTCGTGTTGAATGTGGAACGGGGAATGGCTCTGGAGTCAATGCAGGGGAATCGGGCCTCGTCTCGAGTTGATTTGGGGCACATGGAGCTGCTTTGCGTTGCTGGGGTGACCTCAGGGTCCGTCTAGACTGGTGACAGTGTTCTTGGGGACTGTCTGGAGATCCATTAAGCAAGTCGAAGCTCCTGACTTGTTTGAATGGGATCACGGAATAGCTCTGCATGCACTGCAGGGGAATGGGGCCTCATCTCGCCTCTAGGGGGAAGTCTCATGGTTTTTCTGGAGTTGCGGCGGGGACCTGGGTATGTTCTCGACTTACGGCGGGGATGGCCCTTCAAAACACGAGTTTCTTCAGTGACGTCAGGACTCCTCTCTAGTAACGAGGGACACTTCAGGAATCTCTTCGAGGCTTGGCAGGGCAAAAGGGACGCTTCTCGAGGTGAGGCAGGGCACCCAAGGAACCTTTCCAGTAGCCACAGCGATTTTGGGATTCCTATCAGTATTCAAGAGGAGTCAGGCATCATCACCTTTTGAAGCAATGAACTCCGCGTGCCTCTCGAGGTGTCAGCGGGATGTGAGGCATTCCGTAAAAATGAGGCAGGGACCTAGGGCTTTCTCTAAGGTCTCCACAGGGGATTCAGACATCCCTTCATGTTGTGAGATGAAAGACGAGCCTGTATTCAAGCCACTGCAAGGAAATCCGGCCTCCTTTCAAGTTAGGGCTTCTCGCTGTATATTCCCCTTGAGGCAGCAAACTCGGGGTCCCTCCCACATACCTATTGCTGAGAGAAGCCTCCTCCTGAGGTGCTTCTGGGAAGTTGGCATACGTCTTGAGCCTAAGCCAGGGAATCAGCTCTCATCTCGAGACGATTTGGGGTACACGAAGCATTCCTCGAGTTGCTGTGCTGAAGTTGGTGTTCCTCTAGACTTGGGACAGTGTTCTCTGGGCATCTCTGGAGTTGCCTGAAGGAAGTCAAGCCACCGGTCGTGTTGAATGGGGAACGGGGAATGGCTCTGGAGTCAATGCAGGGGAATCGGGCCTCATCTCGAGTTGATTTGTGGCACCTGGAGCTGCTTTGCGTTGCTGGGGTGACCTCAGGGTCCATCTAGACTGGTGACAGTGTTCTTGGGGACTGCCTCGAGATCCATTAAGCAAGTCGAAGCTCCTGACTTGTTTGAATGGGGTCACGGAAAAGCTCTGCATGCACTGCAGGGGAATGGGGCCTCATCTCGCCTCTAGGGGGAAGGCTCTCGGTTTTTCTCGAGTTGGGGCGGGGACCTGGGGTATGTTCTCGACTTACGGCGGGGATGGCCCTTCAAAACACGAGTTTCTTCAGTGACGTCAGGACTCCTGTCTAGTAACGAGGGACACCTCAGCAATCTCTTCGAGGCTTGGCAGGGCAAAAGGGACGCTTCTCGAGGTGAGGCAGGGCACCCAAGGACCCTTTCCAGTAGCCACAGCGATTTTGGGATTTCTATCAGTATTCAAGAGGAGTCAGGCATCGTCACCTTTTGAAGCAATGAACTCCGCGTGCCTCTCGAGGTGTCAGCGGGATGTGAGGCATTCCGTCAAAATGAGGTAGGGACCTAGGGCTTTCTCTAAGTTCTCCACAGTGGATTCAGACATCCCTTCATGTTGTGAGATGAAAGACGAGCCTGTATTCAAGCCACTGCAAGGAAATCCGGCCTCCTTTCAAGTTAGGTCTTCTCGCTGTATATTCCCCTTGAGGCAGCAAACACGGGGTCCCTCCCACATAACTATTGCTGAGAGAAGCCTCCTCCTGAGGTAATTCTGGGAAGTTGGCATACGTCTTGACCCTAAGCCAAGGAATCAGCTCTCATCTCGAGACGATTTGGGGTACACGGAGCATTCCTCGAGTTGCTGTGCTGAAGTTCGTGTTCCTCTAGACTTGGGACAGTGTTCTCGGGGCATCTCTGGAGTTGCCTGAAGGAAGTCGAGCCACCGGTCGTGTTGAATGGGGAACGGGGAATGGCTCTGGAGTCAATGCAGGGGAATCGGGCCTCGTCTCGAGTTGATTTGGGGCACATGGAGCTGCTTTGCGTTGCTGGGGTGACCTCAGGGTCCGTCTAGACTGGTGACAGTGTTCTTGGGGACTGTCTGGAGATCCATTAAGCAAGTCGAAGCTCCTGACTTGTTTGAATGGGATCACGGAATAGCTCTGCATGCACTGCAGGGGAATGGGGCCTCATCTCGCCTCTAGGGGGAAGTCTCATGGTTTTTCTCGAGTTGCGGCGGGGACCTGGGGTATGTTCTCGACTTACAGCGGGGATGGCCCTTCAAAACACGAGTTTCTTCAGTGACGTCAGGACTCCTGTCTAGTAACGAGGGACACTTCAGCAATCTCTTCGAGGCTTGGCAGGGCAAAAGGGACGCTTCTCGAGGTGAGGCATGGCACCCAAGGACCCTTTCCAGTAGCCACAGGGATTTTGGGATTCCTATCAGTATTCAAGAGGAGTCAGGCATCGTCACCTTTTGAAGCAATGAACTCCGCGTGCCTCTAGAGGTGTCAGCGGGATGTGAGGATTCCGTCAAAATGAGGCAGGGACCTAGGGCTTTCTCTAAGGTCTCCACAGGGATTCAGACATCCCTTCATGTTGTGAGATGAAAGACGAGCCTGTATTCAAGCCACTGCAAGGAAATCCGGCCTCCTTTCAAGTTAGGGCTTCTCGCTGTATATTCCCCTTGAGGCAGCAAACTCGGAGTCCCTCCCACATACCTATTGCTGAGAGAAGCCTCCTCCTGAGGTGCTTCTGGAAATTTGGCATACGTCTTGAGCCTAAGCCAGGGATTCAGCTCTCATCTCGAGACGATTTGGGGTACACAGAGCATTCCTCGAGTTGCTGTGCTGAAGTTGGTGTTCCTCTAGACTTGGGACAGTGTTCTCTGGGCATCTCTGGAGTTGCCTGAAGGAAGTCAAGCCACCGGTCGTGTTGAATGGGGAACGGGGAATGGCTCTGGAGTCAATGCAGGGGAATCGGGCCTCATCTCGAGTTGATTTGTGGCACCTGGAGCTGCTTTGCGTTGCTGGGGTGACCTCAGGGTCCATCTAGACTGGTGACAGTGTTCTTGGGGACTGCCTCGAGATCCATTAAGCAAGTCGAAGCTCCTGACTTGTTTGAATGGGGTCACGGAAAAGCTCTGCATGCACTGCAGGGGAATGGGGCCTCATCTCGCCTCTAGGGGGAAGGCTCTCGGTTTTTCTCGAGTTGGGGCGGGGACCTGGGGTATGTTCTCGACTTACGGCGGGGATGGCCCTTCAAAACACGAGTTTCTTCAGTGACGTCAGGACTCCTGTCTAGTAACGAGGGACACCTCAGCAATCTCTTCGAGGCTTGGCAGGGCAAAAGGGACGCTTCTCGAGGTGAGGCAGGGCACCCAAGGACCCTTTCCAGTAGCCACAGCGATTTTGGGATTTCTATCAGTATTCAAGAGGAGTCAGGCATCGTCACCTTTTGAAGCAATGAACTCCGCGTGCCTCTCGAGGTGTCAGCGGGATGTGAGGCATTCCGTCAAAATGAGGTAGGGACCTAGGGCTTTCTCTAAGTTCTCCACAGTGGATTCAGACATCCCTTCATGTTGTGAGATGAAAGACGAGCCTGTATTCAAGCCACTGCAAGGAAATCCGGCCTCCTTTCAAGTTAGGTCTTCTCGCTGTATATTCCCCTTGAGGCAGCAAACACGGGGTCCCTCCCACATAACTATTGCTGAGAGAAGCCTCCTCCTGAGGTAATTCTGGGAAGTTGGCATACGTCTTGACCCTAAGCCAAGGAATCAGCTCTCATCTCGAGACGATTTGGGGTACACGGAGCATTCCTCGAGTTGCTGTGCTGAAGTTCGTGTTCCTCTAGACTTGGGACAGTGTTCTCGGGGCATCTCTGGAGTTGCCTGAAGGAAGTCGAGCCACCGGTCGTGTTGAATGGGGAACGGGGAATGGCTCTGGAGTCAATGCAGGGGAATCGGGCCTCGTCTCGAGTTGATTTGGGGCACATGGAGCTGCTTTGCGTTGCTGGGGTGACCTCAGGGTCCGTCTAGACTGGTGACAGTGTTCTTGGGGACTGTCTGGAGATCCATTAAGCAAGTCGAAGCTCCTGACTTGTTTGAATGGGATCACGGAATAGCTCTGCATGCACTGCAGGGGAATGGGGCCTCATCTCGCCTCTAGGGGGAAGTCTCATGGTTTTTCTCGAGTTGCGGCGGGGACCTGGGGTATGTTCTCGACTTACAGCGGGGATGGCCCTTCAAAACACGAGTTTCTTCAGTGACGTCAGGACTCCTGTCTAGTAACGAGGGACACTTCAGCAATCTCTTCGAGGCTTGGCAGGGCAAAAGGGACGCTTCTCGAGGTGAGGCATGGCACCCAAGGACCCTTTCCAGTAGCCACAGGGATTTTGGGATTCCTATCAGTATTCAAGAGGAGTCAGGCATCGTCACCTTTTGAAGCAATGAACTCCGCGTGCCTCTAGAGGTGTCAGCGGGATGTGAGGATTCCGTCAAAATGAGGCAGGGACCTAGGGCTTTCTCTAAGGTCTCCACAGGGATTCAGACATCCCTTCATGTTGTGAGATGAAAGACGAGCCTGTATTCAAGCCACTGCAAGGAAATCCGGCCTCCTTTCAAGTTAGGGCTTCTCGCTGTATATTCCCCTTGAGGCAGCAAACTCGGAGTCCCTCCCACATACCTATTGCTGAGAGAAGCCTCCTCCTGAGGTGCTTCTGGAAATTTGGCATACGTCTTGAGCCTAAGCCAGGGATTCAGCTCTCATCTCGAGACGATTTGGGGTACACAGAGCATTCCTCGAGTTGCTGTGCTGAAGTTGGTGTTCCTCTAGACTTGGGACAGTGTTCTCTGGGCATCTCTGGAGTTGCCTGAAGGAAGTCGAGCCACCGGTCGTGTTGAATGGGGAACGGGGAATGGCTCTGGAGTCAATGCAGGGGAATCGGGCCTCATCTCGAGTTGATTTGTGGCACCTGGAGCTGCTTTGCGTTGCTGGGGTGACCTCAGGGTCCGTCTAGACTGGTGACAGTGTTCTTGGGGACTGCCTCGAGATCCATTAAGCAAGTCGAAGCTCCTGATTTGTTTGAATGGGATCACGGAAAAGCTCTGCATGCACTGCAGGGGAATGGGGCCTCATCTCGCCTCTAGGGGGAAGGCTCTCGGTTTTTCTCGAGTTGGGGCGGGGACCTGGGGTATGTTCTCGACTTACGGCGGGGATGGCCCTTCAAAACACGAGTTTCTTCAGTGACGTCAGGACTCCTGTCTAGTAACGAGGGACACCTCAGCAATCTCTTCGAGGCTTGGCAGGGCAAAAGGGACGCTTCTCGAGGTGAGGCAGGGCACCCAAGGACCCTTTCCAGTAGCCACAGCGATTTTGGGATTCCTATCAGTATTCAAGAGGAGTCAGGCATTGTCACCTTTTGAAGCAATGAACTCCGCGTGCCTCTCGAGGTGTCAGCGGGATGTGAGGCATTCCGTCAAAATGAGGTAGGGTCCTAGGGCTTTCTCTAAGGTCTCCACAGGGGATTCAGACATCCCTTCATGTTGTGAGATGAAAGACGAGCCTGTATTCAAGCCACTGCAAGGAAATCCGGCCTCCTTTCAAGTTAGGGCTTCTCGCTGTATATTCCCCTTGAGGCAGCAAACTCGGAGTCCCTCCCACATACCTATTGCTGAGAGAAGCCTCCTCCTGAGGTGCTTCTGGAAAGTTGGCATACGTCTTGAGCCTAAGCCAGGGATTCAGCTCTCATCTCGAGACGATTTGGGGTACACAGAGCATTCCTCGAGTTGCTGTGCTGAAGTTGGTGTTCCTCTAGACTTGGGACAGTGTTCTCTGGGCATCTCTGGAGTTGCCTGAAGGAAGTCGAGCCACCGGTCGTGTTGAATGGGGAACGGGGAATGGCTCTGGAGTCAATGCAGGGGAATCGGGCCTCATCTCGAGTTGATTTGTGGCACCTGGAGCTGCTTTGCGTTGCTGGGGTGACCTCAGGGTCCGTCTAGACTGGTGACAGTGTTCTTGGGGACTGCCTCGAGATCCATTAAGCAAGTCGAAGCTCCTGACTTGTTTGAATGGGATCACGGAAAAGCTCTGCATGCACTGCAGGGGAATGGGACCTCATCTCGCCTCTAGGGGGAAGGCTCTCGGTTTTTCTCGAGTTGGGGCGGGGACCTGGGGTATGTTCTTGACTTCCGGCGGGGATGGCCCTTCAAAACACGAGTTTCTTCAGTGACGTCAGGACTCCTGTCTAGTAACGAGGGACACCTCAGCAATCTCTTCGAGGCTTGGCAGGGCAAAAGGGACGCTTCTCGAGGTGAGGCAGGGCACCCAAGGACCCTTTCCAGTAGCCACAGCGATTTTGGGATTCCTATCAGTATTCAAGAGGAGTCAGGCATTGTCACCTTTTGAAGCAATGAACTCCGCGTGCCTCTCGAGGTGTCAGCGGGATGTGAGGCATTCCGTCAAAATGAGGTAGGGTCCTAGGGCTTTCTCTAAGGTCTCCACAGGGGATTCAGACATCCCTTCATGTTGTGAGATGAAAGACGAGCCTGTATTCAAGCCACTGAAAGGAAATCCGGCCTCCTTTCAAGTTAGGGCTTCTCGCTGTATATTCCCCTTGAGGCAGCAAACACGGGGTCCCTCCCACATACCTATTGCTGAGAGAAGCCTCCTCCTGAGGTAATTCTGGGAAGTTGGCATACGTCTTGACCCTAAGCCAAGGAATCAGCTCTCATCTCGAGACGATTAGGGGTACACGGAGCATTCCTCGAGTTGCTGTGCTGAAGTTCGTGTTCCTCTAGACTTGGGACAGTGTTCTCGGGGCATCTCTGGAGTTGCCTGAAGGAAGTCGAGCCACCGGTCGTGTTGAATGTGGAACGGGGAATGGCTCTGGAGTCAATGCAGGGGAATCGGGCCTCGTCTCGAGTTGATTTGGGGCACATGGAGCTGCTTTGCGTTGCTGGGGTGACCTCAGGGTCCGTCTAGACTGGTGACAGTGTTCTTGGGGACTGTCTGGAGATCCATTAAGCAAGTCGAAGCTCCTGACTTGTTTGAATGGGATCACGGAATAGCTCTGCATGCACTGCAGGGGAATGGGGCCTCATCTCGCCTCTAGGGGGAAGTCTCATGGTTTTTCTGGAGTTGCGGCGGGGACCTGGGTATGTTCTCGACTTACGGCGGGGATGGCCCTTCAAAACACGAGTTTCTTCAGTGACGTCAGGACTCCTCTCTAGTAACGAGGGACACTTCAGGAATCTCTTCGAGGCTTGGCAGGGCAAAAGGGACGCTTCTCGAGGTGAGGCAGGGCACCCAAGGAACCTTTCCAGTAGCCACAGCGATTTTGGGATTCCTATCAGTATTCAAGAGGAGTCAGGCATCATCACCTTTTGAAGCAATGAACTCCGCGTGCCTCTCGAGGTGTCAGCGGGATGTGAGGCATTCCGTAATAATGAGGCAGGGACCTAGGGCTTTCTCTAAGGTCTCCACAGGGGATTCAGACATCCCTTCATGTTGTGAGATGAAAGACGAGCCTGTATTCAAGCCACTGCAAGGAAATCCGGCCTCCTTTCAAGTTAGGGCTTCTCACTGTATATTCCCCTTGAGGCAGCAAACTCGGGGTCCCTCCCACATACCTATTGCTGAGAGAAGCCTCCTCCTGAGGTGCTTCTGGGAAGTTGGCATACGTCTTGAGCCTAAGCCAGGGAATCAGCTCTCATCTCGAGACGATTTGGGGTACACGAAGCATTCCTCGAGTTGCTGTGCTGAAGTTGGTGTTCCTCTAGACTTGGGACAGTGTTCTCTGGGCATCTCTGGAGTTGCCTGAAGGAAGTCAAGCCACCGGTCGTGTTGAATGGGGAACGGGGAATGGCTCTGGAGTCAATGCAGGGGAATCGGGCCTCATCTCGAGTTGATTTGTGGCACCTGGAGCTGCTTTGCGTTGCTGGGGTGACCTCAGGGTCCATCTAGACTGGTGACAGTGTTCTTGGGGACTGCCTCGAGATCCATTAAGCAAGTCGAAGCTCCTGACTTGTTTGAATGGGGTCACGGAAAAGCTCTGCATGCACTGCAGGGGAATGGGGCCTCATCTCTCCTCTAGGGGGAAGGCTCTCGGTTTTTCTCGAGTTGGGGCGGGGACCTGGGGTATGTTCTCGACTTACGGCGGGGATGGCCCTTCAAAACACGAGTTTCTTCAGTGACGTCAGGACTCCTGTCTAGTAACGAGGGACACCTCAGCAATCTCTTCGAGGCTTGGCAGGGCAAAAGGGACGCTTCTCGAGGTGAGGCAGGGCACCCAAGGACCCTTTCCAGTAGCCACAGCGATTTTGGGATTTCTATCAGTATTCAAGAGGAGTCAGGCATCGTCACCTTTTGAAGCAATGAACTCCGCGTGCCTCTCGAGGTGTCAGCGGGATGTGAGGCATTCCGTCAAAATGAGGTAGGGACCTAGGGCTTTCTCTAAGTTCTCCACAGTGGATTCAGACATCCCTTCATGTTGTGAGATGAAAGACGAGCCTGTATTCAAGCCACTGCAAGGAAATCCGGCCTCCTTTCAAGTTAGGTCTTCTCGCTGTATATTCCCCTTGAGGCAGCAAACACGGGGTCCCTCCCACATAACTATTGCTGAGAGAAGCCTCCTCCTGAGGTAATTCTGGGAAGTTGGCATACGTCTTGACCCTAAGCCAAGGAATCAGCTCTCATCTCGAGACGATTTGGGGTACACGGAGCATTCCTCGAGTTGCTGTGCTGAAGTTCGTGTTCCTCTAGACTTGGGACAGTGTTCTCGGGGCATCTCTGGAGTTGCCTGAAGGAAGTCGAGCCACCGGTCGTGTTGAATGGGGAACGGGGAATGGCTCTGGAGTCAATGCAGGGGAATCGGGCCTCGTCTCGAGTTGATTTGGGGCACATGGAGCTGCTTTGCGTTGCTGGGGTGACCTCAGGGTCCGTCTAGACTGGTGACAGTGTTCTTGGGGACTGTCTGGAGATCCATTAAGCAAGTCGAAGCTCCTGACTTGTTTGAATGGGATCACGGAATAGCTCTGCATGCACTGCAGGGGAATGGGGCCTCATCTCGCCTCTAGGGGGAAGTCTCATGGTTTTTCTGGAGTTGCGGCGGGGACCTGGGGTATGTTCTCGACTTACGGCGGGGATGGCCCTTCAAAACACGAGTTTCTTCAGTGACGTCAGGACTCCTCTCTAGTAACGAGGGACACCTCAGGAATCTCTTCGAGGCTTGGCAGGGCAAAAGGGACGCTTCTCGAGGTGAGGCAGGGCACGCAAGGACCCTTTCCAGTAGCCACAGCGATTTTGGGATTCCTATCAGTATTCAAGAGGAGTCAGGCATCATCACCTTTTGAAGCAATGAACTCCGCGTGCCTCTCGAGGTGTCAGCGGGATGTGAGGCATTCCGTAAAAATGAGGCAGGGACCTAGGGCTTTCTCTAAAGTCTCCACAGGGGATTCAGACATCCCTTCATGTTGTGAGATGAAAGACGAGCCTGTATTCAAGCCACTGCAAGGAAATCCGGCCTCCTTTCAAGTTAGGGCTTCTCGCTGTATATTCCCCTTGAGGCAGCAAACTCGGGGTCCCTCCCCCATACCTATTGCTGAGAGAAGCCTCCTCCTGAGGTGCTTCTGGGAAGTTGGCATACGTCTTGAGCCTAAGCCAGGAATTCAGCTCTCATCTCGAGACGATTTGGGGTACACGAAGCATTCCTCGAGTTGCTGTGCTGAAGTTGGTGTTCCTCTAGACTTGGGACAGTGTTCTCGGGGCATCTCTGGAGTTACCTGAAGGAAGTCGAGCCACCGGTCGTGTTGAATGGGGAACGGGGAATGGCTCTGGAGTCAATGCAGGGGAATCGGGCCTCATCTCGAGTTGATTTGGGGCACATGGAGCTGCTTTGCGTTGCTGGCGTGACCTCAGGGTCCGTCTAGACTGGTGACAGTGTTCTTGGGGACTGTCTCGAGATCCATTAAGCAAGTCGAAGCTCCTGACTTCTTTGAATGGGATCACGGAATAGCTCTGCATGCACTGCAGGGGAATGGGGCCTCATCTCGCCTCTAGGGGGAAGTCTCATGGTTTTTCTGGAGTTGCGGCGGGGACCTGGGGTATGTTCTCGACTTACGGCGGGGATGGCCCTTCAAAACACGAGTTTCTTCAGTGACGTCAGGACTCCTGTCTAGTAACGAGGGACAGCTCAGGAATCTCTTCGAGGTTTGGCAGGGCAAAAGGGACGCTTCTCGAGGTGAGGCAGGGCACCCAAGGACCCTTTCCAGTAGCCACAGCGATTTTGGGATTCCTATCTGTATTCAAGAGGAGTCAGGCATCGTCACCTTTTGAAGCAATGAACTCCGCTTGCCTCTCGAGGTGTCAGCGCCATGTGAGGCATTCCGTCAAAATGAGGTAGGGACCTAGGGCTTTCTCTAACGTCTCCACAGGGGATTCAGACATCCCTTCATGTTGTGAGATGAAAGACGAGCCTGTATTCAAGCCACTGAAAGGAAATCCGGCCTCCTTTCAAGTTAGGGCTTCTCGCTTTATACTCCCCTTGAGGCAGCAAACACGGGGTCCCTCCCACATACCTATTGCTGAGAGAATCCTCCTCCTGAGTTAATTGTGGGAAGTTGGCATACGTCTTGACCCTAAGCCAAGGAATTAGCTCTCATCTCGAGACGATTTGGGGTACACGGAGCATTCCTCGAGTTGCTGTGCTGAAGTTCGTGTTCCTCTAGACTTGGGACAGTGTTCTCGGGGCATCTCTGGAGTTGCCTGAAGGAAGTCGAGCCACCGGTCGTGTTGAATGGGGAACGGGGAATGGCTCTGGAGTCAATGCAGGGGAATCGGGCCTCGTCTCGAGTTGATTTGGGGCACATGGAGCTGCTTTGCGTTGCTGGGGTGACCTCAGGGTCCGTCTAGACTGGTGACAGTGTTCTTGGGGACTGTCTGGAGATCCATTAAGCAAGTCGAAGCTCCTGACTTGTTTGAATGGGATCACGGAATAGCTCTGCATGCACTGCAGGGGAATGGGGCCTCATCTCGCCTCTAGGGGGAAGTCTCTTGGTTTTTCTGGAGTTGCGGCGGGGACCTGGGGTATGTTCTCGACTTACGGCGGGGATGGCCCTTCAAAACACGAGTTTCTTCAGTGACGTCAGGACTCCTCTCTAGTAACGAGGGACACCTCAGGAATCTCTTCGAGGCTTGGCAGGGCAAAAGGGACGCTTCTCGAGGTGAGGCAGGGCACCCAAGGACCCTTTCCAGTAGCCACAGCGATTTTGGGATTCCTATCAGTATTCAAGAGGAGTCAGGCATCATCACCTTTTGAAGCAATGAACTCCGCGTGCCTCTCGAGGTGTCAGCGGGATGTGAGGCATTCCGTAAAAATGAGGCAGGGACCTAGGGCTTTCTCTAAAGTCTCCACAGGGGATTCAGACATCCCTTCATGTTGTGAGATGAAAGACGAGCCTGTATTCAAGCCACTGCAAGGAAATCCGGCCTCCTTTCAAGTTAGGGCTTCTCGCTGTATATTCCCCTTGAGGCAGCAAACTCGGGGTCCCTCCCACATACCTATTGCTGAGAGAAGACTCCTCCTGAGGTGCTTCTGGAAAGGTGGCATACGTCTTGAGCCTAAGCCAGGGAATCAGCTCTCATCTCGAGACGATTTCGGGTACACAGGGCATTCCTCGAGTTGCTGTGCTGAAGTTGGTGGTCCTCTAGACTTGGGACAGTGTTCTCGGGGCATCTCTGGAGTTGCCTGAAGGAAGTCGAGCCACCGGTCGTGTTGAATGGGGAACAAGGAATGGCTCTGGAGTCAATGCAGGGGAATCCGGCCTCATCTCGAGTTGATTTGGGGCACATGGAGCTGCTTTGCATTGCTGGGTGACCTCAGGGTCCGTCGAGACTGGTGACAGTGTTCTTGGGGACTGTCTCGAGATCCATTAAGCAAGTCGAAGCTCCTGACTTGTTTGAATGGGATCACGGAATATCTCTGCATGCACTGCAGGGGAATGGGGCCTCATCTCGCCTCTAGGGGGAAGTCTCATGGTTTTTCTCGAGTTGCGGCGGGGACCTGGGGTATGTTCTCGACTTACGGCGGGGATGGCCCTTCAAAACACGAGTTTCTTCAGTGACGTCAGGACTCCTGTCTAGTAACGAGGGACACCTCAGGAATCACTTCGAGGCTTCGCAGGGCAAAAGGGACGCTTCTCGAGGTGAGGCAGGGCACCCAAGGACCCTTTCCAGTAGCCACAGCGATTTTGGGATTCCTATCAGTATTCAAGAGGAGTCAGGCATCGTCACCTTTTGAAGCAATGAACTCCGCGTGCCTCTCGAGGTGTCAGCGGGATGTGAGGATTCCGTCAAAATGAGGCAGGGAACTAGGGCTTTCTCTAAGGTCTCCACAGGGGATTCAGACATCCCTTCATGATGTGAGATGAAAGACGAGCCTGTATTCAAGCCACTGCAAGGAAATCCGGCCTCCTTTCAAGTTAGGGCTTCTCGCTGTATATTCCCCTTGAGGCAGCGAACACGGAGTCCCTCCCACATACCTATTGCTGAGAGAAGCCTCCTCCTGAGGTGCTTCTGGAAAGTTGGCATACGTCTTGAGCCTAAGCCAGGGATTCAGCTCTCATCTCGAGACGATTTGGGGTACACAGAGCATTCCTCGAGTTGCTGTGCTGAAGTTCCTGTTCCTCTAGACTTGGGACAGTGTTCTCGGGGCATCTCTGGAGTTGCCTGAAGGAAGTCGAGCCACCGGTCGTGTTGAATGGGGAACGGGGAATGGCTCTGGAGTCAATGCAGGGGAATCGGGCCTCGTCTCGAGTTGATTTGGGGCACATGGAGCTGCTTTGCGTCGCTGGGGTGACCTCAGGGTCCGTCTAGACTGGTGACAGTGTTCTTGGGGACTGTCTGGAGATCCATTAAGCAAGTCGAAGCTCCTGACTTGTTTGAATGGGATCACGGAATAGCTCTGCATGCACTGCAGGGGAATGGGGCCTCACCTCGCCTCTAGGGGGAAGTGTCATGGTTTTTCTGGAGTTGCGGCGGGGACCTGGGGTATGTTCTCGACTTACGGCGGGGATGGCCCTTCAAAACACGAGTTTCTTCAGTGACGTCAGGACTCCTGTCTAGTAACGAGGGACAGCTCAGGAATCTCTTCGAGGATTGGCAGGGCAAAAGGGACGCTTCTCGAGGTGAGGCAGGGCACCCAAGGACCCTTTCCAGTAGCCACAGGGATTTTGGGATTCCTGTCAGTATTCAAGAGGAGTCAGGCATCGTCACCTTTTGAAGCAATGAACTCCCCGTGCCTCTCGAGGTGTCAGCGGGATGTGAGGCATTCCGTCAAAATGCGGTAGGGACCTAGGGCTTTCTCTAAGGTCTCCACAGGGGATTCAGACATCCCTTCATGTTGTGAGATGAAAGACGAGCCTGTATTCAAGCCACTGAAAGGAAATCCGGCCTCCTTTCAAGTTAGGGCTTCTCGCTGTATATTCCCCTTGAGGCAGCAAACACGGGGTCCCTCCACATACCTATTGCTGAGAGAATCCTCCTCCTGAGGTAATTCTGGGAAGTTGGCATACGTCTTGACCTTAAGCCAAGGAATCAGCTCTCATCTCGAGACGATTTGGGGTACACCGAGCATTCCTCGAGTTGCTGTGCTGAAGTTCGTGTTCCTCTAGACTTGGGACAGTGTTCTCGGGGCATCTCTGGAGTTGCCTGAAGGAAGTCGAGCCACCGGTCGTGTTGAATGGGGAACGGGGAATGGCTCTGGAGTCAATGCAGGGGAATCGGGCCTCGTCTCGAGTTGATTTGGGGCACATGGAGCTGCTTTGCGTTGCTGGGGTGACCTCAGGGTCCGTCTAGACTGGTGACAGTGTTCTTGGGGACTGTCTGGAGATCCATTAAGCAAGTCGAAGCTCCTGACTTGTTTGAAATGGATCACGGAATATCTCTGCATGCACTGCAGGGGAATGGGGCCTCATCTCGCCTCTAGGGGGAAGTCTCATGGTTTTTCTCGAGTTGCGGCGGGGACCTGGGATATGTTCTCGACTTACAGCGGGGATGGCCCTTCAAAACACGAGTTTCTTCAGTGACGTCAGGACTCCTGTCTAGTAACGAGGGACACTTCAGCAATCTCTTCGAGGCTTGGCAGGGCAAAAGGGATGCTTCTCGAGGTGAGGCAGGGCACCCAAGGACCCTTCCCAGTAGCCACAGGGATTTTGGGATTCCTATCAGTATTCAAGAGGGGTCAGGCATCGTCACCTTTTGAAGCAATGAACTCCGCGTGCCTCTCGAGGTGTCAGCGGGATGTGAGGCATTCCGTCAAAATGAGGTAGGGACCGAGGGCTTTCTCTAAGGTCTCCACAGGGGATTCAGACATCCCTTCATGTTGTGAGATGAAAGACGAGCCTGTATTCAAGCCACTGAAAGGAAATCCGGCCTCCTTTCAAGTTAGGGCTTCTCGCTGTATATTCCCCTTGAGGCAGCAAACACGGGGTCCCTCCCACATACCTATTGCTGAGAGAATCCTCCTCCTGAGGTAATTCTGGGAAGTTGGCATACGTCTTGACCCTAAGCCAAGGAATCAGCTCTCATCTCGAGACGATTTGGGGTACACGGAGCATTCCTCGAGTTGCTGTGCTGAAGTTCGTGTTCCTCTAGACTTGGGACAGTGTTCTCGGGGCATCTCTGGAGTTGCCTGAAGGAAGTCGAGCCACCGGTCGTGTTGAATGGGGAACGGCGAATGGCCCTGGAGTCAATGCAGGGGAATCGGGCCTCGTCTCGAGTTGATTTGGGGCACATGGAGCTGCTTTGCGTTGCTGGGGTGACCTCAGGGTCCGTCTAGACTGGTGACAGTGTTCTTGGGGACTGTCTCGAGATCCATTAAGCAAGTCGAAGCTCCTGACTTGTTTGAATGGGATCACAGAATAGCTCTGCATGCACTGCAGGGGAATGGGGCCTCATCTCGCCTCTAGGGGGAAGTCTCATGGTTTTTCTCGAGTTGCGGCGGGGACCTGGGGTATGTTCTCGACTTACAGCGGGGATGGCCCTTCAAAACACGAGTTTCTTCAGTGACGTCAGGACTCCTGTCTAGTAACGAGGGACACTTCAGCAATCTCTTCGAGGCTTGGCAGGGCAAAAGGGATGCTTCTCGAGGTCAGGCAGGGCACCCAAGGACCCTTTCCAGTAGCCATAGGGATTTTGGGATTCCTATCAGTATTCAAGAGGAGTCAGGCATCGTCACCTTTTGAAGCAATGAACTCCGCGTGCCTCTCGAGGTGTCAGCGGGATGTCAGGATTCCGTCAAAATGAGGCAGGGACCTAGGGCTTTGTCTAAGGTCTCCACAGGGGATTCAGACATCCCTTCATGTTGTGAGATGAAAGACGAGCCTGTGTTCAAGCCACTGCAAGGAAATCCGGCCTCCTTTCAAGTTAGGGCTTCTCACTGTATATTCCCCTTGAGGCAGCAAACTCGGGGTCCCTCCCACATACCTATTGCTGAGAGAAGCCTCCTCCTGAGGTGCTTCTGGAAAGTTGGCATACGTCTTGAGCCTAAGCCAGGGATTCAGCTCTCATCTCGAGACGATTTGGGGTACACAGAGCATTCCTCGAGTTGCTGTGCTGAAGTTGGTGTTCCTCTAGACTTGGGACAGTGTTCTCTGGGCATCTCTGGAGTTGCCTGAATGAAGTCGAGCCACCGGTCGTGTTGAATGGATAACGGGGAATGGCTCTGGAGTCAATGCAGGGGAATCGGGCCTCATCTCGAGTTGATTTGTGGCACCTGGAGCTGCTTTGCGTTCCTGGGGTGACCTCAGGGTCCGTCTAGACTGGTGACAGTGTTCTTGGGGACTGCCTCGAGATCCATTAAGCAAGTCGAAGCTCCTGACTTGTTTGAATGGGATCACGGAATAGCTCTGCATGCACTGCAGGGGAATGGGGCCTCATCTCGCCTCTAGGGGGAAGTCTCATGGTTTTTCTCGAGTTGCGGCGGGGACCTGGGGTATGTTCTCGACTTACAGCGGGGATGGCCCTTCAAAACACGAGTTTCTTCAGTGACGTCAGGACTCCTGTCTAGTAACGAGGGACACCTCAGCAATCTCTTCGAGGCTTGGCAGGGCAAAAGGGACGCTTCTCGAGGTGAGGCAGGGCACCCAAGGACCCTTTCTAGTAGCCACAGCAATTTTGGGATTCCTATCAGTATTCAAGAGGAGTCAGGCATCGTCACCTTTTGAAGCAATGAACTCCGCGTGCCTCTCGAGGTGTCAGCGGGATGTGAGGCATTCCGTCAAAATGAGGTAGGGACCTAGGGCTTTCTCTAAGGTCTCCACAGGGGATTCAGACATCCCTTCATGTTGTGAGATGAAAGACGAGCCTGTATTGAAGCCACTGAAAGGAAATCCGGCCTCCTTTCAAGTTAGGGCTTCTCGCTGTATATTCCCCTTGAGGCAGCAAACACGGGGTCCCTCCCACATACCTATTGCTGAGAGAATCCTCCTCCTGAGGTAATTCTGGGAAGTTGGCATACGTCTTGACCCTAAGCCAAGGAATCAGCTCTCATCTCGAGACGATTTGGGGTACACGGAGCATTCCTCGAGTTGCTGTGCTGAAGTTCGTGTTCCTCTAGACTTGGGACAGTGTTCTCGGGGCATCTCTGGAGTTGCCTGAAGGAAGTCGAGCCACCGGTCGTGTTGAATGTGGAACGGGGAATGGCTCTGGAGTCAATGCAGGGGAATCGGGCCTCGTCTCGAGTTGATTTGGGGCACATGGAGCTGCTTTGCGTTGCTGGGGTGACCTCAGGGTCCGTCTAGACTGGTGACAGTGTTCTTGGGGACTGTCTGGAGATCCATTAAGCAAGTCGAAGCTCCTGACTTGTTTGAATGGGATCACGGAATAGCTCTGCATGCACTGCAGGGGAATGGGGCCTCATCTCGCCTCTAGGGGGAAGTCTCATGGTTTTTCTCGAGTTGCGGCGGGGACCTGGGGTATGTTCTCGACTTACGGCGGGGATGGCCCTTCAAAACACGAGTTTCTTCAGTGACGTCAGGACTCCTGTCTAGTAACGAGGGACACTTCAGCAATCTCTTCGAGGCTTGGCAGGGCAAAAGGGATGCTTCTCAAGGTCAGGCAGGGCACCCAATGACCCTTTCCAGTAGCCACAGTGATTTTGGGATTCCTATCAGTATTCAAGTGGAGTCAGGCATCGTCACCTTTTGAAGCAATGAACTCCACGTGCCTCTCGAGGTGTCAGCGGGATGTGAGGATTCCGTCAAAATGAGGCAGGGACCTAGGGCTTTCTCTAAGGTCTCCACAGGGGATTCAGACATCCCTTCATGTTGTGAGATGAAAGACGAGCCTGTATTCAAGCTACTGCAAGGAAATCCGGCCTCCTTTCAAGTTAGGGCTTCTCGCTGTATATTCCCCTTGTGGCAGCAAACTCGGAGTCCCTCCCACATACCTATTGCTGAGAGAAGCCTCCTCCTGAGGTGCTTCTGGAAAGGTGGCATACGTCTTGAGCCTAAGCCAGGGAATCAGCTCTCATCTCGAGACGATTTGGGGTACACAGAGCATTCCTCGAGTTGCTGTGCTGAAGTTGGTGGTCCTCTAGACTTGGGACAGTGTTCTCGGGGCATCTCTGGAGTTGCCTGAAGGAAGTCGAGCCACCGGTCGTGTTGAATGGGGAACGGGGAATGGCTCTGGAGTCAATGCAGGGGAATCGGGCCTCATCTCGAGTTGATTTGTGGCACCTGGATCTGCTTTGCGTTGCTGGGGTGACCTCAGGGTCCGTCTAGACTGGTGACAGTGTTCTTGGGGACTGCCTCGAGATCCATTAAGCAAGTCGAAGCTCCTGACTTGTTTGAATGGGATCACGGAATAGCTCTGCATGCACTGCAGGGGAATGGGGCCTCATCTCGCCTCTAGGGGGAAGGCTCACGGTTTTTCTCGAGTTGCGGCGGGGACCTGGGGTATGTTCTCGACTTACGGCGGGGATGGCCCTTCAAAACACGAGTTTCTTCAGTGACGTCAGGACTGCTGTCTAGTAACGAGGGACAGCTCAGGTATCTCTTCGAGGATTGGCAGGGCAAAAGGGACGCTTCTCGAGGTGAGGCAGGGCACCCAAGGACCCTTTCCAGTAGCCACAGCGATTTTGGGATTCCTATCAGTATTCAAGAGGAATCAGGCATCATCACCTTTTGAAGCAATGAACTCCGCGAGCCTCTCGAGGTGTCAGCGGGATGTGAGGCATTCCGTCAAAATGAGGTAGGGACCTAGGGCTTTCTCTAAGGTCTCCACAGGGGATTCAGACATCCCTTCATGTTGTGAGATGAAAAACGAGCCTGTATTCAAGCCACTGAAAGGAAATCCGGCCTCCTTTCAAGTTAGGGCTTCTCGCTGTATATTCCCCTTGAGGCAGCAAACACGGGGTCCCTCCCACATAACTATTGCTGAGAGAATCCTCCTCCTGAGGTAATTCTGGGAAGTTGGCATACGTCTTGACCCTAAGCCAAGGAATCAGCTCTCATCTCGAGACGATTTGGGGTACACGGAGCATTCCTCGAGTTGCTGTGCTGAAGTTCGTGTTCCTCTAGACTTGGGACAGTGTTCTCGGGGCATCTCTGGAGTTGCCTGAAGGAAGTCGAGCCACCGGTCGTGTTGAATGGGGAACGGGGAATGGCTCTGGAGTCAATGCAGGGGAATCGGGCCTCGTCTAGAGTTGATTTGGGGCACATGGAGCTGCTTTGCGTTGCTGGGGTGACCTCAGGGTCCGTCTAGACTGGTGACAGTGTTCTTGGGGACTGTCTGGAGATCCATTAAGCAAGTCGAAGCTCCTGACTTGTTTGAATGGGATCACGGAATAGCTCTGCATGCACTGCAGGGGAATGGGGCCTCATAACGCCTCTAGGGGGAAGTCTCATGGTTTTTATCGAGTTGCGGCGGGGACCTGGGGTATGTTCTCGACTTACAGCGGGGATGGCTTTTCAAAACACGAGTTTCTTCAGTGACGTCAGGACTCCTGTCTAGTAACGAGGGACACCTCAGGAATCTCTTCGAGGCTTGGCAGGGCCAAAGGGACGCTTCTCGAGGTGAGGCATGGCACCCAAGGACCCTTTCCAGTAGCCACAGGGATTTTGGGATTCCTATAAGTAATCAAGAGGAGTCAGGCATCGTCACCTTTTGAAGCAATGAACTCCGCGTGCCTCTCGAGGTGTCAGAGGGATGTGAGGATTCCGTCAAAATGAGGCAGGGACCTAGGGCTTTCTCTAAGGTCTCCACAGGGGATTCAGACATCTCTTCATGTTGTGAGATGAAAGACCAGCCTGTATTCAAGCCACTGCAAGGAAATCCGGCCTCCTTTCAAGTTAGGGCTTCTCGCTGTATATTCCCCTTGAGGCAGCAAACTCGGGGTCCCTCCCACATACCTATTGCTGAGAGAAGCCTCCTCCTGAGGTGCTTCTGGAAAGGTGGCATATGTCTTGAGCCTAAGCCAGGGAATCAGCTCTCATCTCGAGACGATTTGGGGTACACAGAGCATTCCTCGAGTTGCTGTGCTGAAGTTGGTGGTCCTCTAGACTTGGGACAGTGTTCTCGGGGCATCTCTGGAGTTGCCTGAAGGAAGTCGAGCCACCGGTCGTGTTGAATGGGGAACAAGGAATGGCTCTGGAGTCAATGCAGTGGAATCCGGCCTCATCTCGAGTTGATTTGGGGCACATGGAGCTGCTTTGCATTGCTGGGTGACCTCACGGTCCGTCTAGACTGGTGACAGTGTTCTTGGGGACTGTCTCGAGATCCATTAAGCAAGTCGAAGCTCCTGACTTGTTTGAATGGGATCACGGAATATCTCTGCATGCACTGCAGGGGAATGGGGCCTCATCTCGCCTCTAGGGGGAAGTCTCATGGTTTTTCTCGAGTTGCGGCGGGGACCTGGGGTATGTTCTCGACTTACGGCGGGGATGGCCCTTCAAAACACGAGTTTCTTCAGTGACGTCAGGACTCCTGTCTAGTAACGAGGGACACCTCAGGAATCTCTTCGAGGCTTCGCAGGGCAAAAGGGACGCTTCTCGAGGTCCGGCAGGGCACCCAAGGACCCTTTCCAGTAGCCACAGGGATTTTGGGATTCCTATCAGTATTCAAGAGGAGTCAGGCATCGTCACCTTTTGAAGCAATGAACTCCGCGTGCCTCTCGAGGTGTCAGCGGGATGTGAGGATTCCGTCAAAATGAGGCAGGGACCTAGGGCTTTCTCTAAGGTCTCCACAGGGGATTCAGACATCCCTTCATGTTGTGAGATGAAAGACGAGCCTGTATTCAAGCCACTTAAAGGAAATCCGGCCTCCTTTCAAGTTAGGGCTTCTCGCTGTATATTCCCCTTGAGGCAGCAAACTCGGAGTCCCTCCCACATACCTATTGCTGAGAGAAGCCTCCTCCTGAGGTGCTTCTGGAAAGTTGGCATACGTCTTGAGCCTAAGCCAGGGATTCAGCTCTCATCTCGAGACGATTTGGGGTACACAGAGCATTCCTCGAGTTGCTGTGCTGAAGTTGGTGGTCCTCTAGACTTGGGACAGTGTTCTCGGGGCATCTCTGGAGTTGCCTGAAGGAAGTTGAGCCACCGGTCGTGTTGAATGGGGAACGGGGAATGGCTCTGGAGTCAATGCAGGGGAATCGGGCCTCATCTCGAGTTGATTTGTGGCACCTGCAGCTGCTTTGCATTGCTGGGGTGACTTCAGGGTCCGTCTAGACTGGTGACAGTGTTCTTGGGGACTGCCTCGAGATCCATTAAGCAAGTCGAAGCTCCTGACTTGTTTGAATGGGATCACGGAATAGCTCTGCATGCACTGCAGGGCAATGGGGCCTCATCTCGCCTCTAGGGGGAAGGCTCACTGTTTTTCTCGAGTTGCGGCGGGGACCTGGGGTATGTTCTCGACTTACGGCGGGGATGGCCCTTCAAAACACGAGTTTCTTCAGTGACGTCAGGACTCCTGTCTAGTAACGAGGGACACCTCAGCAATCTCTTCGAGGCTTGGCAGGGCAAAAGGGACGCTTCTCGAGGTGAGGCAGGGCACCCAAGGACCCTTTCCAGTAGCCACAGCGATTTTGGGATTCCTATCAGTATTCAAGAGGAGTCAGGCATCGTCACCTTTTGAAGCAATGAACTCCGCGTGCCTCTCGAGGTGTCAGGGGGATGTGAGGCATTCCGTCAAAATGAGGTAGGGACCTAGGGCTTTCTCTAAGGTCTCCACAGGGGATACAGACATCCCTTCATGTTGTGAGATGAAAGACGAGCCTGTATTCAAGCCACTGCAAGGAAATCCGGCCTCCTTTCAAGTTAGGGCTTCTCGCTGTATATTCCCCTTGAGGCAGCAAACTCGGGGTCCCTCCCACATACCTATTGCTGAGAGAAGCCTCCTCCTGAAGTGCTTCTGGAAAGGTGGCATACGTCTTGAGCCTAAGCCAGGGATTCAGCTCTCATCTCGAGACGATTTGGGGTACACAGAGCATTCCTCGAGTTGATGTGCTGAAGTTGGTGTTCCTCTAGACTTGGGACAGTGTTCTCTGGGCATCTCTGGAGTTGCCTGAAGGAAGTCGAGCCACCGGTCATGTTGAATGGGGAACGGGGAATGGCTCTGGAGTCAATGCAGGGGAATCGGGCCTCATCTCGAGTTGATTTGTGGCACCTGGAGCTGCTTTGCGTTGCTGGGGTGACCTCAGGGTCCGTCTAGACTGGTGACAGTGTTCTTGGGGACTGCCTCGAGATCCTTTAAGCAAGTCGAAGCTCCTGACTTGTTTGAATGGGATCACGGAATAGCTCTGCATGCACTGCAGGGGAATGGGGCCTCATCTCGACTCTAGGGGGAAGGCTCACGGTTTTTCTCGAGTTGCAGCGGGGACCTGGGTTATGTTGTCGACTTACGGCGGGGATGGCCCTTCAAAACACGAGTTTCTTCAGTGACATCAGGACTCCTGTCTAGTAACGAGGGACATCTCAGCAATCTCTTCGAGGCTTGGCAGGGCAAAAGGGACGCTTCTCGAGGTGAGGCAGGGCACCCAAGGACCCTTTCCAGTAGCCACAGCGATTTTGGGATTCCTATCAGTATTCAAGAGGAGTCAGGCATCGTCACCTTTTGAAGCAATGAACTCCGCGTGCCTCTCGAGGTGTCAGCGGGATGTGAGGCATTCCGTCAAAATGAGGTAGGGACCTAGGGCTTTCTCTAAGGTCTCCACAGGGGATTCAGACATCCCTTCATGTTGTGAGATGAAAGACGAGCCTGTATTCAAGCCACTGAAAGGAAATCCGGCCTCCTTTCAAGTTAGGGCTTCTCTCTGTATATTCCCCTTGAGGCAGCAAACTCGGGGTCCCTCCCACATACCTATTGCTGAGAGAAGCCTCCTCCTGAGGGGCTTCTGGGAAGTTGGCATACGTCTTGAGCCTAAGCCAGGGAATCAGCTCTCATCTCGAGACGATTTGGGGTACACGGAGCATTCCTCGAGTTGCTGTGCTGAAGTTCGTGTTCCTCTAGACTTGGGACAGTGTTCTCGGGGTATCTCTGGAGTTGCCTGAAGGAAGTCGAGCCACCGGTCGTGTTGAATGGGGAACAAGGAATGGCTCTGGAGTCAATGCAGGGGAATCCGGCCTCATCTCGAGTTGATTTGGGGCACATGGAGCTGCTTTGCATTGCTGGGTGACTTCAGGGTCCGTCTAGACTGGTGACAGTGTTCTTGGGGACTGTCTCGAGATCCATTAAGCAAGTCGAAGCTCCTGACTTGTTTGAATGGGATCACGGAATAGCTCTGCATGCACTGCAGGGGAATGGGGCCTCATCTCGCCTCTAGGGGGAAGTCTCATGGTTTTTCTCGAGTTGCGGCGGGGACCTGGGGTATGTTCTCGACTTACGGCGGGCATGGCCCTTCAAAACACGAGTTTCTTCAGTGAAGTCAGGACTCCTGTCTAGTAAAGAGGGACACTTCAGGAATCTCTTCGTGGCTTCGCAGGGCAAAAGGGACGCTTCTCGAGGTCAGGCAGGGCACCCAAGGACCCTTTCCAGTAGCCACAGGGATTTTGGGATTCCTATCAGTATTCAAGAGGAGTCAGGCATCGTCAACTTTTGAAGCAATGAACTCCGCGTGCCTCTAGAGGTGTCAGCGGGATGTGAGGATTCCGTCAAAATGAGGCAGGGACCTAGGGCTTTCTCTAAGGTCTCCACAGGGATTCAGATATCCCTTCATGTTGTGAAATGAAAGACGAGCCTGTATTCAAGCCACTGCAAGGAAATCCGGCCTCCTTTCAAGTTAGGGCTTCTCGCTGTATATTCCCCTTGAGGCAGCAAACTCGGGGTCCCTCCCACATACCTATTGCTGAGAGAAGCCTCCTCCTGAAGTGCTTCTGGAAAGGTGGCATACGTCTTGAGCCTAAGCCAGGGATTCAGCTCTCATCTCGAGACGATTTGGGGTACACAGAGCATTCCTCGATTTGATGTGCTGAAGTTGGTGTTCCTCTAGACTTGGGACAGTGTTCTCTGGGCATCTCTGGAGTTGCCTGAAGGAAGTCGAGCCACCGGTCGTGTTGAATGGGGAACGGGGAATGGCTCTGGAGTCAATGCAGGGGAATCGGGCCTCATCTCGAGTTGATTTGTGGCACCTGGAGCTGCTTTGCGTTGCTGGGGTGACCTCAGGGTCCGTCTAGACTGGTGACAGTGTTCTTGGGGACTGCCTCGAGATCCATTAAGCAAGTCGAAGCTCCTGACTTGTTTGAATGGGATCACGGAATAGCTCTGCATGCACTGCAGGGGAATGGGGCCTCATCTCGCCTCTAGGGGGAAGGCTCACGGTTTTTCTCGAGTTGCGGCGGGGACCTGGGGTATGTTGTCGACTTACGGCGGGGATGGCCCTTCAAAACACGAGTTTCTTCAGTGACGTCAGGACTCCTGTCTAGTAACGAGGGACACCTCAGCAATCTCTTCGAGGCTTGGCAGGGCAAAAGGGACGCTTCTCGAGGTGAGGTAGGGCACCCAAGGACACTTTCCAGTAGCCACAGCGATTTTGGGATTCCTATCAGTATTCAAGAGGAGTCAGGCATCGTCACCTTTTGAAGCAATGAACTCCGCGTGCCTCTCGAGGTGTCAGCGGGATGTGAGGCATTCCGTCAAAATGAGGTAGGGACCTAGGGCTTTCTCTAAGGTCTCCACAGGGGATTCAGACATCCCTTCATGTTGTGAGATGAAAGACGAGCCTGTATTCAAGCCACTGAAAGGAAATCCGGCCTCCTTTCAAGTTAGGGCTTCTCGCTGTATATTCCCCTTGAGGAAGCAAACACGGGGTCCCTCCCACATACCTATTGCTGAGAGAATCCTCCTCCTGAGGTAATTCTGGGAAGTTGGCATACGTCTTGACCCTAAGCCAAGGAATCAGCTCTCATCTCGAGACGATTTGGGGTACACGGAGCATTCCTCGAGTTGCTGTGCTGAAGTTCGTGTTCCTCTAGACTTGGGACAGTGTTCTCGGGGCATCTCTGGAGTTGCCTGAAGGAAGTCGAGCCACCGGTCGTGTTGAATGGGGAACGGGGAATGGCTCTGTTGTCAATGCAGGGGAATCGGGCCTCGTCTCGAGTTGATTTGGGGCACATGGAGCTGCTTTGCGTTGCTGGGGTGACCTCAGGGTCCGTCTAGACTGGTGACAGTGTTCTTGGGGACTGTCTGGAGATCCATTAAGCAAGTCGAAGCTCCTGACTTGTTTGAATGGGATCACGGAATAGCTCTGCATGCACTGCAGGGGAATGGGGCCTCATCTCGCCTCTAGGGGGAAGTCTCATGGTTTTTCTCGAGTTGCGGCGGGGACCTGGGGTATGTTCTCGACTTACGGCGGGGATGGCCCTTCAAAACACGAGTTTCTTCAGTGACGTCAGGACTCCTCTCTAGTAACGAGGGACACCTCAGGAATCTCTTCGAGTCTTGGAAGGGCAAAAGGGACGCTTCTCGAGGTGAGGCAGGGCACCCAAGGACCCTTTCCAGTAGCCACAGCGATTTTGGGATTCCTATCAGTATTCAAGAGGAGTCAGGCATCGTCACATTTTGAAGCAATGAACTCCGCGTGCCTCTCGAGGTGTCAGCGGGATGTGAGGCATTCCGTCAAAATGAGGCAGGGACCTAGGGCTTTCTCTATGGTCTCCACAGGGGATTCAGATATCCCTTCATGTTGTGAGATGAAAGACGAGCCTGTATTCAAGCCACTGCAAGGAAATCCGGCCTCCTTTCAAGTTAGGGCTTCTCGCTGTATATTCCCCTTGAGGCAGCAAACTCGGGGTCCCTCCCACATACCTATTGCTGAGAGAAGCCTCCTCCTGAGGTGCTTCTGGAAAGTTGGCATACGTCTTGAGCCTAAGCCAGGGAATCAGCTCTCATCTCGAGATGATTTAGGGTACACGGTGCATTCCTCGAGTTGCTGTGCTGAAGTTGCTGTTCCTCTAGACTTGGCACGGTGTTCTCGGGGCATCCCTGGAGTTGCCTGAAGGAAGGCGAGCCACCGGTCCTGTTGAATGGGGAACGGGGAATGGCTCTGGAATCAATGCAGGGGAATCGGGCCTCATCTCGTGTTGATTTGGGGCACATGGAGCTGCTTTGCGTTGCTGGGGTGACCTCAGGGTCCGTCTAGACTGGTGACAGTGTTCTTGGGGACTGTCTCGAGATCCATTAAGCAAGTCGAAGCTCCTGACTTGTTTGAATGGGATCACGGAATAGCTCTGCATGCACTGCAGGGGAATGGGGCCTCATCTCGCCTATATGGGGAAGTCTCATGGTTTTTCTCGAGTTGCGGCGGGGATCTGGGGTATGTTCTCGACTTACGGCGGGGATGGCCCTTCAAAACACGAGTTTCTTCAGTGACTTCTGGACTCCTGCCTAGTAACGAGGGACACCTCAGCAATGTCTTCGAGGCTTGGCAGGGCAAAAGGGACGCTTCTCGAGGTGAGCCAGGGCACCCAAGGCCCGTTTCCAGTAGCAACAGGGATTTTGGGATTCCTATAAGTATTCAAGAGGAGTCAGGCATCGTCACCTTTTGAAACAATGATCTCTGCGTGCCTCTCGAGGTGTCAGGGGGATGTGAGGTATTCCGTCAAAATGAGTCAGGGACCTAGGGCTTCCTCTAAGGTCTCCACAGGGGATTCAGACATCCCTTCATGTTTTCAGATCAAAGACGAGCCTGTATTCAACCCACTGCAAGGAAATCTGGCCTCCGTTCACATTAGGGCTTCTCCCTGTGTATTCCCCTTGAGGCAGCAAACTCGGGGTCCCTCCCACATACCTATTGCTGAGAGAAGCCTCCTCCTGAGGTGCTTCTGGAAAGTTGGCATACGTCTTGAGCCTAAGCCAGGGAATCAGCTCTCATCTCGAGATGATTTGGGGTACACGGAGCATTCCTCGAGTTGCTGTGCTGAAGTTGGTGTTCCTCTAGACTTGGGGCAGTGTTCTCGGGGAATCTCTGTAGTTGCCTGATGGAAGTCGAGCCACCGGTCGTGTTGAATGGGGAACGGGGAATGGCTCTGGAGTCAATGCAGGGGAATCGGGCCTCATCTCGAGTTGATTTGGGGCACATGGAGCAGCTTTGCGTTGCTGGGGTGACCTCAGGGTCCGTCTAGACTGGTGACAGTGTTCTTGGGGACTGCCTCGAAATCCATTAAGCAAGTCGAAGCTCCTGACTTGTTTGAATGGGATCACGGAATAGCTCTGCATGCACTGCAGGGGAATGGGGCCTCATCTCGCCTCTAGGGGGAAGGCTCACGGTTTTTCTCGAGTTGCGGCGGGGACCTGGGGTATGTTCTCGACTTACGGCGGGGATGGCCCTTCAAAACACGAGTTTCTTCAGTGACGTCAGGACTCCTCTCTAGTAACGAGGGACACCTCAGCAATCTCTTCGAGGCTTGGCAGGGCAAAAGGGAAGCTTCTCGAGGTGAGGCAGGGCACCCAAGGACCCTTTCCAGTAGCCACAGCGATTTTGGGATTCCTATCAGTATTCAAGAGGAGTCAGGCATCGTCACCTTTTGAAGCAATGAACTCCGCGTGCCTCTCGAGGTGTCAGCGGGATGTGAGGCATTCCGTCAGAATGAGGTAGGGACCTAGGGCTTTCTCTAAGGTCTCCACAGGGGATTCAGACATCCCTTCATGTTGTGAGATGAAAGACGAGCCTGTATTCAAGCCACTGAAAGGAAATCCGGCCTCCTTTCAAGTTAGGGCTTCTCGCTGTATATTCCCCTTGAGGCAGCAAACACGGGGTCCCTCCCACATACCTATTGCTGAGAGAATCCTCCTCCTGAGGTAATTCTGGGAAGTTGGCATACGTCTTGACGCTAAGCCAAGGAATCAGCTCTCATCTCGAGACGATTTGGGGTACACGGAGCATTCCTCGAGTTGCTGTGCTGATGTTCGTGTTCCTATAGACTTGGGACAGTGTTCTCGGGGCATCTCTGGAGTTGCCTGAAGGAAGTCGAGCCACCGGTCGTGTTGAATGGAGAACGGGGAATGGCTCTGGAGTCAATGCAGGGGATTCGGGCCTCATCTCGAGTTGATTTGTGGCACCTGGAGCTGCTTTGCGTTGCTGGGGTGACCTCAGTGTCCGTCTAGACTGGTGACAGTGTTCTTGGGGACTGCCTCGAGATCCATTAAGCAAGTCGAAGCTCCTGACTTGTTTGAATGGGATCACGGAATAGCTCTGCATGCACTGCAGGGGAATGGGGCCTCATCTCGCCTCTAGGGGGAAGGCTCACGGTTTTTCTCGAGTTGCGGCGGGGACCTGGGGTATGTTGTCGACTTACGGCGGGGATGGCCCTTCAAAACACGAGTTTCTTCAGTGCCGTCAGGACTCCTGTCTAGTAACGAGGGACACCTCAGCAATCTCTTCGAGGCTTGGCAGGGCAAAAGGGACGCTTCTCGAGGTGAGGTAGGGCACCCAAGGACACTTTCCAGTAGCCACAGCGATTTTGGGATTCCTATCAGTATTCAAGAGGAGTCAGGCATCGTCACCTTTTGAAGCAATGAACTCCGCGTGCCTCTCGAGGTGTCAGCGGGATGTGAGGCATTCCGTCAAAATGAGGTAGGGACCTAGGGCTTTCTCTAAGGTCTCCACAGGGGATTCAGACATCCCTTCATGTTGTGAGATGAAAGACGAGCCTGTATTCAAGCCACTGAAAGGAAATCCGGCCTCCTTTCAAGTTAGGGCTTCTCGCTGTATATTCCCCTTGAGGAAGCAAACACGGGGTCTCTCCCACATACCTATTGCTGAGAGAATCCTCCTCCTGAGGTAATTCTGGGAAGTTGGCATACATCTTGACCCTAAGCCAAGGAATCAGCTCTCATCTCGAGACGATTTGGGGTACACGGAGCATTCCTCGAGTTGCTGTGCTGAAGTTCGTGTTCCTCTAGACTTGGGACAGTGTTCTCGGGGCATCTCTGGAGTTGCCTGAAGGAAGTCGAGCCACCGGTCGTGTTGAATGGGGAACGGGGAATGGCTCTGTTGTCAATGCAGGGGAATCGGGCCTCGTCTCGAGTTGATTTGGGGCACATGGAGCTGCTTTGCGTTGCTGGGGTGACCTCAGGGTCCGTCTAGACTGGTGACAGTGTTCTTGGGGACTGTCTGGAGATCCATTAAGCAAGTCGAAGCTCCTGACTTGTTTGAATGGGATCACGGAATAGCTCTGCATGCACTGCAGGGGAATGGGGCCTCATCTCGCCTCTAGGGGGAAGTCTCATGGTTTTTCTCGAGTTGCGGCGGGGACCTGGGGTATGTTGTCGACTTACGGCGGGGATGGCCCTTCAAAACACGAGTTTCTTCAGTGACGTCAGGACTCCTCTCTAGTAACGAGGGACACCTCAGGAATCTCTTCGAGTCTTGGAAGGGCAAAAGGGACGCTTCTCGAGGTGAGGCAGGGCACCCAAGGACCCTTTCCAGTAGCCACAGCGATTTTGGGATTCCTATCAGTATTCAAGAGGAGTCAGGCATCGTCACCTTTTGAAGCAATGAACTCCGCGTGCCTCTCGAGGTGTCAGCGGGATGTGAGGCATTCCGTCAAAATGAGGCAGGGACCTAGGGCTTTCTCTAAGGTCTCCACAGGGGATTCAGATATCCCTTCATGTTGTGAGATGAAAGACAAGCCTGTATTCAAGCCACTGCAAGGAAATCCGGCCTCCTTTCAAGTTAGGGCTTCTCGCTGTATATTCCCCTTGAGGCAGCAAACTCGGGGTCCCTCCCACATACCTATTGCTGAGAGAAGCCTCCTCCTGAGGTGCTTCTGGAAAGTTGGCATACGTCTTGAGCCTAAGCCAGGGAATCAGCTCTCATCTCGAGATGATTTAGGGTACACGGTGCATTCCTCGAGTTGCTGTGCTGAAGTTGCTGTTCCTCTAGACTTGGGACGGTGTTCTCGGGGCATACCTGGAGTTGCCTGAAGGAAGGCGAGCCACCGGTCCTGTTGAATGGGGAACGGAGAATGGCTCTGGAATCAATGCAGGGGAATCGGGCCTCATCTCGAGTTGATTTGGGGCACATGGAGCTGCTTTGCGTTGCTGCGGTGACCTCAGGGTCCGTCTAGACTGGTGACAGTGTTCCTGGGGACTGTCTCGAGATCCATTAAGCAAGTCGAAGCTCCTGACTTGTTTGAATGGGATCACGGAATAGCTCAGCATGCACTGCAGGGGAATGGGGCCTCATCTCGCCTATATGGGGAAGTCTCATGGTTTTTCTCGAGTTGCGGCGGGGATCTGGGGTATGTTCTCGACTTACGGCGGGGATGGCCCTTCAAAACACGAGTTTCTTCAGTGACTTCAGGACTCCTGCCTAGTAACGAGGGACACCTCAGCAATGTCTTCGAGGCTTGGCAGGGCAAAAGGGACGCTTCTCGAGGTGAGCCAGGGCACCCAAGGCCCGTTTCCAGTAGCAACAGGGATTTTGGGATTCCTATAAGTATTCAAGAGGAGTCAGGCATCGTCACCTTTTGAAACAATGATCTCTGCGTGCCTCTCGAGGTGTCAGGGGGATGTGAGGTATTCCGTCAAAATGAGTCAGGGACCTAGGGCTTCCTCTAAGGTCTCCACAGGGGATTCAGACATCCCTTCATGTTTTCAGATCAAAGACGAGCCTGTATTCAACCCACTGCAAGGAAATCTGGCCTCCGTTCACATTAGGGCTTCTCCCTGTGTATTCCCCTTGAGGCAGCAAACTCGGGGTCCCTCCCACATACCTATTGCTGAGAGAAGCCTCCTCCTGAGGTGCTTCTGGAAAGTTGGCATACGTCTTGAGCCTAAGCCAGGGAATCAGCTCTCATCTCGAGATGATTTGGGGTACACGGAGCATTCCTCGAGTTGCTGTGCTGAAGTTGGTGTTCCTCTAGACTTGGGGCAGTGTTCTCGGGGAATCTCTGTAGTTGCCTGAAGGAAGTCGAGCCACCGGTCGTGTTGAATGGGGAACGGGGAATGGCTCTGGAGTCAATGCAGGGGAATCGGGCCTCATCTCGAGTTGATTTGGGGCACATGGAGCAGCTTTGCGTTGCTGGGGTGACCTCAGGGTCCGTCTAGACTGGTGACAGTGTTCTTGGGGACTGCCTCGAGATCCATTAAGCAAGTCGAAGCTCCTGACTTGTTTGAATGGGATCACGGAATAGCTCTGCATGCACTGCAGGGGAATGGGGCCTCATCTCGCCTCTAGGGGGAAGGCTCACGGTTTTTCTCGAGTTGCGGCGGGGACCTGGGGTATGTTCTCGACTTACGGCGGGGATGGCCCTTCAAAACACGAGTTTCTTCAGTGACGTCAGGACTCCTCTCTAGTAACGAGGGACACCTCAGGAATCTCTTCGAGGCTTGGCAGGGCAAAAGGGACGCTTCTCGAGGTGAGGCAGGGCACCCAAGGACCCTTTCCAGTAGCCACAGCGATTTTGGGATTCCTATCAGTATTCAAGAGGAGTCAGGCATCGTCACCTTTTGAAGCAATGAACTCCGCGTGCCTCTCGAGGTGTCAGCGGGATGTGAGGCATTCCGTCAGAATGAGGTAGGGACCTAGGGCTTTCTCTAAGGTCTCCACAGGGGATTCAGACATCCCTTCATGTTGTGAGATGAAAGACGAGCCTGTATTCAAGCCACTGAAAGGAAATCCGGCCTCCTTTCAAGTTAGGGCTTCTCGCTGTATATTCCCCTTGAGGCAGCAAACACGGGGTCCCTCCCACATACCTATTGCTGAGAGAATCCTCCTCCTGAGGTAATTCTGGGAAGTTGGCATACGTCTTGACGCTAAGCCAAGGAATCAGCTCTCATCTCGAGACGATTTGGGGTACACGGAGCATTCCTCGAGTTGCTGTGCTGAAGTTCGTGTTCCTCTAGACTTGGGACAGTGTTCTCAGGGCATCTCTGGAGTTGCCTGAATGAAGTCGAGCCACCGGTCGTGTTGAATGGGGAACGGGGAATGGCTCTGGAGTCAATGCAGGGGAATCGGGCCTCGTCTCGAGTTGATTTGGGGCACATGGAGCTGCTTTGCGTTGCTGGGGTGACCTCAGGGTCCGTCTAGACTGGTGACAGTGTTCTTGGGGACTGTCTGGAGATCCATTAAGCAAGTCGAAGCTCCTGACTTGTTTGAATGGGATCACGGAATAGCTCTGCATGCACTGCAGGGGAATGGGGCCTCATCTCGCCTCTAGGGGGAAGTCTCATGGTTTTTCTCGAGTTGCGGCGGGGACCTGGGGTATGTTCTCGACTTACGGCGGGGATGGCCCTTCAAAACACGAGTTTCTTCAGTGACGTCAGGACTCCTCTCTAGTAACGAGGGACACCTCAGGAATCTCTTCGAGTCTTGGAAGGGCAAAAGGGACGCTTCTCGAGGTGAGGCAGGGCACCCAAGGACCCTTTCCAGTAGCCACAGCGATTTTGGGATTCCTATCAGTATTCAAGAGGACTCAGGCATCGTCACCTTTTGAAGCAATGAACTCCGCGTGCCTCTCGAGGTGTCAGCGGGATGTGAGGCATTCCGTCAAAATGAGGCAGGGACCTAGGGCTTTCTCTAAGGTCTCCACAGGGGATTCAGACATCCCTTCATGTTGTGAGATGAAAGACGAGCCTGTATTCAAGCCACTGCAAGGAAATCCGGCCTCCTTTCAAGTTAGGGCTTCTCGCTGTATATTCCCCTTGAGGCAGCAAACTCGGGGTCCCTCCCACATACCTATTGCTGAGAGAAGCCTCCTCCTGAGGTAATTCTGGGAAGTTGGCATACGTCTTGAGCCTAAGCCAGGGAATCAGCTCTCGCCTCGAGACGATTTGGGGTACACGGAGCATTCCTCGAGTTGCTGTGCTGAAGTTCGTGTTCCTCTAGACTTGGGACAGTGTTCTCGGGGTATCTCTGGAGTTGCCTGAAGGAAGTCGAGCCACCGGTCGTGTTGAATGGGGAACAAGGAATGGCTCTGGAGTCAATGCAGGGGAATCCGGCCTCATCTCGAGTTGATTTGGGGCACATGGAGCTGCTTTGCATTGCTGGGTGACCTCAGGGTCCGTCTAGACTGGTGACAGTGTTCTTGGGGACTGTCTCGAGATCCATTAAGCAAGTCGAAGCTCCTGACTTGTTTGAATGGGATCACGGAATAGCTCTGCATGCACTGCAGGGGAATGGGGCCTCATCTCGCCTCTAGGGGGAAGTCTCATGGTTTTTCTCGAGTTGCGGCGGGGATCTGGGGTATGTTCTCGACTTACGGCGGGGATGGCCCTTCAAAACACGAGTTTCTTCAGTGACGTCAGGACTCCTGCCTAGTAACGAGGGACACCTCAGCAATGTCTTCGAGGCTTGGAAGGGCAAAAGGGACGCTTCTCGAGGTGAGCCAGGGCACCCAAGGCCCGTTTCCAGTAGCAACAGGGATTTTGGGATTCCTATAAGTATTCAAGAGGAGTCAGGCATCGTCACCTTTTGAAACAATGATCTCTGCGTGCCTCTCGAGGTGTCAGGGGGATGTGAGGTATTCCGTCAAAATGAGTCAGGGACCTAGGGCTTCCTCTAAGGTCTCCACAGGGGATTCAGACATCCCTTCATGTTTTCAGATCAAAGACGAGCCTGTATTCAACCCACTGCAAGGAAATCTGGCCTCCGTTCACATTAGGGCTTCTCCCTGTGTATTCCCCTTGAGGCAGCAAACTCGGGGTCCCTCCCACATACCTATTGCTGAGAGAAGCCTCCTCCTGAGGTGCTTCTGGAAAGTTGGCATACGTGTTGAGCCTAAGCCAGGGAATCAGCTCTCATCTCGAGACGATTTGGGGTACACAGAGCATTCCTCGAGTTGCTGTGCTGAAGTTGGTGGTCCTCAAGACTTGGGACAATGTTCTCGGGGCATCTCTGGAGTTGCCTGAAGGAAGTCGAGCCACCGGTCGTTTTGAATGGGGAACAGGGAATGGCTCTGGAGTCAATGCAGGGGAATCGGGCCTCATCTCGAGTTGATTTGGGGCACATGGAGCTGCTTTGCGTTGCTGGGGTGACCTCAGGGTCCGTCTAGACTGGTGACAGTGTTCTTGGGGACTGACTCGAGATCCATTAAGCAGGTCGAAGCTCCTGACTTGTTTGAATGGGATCACGGAATAGCTCTGCATGCACTGCAGGGGAATGGGGCCTCATCTCGCCTCTAGGGGGAAGTCTCATGGTATTTCTCGAGTTGCGGCGGGGACCTGGGGTATGTTCTCGACTTACGGCGGGGATGGCCCTTCAAAACACGAGTTTCTTCAGTGACGTCAGGACTCCTGTCTAGTAACGAGGGACACCTCAGGAATCTCTTCGAGGCTTGGCAGGGCAAAAGGGACGCTTCTCGAAGTGAGGCAGGGCACCCAAGGACCCTTTCCAGTAGAGACAGGGATTTTGGGATTCCTATCAGTATTCAAGAGGGGTCAGGCATCGTCAACTTTTGAAGCAATGAACTCCGCGTGCCTCTCGAGGTTTCAGCGGGATGTGAGGCATTCCGTCAAAATGAGACAGGAACCTAGGTCTTTCTCTAAGGTCTCCACAGTGGCTTCAGACATCCCTTCATGTTGTGAGATGAAAGACGAGCCTGTATTCAAGCCACTGCAAGGAAATCCGGCCTCCTTTCTAGTTAGGGCTTCTCGCTGTATATTCCCCTTGAGGCAGCAAACTCGGGGTCCCTCCCAAATACCTATTGCTGAGAGAAGCCTCCTCCTGAGGTGCTTCTGGAAAGTTGGCATACGTCTTGAGCCTAAGCCAGGGAATCAGCTCTCATTTCGAGACGATTTGTGGTACACGGAGCATTCCTCGAGTTGCTGTGCTGACGTTGCTGTTCCTCTAGACTTGGGACAGTGTTCTCGGGGCATCTCTGGAGTTGCCTGAAGGAAGTCGAGCCACCGTTCGTGTTGAATGGGGAACGGGGAATGGCTCTGGAGTCAATGCAGGGGAATCGGGCCTCATCTCGAGTTGATTTGGGGCACATGGAGCTGCTTTGCGTTGCTGGGGTGACCTCAGGGTCCGTCTAGACTGGTGACAGTGTTCTTGGGGACTGTCTCGAGATCCATTAAGCAAGTCGAAGCTCCTTACTTGTTTGAATGGGATCACGGAATAGCTCTGCATGCACTGCAGGGGAATGGGGCCTCATCTCGCCTCTAGGGGGAAGTCTCATGGTATTTCTCGAGTTGCGGCGGGGACCTGGGGTATGTTCTCGACTTAAGGCGGGGATGGCCCTTCAAAACACGAGTTTCTTCAGTGACGTCAGGACTCCTGTCTAGTAACGAGGGACACTTCAGGAATCTCTTCGAGGCTTGGCAGGGCAAAAGGGACGCTTCTCGAGGTGAGGCATGGCACCCAAGGACCCTTTCCAGTAGCCACAGGGATTTTGGTCTTCCTATAAGTAATCAAGAGGAGTCAGGCATCGTCACCTTTTGAAGCAATGAACTCCGCGTGCCTCTCGAGTGTCAGCGGGATGTGAGGCATTCCGTCAAAATGAGGCAGGGACCTAGGGCTTTCTCTAAGGTCTCCACAGGGGATTCAGACATCCCTTCATGTTGTGAGATGAAAGACGAGCCTGTATTCAAGCCACTGAAAGGAAATCCGGCCTCCTTTCAAGTTAGGGCTTCTCCCTGTATATTCCCTTTGAGGCAGCATACTCGGGTCCCTCCCACATACCTATTGCTGAGAGAAGCCTCCTCCTGAGGTGCTTCTGGAAAGTTGGCATACGTCTTGAGCATAATCCAGGGAATCAGCTCTCATCTCGAGACAATTTGGGGTACACGGAGCATTCCTCGAGTTGCTGTGCTGAAGTTGGTGTTCCTCTAGACTTGGGACAGTGTTCTCAGGGCATCTCTGGAGTTGCCTGAAGGAAGTCGAGCCACCGGTCGTGTTGAATGGGGAACGGGGAATGGCAATGGAGTCAATGCAACGGAAACGGGCCTCATCGCGAGTTGATTTGGGGCACAAGGAGCTGCTTTGCGTTGCTGGGGTGACCTCAGGGTCCGTCTAGACTGGTGACAGTGTTCTTGGGGACTGACTCGAGATCCATTAAGCAGGTCGAAGCTCCTGACTAGTTTGAATGGGATCACGGAATAGCTCTGCATTCACTGCAGGGGAATGGGGCCTCATCTCGCCTCTAGGGGGAAGTCTCATGGTTTTTCTCGAGTTGCGGGGGGGACCTGGGTTATGTTCTCGACTTACGGCGGGGATGGCCCTTCAAAACACGAGTTTCTTCAGTGACGTCAGGACTCCTGTCTAGTAACGAGGGACACCTCAGGAATCTCTTCGAGGCTTGGCAGGGCAAAAGGGACGCTTCTCGAGGTGACGCAGGGCACCCAAGGACCCTTTCCAGTAGAGACAGGGATTTTGGGATTCCTATCAGTATTCAAGAGGAGTCAGGCTTCGTCACCTTTTGAAACAATGAACTCCGCGTGCCTCTCGAGGTGTCAGCGGGATGTGAGGCATTCCGTCAGAAGAAGGCACGGACCTAAGGCTTTCTCTAAGGTCTCCACAGGGGATTCAGACATCCCTTCATGTTGTGAGATGAAAGACGACCCTGTATTCAAGCCACTGCACGGAAATCCGGCCTCGTTTCAAGTTATGGCTTCTCGCTGTATATTCCCTTGAGGCAGCAAACTCGGGGTCCCTCCCACATACCTATTGCTGAGAGAAGCCTCCTCCTGTGATGCTCCTGGAAAGTTGGCATACGTCTTGAGCCTAAGCCAGGGAATCAGCTCTCATCTCGAGACGATTTGGGGTACACGGAGCATTCCTCGAGCTGCTGTGCTGAAGTTGGTGTTCCTCTAGACTTGGGACAGTGTTTTCGGGGCATCTCTGGAGTTGCCTGAATGAAGTTGAGCAACCGGTCTTGTTGAATGGGGAACGGGGAATGGCTCTGGAGTCAATGCAGGGGAATCGGGCCTCATCTCGAGTTGATTTGGGGCACATGGAGCTGCTTTGCGTTGCTGGGGTGACCTCAGGGTCCATCTAGACTGGTGACAGTGTTCTTGCGGACTGTCTCGAGATCCATTAAGCAGGTCGAAGCTCCTGACTTGTTTGAATGGGATCACGGAATAGCTCTGCATGCACTGCAGGGGAATGGGGCCTCGTCTCGCCTCTAGGGGGAAGTCTCATCGTTTTTCTCGAGCTGCGGCGGGGACCTGGGAATGTTCCCGACTTACGGCGGGGATGGCACTTCAAAACACGAGTTTCTTCAGTGATGTCAGGACTCCTGTCTAGTAACGAGGGACACCTCAGGAATCTCTTCGAGGCTAGGCAGGGCAAAAGGGAAGCTTCTCGAGGTGAGGCAGGGCACCCAAGGACCCTTTCCTGTAGCCACAGTGATTTTGGGATTCCTATCAGTATTCAAGAGGAGTCAGGCATCGTCACCTTTTGAAGCAATGAACTCCGAGTGCCTCTCGAGGTGTCAGCGGGATGTGAGGCATTCCGTCTTAATGAGGCAGGGACCTAGGGCTTTCTCTAAGGTCTCCACAGGGGATTCAGACATCCCTTCATGTTGTGAGATGAAAGACGAGCCTGTATTCAAGCCACTGCAAGGAAATCCGGCCTCCTTTCAAGTTAGGTCTTCTCGCTGTATATTCCCCTTGAGGCAGCATACTCGGGGTCCTTCCCACATACCTATTGCTGAGAGAAACCTCCTCCTGAGGTGCTTCTGGAACGTTGGCATACGTCTTGAGCCTAAGCCAGGGAATCAGCTCTCATCTGGAGACGATTTGGGGTACATGGAGCATTCCTCCAGTTGCTGTGCTGAAGTTGGTGTTCCTCTAGACTGGGGACAGTGTTCTCGGGGCATCTCTGGAGTTGCCTGAAGGAAGTCGCTCCACCGGTCATGTTGAATGGGGAACGGGGAATGGCTCTGGAGTCAATGCAGGGGAATCGGGCCTCATCTCGAGTTGATTTGGGGCACATGGAGCTGCTTTGCGTTGCTGGGGTGACCTCAGGGTCCGTCTAGACTGGTGACAGTGTTCTTGCGGACTGTCTCGAGATCCATTAAGCAGGTCGAAGCTCCTGACTTGTTTGAATGGGATCACGGAATAGCTCTGCATGCACTGCAGGGGAATGGGGCCTCATCTCTCCTCTAGGGGGAAGTCTCATGGTTTTTCTCGAGTTGCGGCGGGGACCTGGGGTATGTTCTCGACTTACGGCGTGGATGGCCCTTCAAAACACGAGTTTCTTCAGTGATGTCAGGACTCCTGTCTAGTAACGAGGGACACCTCAGGAATCTCTTCGAGGCTTGGCAGGGCAAAAGGGACGCTTCTCGAGGTGAGGCAGGGAACCCAAGGACCCTTTCCAGTAGCCACAGTGATTTTGGGATTCCTATCAGTATTCAAGAGGAGTCAGGCATCGTCACCTTTTGAAGCAATGAACTCCGCGTGCATCTCGAGGTGTCAGCGGGATGTGAGGCATTCCGTCAAAATGTGGCAGGGACCTAGGGCTTTCTCTAAGGTCTCCACAGGGGATTCAGACACCCCTTCATGTTGGGAGATGAAAGACGAGACTGTATTCAAGCCACTGCAAGGAAATCCGGCCTCATTTCAAGTTAGGGCTTCTCGCTGTATATTCCCCTTGAGGCAGCATACTCGGGGTCCCTCCCTCATACCTATTGCTGAGAGAAGCCTCCTCCTGAGGTGCTTCTGGACAGTTGGCATACGTCTTGAGCGTAAGCCAGGGAATCAGCTCTCATCTCGAGACGATTTGGGGTACACGGAGCATTCCTCGAGTTGCTGTGCTGATGTTGGTGTTCCTCTAGACTTGGGACAGTGTTCTCGGGGCATCTCTGGAGTTGCCAGAAGGAAGTCGAGCCACCGGTCGTGTTGAATGGGGAACGGGGAATGGCTCTGGAGTCAATGCAGGGGAATCGGGCCTCATCTCGAGTTGATTAGGGGCACATGGAGCTGCTTTGCGTTGCTGGGGTGACCTCAGGGTCCGTCTAGACTGGTGACAGTGTTCTTGGGGACTGTCTCGAGATCCATTAAGCAGGTCGACGCTCCTGACTTGTTGGAATGGGATCACGGAATAGCTCTGCATGCACTGCAGGGGAATGGGGCCTCATCTCGCCTCTAGGGGGAAGTCTCATGGTTTTTCTGGAGTTGCGGCGGGGACCTGGGGTATGTTCTCGACTTAAGGCGGGGATGACCCTTCCAAACACGAGTTTCTTCAGTGACGTCAGGACTCCTGTCTAGTAACGAAGGACACCTCAAGAATCTCTTCGAGGCTTGGCAGGGCAAAAGGGACGCTTCTCGAGGTGAGGCAGGGCACCCAAGGACCCTTTCCAGTAGCCACAGGGATTTTCGGATTCCTATCAGTATTCAAGAGGAGTCAAGCATCGTCACCTTTTGAAGCAATGAACTCCGCGTGCCTCTCGAGGTGTCAGCGGGATGTGAGGCATTCCGTCAAAATGAGACAGGGACCTAGGGCTTTCTCTAAGGTCTCCACAGTGGCTTCAGACATCCCTTCATGTTGTGAGATGAAAGACGAGCCTGTATTCAAGCCACTGCAAGGAAATCCGGCCTCCTTTCTAGTTAGGGCTTCTCGCTGTATATTCCCCTTGAGGCAGCAAACTCGGGGTCCCTCCCACATACCTATTGCTGAGAGAAGCCTCCTCCTGAGGTGCTTCTGGAAAGTTGGCATACGTCTTGAGCCTAAGCCAGGGAATCAGCTCTCATTTCGAGACGATTTGTGGTACACGGAGCATTCCTCGAGTTGCTGTGCTGAAGTTGCTGTTCCTCTAGACTTGGGACAGTGTTCTCGGGGCATCTCTGGAGTTGCCTGAAGGAAGTCGAGCCACCGGTCGTGTTGAATGGGGAACGGGGAATGGCTCTGGAGTCAATGCAGGGGAATCGGGCCTCATCTCGAGTTGATTTGGGGCACATGGAGCTGCTTTGCGTTGCTGGGGTGACCTCAGGGTCCGTCTAGACTGGTGACAGTGTTCTTGGGGACTGTCTCGAGATCCATTAAGCAAGTCAAAGCTCCTGACTTGTTTGAATGGGATCACGGAATAGCTCTGCATGCACTGCAGGGGAATGGGGCCTCATCTCGCCTCTAGGGGGAAGTCTCATGGTATTTCTCGAGTTGCGGCGGGGACCTGGGGTATGTTCTCGACTTACGTCGGGGATGGCCCTTCAAAACACGAGTTTCTTCAGTGACGTCAGGACTCCTGTCTAGTAACGAGGGACACCTCAGGAATCTCTTCGAGGCTTGGCAGGGCCAAAGGGACGCTTCTCGAGGTTAGGCAGGGCACCCAAGGACCCTTTCCAGTAGACAAAGGGATTTTGGGATTCCTATCAGTATTCAAGAGGGGTCAGGCATCGTCACCTTTTGAATCAATGAACTCCGCGTGCCTCTCGAGGTGTCAGCGGGATGTGAGGCATTCCGTCAAAATGAGGAAGGGGCCTAGGGCTTTCTCTAAGGTCTCCACAGGGGATTCAGACATCCCTTCATGTTGTGAGATGAAAGACGAGCCTGTATTCAAGCCACTGCAAGGAAATCCGGCCTCCTTTCAAGTTAGGGCTTCTCGCTGTATATTCCCCTTGAGGCAGCAAACTCGGGGTCCATCCCACATACCTATTGCTGAGAGAAGCCTCCTCCTGAGGTGCTTCTGGAAAGTTGGCATACGTCTTGAGCCTAAGCCAGGGAATCAGCTCTCATCTCGAGACGATTAGGGGTACACGGAGCATTCCTCGAGTTGCTGTGCTGAAGTTGCTGTTCCTCTAGACTTGGGACAGTGTTCTCGGGGCATCTCTGGAGTTGCCTGAAGGAAGTCGAGCCACCGGTCGTGTTGAATGGGGAACGGGGAATGGCTCTGGAGTCAATGCAGGGGAATCGGGCCTCATCTCGAGTTGATTTGGGGCACATGGAGCTGCTTTGCGTTGCTGGGGTGACCTCAGGGTCCGTCTAGACTGGTGACAGTGTTCTTGGGGACTGTCTCGAGATCCATTAAACAGGTCGAAGCTCCTGACTTGTTTGAATGGGATCACAGAATAGCTCTGCATGCACTGCAGGGGAATGGGGCCTCATCTCGCCTCTAGGGGGAAGTCTCATGGTATTTCTCGAGTTGCGGCGGGGACCTGGGGTATGTTCTCGACTTACGGCGGGGATGGCCCTTCAAAACACGAGTTTCTTCAGTGACGTCAGGACTCCTGTCTAGTAACGAGGGACACTTCAGCAATCTCTTCGAGGCTTGGCAGGGCAAAAGGGACGCTTCTCGAGGTGAGGCAGGGCACCCAAGGACCCTTTCCAGTAGACACAGGGATTTTGGGATTCCTATCAGTATTCAAGAGGAGTCAGGCATCGTCACCTTTTGAAGCAATGAACTCCGCGTGCCTCTCGAGGTGTCAGCGGGATGTGAGGCATTCCGTCAAAATGAGGCAGGGACCTAGGGCTTTCTCTAAGGTCTCCACAGGGGATTCAGACATCCCTTCATGTTGTGAGATGAAAGACGAGCCTGTATTCAAGCCACTGCAAGGAAATCCGGCCTCCTTTCAAGTTAGGGCTTCTCGCTGTATATTCCCCTTGAGGCAGGAAACTCGGGGTCCCTCCCACATACCTATTGCTGAGAGAAGCCTCCTCCTGAGGTGCTTCTGGGAAGTTGGCATACGTCTTGAGCCTAAGCCAGGGAATCAGCTCTCACCTCGAGACGATTTGGGGTACACGAAGCATTCCTCGAGTTGCTGTGCTGAAGTTGGTGTTCCTCTAGACTTGGGACAGTGTTCTCGGGGCATCTCTGGAGTTGCCTGAAGGAAGTCGCTCCACCGGTCGTGTTGAATGGGGAACGGGTAATGGCTCTGGAGTCAATGCAGGGGAATCGGGCCTCATCTCGAGTTGATTTGGGGCACATGGAGCTGCTTTGCGTTGCTGGGGTGACCTCAGGGTCCGTCTAGACTGGTGACAGTGTTCTTGCGGACTGTCTCGAGATCCATTAAGCAGGTCGAAGCTCCTGACTTGTTTGAATGGGATCACGGAATAGCTCTGCATGAACTGCAGGGGAATGGGGCCTCATCTTTCCTCTAGGGGGAAGTCTCATGGTTTTTCTCGAGTTGCGGCGGGGACCTGGGGTATGTTCTCGACTTACGGCGTGGATGGCCCTTCAAAACCCGAGTTTCTTCAGTGATGTCAGGACTCCTGTCTAGAAACGAGGGACACCTCAGGAATCTCTTCGAGGCTTGGCAGGGCAAAAGGGACGCTTCTCGAGGTGAGGCAGGGCACCCAAAGACCCTTTCTAGTAGCCACAGGGATTTTGGGATTCCTATCAGTATTCAAGAGGAGTCAGGCATCGTCACCTTTTGAAGCAATGAACTCCGCGTGCCTCTTGAGGTGTCAGCGGGATGTGAGGCATTCCGTCAAAATGTGGCAGGGACCTAGGGCTTTCTCTAAGGTCTCCACAGTGGCTTCAGACATCCCTTCATGTTGTGAGATGAAAGACGAGCCTGTATTCAAGCCACTGCAAGGAAATCCGGCCTCCTTTCTAGTTAGGGCTTCTCGCTGTATATTCCCCTTGAGGCAGCAAACTCGGGGTCCCTCCCACATACCTATTGCTGAGAGAAGCCTCCTCCTGAGGTGCTTCTGGAAAGTTGGCATACGTCTTGAGCCTAAGCCAGGGAATCAGCTCTCATTTCGAGACGATTTGTGGTACACGGAGCATTCCTCGAGTTGCTGTGCTGAAGTTGCTGTTCCTCTAGACTTGGGACAGTGTTCTCGGGGCATCTCTGGAGTTGCCTGAAGGAAGTCGAGCCACCGGTCGTGTTGAATGGGTAACGGGGAATGGCTCTGGAGTCAATGCAGGGGAATCGGGCCTCATCTCGAGTTGATTTGGGGCACATGGAGCTGCTTTGCGTTGCTGGGGTGACCTCAGGGTCCGTCTAGACTGGTGACAGTGTTCTTGGGGACTGTCTCGAGATCCATTAAGCAAGTCGAAGCTCCTGACTTGTTTGAATGGGATCACGGAATAGCTCTGCATGCACTGCAGGGGAATGGGGCCTCATCTCGCCTCTAGGGGGAAGTCTCATGGTATTTCTCGAGTTGCGGCGGGGACCTGGCGTATGTTCTCGACTTACGTCGGGGATGGCCCTTCAAAACACGAGTTTCTTCAGTGACGTCAGGACTCCTGTCTAGTAACGAGGGACACCTCAGGAATCTCTTCGAGGCTTGGCAGGGCCAAAGGGACGCTTCTCGAGGTTAGGCAGGGCACCCAAGGACCCTTTCCAGTAGACAAAGGGATTTTGGGATTCCTATCAGTATTCAAGAGGGGTCAGGCATCGTCACCTTTTGAATCAATGAACTCCGCGTGCCTCTCGAGGTGTCAGCGGGATGTGAGGCATTCCGTCAAAATGAGGAAGGGGCCTAGGGCTTTCTCTAAGGTCTCCACAGGGGATTCAGACATCCCTTCATGTTGTGAGATGAAAGACGAGCCTGTATTCAAGCCACTGCAAGGAAATCCGGCCTCCTTTCAAGTTAGGGCTTCTCGCTGTATATTCCCCTTGAGGCAGCAAACTCGGGGTCCATCCCACATACCTATTGCTGAGAGAAGCCTCCTCCTGAGGTGCTTCTGGAAAGTTGGCATACGTCTTGAGCCTAAGCCAGGGAATCAGCTCTCATCTCGAGACGATTAGGGGTACACGGAGCATTCCTCGAGTTGCTGTGCTGAAGTTGCTGTTCCTCTAGACTTGGGACAGTGTTCTCGGGGCATCTCTGGAGTTGCCTGAAGGAAGTCGAGCCACCGGTCGTGTTGAATGGGGAACGGGGAATGGCTCTGGAGTCAATGCAGGGGAATCGGGCCTCATCTCGAGTTGATTTGGGGCACATGGATCTGCTTTGCGTTGCTGGGGTGACCTCAGGGTCCGTCTAGACTGGTGACAGTGTTCTTGGGGACTGTCTCGAGATCCATTAAACAGGTCGAAGCTCCTGACTTGTTTGAATGGGATCACGGAATAGCTCTGCATGCACTGCAGGGGAATGGGGCCTCATCTCGCCTCTAGGGGGAAGTCTCATGGTATTTCTCGAGTTGCGGCGGGGACCTGGGGTATGTTCTCGACTTACGGCGGGGATGGCCCTTCAAAACACGAGTTTCTTCAGTGACGTCAGGACTCCTGTCTAGTAACGAGGGACATTTCAGCAATCTCTTCGAGGCTTGGCAGGGCAAAAGGGACGCTTCTCGAGGTGAGGCAGGGCACCCAAGGACCCTTTCCAGTAGACACAGGGATTTTGGGATTCCTATCAGTATTCAAGAGGAGTCAGGCATCGTCACCTTTTGAAGCAATGAACTCCGCGTGCCTCTCGAGGTGTCAGCGGGATGTGAGGCATTCCGTCAAAATGAGGCAGGGACCTAGGGCTTTCTCTAAGGTCTCCACAGGGGATTCAGACATCCCTTCATGTTGTGAGATGAAAGACGAGCCTGTATTCAAGCCACTGCAAGGAAATCCGGCCTCCTTTCAAGTTAGGGCTTCTCGCTGTATATTCCCCTTGAGGCAGGAAACTCGGGGTCCCTCCCACATACCTATTGCTGAGAGAAGCCTCCTCCTGAGGTGCTTCTGGGAAGTTGGCATACGTCTTGAGCCTAAGCCAGGGAATCAGCTCTCACCTCGAGACGATTTGGGGTACACGAAGCATTCCTCGAGTTGCTGTGCTGAAGTTGGTGTTCCTCTAGACTTGGGACAGTGTTCTCGGGGCATCTCTGGAGTTGTCTGAAGGAAGTCGCTCCACCGGTCGTGTTGAATGGGGAACGGGTAATGGCTCTGGAGTCAATGCAGGGGAATCGGGCCTCATCTCGAGTTGATTTGGGGCACATGGAGCTGCTTTGCGTTGCTGGGGTGACCTCAGGGTCCATCTAGACTGGTGACAGTGTTCTTGCGGACTGTCTCGAGATCCATTAAGCAGGTCGAAGCTCCTGACTTGTTTGAATGGGATCACGGAATAGCTCTGCATGAACTGCAGGGGAATGGGGCCTCATCTTTCCTCTAGGGGGAAGTCTCATGGTTTTTCTCGAGTTGCGGCGGGGACCTGGGGTATGTTCTCGACTTACGGCGTGGATGGCCCTTCAAAACCCGAGTTTCTTCAGTGATGTCAGGACTCCTGTCTAGTAACGAGGGACACCTCAGGAATCTCTTCGAGGCTTGGCAGGGCAAAAGGGACGCTTCTCGAGGTGAGGCAGGGCACCCAAGGACCCTTTCTAGTAGCCACAGGGATTTTGGGATTCCTATCAGTATTCAAGAGGAGTCAGGCATCGTCACCTTTTGAAGCAATGAACTCCGCGTGCCTCTTGAGGTGTCAGCGGGATGTGAGGCATTCCGTCAAAATGTGGCAGGGACCTAGGGCTTTCTCTAAGGTCTCCACAGGGGATTCAGACATCCCTTCATGTTGGGAGATGAAAGACGAGACTGTATTCAAGCCATTGCAAGGAAATCCGGCCTCATTTCAAGTTAGGGCTTCTCGCTGTATATTCCCCTTGAGGCAGCATACTCGGGGTCCCTCCCTCATACCTATTGCTGAGAGAAGCCTCCTCCTGAGGTGCTTCTGGACAGTTGGCATACGTTTTGAGCGTAAGCCAGGGAATCAGCTCTCATCTCGAGACGATTTGGGGTACACGGAGCATTCCTCGAGTTGCTGTGCTGAAGTTGGTGTTCCTCTAGACTTGGGACAGTGTTCTCGGGGCATCTCTGGAGTTGCCTGAAGGAATTCGAGCCACCGGTCGTGTTGAATGGGGAACGGGGAATGGCTATGGAGTCAATGCAGGGGAATCGGGCCTCATCTCGAGTTGATTAGGGGCACATGGAGCTGCTTTGCGTTGCTGGGGTGACCTCAGGGTCCGTCTAGACTAGTGACAGTGTTCTTGGGGACTGTCTCGAGATCCATTAAGCAGGTCGAAGCTCCTGACTTGTTTGAATGGGATCACGGAATAGCTCTGCATGCACTGCAGTGGAATGGGGCCTCATCTCGCCTCTAGGGGGAAGTCTCATGGTTTTTCTCGAGTTGCGGCTGGGACCTGGGGTATGTTCTCGACTTACGGCGTGGATGGCCCTTCAAAACACGAGTTTCTTCAGTGACGTCAGGACTCCTGTCTAGTAACGAAGGACACCTCAAGAATCTCTTCGAGGCTTGGCAGGGCAAAAGGGACGCTTCTCGAGGTGAGGCAGGGCACCCAAGGACCCTTTCCAGTAGACAAAGGGATTTTGGGATTCCTATCAGTATTCAAGAGGGGTCAGGCATCGTCACCTTTTGAAGCAATGAACTCCGCGTGCCTCTCGAGGTGTCAGCGGGATGTGAGGCATTCCGTCAAAATGAGGCAGGGGCCTAGGGCTTTCTCTAAGGTCTCCATAGGGGATTCAGACATCCCTTCATGTTGTGAGATGAAAGACGAGCCTGTATTCAAGCCACTGCAAGGAAATCCGGCCTCCTTTCAAGTTAGGGCTTCTCGCTGTATATTCCCCTTGAGGCAGCAAACTCGGGGTCCCTCCCACATACCTATTGCTGAGAGAAGCCTCCTCCTGAGGTGCTTCTGGGAAGTTGGCATACGTCTTGAGCGTAAGCCAGGGAATCAGCTCTCATCTCGAGACGATTTGGGGTACACGGAGCATTCCTCGAGTTGCTGTGCTGAAGTTGGTGTTCCTCTAGACTTGGGACAGTGTTCTCGGGGCATCTCTGGAGTTGCCTGAAGGAAGTCGAGCCACCGGTCGTGTTGAATGGGGAACGGGGAATGGCTCTGGAGTCAATGCAGGGGAATCGGGCCTCATCTCGAGTTGATTAGGGGCACATGGAGCTGCTTTGCGTTGCTGGGGTGACCTCAGGGTCCGTCTAGACTGGTGACAGTGTTCTTGGGGACTGTCTCGAGATCCATTAAGCAGGTCGAAGCTCCTGACTTGTTTGAATGGGATCACGGAATAGCTCTGCATGCACTGCAGGGGAATGGGGCCTCATCTCGCCTCTAGGGGGAAGTCTCATGGTTTTTCTGGAGTTGCGGCGGGGACCTGGGCTATGTTCTCGACTTACGGCGGGGATGGCCCTTCCAAACACGAGTTTCTTCAGTGACGTCAGGACTCCTGTCTAGTAACGAAGGACACCTCAAGAATCTCTTCGAGGCTTGGCAGGGCAAAAGGGACGCTTCTCGAGGTGAGGCAGGGCACCCAAGGACCCTTTCCAGTAGCCACAGGGATTTTCGGATTCCTATCAGTATTCAAGAGGAGTCAAGCATCGTCACCTTTTGAAGCAATGAACTCCGCGTGCCTCTCGAGGTGTCAGCGGGATGTGAGGCATTCCGTCAAAATGAGACAGGGACCTAGGGCTTTCTCTAAGGTCTCCACAGTGGCTTCAGACATCCCTTCATGTTGTGAGATGAAAGACGAGCCTGTATTCAAGCCACTGCAAGGAAATCCGGCCTCCTTTCTAGTTAGGGCTTCTCGCTGTATATTCCCCTTGAGGCAGCAAACTCGGGGTCCTTCCCACATACCTATTGCTGAGAGAAGCCTCCTCCTGAGGTGCTTCTGGAAAGTTGGCATACGTCTTGAGCCTAAGCCAGGGAATCAGCTCTCATTTCGAGACGATTTGTGGTACACGGAGCATTCCTCGAGTTGCTGTGCTGAAGTTGCTGTTCCTCTAGACTTGTGACAGTGTTCTCGGGGCATCTCTGGAGTTGCCTGAAGGAAGTCGAGCCACCGTTCGTGTTGAATGGGGAACGGGGAATGGCTCTGGAGTCAATGCAGGGGAATCGGGCCTCATCTCGAGTTGATTTGGGGCACATGGAGCTGCTTTGCATTGCTGGGGTGACCTCAGGGTCCGTCTAGACTGGTGACAGTGTTCTTGGGGACTGTCTCGAGATCCATTAAGCAGGTCGAAGCTCCTGACTTGTTTGAATGGGATCACGGAATAGCTCTGCATGAACTGCAGGGGAATGGGGCCTCATCTTTCCTCTAGGGGGAAGTCTCATGGTTTTTCTCGAGTTGCGGCGGGGACCTGGGGTATGTTCTCGACTTACGGCGTGGATGGCCCTTCAAAACCCGAGTTTCTTCAGTGATGTCAGGACTCCTGTCTAGTAACGAGGGACACCTCAGGAATCTCTTCGAGGCTTGACAGGGCAAAAGGGACGCTTCTCGAGGTGAGGCAGGGCACCCAAGGACCCTTTCCAGTAGCCACAGGGATTTTGGGATTCCTATCAGTATTCAAGAGGGGTCAGGCATCGTCACCTTTTGAAGCAATGAACTCCGCGTGCCTCTTGAGGTGTCAGCGGGATGTGAGGCATTCCGTCAAAATGTGGCAGGGACCTAGGGCTTTCTCTAAGGTCTCCACAGGGGATTCAGACATCCCTTCATGTTGGGAGATGAAAGACGAGACTGTATTCAAGCCATTGCAAGGAAATCCGGCCTCATTTCAAGTTAGGGCTTCTCGCTGTATATTCCCCTTGAGGCAGCATACTCGGGGTCCCTCCCTCATACCTATTGCTGAGAGAAGCCTCCTCCTGAGGTGCTTCTGGACAGTTGGCATACGTCTTGAGCGTAAGCCAGGGAATCAGCTCTCATCTCGAGACGATTTGGGGTACACGGAGCATTCCTCGAGTTGCTGTGCTGAAGTTGGTGTTCCTCTAGACTTGGGACAGTGTTCTCGGGGCATCTCTTGAGTTGCCTGAAGGAAGTCGAGCCACCGGTCGTGTTGAATGGGGAACGGGGAATGGCTCTGGAGTCAATGCAGGGGAATCGGGCCTCATCTCGAGTTGATTAGGGGCACATGGAGCTGCTTTGCGTTGCTGGGGTGACCTCAGGGTCCGTCTAGACTGGTGACAATGTTCTTGGGGACTGTCTCGAGATCCATTAAGCAGGTCGAAGCTCCTGACTTGTTTGAATGGGATCACGGAATAGCTCTGCATGCACTGCAGGGGAAAGGGGCCTCATCTCGCCTCTAGGGGAAGTCTCATGGTTTTTCTGGAGTTGCGGCGGGGACCTGGGGTATGTTCTCGACTTACGGCGGGGATGGCCCTTCCAAACAAGAGTTTCTTCAGTGACGTCAGGACTCCTGTCTAGTAACGAAGGACACCTCAAGAATCTCTTCGAGGCTTGGCAGGGCAAAAGGGACGCTTCTCGAGGTTAGGCAGGGCACCCAAGGACCCTTTCCAGTAGACAAAGGGATTTTGGGATTCCTATCAGTATTCAAGAGGGGTCAGGCATCGTCACCTTTTGAAGCAATGAACTCCGCGTGCCTCTCGAGGTGTCAGCGGGATGTGAGGCATTCCGTCAAAATGAGGAAGGGGCCTAGGGCTTTCTCTAAGGTCTCCATAGGGGATTCAGACATCCCTTCATGTTGTGAGATGAAAGACGAGCCTGTATTCAAGCCACTGCAAGGAAATCCGGCCTCCTTTCAAGTTAGGGCTTCTCGCTGTATATTCCCCTTGAGGCAGCAAACTCGGGGTCCCTCCCACATACCTATTGCTGAGAGAAGCCTCCTCCTGAGGTGCTTCTGGACAGTTGGCATACGTCTTGAGCGTAAGCCAGGGAATCAGCTCTCATCTCGAGACGATTTGGGGTACACGGAGCATTCCTCGAGTTGCTGTGCTGAAGTTGGTGTTCCTCTAGACTTGGGACAGTGTTCTCGGGGCATCTCTGGAGTTGCCTGAAGGAAGTCGAGCCACCGGTCGTGTTGAATGGGGAACGGGGAATGGCTCTGGAGTCAATGCAGGTGAATCGGGCCTCATCTCGAGTTGATTAGGGGCACATGGAGCTGCTTTGCGTTGCTGGGGTGACCTCAGGGTCCGTCTAGACTGGTGACAGTGTTCTTGGGGACTGTCTCGAGATCCATTAAGCAGGTCGAAGCTCCTGACTTGTTTGAATGGGATCACGGAATAGCTCTGCATGCACTGCAGGGGAATGGGGCCTCATCTCGCCTCTAGGGGGAAGTCTCATGGTTTTTCTGGAGTTGCGGCGGGGACCTGGGGTATGTTCTCGACTTACGGCGTGGATGGCCCTTCAAAACACGAGTTTCTTCAGTGATGTCAGGACTCCTGTCTAGTAACGAGGGACACCTCAGGAATCTCTTCGAGGCTTGGCAGGGCAAAAGGGACGCTTCTCGAGGTGAGGCAGGGAACCCAAGGACCCTTTCCAGTAGCCACAGTGATTTTGGGATTCCTATCAGTATTCAAGAGGAGTCAGGCATCGTCACCTTTTGAAGCAATGAACTCCGCGTGCATCTCGAGGTGTCAGCGGGATGTGAGGCATTCCGTCTTAATGAGGCAGGGACCTAGGGCTTTCTCTAAGGTCTCCACAGGGGATTCAGACATCACTTCATGTTGGGAGATGAAAGACGAGCCTGTATTCAAGCCACTGCAAGGAAATCCGGCCTCCTTTCTAGTTAGGGCTTCTCGCTGTATATTCCCCTTGAGGCAGCATACTCGGGGTCCCTCCCACATACCTATTGCTGAGAGAAGCCTCCTCCTGAGGTGCTTCTGGAAAGTTGGCCTACGTCTTGAGCCTAAGCCAGGGAATCAGCTCTCATCTGGAGACGATTTGGGGTACATGGAGCTTTCCTCCATTTGCTGTGCTGAAGTTGGTGTTCCTCTAGACTTGGGACAGTGTTCTCGGGGCATCTCTGGAGTTGCCTGAAGGAAGTCGAGCCACCGTTCGTGTTGAATGGGGAACGGGGAATGGCTCTGGAGTCAATGCAGGGGAATCGGGCCTCATCTCGAGTTGATTTGGGGCACATGGAGCTGCTTTGCGTTGCTGGGGTGACCTCAGGGTCCGTCTAGACTGGTGACAGTGTTCTTGGGGACTGTCTCTAGATCCATTAAGCAAGTCGAAGCTCCTGACTTGTTTGAATGGGATCACGGAATAGCTCTGCATGCACTGCAGGGGAATGGGGCCTCATCTCGCCTCTAGGGGGAAGTCTCATGGTTTTTCTCGAGTTGCGGGGGGGACCTGGGGTATGTTCTCGACTTACGGCGGGGATGGCCCTTCAAAACACGAGTTTCTTCAGTGACGTCAGGACTCCAGTCTAGTAACGAGGGACACCTCAGGAAACTCTTCGAGGCTTGGCAGGGCAAAAGGGACGCTTCTCGAGGTGAGGCAGGGCACCCAAGGACCCTTTCCAGTAGCCACAGTGATTTTGGGATTCCTTTCAGTATTCAAGAGGAGTCAGGCATCGTCACCTTTTGAAGCAATGAACTCCGCGTGCCTCTCAAGGTGTCAGCGGGATGTGAGGCATTCCGACAAAATGAGGCAGGGACCTAGGGCTTTCTCTAAGGTCTCCACAGGGGATTCAGACATCCCTTCATGTTGTGAGATGAAAGACGAGCCTGTATTCAAGCCACTGCAAGGAAATCCGGCCTCCTTTCAAGTTAGGGCTTCTCGCTGTATATTCCCCTTGAGGCAGCATACTCGGGGTCCCTCCCACATACCTATTGCTGAGAGAAGCCTCCTCCTGAGGTGCTTCTGGAAAGTTGGCATACGTCTTGAGCCTAAGCCAGGGAATCAGCTCTCATCTCGAGACGATTTGGGGTTCACGGAGCATTTCTTGAGTTGCTGTGCTGAAGTTGGTGTTCCTCTAGACTTGGGACAGTGTTCTCGGGGCATCTCTGGAGTTGCCTGAAGGAAATCGAGCCACCGGTCGTGTTGAATGGGGAACGGGGAATGGCTCTGGAGTCAATGCAGTGCAAGCGGGCCTCATCTCGAGTTGATTTGGGGCACAAGGAGCTGCTTTGCGTTGCTGGGGTGACCTTAGGGTCCGTCTAGACTGGTGACAGTGTTCTTGGGGACTGTCTCGAGATCCATTAAGCAGGTCGAACCTCCTGACTAGTTTGAATGGGATCACGGAATAGCTCTGCATGCACTGCAGGGGAATGGGGCCTCATCTCGCCTCTAGGGGGAAGTCTCATGGTTTTTCTCGAGTTGCGGCAGGGAGCTGGGGTATGTTCTCGACTTAAGGCGGGGATGGCCCTTCAAAACACGAGTTTCTTCAGTGATGTCAGGACTCCTGTCTAGTAACGAGGGACACCTCAGCAATCTCTTCGAGGCTTGGCAGGGCAAAAGGGACGCTTCTCGAGGTGAAGCAGGGCACCCAAGGACCCTTTCCAGTAGAGACAGGGATTTTGGGATTCCTATCAGTATTCAAGAGGAGTCAGGCTTCGTCACCTTTTGAAACAATGAACTCCGCGTGCCTCTCGAGGTGTCAGCGAGATGTGAGGCATTCCGTCAGAAGAAGGCACGGACCTAAGGCTTTCTCTGAGGTCTCCACAGGGGATTCAGACATCCCTTCATGTTGTGAGATGAAAGACGAGCCTGTATTCAAGCCACTGCACGGAAATCCGGCTTCCTTTCAAGTTAGGGCTTCTCGTTGTATATTCCCTTGAGGCAGCAAACTCGGGGTCCCTCCCACATACCTATTGCTGAGAGAAGCCTCCTCCTGTGGTGCTCCTGGAAAGTTGGCATACGTCTTGAGCCTAAGCCAGGGAATCAGCTCTCATCTCGAGACGATTTGGGGTACATGGAGCATTCCTCGAGTTGCTGTGCTGAAGTTGGTGTTCCTCTAGACTTGGGACAGTGTTCTCGGGGCATCTCTGGAGTTGCCTGAATGAAGTTGAGCAACCGGTCTTGTTGAATGGGGAACGGGGAATGACTCTGGAGTCAATGCAGGGGAATCGGGCCTCATCTCGAGTTGATTTGGGGCACATGGAGCTGCTTTGCGTTGCTGGGGTGACCTCAGCGTCCATCTAGACTGGTGACAGTGTTCTTGCGGACTGTCTCGAGATCTATTAAGCAGGTCGAAGCTCCTGACTTGTTTGAATGGGATCATGGAATAGCTCTGCATGCACTGCAGGGGAATGGGGCCTCGTCTCGCCTCTAGGGGGAAGTCTCATCGTTTTTCTCAGGCTGCGGCGGGGACCTGGGAATGTTCCCGACTTTCGGCGGGGATGGCCCTTCAAAACACGAGTTTCTTCAGTGATGTCAGGACTCCTGTCTAGTAACGAGGGACACCTCAGGAATCTCTTCGAGGCTTGGCAGGGCAAAAGGGAAGCTTCTCGAGGTGAGGCAGGGCACCCAAGGACCCTTTCCAGTAGCCACAGTGATTTTGGGATTCCTATCAGTATTCAAGAGGAGTCAGGCATCGTCACCTTTTGAAGCAATGAACTCCGCGTGCATCTCGAGGTGTCAGCGGGATGTGAGGCATTCCGTCTTAATGAGGCAGTGACCTAGGGCTTTCTCTAAGGTCTCCACAGGGGATTCAGACATCCCTTCATGTTGGGAGATGAAAGACGAGCCTGTATTCAAGCCACTGCAAGGAAATCCGGCCTCCTTTCTAGTTAGGGCTTCTCGCTGTATATTCCCCTTGAGGCAGCATACTCGGGGTCCCTCCCACATACCTATTGCTGAGAGAAGCCTCCTCCTGAGGTGCTTCTGGAACGTTGGCATACGTCTTGAGCCTAAGCCAGGGAATCAGCTCTCATCTGGAGACGATTTGGGGTACATGGAGCATTCCTCCAGTTGCTGTGATGAAGTTGGTGTTCCTCTAGACTGGGGACAGTGTTCTCGGGGCATCTCTGGAGTTGCCTGAAGGAAGTCGCTCCACCGGTCATGTTGAATGGGGAACGGGGAATGGCTCTGGAGTCAATGCAGGGGAATCGGGCCTCATCTCGAGTTGATTTGGGGCACATGGAGCTGCTTTGCGTTGCTGGGGTGACCTCAGGGTCCGTCTAGACTGGTGACAGTGTTCTTGCGGACTGTCTCGAGATCCATTAAGCAGGTCGAAGCTCCTGACTTGTTTGAATGGGATCACGGAATAGCTCTGCATGCACTGCAGGGGAATGGCGCCTCATCTTTCCTCTAGGGGGAAGTCTCATGGTTTTTCTCGAGTTGCGGCGGGGACCTGGGGTATGTTCTCGACTTACGGCGTGGATGGCCCTTCAAAACACGAGTTTCTTCAGTGATGTCAGGACTCCAGTCTAGTAACGAGGGACACCTCAGGAATCTCTTCGAGGCTTGGCAGGGCAAAAGGGACGCTTCTCGAGGTGAGGCAGGGAAGCCAAGGACCCTTTCCAGTAGCCACAGGGATTTTGGGATTCCTATCAGTATTCAAGAGGAGTCAGGCATCGTCACCTTTTGAAGCAATGAACTCCGCGTGCCTCTCGAGGTGTCAGCGGGATGTGAGGCATTCCGTCAAAATGTGGCAGGGACCTAGGGCTTTCTCTAAGGTCTCCACAGGGGATTCAGACATCCCTTCATGTTGGGAGATGAAAGACGAGACTGTATTAAAGCCACTGCAAGGAAATCCGGCCTCATTTCAAGTTAGGGCTTCTCGCTGTATATTCCCCTTGAGGCAGCATACTCGGGGTCCCTCCCTCATACCTATTGCTGAGAGAAGCCTCCTCCTGAGGTGCTTCTGGAAAGTTGGCATACGTCTTGAGCGTAAGCCAGGGAATCAGCTCTCATCTCGAGACGATTTGGGGTACACGGAGCATTCCTCGAGTTGCTGTGCTGAAGTTGGTGTTCCTCTAGACTTGGGACAGTGTTCTCGGGGCATCTCTGGAGTTGCCTGAAGGAAGTCGAGCCACCGGTCGTGTTGAATGGGGAAAGGGGAATGGCTCTGGAGTCAATGCAGGGGAATCGGGCCTCATCTCGAGTTGATTAGGGGCACATGGAGCTGCTTTGCGTTGCTGGGGTGACCTCAGGGTCCGTCTAGACTGGTGACAGTGTTCTTGCGGACTCTCTCGAGATCCATTAAGCAGGTCGAAGCTCCTGAGTTGTTTGAATGGGATCACGGAATAGCTCTGCATGCACTGCAGGGGAATGGGGCCTCATCTCGCCTCTAGGGGGAAGTCTCATGGTTTTTCTCTAGTTGCGGCGGGGACCTGGGGTATGTTCTTGACTTACGGCGGGGATGGCCCTTCAAAACACGAGTTTCTTCAGTGATGTCAGGACTCCTGTCTAGTAACGAGGGACACCTCAGGAATCTCTTCGAGGCTTGGCAGGGCAAAAGGGACGCTTCTCGAGGTGAGGCAGGGCACCCAAGGACCCTGTCCAGTAGCCACAGGGATTTTGGGATTCCTATCAGTATTCAAGAGGAGTCAGGCATCGTCACCTTTTGAAGCAATGAACTCCGCGTGCCTCTCGAGGTGTCAGCGGGATGTGAGGCATTCCGACAAAATGAGGCAGGGACCTAGGGCTTTCTCTAAGGTCTCCACAGGGGATTCAGACATCCCTTCATGTTGTGAGATGAAAGACGAGCCTGTATTCAAGCCACTGCAAGGAAATCCGGCCTCCTTTCAAGTTAGGGATTCTCGCTGTATATTCCCCTTGAGGCAGCAAACTCGGGGTCCGTCCCACATACCTATTGCTGAGAGAAGCCTCCTCCTGTGGTGCTTCTGGAAAGTTGGCATACGTCTTGAGCCTAAGCCAGGGAATCAGCTCTCATCTCGAGACGATTTGGGGTACACGGAGCATTCCTCGAGTCGCTGTGCTGAAGTTGGTGTTCCTCTAGACTTGGGACAGTGTTCTCGGGGCATCTCTGGAGTTGCCTGAAGGAAGTCGAGCCACCGTTCGTGTTGAATGGGGAACGGGGAATGGCTCTGGAGTCAATGCAGGGGAATCGGGCCTCATCTCGAGTTGATTTGGCGCACATGGAGCTGCTTTGCGTTGCTGGGGTGACCTCAGGGTCCGTCTAGACTGGTGACAGTGTTCTTGGGGACTGTCTCGAGATCCATTAAGCAAGTCGAAGCTCCTGACTTGTTTGAATGGGATCACGGAATAGCTCTGCATGCACTGCAGGGGAATGGGGCCTCATCTCGCCTCTAGGGGGAAGTCTCATGGTTTTTCTCGAGTTGCGGCGGGGACCTGGGGTATGTTCTCGACTTACGGCGGGGATGGCCCTTCAAAACACGAGTTTCTTCAGTGACGTCAGGACTCCTGTCTAGTAACGAGGGACACCTCAGGATTCTCTTCGAGGCTTGGCAGGGCAAATGGGACGCTTCTCGAGGTGAGGCAGGGCACCCAAGGACCCTATCCAGTAGCCACAGGGATTTTCGGATTCCTATCAGTATTCAAGAGGAGTCAGGCATCGTCACCTTTTGAAGCAATGAACTCCGCGTGCCTCTCGAGGTGTCAGCGGGATGTGAGGCATTCCGTCAAAATGAGGCAGGGGCCTAGGGCTTTCTCTAAGGTCTCCACAGGGGATTCAGACATCCCTTCATGTTGTGAGATGAAAGACGAGCCTGTATTCAAGCCACTGCAAGGAAATCCGGCCTCCTTTCAAGTTAGGGCTTCTCGCTGTATATTCCCCTTGGGGCAGCAAACGCGGGGTCCCTCCCACATACCTATTGCTGAGAGAAGCCTCCTCCTGTGGTGCTTTTGGAAAGTTGGCATACGTCTTGAGCCTAAGCCAGGAAATCAGCTCTCATCTCGAGACGATTTGGGGTACACGGAGCATTCCTCGAGTTGCTGTGCTGAAGTTGGTGTTCCTCTAGACTTGGGACAGTTTTCTCGGGGCATCTCTGGAGTTGCATGAAGGAAGTCGAGCCACCGGTCGTGTTGAATGGGGAACGGGGAATGGCTCTGGAGTCAATGCAGGGGAATCGGGCCTCATCTCGAGTTGATTTGGGGCACATGGAGCTGCTTTGCATTGCTGGGGTGACCTCAGGGTCCGTCTAGACTGGTGAGAGTGTTCTTGGGGACTGTCTCGAGATCCATTAAGCAAGTCGAAGCTCCTGACTTGTTTGAATGGGATCACGGAATAGCTCTGCATGCCCTGCAGGGGAATGGGGCCTCGTCTCGCCTCTAGGGGGAAGTCTCATGGTTTTTCTCGAGTTGCGGCGGGGACCTGGGGTATGTTCTTGACTTACGGCGGGGATGGCCCTTCAAAACACGAGTTTCTTCAGTGACGTCAGGACTCCTGTCTAGTAACGAGGGACACCTCAGGAATCTCTTCGAGGCTTGGCAGGGCAAAAGGGACGCTTCTCGAGGTGAGGCAGGGCACCCAAGGACCCTTTCCAGTAGACACAGGGATTTTCGTATTCCTATCAATATTCAAGAGGAGTCAGGCATCGTCACCTTTTGAAGCAATGAACTCCGCGTGCCTCTCGAGGTGTCAGCGGGATGTGAGGCATTCCGTCAAAATGAGACAGGGACCTAGGGCTTTCTCTAAGGTCTCCACAGTGGCTTCAGACATCCCTTCATGTTGTGAGATGAAAGACGAGCCTGTATTCAAGCCACTGCAAGGAAATCCGGCCTCCTTTCTAGTTAGGGCTTCTCGCTGTATATTCCCCTTGAGGCAGCAAACTCGGGGTCCCTCCCAAATACCTATTGCTGAGAGAAGCCTCCTCCTGAGGTGCTTCTGGAAAGTTGGCATACGTCTTGAGCCTAAGCCAGGGAATCAGCTCTCATTTCGAGACGATTTGAGGTACACGGAGCATTCCTCGAGTTGCTGTGCTGAAGTTGCTGTTCCTCTAGACTTGGGACAGTGTTCTCGGGGCATCTCTGGAGTTGCCTGAAGGAAGTCGAGCCACCGTTCATGTTGAATGGGGAACGGGGAATGGCTCTGGAGTCAATGCAGGGGAATCGGACCTCATCTCGAGTTGATTTGGGGCACATGGAGCTGCTTTGCGTTGCTGGGGTGACCTCAGGGTCCGTCTAGACTGGTGACAGTGTTCTTGGGGACTCTCTAGAGATCCATTAAGCAAGTCGAAGCTCCTGACTTGTTTGAATGGGATCACGGAATAGCTCTGCATGCACTGCAGGGGAATGGGGCCTCATCTCGCCTCTAGGGGGAAGTCTCATGGTATTTCTCGAGTTGCGGCGGGGACCTGGGGTATGTTCTCGACTTACGGCGGAGATGGCCCTTCAAAACACGAGTTTCTTCAATGACGTCAGGACCCCTGTCTAGTAACGAGGGACAACTCAGGAATCTCTTCGAGGCTTGGCAGGGCAAAAGGGACGCTTCTCGAGGTGAGGCAGGGCACCCAAGGACCCTTTCCAGTAGACACAGTGATTTTGGGATTCCTATCAGTATTCAAGAGGGGTCAGGCATCGTCACCTTTTGAAGCAATGAACTCCGCGTGCCTCTCGAGGTGTCAGCGGGATGTGAGGCATTCCGTCAAAATGAGGAAGGGACCTAGGGCTTTCTCTAAGGTCTCCACAGGGGATTCAGACATCCCTTCATGTTGTGAGATGAAAGACGACCCTGTATTCAAGCCACTGCAAGGAAATCCGGCCTCCTTTCAAGTTAGGGCTTCTCGCTGTATATTCCCCTTGAGGCAGCAAACTCGGGGTTCCTCCCACATACCTATTGCTGAGAGAAGCCTCCTCCTGAGGTGCTTCTGGAAAGTTGGCATACGTCTTGAGCCTAAGCCAGGGAATCAGCTCTCATCTCGAGACGATTAGGGGTACACGGAGCATTCCTCGAGTTGCTGTGCTGAAGTTGCTGTTCCTCTAGACTTGGGACAGTGTTCTCGGGGCATCTCTGGAGTTGCCTGAAGGAAGTCGAGCCACCGGTCGTGTTGAATGGGGAACGGGGAATGGCTCTGGAGTCAATGCAGGGGAATCGGGCCTCATCTCGAGTTGATTTGGGGCACATGGAGCTGCTTTGCGTTGCTGGGGTGACCTCAGGGTCCGTCTAGACTGGTGACAGTGTTCTTGGGGACTGTCTCGAGATCCATTAAGCAAGTCGAAGCTCCTGACTTGTTTGAATGGGATCACGGAATAGCTCTGCATGCACTGCAGGGGAATGGGGCCTCATCTCGCCTCTAGGGGGAAGTCTCATGGTTTTTCTCGAGTTGCGGCGGGGACCTGGGGTATGTTCTCGACTTACGGCGGGAATGGCCCTTCAAAACACGAGTTTCTTCAGTGACGTCAGGACTCCTGTCTAGTAACGAGGGACACCTCAGGAATCTCTTCGAGGCTTGGCAGGGCAAAAGGGACGTTTCTCGAGGTGAGGCAGGGCACCCAAGGACCCTTTCCAGTAGAGACAGTGATTTTGGGATTCCTATCAGTATTCAAGAGGGGTCAGGCATCGTCACCTTTTGAAGCAATGAACTCTGCGTGCCTCTCGAGGTTTCAGCGGGATGTGAGGCATTCCGTCAAAATGAGACAGGGACCTAGGGCTTTCTCTAAGGTCTCCACAGTGGCTTCAGACATCCCTTCATGTTGTGAGATGAAAGACGAGCCTGTATTCAAGCCACTGCAAGGAAATCCGGCCTCCTTTCTAGTTAGGGCTTCTCGCTGTATATTCCCCTTGAGGCAGCAAACTCGGGGTCCCTCCCAAATACCTATTGCTGAGAGAAGCCTCCTCCTGAGGTGCTTCTGGAAAGTTGGCATACGTCTTGAGCCTAAGCCAGGGAATCAGCTCTCATTTCGAGACGATTTGTGGTTCACGGAGCATTCCTCGAGTTGCTGTGCTGAAGTTGCTGTTCCACTAGACTTGGGACAGTGTTCTCGGGGCATCTCTGGAGTTGCCTGAAGGAAGTCGAGCCACCGGTCGTGTTGAATGGGGAACGGGGAATGGCTCTGGAGTCAATGCAGGGGAATCGGGCCTCATCTCGAGTTGATTTGGGGCACATGGAGCTGCTTTGCGTTGCTGGGGTGACCTCAGGGTCCGTCTAGACTGGTGACAGTGTTCTTGGGGACTGTCTCGAGATCCATTAAGCAAGTCGAAGCTCCTGACTTGTTTGAATGGGATCACGGAATAGCTCTGCATGCACTGCAGGGGAATGGGGCCTCATCTCGCCTCTAGGGGGAAGTCTCATGGTTTTTCTCGAGTTGCGGCGGGGACCTGGGGTATGTTCTCGACTTACGGCGGGAATGGCCCTTCAAAACACGAGTTTCTTCAGTGACGTCAGGACTCCTGTCTAGTAACGAGGGACAGCTAAGGAATCTCTTCGAGGCTTGGCAGGGCAAAAGGGACGCTTCTCGAGGTGAGGCAGGGCACCCAAGGACCCTTTCCAGTAGAGACAGGAATTTTGGGATTCCTATCAGTATTCAGGAGGGGTCAGGCATTGTCACCTTTTGAAGCAATGAACTCCGCGTTCCTCTCGAGGTTTCAGCGGGATGTGAGGCATTCCGTCAAAATGAGACAGGGACCTAGGGCTTTCTCTAAGGTCTCCACAGTGGCTTCAGACATCCCTTCATGTTGTGAGATGAAAGACGAGCCTGTATTCAAGCCACTGCAAGGAAATCCTGCCTCCTTTCTAGTTAGGGCTTCTCGCTGTATATTCCCCTTGAGGCAGCAAACTCGGGGTCCCTCCCAAATACCTATTGCTGAGAGAAGCCTCCTCCTGAGGTGCTTCTGGAAAGTTGGCATACGTCTTGAGCCTAAGCCAGGGAATCAGCTCTCATTTCGAGACGATTTGTGGTTCACGGAGCAATCCTCGAGTTGCTGTGCTGAAGTTGCTGTTCCTCTAGACTTGGGACAGTGTTCTCGGGGCATCTCTGGAGTGGCCTGAAGGAAGTCGAGCCACCGTTCGTGTTGAATGGGGAACGGGGAATGGCTCTGGAGTCAATGCAGGGGAATCGGGCCTCATCTCGAGTTGATTTGGGGCACATGGAGCTGCTTTGCGTTGCTGGGGTGACCTCAGGGTCCGTCTAGACTGGTGACAGTGTTCTTGGGGACTGACTCGAGATCCATTAAGCAGGTCGAAGATCCTGACTTGTTTGAATGGGATCACGGAATAGCTCTGCATTCACTGCAGGGGAATGGGGCCTCATCTCGCCTCTAGGGGGAAGTCTCTTGGTTTTTCTCGAGTTGCGGGGGGGACCTGGGGTATGTTCTCGACTTACGGCGGGGATGGCCCTTCAAAACACGAGTTTCTTCAGTGACGTCAGGACTCCTGTCTAGTAACGAGGGACACCTCAGGAATCTCTTCGAGGCTTGGCAGGGCAAAAGGGACGCTTCTCGAGGTGAGGCAGGGCACCCAAGGACCCTTTCCAGTAGACACAGTGATTTTGGGATTCCTATCAGTATTCAAGAGGGGTCAGGCATCGTCACCTTTTGAAGCAATGAACTCCGCGTGCCTCTCGAGGTGTCAGCGGGATGTGAGGCATTCCGTCAAAATGAGGAAGGGACCTAGGGCTTTCTCTAAGGTCTCCACAGGGGATTCAGACATCCCTTCATGTTGTGAGATGAAAGACGACCCTGTATTCAAGCCACTGCAAGGAAATCCGGCCTCCTTTCAAGTTAGGGCTTCTCGCTGTATATTCCCCTTGAGGCAGCAAACTCGGGGTCCCTCCCACATACCTATTGCTGAGAGAAGCCTCCTCCTGAGGTGCTTCTGGAAAGTTGGCATACGTCTTGAGCCTAAGCCAGGGAATCAGCTCTCATCTCGAGACGATTAGGGGTACACGGAGCATTCCTCGAGTTGCTGTGCTGAAGTTGCTGTTCCTCTAGACTTGGGACAGTGTTCTCAGGGCATCTCTGGAGTTGCCTGAAGGAAGTCGAGCCACCGGTCGTGTTGAATGGGGAACGGGGAATGGCTCTGGAGTCAATGCAATGGAATCGGGCCTCATCTCGAGTTGATTTGGGGCACATGGAGCTGCTTTGCGTTGCTGGGGTGACCTCAGGGTCCGTCTAGACTGGTGACAGTGTTCTTGGGGACTGTCTCGAGATCCATTAAGCAAGTCGAAGCTCCTGACTTGTTTGAATGGGATCACGGAATAGCTCTGCATGCACTGCAGGGGAATGGGGCCTCATCTCGCCTCTAGGGGGAAGTCTCATGGTATTTCTCGAGTTGCGGCGGGGACCTGGGGTATGTTCTCGACTTACGGCGGGGATGGCCCTTCAAAACACGAGATTCTTCAGTGACGTCAGGACTCCTGTCTAGTAACGAGGGACACCTCAGGAATCTCTTCGAGGCTTGGCAGGGCAAAAGGGACGCTTCTCGAGGTGAGGCAGGGCACCCAAGGACCCTTTCCAGTAGCCACAGGGATTTTGGGATTCCTATCAGTATTCAAGAGGAGTCAGGCATCCTCACCTTTTGAAGCAATGAACTCCGCGTGCCTCTCGAGGTGTCAGCGGGATGTGAGGCATTCCGTCAAAATGAGGCAGGGACCTAGGGCTTTCTCTAAGGTCTCCACAGGGGATTCAGACATCCCTTCATGTTGTGAGATGAAAGACGAGCCTGTATTCAAGCCACTGCAAGGAAATCCGGCCTCCTTTCTAGTTAGGGCTTCTCCCTGTATATTCCCTCTGAGGCAGCATACTCGGGTCCCTCCCACATACCTATTGCTGAGAGAAGCCTCCTCCTGAGGTGCTTCTGGAAAGTTGGCATACATCTTGAGCATAATCCAGGGAATCAGCTCTTATCTCGAGACGATTTGGGGTACACGGAGCATTCCTCGAGTTGCTGTGCTGAAGTTGGTGTTCCTCTAGACTTGGGACAGTGTTCTCAGGGCATCTCTGGAGTTGCCTGAAGGAAGTCGAGCCACCGGTCGTGTTGAATGGGGAACGGGGAATGGCTCTGGAGTCAATGCAACGGAAGCGGGCCTCATCGCGAGTTGATTTGTGGCACAAGGAGCTGCTTTGCGTTGCTGGGGTGACCTCAGGGTCCGTCTAGACTGGTGACAGTGTTCTTGGGGACTGACTCGAGATCCATTAAGCAGGTCGAAGCTCCTGACTAGTTTGAATGGGATCACGGAATAGCTCTGCATTCACTGCAGGGGAATGGGGCCTCATCTCGCCTCTAGGGGGAAGTCTCTTGGTTTTTCTCGAGTTGCGGGGGGGACCTGGGGTATGTTCTCGACTTACGGCGGGGATGGCCCTTCAAAACACGAGTTTCTTCAGTGACGTCAGGACTCCTGTCTAGTAACGAGGGACACCTCAGGAATCTCTTCGAGGCTTGGCAGGGCAAAAGGGACGCTTCTCGAGGTGAGGCAGGGCACCCAAGGACCCTTTCCAGTAGACACAGTGATTTTGGGATTCCTATCAGTATTCAAGAGGGGTCAGGCATCGTCACCTTTTGAAGCAATGAACTCCGCGTGCCTCTCGAGGTGTCAGCGGGATGTGAGGCATTCCGTCAAAATGAGGAAGGGACCTAGGGCTTTCTCTAAGGTCTCCACAGGGGATTCAGACATCCCTTCATGTTGTGAGATGAAAGACGACCCTGTATTCAAGCCACTGCAAGGAAATCCGGCCTCCTTTCAAGTTAGGGCTTCTCGCTGTATATTCCCCTTGAGGCAGCAAACTCGGGGTCCCTCCCACATACCTATTGCTGAGAGAAGCCTCCTCCTGAGGTGCTTCTGGAAAGTTGGCATACGTCTTGAGCCTAAGCCAGGGAATCAGCTCTCATCTCGAGACGATTAGGGGTACACGGAGCATTCCTCGAGTTGCTGTGCTGAAGTTGCTGTTCCTCTAGACTTGGGACAGTGTTCTCGGGGCATCTCTGGAGTTGCCTGAAGGAAGTCGAGCCACCGGTCGTGTTGAATGGGGAACGGGGAATGGCTCTGGAGTCAATGCAGGGGAATCGGGCCTCATCTCGAGTTGATTTGGGGCACATGGAGCTGCTTTGCGTTGCTGGGGTGACCTCAGGGTCCGTCTAGACTGGTGACAGTGTTCTTGGGGACTGTCTCGAGATCCATTAAGCAAGTCGAAGCTCCTGACTTGTTTGAATGGGATCACGGAATAGCTCTGCATGCACTGCAGGGGAATGGGGCCTCATCTCGCCTCTAGGGGGAAGTCTCATGGTTTTTCTCGAGTTGCGGCGGTGACCTGGGGTATGTTCTCGACTTACGGCGGGAATGGCCCTTCAAAACACGAGTTTCTTCAGTGACGTCAGGACTCCTGTCTAGTAACGAGGGACACCTCAGGAATCTCTTCGAGGCTTGGCAGGGCAAAAGGGACGTTTCTCGAGGTGAGGCAGGGCACCCAAGGACCCTTTCCAGTAGAGACAGGGATTTTGGGATTCCTATCAGTATTCAAGAGGGGTCAGGCATCGTCACCTTTTGAAGCAATGAACTCCGCGTGCCTCTCGAGGTTTCAGCGGGATGTGAGGCATTCCGTCAAAATGAGACAGGAACCTAGGGCTTTCTCTAAGGTCTCCACAGGGGATTCAGACATCCCTTCATGTTGGGAGATGAAAGACGAGCCTGTATTCAAGCCACTGCAAGGAAATCCGGCCTCCTTTCTAGTTAGGGCTTCTCGCTGTATATTCCCCTTGAGGCAGCATACTCGGGGTCCTTCCCACATACCTATTGCTGAGAGAAGCCTCCTCCTGAGGTGCTTCTGGAACGTTGGCATACGTCTTGAGCCTAAGCCAGGGAATCAGCTCTCATCTGGAGACGATTTGGGGTACATGGAGCATTCCTCCAGTTGCTGTGCTGAAGTTGGTGTTCCTCTAGACTGGGGACAGTGTTCTCGGGGCATCTCTGGAGTTGCCTGAAGGAAGTCGCTCCACCGGTCATGTTGAATGGGGAACGGGGAATGGCTCTGGAGTCAATGCAGGGGAATCGGGCCTCATCTCGAGTTGATTTGGGGCACATGGAGCTGCTTTGCGTTGCTGGGGTGACCTCAGGGTCAGTCTAGACTGGTGACAGTGTTCTTGCGGACTGTCTCGAGATCCATTAAGCAGGTCGAAGCTCCTGACTTGTTTGAATGGGATCACGGAATAGCTCTGCATGCACTGCAGGGGAATGGGGCCTCATCTTTCCTCTAGGGGGAAGTCTCATGGTTTTTCTCGAGTTGCGGCGGGGACCTGGGGTATGTTCTCGACTTACGGCGTGGATGGCCCTTCAAAACACGAGTTTCTTCAGTGATGTCAGGACTCCTGTCTAGTAACGAGGGACACCTCAGGAATCTCTTCGAGGCTTGGCAGGGCAAAAGGGACGCTTCTCGAGGTGAGGCAGGGAACCCAAGGACCCTTTCCAGTAGCCACAGTGATTTTGGGATTCCTATCAGTATTCAAGAGGAGTCAAGCATCGTCACCTTTTGAAGCAATGAACTCCGCGTGCATCTCGAGGTGTTAGCGGGATGTGAGGCATTCCGTTTTAATGAGGCAGGGACCTAGGGCTTTCTCTAAGGTCTCCACAGGGGATTCAGACATCCCTTCATGTTGGGAGATGAAAGACGACCCTGTATTCAAGCCACTGCAAGGAAATCCGGCCTCCTTTCTAGTTAGGGCTTCTCGCTGTATATTCCCCTTGAGGCAGCATACTCGGGGTCCCTCCCACATACCTATTGCTGAGAGAAGCCTCCTCCTGAGGTGCTTCTGGAAAGTTGGCCTACGTCTTGAGCCTAAGCCAGGGAATCAGCTCTCATCTGGAGACGATTTGGGGTACATGGAGCTTTCCTCCAGTTGCTGTGCTGAAGTTGGTGTTCCTCTAGACTGGGGACAGTGTTCTCGGGGCATCTCTGGAGTTGCCTGAAGGAAGTCGCTCCACCGGTCATGTTGAATGGGGAACGGGGAATGGCTCTGGAGTCAATGCAGGGGAATCGGGCCTCATCTCGAGTTGATTTGGGGCACATGGAGCTGCTTTGCGTTGCTGGGGTGACCTCAGGGTCCGTCTAGACTGGTGACAGTGTTCTTGCGGACTGTCTCGAGATCCATTAAGCAGGTCGAAGCTCCTGACTTGTTTGAATGGGATCACGGAATAGCTCTGCATGAACTGCAGGGGATTGGGGCCTCATCTTTCCTCTAGGTGGAAGTCTCATGCTTTTTCTCGAGTTGCGGCGGGGACCTGGGGTATGTTCTCGACTTACGGCGTGGATGGCCCTTCAAAACACGAGTTTCTTCAGTGATGTCAGGACTCCTGTCTAGTAACGAGGGACACCTCAGGAATCTCTTCGAGGCTTGGCAGGGCAAAAGGGACGCTTCTCGAGGTGAGGCAGGGCACCCAAGGACCCTTTCTAGTAGCCACAGGGATTTTGGGATTCCTATCAGTATTCAAGAGGTGTCAGGCATCGTCACCTTTTGAAGCAATGAACTCTGCGTGCCTCTTGAGGTGTCAGCGGGATGTGAGGCATTCCGTCAAAATGTGGCAGGGACCTAGGGCTTTCTCTAAGGTCTCCACAGGGGATTCAGACATCCCTTCATGTTGGGAGATGAAAGACGAGACTGTATTCAAGCCACTGCAAGGAAATCCGGCCTCATTTCAAGTTAGGGCTTCTCGCTGTATATTCCCCTTGAGGCAGCATACTCGGGGTCCCTCCCTCATACCTATTGCTGAGAGAAGCCTCTTCCTGAGGTGCTTCTGGACAGTTGGCATACGTCTTGAGCGTAAGCCAGAGAATCAGCTCTCATCTCGAGACGATTTGGGGTACACGGAGCATTCCTCGAGTTGCTGTGCTGAAGTTGGTGTTCCTCTAGACTTGGGACAGTGTTCTCGGGGCATCTCTGGAGTTGCCTGAAGGAAGTCGAGCCACCGGTCGTGTTGAATGGGGAACGGGGAATGGCTCTGGAGTCAATGCAGGGGAATCGGGCCTCATCTCGAGTTGATTAGGGGCACATGGAGCTGCTTTGCGTTGCTGGGGTGACCTCAGGGTCCGTCTAGACTGGTGACAGTGTTCTTGGGGACTGTCTCGAGATCCATTAACCAGGTCGAAGCTCCTGACTTGTTTGAATGGGATCACGGAATAGCTCTGCATGCACTGCAGGGGAATGGGGCCTCATCTCGCCTCTAGGGGGAAGTCTCATGGTTTTTCTCGAGTTGCGGCAGGGACCTGGGTTATGTTCTCAACTTACGGCGGGGATGGCCCTTCCAAACACGAGTTTCTTCAGTGACGTCAGGACTCCTGTCTAGTAACGAAGGACACCTCAAGAATCTCTTCGAGGCTTGGCAGGGCCAAAGGGACGCTTCTCGAGGTGAGGCAGGGCACCCAAGGACCCTTTCCAGTAGCCACAGGGATTTTGGGATTCCTATCAGTATTCAAGAGGAGTCAAGCATCGTCACCTTTTGAAGCAATGAACTCCGCGTGCCTCTCGAGGTGTCAGCGGGATGTGAGGCATTCCGTCAAAATGAGACAGGGACCTAGGGCTTTCTCTAAGGTCTCCACAGTGGCTTCAGACATCCCTTCATGTTGTGAGATGAAAGACGAGCCTGTATTCAAGCCACTGCAAGGAAATCCGGCCTCCTTTCTAGTTAGGGCTTCTCGCTGTATATTCCCCTTGAGGCAGCAAACTCGGGGTCCCTCCCACATACCTATTGCTGAGAGAAGCCTCCTCCTGAGGTGCTTCTGGAAAGTTGGCATACGTCTTGAGCCTAAGCCAGGGAATCAGCTCTCATTTCGAGACGATTTGTGGTACACGGAGCATTGCTCGAGTTGCTGTGCTGAAGTTGCTGTTCCTCTAGACTTGGGACAGTGTTCTCGGGGCATCTCTGGAGTTGCCTGAAGGAAGTCGAGCCACCGTTCGTGTTGAATGGGGAACGGGGAATGGCTCTGGAGTCAATGCAGGGGAATCGGGCCTCATCTCGAGTTGATTTGGGGCACATGGAGCTGCTTTGCGTTGCTGGGGTGACCTCAGGGTCCGTCTAGACTGGTGACAGTGTTCTTGGGGACTGTCTCGAGATCCATTAAGCAAGTCGAAGCTCCTGACTTGTTTGAATGGGATCACGGAATAGCTCTGCATGCACTGCAGGGGAATGGGGCCTCATCTCGCCTCTAGGGGTAAGTCTCATGGTTTTTCTCGAGTTGCGGCGGGGACCTGGGGTATGTTCTCGACTTACGGCGGGGATGGCCCTTCAAAACACGAGTTTCTTCAGTGACGTCAGGACTCCTGTCTAGTAACGAGGGACACCTCAGGAATCTCTTCGAGGCTTGGCAGGGCCAAAGGGACGCTTCTCGAGGTTAGGCAGGGCACCCAAGGACCCTTTCCAGTAGACACAGGGATTTTGGGATTCCTATCAGTATTCAAGAGGGGTCAGGCATCGTCACCTTTTGAAGCAATGAACTCCGCGTGCCTCTCGAGGTGTCAGCGGGATGTGAGCCATTCCGACAAAATGAGGCAGGGACCTAGGGCTTTCTCTAAGGTCTCCACAGGAGTTTCAGACATCCCTTCATGTTGTGAGATGAAAGACGAGCCTGTATTCAAGCCACTGCAAGGAAATCCGGCCTCCTTTCAAGTTAGGGCTTCTCGCTGTATATTCCCCTTGAGGCAGCAAACTCGGGGTCCATCCCACATACCTATTGCTGAGAGAAGCCTCCTCCTGTGGTGCTTCTGGAAATTTGGCATACGTCTTGAGCCTAAGACAGGGAATCAGCTCTCATCTCGAGACGATTAGGGGTACACGGAGCATTCCTCGAGTAGCTCTGCTGAAGTTGGTGTTCCTCTAGACTTGGGACAGTGTTCTCGGGGCATCTCTGGAGTTGCCTGAAGGAAGTCGAGCCACCGGTCGTGTTGAATGGGGGACGGGGAATGGCTCTGGAGTCAATGCAGGGGAATCGGGCCTCATCTCGAGTTGATTTGGCGCACATGGAGCTGCTTTGCGTTGCTGGGGTGACCTCAGGGTCCGTCTAGACTTTTGACAGTGTTCTTAGGGATTGTCTCGAGATCCATTAAGCAAGTGGAAGCTTCTGACTTGTTTGAATGGGATCACGGAATAGCTCTGCATGCACAGCAGGGGAATGGGGCCTCATCTCGCCTCTAGGGGGAAGTCTCATGGTTTTTCTCGAGTTGCGGGGGGGACCTGGGGTATGTTCTCGACTTACGGCGCGGATGGCCCTTCAAACCACGAGTTTCTTCAGTGACGTCAGGACTCCTGTCTAGTAACGAGGGACACCTCAGGAAACAATTCGAGGCTTGGCAGGGCAAAAGGGACGCTTCTCGAGGTGAGGCAGGGCACCCAAGGACCCTTTCCAGTAGCCACAGGGATTTTGGGATTCCTTTCAGTATTCAAGAGCAGTCAGGCATCGTCACCTTTTGAAGCAATGAACTCCGCGTGCCTCTCAAGGTGTCAGCGGGATGTGAGGCATTCCGACAAAATGAGGCAGGGACCTAGGGCTTTCTCTAAGGTCTCCACAGGGGATTCAGACATCCCTTCATGTTGTGAGATGAAAGACGAGCCTGTATTCAAGCCACTGCAAGGAAATCCGGCCTGCTTTCAAGTTAGGGCTTCTCGCTGTATATTCCCCTTGAGGCAGCATACTCGGGGTCCCTCCCACATACCTATTGCTGAGAGAAGCCTCCTCCTGAGGTGCTTCTGGAAAGTTGGCATACATCTTGAGCCTAAGCCAGGGAATCAGCTCTCATCTCGAGACGATTTGGGGTTCACGGAGCATTTCTTGAGTTGCTGTGCTGAAGTTGGTGTTCCTCTAGACTTGGGACAGTGTTCTCGGGGCATCTCTGGAGTTGCCTGAAGGAAATCGAGCCACCGGTCGTGTTGAATGGGGAACGGGGAATGGCTCTGGAGTCAATGCAGTGCAAGCGGGCCTCATCTCGAGTTGATTTGGGGCACAAGGAGCTGCTTTGCGTTGCTAAGGTGACCTCAGGGTCCGTCTAGACTGGTGACAGTGTTCTTGGGGACTGTCTCGAGATCCATTAAGCAGGTCGAACCTCCTGACTAGTTTGAATGGGATCACGGAATAGCTCTGCATGCACTGCAGGGGAATGGGGCCTCATCTCGCCTCTAGGGGGAAGTCTCATGGTTTTTCTCGAGTTGCGGGGGGGACCTGGGGTATGTTCTCGACTTACGGAGGGGATGGCCCTTCAAAACACGAGTTTCTTCAGTGACGTCAGGACTCCTGTCTAGTAACGAGGGACACCTCAGGAATCTCTTCGAGGCTTGGCAGGGCCAAAGGGTCGCTTCTCGAGGTGAAGCAGGGCACCCAAGGACCCTTTCCAGTAGAGACAGGGATTTTGGGATTCCTATCAGTATTCAAGAGTAGTCAGGCTTCGTCACCTTTTGAAACAATGAACTCCGCGTGCCTCTCGAGGTGTCAGCGGGATGTGAGGCATTCCGTCAGAAGAAGGCACGGACCTAAGGCTTTCTCTGAGGTCTCCACAGGGGATTCAGACATCCCTTCATGTTGTGAGATGAAAGACGAGCCTGTATTCAAGCCACTGCACGGAAATCTGGCCTCCTTTCAAGTTAGGGCTTCTCGTTGTATATTCCCTTGAGGCAGCAAACTCGGGGTCCCTCCCACATACCTATTGCTGAGAGAAGCCTCCTCCTGAGGTGCTTCTGGAACGTTGGCATACGTCTTGAGCCTAAGCCAGGGAATCAGCTCTCATCTGGAGACGATTTGGGGTACATGGAGCATTCCTCCAGTTGCTGTGGTGAAGTTGGTGTTCCTCTAGACTGGGGACAGTGTTCTCGTGGCATCTCTGGAGTTGCCTGAAGGAAGTCGCTCCACCGGTCATGTTGAATGGGGAACGGGGAATGGCTCTGGAGTCAATGCAGGGGAATCGGGCCTCATCTCGAGTTGATTTGGGGCACATGGAGCTGCTTTGCGTTGCTGGGGTGACCTCAGGGTCCGTCTAGACTGGTGACAGTGTTCTTGCGGACTGTCTCGAGATCCATTAAGCAGGTCGAAGCTCCTGACTTGTTTGAATGGGATCACGGAATAGCTCTGCATGCACTGCAGGGGAATGGGGCCTCATCTCGCCTCTAGGGGGAAGTCTCATGTTTTTTCTCGAGTTGCGGCGGGGACCTGGGGTATGTTCTCGACTTACGGCGGGAATGGCCCTTCAAAACACGAGTTTCTTCAGTGACGTCAGGACTCCTGTCTAGTAACGAGGGACACCTCAGGATTCTCTTCTAGGCTTGGCAGGGCAAATGGGACGCTTCTCGAGGTGAGGCAGGGCACCCAAGGACCCTTTCCAGTAGCCACAGGGATTTTGGGATTCCTATCAGTATTCAAGAGGAGTCAGGCATCGTCACCTTTTGAAGCAATGTACTCTGCGTGCTTCTCGAGGTGTCAGCGGGATGTGAGGCATTCCGTCAAAATGAGGCAGGGACCTAGGGCTTTCTCTAAGGTCTCCACAGGGGATTCAGACATCCCTTTATGTTGTGAGATGAAAGACGAGACTGTATTCAAGCCACTGCAAGGAAATCCGGCCTCTTTTCAAGTTAGGGCTTCTCGCTGTATATTCCCCTTCAGGCAGCATACTCGGGGTCCTTCCCACATATCTATTGCTGAGAGAAGCCTCCTCCTGTGGTGCTTCTGGAAAGTTGGCCTACGTCTTGAGCCTAAGCCAGGGAATCAGCTCTCATCTCGAGACGATTTGGGGTACAAGGAGCATTCCTCGAGTTGCTGTGCTGAAGTTGGTGTTCCTCTAGACTTCGGACAGTGTTCTCGGGGCATCTCTGGAGTTGCCTGAAGGAAGTCGAGCCACCGGTCTTGTTGAATGGGGAACGGGGAATGGCTCTGGAATCAATGCAGGGGAATCGGGCCTCATCTCGAGTTGATTTGGGGCACATGGAGCTGCTTTGCATTGCTGGGGTGACCTCATGGTCCATCTAGACTGGTGACAGTGTTCTTGGGGACTGTCTCGAGATCCATTATGCAGGTCGAAGCTCCTGACTTGTTTGAATGGGATCACGGAATAGCTCTGCATGCACTGCAGGGGAATGGGGCCTCATCTCGCCTCTAGGGGGAAGTCTCATGGTTTTTCTCGAGTTGCGGCAGGGACCTGGGGTATGTTCTCGACTTACGGCGGGGATGGCCCTTCCAAACACGAGTTTCTTCAGTGACGTCAGGACTCCTGTCTAGTATCGAAGGACACCTCAAGAATCTCTTCGAGGCTTGGCAGGGCAAAAGGGACGCTTCTCCAGGTGAGGCAGGGCACCCAAGGACCCTTTCCAGTAGCCACAGGGATTTTCGGATTCCTATCAGTATTCAAGAGGAGTCAAGCATCGTCACCTTTTGAAGCAATGAACTCCGCGTGCCTCTCGAGGTGTCAGCGGGATGTGAGGCATTCCGTCAAAATGAGGCAGGGGCCTAGGGCTTTCTCTAAGGTCTCCACAGGGGATTCAGACATCCCTTCATGTTGTGAGATGAAAGACGAGCCTGTATTCAAGCCACTGCAAGGAAATCCGGCCTCCTTTCAAGTTAGGGCTTCTCGCTGTATATTCCCCTTGAGGCAGCAAACGCGGGGTCCCTCCCACATACCTATTGCTGAGAGAAGCCTCCTCCTGTGGTGCTTTTGGAAAGTTGGCATACGTCTTGAGCCTAAGCCAGGAAATCAGCTCTCATCTCGAGACGATTTGGGGTACACGGAGCATTCCTCGAGTTGCTGTGCTGAAGTTGGTGTTCCTCTAGACTTGGGACAGTTTTCTCGGGGCATCTCTGGAGTTGCCTGAAGGAAGTCGAGCCACCGGTCGTGTTGAATGGGGAACGGGGAATGGCTCTGGAGTCAATGCAGGGGAATCGGGCCTCATCTCGAGTTGATTTGGGGCACATGGAGCTGCTTTGCGTTGCTGGGGTGACCTCAGGGTCCTTCTAGACTGGTGAGAGTGTTCTTGGGGACTGTCTCGAGATCCATTAAGCAAGTCGAAGCTCCTGACTTGTTTGAATGGGATCACGGAATATCTCTGCATGCCCTGCAGGGGAATGGGGCCTCATCTCGCCTCTAGGGGGAAGTCTCATGGTTTTTCTCGAGTTGCGGCGGGGACCTGGGGTATGTTCTTGACTTACGGGGGGGATGGCCCTTCAAAACACGAGTTTCTTCAGTGACGTCAGGACTCCTCTCTAGTAACGAGGGACACCTCAGGAATCTCTTCGAGGTTTGGCAGGGCAAAAGGGACGCTTCTCGAGGTGAGGCAGGGCACCCAAGGACCCTTTCCAGTAGCCACAGGGATTTTCGTATTCCTATCAATATTCAAGAGGAGTCAGGCATCATCACCTTTTGAAGCAATGAACTCCGCGTGCCTCTCGACGTGTCAGCGGGATGTGAGGCATTCCTTCAAAATGAGGCAGGGACCTAGGGCTTTCTCTAAGGTCTCCACAGGGGATTCAGACATCCCTTCATGTTGTGAGATGAAAGACGAGCCTGTATTAAAACCACTGCAAGGAAATCCGGCCTCCTTTCAAGTTAGGGCTTCTCGCTGTATATTCCCCTTGAGGCAGCAAACTCGGGGTCCCTCCCACATACCTATTGCTGAGAGAAGCCTCCTCCTGAGGTGCTTCTGGAAAGTTGGCATACGTCTTGAGCGTAAGCCAGGGAATCAGCTCTCATCTCGAGACGATTTGGGGTACACGGAGCATTCCTCGAGTTGCTGTGCTGAAGTTGCTGTTCCTCTAGACTTGGGACAGTGTTCTCGGGGCATCTCTGGAGTTGCCTGAAGGAAGTCGAGCCACCGGTCGTGTTGAATGGGGAACGGGGAATGGCTCTGGAGTCAATGCAGGGGAATCGGGCCTCATCTCGAGTTGATTTGGGGCACATGGAGCTGCTTTGTGTTGCTGGGGTGACCTCAGGGTCCGTCTAGACTGGTGACAGTGTTCTTGGGGACTGTCTCGAGATCCATTAAGCAAGTCGAAGCTCCTGACTTGTTTGAATGGGATCACGGAATAGCTCTGCATGCACTGCAGGGGAATGGGGCCTCATCTCGCCTCTAGGGGGAAGTCTCATGGTATGTCTCGAGTTGCGGCGTGGACCTGGGGTATGTTCTCGACTTACGGCGGGGATGGCCCTTCAAAACACGAGTTTCTTCAATGACGTCAGGACTCCTGTCTAGTAACGAGGGACACCTCAGGAATCTCTTCGAGGCTTGGCAGGGCAAAAGGGACGCTTCTCGAGGTGAGGCAGGGCACCCAAGGACCCTTTCCAGTAGACACAGTGATTTTGGGATTCCTATCAGTATTCAAGAGGGGTCAGGCATCGTCACCTTTTGAAGCAATGAACTCCGCGTGCCTCTCGAGGTGTCAGCGGGATGTGAGGCATTCCGTCAAAATGAGGAAGGGACCTAGGGCTTTCTCTAAGGTCTCCACAGGGGATTCAGACATCCCTTCATGTTGTGAGATGAAAGACGACCCTGTATTCAAGCCACTGCAAGGAAATCCGGCCTCCTTTCAAGTTAGGGCTTCTCGCTGTATATTCCCCTTGAGGCAGCAAACTCGGGGTCCCTCCCACATACCTATTGCTGAGAGAAGCCTCCTCCTGAGGTGCTTCTGGAAAGTTGGCATACGTCTTGAGCCTAAGCCAGGGAATCAGCTCTCATCTCGAGACGATTAGGGGTACACGGAGCATTCCTCGAGTTGCTGTGCTGAAGTTGCTGTTCCTCTAGACTTGGGACAGTGTTCTCGGGGCATCTCTGGAGTTGCCTGAAGGAAGTCGAGCCAAGGGTCGTGTTGAATGGGGAACGGGGAATGGCTCTGGAGTCAATGCAGGGGAATCGGGCCTCATCTCGAGTTGATTTGGGGCACATGGAGCTGCTTTGCGTTGCTGGGGTGACCTCACGGTCCGTCTAGACTGGTGACAGTGTTCTTGGGGACTGTCTCGAGATCCATTAAGCAAGTCGAAGCTCCTGACTTGTTTGAATGGGATCACGGAATAGCTCTGCATGCACTGCAGGGGAATGGGGCCTCATCTCGCCTCTAGGGGGAAGTCTCATGGTTTTTCTCGAGTTGCGGCGGGGACCTGGGGTATGTTCTCGACTTACGGCGGGAATGGCCCTTCAAAACACGAGTTTCTTCAGTGACGTCAGGACTCCTGTCTAGTAACGAGGGACACCTCAGGAATCTCTTCGAGGCTTGGCAGGGCCAAAGGGACGCTTCTCGAGGTGAGGCAGGGCACCCAAGGACCCTTTCCAGTAGCCACAGGGATTTTGGGATTCCTACCAGTATTCAAGAGGGGTCAGGCATCGTCACCTTTTGAAGAAATGAACTCCGCGTGCCTCTCGAGGTTTCAGCGGGATGTGAGGCATTCCGTCAAAATGAGACAGGGACCTAGGGCTTTCTCTAAGGTCTCCACAGTGGCTTCAGACATCCCTTCATGTTGTGAGATGAAAGACAAGCCTGTATTCAAGCCACTGCAAGGAAATCCGGCCTCCTTTCTAGTTAGGGCTTCTCGCTGTATATTCCCCTTGAGGCAGCAAACTCGGGGTCCCTCCCAAATACCTATTGCTGAGAGAAGCCTCCTCCTGAGGTGCTTCTGGAAAGTTGGCATACGTCTTGAGCCTAAGCCAGGGAATCAGCTCTCATTTCGAGACGATTTGTGGTACACGGAGCATTCCTCGAGTTTCTGTGCTGAAGTTGCTGTTCCTCTAGACTTGGGACAGTGTTCTCGGGGCATCTCTGGAGTTGCCTGAAGGAAGTCGAGCCACCGTTCATGTTGAATGGGGAACGGGGAATGGCTCTGGAGTCAATGCAGGGGAATCGGGCCTCATCTCGAGTTGATTTGGGGCACATGGAGCTGCTTTGCGTTGCTGGGGTGACCTCAGGGTCCGTCTAGACTGGTGACAGTGTTCTTGGGGACTGTCTAGAGATCCATTAAGCAAGTCGAAGCTCCTGACTTCTTTGAATGGGATCTCGGAATAGCTCTGCATGCACTGCAGGCGAATGGGGCCTCATCTCGCCTCTAGGGGGAAGTCTCATGGTATTTCTCGAGTTGCGGCGGGGACCTGGGGTATGTTCTCGACTTACGGCGGGGATGGCCCTTCAAAACACGAGTTTCTTCAATGACGTCAGGACTCCTGTCTAGTAACGAGGGACACCTCAGGAATCTCTTCGAGGCTTGGCAGGGCAAAAGGGACGCTTCTCGAGGTGAGGCAGGGCACCCAAGGACCCTTTCCAGTAGACACAGTGATTTTGGGATTCCTATCAGTATTCAAGAGGGGTCAGGCATCGTCACCTTTTGAAGCAATGAACTCCGCGTGCCTCTCGAGGTGTCAGCGGGATGTGAGGCATTCCGTCAAAATGAGGAAGGGACCTAGGGCTTTCTCTAAGGTCTCCACAGGGGATTCAGACATCCCTTCATGTTGTGAGATGAAAGACGACCCTGTATTCAAGCCACTGCAAGGAAATCCGGCCTCCTTTCAAGTTAGGGCTTCTCGCTGTATATTCCCCTTGAGGCAGCAAACTCGGGGTCCCTCCCACATACCTATTGCTGAGAGAAGCCTCCTCCTGAGGTGCTTCTGGAAAGTTGGCATACGTCTTGAGCCTAAGCCAGGGAATCAGCTCTCATCTCGAGACGATTAGGGGTACACGGAGCATTCCTCGAGTTGCTGTGCTGAAGTTGCTGTTCCTTTAGACTTGGGACAGTGTTCTCGGGGCATCTCTGGAGTTGCCTGAAGGAAGTCGAGCCACCGGTCGTGTTGAATGGGGAACGGGGAATGGCTCTGGAGTCAATGCAGGGGAATCCGGCCTCATCTCGAGTTGATTTGGGGCACATGGAGCTGCTTTGCATTGCTGGGGTGACCTCAGGGTCCGTCTAGACTGGTGACAGTGTTCTTGGGGACTGTCTCGAGATCCATTAAGCAAGTCGAAGCTCCTGACTTGTTTGAATGGGATCACGGAATAGCTCTGCATGCACTGCAGGGGAATGGGGCCTCATCTCGCCTCTAGGGGGAAGTCTCATGGTATTTCTCGAGTTGCGGCAGGGACCTGGGGTATGTTCTCGACTTACGGCGGGGATGGGCCTTCAAAACACGAGTTTCTTCAGTGACGTCAGGACTCCTGTCTAGTAACGAGGGACACCTCAGGAATCTCTTCGAGGCTTGGCAGGGCAAAAGGGACGCTTCTCGAGGTGAGGCAGGGTACCCAAGGACCCTTTCCAGTAGCCACAGGGATTTTGGGATTCCTATCAGTATTCAAGAGGAGTCAGGCATCCTCACCTTTTGAAGCAATGAACTCCGCGTGCCTCTTGAGGTGTCAGCGGGATGTGAGGCATTCCGTCAAAATGAGGCAGGGACCTAGGGCTTTCTCTAAGGTCTCCACAGGGGATTCAGACATCCCTTCATGTTGTGAGATGAAAGACGAGCCTGTATTCAAGCCACTGCAAGGAAATCCGGCCTCCTTTCAAGTTAGGGCTTCTCCCTGTATATTCCCTTTGAGGCAGCATACTCGGGTCCCTCCCACATACCTATTGCTGAGAGAAGCCTCCTCCTGAGGTGCTTCTGGAAAGTTGGCATACGTCTTGAGCATAATCCAGGGAATCAGCTCTCATCTCGAGACGATTTGTGGTACACGGAGCATTCCTCGAGTTGCTGTGCTGAAGTTGGTGTTCCTCTAGACTTGGGACAGTGTTCTCAGGGCATCTCTGGAGTTGCCTGAAGGAAGTCGAGCCACCGGTCGTGTTGAATGGGGAACGGGGAATGGCTCTGGAGTCAATGCAACGGAAGCGGGCCTCATCGCGAGTTGATTTGGGGCACAAGGAGCTGCTTTGCGTTGCTGGGGTGACCTCAGGGTCCGTCTAGACTGGTGACAGTGTTCTTGGGGACTGACTCGAGATCCATTAAGCAGGTCGAAGCTCCTGACTAGTTTGAATGGGATCACGGAATAGCTCTGCCTTCACTGCAGGGGAATGGGGCCTCATCTCGCCTCTAGGGGGAAGTCTCATGGTTTTTCTCGAGTTGCGGGGGGGACCTGGGGTATGTTCTCGACTTACGGCGGGGATGGCCCTTCAAAACACGAGTTTCTTCAGTGACGTCAGGACTCCTGTCTAGTAACGAGGGACACCTCAGGAATCTCTTCGAGGCTTGGCAAGGCAAAAGGGACGCTTCTCGAGGTGACGCAGGGCACCCAAGGACCCTTTCCAGTAGAGACAGGGATTTTGGGATTCCTATCAGTATTCAAGAGGAGTCAGGCTTCGTCACCTTTTGAGGCAATGAACTCCGCGTGCCTCTCGAGGTGTCAGCGGGATGTGAGGCATTCCGTCAGAAGAAGGCACGGACCTAAGGCTTTCTCTAAGGTCTCCACAGGGGATTCAGACATCCCTTCATGTTGTGAGATGAAAGACGAGCTTGTATTCAAGCCACTGCATGGAAATCCGGCCTCCTTTCAAGTTAGGGCTTCTCGCTGTATATTCCCTTGAGGCAGCAAACTCGGGGTCCCTCCCACATACCTATTGCTGAGAGAAGCCTCCTCCTGTGGTGCTCCTGGAAAGTTGGCATACGTCTTGAGCCTAAGCCAGGGAATCAGCTCTCATCTCGAGACGATTTGGGGTACACGGAGCATTCCTCGAGTTGCTGTGCTGAAGTTGCTGTTCCTCTAGACTTGGGACAGTGTTCTCGGGGCATCTCTGGAGTTGCCTGAAGGAAGTCGAGCCACCGGTCGTGTTGAATGGGGAACGGGGAATGGCTCTGGAGTCAATGCAGGGGAATCGGGCCTCATCTCGAGTTGATTTGGGGCACATGGAGCTGCTTTGCGTTGCTGGGGTTACCTCAGGGTCCGTCTAGACTGGTGACAGTGTTCTTGGGGACTGTCTCGAGATCCATTAAGCAAGTCGAAGCTCCTGACTTGTTTGAATGGGATCACAGAATAGCTCTGCATGCACTGCAGGGGAATGGGGCCTCATCTCGCCTCTAGGGGGAAGTCTCATGGTTTTTCTCGAGTTGCGTCGGGGACCTGGGGTATGTTCTCGACTTACGGCGGGGATGGCCCTTCAAAACACGAGTTTCTTCAGTGACGTCAGGACTCCTGTCTAGTAACGAGGGACACCTCAGGAATCTCTTCGAGGCTTGGCAGGGCAAAAGGGACGCTCCTCGAGGTGAGGCAGGGCACCCAAGGACCCTTTCCAGTAGCCACAGGGATTTTGGGATTCCTATCAGTATTCAAGAGGGGTCAGGCATCGTCACCTTTGAAGCAATGAACTCCGCGTGCCTCTCGAGGTATCAGCGGGATGTGAGGCATTCCGTCAAAATGAGGCAGGGACCTAGGGCTTTCTCTAAGGTCTCCACAGGGGATTCAGACATCCCTTCATGTTGTGAGATGAAAGACGAGCCTGTATTCAAGCCACTGCAAGGAAATCCGGCCTCCTTTCAAGTTAGGGCTTCTCGCTGTATATTCCCCTTGAGGCAGCATACTCGGGTCCCTCCCACATACCTATTGCTGAGAGAAGCCTCCTCCTGAGGTGCTTCTGGAAAGTTGGCATACGTCTTGAGCATAATCCAGGGAATCAGCTCTCATCTCGAGACGATTTGGGGTACACGGAGCATTCCTCGAGTTGCTGTGCTGAAGTTGGTGTTCCTCTAGACTTGGGACAGTGTTCTCAGGGCATCTCTGGAGTTGCCTGAAGGAAGTCGAGCCACCGGTCGTGTTGAATGGGGAACGGGGAATGGCTCTGGAGTCAATGCAGGGGAATCGGGCCTCATCTCGATTTGATTTGGGGCACATGGAGCTGCTTTGCGTTGCTGGGGTGACCTCAGGGTCCGTCTAGACTGGTGACAGTGTTCTTGGGGACTGTCTCGAGATCCATTAAGCAAGTCGAAGCTCCTGACTTGTTTGAATGGGATCACGGAATAGCTCTGCATGCACTGCAGGGGAATGGGGCCTCATCTCGCCTCTAGGGGGAAGTCTCATGGTATTTCTCGAGTTGCGGCAGGGACCTGGGGTATGTTCTCGACTTACGGCGGGGATGGGCCTTCAAAACACGAGTTTCTTCAGTGACGTCAGGACTCCTGTCTAGTAACGAGGGACACCTCAGGAATCTCTTCGAGGCTTGGCAGGGCAAAAGGGACGCTTCTCGAGGTGAGGCAGGGTACCCAAGGACCCTTTCCAGTAGCCACAGGGATTTTGGGATTCCTATCAGTATTCAAGAGGAGTCAGGCATCCTCACCTTTTGAAGCAATGAACTCCGCGTGCCTCTTGAGGTGTCAGCGGGATGTGAGGCATTCCGTCAAAATGAGGCAGGGACCTAGGGCTTTCTCTAAGGTCTCCACAGGGGATTCAGACATCCCTTCATGTTGTGAGATGAAAGACGAGCCTGTATTCAAGCCACTGCAAGGAAATCCGGCCTCCTTTCAAGTTAGGGCTTCTCCCTGTATATTCCCTTTGAGGCAGCATACTCGGGTCCCTCCCACATACCTATTGCTGAGAGAAGCCTCCTCCTGAGGTGCTTCTGGAAAGTTGGCATACGTCTTGAGCATAATCCAGGGAATCAGCTCTCATCTCGAGACGATTTGGGGTACACGGAGCATTCCTCGAGTTGCTGTGCTGAAGTTGGTGTTCCTCTAGACTTGGGACAGTGTTCTCAGGGCATCTCTGGAGTTGCCTGAAGGAAGTCGAGCCACCGGTCGTGTTGAATGGGGAACGGGGAATGGCTCTGGAGTCAATGCAACGGAAGCGGGCCTCATCGCGAGTTGATTTGGGGCACAAGGAGCTGCTTTGCGTTGCTGGGGTGACCTCAGGGTCCGTCTAGACTGGTGACAGTGTTCTTGGGGACTGACTCGAGATCCATTAAGCAGGTCGAAGCTCCTGACTAGTTTGAATGGGATCACGGAATAGCTCTGCATTCACTGCAGGGGAATGGGGCCTCATCTCGCCTCTAGGGGGAAGTCTCATGGTTTTTCTCGAGTTGCGGGGGGGACCTGGGGTATGTTCTCGACTTACGGCGGGGATGGCCCTTCAAAACACGAGTTTCTTCAGTGACGTCAGGACTCCTGTCTAGTAACGAGGGACACCTCAGGAATCTCTTCGAGGCTTGGCAAGGCAAAAGGGACGCTTCTCGAGGTGACGCAGGGCACCCAAGGACCCTTTCCAGTAGAGACAGGGATTTTGGGATTCCTATCAGTATTCAAGAGGAGTCAGGCTTCGTCACCTTTTGAGGCAATGAACTCCGCGTGCCTCTCGAGGTGTCAGCGGGATGTGAGGCATTCCGTCAGAAGAAGGCACGGACCTAAGGCTTTCTCTAAGGTCTCCACAGGGGATTCAGACATCCCTTCATGTTGTGAGATGAAAGACGAGCTTGTATTCAAGCCACTGCATGGAAATCCGGCCTCCTTTCAAGTTAGGGCTTCTCGCTGTATATTCCCTTGAGGCAGCAAACTCGGGGTCCCTCCCACATACCTATTGCTGAGAGAAGCCTCCTCCTGTGGTGCTCCTGGAAAGTTGGCATACGTCTTGAGCCTAAGCCAGGGAATCAGCTCTCATCTCGAGACGATTTGGGGTACACGGAGCATTCCTCGAGTTGCTGTGCTGAAGTTGCTGTTCCTCTAGACTTGGGACAGTGTTCTCGGGGCATCTCTGGAGTTGCCTGAAGGAAGTCGAGCCACCGGTCGTGTTGAATGGGGAACGGGGAATGGCTCTGGAGTCAATGCAGGGGAATCGGGCCTCATCTCGAGTTGATTTGGGGCACATGGAGCTGCTTTGCGTTGCTGGGGTTACCTCAGGGTCCGTCTAGACTGGTGACAGTGTTCTTGGGGACTGTCTCGAGATCCATTAAGCAAGTCGAAGCTCCTGACTTGTTTGAATGGGATCACAGAATAGCTCTGCATGCACTGCAGGGGAATGGGGCCTCATCTCGCCTCTAGGGGGAAGTCTCATGGTTTTTCTCGAGTTGCGTCGGGGACCTGGGGTATGTTCTCGACTTACGGCGGGGATGGCCCTTCAAAACACGAGTTTCTTCAGTGACGTCAGGACTCCTGTCTAGTAACGAGGGACACCTCAGGAATCTCTTCGAGGCTTGGCAGGGCAAAAGGGACGCTCCTCGAGGTGAGGCAGGGCACCCAAGGACCCTTTCCAGTAGCCACAGGGATTTTGGGATTCCTATCAGTATTCAAGAGGGGTCAGGCATCGTCACCTTTTGAAGCAATGAACTCCGCGTGCCTCTCGAGGTATCAGCGGGATGTGAGGCATTCCGTCAAAATGAGGCAGGGACCTAGGGCTTTCTCTAAGGTCTCCACAGGGGATTCAGACATCCCTTCATGTTGTGAGATGAAAGACGAGCCTGTATTCAAGCCACTGCAAGGAAATCCGGCCTCCTTTCAAGTTAGGGCTTCTCGCTGTATATTCCCCTTGAGGCAGCATACTCGGGTCCCTCCCACATACCTATTGCTGAGAGAAGCCTCCTCTTGAGGTGCTTCTGGAAAGTTGGCATACGTCTTGAGCATAATCCAGGGAATCAGCTCTCATCTCGAGACGATTTGGGGTACACGGAGCATTCCTCGAGTTGCTGTGCTGAAGTTGGTGTTCCTCTAGACTTGGGACAGTGTTCTCAGGGCATCTCTGGAGTTGCCTGAAGGAAGTCGAGCCACCGGTCGTGTTGAATGGGGAACGGGGAATGGCTCTGGAGTCAATGCAGGGGAATCGGGCCTCATCTCGATTTGATTTGGGGCACATGGAGCTGCTTTGCGTTGCTGGGGTGACGTCAGGGTCCGTCTAGACTGGTGACAGTGTTCTTGGGGACTGTCTCGAGATCCATTAAACAGGTCGAAGCTCCTGACTTGTTTGAATGGGATCACGGAATAGCTCTGCATGCACTGCAGTGGAATGGGGCCTCATCTCGCCTCTAGGGGGAAGTCTCATGGTTTTTCTCGAGTTGCGGCGGGGACCTGGGGTATGTTCTCGACTTACGGCGGGGATGGCCCTTCAAAACACGAGTTTCTTCAGTGACGTCAGGACTCCTGTCTAGTAACGAGGGACACCTCAGGAATCTCTTCGAGGCTTGGCAGGGCAAAAGGTACGCTTCTCGATGTTAGGCAGGGCACCCAAGGACCCTTTCCAGGAGAGACAGGGATTTTGGGATTCCTATCAGTATTCAAGAGGGGTCCGGCATCGTCACCTTTTGAAGCAATGAACTCCGCGTGCCTCTCGAGGTGTCAGCGGGATGTGAGGCATTCCGTCAAAATGAGGCAGGGACCTAGGGCTTTCTCTAAGGTCTCCACAGTGGCTTCAGACATCCCTTCATGTTGTGAGATGAAAGACGAGCCTGTATTCAAGCCACTGCAAGGAAATCCGGCCTCCTTTCAAGTTAGGGCTTCTCGCTGTATATTCCCCTTGAGGCAGCAAACTCGGGGTCCGTCCCACATAACTATTGCTGAGAGAAGCCTCCTCCTGTGGTGCTTCTGGAAATTTGGCATACGTCTTGCGCCTAAGACAGGGAATCAGCTCTCATCTCGAGACGATTTGGGGTACACGGAGCATTCCTAGAGTTGCTCTGCTGAAGTTGGTGTTCCTCTAGACTTGGGACAGTGTTCTCGGGGCATCTCTGGAGTTGCCTGAAGGAAGTCGAGCCACCGGTCGTGTTGAATGGGGGACGGGGAATGGCTCTGGAGTCAATGCAGGGGAATCGGGCCTCATCTCGAGTTGATTTGGCGCACATGGAGCTGCTTTGCGTTTCTGGGGTGACCTCAGGGTCCGTCTAGACTGGTGACAGTGTTCTTGGGGACTGTCTCGAGATCCATTAAGCAAGTGGAAGCTCCTGACTTGTTTGAATGGGATCACGGAATAGCTCTGCATGCACTGCAGGGGAATTGGGCCTCATCTCGCCTCTAGGGGGAAGTCTCATGGTTTTTATCGAGTTGCGGGGGGGACCTGGGGTATGTTCTCGACTTACGGCGGGGATGGGCCTTCAAAACACGAGTTTCTTCAGTGACGTCAGGACTCCTGTCTAGTAACGAGGGACACCTCAGGAAACTCTTCGAGGCTTGGCAGGGCAAAAGGGACGCTTCTCGAGGTGAGGCAGGGCACCCAAGGACCCTTTCCAGTAGCCACAGAGATTTTGGGATTCCTATCAGTATTCAAGAGGAGTCAGGCATCGTCACCTTTTGAAGCAATGAACTCCGCGTGCCTCTCGAGGTGTCAGCGGGATGTGAGGCATTCCGACAAAATGAGGCAGGGACCTAGGGTATCTCTAAGGTCTTCAAAGGGGATTCAGACATCCCTTCATGTTGTGAGATGAAAGACGAGCCTGTATTCAAGCCACTGCAAGGAAATCCGGCCTCCTTTCAAGTTAGGGCTTCTCGCTGTATATTCCCCTTGAGGCAGCATACTCGGGGTCCCTCCCACATACCTTTTGCTGAGAGAAGCCTCATCCTGAGGTGCTTCTGGAAAGTTGGCATACGTCTTGAGCCTAAGCCAGGGAATCAGCTCTCATCTCGAAACGATTTGGGGTACACGGAGCATTCCTCGAGTTGCTGTGCTGAAGTTGCTGTTCCTCTAGACTTGGGACAGTGTTCTCGGGGCATCTCTGGAGTGGCCTGAAGGAAGTCGAGCCACCGGTCGTGTTGAATGGGGAACGGGGAATGGCTCTGGAGTCAATGCAGGGGAATCGGGCCTCATCTCGAGTTGATTTGGGGCACATGGAGCTGCTTTGCGTTGCTGGGGTGACCTCAGGGTCCGTCTAGACTGGTGACAGTGTTCTTGGGGACTGTCTCGAGATCCATTAAGCAAGTCGAAGCTCCTGACTTGTTTGAATGGGATCACGGAATAGCTCTGCATGCACTGCAGGGGAATGGGGCCTCATCTCGCCTCTAGGGGGAAGTCTCATGGTTTTTCTCGAGTTGCGGCGGGGAACTGGGGGATGTTCTCGACTTACGGCGGGGATGGCCCTTCAAAACACGAGTTTCTTCAGTGACGTCAGGACTCCTGTCTAGTAACGAGGGACACCTCAGGAATCTCTTCGAGGCTTGGCAGGGCAAAAGGGACGCTTCTCGAGGTGAGGCAGGGCACCCAAGGACCCTTTCCAGTAGCCACAGGGATTTTGGGATTCCTATCAGTATTCAAGAGGAGTCAGGCATCGTCATCTTTTGAAGCAATGAACACCGCGTGCCTCTCGAGGTGTCAGCGGGATGTGAGGCATTCCGTCAAAATGAGGCAGGGACCTAGGGCTTTCTCTAAGGTCTCCACAGGGGATTCAGTCATCCCTTCATGTTGTGAGATGAAAGACGAGCCTGTATTCAAGCCACTGCAAGGAAATCCGGCCTCCTTTCAAGTTAGGGCTTCTCGCTGTATTTCCCCTTGTGGCAGCATACTCGGGTCCCTCCCACATACCTATTCCTGAGAGAAGCCTCCTCCTGAGGTGCTTCTGGAAAGTTGGCATACGTCTTGAGCATAATCCAGGGAATCAGCTCTCATATCTCGAGACGATTTGGGGTACACGGAGCATTCCTCGAGTTGCTGTGCTGAAGTTGGTGTTCCTCTAGACTTGGGACAGTGTTCTCGGGGCATCTCTGGAGTTGCCTGAAGTAAGTCGAGCCACCGGTCGTGTTGAATGGGGAACGGGGAATGGCTCTGGAGTCAATGCAGGGGAATCAGGCCTCATCTCGATTTGATTTGGGGCACATTGAGCTGCTTTGCGTTGCTGGGGTGACCTCAGGGTCCGTCTAGACTGGTGACAGTGTTCTTGGGGACTGTCTCGAGATCCATTAAACAGGTCGAAGCTCCTGACTTGTTTGAATGGGATCACGGAATAGCTCTGCATGCACTGCAGGGGAATGGGGCCTCATCTCGCCTCTAGGGGGAAGTCTCATGGTTTTTCTCGAGTTGCGGCGGGGACCTGGGGTATGTTCTCGACTTACGGCGGGGATGGCCCTTCAAAACACGAGTTTCTTCAGTGACGTCAGGACTCCTGTCTAGTAACGAGGGACACCTCAGGAATCTCTTCGAGGCTTGGCAGGGCAAAAGGGACGCTTCTCGAGGTGAGGCAGGGCACCCAAGGACCCTTTCCAGTAGACACAGGGATTTTGGGATTCCTATCAGTATTCAAGAGGGGTCAGGCATCGTCACCTTTTGAAGCAATGAACTCCGCGTGCCTCTCGAGGTGTCAGCGGGATGTGAGGCATTCCGTCAAAATGAGGCAGGGACCTAGGGCTTTCTCTAAGGTCTCCACAGGGGATTCAGACATCCCTTCATGTTGTGAGATGAAAGACGAGCCTGTATTCAAGCCACTGCAAGGAAATCCGGCCTCCTTTCAAGTTAGGGCTTCTCGCTGTAAATTCCCTTTGAGGCAGCAAACTCGGGGTCCCTCCCACATACCTATTGCTGAGAGAAGCCTCCTCCTGAGGTGCTTCTGGAAAGTTGGCATACGTCTTGAGCCTAAGCCAGGGAATCAGCTCTCATCTCGAAACGATTTGGGGTACACGGAGCATTCCTCGAGTTGCTGTGCTGAAGTTGCTGTTCCTCTAGACTTGGGACAGTGTTCTCGGGGCATCTCTGGAGTGGCCTGAAGGAAGTCGAGCCACCGGTCGTGTTGAATGGGGAACGGGGAATGGCTCTGGAGTCAATGCAGGGGAATCGGGCCTCATCTCGAGTTGATTTGGGGCACATGGAGCTGCTTTGCGTTGCTGGGGTGACCTCAGGGTCCGTCTAGACTGGTGACAGTGTTCTTGGGGACTGTCTCGAGATCCATTAAGCAAGTCGAAGCTCCTGACTTGTTTGAATGGGATCACGGAATAGCTCTGCATGCACTGCAGGGGAATGGGGCCTCATCTCGCCTCTAGGGGGAAGTCTCATGGTTTTTCTCGAGTTGCGGCGGGGACCTGGGGTATGTTCTCGACTTACGGCGGGGATGGCCCTTCAAAACACGAGTTTCTTCAGTGACGTCAGGACTCCTGTCTAGTAACGAGGGACACCTCAGGAATCTCTTCGAGGCTTGGCAGGGCAAAAGGGACGCTTCTCGAGGTGAGGCAGGGCACCCAAGGACCCTTTCCAGTAGCCACAGGGATTTTGGGATTCCTATCAGTATTCAAGAGGAGTCAGGCATCGTCACCTTTTGAAGCAATGAACTCCGCGTGCCTCTCGAGGTGTCAGCGGAATGTGAGGCATTCCGTCAAAATGAGGCAGGGACCTAGGGCTTTCTCTAAGGTCTCCACAGGGATTCAGACATCCCTTCATGTTGTGAGATGAAAGACGAGCCTGTATTCAAGCCACTGCAAGGAAATCCGGCCTCCTTTCAAGTTAGGGCTTCTCGCTGTATATTCCCTTTGAGGCAGCATACTCGGGTCCCTCCCACATACCTATTGCTGAGAGAAGCCTCCTCCTGAGGTGCTTCTGGAAAGTTGGCATACGTCTTGAGCATAATCCAGGGAATCAGCTCTCATATCTCGAGACGATTTGGGGTACACGGAGCATTCCTCGAGTTGCTGTGCTGAAGTTGGTGTTCCTCTAGACTTGGGACAGTGTTCTCAAGGCATCTCTGGAGTTGCCTGAAGGAAGTCGAGCCACCGGTCGTGTTGAATGGGGAACGGGGAATGGCTCTGGAGTCAATGCAGGGGAATCGGGCCTCATCTCGATTTGATTTGGGGCACATGGAGCTGCTTTGCGTTGCTGGGGTGACCTCAGGGTCCGTCTAGACTGGTGACAGTGTTCTTGGGGACTGTCTCGAGATCCATTAAACAGGTCGAAGCTCCTGACTTGTTTGAATGGGATCACGGAATAGCTCTGCATGCACTGCAGGGGAATGGGGCCTCATCTCGCCTCTAGGGGGAAGTCTCATGGTTTTTCTCGAGTTGCGGCGGGGACCTGGGGTATATTCTCGACTTACGGCGGGGATGGCCCTTCAAAACACGAGTTTCTTCAGTGACGTCAGGACTCCTGTCTAGTAACGAGGGACACCTCAGGAATCTCTTCGAGGCTTGGCAGGGCAAAAGGGACGCTTCTCGAGGTGAGGCAGGGCACCCAAGGACCCTTTCCAGTAGAGACAGGGATTTTGGGATTCCTATCAGTATTCAAGAGGGGTCAGGCATCGTCACCTTTTGAAGCAATGAACTCCGCGTGCCTCTCGAGGTGTCAGCGGGATGTGAGGCATTCCGTCAAAATGAGGCAGGGACCTAGGGCTTTCTCTAAGGTCTCCACAGGGGATTCAGACATCCCTTCATGTTGTGAGATGAAAGACGAGCCTGTATTCAAGCCACTGCAAGGAAATCCGGCCTCCTTTCAAGTTAGGGCTTCTCGCTGTATATTCCCCTTGAGGCAGCAAATTCGGGGTCCGTCCCACATACCTATTGCTGAGAGAAGCCTCCTCCTGTGGTGCTTCTGGAAATTTGGCATACGTCTCGAGCCTAAGACAGGGAATCAGCTCTCATCTCGAGACGATTTGGGGTACACGGAGCATTCCTCGAGTTGCTCTGCTGAAGTTGGTGTTCCTCTAGACTTGGGACAGTGTTCTCGGGGCATCTCTGGAGTTGCCTGAAGGAAGTCGAGCCACCGGTCGTGTTAAATGGGGGACGGGGAATGGCTCTGGAGTCAATGCAGGGGAATCGGGCCTCATCTCGAGTTGATTTGGCGCACATGGAGCTGCTTTGCGTTGCTGGGGTGACCTCAGGGTCCGTCTAGACTGGTGACAGTGTTCTTGGGGACTGTCTCGAGATCCATTAAGCAAGTCGAAGCTCCTGAATTGTTTGAATGGGATCACGGAATAGCTCTGCATGCACTGCAGGCGAATTGGGCCTCATCTCGCCTCTAGGGGGAAGTCTCATGGTTTTTATCGAGTTGCGGGGGGGACCTGGGGTATGTTCTCGACTTACGGCGGGGATGGCCCTTCAAAACACGAGTTTCTTCAGTGACGTCAGGACTCCTGTCTAGTAACGAGGGACACCTCAGGAAACTCTTCGAGGCTTGGCAGGGCAAAAGGGACGCTTCTCGAGGTGAGGCAGGGCACCCAAGGACCCTTTCCAGTAGACACAGGGATTTTGGGATTCCTATCAGTATTCAAGAGGGGTCAGGCATCGTCACCTTTTGAAGCAATGAACTCCGCGTGCCTCTCGAGGTGTCAGCCGGATGTGAGGCATTCCGTCAAAATGAGGCAGGGACCTAGGGCTTTCTCTAAGGTCTCCACAGGGGAGTCAGACATCCCTTCATGTTGTGAGATGAAAGACGACCCTGTATTCAAGCCACTGCAAGGAAATCCGGCCTCCTTTCAAGTTAGGGCTTCTCGCTGTATATTCCCCTTGAGGCAGCAAACTCGGGGTCCCTCCCACAAACCTATTGCTGAGAGAAGCCTCCTCCTGAGGTGCTTCTGGAAAGTTGGCATACGTCTTGAGCCTAAGCCAGGCAATCAGCTCTAATCTCGAGACGATTTGGGGTACACGGAGCATTCCTCGAGTTGCTGTGCTGAAGTTGGTGTTCCTCTAGACTTGGGACAGTGTTCTCGGGGCATCTTTGGAGATGCCTGAAGGAAGTCGAGCCACCGGTCGTGTTGAATGGGGAACGGGGAATGGCTCTGGAGTCAATGCAGGGGAATCGGGCCTCATCTCGAGTTGATTTGGGGCACATGGAGCTGCTTTGCGTTGCTGGGGTGACCTCAGGGTCCGTCTAGACTGGTGACAGTGTTCTTGGGGACTGTCTCGAGATCCATTAAGCAAGTCGAAGCTCCTGCCTTGTTTGAATGGGATCACGGAATAGCTCTGCATGCACTGCAGGGGAATGGGGCCTCATCTCGCCTCTAGGGGGAAGTCTCATGGTTTTTCTCGAGTTGCGGCGGGGACCTGGGGTATGTTCTCGACTTACGGCGGGGATGGCCCTTCAAAACACGAGTTTCTTCAGTGACGTCAGGACTCCTGTCTAGTAACGAGGGACACCTCAGGAATCTCTTCGAGGCTTGGCAGGGCAAAAGGGACGCTTCTCGAGGTGAGGCAGGGCACCCAAGGACCCTTTCCAGTAGAGACAGGGATTTTGGGATTCCTATCAGTATTCAAGAGGGGTCAGGCATCGTCACCTTTTGAAGCAATGAACTCCGCGTGCCTCTCGAGGTGTCAGCGGGATGTGAGGCATTCCGTCAAAATGAGGCAGGGACCTAGGGCTTTCTCTAAGGTCTCCACAGGGGATTCAGACATCCCTTCATGTTGTGAGATGAAAGACGAGCCTGTATTCAAGCCACTGCAAGGAAATCCGGCCTCCTTTCAAGTTAGGGTTTCTCGCTGTATATTCCCCTTGAGGCAGCAAATTCGGGGTCCGTCCCACATACCTATTGCTGAGAGAAGCATCCTCCTGTGGTGCTTCTGGAAATTTGGCATACGTCTCGAGCCTAAGACAGGGAATCAGCTCTCATCTCGAGACGATTTGGGGTACACGGAGCATTCCTCGAGTTGCTCTGCTGAAGTTGGTGTTCCTCTAGACTTGGGACAGTGTTCTCGGGGCATCTCTGGAGTTGCCTGAAGGAAGTCGAGCCACCGGTCGTGTTGAATGGGGGACGGGGAATGGCTCTGGAGTCAATGCAGGGGAATCGGGCCTCATCTCGAGTTGATTTGGCGCACATGGAGCTGCTTTGCGTTGCTGGGGTGACCTCAGGGTCCGTCTAGACTGGTGACAGTGTTCTTGGGGACTGTCTCGAGATCCATTAAGCAAGTCGAAGCTCCTGACTTGTTTGAATGGGATCACGGAATAGCTCTGCATGCACTGCAGGCGAATTGGGCCTCATCTCGCCTCTAGGGGGAAGTCTCATGGTTTTTATCGAGTTGCGGGGGGGACCTGGGGTATGTTCTCGACTTACGGCGGGGATGGCCCTTCAAAACACGAGTTTCTTCAGTGACGTCAGGACTCCTGTCTAGTAACGAGGGACACCTCAGGAAACTCTTCGAGGCTTGGCAGGGCAAAAGGGACGCTTCTCGAGGTGAGGCAGGGCACCCAAGGACCCTTTCCAGTAGACACAGGGATTTTGGGATTCCTATCAGTATTCAAGAGGGGTCAGACATCGTCACCTTTTGAAGCAATGAACTCCGCGTGCCTCTCGAGGTGTCAGCCGGATGTGAGGCATTCCGTCAAAATGAGGCAGGGACCTAGGGCTTTCTCTAAGGTCTCCACAGGGGATTCAGACATCCCTTCATGTTGTGAGATGAAAGACGACCCTGTATTCAAGCCACTGCAAGGAAATCCGGCCTCCTTTCAAGTTAGGGCTTCTCGCTGTATATTCCCCTTGAGGCAGCAAACTCGGGGTCCCTCCCACAAACCTATTGCTGAGAGAAGCCTCCTCCTGAGGTGCTTCTGGAAAGTTGGCATACGTCTTGAGCCTAAGCCAGGCAATCAGCTCTAATCTCGAGACGATTTGGGGTACACGGAGCATTCCTCGAGTTGCTGTGCTGAAGTTGGTGTTCCTCTAGACTTGGGACAGTGTTCTCGGGGCATCTTTGGAGATGCCTGAAGGAAGTCGAGCCACCGGTCGTGTTGAATGGGGAACGGGGAATGGCTCTGGAGTCAATGCAGGGGAATCGGGCCTCATCTCGAGTTGATTTGGGGCACATGGAGCTGCTTTGCGTTGCTGGGGTGACCTCAGGGTCCGTCTAGACTGGTGACAGTGTTCTTGGGGACTGTCTCGAGATCCATTAAGCAAGTCGAAGCTCCTGCCTTGTTTGAATGGGATCACGGAATAGCTCTGCATGCACTGCAGGGGAATGGGGCCTCATCTCGCCTCTAGGGGGAAGTCTCATGGTTTTTCTCGAGTTGCGGCGGGGACCTGGGGTATGTTCTCGACTTACGGCGGAGATGGCCCTTCAAAACACGAGTTTCTTCAGTGACGTCAGGACTCCTCTCTAGTAACGAGGGACACGTCAGGAATCTCTTCGAGGCTTGGCAGGGCAAAACGGACGCTTCTCGAGGTGAGGCAGGGCACCCAAGGACCCTTTCCAGTAGAGACAGGGATTTTGGGATTCCTATCAGTATTCAAGAGGGGTCAGGCATCGTCACCTTTTGAAGCAATGAACTCCGCGTGCCTCTCGAGGTGTCAGCGGGATGTGAGGCATTCCGTCAAAATGAGACAGGGACCTAGGGCTTTCTCTAATGTCTCCAAAGTGGCTTCAGACATCCCTTCATGTTGTGAGATGAAAGACGAGCCTGTATTCAAGCCACTGCAAGGAAATCCGGCCTCCTTTCTAGTTAGGGCTTCTCGCTGTATATTCCCCTTGAGGCAGCATACTCGGGTCCCTCCCACATACCTATTCCTGAGAGAAGCCTCCTCCTGAGGTGCTTCTGGAAAGTTGGCATTCGTCTTGAGCATAATCCAGGGAATCAGCTCTCATCTCGAGACGATTTGGGGTACACGGAGCATTCCTCGAGTTGCTCTGCTGAAGTTGGTGTTCCTCTAGACTTGCGACAGTGTTCTCAGGGCATCTCTGGAGTTGCCTGAAGGAAGTCGAGCCACCGGTCGTGTTGAATGGGGAACGGGGAATGGCTCTGGAGTCAATGCAGGGGAATCGGGCCTCATCTCGATTTGATTTGGGGCACATGGAGCTGCTTTGCGTTGCTGGGGTGACCTCAGGGTCCGTCTAGACTGGTGACAGTGTTCTTGGGGACTGTCTCGAGATCCATTAAACAGGTCGAAGCTCCTGACTTGTTTGAATGGGATCACGGAATAGCTCTGCATGCACTGCAGGGGAATGAGGCCTCATCTCGCCTCTAGGGGGAAGTCTCATGGTTTTCTCGAGTTGCGGCGGGGACCTGGGGTATGTTCTCGACTTACGGCGGGGATGGCCCTTCAAAACACGAGTTTCTTCAGTGACGTCAGGACTCCTGTCTAGTAACGAGGGACACCTCAGGAATCTCTTCGAGGCTTGGCAGGGCAAAAGGGACGCTTCTTGAGGTTAGGTAGGGCACCCAAGGACCCTTTCCCGTAGAGACAGGGGTTTTGGGATTCCTATCAGTATTCAAGAGGGGTCAGGCATCGTCATCTTTTGAAGCAATGAGCTCCGCGTGCCTCTCGAGGTGTCAGCGGGGTGTGAGGCATTCCGTCAAAATGAGGCAGGTACCTAGGGATTTCTCTAAGGTCTCCACAGGGGATTCAGACATCCCTTCATGTTGTGAGATGAAAGACGAGCCTGTATTCAAGCCACTGCAAGGAAATCCGGCCTCCTTTCAAGTTAGGGCTTCCCGCTGTATATTCCCCTTGAGGCAGCAAACTCAGGGTCCCTCCCACATACCTATTGCTGAGAGAAGCCTCCTCCTGAGGTGCTTCTGGAAAGTTGGCATACGTCTTAAGCCTAATCCAGGGAATCAGCTCTCATCTCGAGACGATTTGGGGTACACGGAGCATTCCTCGAGTTGCTGTGCTGAAGTTGGTGTTCCTCTAGACTTGGGACAGTGTTCTCGGGGCATCTCTGGAGTTGCCTGAAGGAAGTCGAGCCACCGGTCGTGTTGAATGGGGAACGGGGAATGGCTCTGGAGTCAATGCAGGGGAATCGGGCCTCATCTCGAGTTGATTTGGGGCACATGGAGCTGCTTTGCGTTGCTGGGGTGACCTCAGGGTCCGTCTAGACTGGTGACAGTGTTCTTGGGGACTGTCTCGAGATCCATTAAGCAAGTCGAAGCTCCTGACTTGTTTGAATGGGATCACGGAATAGCTCTGCATGCACTGCAGGGGAATGGGGCCTCATCTCGCCTCTAGGGGGAAGTCTTATGGTTTTTCTCGAGTTGCGGCGGGGACCTGGGGTATGTTCTCGACTTACGGCGGGGATGGCCCTTCAAAACACGAGTTTCTTCAGTGACGTCAGGACTCCTGTCTAGTAACGAGGGACACCTCAGGAATCTCTTCGAGGCTTGGCAGGGCAAAAGGGACGCTTCTCGAGGTGAGGCAGGGCACCCAAGGACCCTTTCCAGTAGCCACAGGGATTTTGGGATTCCTATCAGTATTCAAGAGGAGTCAGGCATCGTCACCTTTTGAAGCAATGAACTCCGAGTGCCTCTCGAGGTGTCAGCGGGATGTGAGGCATTCCGTCAAAATGAGGCAGGGACCTAGGGCTTTCTCTAAGGTCTCCACAGGGGATTCAGACATCCCTTCATGTTGGGAGATGAAAGACGAGCCTGTATTCAAGCCACTGCAAGGAAATCCGGCCTCCTTTCAAGTTAGGGCTTCTCGCTGTATATTCCCCTTGAGGCAGCATACTCGGGTCCCTCCCACATACCTATTGCTGAGAGAAGCCTCCTCCTGAGGTGCTTCTGGAAAGTTGGCATACGTCTTGAGCATAATCCAGGGAATCAGCTCTCATCTCGAGACGATTTGGGGTACACGGAGCATTCCTCGAGTTGCTGTGCTGAAGTTGCTGTTCCTCTAGACTTGGGACAGTGTTATCAGGGCATCTCTGGAGTTGCCTGAAGGAAGTCGAGCCACCGGTCGTGTTGAATGGGGAACTGGGAATGGCTCTGGAGTCAATGCAGGGGAATCGGGCCTCATCTCGATTTGATTTGGGGCACATGGAGCTGCTTTGTGTTGCTGGGGTGACCTCAGGGTCCGTCTAGACTGGTGACAGTGTTCTTGGGGACTGTCTCGAGATCCATTAAACAGATCGAAGCTCCTGACTTGTTTGAATGGGATCACGGAATAGCTCTGCATGCACTGCAGGGGAATGGGGCCTCATCTCGCCTCTAGGGGGAAGTCTCATGGTTTTTCTCGAGTTGCGGCGGGGACCTGGGGTATGTTCTCGACTTACGGCGGGGATGGCCCTTCAAAACACGAGTTTCTTCAGTGACGTCAGGACTCCTGTCTAGTAACGAGGGACACCTCAGGAATCTCTTCGAGGCTTGGCAGGGCAAAAGGGACGCTTCTCGAGGTGAGGCAGGGCACCCAAGGACCCTTTCCAGTAGCCACAGGGATTTTGGGATTCCTATCAGTATTCAAGAGGGGTCAGGCATCGTCACCTTTTGAAGCAATGAACTCCGCGTGCCTCTCGAGGTGTCAGCGGGATGTGAGGCATTCCGTCAAAATGAGGCAGGGACCTAGGGCTTTCTCTAAGGTCTCCACAGTGGCTTCAGACATCCCTTCATGTTGTGAGATGAAAGACGAGCCTGTATTCAAGCCACTGCAAGGAAATCCGGCCTCCTTTCAAGTTAGGGCTTCTCGCTGTATATTCCCCTTGAGGCAGCAAACTCGGGGTACGTCCCACATACCTATTGCTGAGAGAAGCCTCCTCCTGTGGTGCTTCTGGAAATTTGGCATACGTCTTGAGCCTAAGACAGGGAATCAGCTCTAATCTCGAGACGATTTGGGGTACACGGAGCATTCCTCGAGTTGCTCTGCTGAAGTTGGTGTTCCTCTAGACTTGGGACAGTGTTCTCGGGGCATCTCTGGAGTTGCCTGAAGGAAGTCGAGCCACCGGTCGTGTTGAATGGGGAACGGGGAATGGCTCTGGAGTCAATGCAGCGGAAGCGGGCCTCATCTCGAGTTGATTTGGGGCACAAGGAGCAACTTTGCGTTGCTGGGGTGACCTCAGGGTCCGTCTAGACTGGTGACAGTGTTCTTGGGGACTGTCTCGGGATCCATTAAGCAGGTCGAAGCTCCTGACTAGTTTGAATGGGATCACGGAATAGCTCTGCATGCACTGCAGGGGAATGGGGCCTCATCTCGCCTCTAGGGGGAATTCTCATGGTTTTTCTCGAGTTGAGGCGGGGACCTGGGGTATGTTCTCGACTTACGGCGGGGATGGCCCTTCAAAACACGAGTTTCTTCAGTGACGTCAGGACTCCTGTCTAGTAACGAGGGACACCTCAGGAATCTCTTCGAGGCTTGGCAGGGCAAAAGGGACGCTTCTCGAGGTGAGGCAGGGCACCCAAGGACCCTTTCCAGTAGACACAGTGATTTTGGGATTCCTATCAGTATTCAAGAGGGGTCAGGCATCGTCACCTTTTCAAGCAATGAACTCCGCGTGCCTCTCGAGGTGTCAGCCGGATGTGAGGCATTCCGTCAAAATGAGGCAGGGACCTAGGGCTTTCTCTAAGGTCTCCACAGGGGATTCAGACATCCCTTCATGTTGTGAGATGAAAGACGAGCCTGTATTCAAGCCCCTGCAAGGAAATCCGGCCTCCTTTCAAGTTAGGGCTTCTCGCTGTATATTCCCCTTGAGGCAGCAAACTCGGGGTCCCTCCCACATACCTATTGCTGAGAGAAGCCTCCTCCTGAGGTGCTTCTGGAAAGTTGGCATACGTCTTGAGCATAATCCAGGGAATCAGCTCTTATCTCGAGACGATTTGGGGTACACGGAACATTTCTCGAGTTGCTGTGCTGAAGTTGGTGTTCCTCTAGACTTGAGACAGTGTTCTCGGGGCATCTCTGGAGTTGCCTGAAGGAAGTCGAGCCACCGGTCGTGTTGAATGGGGAACGGGGAATGGCTCTGGAGTCAATGCAGGGGAATCGGGCCTCATCTCGAGTTGATTTGGGGCACAAGGAGCTGCTTTGCGTTGCTGGGGTGACCTCAGGGTCCGTCTAGACTGGTGACAGTGTTCCTGCGGACTGTCTCGAGATCCATTAAGCAGGTCGAAGCTCCTGACTAGTTTGAATGGGATCACGGAATAGCTCTGCATGCACTGCAGGGGAATGGGGCCTCATCTCGCCTCTAGGGGGAAGTCTCATGGTTTTTCTCGAGTTGCGGCGGGGACCTGGGGTATGTTCTCGACTTACGGCGGGGATGGCCCTTCAAAACACGAGTTTCTTCAGTGACGTCAGGACTCCTGTCTAGTAACGAGGGACACCTCAGGAATCTCTTCGAGGCTTGGCAGGGCAAAAGGGACGCTTCACGAGGTGAGGCAGGGCACCCAAGGACCCTTACCAGTAGACACAGGGATTTTGGGATTCCTAACAGTATTCAAGAGGGGTCAGGCATCGTCACCTTTTGAAGCAATGAACTCCGTGTGCCTCTCGAGGTGTCAGCCGGATGTGAGGCATTCCGTCAAAATGAGGCAGGGACCTAGGGCTTTCTCTAAGGTCTCCACAGGGGATTCAGACATCCCTTCATGTTGTGAGATGAAAGACGACCCTGTATTCAAGCCACTGCAAGGAAATCCGGCCTCCTTTCAAGTTAGGGCTTCTCGTTGTATATTCCCCTTGAGGCAGCAAACTCGGGGTTCCTCCCACATACCTATTGCTGAGAGAAGCCTCCTCCTGAGGTGCTTCTGGAAAGTTGGCATACGTCTTGAGCCTAAGCCAGGGAATCAGCTCTCATCTCGAGACGATTTGGGGTACACGGAGCATTCTTCGAGTTGCTGTGCTGAAGTTGCTGTTCCTCTAGACTTGGGACAGTGTTCTCGGGGCATCTCTGGAGTTGCCTGAAGGAAGTCGAGCCACCGGTCGTGTTGAATGGGGGACGGGGAATGGCTCTGGAGTCAATGCAGGGGAATCGGGCCTCATCTCGAGTTGATTTGGGGCACATGGAGCTGCTTTGCGTTGCTGGGGTGACCTCAGGGTCCGTCTAGACTGGTGACAGTGTTCTTGGGGACTGTCTCGAGATCCATTAAGCAAGTCGAAGCTCCTGACTTGTTTGAATGGGATCACGGAATAGCTCTGCATGCACTGCAGGGGAATGGGGCCTCATCTCGCCTCTAGGGGGAAGTCTCATGGTTTTTCTCGAGTTGCGGCGGGGACCTGGGGTATGTTCTCGACTTACGGCGGGGATGGCCCTTCAATACACGAGTTTCTTCAGTGACGTCAGGACTCCTGTCTAGTAACGAAGGACACCTCAAGAATCTCTTCGAGGCTTGGCAGGGCAAAAGGGACGCTTCTCGAGGTTAGGCAGGGCACCCAAGGACCCTTTCCAGTAGACAAAGGGATTTTGGGATTCCTATCAGTATCCAAGAGGGGACAGGCATCGTCACCTTTTGAAGCAATGAACTCCGCGTGCCTCTCGAGGTGTCAGCGGGATGTGAGGCATTCCGTCAAAATGAGGAAGGGGCCTAGGGCTTTCTCTAAGGTCTCCATAGGGGATTCAGACATCCCTTCATGTTGTGAGATGAAAGACGAGCCTGTATTCAAGCCACTGCAAGGAAATCCGGCCTCCTTTCAAGTTAGGGCTTCTCGCTGTATATTCCCCTTGAGGCAGCAAACTCGGGGTCCCTCCCACATACCTATTGCTGAGAGAAGCCTCCTCCTGAGGTGCTTCTGGACAGTTGGCATACGTCTTGAGCGTAAGCCAGGGAATCAGCTCTCATCTCGAGACGATTTGGGGTACACGGAGCATTCCTCGAGTTGCTGTGCTGAAGTTGGTGTTCCTCTAGACTTGGGACAGTGTTCTCGGGGCATCTCTGGAGTTGCCTGAAGGAAGTCGAGCCACCGGTCGTGTTGAATGGGGAACGGGGAATGGCTCTGGAGTCAATGCAGGGGAATCGGGCCTCATCTCGAGTTGATTAGGGGCACATGGAGCTGCTTTGCGTTGCTGGGGTGACCTCAGGGTCCGTCTAGACTGGTGACAGTGTTCTTGGGGACTGTCTCGAGATCCATTAAGCAGGTCGAAGCTCCTGACTTGTTTGAATGGGATCACGGAATAGCTCTGCATGCACTGCAGGGGAATGGGGCCTCATCTCGCCTCTAGGGGGAAGTCTCATGGTTTTTCTGGAGTTGCGGCGGGGACCTGGGGTATGTTCTCGACTTACGGCGGGGATGGCCCTTCCAAACACGAGTTTCTTCAGTGACGTCAGGACTCCTGTCTAGTAACGAAGGACACCTCAAGAATCTCTTCGAGGCTTGGCAGGGCAAAAGGGACGCTTCTCGAGGTGAGGCAGGGCACCCAAGGACCCTTTCCAGTAGCCACAGGGATTTTCGGATTCCTATCAGTATTCAAGAGGAGTCAAGCATCGTCACCTTTTGAAGCAATGAACTCCGCGTGCCTCTCGAGGTGTCAGCGGGATGTGAGGCATTCCGTCAAAATGAGACAGGGACCTAGGGCTTTCTCTAAGGTCTCCACAGTGGCTTCAGACATCCCTTCATGTTGTGAGATGAAAGACGAGCCTGTATTCAAGCCACTGCAAGGAAATCCGGCCTCCTTTCTAGTTAGGGCTTCTCGCTGTATATTCCCCTTGAGGCAGCAAACTCGGGGTCCCTCCCACATACCTATTGCTGAGAGAAGCCTCCTCCTGAGGTGCTTCTGGAAAGTTGGCATACGTCTTGAGCCTAAGCCAGGGAATCAGCTCTCATTTCGAGACGATTTGTGGTACACGGAGCATTCCTCGAGTTGCTGTGCTGAAGTTGCTGTTCCTCTAGACTTGGGACAGTGTTCTCGGGGCATCTCTGGAGTTGCCTGAAGGAAGTCGAGCCACCGTTCGTGTTGAATGGGGAACGGGGAATGGCTCTGGAGTCAATGCAGGGGAATCGGGCCTCATCTCGAGTTGATTTGGGGCACATGGAGCTGCTTTGCGTTGCTGGGGTGACCTCAGGGTCCGTCTAGACTGGTGACAGTGTTCTTGGGGACTGTCTCGAGATCCATTAAGCAAGTCGAAGCTCCTGACTTGTTTGAATGGGATCACGGAATAGCTCTGCATGCACTGCAGGGGAATGGGGCCTCATCTCGCCTCTAGGGGGAAGTCTCATGGTATTTCTCGAGTTGCGGCGGGGACCTGGGGTATGTTCTCGACTTACGTCGGGGATGGCCCTTCAAAACACGAGTTTCTTCAGTGACGTCAGGATTCCTGTCTAGTAACGAGGGACACCTCAGGAATCTCTTCGAGGCTTGGCAGGGCCAAAGGGACGCTTCTCGAGGTTAGGCAGGGCACCCAAGGACCCTTTCCAGTAGACACAGGGATTTTGGGATTCCTATCAGTATTCAAGAGGGGTCAGGCATCGTCACCTTTTCAAGCAATGAACTCCGCGTGCCTCTCGAGGTGTCAGCCGGATGTGAGGCATTCCGTCAAAATGAGGCAGGGACCTAGGGCTTTCTCTAAGGTCTCCACAGGGGATTCAGACATCCCTTCATGTTGTGAGATGAAAGACGAGCCTGTATTCAAGCCCCTGCAAGGAAATCCGGCCTCCTTTCAAGTTAGGGCTTCTCGCTGTATATTCCCCTTGAGGCAGCAAACTCGGGGTCCCTCCCACATACCTATTGCTGAGAGAAGCCTCCTCCTGAGGTGCTTCTGGAAAGTTGGCATACGTCTTGAGCATAATCCAGGGAATCAGCTCTCATCTCGAGACGATTTGGGGTAAACGGAGCATTCCTCGAGTTGCTGTGCTGAAGTTGGTGTTCCTCTAGACTTGGGACAGTGTTCTCAGGGCATCTCTGGAGTTGCCTGAAGGAAGTCGAGCCACCGGTCGTGTTGAATGGGGAACGGGGAATGGCTCTGGAGTCAATGCAGGGGAATCGGGCCTCATCTCGATTTGATTTGGGGCACATGGAGCTGCTTTGCGTTGCTGGGGTGACCTCAGGGTCCGTCTAGACTGGTGACAGTGTTCTTGGGGACTGTCTCGAGATCCATTTAACAGGTCGAAGCTCCTGACTTGTTTGAATGGGATCACGGAATAGCTCTGCATGCACTGCAGGGGAATGGGGCCTCATCTCGCCTCTAGGGGGAAGTCTCATGGTTTTTCTCGAGTTGCGGCGGGGACCTGGGGTATGTTCTCGACTTACGGCGGGGATGGCCCTTCAAAACACGAGTTTCTTCAGTGACGTCAGGACTCTTGTCTAGTAACGAGGGACACCTCAGGAATCTCTTCGAGGCTTGGCAGGGCAAAAGGGACGCTTCTCGAGGTGAGGCAGGGCACCCAAGGACCCTTTCCAGTAGAGACAGGGATTTTGGGATTCCTATCAGTATTCAAGAGGGGTCAGGCATCGTCACCTTTTGAAGCAATGAACTCCGCGTGCCTCTCGAGGTGTCAGCGGGATGTGAGATATTCCGTCAAAATGAGACAGGGACCTAGGGCTTTCTCTAAGGTCTCCACAGTGGCTTCAGACATCCCTTCATGTTGTGAGATGAAAGACGAGCCTGTATTCAAGCCACTGCAAGGAAATCCGGCCTCCTTTCTAGTTAGGGCTTCTCGCTGTATATTCCCCTTGAGGCAGCAAACTCGGGGTCCCTCCCACATACCTATTGCTGAGAGAAGCCTCCTCCTGAGGTGCTTCTGGAAAGTTGGCATACGTCTTGAGCCTAAGCCAGGGAATCAGCTCTTATCTCGAGACGGTTTGGGGTACACGGAACATTTCTCGAGTTGCTGTGCTGAAGTTGGTGTTCCTCTAGACTTGAGACAGTGTTCTCGGGGCATCTCTGGAGTTGCCTGAAGGAAGTCGAGCCACCGGTCGTGTTGAATGGGGAACGGGGAATGGCTCTGGAGTCAATGCAGCGGAAGCGGGCCTCATCTCGAGTTGATTTGGGGCACAAGGAGCTGCTTTGCGTTGCTGGGGTGACCTCAGGGTCCGTCTAGACTGGTGACAGTGTTCCTGCGGACTGTCTCGAGATCCATTAAGCAGGTCGAAGCTCCTGACTAGTTTGAATGGGATCACGGAATAGCTCTGCATGCACTGCAGGGGAATGGGGCCTCATCTCGCCTCTAGGGGGAAGTCTCATGGTTTTTCTCGAGTTGCGGCGGGGACCTGGGGTATGTTCTCGACTTACGGCGGGGATGGCCCTTCAAAACACGAGTTTCTTCAGTGACGTCAGGACTCCTGTCTAGTAACGAGGGACACCTCAGGAATCTCTTCGAGGCTTGGCAGGGCAAAAGGGACGCTTCACGAGGTGAGGCAGGGCACCCAAGGACCCTTACCAGTAGACACAGCGATTTTGGGATTCCTAACAGTATTCAAGAGGGGTCAGGCATCGTCACCTTTTGAAGCAATGAACTCCGTGTGCCTCTCGAGGTGTCAGCCGGATGTGAGGCATTCCGTCAAAATGAGGCAGGGACCTAGGGCTTTCTCTAAGGTCTCCACAGGGGATTCAGACATCCCTTCATGTTGTCAGATGAAAGATGACCCTGTATTCAAGCCACTGCAAGGAAATCCGGCCTCCTTTCAAGTTAGGGCTTCTCGCTGTATATTCCCCTTGAGGCAGCAAACTCGGGGTCCCTCCCACATACCTATTGCTGAGAGAAGCCTCCTCCTGAGGTGCTTCTGGAAAGTTGGCATACGTCTTGAGCCTAAGCCAGGGAATCAGCTCTCATCTCGAGACGATTTGGGGTACACGGAGCATTCTTCGAGTTGCTGTGCTGAAGTTGCTGTTCCTCTAGACTTGGGACAGTGTTCTCGGGGCATCTCTGGAGTTGCCTGAAGGAAGTCGAGCCACCGGTCGTGTTGAATGGGGGACGGGGAATCGCTCTGGAGTCAATGCAGGGGAATCGGGCCTCATCTCGAGTTGATTTGGGGCACATGGAGCTGCTTTGCGTTGCTGGGGTGACCTCAGGGTCCGTCTAGACTGGTGACAGTGTTCTTGGGGACTGTCTCGAGATCCATTAAGCAAGTCGAAGCTCCTGCCTTGTTTGAATGGGATCACGGAATAGCTCTGCATGCACTGCAGGGGAATGGGGCCTCATCTCGCCTCTAGGGGGAAGTCTCATGGTTTTTCTCGAGTTGCGGCGGGGACCTGGGATATGTTCTCGACTTACGGCGGGGATGGCCCTTCAATACACGAGTTTCTTCAGTGACGTCAGGACTCCTGTCTAGTAACGAAGGACACCTCAAGAATCTCTTCGAGGCTTGGCAGGGCAAAAGGGACGCTTCTCGAGGTTAGGCAGGGCACCCAAGGACCCTTTCCAGTAGACAAAGGGATTTTGGGATTCCTATCAGTATTCAAGATGGGTCAGGCATCGTCACCTTTTGAAGCAATGAACTCCGCGTGCCTCTCGAGGTGTCAGCGGGATGTGAGGCATTCCGTCAAAATGAGGAAGGGGCCTAGGGCTTTCTCTAAGGTCTCCATAGGGGATTCAGTCATCCCTTCATGTTGTGAGATGAAAGACGAGCCTGTATTCAAGCCACTGCAAGGAAATCCGGCCTCCTTTCAAGTTAGGGCTTCTCGCTGTATATTCCCCTTGAGGCAGCAAACTCGGGGTCCCTCCCACATACCTATTGCTGAGAGAAGCCTCCTCCTGAGGTGCTTCTGGACAGTTGGCATACGTCTTGAGCGTAAGCCAGGGAATCAGCTCTCATCTCGAGACGATTTGGGGTACACGGAGCATTCCTCGAGTTGCTGTGCTGAAGTTGGTGTTCCTCTAGACTTGGGACAGTGTTCTCGGGGCATCTCTGGAGTTGCCTGAAGGAAGTCGAGCCACCGGTCGTGTTGAATGGGGAACGGGGAATGGCTCTGGATTCAATGCAGGGGAATCGGGCCTCATCTCGAGTTGATTAGGGGCACATGGAGCTGCTTTGCGTTGCTGGGGTGACTTCAGGGTCCGTCTAGACTGGTGACAGTGTTCTTGGGGACTGTCTCGAGATCCATTAAGCAGGTCGAAGCTCCTGACTTGTTTGAATGGGATCACGGAATAGCTCTGCATGCACTGCAGGGGAATGGGGCCTCATCTCGCCTCTAGGGGGAAGTCTCATGGTTTTTCTGGAGTTGCGGCGGGGACCTGGGGTATGTTCTCGACTTACGGCGGGGATGGCCCTTCCAAACACGAGTTTCTTCAGTGACGTCAGGACTCCTGTCTAGTAACGAAGGACAACTCAAGAATCTCTTCGAGGCTTGGCAGGGCAAAAGGGACGCTTCTCGAGGTGAGGCAGGGCACCCAAGGACCCTTTCCAGTAGCCACAGGGATTTTCGGATTCCTATCAGTATTCAAGAGGAGTCAAGCATCGTCACCTTTTGAAGCAATGAACTCCGCGTGCCTCTCGAGGTGTCAGCGGGATGTGAGGCATTCCGTCAAAATGAGACAGGGACCTAGGGCTTTCTCTAAGGTCTCCACAGTGGCTTCAGACATCCCTTCATGTTGTGAGATGAAAGACGAGCCTGTATTCAAGCCACTGCAAGGAAATCCGGCCTCCTTTCTAGTTAGGGCTTCTCGCTGTATATTCCCCTTGAGGCAGCAAACTCGGGGTCCCTCCCACATACCTATTGCTGAGAGAAGCCTCCTCCTGAGGTGCTTCTGGAAAGTTGGCATACGTCTTGAGCCTAAGCCAGGGAATCAGCTCTCATTTCGAGACGATTTGTGGTACACGGAGCATTCCTCGAGTTGCTGTGCTGAAGTTGCTGTTCCTCTAGACTTGGGACAGTGTTCTCGGGGCATCTCTGGAGTTGCCTGAAGGAAGTCGAGCCACCGTTCGTGTTGAATGGGGAACGGGGAATGGCTCTGGAGTCAATGCAGGGGAATCGGGCCTCATCTCGAGTTGATTTGGGGCACATGGAGCTGCTTTGCGTTGCTGGGGTGACCTCAGGGTCCGTCTAGACTGGTGACAGTGTTCTTGGGGACTGTCTCGAGATCCATTAAGCAAGTCGAAGCTCCTGACTTGTTTGAATGGGATCACGGAATAGCTCTGCATGCACTGCAGGGGAATGGGGCCTCATCTCGCCTCTAGGGGGAAGTCTCATGGTATTTCTCGAGTTGCGGCGGGGACCTGGGGTATGTTCTCGACTTACGTCGGGGATGGCCCTTCAAAACACGAGTTTCTTCAGTGACGTCAGGATTCCTGTCTAGTAACGAGGGACACCTCAGGAATCTCTTCGAGGCTTGGCAGGGCCAAAGGGACGCTTCTCGAGGTTAGGCAGGGCACCCAAGGACCCTTTCCAGTAGACAAAGGGATTTTGGGATTCCTATCAGTATTCAAGAGGGGTCAGGCACCGTCACCTTTTGAAGCAATGAACTCCGCGTGCCTCTCGAGGTGTCAGCGGGATGTGAGGCATTCCGTCAAAATGAGGAAGGGGCCTAGGGCTTTCTCTAAGGTCTCCACAGGGGATTCAGACATCCCTTCATGTTGTGAGATGAAAGACGAGCCTGTATTCAAGCCACTGCAAGGAAATCCGGCCTCCTTTCAAGTTAGGGCTTCTCGCTGTATATTCCCCTTGAGGCAGCAAACTCGGGGTCCCTCCCACATACCTATTGCTGAGAGAAGCCTCCTCCTGAGGTGCTTCTGGAAAGTTGGCATACGTCTTGAGCCTAAGCCAGGGAATCAGCTCTCATCTCGAGACGATTAGGGGTACACGGAGCATTCCTCGAGTTGCTGTGCTGAAGTTGCTGTTCCTCTAGACTTGGGACAGTGTTCTCGGGGCATCTCTGGAGTTGCCTGAAGGAAGTCGAGCCACCGGTCGTGTTGAATGGTGAACGGGGAATGGCTCTGGAGTCAATGCAGGGGAATCGGACCTCATCTCGAGTTGATTTGGGGCACATGGAGCTGCTTTGCGTTGCTGGGGTGACCTCAGGGTCCGTCTAGACTGGTGACAGTGTTCTTGGGGACTGTCTCGAGATCCATTAAACAGGTCGAAGCTCCTGACTTGTTTGAATGGGATCACGGAATAGCTCTGCATGCACTGCAGGGGAATGGGGCCTCATCTCGCCTCTAGGGGGAAGTCTCATGGTTTTTCTCGAGTTGCGGCGGGGACCTGGGGTATGTTCTCGACTTACGGCGGGGATGGCCCTTCAAAACACGAGTTTCTTCAGTGACGTCAGGACTCCTGTCTAGTAACGAGGGACACCTCAGGAATCTCTTCGAGGCTTGGCAGGGCCAAAGGGACGCTTCTCGAGGTTAGGCAGGGCACCCAAGGACCCTTTCCAGTAGACAAAGGGATTTTGGGATTCCTATCAGTATTCAAGAGGGGTCAGGCATCGTCACCTTTTGAAGCATTGAACTCCGCGTGCCTCTCGAGGTATCAGCGGGATGTGAGGCATTCCGTCAAAATGAGGAAGGGGCCTAGGGCTTTCTCTAAGGTCTCCACAGGGGATTCAGACATCCCTTCATGTTGTGAGATGAAAGACGAGCCTGTATTCAAGCCACTGCAAGGAAATCCGGCCTCCTTTCAAGTTAGGGCTTCTCGCTGTATATTCCCCTTGAGGCAGCAAACTCGGGGTCCCTCCCACATACCTATTGCTGAGAGAAGCCTCCTCCTGAGGTGCTTCTGGAAAGTTGGCATACGTCTTGAGCCTAAGCCAGGGAATCAGCTCTCATCTCGAGACGATTAGGGGTACACGGAGCATTCCTCGAGTTGCTGTGCTGAAGTTGCTGTTCCTCTAGACTTGGGACAGTGTTCTCGGGGCATCTCTGGAGTTGCCTGAAGGAAGACGAGCCACCGGTCGTGTTGAATGGGGAACGGGGAATGGCTCTGGAGTAAATGCAGGGGAATCGGGCCTCATCTCGAGTTGATTTGGGGCACATGGAGCTGCTTTGCGTTGCTGGGGTGACCTCAGGGTCCGTCTAGACTGGTGACAGTGTTCTTGGGGACTGTCTCGAGATCCATTAAACAGGTCGAAGCTCCTGACTTGTTTGAATGGGATCACGGAATAGCTCTGCATGCACTGCAGGGGAATGGGGCCTCATCTCGCCTCTAGGGGGAAGTCTCATGGTTTTTCTCGACTTGCGGCGGGGACCTGGGGTATGTTCTCGACTTACGGCGGGGATGGCCCTTCAAAACACGAGTTTCTTCAGTGACGTCAGGACTCCTGTCTAGTAACGAGGGACACCTCAGGAATCTCTTCGAGGCTTGGCAGGGCCAAAGGGACGCTTCTCGAGGTTAGGCAGGGCACCCAAGGACCCTTTCCAGTAGACAAAGGGATTTTGGGATTCCTATCAGTATTCAAGAGGGGTCAGGCATCGTCACCTTTTGAAGCAATGAACTCCGCGTGCCTCTCGAGGTGTCAGCGGGATGTGAGGCATTCCGACAAAATGAGGCAGGGACCTAGGGCTTTCTCTAAGGTCTCCACAGGAGTTTCAGACATCCCTTCATGTTGTGAGATGAAAGACGAGCCTGTATTCAAGCCACTGCAAGGAAATCCGGCCTCCTTTCAAGTTAGGGCTTCTCGCTGTATATTCCCCTTGAGGCAGCAAACTCGGGGTCCGTCCCACATACCTATTGCTGAGAGAAGCCTCCTCCTGTGGTGCTTCTGGAAATTTGGCATACGTCTTGAGCCTAAGACAGGGAATCAGCTCTCATCTCGAGACGATTTGGGGTACACGGAGCATTCCTCGAGTAGCTCTGCTGAAGTTGGTGTTCCTCTAGACTTGGAACAGTGTTCTCGGGGCATCTCTGGAGTTGCCTGAAGGAAGTCGAGCCACCGGTCGTGTTGAATGGGGGACGGGGAATGGCTCTGGAGTCAATGCAGGGGAATCGGGCCTCATCTCGAGTTGATTTGGCGCACATGGAGCTGCTTTGCGTTGCTGGGGTGACCTCAGGGTCCGTCTAGACTGGTGACAGTGTTCTTGGGGATTGTCTCGAGATCCATTAAGCAAGTGCAAGCTTCTGACTTGTTTGAATGGGATCACGGAATAGCTCTGCATGCACTGCAGGGGAATGGGGCCTCATCTCGCCTCTAGGGGGAAGTCTCATGGTTTTTCTCGAGTTGCGGGGGGGACCTGGGGTATGTTCTCGACTTACGGCGGGGATGGCCCTTCAAAACACGAGTTTCTTCAGTGACGTCAGGACTCCAGTCTAGTAACGAGGGACACCTCAGGAAACTCTTCGAGGCTTGGCAGGGCAAAAGGGACGCTTCTCGAGGTGAGGCAGGGCACCCAAGGACCCTTTCCAGTAGCCACAGGGATTTTGGGATTCCTTTCAGTATTCAAGAGGAGTCAGGCATCGTCACCTTTTGAAGCAATGAACTCCGCGTGCCTCTCAAGGTGTCAGCGGGATGTGAGGCATTCCGACAAAATGAGGCAGGGACCTAGGGCTTTCTCTAAGGTCTCCACAGGGGATTCAGACATCCCTTCATGTTGTGAGATGAAAGACGAGCCTGTATTCAAGCCACTGCAAGGAAATCCGGCCTCCTTTCAAGTTAGGGCTTCTCGCTGTATATTCCCCTTGAGGCAGCATACTCGGGGTCCCTCCCACATACCTATTGCTGAGAGAAGCCTCCTCCTGAGGTGCTTCTGGAAAGTTGGCATACGTCTTGAGCCTAAGCCCGGGAATCAGCTCTCATCTCGAGACGATTTGGGGTTCACGGAGCATTTCTTGAGTTGCTGTGCTGAAGTTGGTGTTCCTCTAGACTTGGGACAGTGTTCTCGGGGCATCTCTGGAGTTGCCTGAAGGAAATCGAGCCACCGGTCGTGTTGAATGGGGAACGGGGAATGGCTCTGGAGTCAATGCAGTGCAAGCGGGCCTCATCTCGAGTTGATTTGGGGCACAAGGAGCTGCTTTGCGTTGCTGGGGTGACCTTAGGGTCCGTCTAGACTGGTGACAGTGTTCTTGGGGACTGTCTCGAGATCCATTAAGCAGGTCGAACCTCCTGACTAGTTTGAATGGGATCACGGAATAGCTCTGCATGCACTGCAGGGGAATGGGGCCTCATCTCGCCTCTAGGGGGAAGTCTCATGGTTTTTCTCGAGTTGTGGCAGGGAGCTGGGGTATGTTCTCGACTTAAGGCGGGAATGGCCCTTCAAAACACGAGTTTCTTCAGTGACGTCAGGACTCCTGTCTAGTAACGAGGGACACCTCAGGAATCTCTTCGAGGCTTGGCAGGGCAAAAGGGACGCTTCTCGAGGTGAAGCAGGGCACCCAAGGACCCTTTCCAGTAGAGACAGGGATTTTGGGATTCCTATCAGTATTCAAGAGGAGTCAGGCTTCGTCACCTTTTGAAACAATGAACTCCGCGTGCCTCTCGAGGTGTCAGCGAGATGTGAGGCTTTCCGTCAGAAGAAGGCACGGACCTAAGGCTTTCTCTGAGGTCTCCACAGGGGATTCAGACATCCCTTCATGTTGTGAGATGAAAGACGAGCCTGTATTCAAGCCACTGCACGGAAATCCGGCTTCCTTTCAAGTTAGGGCTTCTCGTTGTATATTCCCTTGAGGCAGCAAACTCGGGGTCCCTCCCACATACCTATTGCTGAGAGAAGCCTCCTCCTGTGGTGCTCCTGGAAAGTTGGCATACGTCTTGAGCCTAAGCCAGGGAATCAGCTCTCATCTCGAGACGATTTGGGGTACATGGAGCATTCCTCGAGTTGCTGTGCTGAAGTTGGTGTTCCTCTAGACTTGGGACAGTGTTCTCGGGGCATCTCTGGAGTTGCCTGAATGAAGTTAAGCAACCGGTCTTGTTGAATGGGGAACGGGGAATGACTCTGGAGTCAATGCAGGGGAATCGGGCCTCATCTCGAGTTGATTTGGGGCACATGGAGCTGCTTTGCGTTGCTGGGGTGACCTCAGCGTCCATCTAGACTGGTGACAGTGTTCTTGCGGACTGTCTCGAGATCCATTAAGCAGGTCGAAGCTCCTGACTTGTTTGAATGGGATCTCGGAATAGCTTTGCATGCACTGCAGGGGAATGGCGCCTCATCTTTCCTCTAGGGGGAAGTCTCATGGTTTTTCTCGAGTTGCGGCGGGGACCTGGGGTATGTTCTCGACTTACGGCGTGGATGGCCCTTCAAAACACGAGTTTCTTCAGTGATGTCAGGACTCCAGTCTAGTAACGAGGGACACCTCAGGAATCTCTTCGAGGCTTGGCAGGGCAAAAGGGACGCTTCTCGAGGTGAGGCAGGGAACCCAAGGACCCTTTCCAGTAGCCACAGGGATTTTGGGATTCCTATCAGTATTCAAGAGGAGTCAGGCATCGTCACCTTTTGAAGCAATGAACTCCGCGTGCCTCTCGAGGTGTCAGCGGGATGTGAGGCATTCCGTCAAAATGTGGCAGGGGCCTAGGGCTTTCTCTAAGGTCTCCACAGGGGATTCAGACATCCCTTCATGTTGGGAGATGAAAGACGAGACTGTATTCAAGCCACTGCAAGGAAATCCGGCCTCATTTCAAGTTAGGGCTTCTCGCTGTATATTCCCCTTGAGGCAGCATACTCGGGGTCCCTCCCTCATACCTATTGCTGAGAGAAGCCTCCTCCTGAGGTGCTTCTGGAAAGTTGGCATACGTCTTGAGCATAAGCCAGGGAATCAGCTCTCATCTCGAGACGATTTGGGGTACACGGAGCATTCCTCGAGTTGCTGTGCTGAAGTTGGTGTTCCTCTAGACTTGGGACAGTGTTCTCGGGGCATCTCTGGAGTTGCCTGAAGGAAGTCGAGCCACCGTTCGTGTTGAATGGGGAACGGGGAATGGCTCTGGAGTCAATGCAGGGGAATCGGGCCTCATCTCGAGTTGATTTGGGGCACATGGAGCTGCTTTGCGTTGCTGGGGTGACCTCAGGGTCCGTCTAGACTGGTGACAGTGTTCTTGCGGACTGTCTCGAGATCCATTAAGCAGGTCGAAGCTCCTGACTTGTTTGAATGGGATCACGGAATAGCTCTGCATGCACTGCAGGGGAATGGGGCCTCATCTCGCCTCTAGGGGGAAGTCTCATGGTTTTTCTCTAGTTGCGGCGGGGACCTGGGGTATGTTCTTGACTTACGGCGGGGATGGCCCTTCAAAACACGAGTTTCTTCAGTGATGTCAGGACTCCTGTCTAGTAACGAGGGACACCTCAGGAATCTCTTCGAGGCTTGGCAGGGCAAAAGGGACGCTTCTCGAGGTGAGGCAGGGCACCCAAGGACCCTGTCCAGTAGCCACAGGGATTTTGGGATTCCTATCAGTATTCAAGAGGAGTCAGGCATCGTCACCTTTTGAAGCAATGAACTCCGCGTGCCTCTCGAGGTGTCAGCGGGATGTGAGGCATTCCGACAAAATGAGGCAGGGACCTAGGGCTTTCTCTAAGGTCTCCACAGGGGATTCAGACATCCCTTCATGTTGTGAGATGAAAGACGAGCCTGTATTCAAGCCACTGCAAGGAAATCCGGCCTCCTTTCAAGTTAGGGCTTCTCGCTGTATATTCCCCTTGAGGCAGCAAACTCGGGGTCCGTCCCACATACCTATTGCTGAGAGAAGCCTCCTCCTGTGGTGCTTCTGGAAAGTTGGCATACGTCTTGAGCCTAAGCCAGGGAATCAGCTCTCATCTCGAGACGATTTGGGGTACACGGAGCATTCCTCGAGTCGCTGTGCTGAAGTTGGTGTTCCTCTAGACTTGGGACAGTGTTCTCGGGGCATCTCTGGAGTTGCCTGAAGGAAGTCGAGCCACCGTTCGTGTTGAATGGGGAACGGGGAATGGCTCTGGAGTCAATGCAGGGGAATCGGGCCTCATCTCGAGTTGATTTGGCGCACATGGAGCTGCTTTGCGTTGCTGGGGTGACCTCAGGGTCCGTCTAGACTGGTGACAGTGTTCTTGGGGACTGTCTCGAGATCCATTAAGCAAGTCGAAGCTCCTGACTTGTTTGAATGGGATCACGGAACAGCTCTGCATGCACTGCAGGGGAATGGGGCCTCATCTCGCCTCTAGGGGGAAGTCTCATGGTTTTTCTCGAGTTGCGGCGGGGACCTGGGGTATGTTCTCGACTTACGGCGGGGATGGCCCTTCAAAACACGAGTTTCTTCAGTGACGTCAGGACTCCTGTCTAGTAACGAGGGACACCTCAGGAATCTCTTCGAGGCTTGGCAGGGCAAAAGGGACGCTTCTCGAGGTGAGGCAGGGCACCCAAGGACCCTTTCCAGTAGCCACAGGGATTTTGGGATTCCTATCAGTATTCAAGAGGAGTCAGGCATCGTCACCTTTTGAAGCAATGAACTCCGCGTGCCTCTCGAGGTGTCAGCGGGATGTGAGGCATTCCGTCAAAATGAGGCAGGGACCTAGGGCTTTCTCTAAGGTCTCCACAGGGGATTCAGACATCCCTTCATGTTGTGAGATGAAAGACGAGCCTGTATTCAAGCCACTGCAAGGAAATCCGGCCTCCTTTCAAGTTAGGGCTTCTCGCTGTATATTCCCCTTGAGGCAGCATACTCGGGGTCCCTCCCACATACCTATTGCTGAGAGAAGCCTCCTCCTGAGGTGCTTCTGGAAAGTTGGCATACGTCTTGAGCCTAAGCCCGGGAATCAGCTCTCATCTCGAGACGATTTGGGGTTCACGGAGCATTTCTTGAGTTGCTGTGCTGAAGTTGGTGTTCCTCTAGACTTGGGACAGTGTTCTCGGGGCATCTCTGGAGTTGCCTGAAGGAAATCGAGCCACCGGTCGTGTTGAATGGGGAACGGGGAATGGCTCTGGAGTCAATGCAGTGCAAGCGGGCCTCATCTCGAGTTGATTTGGGGCACAAGGAGCTGCTTTGCGTTGCTGGGGTGACCTTAGGGTCCGTCTAGACTGGTGACAGTGTTCTTGGGGACTGTCTCGAGATCCATTAAGCAGGTCGAACCTCCTGACTAGTTTGAATGGGATCACGGAATAGCTCTGCATGCACTGCAGGGGAATGGGGCCTCATCTCGCCTCTAGGGGGAAGTCTCATGGTTTTTCTCGAGTTGTGGCAGGGAGCTGGGGTATGTTCTCGACTTAAGGCGGGAATGGCCCTTCAAAACACGAGTTTCTTCAGTGACGTCAGGACTCCTGTCTAGTAACGAGGGACACCTCAGGAATCTCTTCGAGGCTTGGCAGGGCAAAAGGGACGCTTCTCGAGGTGAAGCAGGGCACCCAAGGACCCTTTCCAGTAGAGACAGGGATTTTGGGATTCCTATCAGTATTCAAGAGGAGTCAGGCTTCGTCACCTTTTGAAACAATGAACTCCGCGTGCCTCTCGAGGTGTCAGCGAGATGTGAGGCTTTCCGTCAGAAGAAGGCACGGACCTAAGGCTTTCTCTGAGGTCTCCACAGGGGATTCAGACATCCCTTCATGTTGTGAGATGAAAGACGAGCCTGTATTCAAGCCACTGCACGGAAATCCGGCTTCCTTTCAAGTTAGGGCTTCTCGTTGTATATTCCCTTGAGGCAGCAAACTCGGGGTCCCTCCCACATACCTATTGCTGAGAGAAGCCTCCTCCTGTGGTGCTCCTGGAAAGTTGGCATACGTCTTGAGCCTAAGCCAGGGAATCAGCTCTCATCTCGAGACGATTTGGGGTACATGGAGCATTCCTCGAGTTGCTGTGCTGAAGTTGGTGTTCCTCTAGACTTGGGACAGTGTTCTCGGGGCATCTCTGGAGTTGCCTGAATGAAGTTAAGCAACCGGTCTTGTTGAATGGGGAACGGGGAATGACTCTGGAGTCAATGCAGGGGAATCGGGCCTCATCTCGAGTTGATTTGGGGCACATGGAGCTGCTTTGCGTTGCTGGGGTGACCTCAGCGTCCATCTAGACTGGTGACAGTGTTCTTGCGGACTGTCTCGAGATCCATTAAGCAGGTCGAAGCTCCTGACTTGTTTGAATGGGATCTCGGAATAGCTTTGCATGCACTGCAGGGGAATGGCGCCTCATCTTTCCTCTAGGGGGAAGTCTCATGGTTTTTCTCGAGTTGCGGCGGGGACCTGGGGTATGTTCTCGACTTACGGCGTGGATGGCCCTTCAAAACACGAGTTTCTTCAGTGATGTCAGGACTCCAGTCTAGTAACGAGGGACACCTCAGGAATCTCTTCGAGGCTTGGCAGGGCAAAAGGGACGCTTCTCGAGGTGAGGCAGGGAACCCAAGGACCCTTTCCAGTAGCCACAGGGATTTTGGGATTCCTATCAGTATTCAAGAGGAGTCAGGCATCGTCACCTTTTGAAGCAATGAACTCCGCGTGCCTCTCGAGGTGTCAGCGGGATGTGAGGCATTCCGTCAAAATGTGGCAGGGGCCTAGGGCTTTCTCTAAGGTCTCCACAGGGGATTCAGACATCCCTTCATGTTGGGAGATGAAAGACGAGACTGTATTCAAGCCACTGCAAGGAAATCCGGCCTCATTTCAAGTTAGGGCTTCTCGCTGTATATTCCCCTTGAGGCAGCATACTCGGGGTCCCTCCCTCATACCTATTGCTGAGAGAAGCCTCCTCCTGAGGTGCTTCTGGAAAGTTGGCATACGTCTTGAGCATAAGCCAGGGAATCAGCTCTCATCTCGAGACGATTTGGGGTACACGGAGCATTCCTCGAGTTGCTGTGCTGAAGTTGGTGTTCCTCTAGACTTGGGACAGTGTTCTCGGGGCATCTCTGGAGTTGCCTGAAGGAAGTCGAGCCACCGTTCGTGTTGAATGGGGAACGGGGAATGGCTCTGGAGTCAATGCAGGGGAATCGGGCCTCATCTCGAGTTGATTTGGGGCACATGGAGCTGCTTTGCGTTGCTGGGGTGACCTCAGGGTCCGTCTAGACTGGTGACAGTGTTCTTGCGGACTGTCTCGAGATCCATTAAGCAGGTCGAAGCTCCTGACTTGTTTGAATGGGATCACGGAATAGCTCTGCATGCACTGCAGGGGAATGGGGCCTCATCTCGCCTCTAGGGGGAAGTCTCATGGTTTTTCTCTAGTTGCGGCGGGGACCTGGGGTATGTTCTTGACTTACGGCGGGGATGGCCCTTCAAAACACGAGTTTCTTCAGTGATGTCAGGACTCCTGTCTAGTAACGAGGGACACCTCAGGAATCTCTTCGAGGCTTGGCAGGGCAAAAGGGACGCTTCTCGAGGTGAGGCAGGGCACCCAAGGACCCTGTCCAGTAGCCACAGGGATTTTGGGATTCCTATCAGTATTCAAGAGGAGTCAGGCATCGTCACCTTTTGAAGCAATGAACTCCGCGTGCCTCTCGAGGTGTCAGCGGGATGTGAGGCATTCCGACAAAATGAGGCAGGGACCTAGGGCTTTCTCTAAGGTCTCCACAGGGGATTCAGACATCCCTTCATGTTGTGAGATGAAAGACGAGCCTGTATTCAAGCCACTGCAAGGAAATCCGGCCTCCTTTCAAGTTAGGGCTTCTCGCTGTATATTCCCCTTGAGGCAGCAAACTCGGGGTCCGTCCCACATACCTATTGCTGAGAGAAGCCTCCTCCTGTGGTGCTTCTGGAAAGTTGGCATACGTCTTGAGCCTAAGCCAGGGAATCAGCTCTCATCTCGAGACGATTTGGGGTACACGGAGCATTCCTCGAGTCGCTGTGCTGAAGTTGGTGTTCCTCTAGACT